GGTATTTTGTACCCCTCAAAGCAATGGAAAGCAAGGTCGGGAAACAAAAATTCAAAGAAGAATCAAATGGTGAGAAGTGTAAGATAAGAGAAAGAAAGGAGGTCGGTCTTTTATAGGTGCACTGCTGCCTGTAGACTCACTTGACAGGATGTTCTGTCAGTATGTAATATGGGCAGGGATTGATATATTTGTATAATGAAAACACACTTCCGAAGGGAAACGCGTGGCCAATGGGGAAGACCAAATTCTGTATCAACTCGATGGCGTTGGTGTCAAATGTGCTTATTTTCATGGCTCGAAGGAGCAGCCAAAAAGTAATGTCAAATTATTGGTCATGTAGGCACTGACGCATTTTCAATCGACCTCAATAAAGAGGGCAGAAAAATGTCCATGGATGTCGTGAAGGTGGAAAACTATGTAGTGAGAGAAGAATCTTGCACCTAACAATCCTGGGGCTCGAGTCGAGGCTGGAAGTTAAATAAATCAGTTCTTTTCGGGTTAAAGATTCAAAATTCAACCATGTACGTCGGGTGCTTTGACGGCAAGTAGTCGTCCACTCCTGTACTTTTTGCTTATCCTTCCAACAATCTATTGATCATAAATGACAAACCCGATCCGTGATACAATGTCATTGATTAGATAATGGAGAAAAAGAAATTCACATATTAGCGAGGCGTGCATACTCAAAGCTTGTGCTCCCGACAGGTTGTCGTCAATGATAGTGCATCTCTATAAGATTGCGGAGATATGATGTTTGGTAGAGCGAATCGCGCTCCAGAAGGCAACTAGAAGGCAACTTAGTGTATAATAAAGATAAGAACATCGAGTAAATAGATTACTCCAGTTCAATTTAGATTGACAAAAGATAAGTACAGTCGATCCTTCGCACGGAGGAGTTCGGGACCCAATTTCCAGGCAAATCACTTCCTCCTAAATAGACTTCCAAGGCTCTTAATGTGCATCACAATTGGCTCATGATGCACGCAAATAGGGTGTACGTATCTTGCATCTTGACTACAAGGTCCGGGCGCTGCTCATGCTTACTTTGTACGTTCGTAGTTTCTGAGATGTGGCTTCATCAGGCAACTATACCTAAACAGCCTTCGTAATTGGACTCGATTTTCAGATTTCCATGGACTAAATTTGGGACTGAGGGCTAGCTTTCGTTTGGGCTGCTACTTCATACCCACAGGCTTTGAAGAAAGGGGGCCAAATGAAAACCGTCGGCGTTTGAGATCCATGCATCTACCCCGGGACTTCGGGGGGACTCGGTTGAACATCGCACGCGACCTCAAGACCGGGTCAATCACAGTCCTCCAAGTATTCGTTTCTTATCGAATTGATAATTGTGAATTGCGAATCTTGAGGTAGATAGATTGGACACATCAAGCACGTAATGTAATGCTTATCCGGCAAGGGGGATTGGGATACAACTCCATGATAGGAGCAGAAGACGGATGACCGATGGAACGAGTCTACTTGATCTATCTCCGAGGAGATTAAAAAAGATACCCGGAATAGTTATTGACCAGGATTCAAAGAGCTGATGGCGTCAGTGATTCTCCCGAGCCAATCCCAGGACCCCCTGCATCCAGGCACGTCTCTCATTTGTGCGCATCACCCAGATACGTCCTGATATCTCAACAAATGGAAAATATCATTATCAGCGGTATCTTCCTGTGCGACCGAATTAATGCAGATAAGGGTCGATCCGTTGTCAGGCTCGCATTTGGCGCCACAATTCGAGGATCTCCCGGAGGATCCGTCGGAGGAGAGGAATTCCTGGGGTCAAGGAGATCTGGAGATAGGGCGATGGAGCGGTGTGTGAAGAACCACAGTGGACCAGTGGAGAAGGGCAATTGGGATCGAATGGGGCTGATAACGCGCTGTTTTGGGCACATTCTTTGGGGTATGGAGCTGCATGATCTACCAAAGTTTGCGCCTCAGGGGTATGTCTTATCTTGAATCCGAGATATGCAGACTTATCGTCGTATCGGGGGGACAGTTGGAGGTTTGGGTAGCGTCACGCCTTATCGAGATGCCGTTGGGTGATAGCCACGTCTTTGAGAATTCCCTCTCCAGGGTTATAAAGAGGACCGTCCCTCGCTTGCGCATTTTCCATCCCACACATTTCGAATCATTCCTATCCTGGTGAATTCAGCAGTGGTAAAGAGACAGGAAATTACCCGTGGACCTCCGTATGTTACATATGCGCAGTTGTCGGATTTCTTGCCTCCACGCTCTCTCCTTTTGCCCCTGGACTGAAGGGCAACTGTTCTCTCATATGAGAACCAATACGTGACCTCGACGCGAGGCAAACATTGGATTTCAACATAACCGCAGAAGCCGCTCCGAAAAAAAAAAAAATCTAAAAAAGCACTGACAGGGGACCTCCCTTGTCCGTGCTTCGGAGTGGGGGAAGAATGCATTTACCCAAAGACCCAAAGTACCGCCACCTTCTACTCATCTTACGGCAGGATTGGCGTTGTGAGATTGCCGGCTTGCAGGACGCCACGGTCCACTAGGCCCTGTATCTATGAAGCTGGCAATTATTACCATGCATTATAGTTGCTTTCGACGCTTCGGGTTGGTTCGGAGATGTCTTATTGACTACTGAGTTAGGGCATACCGATCGGAGGCTTGCCACGGGGACATCAATCTGATGATCCATAGTGACGTTCACTTGGCCACCTCTTTCCCCTTTCTTTTTTTATTTTTGTTTATTTATTCTCTTCCATTTTATAATTATTGATGCCTTGAACAATGGTCTGATGAACACTTGACTGATAAGGAAACACCGTCATTGGGTACTCCACCGTGGGGGCCTAAGAGTGAACCAACATTGATCTGCGCCGCGCCTATCAGCATGACCACGGCTAATTACTCTACTGGGCAGCTTATCAGTCTTATCTTGTCATATCTTGGGTGCCCCGACTTTCGGTGGGCCTCCGTGGGTCCCAAGAACACCCACACGATTAGAGATGTTGTGCCTACGACAGGACGAAGAGCACAGCTTGTGCCTGTTTACTCGATCCGGTTGCGGCCCGGTTACATGTTTTCTTTTCCCCCCACATGGGAAAACCCTCTCCTGATGTCAGGGAGAAATCTAATGTGATCGTCCCCCCAATCCTTTTCCAAAGAGGACCGGAGCTGAGAGCCGGGGAAGTGGCGAGGAATCAAACCAATCCCATTCATCCCAAGAACGAAGCGATATTAACCGGCGCGGAATGTAAAATAATCCGCGCGTGCGCCCCCGCACATGAGGGGACGATTTGGGACTTTTGACTTCCTCTTTTTTTTATTGTTCCTTTTTCTTCTCTCCAGTCAGAGAGCAAGATGAAAAAGAGTTGAAACGACGTTACTCGATGATCGGTATTACCGATTGGATACGATTGGATACCGGGTTCGGGTAATGTAGGAAGGGCTTGGGCTCCGGTGAGTCTGCCGTTGCGCGGTCGGGGGATTTATATCCAGAGCCTCGTTCGACCAAGCGGATTCTGTCCGACGCCAAATTGTCTCCGTTGTCGAAGCCCCGTAGAACATTTTCTTATCTCTCTCGGACGCAACCTGTTATCTCCGTGACCGCAACCGAGGTTTGAAATTTCCCGCTGCAGTGTCAAAAAAGGAATTGAGCATACTACAGTCTATTTGATATCACATTCAGATCATCAATCCTTCATATAAAATCCAATTGATTCAAAATTCCCGTTTGATTTCCCCAAATGTTTACACGCATTTCTCAAATCCGTCTTGTAGGTCGCATTTGGATCGGCTTGGACCAAGTCTCCACCCGCCGTGTTGTACCCACTTTTGGAACTACATCTGGACTTGTCTCCGGTTCTGTCTACTGTCGACGGTAACCATTTTCCATGGGTTACAGGTACAAATCTTGGAAGCTTTGGGAGGGCCGCGTGCCCAGATCCCAGTACCTGCATGTTTAATTTGATTATTCGCCATCTTATTTGCCCCCCAGGTCTCCATTCAGACGGATCTGTCGGACTCGGCCCGATACATTCGAGACTCTTGTCGGTCCCGTACTTCCCATTCGGCGAGGTGCAGAGAGGAGAAGAAGAAGGGGAGGGGAAGAGAAGCTACGCCCCTCCCCATATAACAACGGGGCCGTGCGGAGTCAATCATTTGTATATCTCATACGGTTATTCGTGGAAATTCCCGGATGAATTAGATATGCACATCAAGGGCCTAGAAGGGGCATTGTCAGATCGTTACAAGTGACAAAAGACAAGAACGGGAGTGGCGTTCAAAGGCGCATGAATCATGTAGTCGAGGGAAGCGCCGTAAATCGGTAATGATCATATAGGTCTAATTTTCTATACATACCTGGTCACAGTTAGTGCAGGTACTTAATGTATTCTGAACCCGTAGATTTGGTTCCTCTGGAGTTGGGGGCTTGTAACGGTATTACTCTTACCCAGTACCAACTGCCACTTCTCGTTCCCCAACTTCAAACCACCAGCACATATCATATTCCCACTTTCTCGTTTTCCTCTTCTTCTCTTCTTGGCTCTCAATTCCCTTCTTTTCTTTTCCCTCTCTCTCCTCTCAACGTCTCTCTTCCCCCCCTTCCTTCCCACCCCGCTGTTATAGCCCTTTCCCTCCCAATTCACCACCGTTTCCGGGGCATGAGCGTCTGGAGGGTCTAGCCCCCCCCTTCCTCCCTCCACGACTGCAATACATTTATATAAGAGTTTCAAAAATCGGAAAAGAGGTGTGGGTGGTGGTCCGCGCTCCCATACATAACGCTCGGTGCACCGGATCTCGTTGTAACTGACGTTGGTACCCCGGTCGAGTCGCTGACTGAGACAATCCAATCGCACTCGATCGCGATCTTTCTCCCCCCCCCCCCCCCCCCCGGCAAGGGTCTCTCCATTCCTGTGATCCTGGGGCAGATTTGAATTTAAACTGTTTTTTAAACACTTCTTGAAACCTTTTGAAATCCCTCTTTTCCCTTGCTTCCCATTTTTCTTCCCCGGCATTTAGCCATGGAGGGAATGCACCATGGTGGTCATGGAGGCCGACCGCTTCAATCCGTGGCATTCCCGGATATGGATTCCCATATGATGTCGGACGACTTCTCCTTTGGCTCCCCCTTCAGTCCTACGAGTTCCGCTGCCCAGGACGGCATGCTCAATGACCCCATTTTTCCTGAGTGGAGGAGTGGTGCCCCGCGCGGTGGCGACAACCCCGACGAATTGCAGCGGCAAGACCCCTTGGCCGCTCAGATTTGGCGGCTTTACACCAAGACCAAAGCCAACCTGCCGAACCAGGAACGTATGGAAAATTTGACCTGGCGGATGATGGCTATGAGTTTAAAACGCAAGGAACGAGAACAACTTCGGTAGGTTTTACCCTCTTTCAGATGATGGATCTGGTGATCCAGTCAGTACCGGGCGGCATAGCTCACTTTCTTGGCCCTGCAGGTCGTCGCAAGCCAATCAACAGACCACCAGTCCTACCCCGAGCGGGATCGCGCAGTTGCATTTGTCCGACCAGGCGTCGACAGATAACTCGAACTCCAGCATGAACATCGATTCCACTCCGGATGCTATGAACTTGGATGACTTCATTGTCCCCTTTGACTCCCCCGTTGATTACTCGTCCCACGCTCCTATAGACCGTCAATTTACCGCGACACCCACCGCTTCCATCCCGATCAAATCGCGCAAGGACCAACCGGTCGACGCATCCGTCGCAGCGTCATTCCCACACCCTCCCCAGGAGCAGCGCAAGAACAGCGAGTTCGGGTACGTACCACGTCGGGTTCGTAAGACTAGTGTGGATGAACGCCAGTTCTTCGCTGGACTGGCGGTGCCGACGCGCAAACGCCCAGCCGATGCATCCCCGCAGGTGCCTCCCGTATCGAACGCCATGCTAGCGCAACATTCTGAATTGTCGGCTGCTGGACTGCCGGATTACTCCCTCGATCACTCACCAGCCGGTTTTGCCATGCCGACCAACGGGATGGGTCCTCGGCGTCATCACCATCAGCATACAGCTTCGTCTGGCCTTCCATATGGGCTAGACACCTTTGGTGTGGGTGACGAAAGCACAGTCAGCTCCGCAGGCCCTTACCAGCAACACTTCACATTTTCTCCTTCCGATTCCCCTATGACTGCTGGCAACCCATTCTCCAGCTTGTATGCACAGACCCCACTAGCGACGTCTCTCAACTCCACTGAGTTCTTTTCTCCGCCACCATCCGGATACCAGTCTGCTGTTTCAACGCCTCAGCCGATCTATGAAGGCGAACAGTCTATTTTCTTCTCTGATGCACCGTCGGCAGATTCTCATAACCAGCGCCGCATTCCCACATATCTGCAGCAACGGTCCTCCAACCTGTCTGCGTCGCTGCAGCCTCGCCAGATGTATAACGGTAACAACGGGGATTACCAGTCGCCTGTCAATGGCCCTCCCACGACCATGGGTTTCTCTGTTCCGCAGCAGCATGTTGACCCCAACCAAGTGCTGGGCCACGAATATTCCTCGACCGCACCCAACAACAGCATGTTCACATTCGGTGGGGATTCAGATAATGAGGACGATGATGGCCAGTCATATGAGCGTGGAGGTATTGCAATGCCCCATGACTTCTCATCCATGGATGAGACTGGCGATATGAATGCCGGTCTGAACTGGGATACAGGATTCCCAGGCTCTGTTCAGTCATTACCAGGATTCGCTGGCCAACATCGCAAGCATGTCACCATTGGCTCTACTGACATGATGGATGGTCCATCTGAGTGGCATCATGCAGGCCTCGGTCGCGGGCATGGCTCTGCAGCCTCCGTCAGCGAGGTCCGTAATCGCGAGCAAGACCCTCGCCGTCAAAAGATTCCGCGCACGGCCTCGACTCCCAATGCTCCTGGGCTGTTGCGCCAGAGCATGAATGGCGCTGCTAGCGGTCCGCCAACGAATCACCCATCTCCTAATACCCCACCTGAGTCTGGCCTCAGCAGCGCCGTTCCTTCTCGGCCAGCCAGTCCCGGCGGGTCTAAGAACGGTGACCCTAATGCAGGACCAACTACCTGTACGAACTGTTTCACCCAGACTACTCCACTATGGCGTCGCAATCCTGAGGGCCAGCCCTTGTGCAATGCCTGTGGTCTGTTTCTGAAACTCCATGGTGTGGTTAGACCCCTGTCGCTCAAGACCGACATCATCAAAAAGCGGAACCGTAGCAGTGCCAACAGCTTAGCTGTTGGTACTTCTCGCTCATCCAAGAAGTCTTCTCGGAAGAACTCTATTGTACACGCACCCTCTAGCGCCGTTGCTTCCCGCGCGCCAAGCAACAACGCTTCAGAATCGCCACCTGCGATCATGGGATCAAGCCTTTCCGGGAAATCTGGCGTCGTCCCCATTGCCGCCGCACCGCCTAAGCCCGGTCCTCCAGCTGGAGTTTCTCAGGCCCGTGCCGGTGTGCAGGTAGCTCCCAGAAGGCAGCGTCGCCTTGAAAAGGCACCTACTGGATCCGAGCCAGATACGGATGACAGTCCCAAGGCTACTGCGCCTTCTCGATCTAAGGTGGTGCCATTGGCTCCGGCCATGCATCCTGCAGCTGCCAACCCCGCCAATCACAGTATCGCTGGCGGACAAGGTGCAAGCCAAGAATGGGAGTGGCTGACAATGAGTCTTTAAGTCCTTGCTACCTCTGTTATACGATCTTCTTTCTACCTTTCTCTCTTCCATCGATGGCTCGGTATGACAGAGCTGGCCACCCTCCCTTTAATCTCGTCCATATACACGACCCGACTAATGTTATGCTGGTGGTTCCTTGTGGCTTTGTGATTGTCTATTTACTTTTTTACGCCTTTCCCAAATTTTTCGTTACGTCACGTGTGCTTGATGATCTGTGTGATTTGATTGATACAATCGCGTCTGTCCGGTACCCAAGTTGCTTTTTTTTTTTTTTGTGTTGTTTTTATGTGCAACTTGAGACCGGGCAGAAGTGCGCATCTCTCTGATTTTTTGATTTTTTGTTCTTTTCCTTTTCTTTTATTCTTCGCATTCTTCGCACTGCTGAGCAGGCCCTGATGGGGATTATATTTCATAGACCGAATTTGACTACGATTGATATGAGTATGTTTCTGCATCTGTAGTCTTGTCTTTTATTGCCAGATACCATGACATTCATCCATGGATTACATCTCTATTCATTAATTCTTTGTTCATGGATAAAATGAGGTCAGACTGTGGAGGCGAGAACACGTCATGTCGACGATATCTCAAAGGGTGATTATTATGTCTACTTATAGATTACCTTTCCAGACACACTTAACGATTTCAATTGCCCAAAATTTCAATATTCAGCCCACTATCCTGAACCTTGGAAATCTACGGCATAATGTCGGGCTCCGCAGTACGCTCGCTCTATATTTATTGCCCAGGCCCAATGAAAACTAACATTCACATCAGGGCGAATTCGCCAGCACAGACGGTACAAACCTTAATTGTCTGACACGATTTCACCTCATAATTCTCACACTTCGTCAGGTCCTACCGAGCCCCTCGACACAAGTATAAGTCGGTCAGACACATACGCCTCCCGCGCGACTCAGACCGCCAGCAACATGCAAGCGACAATTGCCCATCACTTTGAACCAGGTATAAAAGTCACTCATATATGCGATACATGGTTGATTCCCAAGGCTGCTCGGTGTTATCAAGCAACCTTACCACAGTTGAGACACCAGATGCAAATATATATAATATGCGTATACATACAAACTAATCTTCTTCTCTTCTGTAGGTGATACTCGAGCCACCTCCCGTCGTCTATCTGATACACCCGACTCGGTGCGAAGTTCGTTTCAAAACGAATTGGATGAGGATAGGGAACCGGGTGGGAAGTCGAAGTCTTTCATGCAAACGGTGCAGGAATATGTGGCTAAGGCTTTAGGGGGTGGGTCGCGGGGTGAGTTTGGGTTTAGTTGGTTGGAATCATAGTACTTCGTTAACTTTAATCCAGGTGCGAACTAGTCTTCTTAAATTTGCTTGACTACGTGAGCAAGCGTGAAACTAGGTTCCACTTTTTGCTTAGATAGAAAAACTTTTTTGAACAAGTCATTTTCGACGAGCGGTTTAATAATGACTATACATGGTCTTCTGGATCATAACCCTTGTATCAATAGTTGGACACTCCTTTTGACCGGTTAATCCCTGTCACCGATGTAGAGGAAACTTGTATAGAAGTGCTTTTAATTTGGATCCAGTGTAAAAGCAAACGCCAAAATCGGGTTATTTGAACGCCACGGAAGACTGACGCGTAAGTTGGAATCTTCGAATCGAACTAATGCAGGTCCATCTTTCCCCGATATAATGTCACTAAAACAGTTAGAGGTAATGGAATTTAGAACGAGCTAATCAAGGCAGACTTCAGCTTCTACATTACCATAGCAGGCTGTTCTATATATAGGGTTCCCTATTGATTAAGCCGTTATGGTCTTTAAGCACAGTTTCGAATATCACTTTGAGTTGGGGTCATATACTGACGGAAATCAATAGTATAGTTGCTTTGTCTTGTTCTATACCTACTAATCTCACGAATGCATCAAATGATAGATAGTAGACCCCTTATTTAAGAAACTCTAGGGAACGGAGAAGCCCGTTGTCTAAAAATATGGTCTGATTTCTATCACTCTAAACACCCCAGCGAATGAACAGTCCCTCATGACAACAACACCCAACCCTCCCCATATCTATACCACTCGACATGGCGCATGCTTATCATTGTATTCCCGCGCACTCAACAAACCGCCCATATGAACAAGGATAGACAGCGTAACGAGAATATGCCAGAGAGTGTGCGAGTGGCCCCAAATATCGAATCGACCAGGATATAGTGACTCCGGGAATCGTGTCTACCACAATTTAGCAAGAATATAGAGAGGCCGAGTTAGAAAATTCAATTCACCTGGAAAAAGTAACATCCGACCAGCAATAGCGCACCCTCAAGCAGGTAATACGGAACCCCAACTCGAAGAAGATACCCAGGCCCCCAAAGATAGCCGGCATGGCTAATCGGCGCAAAAGCAAATAGCCCTGTCGCGATACAGCTAGCCAGACGCATAGATCGCCATTCCGGACCTCGGAACCAAGGCGAGAGGAGGACGAATCCTGTTCCGGCGCTGCTTGCGATGATCTGTAGAACAAGGATGTTAAGATGAAGATAACCCCCGAGTAAACGTTCACGATACATGCCGAGCTGCATGAAAACGGAAAGCTTACAAGAGACCAATAGAAATTCTTCAACGTGGGCTCACAGTAGAACCCAAAATGCAGCCCGCTGACGAAATTCCCGAGGATCAGCGCTAGGATTCCTCCGTGGTCGCACTGCAGTCCGTGGTGTGCGACGCGCGCGGAATGGTTGAGAGCAGTGTGATACAGTGCGGAGGTTAATAGACAAAGAATCGCGGCGCATAATTGGATTGTTAGTACAATGTTGTTCAGGCGATGCTGTTCTTGCTGTCATGCTTCCGGATCGGGCCGGATGATAGTGTTCATGAGCAGGAGCAGACAGAGACCTGGGATCAGGTGGGAATAGATATTGGCTGTTTCATTGTGGATGTAGAGCCAGCTGGAAAGTGATTTGCGCCAGGATTGGCTTTCTGGTCTATAGCCTGTGAGGATGAATGGATTCGCGTCGAACCAAGTTGGGACGTTGGACAGAGACAGGAGGGCGCGTTTTGGGGGGATCATAGAGTTTAAGGCTTCAATGTTAACAGGAATGAGGGGAGTAATTAAGACTATGGGTAAAAATGAAGGTTGGTATCGGTATGAGTATGGGTAGGGATGTTGGAGGTGGAGGTCGTTATAGCTTTAGTGGGGGTATGGGGGCGATCGCGCTCCAGCGGCTCCAGGCCCTGGGTCTAGACGATCCATGCCATCGCTTTTCACGCGATACGATTGTACACCCACATAGCTAGAGCAAGGTTTACATAAAGATACTGGACAGTCATCAATTCGTTAGCTTCTTTTGGCTATAAGGAGCTTGCAAAATTCGAGACCGAAATGCGCAGTCATAACCAGTGTATTAACCTCAATATGGCTATCCATGGTATATAAACTTGCATATTGACGTGAACATAACGTTAATTTACTCGGTGCGTGTATCAATTTTCATTCCTCGTAGATTTATGTCACATTCCTGGTCAACTCCACTCATTGTCGCAATTCTCAATCAAGAAATATACTTCGATTTCCGATTGTGGTAACTCGACACCTGAGGCCGTTATCGGTATCACGTGGGTCTCCCCATACTAAAAAAAAATCGCGGAAACTTTGTGAAGCAGCAAATCACCAAACACCGCAATCATGGGTTCCAGCGCCAAAAGAAAGAAGGAGAGGCAGCAAGACTTCCAGGTAAGAGCCTGAACCTCGCTTTGTGTAACAACCAACCCATTGACACCTCGCAGAAACCCAAACTCAAGGTCGGCAAGGCCAGAGCCAAACCGGATAACTTCACCGATACCAGCTTCCGATCTAAAGGTATGCAAAGTACCTCTCCTTGAACAAGAATGTCCAATTAACGTACGAACCAGCGATCGTCCTCACCCAACAATCCCTCCAACTTACGGCTCCCACCTCCAATGCCGTATTCTCTCACCATCTTTCTCTCCTCACCTCCAAATCCGACAGCCAACGCCGCGACTCACTTGCTCATTTAACCTCTTCAATCGCCTCCCGACCCGTCAACTCACCACTCCCTCAACCTGTCAGCGTCATGCTCCCTTCTCTACTCCCACTCCTCCTCGACGGAAGCAACAACGTCCGCACCCAGCTGCTCAAACTCCTGCGCACACTCCCCTCTTCCGATGTAGAGGACCACGTCGTGCAACTACTCCCCTATGTCCGCGCAGGCATGACCCATCTTGCAGCCGACATCCGTGTCTCATCTGTGGAGGTGCTATCATGGCTCGTCGAGGCCGCAGGTGAGCAGGTCGTTTCCTGCGCAGGCGGGTGGATCAAGACGCTGAATTGCTTCCTGTCTGTGCTTGGATGGCATACTGAGGAATCGGCGCGGTGGTCGTCTAGTCGGGCCTCCTTTGGCAAGTCCGGCAGTCAGGGACGGCCGATGGTGAAGGTGTTAGGTGCGTTGGCCGAGTTTTTGGAGGCTGGTGTTGGGGAGCCGGGGACCGTGAATGTTGAACAGCAGATCGACGAGAATGTTGATTCCGCTTGGCCTTTTCCGTTGTGTCAAACGGGTCATCATATGATTTCGGATTCTTCGACTCCGTACACTTATTTGAATCTCTTTGGACAGCCCCGCGATGCGGAGGGCGAGATGTATGAGACGAGGGAGGATCGATTCCGTGTTTTTGCGACCCGCTTTTTGCCCGCTATTGATCGAGGTTTGAAGAGTGCGAGGGAGGAGGGTGGTGAGTTGGGTCGGGCTTCTTCTGGCGTGTCTAAGGTGCTTAAGGGAGCTCTGTCGTATGGACCCGGAGCGTGAGCATGTTATTGTGTTCATCATTATTTCCAAGGTCAACGTTCCTTGTTGCTTCTGGGTTCTCACTGACGGACCACTGAAATGCGAGTCTAGCCAGCTACCTACCATTGAGTCAACACGCGGTAGAAGATCCGCCGCGACAAGCAGCAATATCTACAAGATGCAAGTTCCGGACAAGCCAGCCTACTTGCACTGTGGAATCTCTTCACAACTAGACCCATGATCAGCGAAGAGACAAATCATCCAGTATCCGTTGGGATATATGACCACACGCAAAACGGATGATCAAAAATCTAGTCTCCAGGGTGGACGAGCACCACAGGAGCCCTCTATCAATGTAAATAGATTAACAAGTATATACACATTGAACCACCGTCAGATATCGGTGCATTAAACCACCAAATGTAATCTAGACAACCTTCTCAGACTCAAATCCCCCCTTTACTTCTCATATGCACATTCTCACCACTGCTACTATGCGTCTCCACGCCCATAACGACACCAGTACCCTCCTCGTAAACCTCATCGGGCAAAACCGCCTTCTCAATCTTGCCTTCCACAGCAGGAAACCACCATGAAAGCCCTAAATAAACGCCACCAGTCGCAGCGAAACCCAACAACCACCCAAACTGATACGGATGCACTCCAACACCAACCTCAATGGAGGGATTAACCGCATTCATCAAACCCGGCAAATTAGGCGCAACGCCAACCAAGAACGCAACAATAGCCCTCCAGTTAAACCCCCAGACTTCCTTCCCAAATCCATGGAATTCATACCGATAAGTCGGATTCCACGGCTGATACAGCGCAAGCGAATCATACATCTGCCGCCTAACAACCCAATAATCAAACAGCATAATGGCCGCAATGGGCCCAAGGAAAATCGCATAGGCAGACATGAAATTCAAGAAGTTCTCCGCGGACTCGAGAATCTTCCAGGGGACAAGTGCCCAGGAGAGAAACGCACAGAGGATTTGGCCGCGGCGGATATTCATGAATTGGGGCGCTAACGCTGTGAAGTCGTTTGCGGCTGATAGCGAGTTTGCAGATATGTTCACGCCTAGCCCGGCTAGGGCGAAGGAGAATGCGGCGAAGAATCGGCAGGATCGGTTGCTCCAGTGGCTTATTAGGACTAATGGATCCCAAGGAATGGCGGATAGGTTGTAGTGGGCTTGACCGGCGGACGAGGCTGCGATTCCGATAAAGGAGATAAAGGTGAAGATTATTGGGAGCATGGGGATGTACAGGGCTTGCCAGCGTGGACTGACACGGGAGTAGCGGGAGAAATCAGACTGAAAATCACGTTAGTATCTACATTTGCTGTCTCGTACCCATGGGACGTGATAAGATGTATACATCCCATCTTGAGAGGGTTGAAACTCACCTGGTTCACACTCAAAGTAGCATAATTTCCCAACACAGAAGTCATATTCGCCAAAAACAACCAACTATACTTACTCCCGCTCACAGACGCAGTTTGATTTGAAAAGATAGTACCGCCCCCCTTCTCGGCCACAAAAGCCCAAATCAGAATCGCGATCCAGGCAATTGGCACAAGAATCGATTTGACAGAAAACAACCACCGCAACTTGTTCGGGTGTAGACACAAGAAGGGAAATTGCACAACCCAGAAGATAAAGTATGCTACCATTCCATTGGTAGTTATGCCTTGATCAACCGGAATCCCATTGTGCATGGTCAGGTAGCTGGGCCAAATGGCGCCTAGCATCACGCGCACCGCGTTTCCGCCATTGATATTCTGGATAGCAAACCAGAACACAGCGAGAATCACCCGCGAGATGATTGGGATGTAGGAGCCCCAGAAACCCCAGCTCGCGCGGGCGATTACCGGGAAGGGGATGTGGTATCTTGCGCCGACTGTGCCATTTCCTGCTATGACGAAGGAGATGATGAAGAAGGAGATTGCGACGATTGTGAGGGCTTCTTTGTAGGTCAGGCCGACTGCTATGATGCTGCTGGCAAATTCCCAGGTTGCGGCGTTAAAAGCGTCGGAGATCCAGTATGCTAAGCATTGAGGTAAGCTTGGATGTATGAAGTGGGGAGAGGTCAGGTGAGGTAGATTACCGATTATACTCGCTACGCCCCATTTGCGTCCTAGTAAAGGGATAGGATCGAGATCACGATTTGTCCATCGGGCATTGCCTGCTGCGAAGGCTGATTCTGCCTGTGAAACCCTCAATCGGGGTCTTGAGAAGCGCATCTCTATAGAAGTGGAGCAGCGCGGATCGGGTCCACGGAAAAGTGTATCGCAGGAAGAAGATGCAGATGGAAGCGCTCGATGAACCACAGTTGGAATGTCAAATTGGAAATCAAAACAAGGGATTATTTAAAGTCACACAATCCACCTTTCCCCGCAGATAAATACAGCACATCTCAATCTCAATGACGCCGTGATAAGCATGATAAGCCTGATAAGAGCAACGAATAGGATCATGCAGCACATGCGCAATAGTCCCTTCCATGATTGCCGATCTAATCAATGAATCTCCGTAGATTGCATCGCTTCGCATCGTATTTAAGGTTCAAGTTTCATGCTCACTCTTCGCCCGGGAGCCGTACATCTTCCCACCCACGCCCATCTCCAACACTACTCTCATACCGGCCAATTCCCTTCCACTCCTCGACGTCCATCCACCCAATCTGCTGCACGTCCCCAAATCCGCCAATCCAATAAACGGCCGTCACGACCATCCGCGCCCAGAAACTCGAATGTGGAGACCCCGCTGCACCGGGTAGCCATACCCTAGCATCAGGATGCGTATCAAGGAAACATTCTTCCAGCTCGGCCGCACCTGAACCCTCAAGCTCAGACAGTTCTAGCGTATCCAGATACCCGAAGAGCGTGACGCGAGGCAGCGCGGCAGCACTAAGTGGTAATCCAGGATAAACGGGCCCAGCCTGGTCAAGGTGATCCCACCAGTCCAACTCGAGAGAGAAGTTCTTGGAGTCGGCGCCGATGTTCTTGAATGTGGTCGCAACACGGAGCGCTAGAATGGTGGGATCACCGTTGTCACTGTTGCTAAGGCTGTCTGGGAGAGCGGTGTTGCAGTCTGAGACGTATTCGCGGAGTCCTATGGGTAGTCCGGCGACATCTTGAGGAGAGCGGGAGGATGGTGGCGGTGGGTTAGGGAATATGGTTGAGATTACGCCTGAGGATGACTTTGCCAGGAGGCGGCGGGCCATCAGGGTTGATGTGAACCAGCTTGGGCGGGTGAATGTTCCTGCGTCTATTTCTCCCGCGGGGTTGAGGGTGGGTGCTTCATCCTGGAGTATGGCTTGGTTTACAGGGATGGCGGATGCTTGCGTGAGGGGGACGGTGAAGAGGGCTAACAGCCCGAGGATGCGTGCGACCATAGTGAGCTTGGTGTAATTACTAGATCTGAAACTTGAAACGGCAAGTTGGAGAGGGTTAGTTCGTAAGTCGAGGTCACAGAGGGGAGTGCGGAGAAACCGGATCGGCGGAGTTCAGTGTCGCCTGATCTTATCTGATCGCACTCGTAGGAGTCCCACTTCATCCACATTCAAGACTGCTCAAGTGGATCAAGAGATGAATTACAAGCTTTATATAATGAGATAGCCCTTAAAAAGGGGGAATACTGAAAGTAAATAAAATAGATGTTCCTGTATGGATTAAGTAGATATTTTTTTCCGGCAGCCGATCAAAGAATTCAACCTCGTATATACCTTCACTCTCGCACTCCGGCCTTAGGATAGCCCGTGGTTTAAGAGTAAAAGTGGTTTAAGAGTAAACCGTTGGAAAAGATCCATCGACCTAGAGCTAAGCCCATATTAGCGTCGTATGATGCTCGTGTTCTACAGAACCGTCGGGTAATTTCGGAGCCGACTTCGGCCTCCGCCAAGACTCTACGGTGAACACATACGAGGAAAAAATCTCATCAAGAACTGTACGATTGGCTATCCGTAGATGCGATACTTTCCAAGCCGGACGCCTCAACTCTCCCAATATCCCATGGCGCCATCGCAGTGGGAAGGAAGACGTAGTACAGGACCCGGCCTCGACTCCTCCCCAAGAAACACAGGAGTTAATGTAAATAGATAAATAAGAGAAAACCGTCCCATGCCCACCACACTCCATGCGTAACAAAAAAAAGAATCAAAGAGAAAGACGAGATGACGTGGGGAAACCAACGTCCATCGTACACTGAAACAACTAGTTTCTCACAGAGGACGACCGATTTGCCCAGGAGGAGTGGGTGGGAAGGGGTATGTACAGCCCGGGGATCGGTCGCCTCGGAGGGGGAATAATCATTCAGGACATAGAAATGACAGGGCTTTTTCGAGCTTTTTGTAGACCTCATATAACAAGGAAAAAGTGAAATCCGAGCCGATCAGTTCAGGTAGTTTGCGCGTATGCTCGGGTTCAACGCGACTTTGCGCGCTTCACTGCCGCAGCAGGCCCGTTTCATGCCAGCCGGGCCGGAGAGTGAGGATCCATCCCCGACCATAAATGAACTGGCTAGGTGTCCATCGGGTAGGACCGAGGAGTGACCTGAGCCCGCGTCGATCAGATGGCGAACATGATTCTGGAGAAGCATATCGTCAGATCCGGTACGACCGCGTTTGCGGCACTGCCGCCGTTCAGGCGTAGCACCAGACAGTTCACACAGGCTTTGAGCAGCTTCGCTCAGGCTGGTGTCCAGCGAGTAACTGGAGAGATCTGGAGCAGAGCCAGAGGCACCCGGATAAGAATCAGGAGAGCTGTTGTAAAGATCCACTAGGGAGCTTTCGTCAATGGGAGAAGCAATAGCCAGGGTCTTGCGATTCTCCTTCAGAGAGTTGTTAGTGCACCGCATAGTAGCCTTGACTGCCAGCCGAGCTGGAGCGGGTGCTCCCGCTCCAGATGCATTCGACGAGACGGACGAAGACCGCGAAGAACGAGAGGACAAGGTCGACACGTCGGACACCATCGAGTCCGGAGACGAAGCCGATGATGTCGACCGAGCCAGAGAGGATCTCCGGACCACAGCCGGGTATCCATCGTACGAGTGAGTCCGAGGGTAGAACGAGAGAGGCGGGCGCTGATCGAGTGTCGAGCGCGCCAAACCCAAGTTCTGTACCTGAGACATCGCAGTACCGATGGAGGGGCGGCGGGGGCATGCAGCATTACTCGCAGCAGGAGTGAGAGCTACATGCGACTGAGGAGTCATCTGGGGTGTCGGGAGCATAACAGGACGCGGGAGCGTCGGCATAGGCAAACCAGTATAGTCGATCCGCGGAGTAGGCTCCAACGTCCGAGGCGGATTCCGGCAAGTAGGCATCTGTTCGCGTGGGGGCGTATGGAGGTACTCATTACCGGGCACACTGCGTGGGGACGGGGAGTCCGACAAAGCCCCCAAATCCATACCGCCCATAGCTGAGACCGGGGTCATCGGCTGCTCCGGCTCGATCGTCTCTAACTCGGGGGTCAACCGTGGGAGGACGGTACGCCAGCACTGGCCCTCACTAGCGGGAGGACCACCAGCACCGGGAGTCAGCTTGAGAACAAGGTCAGTCCAGCGCTGGAACATAGCCTCAGAGATATGCAAACGCCAACCGACCGCCTGCAGAAACATCAACTCATTCTGATTGATTTCCAGCGTGTTCAGGCCCGAGATCTTGCTCCAGGCCCGGGCAGAGTAGTTACGGTCTTGCAAATACTTCGAGGCCAAGATCAGCGCCGCCAAAAACATACGACGACCGCACTGCATGGCCCGCATCATCGACTGATCACGGGGCTGTTCCTTTGTGAAGTCATGGGCAGGCACATGCGGCTTAATCTTAATTAGATAGTAAAGTGCCACCTGCAAAGTGCTGTAGCTAGTACGCGAGCGACGGAGCGTTTCTTGGATAAACGTCCGCAAGGGAAGAACCCCTTTTGAACCGGTCGCGGCATCACTGCGGGATGCTGCGGCCGACAACGGCCAGATGTTCTCAACAATCTGGGATGCCGTATCTTTTGGTTTGGTCTTAGCCGGGGGTGGACTAAGTAAAGAAGGAGTGTTATGTATGACTCACCGACGAGGTTATCGACAAAATTCACTTTTCGCTCGGACTGGCGGAGCAGGCAGGGTGGCGGACGAGCGCCGGGACCACTGGTCGCGACACTGTTAGTGCGCCGAGGGTGCATACGCAACTCGGGTGGCACGGCGGCATCTTTAGTAGGAACGACCTTTCCAAAGGCACGAGAGCCTCCCGAAGTTCTCCCCAACTGAGCCTCATCATTTTCCCAAATCACATCGACCGGGTTTGTGGTGGTGGAAGAGACGGAACTCTGGGCATCAAGCGAGAAGACGGATGAGGAGGAAGAAGAGGCGGAGGTGGAGATCGAAGAGGCGTAAGGGTGAGCGTGAGGTTTTGAGCTAGGGTTTGATAGCAAACCCAAGACGTCCATCCCCGACATATCCGGCGGTGCGCAAGGATTCATGGAGACTGCGGGCAGTCTGGAGTTCAGGTACACCGGAGGGAAGAAGGATGATCCGATTTTTCAATATAGACCGTTAAGCAGGGAACCGGGAACGAAGGCCGAGGAGACAAGAGCCGTCTTTTGGAAGGGAAGGCGACGGCAAAGCCTAAAAGTGTAGAAGCGCCAGAGTTGATGGGCGGAAGTAATAAGAGATTATATCCAACGGAAAAGAGTCACCGTTGGAGAGAAAGAGTCACGTAGAATAAAGTGGCAAAACCAAAAAAAAAAAGGACAAGATGACACGAATATAGTCACGATCTAACCAGTGTTGAGGCTGAATGATATACCCCAAAGATTATAAGCTGAAGTCGAAATCTAGACGGAGACGAAACCAGCGGAGAAGATATCGGTAGCAGCAACACGGTCGATCGGGACGGAGGACGCAGTATACATTTTGAACGAAACAGATCAGAAAGGAAAAGGAAGGCACCCAACTAAACCATGAACAGGCACGGAGTGGTTCAAGGCAGTCGTGGCGACTAGGCAGTAGAGAGTGGTTGGGGGCGGGATAGGAAGAGTCAGGTACGGAGGGAGTCTCGGGATTCGGAGAGGAGAGAGAGAGAGAGTGGAGAGCAGATGACAAAGTGGCGGGGGAAAAGGAAAGGAGTCAGAGAGAGAGTTGGGGGGAAAAGAGATTTTAGGCTCTCACAAAGTACTATGACTCCTAAAGGGGGGGGAAGAGAAAAGATCGAGTGTGACTAAGAGGTTTGTGGCGAGAGTATTCGGGTGGCGTGAAGGAGAAAAGAGGCGCACGCAACGTGAGTCACTATGCCTAAGTCAACTACGGTGTTCTATTCTATATCGCCACTGATCGAACCATGCACCTGATACAATATCTAATATCGATTCTAACACCGTCATGCAAATTGTACAGTCTAAAGTCCTCCCCGGTGCTCGGCTTGAGTCATAAAAAGACCTTGCCACGCTGTTCTCGCCGTTCCCCCCTAGCCAATAATATCATCCCAAATGGCTGGGTCACCCCCACTTGCTTCCCGATTAGCCTCGTTTTCATTGGCGCCATCTCCGATCGGCATTGCTCCTTGGGGAAACCTGCAGTCTGGGGAGCCCAAAGGTTGATGGGCTTATGCCTAATTATTCAAATCCGCAGACATACGGGCAAAGTACAACGACTGGTCCATATCTCTATTATTAGCGGTGTTATGCCGAAGATAAAATCCAAATGCAAGAGAAACCAAAAATCCCTGCAGGTCATGCACTGCCGTCATCATGGCGGAGTCTGTGGCCCGGGGTCTCGGTGGCTATACCGGGCGCTTATTCATTGAATCATGTCCATATTTAGTGGGATCCACCTGCGTACATCGTATTGGGTTCTCGGACGCCCCATTCTTGGACTATCTTGACGTCGAAATCAAAAGAATACTCATGATAGTACTGGGATTTATGTTTTGACAACAGTATTATTTCATGATAAACCATCACTGAGACTGGTGATACTGGTAGATAAGTGATCGTCCTACGGGCAAAGATATGGTCCCGAACACCCGAGCCCTGGTCGGCTATCCAGATAACCTATCAGGGAAACCACATGACCTCCCTTGACTCATACCCCTTACCATGGATTCTATCATCATCAACTTCCATCTACAAGCTCTGGATGGAAGCACTCCCGCACAAACTAACCTCCTCAGAGCCCTCGGTGAGCAACTCCACCTCTGTTGCCTGGGTCAGCTGCCTAGATATATCGGATATGTTCCCTATGCAAAGTACACACATAGAAAGCTTGGACCACAATGTACTCGTATTATAATGAAACAAACCTAACTCGCACCACCCCTCCATGTCATCCAATCCACATACGTCCTCCGCGACCGATGGCTGTTCATGTGTCCACTCCGGAACCCATAGTCTGACTGGCCCTGCACCGCCTTGATTACCTGCTGCTTCCAACCCCACGCTCTACAAAGCTAATCACCGGCATATTACGAAGTAAAGAAACTCGGGAGTAGATTGGCTGACATTCCAAGGATAACGACGTATTTGCCCAAGTAGGAACAAAGGGAAATGGACATCATGTGACGTCTTTGTGGAGAGGTCAACGCACGCGGTTGCCCGATTACCATGATCTGCACCTTCGTTCTTGGGAAGGCAAGCATGATCTTCTGGAGTCGCTCTGCGTGTAACGCTATTGCATCATGCCGGGCGTTTAGTTTGTTGAGGCGAGTTTGAGTTTGTGGTCCATTTGACTTAGAGCGCTCTGTAGACCTCGAAAATCAAAATCTTAACCAAATGTGGTTCTGGAATCAATCACTGCCGAGCTCGAACTTGTTTTATTGCTCTCCAGCTTAAGGTTGCGTCCCTTTTCAATAAAAATTTGCATGGCTCTAAGCCAAGTTGGATATAGTGCAGTTCAGCCTGGCCAAATATATTGTGAGTATGATACACATCACATGACGGACTGGGGACATAAGTTACTTGAAAAACTATGACGAGCTCAGCTCATAAGAGCCTTTGTCCTGGCATACATAGTGCCACGCAGGAGACTCATCCTAACTTTTCATGAAGCTGTTGGATGTTTGCATTATGCGGAATATCTAACCATCTATTCGAATTTGGTACATTCTACATACCGGCTATCACCGCTTGCTAGATTATTGGTGTCTACGGGGCTGACAAGAAACAATCGGATGCCTAAATAAATATGTACGATACTGTAAATATATTTTTGACTCGTAGAGAAGCTCCTAGCGCCAGCAGTGTTGCAGCCGTGGGGGGCGGGGCAACATCGCCCGATTGCTACGCTCCTAATCTCATAATTTTAGTTCCAGGGCAAAGTCAAAGGGTTTCAATATCGGATGTCTCAGTATGTCAGGCCTAGAGATCATCGGTAGGACTCCGCGGTGATCTCTCTTCTTGATGCGCAGATCAAGATCTACGATAGTGCCCGGCATGACATCAAGGAATCTGCAACGTTCGAAGTCGTTCGACTCCGGCTTCCAGTCCTTCTCTATACCCTTGAATAATGTAAAGAGAAAATCGAAGTCAGGCAAGATGCATTTCCTTGAGAGGTCTGTGAGGCTTTGGAAAGCACCCTAGACGGTTGTGACGCAAAAGCATCAATTTGAGAGCCTCCTTCGAGAGGATCATTCCTAACGAAAATGATGCCCTACGACTCAAATCACTGCCAATCGTCTCCAGAAACTACAATCCGTCGCTTCGCTAGGCCGAGTAACGAAGGAGAGGCCACTTAGTTTTTCTTTTTCTTTTTCTTCTTCTTTTTTTTTTTTTTTTTGGCGCGGTGGAGTTACGGAGTAGAAAATGTGTTTACACTGGAATAATGATGATATGACCAGTCCATCACTTTCTTTGCCCAGGTACCAACTCCCTTTCCGATATCTTCCAAATAATAATTTATCTAATCCTTAAGACCTTGAGTCGAACTTGGCTCAGGGTCAAGTAAACAGGTCGTCATGCCCTTCGCACTAAGTGAGAATAATAACTAGGCTCCAAGCACCTGGTGTGGGCTTGGCCTGTTCGACTTATAGCTGGACATAAGTTCCATAGCTTTGCGACATGAAGATATAGTAAAGAGCTTGAGTCACCCAGGTAATGAACCTTGGAATTACATACTGATCTGGAAGCACTATAATCTTGCTCCAAGGTTGCCGGAAGAAAGCGTCAGGTATCAAGACATCCAGTAGTCAAATTCGGGCCATGTCGAGAATTGCCTCAAGAACCTGCTGCTAGGGTTTCTACCTTGCTCAAATCGTGACAAAACACCAGTCAAGAGCCTTTGAAAGATCAATGCTTGATCTCAGATCTCGCTCAGGAGAGGGGTAGTGGTGTGTATACACCGAATATCCTCCAAAAGACTTGCTCCGAGGGGGTCCTCCATGCCCATGTTTAAACAGAAGCTGCTCAATTGAAATACAATCGAAAGCCCCCAAATGACTACAGATAAACTTCCAAAGTCAGAACAAGAAATGCAAGTGCAAAGAAACTTCCTTCGATCGGGTATATATGAAATCCAAGCCAAGGCCCATGTACAAGAAAAGCTAATAACTAAAAAAAAACCCGAGAAACAGACACCAGCCCTCACAGATAATCAATCTTTGAAAGCACCATATCACCGCGAAGAACGAGTTCCCCTGGCACCAGGCCCCCCGCTCGCATGCGAAGCATCATGCACAACACAAAGCAAATATTTGCGATCCGGTACAACGACAATCTCATGCTTCCGCGTGCGCATACGCAAAAGCTTTACCTCCTCATCTTCCTCGCGATCTGTATTCTCGTCTCGATCCTCCTCGCGCGGTGTGCGAGATCCGTTCCCGTAATTAGATTCACCGTCTAGAGCTGGTGTAGAGGTAGAGGGGGGGAGAACATCCGAGGACTGAGGGGTAGGGTTTGAGAGCGAGACGCCCAATGCGGAGGCGCTTGAGACGAAGGCGAAGATGTGCGCGGCTAGGGCCTCTGCTTGCGAGACTTGGGGTATTTGTGCTGGGACGGGAGCGGGGTCTGTGTCGGAGGGGGGTGTGGTTTGTTCGCTGGTTGTAGGTGCTGGACGTGAGGTGGGTTCTTGGGGGGCGAGCTGGCCGGTTCTTTGGATGATTGAGCCGTCTTTGCGGGAGAGGATCAGGGTCGATTGTACCCCTGGGCGGGAGGTGAGGTGGGAGAGCAATGCAGTGACGTGCTGGGGCACCTGCTGTGTGCGCTATTTAGTGTTAGTTGGCTGTTTACTCTCCGTAGGGTTTTAGAACAACTTACTGGTGGGTTGGCCATTGCTGGTTCCAATCTGCGGGGAAGTCGGGATGTGAAAGGAGGTGAGTTTTTTTGGAGGTGATTAAGGTGACGCGGCAATTCTCATGGCTCAGATCTCAGATTTACTTGTCATCTGCAGCCTGCTAGCAAGATCAATGTCTTTGTGGTGGATTAATCTCCACTCGAAACTTGTTCTGCTGTCGAGGAAGCTCTGAGCAGGACCAAAACAGAGATGACTAAGCGCATCACATGGCTGAGACTGCCCTACGATTTACAATATTATATAGTCAAGGGTAGTGTTGAGAAGGTCAAAATTCACTCAATTATAGAGAATAGGTGAGACTTGAATAGATACAAGCATTGGGTATGAAGCATAGAAGAGAGAAGTTGGTATCGTCGAAAATAAATAGAACCAAACATGGAAAAGTATATCAAGGAAAGACAATGATCGTCACGGCTTGGAAAAGAAGGATCATGGTGAGTCGTCAAAAAGATAAGTCTTGCAAGTAGAAACAGAAGCGTCAAGACAAAAATGTAAGCAAGGGTTAATCAAGATAAATATGTATATCATCAACGATTTCGGGCCATGGAGCGAGCTCCACTGAAACTCGACTTGTCAGACAACCAGCCGGACTCAATATCCTCAAGCATGTTGTCCAGCTGGCGAGTATTTGCCCGGGCATCACGGACAGACCCAGGTGTCTCGAACCCACTGAGATCACTGCTCCGCGAAGAGCTCATCCAACTATCAGGACGAGATGCGAACCGTCTTTCTTGGTAAGGATTTCCGAGACCTCCGGAGGGGAAAGCAGGAGGCATGGCAGATTCGTGCAGGTCCAGATTTGGTTTGACTCCAGCATTGAGGGCTGCCATGAGAGCCGCTTGAAGAACCTGGTTTTGACGTTCGAGATTGGCGATCCGGTCCTCCAGATAAGGATCGTGGGATGGCGCCGGTGCACGATGGGCACTCTGCGAGTGACGGGACCGGGAAGTGGCCTGAGAATATTGTGATTGAGGAGACATAGAGGGCTCGTAGCTATGACTGTTGCTATGACCCTGTGGTGTCAAAGGTCTCATTGAGTGTTGATAACGTGGCCGGCTGTGGGTAGGTCTGGCGTCAAGCGTCTCATAGCCGCGTCGCATTGGATGGGCGCGTGATTTGTGCTGCTCAGAGACGCGGTGTGAACGGTTCTTACCGCCACGAGGACCGAAGCCCTCATCATCAGAAGATGGGAGTGGTGATTCGGCTCGGCTAGGTTGCTCATTTGATTCAGGAATGCTCTCACGAGGGAGGCTGCTTCGAGAACTGTTGCTGCGTGAGAGCATCAAGCTTTGGTGATGGTGAGAAGGACCCATCGTATCCATACTTCGCGAGGTCACGGGCCTAGGTTCAACGGGCGCATTATAGTTGCGGTGAGCTGATCGCTCTGCAGCTCGCTGCGCGGGCGGATCCAATGGGAGAGCCGCGGAGGGGGGAGGAGAGGGAAGACCGAAAGGAAGGTTGTTTCGGTCAACACGGGAATTAATCTGAAGACCTTTTAGCGCAGATTTTCTGGCATGGGACTTTGTAGGTACCGATTGCCCCAACAAAGGAGAATCAGCCAAAGGCTGATCACAGGCAGGTTGCTCGTCACTGCCGTCCGAAGGACTTTCAGGAAGGTCTCGCATGGGTGGAACATGGACACTTAAAGAGCGCCGTCTTGGAGTGTGCTGCTCCGGTGATGCCGACTTAGAACTCTCTGGAGTTGTTTCTGGTGACTTGACATGCTCCAATACCTCTTCAGCGCGGTGACCAAGCGTAGTAGCGGCGCGGACTTCTGACTCGCGAGGTTCCTCAGCGATAGGAGATGGCTGGGAGTGCTGCATTTCGGATAGTTTGGAGCCCGATCGAACTGTTCGCACCGGGGTTCTTGGGTCCGTAGGAGGGGCAAGTGTATTAGCTTTAGGGATCGATGGCAAGGGCCTCGTTGGTGCTGGAAGAGGGAACGCCTGAAGGGTTCCCATGGCTAGTGAAGGAGGACGTGGCTTTCTCTGACCCTGAGCCTGAGCAGAAACGGCCCGAGGCTTTTTGACGATTACAGGGGAGTCAGTGGGAACAGCTGCACCCAGAGCGCCAGAACACACTGGATCTTCTGTACCCTTTGCAGTTTTTGTTGCGTGTACTTTTGTCGACTGTCGTGGCTTTTCTGGCACTGCTTCTGTCTCGACTGCCTGAGATTTGGCTTGCGGTGGAGGTGGCGGAGCCGTTTTGGTAGTAGTATGGAATCGAGGCGCCGATGAAATTCGCAAAGCGTTTTTGCTGGACATGCGTGGAGGTGCAACATCGGGGAAAAGCTTCAATGAGGGTGGCGAAGGGTTGCCAGATGGATTAGGAGGAGGATGGTCTGGTACTTGAGGCTGCTCTGCGATTTGGTCTTGCTTTGGCTCACTCTGAACAGGCTCCGAGGAATTGATGGCCTGTACCCCTGTGGATTGATTGCCGGTCGATAAAGATACGGGCCGAGGGTTTCGGTCTGTACCTCCTGTGCCCATACTGAGAGCGCTTGGCGGCCATGGCGGATCACAATTTCTTGATCCACTTCCTTCCGTCTCGGTCATGGAAATTGATGATGGCATCGGTTGATCAATGCTTCGTAGACAAGCTTCCGAAGAGGCCCTTGGGAGCGGCAGTGTAGATGTTTGTTGGGAACCAAGGACCTGGTCATTGCGAGGCGCAGGCGTGCCAGAATTGGTTTGCTGATAGGGTGGCGGGGACGCATCATCAAACTCCGAGAGTGAAACAGCGGCATCGAGCATGGAGCCAAAGTCATCCAAATCCAAAGAGGCCAAGCGACGTCTGGGGTCTAGTGACCCGGTATTGCTCTCTGTCCTGGTCAGCCATGGCCGACCAATAGCTTCAACGTCCTGCTTCTTCGATCTGGAAAAAGTCCGCTCCAGGCTGCTCTTCGGTCGATCTAGGCTAGTTTTCGATCGATCCATACTATTCTTTGGTCGATCAAGAGCACTTTTGGGTTTGGAAGGAGACATGAGATAGCCCTCTCGGTGTAAAGCCTCGATTTGTCTTTGATTCTCGTCGGCCTTAGATCTCGGTGCTGATTCTTTGGGTTCTTTCTTCTGGCGAGCAAACTGCAACAATCGCCGGTGGAAAGGCTTGATCTCCTCTTTAGTCAATTCAATGGTCGGCTCCTTCGGTTCCGGGGATAGGACGGCGGGAAGCGCCGTTGTGGAATCGGGAGAGCCAATTGGCGGTATACTTGGGGCTGGCATATTCTGGGTTTGAAAAAAGCGCACTAGATCTGACAAGCTTTCGTTGCGGGGCGCTCTCTCGACCCCTCCTGCCGAGCGGGCTTGAGGTCGTGGGCCACTTCCCCCGCGAGGTCGGGTCAAGTCCGGGGAGCTAGTCACTGTAGACGGCATACTTGAATGCCTGCGCTTGGAGCGAGGATCGGGCCGACAAGTCGGAACGATAGGACTGGGTGCAACTGCACTTTCATATACAACATGCATACGGGCATCAATTGACCAGCTTTGAAATCCGACGGGTCACGAGAGTCATAAGGGGTTCTGCAGAGGAGCTGGTGTCACAAGACCGCTTTCCGAGTCAGAAGATACTCGAGACCTTCCCGGAGAGACGGGCTTACCTATTCGAGAGAAATTGAAAAGGAGGTGGTGGCTGGGGAATGATATATAGGCGACAGTGCATAGAAAAATGACAGGTACTATGTACAAAAAGCCACACCGATCTATACGATGATTGGAAGGGTGGCGTTTGGAATCAATAAGAACGAAGAAAATGCATTGGAGCAAGACCAGGCGAAACGAGGCAACCGGATGGGAGGAGCCGGGGGTTTAATAGCACGCCCTTTTAAATAGAGTTGAGCTGTCTTCTCCTTTAGAGGAGGGGGTGTCCCAGGAATCGACGATCAAGATGCATGAATAGATTGGGCCCGCTCTCGGAAAGCGGATAGCCTGTAAAAAGGCCACAGTCGAAGCTAAAATCATTAGTCCCTCGAAAGGGGAACCATGATATCTGGTGCAACCGTACGGGTGGGTCGACAATATGACACAGCAGCTAGCGGGATTGACAAACTATTCTTTTCTCGCCTGGACCTATCACTAGTTCCCGAGGGTTGATTGGGGCTGCATCGAGGAACGCCGCAGCACAATCCCTCTGTTGCGCGTTGTGCGACCATTACCGCATGGCTCTGGGGAACACAGGAACCTCTTGGGTTTGCAGGTCGTCCCCATGCCCTTGTGGGAATGCACACGTAAGGGGCGCCTGACCCAGCTTCGTGAACTAGTCCCTCTCTATTTTCAATTTCTTGAAAGTGCAAAGTATAACCGACGTCAGGATGTGAGGTATCAGCTTTCCGGGTGTTCGCACCGCGCAGATCATGTTCAGGGATCCCCGGGACGGGTAGAGACAGACGATCGCAAAGATACACAGGCTGGACGAGAAAAGTCCCTTTCCATTCTGGCTTTGTTCGTCTTAGTGTTGTTGCATAGATAAGTGGGTGAAGTGGATGATGAAGTGGATCCTGGGCGAGTTGTGTTGAGGGGAAAGGAAGGTTTGCTCATATGCAAACTATCGCTTTTCCCCGATCCACCGCCCTTGCAGCTTTTTCTGATCTACCACATCGTACCCTTCCTTAATTTATTTAATATATACAGCAGTATTACCTTGATTCTCTAGACTACCTGGAGGATGCTTTTTTGATTTGTATTTGTGGAAAGATGTCGCATGGCATTGCGCAACCCCAGCTGCAAAACAAAACATTGGCAACACGAAGCAAAGAAAAAGCATCAAAAAAGGAATATTCAATATAGCAACGCCACAAGTTCTCAGAAAGAAGGAAAGAAAGAATCACTTTGGAGTAAGATAACCTGGAGCCTGGTATAAGAACAAGGAAACAAACTTCTCGTGCAAGACACAATCGATGTGTCAATCGTCGGTCTCCACTCTCCTGTCATCCACAGTCCGTGTGCCTATCCCACACGGGTGAACAACGTTTTCCGAAGTTAGCGGAACTTCAGCTGGTGGATCTACGGACCATTTACGATAGAATAGATCATAGTGGGGACAGAACTCTTTTTATGGTTATATCTCCGATGCTCCAGGTGGGAGCCATGTTACGTACAGTATAATAATAACATCTATTTCGACCATGAATGTCAAGCGCTTGAGAGGCGTCTAGGCGTTTGCTTGATTGGCTTGGGGGATAGAGGCATGGTGACATTAATCTCCGGAACCTTGTGGACATAAAGAACAGAACAGAGAGGGAATGTTGAAGTGGGAAAAGGCGGGACACGCATCTTACTTGGGTCGCGGCTTGGGGCGAATGAATGGGTCCACTTCTTTCTTCTTGCGCATCATTGGGGGACGAGGCTTAGGTTGACCAATGTTGGGGTTCTAGATGAATCGAGATAATATATTAGTTGACTGGTCGATCTGCAATGTCAAACAGAGTTGAACTTACTGTCGTGGCTTTCGGTCCCGATGGAGCTGTTGGTGGGGGCTTGTCTATGCTCGGGTAAGCAGGCCCATCTCGCGATGGCTTGATGAGGCCCTTGAGGCATGTCAGTGCCGGAACATAAACAAAACACAATGAATACGAAAATAGCAAGGTTACTGCAACTTACAGGAGGCGCAGCAGGTGCTCGCGGGCCCTTAGGTGCGTTTGCTGGCGGTTTGTTTTCTCGTGGGCCTTTGGGAGCCTTCGATGGTGGTTTGTTTTCCGTGCGGGGACGGGATGCCTTGGGGCCCTCTGCAACCGAAGTATCGGGACGCTTTCGTTTGCCTCCAGGATTCTCAACCGGTCGGCCAGTAGTATTAGTTGCCTGAATAACAGGTACTTTGCGATCATGGTCGCCAAGTTGTGATTGGCGTCGACGCTCAGCCAGCTGTTTTTGCGCTTCCTTGAATTCATTTTCTTCGTGCTGGATACGCTGCTTCTTCTGCTTGGAGATGGAACGTGGGGCCTGGCAATTGAAAATCCTGTGGCCGAACTCACCACACTCGATACAGCGCACAGTGGTACAGGACATCTTGGTGTGGCCGTCTTTTTTGCATCGGAAGCATTGTCCACGAGCCGTAGCCTTAGCTTCATCGTTGTCGCAATTATGGGTGAAATGATCGCCACTGCCACAAAGTCCACACATTTTGGACTTATCCAAGCCCGAATGTCCACCGGAGGGCCCCTCAGGGAGGGGAATGGGGGGAGTACCCCGTGCCGAGGCCGACACCGAGACCTCCCGCGAATCAAGGCCAATTGAGGCCGAGGACGGACGAGAGATAGAAGGCGTCGAAATGCCGGATTCTGCAGGGGTTTGCTGGGCTTCATCGGGCTCGGCTTCATCGACTTCTTTCATTTTAACTTCCTTGTAGCCAGTAAATTGCGGCTTGTCCAGGAGACGAACAATGTTGCCTTCGGTGTAGACACTGCGACTGCGTGCATCTTTGATGAGACCATTCCAGAACTCGCCCTGCTCCAAAGATCGGGAGTTACCCAGAACCCATAGGGAGGTTTTGGCACGGGTAAGACCGACGTTCATACGACGAATATCGGACAAGAAACCAATTCCCTTGCTGTTTGAGGCTCGGACACAAGAGAATATGATGATTTCGCTTTCACGTCCCTGGAAGGCATCGGTCGTGTTGAAGTCAACTTTCTTGAGAATGTCCTCGCCATATCGTTGGGCGAACTTGATTTTCATCTCTCTTAGCTGACCCTTGTAGGGTGTGATGATACCGATCTTACCATCAAAGTCGTATTCCTTTACATCAGTAATCAGACGGTTGTACAACTGCATAGCGACCTGCAACTCTGCGTAGTTGACCAGCGAGTGGCCTTTGACTTCACTAGAATGCATGCCCTGAACATCGAAAAATCGGTAGGGGGTGAGCAGTTCACTCTGATGCCAAGGGCGGGTGTTAAGCTTGGCCATGCTGGGGCCATCCTGAAGCTTGCCCTCGTAGAAAGTAGCACTCGGGAAGCGACTGATATCCGGATGCATACGATACTGAGTATCGAGCAGATGCACGTCGCGTGGATGGTTCTTCTGCATGCGAACAAACAAACTTTGCTCATACATGAATTTCGATGCCATCCGAGATAGGACAGTGGGTGGCAGTTGTTTTGGGTCACCAACAAGTACACACTTTTGGCAGCCGTATTTAAGAGGAATCAAGGCACTCAGTTCGATACACTGGGCTGCCTCATCAATAATGACGGTTTCAAACTCAACACTCATGGACTGGAAGATATCGTGACCAGAACCGCTGAGAGTGGCGCAAATTACGTGTGCACCGTTGATGATCTCCTGCTGGACGCGCTTTTTGTGTAAGTCGGCATTACGGACATTGGTATGAGCTTGATCGCGACCCTTGTCGATGGCCGCACTATCCTGGGCACGTTTCTTTTTCAACAACTCGAACTCACACTCGAGCTCCTCTGGGGCGGGCAGTCCCTTTGCTCTGCATTCATCTAGACGTGAACGAGCTTCTTTGAACGCAGTGTCGGTGTTTTTGTGCTCTTCGTACAGCTTTTTCATATCAACAGTACTATTAGAGGCGGGATCCTTGTTCAAGCGAGCAGCGACCAGTTCATCCAAAGTGACATCGAGCACATTAGTGTTGATCGCATCACCTCTTCCGAGACGAACGACAGAGATCTTCTCTTCGTGCCCATTGATTGTCTTGACTCCATTCTTCAAACGCATGACTAGTTCGTCCACAGCAGCGTTACTAGGCGCACAGACCAGGATTTTTCGGGAAGGCGGAGGTTTTGCAGCAGAGTAACCCGTTCCGATCGAGACACCCGTTTTTTCGAGACTGCTGGTCAAGAGACTACCAATGAGAGCAGTGATGGTTTTGGTTTTACCGGAACCGGGAGGTCCCTGGATGAGGGTGAATCCATCGTTGTCAATGGCCGATTTGATTGCCTTGGCTTGAGCAAGGTTGATTAAATAGTTGTTGATATAAGGTTCAAGCTTCGCCTCCGCGTAGGTGAGGATGGGGGAGGGTTTAGCCAGAACGATTTCCTCGCACAAATCGTAGTATTGGAGAGCACTCAGGGCGCCGAATTCACGCTCCACTGGAGTCAAAGAGGTAATTTTGGCGGCAAAGGCAGTTGATCCAGTTGCAAATGACGAGAGGTATTTATTCGTTCCAGGTCCTGGATTGGTACGATATGTGACTTCCTGTTTTCCAGATTTCCGGTTGACGCCGCAAACACGCGCGAGAAGATGGCCAGCATTGGGATCCCCGGTGGGATTTGACGAGCTCGAGAATAGAATTAGGTCGCCTTCGCCGAGGCTGAAATCCTTAACGGGGGGACCTAGGGGTTGTGTGCTGAATTCGATCCAAGAGTCGACGATCAATCGGGACATGACCTTAACCTCGAATGGCCGGGACGATCCTTCTTCCTTGGCTTGTTGAAATCCTTGCCAGGCTTCCAGGATCAACAACGGTTGAAATGTGCTCTGGTATTCATTGGGAGAGCGGTATTTGTTGGCAACATGGACATAGTCAATACCTTCAGCGTTTGGAGGTTGATCGCCGGTTGCAAAGTAATCCCAGGATAAAACGGCATGGTGCAGGAAAGCGAGATCCGGGGCTAGACGAGCGCGCATATCCTTCATGGAACGTTGACGTCGAACTTTCTTAACGGGCATCTGCTGGAGGGATTGCTTCTTGCTCTGTTCGTAAGCGGAGACAGCCTCTGGCTTCTTGGGTTTGGCGCCGAAAAGGGCTGTATCGAGTTCATCTTCACTCGAAGAATCTGTGTCAGAGCCGGACGAAACCATCATACTCTCTGCAGGAATTGCGTGATCTTTACCCATGATACCAATACCTTTCAAGCCTGAGCCTTGCTCAGCAGTTTGCCCCGCAACCCCATGAGGGAGATGTCCCTTGAGACGTGCCAGCTCAACTTGGTCACGCCGCTTTTTAGCCTCCTTTTCACGCTCACGCTTTTCACGGAAAGACAAGACATTGGTGACATCGTTTGCGGTGGAGCGTGTAGCTTGTGGCTGTGCACCAATTTTTGATACCGGCAAAGCTCGATGGTGGGCGGAAAGCCCCATCTTGGTGGAAGGTTCAGATTTGCGCTTTGCTTGAGTGGCACGGCGATCTTTATTCAATTCAACCGAACGTGAAAGTTCAAGAAGAGTTGAATCAGGAAGGTCATCGTAATCATCTTCGCTGGGGGTATGGGAGGGAGGAAGTGAATGATCAGAAGGTTTGGCAAAAGCAGTAATGGAGGACTGTTTCTTGAGTGATGCAGTTGAAGCAGTGACCACAGGCTTCTTTTGGTAGGCCTCTAGAGCCCTAACCAGCTCAGCCTTGTCACGCGGAGTGAGAATCGTTTTGATGGTAGCATTTACTGCAACACCCTCAATGAATCTCAACGCCGTCTCCGCAGTCACTTCCACATCTAGCGCACCCAGTCTCCGCAATAGCTTAGCTACGAGGCCCACTAGAGTATTAGCTAGGTACTCATCCTTTAATCTCAACCACTTCACCATAGCATTCATGGTACGATTGGGGGAGTTGAGAAAGTTCTCGGATACCGACTTCTGCTCGGATTCCGTTCCTCCGAGGGCACCCAAGAATACTCCATACTGATCGAACAGGAAATCTGCAAATTGGATCGTGTCACGACAGAACTCTAGCATGACAGACTTGTCATTACCTCGAAGATGCCAGGCCTCCGTCTCATCGAAGATCGTACTCAAGGCTGACCATAGGAATTCCCACAGCTTTTGCAATGAGAGAATCTCCTTACGATCGGTGAGGTTGCGCGTTCGAAGCATACCAGTCTGACTATTACACAGAATCTCTACAATATCGGTGCCTGTATGGAGCATTCGAGGGGCCGGGGCAAACGTCTTCATGTTGGAAATTCGACGGAACGACCAACTGAGGCCATACATCGTCGGTAAGAAGAAGGTGTCCAACAAATGAGAGATCGCATCGCGTCGAGCAGATTGACCGCTCACGTTCTTAATCAAGTCAACAGAGGCTTGGTATGTGTCCAGGTCAGCGGCGAATAATGCCGAGATCAGTGCGCTCGCCGTGTCTTGTACTGAGAACAACTGGTTGAGATGCTCCGGTGGGAAGTCGGAAAGACGTTCAATAATCTGACAGGACAGCTTTGTAAGATGCCCGTAGATCGTGTTGAAGTGCTGCTTCTCTGGGTTCCCTTCACCTTTCGAGGGCGTGGGGAATCCCTCCAGTCCCACCAACGGCAGGATTCCGAGAAGAGCAGATTGAGACAAAGATAGGTTGTTAGGGTGGAGGTGTCTGATGACTGCCTCCCAGATAGGTGCTGAGTATGTAGAAACTCCATGTGAGAGAGTGCCTTGTCTCAAAATGACCTCGTAGTCGCTCTTAAGTGACTGGCACTCGAGAGCCAAGGTATTACGAACAACGTCCATGCAGAGCGACATGATATTCTTCTGTAGCTGTGCCTCAATGGCAAATGTCGGAGGATTCAAAATGATATGAATGGTGTCTCCTAACACTTCCATAGTCTCTTTCAAGACCACTCGTGCAACCGACCCTCGTGATGCTTCATCATCTGTGAAAAATCGTAAAGTGTGCAAAAGGCTGAGTAGCCCAGAGTGGAAACAATGATAGCGGGCCAGGTTCGGAAACTTCGGGTCTTGGAAGCGTTTTAACAACGGCAAAGCCAAGGCACGACAAGCCGATGGTTGATGAGCGCCCTTCAAAGATGTCAAAAACGGACTGATCCATGACAAAATATCTTTCAGGACGGACTTGTCCCATGGCTCTCCCTCTTGAACCTGCATCAAAAAGCCACTGAATTGAGGATTATGAAAGGTCTGCTCAATTAGAGCCTGCGGTGATATGGTCTGCATAGCATCCCAGAAGTCGGTCGGGGCCTTTTCTAGGAAGATCTGCATGGTGTTAAGAAGGAATCGTAAGCCTGGAGTTGGAATGGCCAGGTGGTCGACAGAGAGACGACAAGGGTCAATATCCAAGGCCCGAAGCTGATGTGTGATTTGCTCCTTGTCCAATTTCCTTAAAATGAGCTGCATTCCACGCCATAGACGCTGAATGAGCGGCATCTGTGGAGGTTGTTGGGAGGCAGCCTGCAGTGCACCGAGTATCCCATCTCGAAGCGCCCATTCGAACTCCAATGTTGTTGGAGGTCGGCTGTAGCGAGTCCATGTTGAGATCGCCCAGAAGCTACGAAGCTGGTTTGAGTCAAATAAGAAGCGGGCGACAGCTGGGACATAATCGGAGATCTTCAATGTCCTTTTTGTCTGGATGAGCTTAAAAGGTTCATCAAAAAACTCTTGCAGAAGACTGTCACTGCGAAGCATGGCCTCGCAACTCAAAGTCTCGAAAATGGCTAGCAAGGACGCTCGATCCAAGGTATCGAGAGCAATCTGCTGCGGCGGGACGCTTTTAAGCTGTGTAGTAGCATTTGCCAAGTTCCGCGTAATACGCTTGATATCCCACTCATCAACCCGCTGAGCAAATGCCTCAATATCCTCTTCCTGGTAGTTCTCCTTGAGAAGTTCCATGAGCCAGATCTTCCCTGTGTAGTACTCCTTAATACAGAGATCACATTTCTCCAGGGAGTCGTCTAATCTGCTCAAAACCCAGGCTTGTAGATCCTCCACGCCGTCCGCATTATAGGCAAGTATACGCATGGAAGAAAGAAACTTCTCCTTGCGAGCCTTGGCCTCCACCACGAGGTCCTTCACCTTTTTCCCATCCTCGTTCACTTGGCTCAAATCATCATATCTTCCGTAGTCGTCTTCGTTTTGTCGTGGACATAGAAGGTGGGTCCCTTCCGGTAGGGCCTTAAGCTCTCTGTATTCAATCATATTGTGTTTAGCTGCTGCTGGTGCGTATGCAAGATCTGTCATGATCACTCACCCAATCGCATCCACAAACTCCATCACAACAACTTAAAACGTAGAGGCACTGATTTTGAATTCAAATATCTCCACACATTTCCGGGCAATCAACGAATGTCCTAGCACATCGACGCTGGAGAGCTAGGGGACTCCGAAGTGGGCCGTAGGGAAGAGGGAAGAGAACGAGACCGAAGTGTAAACGAATTTTTGTTGTGCGGGTGTTCAATATTTAATCGCCGTCACAGCAGTCATTGCATACTGTCAAAAACAACAGCAGGCAGGTCTCTCTATTACAGAGCGAGGGCAGCAGTAAGTTCTGAGCTCTCAGGTAGACTCTCGTAGGAAGTGACGTGGGAGAAGCGTTTTAAGTCGGGAGATTGTTCTGGCGAAATATGAATCAAGAAAAGCCAGTTGCAAATGTACGGGTCTATGCAGAAGAAATCCAGACCTCGGATGTCTCACGCAAATGCAAACGCCCGACAATGCAATCACTGTTAACGCATTGAAGTTCAGACAGAAAATCGTCAGTAACAAACGCGGGCAGTACAATCCAGCCATGTGATTGGTAGGACACGAAGGCGGTAAAAGTCTCGGATAGACGCGACGCGCTTCATTTATACTCCATCGGGATTTGTTAAATTACGCCGCAAAGTCTCTTTGAATGGACACTTTCTACTGTAGCTTTAAATGACGCAAAACAATTCATAGATATTCGTATAAGATGGTTTCCGCATGGCGTCGAATAGGATACATGAATATCATTCCCCGGCCCTGAACCTCCCAACGGAGGACAAAACAGGCCAAGTAGAGAACCCGAATGAGATAATTCCTGGAAATGGATCACATTAAGAGAAGACCATTAAATGCAGGCGTCGTGCAACAAGACAGGAACGCTTTTGTACAAAAGGCAAGTGTCACTATAAGACAGGTGAAAGCAGACAGGAAAGAAAATACAGCCACCAGAGATCGGGACTGTCATGGGTCGAAGTGAGTGGGAATGGAAACGAAAATCAGACAGAAAGCGAGAGAAACAAAGTATGCGCCGTGCCTCCAACCAAATGTATACCAAACGCCTGCTTTCTATCAGGGGAATATCAAGGCTGTGAATGGGATGGGAACAAAAAGAAATAAGGGGAAAAGGAAAACACCACGGCCTATAGCTCATGAATATGGATGTAAAGTCAACACGGCAAATCAAAGAGGACGCAAGCAAGGGAGTCGACGGACGCAAGCAAGGGAGTCGACTAAAGAACAATAAACAGAAAGTGAAGTCATCACGGACGGGTCGTCAGAGCAAGTCTATGCAAAATTCGCTGTGCCTTTTCAAAACATGTTATTATGTGCAGGAAGCTCTTCGGGGGTTTTGAAGGGATCTTGAGCGGCCTCGGTATGGCTAGACTCCATTCGGTGCAGCATGGCGGCGGATGTAAAGTCGTTGCTAGCCTCGAAGCTTTGTCGAACTCGCTCGAAGGAATGCCGAGTCCGCTCACGGGATCGTCGGACGTAGTCCACCGACTGAGGTCGAGGATTCTGGTCTAGGCTTGCGGTGTAGTTAGTGCCATTGCTCCCGTTTTGACTGCGAGGAATATGACCGTTCACATGGGTAGCGTGGGTAACTGACACCGTCGGTGGGTAGAAATTCCGGTCATCGTCTGGGATTTCCGGATCCTGCTTCATCGTAGGCTGGATGGGCTTGGCCAGTTCAGAGGAAGCCGCCGATCCATCGCTATTGGCAAGGACATCAGGTTTCATTGGCATGAAATCGTCAACATTCTCCAAATACTTGAATTTTCCCAGTGTGACCTGCTCGCGGATGATATCCACATCCAGAGGGAAAAACACCTTCTGGAAAGCGTTATAAGCGAAGCGGGGAAGCAGGGCGATCATAAGCGTCACGAGTAGTATAACCCAGAAACTGAATGCACCGTAAACCTCGGAGGCGCCCTTGTAGAACTGGCCAGAGGCAGTGAATGATGTATAGATACCGGTCCAGAAGAAGATCAACAGGCAGCTGATACCGTTGATTAAACAGGTAAACCAGTCCCATCGGTAGGTGTTCATCATGATGTAGATGTTGCTAGCGAGAACGGCACAGGTAGCCACTAAGATGCCCATGCGCGATCGATCCGCAATGTCGCGACCGGTTTCGTTGGCAAAGTTTGCGACCTGGTAGAGCATGTAGGGCATGAAAAAGCAGATCACCGACTGATACAATCCATCGGCCATATACAACCTGCAGCGAATTAGCAACCGTGAAGCAAGAAGCTGGATCAATCAAAACGTACCAAAACTTAAGCTGAGACCATTCCTTGCGCTCAATACCCCGCATGTAAAGCTGGGGCACGGCAAGAGACACTCTATCATCGACATCTTGATCGAAGATACCCATGAAGATAACTGGAAGAGAGGTGAAGGCCAAGTTGACCAGAACGATATAGGTGTAATCGAAGAGATAGGAACAGTCAAACTGGTTGTAGATGCAGTACCAGAAGAGCGCGAAGGTCCACACCAGGTTCTTGTAGAAGAAGTTGGCGGTACACTCTCCCAGGCGGCGGTAAGACCATCTTCCGTGAACGAGAAGCAGACGCTGAAGGAATCGGAATTGTCCAATGGCATAATCAGAGGACATGACAGCCTGTCGACCTTCTTCACCAGCAATACCGACACCTACGTCGGCTTCCTGGATCATAGCAACGTCGTTGGCACCGTCACCAATGGAAAGAGCCATGATATCAAGGCCGTGGCGGACCATGTTGACAACAGCGGCTTTCTGAGCGGGACTGACACGGCAACAGAGAACAGCCTTGCACTGCTTGCACAAGAGGAGGAATTTCTGTTTCAGTTCGTCGTCTAGCATCAACTTGAGTGTTTCACCATCGACAATGACAGCATGAGTGGGTTCAGGTGGGGTGTGGTCTGCGCGGGCCGCAATTAGCTCCTCGTCGGAACCGGTCAGGCCAAAGGTTGCAAGGTGTTTGGTAAGCTCAGCGTTCGCTTGCTCAATCTGATTCTCGCCGATGTTGAGAACAATCAATTCCATGTTATTGTTGAGGAGATTGCACGAAAAACCGATGTTAATAGCAGTTTCCACCTTGTCACCAGTCAAAACCCACAACTTGATACCGGCGTCAGCAAGAAGTTGAATGGTGTCCGGTACACCGTCTTGCAGTCGATCCTCGATAGCAGTTCCACCAATAAGCATGAGCTCCTGCTCAATCTCGCTGGAAACCTTCTCCAGTTTTTCCTCGCGGTCGACAATAGCAGCAGCTGCAACGTCGTGTTCCAGGTTCCATGCCTGGTATTCGTCTTCACTCAAAAGTCTGTCAGCGACGCACAGAGTTCGCAAACCTTCCTTAGCGTATTCCTCCAGGTGCTCGGCAGTCTTGCGTCGAAGGTCCTGCTGCTTGCCACGCGCCAGTCGAGAATAAATGATGCTATCAGCACCCTTGCAGAAAAGGCGAATAGTACCGTCGGGCATGCGAATAATTGCACTCATTCGCTTACGTGAGGAATTGAACTCAAGGGTATTCAAAACAGTGTAGGTACGCTCCTCACCCATGACGTTCAGAAGCAGATCATCGCCGGAACGACCAAGAACAGTGAAGCCGCAGTCCCGAGCAGTGCTAACTAGCGCAGCCTCATCAGGCGACTGGGCCTTAAATTCAATCTGAGGGGGATCACCCGGGGTGTGCTCAGTGATGACAGTGTGGCACACGGCCAGGGCCAGCATGAAATGCTCGACAGCGGCTTTCTGTTCTTCTCCAGATTGGCCGTCGATATCTTCAACAAAATTTGGTGCGATGAAAGTCAGGTTTTCGTCACGCAGGTACGGGTTATCATGAATTCGGCGCAACCCTTCAAGCATTCTCTTTCCATCGGCCGCGATCTGCTCACGAGCCTGAGCAGCCTCCTCATCGGCGTTGGCTCCTTCGCGTCGCCTCATACCTATCTGGGCCTCAGTGTACGCTTCGCCGTAGGACACACCATTGATTGTGCTCTTCTTGAATTCCATAACGTTTTGTGTCAATGTACCGGTCTTGTCAGAGAAAATGTACTCTACCTGCCCCACATCGTCGGAGATGTTCCATGACTTGGGTACACAGTAGAGCCCTAGTTTCTCGTAGTACATGAAGATATCACTGTGGATGAAGACAGCCTGAATGGTTCGAACGATTTCAAGAGAGATGTAGAGCGAGATGGGAACCAAGTTCTGGAACAGAATCACGGCTGTCCAGAAGGTGACGATACCGGTCACTGGAGGGGTGCCTCCATACGAGCCGTAATCGAAGTAGTCCAAAGATTCGTCATTGGAACCCCACGCAAGACCGTTGACAATACCCGCAACGAGACACATCAAAAATAGAATAACGAAGTTGTAGATAACGTTCCAGTTGAGATCCTTCGCCAGGCGAGCACGCTTAGCGGGAGTCGCACCCGAGTTGAGCATGATCTTGCTCTCTCCACCGGTGAAAACGACCACGCCAAGAATCCATTCAGTACTGCGCAGAGAACAACCTCGGAGCAGCATGTTGTTGATGGTGATTGGTTCAACCATTTCCTTGCGAGGGGCCTCTGGAAAATTCGGGTCCCGTTGATCCCACCGAATGGCACCATTGTAAGAGTAGAGATTAGGGTGAGGCGCCTCACTCTCAATGGTGAACTCGGCCTTTTCACAGTCGCGGGCATGTCGAACCTGGCGACCACAATGAAGTGCTTGGCGAACCTTCAAGTTCGTCTCGCCATCCAGGCCCATGGTTTCAACATAGCAGGCTCCGTCTGGATCCGAGGTGGACAGAATCACAATGTCGGCGGGGATGGGGTCTTCGTTGTACAAACGAACAAAATCACCAACCTGAAGGTTCTTCCAGTAGTCTCGCTTGAACCGAGCAACGCCAGGTGTTTGCTTCGAGTGATCCAACACACTTCCGGTTTTCTTGTCAGACACGGGTGCTGCCATGCTTTCCCTGGCCGCGCTGTTGGGCGAAAGGAATTTATTTTCCGGGTTACCCCAGTTTTCGCGAGCCTCGGGTTGGGGTGACTGAACCTCAGTCATCGGAATGGCAACATCGGCGGCCAAGGAGTCGCGGTTGGAGTAAATAGACGCCCGTTGGTCCGCTGTGGTCAAAAATGATTCTCGTCGCTGACCGTCATCGCCTACCTCCTCGGTTTTTTTGGTGAACATATCCGCGGAGGCCTTGTAGGCTCTGATGATACCTCGGGTACAGGCTTTTTTGAATCGGCGCCAAGTGGAGATATTATCCTCGGTCGAATTCACGTTATTCCATTCAACCAGGCGATATACGGGAGAGTTGTTGACTTGGTTATCAGAAACCGTTCGGCCCCAATCCTCAATGGCGTCCTTAATAGCGGTCACGACAATAATAACAATTAGGGGAACGGCGTTCAGACCGGGATTGTTGGCACCGAAAATAGAGAAGAACTAGATCCAAGTCAGCTTCAAATACTACATGACGCTCGATTTCTTTTTTCTTCCTCTCATTGTGGGGGTGGTGATCGTTGGGCTGACGTACGTTGAGAATAATAACGAACAAGAAATAGATGTTCGCAATGTTGTGGAATTGCAGGAAGACGTTTTTAGGCACGAACGTGAGCGCCGTATACTTGGCAGTCCGGATCTTGTTTCGGGGATAGGCAAAATTAAGATGGCCCTCTTCGTCGCGCTCGGACTCAGGGATCGGGACGTTGAAGTAGATCGTTCGGTTCTCTCCATTGGGGTTTTCGGCGCCGTTGGTGGATACATTGTCATTGGAAACAGCGCTATTATTGGATTTGCGCTTCTCATCTCTCATCTCATGTCGCTTGTGGAAACGGTCGATGATGGAGACACGTTTCCGCACGCCGCCGGTGCCGGCCTGGCGTGTGGTAGCCCATCTCTGTCGCTGAGTCGGTTTCGAGATGTTGCTGGGGACCTCACCAATCTCACTAGTGGCCTCGGCATAATCTTCTCCAGGGAAGCGCACGGAAGCCATTTAGGCCACGGGTGCGCCCAGGTAGGGCATATAACTCGATAAGATTCCTGGGATAAATGGGGATAACGAGTATCCGATGTCTTGGAGCCGGAATCCAATACTGTCCGTGGCGTAACCTTGATGATTCGATCTCAAGTCGCAAAGGGAGGGGAATATCACAGGGCGGACGCTAGCAATGGCATTCGGGGGTGGATCGAATCGTTGATTTCGAAGGGACAGGGACAGAACCAGCGCGCGGGCAGGTTCCAGCGGGATCCGATATGGACGGTAAGGGATAGTTCGAGTTGATAGACGGGATCGACTAGAAAAGGGGGGGAGGTTTCACCCACGAGGGTCCATGTAAAATGTAGAGAAAGGGAGAGGGATATGTGAAGGATTGTCCTTATTCGAAGGAGAGAAGAGCCAGGATGATGAAGGTGCTTTGGGAGGATTGGTTCAGCTTTGGGGAATTTCCACTTCGCGCCCGTTGGCCTTGCTTACAACGAGATTACAGTATAATTACAATTCGGTACGACAACATGCCGCGCTTGGTCAGCGGAGCCTTGGCACAGGTAGTTTCTTTGTGTCATTGTGTAAACTCGGCCAGTTCTTCCTACAGTAATTATATTGCTGAAGAGGAGCATGATGCAACCACTTTCACAGCAGTCCTTCGTCGGATCTGATTTCTCGATGTCTTTGTCTAATCGTCACCTTGTGTCCCCCATTACTCTGTACTCAGGTAGAATAAAGTTGATGTTGGCTCGGACTCGGCATGAAAGCTGATACATCCGGTAATTTATCTTACCATACACGGCCAGCCTCGTTCCGGCTCTTCCCAGCCCTTTGTCTGGTTCAACGCCTAAATTTCTGATTGTGGCAACTATGACGGGTTTGGATCTCCGGCAGTCGGTCTGTAGTCGGGTTCCCTTGGGGAAATCAGGGACCAAGAGGCAAATCATAGGACATTTTTAGGTTAATCGGATCGAAGGATTTACCATGTTGCCCATTATGGTTATGTCCTTAATTCCGGCCCCTCCTGTACGGAGCACGTACGGAGTAAGACCATACTGTAGCACAGCCGCCACGGAGCTTGCATATTATTATGATAATAATAAATTGGCCCGGGGCGGTTTATGCGCTCATAGTTCTGCAGTCCCCATGTAATCCCACGTTGGCCCCATTATTGGCCGGGTACACGTTGGCCCCCGCCTAAGCCCCGGTCCCCTGTTCTGATATTTCCCACATGGACTCGTATTGATTGATCTGGACACCGTGGTTAAAACGGAAGTTACTTGTCCCGACTTACTGAGACCAGTTCGAGACCGATCGTGTATTGCATTAGCACTTTGTCGGATCATCAAGTCTGAAACTAACACGGCACGAGCGTCTGATCCACCTTAGTCAGACTGCCATCTCCTACTCCGTAATTTTAGATGCAATGCCCAACTTTCGGTTTGTTTTAGCTTCTATAACGGTCTAATTAAAGGATAATGCTCATCAGTGCAGGTAATTATATTAACAAGTGTAAAAAGGAGTGTCTGTCGCACTGTTGATTCTCTGGATTTCTAATCAGAGGGCCAAATGAGCTTTCTTTGGTAGACCCCCTTTTTTTTTCTTGTCAGGCCGGAAGGTCACGGACGAGCCAGTCCAGATGTCGCTTGGGGCTCAGAGCGCTGTAGGCGTCCTGTGGTCCTGGGCGGGTCCCGATGATCACTAAGAGATTTCCTGGACTAGTTGACATCCGTGCTTTGTTTACTAGCAGGTGGAGTGGAATAGATATACACAGTACAGTATATCTATTTCTGCCTAATAATTCCTCCTCGGCCCCTCGGTTCATCCAATTACTCGAGGTGAAATCAACCTTACGAGCGAAATTACAGGATGACGAGCCGAGCAAAGCTCAATCAAAGCATGACATTGCGTCGTCAGCGCGATCGACCGCGAACTCCATAGTGGAGTCTGTGTGCCGACGCTCAGATTCGGCAAAATATATACATCGGATCGGCACTACCCCTGACTTGGGCTCGTTGCATTAGACGAAACGGTTTCAAGGTGCGAACCAGTAGATCAAGTGCTACGCCAAAGCCCTCAGTAAACCGCACTTTTGGCATAGTGTGGAGCAAGTGGCTTTCAACACGGAGAGGGTTCAAGTATAAAACATGAACACCATCTATTAAGTGATGGCCCTATACATTAGGTATTATCTGGCCATCTTCTGGATTGAACACCTATGTGTTGAAGTATCAAATTCCCTCTTCTTCCCCCTCTCCCCCCCAAAAAATCAATAGAAAAGAATAGTCAATTGAAAGAAACGAAGCAACAAAGAACTTACCAAATTCGGTAACTTTCTGTCACGTGACTTCGCGCCGGTCTTTCACGCGACGCGGAGGTCAACCTTCAATGGCGATGGTGGAAATCCAACGCAGGTTTTTTTTTTCTGCTTCAGCAACTTCCAGTAAGGAGAAAATGGGGCCGACCACGCCAAGAAAGATTTCGGATTTCTTTAATCGGCCCAAGTTCGCAAAACTCAATCAGCACCTTACTCCGGAAAAGATACGATCTCAGCCCCGCCAATCTTCGCCGCCATCTCCGCTGACCGAGCCACGCTCGTCATTTGTTGATCTTACTTGTGAACCCGACGATGGCCCAGGCGACCAGCTCAAGTCATCGCTTAGCCAATCAGTGGACGATGCAGCCTCAAACCCCACGCCAGCAGAAAGCTTCCAAAGCGTCCCAAGTACGGACGAAGCCTTACCTGCATCGATCAATGGAGGTCATCAGCTGTCACAGCGCATTATCAAAGGAGGGAAAGAAGTGGTCATCAGCTCCGATGGAGAGGAATCGGATTCAGACAGTTCAGTATTCGATCCTGCTCTGATATTTGCAAAGCCAGGCGAAAAGCCCAATCCACCCAAAATGCTTTCTGCGCCGAGACATGTCACCACCACAACAAAGAAATACAAGAATAACATCGATTCCCTTGTACACGAGACTGTTGACGATGATGAGATAGAAGCCAATTTTGCCAAACAGAAAGCCGCTTACAATGCTCTGCGTAATGACACACGGAAGGTATCTGGTACAAGTGGAAACACTGGCCTACACGAAGATGTGTTGACCTCAGTATTGGGAGAAAATCGTGACGACGATGATGATGATGATGGTGGTGGCATGGGGGCTCGGCGTTTAATGGATGCTGTTCGAAGAACCGACGCTCTCAATCTAGACAAAGTCTGGCGGTTCTTAGATCAAACCCAAGTGGCACCAGCTGTGGTAGAATTTCCCCGGAATCTATTCGCTCCCGGTTCGCAACTCACAGTTCTGCATGGTCTGTCTTGCCAGGAAGATCTTCAAACCAAGCTAATCATTTGACAGATCCTGAAGCTCGAGAAAGCATTTTTAAATCTGGCATTCTAGAATTTACGGCGTCTTTGCAAAGGCTCCCAGATGACTTTCTCATGTGGCTCTTTTGCGCGAGTACATTACACCTTTTCTCTGCCCGTTGCTTCAAAAATTGACCTTGAAATAGTGCCCCTTGAGCCACGAGAAGAGTTGAGACAAGCTTACGTTAGGGTTTTGACAATTACTCCAAAGGTACATACTCTAAGTTATCCTGCACATTCATGGCTGACTATGAGACTAGCAACCCGGTGCTGCGCGAATAAGATCTCTTATCCGCCCGGATCACATCGATCAGCTTTTCAAATCACTGGGCGCGAAGCCACAGGCTTTAAACATTTCCGAGCCCATTGTTGAAGATTCATATGATCGTAAGATTTGTCTTCTGCCATTGTTCTCTCAGTAAATTCTCACAAGTTCATAATAGCAAGTATTAGCGAACCTGCATCGAAAGATCGAGCTATTTTACTCTCTATTTTTGATTTACTTCGGGATGCTGCTCAATTGTGAGTTCCAATTCTTTCCCATCCTCTGGCCACTTGAGTAACAAGCAGTTAGGTTTGCCAACGACACTCGAGAGCGTGCAATTCAAGTACTGCTGCGTATAACTTTGGACACTTCACTGACAGCAGACTACTTGGTCCGCTCAGAGCTTCAGAGCTGTATCGGTGCCCTTTTGCAAAGCGTGACGGTAGCTGATGCCGAGGAGACGGTGCGCAATCCCGCAGTCCATATAACTTATAGCTACTAACGAAGCAAATAAGGAACGTCGACTCTGTACTACGGTATACGAGACATTCCGGGACCCGGAATTCCAAAGTCGGATGTTGCGCCACATCCTCCCTACCACTATGTGGATCTCACGGCTCCGATACCGTCTTGCAGTGGCTTTCTTACTTCGAAACCCCTCCCCATTGGTAGAACCTGTCCAGGATGTTCTGGATCTGCAACGCCTGGCTCGCTCCCTAGTTGGTGATGAGCGCTTCCAAGTGAAAGCACATAAGACAAAGGGTGACAATTACTATGGCGGGTTGACGGCCAACGCCATTCTTTTGGACATTGCCATCAACACTGCTCTATACGATCTGAGATACAAGCAAGAAAACACAGATGAGGAATTCAACCGGGCCATTGATGCGCTAGCAGTGCAGATCAAGAGGATATTTAGCTCCATTGAAGACACCGGAGCTTCCCACCTTAAACGGATGTTGGCCAAAGAAACACTTGAATCTGTCCATTACCGCATGGTCTACTCTGTCCGGTCCCGGCCTCCGCCCAAAAAGACCGTATTCGAACCATATGCGAAGAAGACGAATGGCAATATTCAAAGTCATTTTAAATCTCGGGTCACCATGGATCCTTTGGACGAAACATTGATGCCGATTCGTCGACACGAATGACCGTGGAATTGTTGCTTGATGCGGGGTGTAAGAATTTCAACCTGTTTGATTTAATATTGGATACCCATAATGACTACGACGACCATGACGATCATGAATAGAGCGAGGCATATATGTTTTATTTGCATGCATTTGCTACCGAAATTTTCTGCAATCATAGATGAATCAGACGAACGCTCAGGGGAGATTGACCATATTCCAGGTCCGATATGTGTGCAAGTTGAAAAAGAAAAGAGAAACCCACCCCCTCTCTATAGAGATGTCCAAGACCAGGGACCAGGAGGAGCCCAAGAACTATAAAACATGAAAGTAAACGCATCCGGACCTAATGAACAATTAAATGTCTTTTAGTCGAAGAATCGTCGGTTCACGTTCTTTCCAAAGAGTGTCTCTCGAACGGCGGGGAGAGCATCAATCTCCAACAACCGCAATCGCTCCTCGAAGGTGTTGTTGATCTCGATCTTGCCCTGTCCGCCAATAATGACGACACCACCAGCACTGCACAATGAAGATCAAGAAGTTAGTATCAGCCACTCTCAAATTACAAACATGGGGCTAGAGAATACGTACGATCCCTCAGGCAGCGGGTCGGATTCGTCCAGGGTCACAGTCACCTCAGTGCCAACATTCTCCTTGAACTCCTTGGCAGCCTCCTCAATAGCCTTCTTCGCATCATCGTAATCCTTCTTCCGTGTGCGGACAGACACCTTATCTTCATTCAGATAGTACAGGCCCTCGAGGACCAAACCCTGCAGCATGGTCTGATACTTCTTCTTGTCGTTGGCAGCAACGGTAGCCACCTTGTTGCGGGACTTCTCAAAAAGCTCGTCCAGAAGCTCCTGGCGACCGCCGAGCACGCGAAGACGGGTGCGGTTGGCGAGGGTCGACTTGGTGATCTGCTGCGACATGGCAGCTTGCTTGAACTTCTTCTCGTAGAGGGTGTCGATGGCTGCGGTCTCCTGGCGGACCAGCTTGGACTTCTCGATGGCAAATTCCTCATCGGCCTTCAACTGAATCTCCCGGGCCTTCTCCAGAGCTTCCTGGCGGATGAACGCGGTCATCTTGCGGAGCTCGCCCGCGACCTAGCATGGGGTTACCGGGGTCAGCCTGCAGCTCCAACACGGAGACCACCAAAACCGGACACTCTCACCTGATCATCTGAAAGAGCATGACTTTGCGACATGACGGCGGTGATTGGATCCTTCCTGGTGTAGAGGGAGAGAAGGTGGTGGATGACGTGGGGGTGGGAGGGAAATGGGAAAGGGAGAGTCAAGTGTCCAACTAAGCTCTTGTCTCGCCTTGGCGGTCCGCATCCAGACGCTCCGCAACTCTCCCCTCGTTCTCTCTCCCGCTCCCCTACTCCTGTTTTGAATACCTTGGTTGCTCTACTTCGAACCCTTGTTTCTCCCTATTCTTCCTGTTGTCTCTGCATATTTTTTTTGAAATAAAAGGCCCTGCTTGAAATCATGGCTTTGATCTTCCGGTAGTCAACTCATCTCTACCGCTTCTTCCCGATGTACGAGACTCGAAGATGGGCAAACTAGGTGACTTGTCGCCACAGGGCAGTGTCGCGGTGGGTTACAAGATAACTATCTCGATTTGAAAGCAGAATTGAACGGCTAATGTACAAGCTATCAGGTCGGAATTCTCGTCGGACTCATCTCAACTAGCTTGCAGGCGATCGGGTTGACACTCCAGCGCAAGTCCCACCTGCTCGAGGACGAAAAACACCCATATGATGTGCGCCGACCACCATACAAGCGCCGCCGATGGCAACTTGGAATGGGCATGTTTGTGATTTCCAACATTGTTGGCAGCACAATCCAAATCACCACCCTGCCACTGCCGGTCCTTTCTACACTTCAAGCTGTCAGTCATGGCTTCTGTTCTACTCAACTCCCTTCAGTTATGCAGGCGTAACTAATCTCACGAGGAATAGTCGGGACTAGTGTTCAATACGATCTTCGCGACCCTCATTCTCGGTGAACCCTTCACTCGGTATTCTTTCGCAGGTACCGGCCTCGTCTGCATCGGTGCAGTATTGATCGCGACCTTCGGCGCCATTGGAGAACCTGCCCATAGCCTGAACCAGCTGCTGGTATTACTACAGGGACGACCATTTCTTATTTGGATGGGAATGACATTGCTTATCGTCGCGAGTATTCTACTGGGATCGAAGTTACTGAGATACTTCATACCCGGGTCGCGGGGGAAGCCCGTTGCAGCAGGCCATTTTACACCACATTTACTGCGTCTTCAGAGTCGAATTAAGCTCGCACGTGGTATGTGTTACGGAGCAGTGAGTGGTATTCTATCCGCCCATTCGCTATTACTTGCCAAGTCGGCTGTGGAGCTACTGGTGCGCACCTTGGTCGATGGCAAGAACCAGTTCAACCGATGGCAGTCTTGGGTGATTTTGCTGGCCATGATCACTCTAGCATTAACGCAGCTGTTTTACTTGCATCGCGGGCTCAAATTGTGTAGCACAAGTGTGTTGTACCCGTTTGTGTTTTGCGTCTATAACATTATTGCTATCCTTGATGGTCTGATTTACTTCCGCCAGGCGTCCCAACTAGCTGGATTCCATGCAGGCCTCATCGCATTGGGAACTATCATCCTGCTAGTTGGTGTACTATGTCTATCGTGGCGCCTGGAGGATATTGAGAGCCATACTGCTGTTACGGTAGTAGGTCCTACACAGACTGGGCTTGGGCCAGGCCTGGGAGTTGTCGAGGAACACTCACCATCGTCATCAGGGCTGCTGGATGGTCTGGAAGATGAAGAGTCGCAACTTGGAGAACGGGAGCCACTTCTTCCCGGCTTTTCTCGGTCGCGACAACGTCCTTTACATCCACGAGCCCGGGCTCCTAGCCTCCCTCTCCTTCAAACATTCGATGACCATGAGGCCGCAGATCTCAACGCGGCTTCCATATGGGCCGAACTGGATGACTCGGACTATAATTTCGCATCCACCGAGCGGCCTCGCAGTTCCAGCAGCGGTGCGCTGCATACCCCGATACGCGGCCTTGCCCGCCATTCAACAATAGGCCCCATCTCCTACCAACGTGTTCGAGGTCCTCATCGTAGTCGCCCATCACAACAAGAGAGCCCCTGGCGACGCTCCTCAATGCCCTGGGCCAGTCTCGTGGGTTCTCAGCGCAAGCGACGAGCTCCACTTTCTTCCCCCACAGTGCAAGGCGCAAACGGTTATGGAACGATCCCAGAAGACGACATCGAACATCGCGATCAGGGCGCTCCAGGCGCCCCCGACCCATCATCTACATCGAGCCTTCTCGCAGGACCGAGAAGAACCCTGCGAGGTGCGTGGAATCAAGGTCGACAATACCTATTCCGATGGACAACTTCACCGGCGGGTGATCACTCAGACTCCCGCGAGCACGACCGTGCTTATTCGTCCCTTTTACCGCGCTCCGAAACACGTCTTCCTTGGATGGATGATGCCCATAATCCGTCAAGTGAGCCTGCCGAGCCTGCCGAGCCTGCATCTAAGGGGACGTCGCCATCGTCTTAAGCTTTCGTCTCCTTAAGCTTTCACGCAACCCACATTCACATCACCATTCTTTCCACGCCTAGATCGAACCCCAAACTGGGCTTTTCTTGATACACGATATCCCCATCTCCTACGTCTCCATTTCGCCTGTATAGTAGGGACTGAGATCCAGTCCCGTTCCCCTTCCTCTTTTTGTCTCCTTTCTCCGACTTCTCTTCGCTTGTCATTGTCGAAAATACCTTGAACCCAACACCTGTTGGCACCTTTCCCTTTTCGGTTTCCCTTTTGTGATATAGTCGAGTGGCTGCGGCTAGCTGTGCTGGTGAGCTTTGTGCATAAGATAAATACCTCCAATGGCAGCTGCCTAGTGATTTCAGCTAATTCATAGAAAGAGAACCATGGATTCTTTCAATTGCACTTAGAGCCGTACTTGCGAACCAAACATTTAGAGGTAGTAGCCGTATTCGTATACCTAGTTTGGATTATGGTACGTAATTGTCGATCCCGAGGTCCCAATGCAGAAGGTTTGGATCTATCTGGAACTGGAACTATATTTGTTTTGGGTTAACGGCCCCACACAGCCCGCCACGAGGCAAACAGTCATGGTCATAGATCCATGCATGCTTTTCAAATTAGGTATAACCTACAGGGATTACTACATGAGCCTAAACCACATTCGTGGACGTGAAGAATTTCTGGGGTCAACAGAGTAAAATTGGAGACATACAGACTACACGATGCGAGATAGACCATATCGGAACTACCGAACTTTCCATACGAAATACATCCTTTCCAAGTGAAATAGGGACTCGCAGGGACATAGCGAAGGGGTAGGGTAAGTACGAAAAGAAATACGGTATAAGAGATAGAAACACAGTTTGAGATTAGACACTGAGAAAAATAGAACATGGGAGAGAAACAGGATCAATAATGGTCGTATGAGATAAACAGAACAGAGAAGTAAGAAAACCACTTCGCCGACAAATCAATGCACCACGAACACCACCAGCCTCTGCCATTCTAGGTAGAGGGGGCAAGAGGAAACCAGAAACAGCCAAGAATAGTGTTAAAGTCCAGCCTTGCGTGCTTGCGCTCTTTTGTTCTCTTTGTAATTTTTTTTAAACAGGGTTTTCATAGGGGTTGTTTTCGAGTTCAGCAAGACCAGAGGATCGATATCGAGATCAGACAGATAACCTGAAGAGAGTTTCTGCGTAGTGTTTGACAATGTACACTTCAGCATCAGACCGTGACAGAATTGTCAGGAAAAGACATCAACGGTTCCATTGACGAAGAGTAGATAAATTTGGGAGAGGAGAGGTGTAGAGGCGGGGGAGGGTGGATCAGCAGAGCTGGACGGGTATCAAATGAACGCGAGAGATGGAAAACAGAAGGGATGACGCAGAATCGAGGACCCCGTCCGCAGCGGCGCGCAAGGTGGTAAGGATGCTTTACGCGGTGGGTTGGTGCTGCGGAGGCATACGACCACCCACGGGCATACCGGGATACTGTCCGCCAGCCTGCTGTTGCTGTTGGAGGTTCTGGTAGTAGGCCATCTGCTGCTGCTGCTCACTGGTCATGTAGCCAGGGTGCATGCCGGGACGGCCCATGTTGGACTGCGACGCGTTGACGTTGCTGTGGGCGACATCCTCGGGGGTTTCAGCAGGGACATCGGGAGCATCCACGCCGTTCTCGTTGGTGGTGGGGTCGGGCGCGTTGAGGCAGGCCTGGAGCGCGACGGTTAATTAAGAGCTCAGCATGGTAATAAATTGATTTGTAACTGACCTGAATAAGGTTCTTGCCCTCAGCCTTGGTCACGAGGGGTTGGAGCTTGGGGGTGGTGAAGGTGTAGACGAGGCCGGTCTCGGAGACAACCAGCAGGAGCACTTGAGTACCCGTGAGGACGGAAAGCTCGTAGGCCTGGAAAGGAACAATAAATATTAGCATAAAAATTCCTCAGTCATGAGAAAGATTGCACAATTCGTGGTATGAAGGTCCATCCACAAGGGAGGTCTTAAAAAAAAAGATGGTAGTTGGTAGAGGGGGTAAGGATGATCGCAACGTACCTTCTTCATGATACCAGCCTTCCGCTTGGAGAAAGTGATGTGGCGACGCGACTTATCCTGAATAAACTTGATCTCAATCTTGCGGCGCTCACGGCCGGGCTTGTCATCATCGTCGTCGTCGTCCTCGGCGCTCATGCGGCCGCGCTTGGTGCCACGGGTGTCAGCGCCGTTGCCGGGCTGTTGCAGGTCATCATGGTTTGGGGAGAGTTTCTCCTCGCCGACGGCAGTCATGTCGGCCATGTTTGGCAGTGAGAACGAAATGGTGAAAAAGTGGTTCAAAAAGAGGCAGATGGGAGCTGGCCAAAAGGGGAAGGGAATCGTAGATACCCAATCGAGTAACGCGTTTTTGGATCGCAGGGTTGGGAGAGAGAGGAAGGGGGAAGAGAGCGAAGAAGGGAAAGTGCGAGGTGCGATGTGGCAGGCGGTCAGTCACGTGTGGGACTGGTCGGGACCGTATTATTACAAAGTGGGTACACTTAAGAGACCTGGTGTTGCTATGGACATACAGTACTGAGCCCAAGTACCTCCCCTCCTTCCACCCCCTAAGTTTTTGTATCAAATCTGTTCCGCCTCGGTATTTGCCTCCCCCTCTCACGCCATCGCGTATTATGATTGGTTCCTCCTCAAAGGGGCCAACTCACTTGCCCCGCTTTGCCTCCGCTTGCATCCGCATCGAGGCAAGCGCGAACCCAATGTTGCTCCGGTCTGGACTCACTTTATTTCCGTCCTTTTAGCTGAGGATCATGAGTTAAATTTACGTTAAAGGGTGTTGTATAGATAGACAGGAAAACGATAGGGATTTCGTAGACAATACTGCAGTAAGTCAGTCCCCCATTGACCAGGCTCACCTCACACATGCCGTTCTAAAATTATCATAGGGCTCGACCCTGCATTCCACCGCACTCGGATTGGCCCCCAGATGTGGCGGTTGGGGGATTCTGGTGCCTCGGGAATCTTGTCTCGACCTGCAGCAAGTTACTCCGGTGAACTCTCACCTAGAATCTTAATCAATCCTAAACACCGAATCAAACCTGTTTTCATTCAATAGCATGCTTGATTCTTCCACATACCGGTCTTCTGAAAATAAGAACATCTTTGTATATGGGTTGTACAATAACCTGCGGTGTACTTCCCCAAACATGCCCCCGGCATGTAATAGGCCTGTCTCGGCCCACGGTCGGATTCCTGCAAAACATACCGATGGGCAAGTATTTGTACAGGAGGCACAATCTCGCAAGACTCTCTACAATAGGATTTGTTTTCAGAAGGATTAGGAGTCCCCCTAATCTCCAGAGACTGGATTGTCGGGATCTATGACTTCATCTTATAAATCACGATCAGACCTGCGGGAAGTCGATAGGGAAGAAGCTTAAATTGCGGGAGAGGATCCCCGAAAGAATGGGGAGAAGCCAAATCTCATTTGGAATAACTTTCTAGTGTACGAAGTACACAAATAATGAATACTTTATACATAGTAATCATGCTTGATTCATATACCTAAGTTTTTAGAAAAACCTTGGGCTGGAGCATTACAACCCACACATTGAACAACCGTAAATAAGAACTCATCATATTCTTCGCATAATGAACAGTCCGTTCAACGCTAATCACCAACGGAGACCCAAACACGGTCTTCCGTTCAAGTCTATTTTTACAAACACGATATGCATGGCCATGGATAGAAGCCTCACCCCGAGTCGCGACGGAGATCCAGGCGCAGAGAGAAAGTGAAACGCGACAAGGGGGAAAAAATAATAAAGAATAAGAGAAGGACGGGAGCAAGCCATATGGCATGGGAAAGTACATAGACTTTTTGAGACCCAGCACGAGGTAAGCCAGAGAAGAAGAAGTGGAAAAAGTGTAGCCGAATAGGCCGGGATATATGGAGCACGGAAAGCCACCAAGGTTCCTGCACCAGAAGGGACTCCGCCAATGCTAACGCCGGATAAATGAAGAATCAGGAACTGGAGGACGCGGAGGTCAAGTCACGATCACGAGTCTCATCCGGAAAAAGAAAAAGGTCGGTGAAGAAGAGGATTGTTCGATGCGAAATAAATTTGGCGTCATGAGTGGGAATAAAGGAAGCTGGATGTTGATGGGGAGAAAAAAGCAATAGAATCATGTGCAGCGAATTGAAAGAAGATGTGAATAATCGGAAGAAGCACCCAAGGACCAGCCTTCAAAAAATCACTTGGGGGGGCTTGATCGTCTATTTATTGCTGGTAGGTACCGCGGATCTGGTGATCGCTGAGACCACCACCGCCGCCACCCTTGGGGCCAAGCCAGACAATCTCGATCACGCTGTGGCCTTCATCTTCTTCGCGCACGTAGAATTGGTGTACGTTGTCACCGACCACATAGGCGTCGTGAAGCAGCCAACGGTCCTTGGTGACGCCGTCGTTCTCGGCGGGACGGAGGGGACCCAGGCGCTCCTCGAAACCACGGGGGTCTTCGGGCCAGGTCTTTTCGACGGCATCGAAGTCGATGGCATCGTCTGGCACAGACTCATCGTAGGTGTACTTGACCATGGAGTAGCCATTAGTCAAAACCCAGAAGTGACGAGTGGTCTCTCCGGTGGCGTTGTTCACGGTCTCTTCCTGGTCAAAGACCCAACGGCGCAGCACAGACTTCCGGCCAGCAGCCGCGGCGACAGTGGTCATCTTCACCACATCCTTGGTGTACCAGCTGTTCCAGTGGTGCATGGACTCGATCTTGCGGCCTGATTCGTAAACACCATCAACGGGATCGGTCATATCCATCTGGTAAAGCGAGGGCCACAGGGTCAAAGAGGTGTCGCCGAAGCGCTGGATACACTGTCCAAGCTTCTGGTCACCAGGCTGTTCACCCCAGGACTGGCATTCGTCGTAATACTTCATGAGGACATCCAGGAGGGGCCTGGAGACAAACACACCGGCACCACCGAACGCGATGTGGCCGAAAGTGTCCACCTGCCAGCTAGCCTCGGAGAGAGATCCAATGTAGTGCTTCTTCTTTTCATCAAACAGCTTCAGCTCCTTGGCGAAAGTGGGCAGAGACAGGAAAAAGGTATCGTCATCGCTGAATCCAACCCAGGTGGTGTGCGGGCGGTGCTTGCGAATGTGCTCGGAGAAAGCCTCCACCATACCGAAGTAGCGAGCGGTGAAGTCAAGAGGAGAGGCAATCAGAGTCAGATCCAGACCGCGGTTGCGGAAGTAGGTCTCCTGCTTCTCCAGGTCATCGTCCGACTCAGGCACCAGCACAATCAGGCCAGCCTTGGTGTTTCCGTAGGTGTAAAGCAGGGAGGGGAGCAGGCGATCGAGGCGATCCACAGTGGTAGCCAGACCGAAGAGAAGCTTGGAGGTCTCCTCCACGTCGTCATCGGCGGCGACGTCGACGTCGATGATCTCCGGGCAGACAAAAACATCCTCGTTGTTATCGGGAGAAACGACCATGCCACGCTCCATGGCAACCATGGGCGGGAGCACAGGCTTCTGAACCTCCTCCAGGGTGTGGAACTCGGTGTCAGGGTTCACGAGACGAGGGCGGAAGTAGGCACGGGTGTAGTTCTTGCGGGGCAACCACTCAGCGAAGGAGAGGGGAGCGGCCAATTTCGGATCGACCTCGCAGGTGTTGGCGGTCTCCGCCTGTCCTGTGGACATGTCTATTTGGGACTGGCCCAGATTGACCTGCTCAATGGGGTGCTTGAACCGGAGGAAAGCTGACCGGTCATAACGTTCCATGCACCAGAAAAAAACGCCAATAGACAGCAAAGCAAGCAACGGAAAGACCGTCTTCAGCCGGAAAAGGGGCATCTTGACGGTTTGAGGGCTCGATTTCTCGAACATGTACGTAGAAGGGTTCCGCGGAGGAGAAGTCAGGAGTGCGGTTGGGGCAATTCGGCAAGCCCTCGGGATTGTAAAATTAGGTGGTTCTTATCGAGTTCGGTCTAGGCAGAATTCGAGGGTGTTCGTGTCCCGTGATGATCGTACAGCTGGAGCTGACCACAGCAACGATCTCGAGATAGAACGGGGTAAAGTTGACCACGGATGGTTTAAAAGGTTGTTTAATCAAGGAATGACAGGCAGTTTCAAATGCCGGAAATCAACGAGAGGCTGGCAGCGTCGGGACCCGCGACACGGTCAAATGGGGGAGGCGGCGTGGAGAATCAAAAAGGGGGATCAGCGGAGAAGAGAAATGCGAAACCAACGCGGCTGGACAACGAGTCCAGGGCGAGATCAAAGTCGATGGAGAAGGGGATGAGAGGAAGATTGGGGGGAAAAAAAGGGGAGAGAGCGAAGAGGTAAAGTAGGTTTAGAGGATCGGGGGAGAGCGAGAGAATGCGCGTTTTGGTATTACCGGTAATCTTTCCCACTTTTTTGGGATTGCGCTTTTGGGATTTTCCGGGTTTTATTTATATACTCAGGGCCTCAGGGCTGTTTGCGGGCATTTTATTAATTGACCACGATTGATTCCTTTGATTTTGGGTCTCATCATTGGTTCTAGTTGGATAGATTAGAATGATGCATTTTTATGTAGCAATTTCTCTGATCAGAATGGGTTTATCTCGATCCTATTCATGATCCCTTCCAAAACCGAGATCATCTGGATAGCTTGACTCATGACATCTTGCCTTCCCCTAGTGAATGATTTGTATTATGATTCTGTTCCTTGTGTTTTTCTTCCCCCTACTCATCGTCGATCCTAACGGGAAATGGAATGCTGGGTTGTTCGGGATCATCCCATCTGCTCCATCCACTGTATCAAAAAACGCGATGATCGGCAAATGACTGATGTGAGTGCCTGGTTTTTGCTTCGGTCTATTCCGCTGTTTTTGGACCGCAAGGACAATACAAGCCGTGGTGGACTCCTATATCTGGGTGATAAGAGCACCATGGATGATCGCTTTCGTCCCTTCAGATCCGAATGCGGGTACATCTCCCATCAGATCATCTGCAACGGTCGTCAAACCCGTCGGAACACCGTCCGGAAGGTTTACAGATCCATAGGGCGTCAGGATCAAAGTGTAGGATGTAGAGACATCGTATGAATTCATGTACGACCCTGAACAATAACCGGACCACATGCCCTATACGTGTAGTTACTTTGTCGTAAATACATTCATCTACATGCGTATATCTTTTTTTCTACAATCACTGTGCTGTATAGCACTGAGTTATGATAGAGACTTCTTATACGAGGTAGACTTTGGCTTCCGAAGTATTCCTATATCCCATCATCATGATGCCGCGAGCAATACATACAGTAATGGATCGAGTATAGATACGTCACCGGGATACGCTTGGACCATTCGATTCACAGCAAAGAGACCTATGTAGGTACATTTCGTTTCAATCCAATGTTTATGCATGTAACAAAAAGAAATACAGTGTGAATTACCACGCCAATTACACGTTCCTCCACAGGAAATGATCTGAAGGTCGATCGCCCTGGCGTCCAGCCGCTCTGGCCAGTCAGCGAGCAGCGGAGGGGCGCAGGTGGCCAGCCGCCCCACCGACGCGTGTCCTCGGTCGCCGTTAATCTTGGCTACCGAATCCCTGGGGGCAACAACCTTTGCTGTTCCAATGACAATACACTTGCGCTGATGGCACATCTCATATCCCGGGAACTTTGAAACATGGCCTCAAAAACTTGTAGTCCTATTGATTGTTCTGATCTTTGGCCCCAAGGCTTCTTTTTCATGTGGACTTTTAGACCCTGAAAGCTTATCTACCATTGGTTTTTGGTCATTGTGGCGATGCTCTCTCAGCCGTGGTCTCCTCTCAGGTCAAGTGGCAAGTGGGCCAGGATCGACAGTTGAACCATTCAGACTTTCACCCTGGGCTCAGGCCTGTGGTACTGTAGAATCTTCTGATCAATTTGCCCTTGAGACAGTTGCGTCACGTTTTCCCTCCCTCCGTTGTATATATATTAGCCTGTGAAGATGTGTGTTTCACCCATAAGCCCGTGGGGAACTCGCAGGGCTGGGACCGAATAAGACTTTTAGCTGGAATTACCTAATTTCGGTGGACCAGTTACAAGTGTATAATGTTCTTATTTTTCATCATTAGCGAGACCGTATCTTTAAGCTTAACCCGTTGAGGTCTTTCTCGGAGCCACCGTAGGCAACCATGAAAGTGCCGACCTTGGGGGGAATTTTTACCGATCAGAAAAGCCATAAATATGATCCATTTGTCCATCTCCACAATAACAAGATTATCTGACTCCCTACAGTATAATTTTCTTTTCGTGACGAAACCCTGCAGTATATGGCATATGCAAGTTTCATGAGGTTTAAGCTCGACCACAGCCGTCTTGGCGATGCTGTCATTGAACGGGGAAAATTAAAATTAAACCCAAGCCACCCAGCTAGGGACGGAAATGCAAGCGGAGCCGTAATTTTACAGACCCTGAAAGAAAAGATAGGAACCCAGCGTGTCAGGTCCATGAGTGGATCCGCCCCTGATCGTCAGTGCCGGTGTGGTCCTGAGAGCGTAGCACTTTTTCCAAGGTTTCTCTGGCAAGAGGAGGCCAAGAACGTTCTGAGCGGAAAGGGTGGACACCCCCTATTTAAACGAGGATATGAAGGTTCCCGGTTAATTGAAATTAAATTTTCATAGAGCCAGTAGAAGGGCTCAATGGCGAAATGATGCAATCTATCGCCATTCCATTTCCGGATCGCGAAGGGTCCCAACCCAAACTACCCGAACGGACCCCTGTTATCGGGCTCTAACTGTCCTTGGTAATTCGTCCATCCCATGGCGCAGGTCCGCGCGTAAACTTCTCGTTATTATTGCCGGCCATATGGTTGGCTCTGGGATCTCAATTTATTTGATTGTTCATGGGCGGGCCAAGATTATTATTTCATGCAACGCCTGGACCATTTCCTAGAATTTCCCGCTTTACACATTAACTACGGCACGGAAAGGGAAAGACTCGTATACAATCATCATAGTTATCAAAGACCCTGCATATCGATCGCGGGCCGCCAATGCCCTGCACAGAGTGTGATTGGAGTGGAGCTAGTTGCAACCCTACTCTACGATCGGGGATGAAGCGTAATGTATACTGTAGTCAATGAGAAGATGATCTCTACCTTTCTCCTCTGGGTTTCATGCGTTGCACGAAGATCAAGTGATACATATATTCAATAATCGATATCTGGCGCGCTTATGTATGACAGGGCTCCGACGGGGATCGCCTTGTCTATTTCTTGGCCTCTGCAAGGGTATCTTGGAGATAGATTTGAGATTACAGTACGGAGTACAGGGCTCAGCCTCGCTCGGATTTAAATCAAGATCAACATTGAACATAAATTCCATACCCATAGGATATTTACAAGGTCTCTAGGCGCTTGAATATCGTCATGTCTTCGATACAAGAAGAAACCCCGGGACATTTCGCCGTGATATAGATCACCTGCGTAGTACTTGTCCAACCTCCCAGAGAGGAAACCTATCAACGAATTCATAGTGCACATAGACTTCCCGATCTGCATTCAATTACGACGCGATGTTTAACATTGGAAAAAACGACCACTCGGATGATTAGGAAGTCCCGAGGTCTACAAGTTCGAATGTTGGTTTCCTGCCGTTAGGTTTCATGGTCGGATCCCTACAGATATGACGATCACCCAAAAATGCGCCTAGTCACCTGGAATCATTGTAATCATTATGCGTGTGACATGTGGGGGTCCCTTTGACTTGGGTTTGGAGTTATTGAATAAGGTTCTGTCTGCATTGGCTCAAACAATACGCACTGTATAATTTTGAGCGTTTCGGATTATGGTGGGGTTCATTCGGACTGGTAGAATCCTCCGAAGAGCGTCCCAGGTAGATATATATGTGTAAGCGGAATTCACATAGATGTCTCATAGCTACAGTAGCCCGGCAGTATTGAACACGCGTCTTGACAGATGGGGAAGTATTTCCCTCCAATGAGCCTTATTTGGTACCCATCGTGGAGCACTTGTATAGCCATGTATGTTCGAGAACAACTTCGACGTCAAGCCAACTGCCCCACTTCACGGGCCATGACGGTTTTAAAGTCATTGAAACACCGTTTGATAATCCCATACTAGCTAGGGAGCATAAAGACCACCAATGGTTGACAAGATCGACCCGTAGAGTATATATGTCGGCCTTTTAACGGAGTTTTCCCCTATCTACGGATCAACCCGTGATCCAACCAAGCCTCGCTAAAAAAAGTGGCATATTTCCCAGCACATGGATTCACAACTCCTGCGGCTTTCAGCCACTAAAATGTGCCATCTTCAAGCTCGGACCGGAGCTCCTTGAGCTTTGCCGAGGACCACGGCTTACTCCACACTTCACCTCCATGGACTAGACTAAATGGGTCGGTGTTTATGCGTGCATTCTTGGCGTGCGGGCAACATACAACATCTAAATTCTCCGCCGTCCCAGCGTGTACCTGATGTGCTCGCGAAAGAAATACCGGTGATTCATTTTTCAAGTTCTTCACTATGGGTTTCTCCACCACAGCCGAGTTCGACCAGGCAAGACCCATCGGGTGGCTTATTCGCGTATGTCAATGCTAACCTTCTGGAACAGGCCTTTCAAACTGTGCAAGACACATTTGTCGCGGGTGTCACCAAGAATAAAGAATGGAGACGTCAACAGTTGAAGCGCACATGGTGGATGATTGAAGAGAACAAGGATCGCATCGCAGCAGCGCTTTACAATGACCTCCACAGACACCGTCAGGAGTCCATATTTGCTGACTGCGCTGGCGCTCAGAAGGATATTCTCCGCACCCTCAAGAGTCTGGACGAGTGGATGAAGGATGATACGCCGACTAGATGGGATGTCATCAACTTCATGGGCGGCACAACCGTCCGCAAGGAGCCTAAGGGCGTGGTTCTTATCATCGGTGCCTGGAACTTTCCAGTCCTGCTAGTCCTGCAGCCCATGATTGCTGCCATCGCCGCTGGCTGTGCCATGATCCTTAAGCCATCAGATATGGCGCCTGCATGTCAAGATCTAATGATGGAGCTTATCCCGCAATACTTGGATTCTGATGCTATTCGGTGTGTCTCTGCCGGTCCGCAAGAGATGCAGCATATCCTCGAGCGCCGCTTTGACCATATTTTCTATACTGGTTCCGGTAACATCGCAAAGATCGTTTATACCGCGGCTGCAAAGCATCTTACACCCGTCACGCTGGAGCTCGGTGGCCAGGGTCCAGCTATTGTCACCCCGACAGCCAACATCGACCTTTCGGCCAAGCATATAGCAGCCACTAAGTTCTCGAACGCTGGCCAGGTAAGACTACCCGACACACCTCACTTTAATATCTCGAATGTTCCAGGCATAGAACTAATCTTATCATAAAAGATCTGCCTCAATGTGAACCACGTCCTTGTGAATGCACAAGTCCACGACGCTCTAGTCAAGGCTTTAATCAACCACTTCAACATCTTCATGGGCGGCGAAGATAACCGCCCAGACTACTACACCCACATAATCAACGAGCGCAACTTCGACAGACTAGACAGCCTCCTAAACTCAACATCAGGCAATATAGTCTACGGTGGCCAACGCGACCGCTCAACCCGATTCTTCGCTCCAACCATCGTCACAGGCGTGAAACCCGGCGACAGCCTCCTATCCGAAGAACTCTTCGGTCCCATCCTCCCCATAATCGAAGCAGATCTGGACACCGCCCTCGCATTCACCAGAGAAACAGGCCAACCATTGAGCGCGTATGCATTCACCCAAAGCCCAGCTGAGAAAGACCGCCTTCTCAACGAGATCCAGTCTGGAGGCGTCACATTCAATGACTGCATGCTCCATGCCGGCGCCCAGGGCGCGCCTTTCGGCGGAACAGGATCGTCGGGCTTCGGCTATTACCATGGCATTCATGGATTCCGCGAGTTCTCTTACCTGCGTACGGTTACAAATGCCCTCCCGGCTTGGATGGAGCCGTTGATGGATGCGAGGTATCCGCCTTATTCGCTTAAGAAGCTTAAAGCTTTTGCGCCTGATGTTACGCCTCCATTCGATCGTGATGGGAAGGATATTTCCCAGAGGAGCTTGACGAAGTGGGCCATCGGCTTTGGAGTGTTGGCGTTTTCGGCTGTGAAATTAGGCGTGCACGAGAGTATCTTGGACCTGACTTCGTAATGGCTGTAGGTGCTGCTGCATGAGTGAGTGGGCAATTCATTTATGAGAATGAGTGGTAATTGGGTCCCGCGAGGTTGGCTGAGAGCCTGGGACAGACGACTCAGCTGAATGCCGATCGTCCTGTTCATTAGATGCCAGTGGATCAGAACAAGATCTCGATAGAAGAGTGGGTTCCTTTTTCGGACCGACTCTGATGATTCGTTTCCATTTTTCTTTTACGGTGGAATTCCTGGCCATCGCCTTTTTGCACCTATTCCCTGCTCTACACATACCTTAGACATGAATATAGCTTTCATCAACTAATCATCTACGTCCAATTTCGACGGCTTGTCTACAGCCGATTGATCTACATGTACCCATCGCAGCTCTAGATACTAACGCCACGCTAATCGTAAGGCGCCCAACTGATGCTCACATCGCCATGAAGACCCCCCCCCCCGGCTCGGCTAATTCAGTACCCTAAGGCTTCGAAATACGACTTTTCCACTTTTTTGAAACAGAAATAGAAAAGCAGAGGTTGTGTAATTAGAGAGCACATTCCTTAAAATAGCAATACGCCGCTCTTCATATTATCTACCATTTTCACTCATCACTTTACTTGATTCCTTCCCGCCTAACCAGTCCCCTAATCAGTGGCTATGTCGGACCATACAAGCCCACCGAACAGCTACGAGCTCTACCATGGCCAAGCTCAAGGCCAAGGCTATTACCCATCCCACCAGGAGAGTACCATGCCAGAGCAGAAGTACTACAATTCGGCTGTAAGTGTACCAACGAACAAGACTTACGTTTTTCTATATTCATAGCTCAAAATAATATCATAGTCACAGCCACATAACCAGCCAGAGTTTGCTAGTGCAGCTCCAGACTACCCACCTCCATATAGAGGTCAAACACCCCAGGACTAAATCCGGGCTCTGAATACCTTCCCCGAGTATCCAACCAAGATAATGGATACGTACCCTACCATGCAGAGCAGCACCTATGCAGCGGCGAGAATGCATCATACTATGCGGGCATACCACAGGACCAAGTGAATGGAGTTGGCACTGTTCCTGGTGTCGGTCCAGAGGGTGATGGTGAGAGGGGGCCTTGGGTCAACACTTATTGGAGGTGCGGCTGGGGGGTATGCGGGTCATAAGATGCAGGGTGGGTTTCTTGGGACTGCTGGTGGGGCAGTTCTAGGTGCTGCTGGGATGAATATGGTTAGCCATGAGATGTGAGTGATTATGAATGTTTAGGCTTGGTTTTGATGCTGTTAGAATTTCGATATAGCAAGGATCATAGGAGGCATGAGGAGAGGAGGTATGCTGAGCAGTTTGGGCAAGGGCCTGCAGAAGGGTACGGGCATTTGCATCACAGGCATGGGCGTGGACGTGGTAGAGGACGAGGCCTTGTGCGCGGACGGGGGCGTGGTCGTGGATATTAAGGATATTTCGAGGTCTTGATCCATCGACGAAGGAAAGGTGGATTGAATGAAAAATTTGAATTAAAGCCATTAGGACTCAAAAAACCATTGGTATCATGAAGCTATAGTTTCTGTACAGACTATTGGCACAAAGTGTTCAAGTCGTGCTATGCTACATATCATCGGCGCCCTCGCGATCGTCAAAGATCATAAAATCATCAGGGTCTTCATCTCCCGCAACCTTCAACCATGCCTGCTTGATCATGTCGATATTTTCGTCCTCAAAAGCCAAATCCAGGCTCGGGGGCGGGAAGCTATAGACATGAGGCGAGTGGGTTTGGATGGTAGGGGATGTGCCATCATTGCTGAGGCGACCTTGTTGGTTGTATCGCATGGACCAAAGCACAACGGCTTGGGGTCCCTCAGCCTGAACGAGTCGGTCCACGGCGCGCTCTAAGAGAGTTTGACCTTCTTGACCTGTCATAGAAGTACTACCATAGATGATGCCTGTTGATGCTAATTAGCCTCATGAACGAATCAAAAGTTGGGTGAAACCACAATGAAGTAGTTTTGCTCTTTATCAGTTATTGATAGATTAACGTTTTCATCAATGCAATTACAGGCAATGTAGATAAGTTAAGGTAGTCATCATAAGAGCGAGAGGAGGATGGGAAGCTAGGCTGAGAAGGAAAGACTTACTCTGCTGACGTGGACAGTCGCCGGTGTCACTCGAGTGGACCTGGAGATAGACTGGCGGCGACTGTGGACTGCCCAATGTCTCCCCTGGGAACATCAGGATAGCACTGGCGGGCACGGGAGCCCCTTCCACTGTGGCAGGGAAGAGTGTTGTGAAATCTGAGGCGACCACGGTAATTGACCGTGTGAATTTAGCACAAGACTGTGACTGCTCCTGGGTGGGATAAAGATCCCATACAGTACCGATCACAGACTTGGTCCGAACCGACTCACCGTTGGAGAGCTGCAACTCTACAGGATACTCCTCGCCCGACTCATTATCAGTGAGTGATTTAATCCCCGTATCAAGAGCATAAACACCTCCACCCACAGCAGAGGCTCGACAGGCGACCTGGAGAATCTCTGACCCTCCGCCATATTTGGATATAACTCCTCCGAATCCTGGTCCTAGAGCACCGATAGATGCAAGGTGTCTCTTGATCCGAGGAACAGCATAGCTGGCCGATGTGTTCTCAAGGGTTTGCTGGGACAGCGACAATGAGAGCAAAGGGCTTTGAAGATCCTGCGGAACACCAAACTTAGATGAAAGGTAGTCACCGAAAGGCGCCGACAGGTCCTCTTCAGCCTCCTCGGAGTCTTCATCTGCAGGCTTGCTGATGTGTCGCAAAAAGCGCATCAGGGTTCTCTTGGACTTCATACTGATACGAGTATCAGCGAAGATGTCCTCGCGGTTGCCGGGCACACGATGAAAATTTCTTGTGGCCCCGAGTTCGCTATCCTCGGCACTGAGTTGTTCGGAGTGAATCCACCAGCTTCCTACGGCCATGAACTCCAGCTGGCGGTAGACCTTGGAAGATATTAGGACTGAGATTAGTTGGGAGCGGGTGTAGAGGAAATGCGGGGAAAGAGAAAGTGTGTAGGCGCGACTTGCAGCCAGCTTGGGACGAGCACCCGAGCTCGATGGACAATCGCCGCCCTCAGAGCTGGGCTGAGAGGGATCTAGAGGGTAAGTGACAACCTTGGCATCTTCAAATGGAGATTGGCCAGGATCTACCGGTTCAACAGAAATCAGCAACATGCCGGAATGTAGAATACACTCGGCGGCAACCCACGTTGGTTGACACTGTTCACCCACTCCTGAGCCTCATCCAGACTAAAGGCTGCCTCGGACGCTCCATAGTATGGGTTCTGATCCAAGTGGAGAACTTTCTTTCCAGACCGAGAGAGGGACCTAGAAGAAAACGCGTCAGTGGGGGGATTCTGCGCTCGACCAATGATACTCACAAGGCCAGGAGAGATTGAGCCAGCCCTGTTCCTGCAATGACCACGTCCCACGAGGTCTCTGCTAAGGTGTCCATAGTGTCAATAATCAGACTCGAGGTCCGCGATGTAGCAGGTAAGCAGATTACAGGTGCGGGCTCAATGCTCATATGATTGAGTGTTGGTGAATGTCCTCTAGGATATGTTTCGAAATTCCATGGGCTTGCAAGTGAAAGCGCGTTCAGCCCATGGAGCTCGCAGGACTGGAGAGAAGAGAAAAGGAAAAAAATGTTCCGCGAAGTCCTGTCCGTTTTGTGCGGGAAGGCGGTCAGATGTGTGGGGCTCGACAGCTTGCCAGCGCCAACATTATTTTGCGCGAAACTTCGTATATTGAAGACTCATTGTCTAGACCAGATAAACCGGCATCTGGCCTCACAGTCTCTGGCTAGTGTTCTGCGCCAGCCAGGGAATCAACGGAACCGCATCTTGAAGAATCATTTTGCCTCTCAGCTTTTTGCTCATATCATACCCCTTGAGGTCCTCCAAGGAAGCTGGATGGAGAGTTATGGCAACGTATGGCAAATCACTCTATATGCTGAATTAGAACATTGATGCAATGTTAAAGCGGAAACATCTACCCCGTATAGAAAGTGGCTATGCAGAATCATCTTCAACGCCATATCCAACACATGTAGAGAGCTTGACAGTGCGAGGTCAAAATAGAAGCTTCGAAAATCATCCATCACTTCCTGGTACTTAACTCCAATGCGATGCTCCGTTACCAAGCTCGGTGTCTTGCGCATTAGAGTGGCTACCCGAGTAATTCATTACGGTAAAGCTCCTACTGCATGCGAGAGGATAACTTTGCAATCCGCATACTCTGCTTTTATGCCAGATAAAATCATGTCCATCACAGATTGGGTGGTCTCGGCGGATAATATACTGCAGGCTGCGGTAGCTTGGGATTAAACATGGTCGTGTTTACTAGTCAAGCTGGGTGGGCGAAGACAAAATACTTGTGGCGGTTCAGCTCAGCCCAGATGGGCTCGAGTGGTGAATGTCCTAGATATGTATGATTATCAAAAGAGTAGCCCCGTTCAGCATGTAATATATCTAGGCTTGTATGCAATCTCAGCAAGAACAGCTTCTATGTAGAGAATATCGGGGAAATCATCAAAATACCTCGGTCAGGTAGAAGATTTTGGTAAGTATATATCCGTGTATGTCAAATTGAAATTGTCAATCTGATCTAAATTTCTCCCATCAAACCCAACACGATGATGAACGGTGGACGGAACCCATGCATGCTCTGCCTTATCCTGTACGGAATACGAGATGTCCAGGTGGCGCGTACGAATTTGGTGAATCACGAAATACGATGCGCGCAACACGGTCAGAGAGATTCATTGTTGATTGTGATTCTTGATACAAAACTGGTCAACCCGATGCAACCACTTCTCACGCATTCGATGTGTCAGTGCATCTGATCGGACAAAACGCATCCATCCGGACTAAATCCCAAATTGTACGAATGTCTCGTCATTAGGTGGCCGTTCGAACTTACATTTAGCTCGCTACGCTAGAGAAACCGAAGCGCCTATCATTCCCCGAATGAACCTTCCAAGGGATAAAGTGGGCTAGGAAGGTGCCTAGACAGGGATCATTGATTAGGTTAGTACCCTTCATGCAGGTGTAGCTGATGGTTCTTGCCCCAATTCCACGAATGAGCTGGGCGCGCATACCCCACTCTGTCATCGAGCCATTTCTCCAAAAAGCCGCGGTACGAGATGAACTGCGTGTTTCATTTGAATTGCCTTTGATAAAAATAGCCCCCAAGTGACGTGGTCCCGCTATTCGGAGTTCCACGATCAGCCATTTGAGTAACTTACTCTCCTCCGCTCCCCGTCAACCAAATTATCCAATTCCAGACGAATCGGTCCTGAGACCAACATATCCAATTTCCCTTCATATGACCCAGGTGCATAATAATGACAAGTGAAAGTCCTGTCATTATCGTCGGTGGCGGGCTGGCCGGTCTTGTGGCTGCGTTCGAGCTCTCCAAACGTCAAGTCCACAGCGTTATCGTCGACCAAGAGAACGAAGCAAACCTTGGAGGGCAGGCGTTTTGGTCTCTTGGAGGCCTCTTTATGGTCAACTCCGCCGAACAGCGTCGGGTGGGCATCAAGGACAGCCGTGAACTCGCGCTGCAGGATTGGTTGGGTACCGCACGCTTTGACCGCGATTGCGACTACTGGCCGAAGAAATGGGCCGAGGCATTCGTCGATTTCACGTCAGGAGAGCTTGAGACTTATGTCAAATCACTCGGCTTGAGTATTGTCAGCGTCGGCTGGGCCGAAAGAGGCAGCGGAGATGCTGGGGGCCATGGAAACTCGGTGAGTTCGGCCCCCATTATACCTAAACCACGCCACTGATAACAGGACACAGGTACCTAGATTCCATTTATCATGGGGCACCGGACCTGCAGTGGTCGATATATTTGAGAAGCCTGTCAGAGCAGCTGCGAAGAAAGGGCTTGTGGACTTTAAATTCCGCCACCAGGTTGACTCTATAGTGGTGGATGAGCACGGTGCGGCTATCGGCGTGCGGGGCCAGGTTCTTGAGCCGTCGGATACCATTCGCGGAGTTGCAAGCAGTCGGACGAGCATCGATAAATTTGAGATATGTGGAAGCAAAGTGCTCATATCCAGTGGAGGTATTGGTGCCAATATTGAACTAGTCAAGAAGAACTGGCCCGTTGATCGAATCGGCGCAATCCCATCCAACTTCGTCGTTGGTGTCCCTGCCCATGTGGACGGACGTATGATCGAAATTGCCCAGGTGGCAGGCGCCAATGTAATAAATAGCGATCGCATGTGGCATTACACTGAGGGCCTTATGAACTGGGATACAATCTGGCCAAATCACGGAATTCGAATCATTCCTGGTCCATCTTCACTCTGGCTGGATGCTACGGGTCACCGATTGCCCCCAATGCTCTACCCTGGAACCGATACACTTGCTACCCTAAAGCATATCTGCCAAAGTGGCCATGACTACACATGGTTTATCCTTAACAAGACGATAATAAGCAAAGAGTTTGCCCTTTCAGGCTCCGAACAAAACCCGGACATTACCGGGATGAGCTATCTTCAAACTCTGAAACGCCTTCTGGGCTGGTCTCCCACCGCACCTGTTCAAGCATTCATGGACAAAGGAGCCGACTTCGTGGTTGAGAAGAATCTTCCTGAACTGGTTGCTGGGATGAACAAACTAGCGAAAGAACGAGGCGGACCCGAACTTGACGTTGAACACATTGAGAAAGAGATCCATCTTCGCGATAGCCAATGCGACAATCCATTCAGCAAAGATGCCCAGATAATGCTCATCCAAAATGCACGCAACTACTGGCCTGAGCGATGGTCTCGGGTGGTCAAGCTCCACAAGCTCACAGATCCTAGCCATGGCCCCCTGATCGCAGTCCGGTTGAACCTCTTGACTCGAAAGACCCTTGGTGGACTGGAATCAAATCTCAACGGAAACGTCCTTCGTCCAGATGGAACAATCTTCCCAGGGTTGTATGCTGCGGGCGAAGTCGCAGGATTTGGAGGAGGTGGAGTCCACGGTTACAGTGCTCTGGAAGGTACTTTCCTTGGGGGCTGCATCTTTTCCGGACGAGTGGCTGGTATCAAAATGGCTGAGGCAATTTTGGGGGGCTCAAATGAGTCCTCGTAGGCGTTTACGAGTATATGAAGGGCAGCAGTGAATGATCGCAAACTGATATACCAATTAGTCGAGTATCTTAATTCATAGTATGGTTGTCTTTATTCTTAGGACATAGGAAACAAACGAGATTTAACAGCCCGCCTTTTCAATAACGTTGTAGCACGAAAGTAACAGGATTCATCTATTGTTTTCTTAAGACTGAGCCGTGGAGGGTGATTGTTTACTTGATGAATGTTGTCTCGATGAATAGTTTTTCCGAAAGTATGTAGATCGTGACAAAATCTAGACCATGATTGGAAAAAAAGAGGAATAAATCTAGTTGTCTCGTTGCTGCGCCGCAAGCGTCATACTCACACGCTCAACCTGTACCCGAAGTCGTTCCACAGCGTCCACCACATCCGCGAGCTGTGTCTGTCCAGGTCGCGCTAGGTTAGATTCACTTGCACCCTGCGAGTCAACATTCAGTCGCTCATGACCAAGCCTTAGACGGTTGACTTCGACCACGGAAGGATGTAATGGGGCCTGAAATCTGGATACACTAGGCTCGCTCGTAGCGGTACTAGGTGGTCGCCCTCCTAATGGTCTCGAGGACCGGGAGGATGATTTGCCTGAACTTTGACGAATTGACTCATAAAACCAGATCATCGTGACAAACGGAAGATGCGTTGCTCGAAGTAAGACGATGCGTACTCGGCGGACTGTCCCCGCGGATAGAAATAGTCGTAAAGGGCGGATGCATAGCAGTGGAATTAGGTTCTATCTATGTTAGTTTTGTGATTTTCTAGATCAGACCGTAGCTCAAGATAGCGACGAACCAGTGGTGGCAGGAAATATGTCAGGCGTCGGGAATTGCTACTTTCTAGGACGTAGATAGATAGCCTGGGATATTTAGCAAAACAGAAAATGGGTCTGCCTGTGGATTTGATACACTCACTGGAAGAGATACTCCTCGCGGGCATGAGCCATTACCTGGAAAAATGATTAGCTGTTGTGTTGATATAGAAGTCCTGATAAACCTACTCCCTCTAGACTCATACCCATCAAACTGATAAGGCATGCAAGGAGCAAAAAGTTACTCAAGGGGACGAAAATCAACCTATACTTGATGTCAGTCACCGTAACCAAATACTAATCAAAAAGAGCTCACATCAAGCCATAGCCGAAGATCGGCGAAATCTAAAATTTGTCATGTTAGTAAACCAAAGCTGAATACTTAACTTGAGTACTAGGGAGCTAACCTTTAGTGCGTTATCCTATAGTCCAGACGATTCATCGTCAGCAAATACAGGATACTGTCATAGATCATGAAATTTAACAACTCACAAATCCAAGCGTCCCAGACCTAGTTCAAAGTTAGCTACAATAAGCGATGTTTAAGAAGGTCCTCGCAGACTCACCCAAAGAACACTTTTAACAGCAAGAACGACATCTCGCCGACGAAAAATCGATCACGAGCAAGAAGCGAAAAGGTCGTGAGAAATGCTTTTTTACCCCTTCCAGTCAGTCATGTTCATAGACGTATAATCGAGTCACCCATACCCGTGTAAATGACAAGCACCACAGGTAAAAACCTCAAAAATGCTTTCGTCTAGGATGAATCAGCGTCAGGCGTCTGAGCGACGATTCATGTTGAAATATTACCATCTCTTTCATCACAGGGATCTGTTCGTTCTACAGTCAGAAAATTACTCGTAGCTGCGGGGCACGTTTGACCTACCAAACTTCCGAAATATGCATTCAAGCTCACAAGCGAGCATATTCTGCAAATTCGTGGCGTCAGAGCTGGAAATCTCTGAAATCAATGAAATACCGATAATCATACCTTGGGACAAGAAACAGTGCCTCTAAGGAGAGAATATCGAATGACAAGTTGAGAATGTAGTCATCCTTTTTAAACAGGCCGATGCCTCCTGTGACGTGTTCATCAGCCCACGAAAATCAAGTAGTGTCTCTCTGTGTGTAAAATGTGGGAGTGTGGGTCTTACTAGTGATAATAAATGCAAATCCGACTCCTATGATGGCGAGGTTCCACAAACTCCAGAAGTCCATTTGATAGAAAAGCACTCCGGCATCGACAATGCCACTAAGCTCATCGTAGGCAAAAGCGACAATCCAAATGTCCATCAAAATTTCAAAGCGACCAATTGATGTTGGCGACCTTTCCACGAGTACTGTATAGTACAAAAACAACAGGGAAAGAAAGAAAACTGCCTCAAACATCTTTCGATATACAGGGACTCGCATGCGCGAGTATGGATCTGAAGTCCTGAATTAGACCTGTTAGATAATTTATGCCGATGACGGAAGAACTGGTTCTCACCTCGAATTGAATATTTGGGGCTTCTTGGTCGAATGGACGGTGAGCGAGTCCCAGAAAACAATCTCTCCATTCCAGATGTCGTTCACCATTCGCTGAACCACGCGCTGACTGAGGAACTTTTTGGCTTGGGCAACAGCCGCAATCTCCAGTGCATTTAGCCCAAAGAATTGGAAGTACCGCGAGTTATCCTCGCTCTCGTGGTCGGAGCCATATAGCTCCGAGTAATCCTGATTCTTTTGAGCCGCTGCGCTCCTTTTACCAAAACCAAGAAGATTGAGAGGGGTTGGCGAGCGGAACAGAAGCGGCGTTGCTTCTGTTTCGGGGGCAAGTTCAAACCCAGGATCACCCCTTTCAACCTCGGTGAGGTTTGTTGAGTTGCGACGGGGAATCGGAAGCTCCTCCAATAGGAAATCAATGGCCTCGATCTGGTTTAGATGACATAGGAATTGCCATGCAACAAACTCGCAGGCTACCCCTCGACTCTCATTCAATCCCCAGTCGTCGTCCTCGGCACTTGAAAATTCCCACTTGAGGATCATCAGGGCTACAATAATGAAGGGATTGTGACTGTCCTCGGCCAAGGCGTGCACAAGTTCACGAAGACGGTGGCCTCGAGATTCATGGCTCATGGCCTCAAAGGAGAATGCAATTTCACCAACTGCATTGGTGATAAATCTACGTGGTAGTTAGTACTGCCTCGAAATTATGGAACAAAAGCAAATCTGCGCTTACTGAGAGAGTTTTGGAATTATGGAAAAAAGCGATTCATCGGTTTCGATGACGGGGATCCCATAATCATCCATAGTTATTGAAGAATCCATGCTGGATGCCGAGAGCTCAATATGGAGATCGGAATGCCAGCAACGTATTTTGGCTGTGGGCGGGACCATGTCAGATTGAATCTAAAGGAAAACGCCATGGAGCACAAGAACGCACCAAATTGAGCCTTAAAATGAATGGGAATTACCTTCAAATTTCGAGCGCCTTCACGCTGCCGAAATATTTGTTATCAAGGGTCAATTCCCCTTGGATGTTGTTTACTCCTGGCTCGTCGTGTCCTGGAAACCAGGTTGAACTACCTACAACCACGCATCACGAGGGCTCGAGCAAATGAAAAATAAAAATGACTCAGATCACAACAGCCGACCAGACTCGGGAATATCTAAAGATTGAAATAATTGTGGTTGAAATGACGGCTTTCAGCTCTAACAGTGTGCTGGCAGTGCCTCACCGCCTTCCTATCACCATCACGTGGGGCGGTGTCAAGTGACCTCACTCGCGTTATCGCGTGCTTTCTATTTCCCCATTCTCCAACTTCAAAAGAAGGAAAGAGAGAGATGAAATACATGATACACCATGGGACAAGGCTACTCCCTCACAACCCTGTCTGCAGGGTCAGCAGGGATAGATGTCCCCGAGCTCTCGGATCTGGTGTATGAGAAGTCAATGGGTGGGGGCAGATTCATGAAGAGCATCCGTGCTAGGCAACAAAACGGCCTGGTCTTTGTGAAGGTGATCATGAAGCCTTATCCGACGATGAAGCTAGAGTCTTATGTCAAGGCAATCATTCGTACGCATGCACTGCTTGATAAGGTGTTGGACCCGAGCTGATCTTGTTTATACAGGGGAACGTAAGCTCTTATCTGATGTGCCTAACGCATTGAGCTATGAAAGAATTCTGGAAACCAGCACCAGTGGATATCTAGTCCGTCAGTACATTCATAGCTCCCTGTATGATCGAATGAGGTATGTCTAATCAGTTTTGGTACATTTGATGTAGAGGTACCCATATTGACTTTTATATAGCACCCGTCCATTCCTCGAGGACATCGAGAAGAAATGGATTGCCTTTCAGCTCTTGGGCGCTCTACGGGACTGTCACTCCATGGATGTTTTCCATGGCGACATCAAAACGGAAAACATTCTAGTCACGTCATGGAACTGGTTATACCTGTCTGATTTCTCTTCTTCGTTCAAGCCTACTTTCCTGCCCGAGGATAACCCGGCAGACTTTTCGTTTTACTTCGACATTTCAGGAAGACGAACCTGTTACCTCGCGCCAGAAAGATTCTTGGTCGCTGGCGAAGAGCCGGGCAATCGTCACGTCAATTGGGCTATGGATATCTTCAGTGCTGGCTGCGTCATTGCTGAGCTTTTTCTCGAGTCGCCAATTTTTACCCTCAGTCAAATCTACAAATATCGAAAAGGCGAATATAGTCCAGAGCACGGCCCGCTCACGAAAATCGAGGATCCTGAAATTCGTGAACTAATTTTGCATATGATTCAACTGGAACCCGAGTCTCGGTATTCTGCAGACGAGTACCTGAATTTCTGGAAGAACAAAGCCTTCCCGGAGTATTTTTACAGTTTTCTCCATCAATACATGTCACTCATGACGGATCCATCTTCTGGCAGAACGAAGGTGGATGCGGAGTCTGCCAACAGAGGCGAGACCGACGATAGGATAGAGCGAGTCTGTCTAGACTTTGACAAGATCTCTTACTTCCTTGGTTCTTCATCCCGAGGGCCTCAAGATATACCTAGCCTCGGCGGTTCACGACTCACGGGTGACATACTTCCTGTAAAGCTTGATCTGCCGGAGGGTGGGAACAATCAAACAACTGGGACACAGCCGGATGAGGGTGTCTTGATTTTTCTGACACTTGTTGCTTCAAATCTTCGGACTACATCTAAAGCTTCAGCTCGCATTAAAGCTTGTGATATTCTTCTAGCATTTGCAGAAAGATTGTCTGACGAGGCCAAGCTCGACCGTGTCCTGCCATACATTATGATTCTCTTGGCCGACCGAACAGACACTGTGAAGGTTGCGGCCATCCGCACTTTAACACAATTATTGGAGATGGTGCAGGTAGTATCTCCAGTAAACGCATATCTCTTCCCCGAGTACATTTTCCCGCGGCTTCAGCATTTCGTCATCTCTCACAAGAGCAATCCGAGTGCTATGGTTCGTGCTGCATATGCCTCGTGCATCGCATCCTTGGCGCAGTCATCATTAAGATTCCTGGACATGATCCAGGCGCTGCGCTCTGATACTCGTTTAACCGCTCTGATTCCTGTCGGCTTCGAACCGCGATGGACTGAAGATGCTACATACCATAACCTTTATGATGTGGCTCGAATTGATCTTCTGGAGTATTTTGAGGCTCACACAAAGGCGCTCTTGACCGATACCGATGCCACGGTCCGTCGAGCATTCTTGGGATCTGTGTCCAGACTTTGCGTCTTCTTTGGTAATTTAAAAGCAAATGAGGTAATCCTCAGTCATCTCAACACCTACCTCAACGACCGGGACTGGATTCTAAAATGCGCCTTTTTTGAGGCTGTCGTTGGTGTGGCTGCATACGTGGGAAGCACCAGTTTAGAGCAGTACATTCTGCCGCTGATGATCCAATCCATGACTGAGCCTGAGGAATTTGTGGTGGAAAAGGTAATTCGATGCCTAGCAGCTATGGCCGACCTAGGGTTATTCCAGCGATCAACAACATGGGATTTGCTCCATATTACCCTTGGATTCTTAGTTCACCCGAACATCTGGATCAGAGAGGCTGCGGTGAACCTGGTCGTAAAATCAACCAAGTTCCTGGCCGTGGCTGACATATACTCCATTCTGACTCCCCTCATTCGTCCTTTCCTTAAGGTCAAGATCGTTGGCTTTTCCGAGCTTGAAATACTCGATGCTCTTAAGCGCCCAATGTTGAGGAGCGTGTACGAGATGGCATTTCTCTGGGCCTCAAAATCGGATAAAGGGGTCTTCTGGAAATCAGCGAGCCGTGATGGTGCATTCAGTCTTTCCGAGCCTGGAGCACACGGATTCCGAGCTGGGCGTTCCTTTTCTTTAAGTGCACATTCGAAGAACGATGAAGATGAACAGTGGCTTGCCAGGCTGCGAAATCTTGGAATGACCCCGGAGGATGATTTCAAGCTCATTGCACTCAAGGATTATATTTGGAGGGTCTCACTAAGGCAAGTAAGGGACATCGATTCCCATTCCACGCCGCCGTGGAACGATATAATTAGCCTAGCTCACCATGGTCTCACACCTCAAACGGTTTTCTTTGATAAGAACCTCAACGACAAGCCACAAAGTACGTCCCGGGATCGAACTGAAAGTCCAAGGCCTGAAGAATCGAGGCCGCGAACTATCGCTGATGCGCTGCTCGATGCCTCCACGACTATTGAGCGGGCACCTCATTCCGGGCACAAGCATAATCGATCACGGAGCCAGCTCCATAAGGGGATAGACATCCGCCCGAGTCGACAGGGAGACATGGCAGTGGGCTCCTCTCCATCTTCTCCTGCGGCTTCATCCCCTGCTGGTGGTCCTGGAACTCGACCGTCGCCTTCGCCAAATTTAGATATGCCTACTCCTGCTCGCCGACTGAGTTCTGGGCAAGAGAGCACCTCAACAACGCCCACAAATGCGGACAACATGTCGCTTAGAAGCGAGAGAGTTCAAAAGAAATCTAGCGCAATAAATCTTCTCGGGCGCAATGAGACCGCAAAGGCATATGCGGAAACAAGCACAAATTCTGCCAATGCGTTTGGAAAGGTGGATGCCCCCGTTCAAAGAGGCGGAACTCCCCAGCCATCAGGTCTCCACCAGGCCATTGAACGCATGCCAGTCCAGGCAGCAGCACGGCGGTATCGTGCCAATCACTCATATGAAGGCGATGACCCGACCGTTTTGCGACTACTGGACAATGTTTTTGCTGACAACTACCCAACTGATTTGTTCGACCTGGGTCCATACGTCAAAGAATTGGATCTACGACAACCAATCCGCAAAGCCAACTCGCACGATCCTAATAAGATATGGCGGCCCGAGGGGAACTTGGTGGCGACCTTTGGCGAGCACAGCGGGCCCGTGAATCGCATTGCGGTGCCACCGGATCATTCTTTCTTTGTCACTGCGTCCGATGACAGCACGGTCAAAATCTGGGATACGACGCGCTTGGAAAGAAACTTGACACCTCGCTCCCGCCAGACCCATCGCCATGCGCCCGGAGCACGGGTCCAGGCTTTGACTTTCGTTGAAAATACGTACACCTTCGTGAGCGGCGCGACAGATGGTAGTATCCATGCTGTTCGGGTCGACTATCATAGAGCCAACGAGACCGTACGCTACGGGAAGCTTCAACTGGTTCGCGAATACCAATTACCTGTCATGGAGAATGGATCCCCCGAGTATGCTGTCTGGATGGAACACTTCCGGGACGAAGGCCATTCAACTCTTCTCGTTGCCACCAACGCCTGCCGCATTCTCGCGTTAGACATGAAGACCATGCTACCGGTTTACACCCTGGAGAATCCCGTGCATCACGGAACTCCAACCACCTTTTGCTGTGATCGTCGACACACTTGGCTTCTTGTCGGCACGACGCATGGTATCTTGGATCTGTGGGACCTTCGGTTCCGAGTGCGACTCAAGGCGTGGGGTCTTCCCGGCTGGGGATCAGTCCAGCGAATCCAACTACACCCTACAAAACCACGTGAGCGCTGGGTTTGCGTATCTAGCAGCGGCAGCCACGGCAATGAAATTACAGTATGGGATATTGAGCGATTTAGGTGCCGCGAGGTCTACCAGGCGACGCCACTGGACACGCACGAGAACAATTCCAATGGAACGCATCGTGTCTCCCGTCCCACCAACACCCGTGGCCACCGAATCCTGGCGAAAGACTTTGAAGCATGGCCCGTAGATGAAGACCGACCGGAGGGTATGCTCAGTCGCTTTGCTACCGCCAGCCCTGCGGCGACGGGCATGCCACCAAGCACCGGAGAAAACGGCTCTGGGTCACCACCCAACCACCCCTCCGGAGATCGACTTGGGACGTGGGCATTTACAGTGGGTCTCAATGCCCCTGATGACGACAAAGCGTCTAGTAGCCGGTGCGGGTTCATCGTGTCTGCGGGGTGCGACCGAAAAATCCGGTTCTGGGATCTTGCCCGCCCGGAGCTGTCGATGATTGTTAGTGGGATGGATGCCGTGTCGGAGGGTACTAACGCTGGCAAGCCGCGTTACGAACTATCTCAGCCTGGACCGAACCTTGTGGTGACAACCGAGCACCTGCCCAATGCACCTGGCAGCGGACAGACCGCGGGAGGGTCGCGGAAGGCAAGCTCACGGCCTCCCCGCAGCACAGTGATTAGTCTCCAGCAGCAGATGCTTCTTAAGAGTCATTTGGATATCATCCAAGACGTTGCTGTGTTGCGACAACCGTATGGCATGATTGTCAGTGTTGACCGGGCGGGCATGATCTACATCTTCCGATGAGAATGAGAATACCATGTACAGTACGGAGTATTAGAGGGGCCTTGCATGAAATGTTCCAATGTTTTCTGGCTGGATTTGCAATGCGGTAGCAATAGATACCCTAAATATTCAATTCAATTCTGCTAGCAACAACGCTCACTGCCTGCACCTACCCAACCTCCAAGTTTGATCCCAGTCCCGATCTGTGTGAAGTGCCTTCATAGTCCCTCGACCATTGATGTACATCTCTACTAAATCGGGTCCCCCACACAGCAAACCTTTCACACAGACCCAACCGAAATTCTAAGCTGACAGTACACTAATCCTGTTGTACGGAATAAAAATCTTATCTACAGTACACTGCAGTACTCCGTAGCACTCGCCAGATCGGATCGAGCATGTGCACTATTCTCCACAGATACCTGACAGCAGCGTCCCCGGTACCTCCGTCGCGACGGGTCTCCCGCCACTCCCGAGGTAGCGGTTACGTACCCTGCAGGTACACTGGGGGGAGCTGGAATGTGGGCCGCGCCCACGCAGACGAAACACCGGTGGATGATCGGCAGAAGCTACGACCAGAATGAGTCTAGGCTCTATGGCCCAGTGTCCACGGGTGAGTGTTTTTGCCTTCTGGCTTTCTGACGCAGGCAATGGCCGTTTTACCGTACATTTCCACTTGGCTACCGCAGAGGCGTTTCTTAATTGAATCTAGCAGTCTCTTTCCTGCATAACATACAGTAGTAACCTTGGGATTTACGAGAGAGTGGATTACGAATTTCTCCGGCCCCAGAATCCCGAAAGAATGGTTGAGATCCATGATCCCTATGAGTGACTCGGTATAATCTCTTTTCTTTGTTCTCGATTGATGGATTTCTTTCCATTGGTTACTATCTGCATTTCTCCGATTCAAGATCACCTTACAGTAGAGCTATGTGCCGTGTACCAAGGTCTCCACGCGAATGACAGACGCCAATTCAGACAAGGTTGCCCACCAACACGGATTGAGGCGATTGGCCCGATGGGATCTCCATACGAACTTCCTGAGTCGGCTCGGTAGATTTTGACAAGATGACAAGTTGTGGAGTCCATCGAAAAAAAATTAAATTAGAGCGGAGAACCACTCCAGCTGAGCCATGCGGGTTTCTGTTCCCCTTTGTCTCACAGTCGGAGCTTTCTGATATCAGTCTTGCACGTAAGTCAAGGGGGGTGTATGCCGTGCAGTATGTACGGCATGTACGGCATGTACGCAGAACTGGGTAAAGAAAGGCCTCATCTTTCAGGGGCTGGGTACGATTGAATGAACACGAATCGCTGGGTGTCGTGGGTCCAAGTTCTGGGGCCAGGGGAACGCACCACTCACAGCGCTTGTCGCCGTGAGACGGGTACGCGGGACGCAACCAACTGCAGGGCCCTTGGAAAGCTTTGCGGCCCCAAGGCTCCAGGAACCGTGGTTTTGTTTGTCGTTTCCAAATCATGGATCTCTGTCGATCTTAAGATCCGTACGATCGGGCAGGTGCAGGATTTCTTGGATTCCGAGGATGATCGAGCGCAACTGGGGCCTCAATTCCTTGGTATTGGATGGCAATTTTAGTTTTTCATTTTTGTTTTTTTTTTGGTTATTTGTCTTTCCTGTATTTTTGGACTTGGTCTGTGTAGAAATTGATTAGAATATCCATTGTCATAGTGGATCGGACCGCTCTTTCTCCTCGCAGCTCGCAGGCAAGACAGAGTTGCAATGCGGTCGCACCAGTGAAAAAAGGTTTACCGGTTGCGATCTTGGCAAGAGGGGGAAAGATTCAAGAATACAGTACAGAGAACGAGTATGAGTAGCCTGTGACAATCGACCGTGATCTGTCGAGTTTGTAAGGTTCTGGGGGTTGGAATTGGGGATGCAAAGAAGCTTGAAAAGCAGCGGTCAACGGGTTTGAAACGCTGTGCATGCAGGATGTATCGAACGGGTACATAGATCACATCCAGCGTAGTATTTGCGACTTTTCAGCATAGAAAGGAGGTTGAACGTCTGTAAATTGCGATTGCAACTCCAGTAAGATTGGATGTCGACCCCTGGACGCAGGGCTCTACCGAGTACATATAACACCGCATATTGCGCATACCGCGAATCCCTTCAAGTCTCTGCGTCTACATATAGAGACGGCATTTCTGGAAAGATAACCCCTGGACCAGGATCAATTTCAATTTGGAGCATCTCCGCTTTTGCCTCGTTTAATTAACGGACCGGAACCAAGTGGAGCCCAACCGGCGCGCGCGAGTGGTTCCTGTGGTTCGTAACTGGCTCCGGATGAACCAACCCCCTTTGGCTTTAGCTTCGGTCTCAGCTTCTTCTCCTATTCCACTGTGTTTCCCCCCCCCCTAAACCCTTTCTCTTACTTCGGCATCTTCGGTTCTTTGAAGTGTGGACAAATAGAACTTCGTTCTGTACACAACTTCACACATGGCCTGGGGTGCCTCTTACCGACTCTGAATTAAAACACTCTCTTTGTGACCTATCAATTTCCGACTCCATATCTTTGGTCTTTCCTTGTCCACCCCCGTTTTTCTTTCTTTATACTCGGCACTTGATAGTGCACCTCGCCCTTTGAAACGGGCCAGGACTATATATATACGCCATCATGGGAGCATCTCTGAGAGAACATGGTTCCTTTGTGCGGCCGGCCACTCGAGACCGGCCTTCGACTCGCGGCGAGGGGGAAAATTCGCTGGTCGTCCCCAGTCGCACGTCGTCGCTTCATTCTCGCATCACTCAACCCATTCCTTCCACTCTTAACATGAAGCCCGCCCAGCGGACGCCAAAAACTCTGACCCACGCCTATATGGTCTGCGGTGTCGGCCGTGAACCATCGCAATGGGTCAAGGCTCCTTCTCCAGATCAGGGCAAGATTGGGCATATGAAAGGCGCTGTTGGCCAATTCTGGCTCCCCGAGATTCTGGGCAGTAGCCCCCGGTTAGAGCAGGATAATGAGATCGCTCGTGCTCTGCACGCGGCCATGCGGGTAAGTTGGATCAAATTATGACGATCGGATTGATATAAAGATTAAAGAGGAATGTGGAATAGAGAACTAACCTAGTACATTCCATCTAGGCTTGTTTCCCTCACGATGTCGAAATCTGCACGGGCAAGAGCCAGCCTCACTGTGCCCACCACGCTTTCGTTTTGCAACAGGACTCTTCTCACACTCTGTACGGTATCGCGCTGCGCGTTTGGTCTCGTGCTGATGAGAAGCGCGCTGAGACCATCCGCGAATTGCGCAAGAAGACTGAGCCCGACTTTTACGACAACCCTGATGAGACCTACTGGATCCCCTACTGCTTGAGTTTCCTGTCCCGGTATCCATTGTATGACCTGCTGGGCGACTACCTCCGCGGAATGTGGATTCATTGGAATAAGGCTACCAACCTGTTCCACGCCGAGGAAGTTTCTCGGATTCTCAGCTTCCCGGCTCCCCGCTTGAACGACTTGGTTCGCATTGATATGAAAGATTACGCCTTGTGCTACCAGTTCCCATCCTCGCCAACCGGATTCCAGAACTTCGCCATGTGGCCCCTGTTTAACTGTCTTTCAATCCCCAACATCGTCGGTGTGATTGAGGCCGCCGTGTCACCTACTCGTCGTATTATCTTTGTCAGCCACTACCCGGCCATGCTGACCGTGGCCGCCGAGACTATCCGTTACTGCGTTCGCGTGTACGAGTGGAGCGGTCTTTACGTGCCCGTGGTGCACGCTCGTCACGTCAAAGAGCTTGTTCAGGAGCCCGGTCCTTACATTCTGGGTATCACCGCTGAGTGCCGAACTCTGTTCAATGCTCCCTCGGATGCCCTGGTTGTGGACCTGGACCGCAACTTTGTTTTGACTTCTAGCCCGCCCAATGTCCTGAACCAAGGCCAGCGTACGAAGTTCATCACCCGGTTGACTCAGTCTCTGAACGGCGACGTCTCGCCCTCTGGTGTTCCTGCTCACCTGCGTTCGGCTTACGCTGGCGGTAAGCTGATCCCTGCTGGTCAGATCATTGTCATGCGTGGCGAGGTCGAGAGCGTCCAGGACCCCAACTGGTGGAACCAGGATGCTGTCATGGGTGTTATGGACCACGTCTGCGAGAAGCTCGGTCGCAACACCGGTATGAAGGCCATCTTCGGTGGCTCCGTCAAGAAGCCCCTCATGACCAAGGTCTCGATGCGTCACCTCAACGAGATCGTTCGTGAGCGCAACCAGTACTCCCGGGATGCCATGGAGGCCTGGCAGGACTTCATCAACCTCAAGGGCCGCATGGACACCGAGCTCAGCAAGGTTACCAAGCGCAACAACTTCTTGGTCGAGGAGCTCGAGACCTGGAAGCAGCAGTTCCTCAAGTTCCAAGCCTTTGCTGAGCAACTCACCAAGGAGACCTCCGAACTCAAGGTCAAGATTGAGAACCACAAGCGCGAGAACCGTCGCCTCACGGGTCTCATTGACCAGCAGAAGGACGATGTCGCTCGCCTTACTCTCCGGCTGTCTGGCACTGAGAAGCAGCGTGACGATGCGCTCGAGGCTCTGGTTCTGCAACAGGAAATTGCCGAGGAGCTGGAGCGTGAGCGCAAGCGCAACCAGAAGGAGATTTCTGGCCTCACGCACACTAACGCTACCCTCAGCCGCCAGCGCGACGACGCCCAGCGCGTGGTTCTGCACCTGCGCAGCCTCATCAACGGCCAGAGCCACCACATGGAACACATTGTCCGCTCCATCGGCAGTGCTTCCGAAATTACTGAGATCGTCGAGCAGGGTTACGAAGATGCCCCCGAGGAATCCGACACCAAGAGCGAGAAGAGTGTGGAGGTTGTGAAGAAAGCTTCGAGCAGGGAGATCGGTCAAAAGCCTTCGGTAAATCATATGAGCCCCGAGCTGGAGCAGCACTTGCTGAACCTCGACAAGGACCATAAGTCCCTTGCTCGTCTGAGCATTACAGATGTCGCCGACCGTTACCTCCGCGACAAGACCGATGCTATTGCAGACATCATCCGCAGCATCAGCGACCAGTGTGCCGCCGCCGTCGAAGGCCTGCACCTCGCCCAAGATGCCGAGGATGACGACTCCGTTTCCATCAAGGCTCACCACAACGGCGAACAGCGTCTCGGCTCCGACTACGAGAGCCAGGATGGCCGCACCACCCGTGCCACAAGCGAAATCAGTGACATCGACCACAACTCGCTGCACCCGGATAACCGTCACTCCAGCATCCCTCCCACCCCCGACCTGGTCCACAACCGCTCCAGCACCTCCATGTCCATGGTCAGCAGCTCTACCTTCCCTGAGCGATCCAGCCAGCAGTACGGTCCCGGCGACATCCCCACCCGCATCGTGGAGGATGACGACGAACACACCCACGAGACTGACGGCATGGATGACCAGCAAACTGAGACTGGCACTTTGTCCAAGCAGGCCAGTGAAGACCTCATGCGGCCTCAAACTGCCCGTGTGATCTCGTAGACTGGTCACCAAGTCTAGGATGATGCAACGCTTGACTGAGACGATCTTGCCTTTTTTGCCCCTTTTTCATTTTTTTCCAAATCTTTCTTCTGCAATATGGCGTGGTATTATCTGTTTCTGCTGTGACCGACACGCACAAACCTGGTTATCGGCGTACAGTAGTCCTGCTTTTTTCGCTTCGCTTCTTCGTGTCGCTTATGATACTCCCTTATATCCATCCGCAATTTACCTTTCATCCGCAACCTTATCCGGCCATTTCTTGTCCATCTTGAAATTTGTTTCCCGGAGCATCTCCACTTTCCTGTCTCCTATTCTCCTTTCTCCTGGGAATTTGTTACTATCTTACTCCATCTACTATACCGTCGAGCCCTTCTGAGATGGACCGACCTGAAATTTTTCTGTTGTTTATCATCTGCTCCGCGACTTCTTTCCGCGCTCGAGGTCGTTGATAGACTGTATGCGCGGATGAGAGAAAGAGCGCTCACTCTGCTCCTGTTACCCTTTGTCTCTGTCTGCATGGATATTCCTTGCGGTTTAAAGGGGGTTTTTGGTTTTTTCTTAATTTGTTCAACCCACCCATTCCTTGTTCCTTTTGTCTGCAGTCATCGAACTGGACTTATTCGATTGCTCGAGGGGAGTTTTCCATCCCTGCTGTATTTAAAAATGGATCTATAATTGGTTATAGCTTATTTGGTTTTGGTGCTTCATGACGTATGATTGTATAGAGTAGGAAATATATGGTGAATACCTAAGGCATTCTACATATGTTGATGATTTAGCGTCGGTGTTTCCTTGTTCAATGAACCAATGAGAGGGCTAGTTCATCAAGAAAGCGACCTCGGAGTTCATTCCCACTACACATCGACCAAGACATGCCCGATCAAAGATTCCGTCAATACTTGCCCATCTTGCATCATCACAATTTTATCATGTCCCGATCTCATTGCACCGATTATGCCATCAACCTGGTGCGCGATAATCACAACTGTATGGGTGCAGAGATCTTCCACTAAAATCTCATGGAGAATAAACTCAGTTTCCAGGTCTAGGGAAGAGCTCGCTTCATCTAGTATGATGACAGGCTTCGTCGACGCCATTGACCACACCCGTAGCAGCATTCGACATAAAGCAAAGAGCTGCAATTGACCAGCGGAGAGTGGTAGAAAGAATGACATTGGCAAGTCAAGTAATTTCGTGGATTCCAAACCTGCATCTGGGGTTTCATGCATTTCAAAGAAAACAGATGTGAGCTTTTCCCAAAGTCGTGTCTTCTTCAGAGCCATGACAATTGATTTTTCTGAGCTCATATGGTAAGGATCCAGGTTGAATCGTAGTGTTGCCGTTGGGATATTGAAGCCATCTTGTGGCACTGCAATGATACCGCGTTGGCGCACGGCACTCGATGAGATTTGAGCAATGTCGATACCGTCTATTGAAATCATTCCTTCCTTGACAGCGAGAAGCTTGAGTAAAGAAAGCATGAGCGTGCTTTTCCCACTACCCATGCAATCAGATGGTTAGTATAAAACCGCTTGGGATATTCTATGTATCTGTCCTTGAAAGAAGAGCGACATACCTTCCTGTCCGGCCCATGATAATGACTTTCTGTCCACCAATGATCCGAAGAGACATACTTTGTAAAGCAAGGCCCGGTGGCGAAGAATATGAGACCGAAACATTGTCTACCGATGTATCACCCGATAATGGCCATCGAGGACCTGGATCCGAGACGCAGACTTCGTCTTCAATAGACACAGACTTTTGTACGCTCTTTAACCGGGAAATAGCTCCCAAAGAGGTTTCTAGGGAAGCCCATGACTGCACCAGCTTCAAAAGAGTACTGTTTGCCATTATGATGAGGTTGAGGGCTAATCCGATGTCGGCACCGGTTGTGGTATATCTATACCCGAGTGTGAGTGCAATGAGGCTGATGGCGATCAATGCGATCAAGCAATCTAAGACGACCTTTAACCAACACTGCAGACAGAGAAGAAGATATGAAGGCTTTTGGAAAAGGTTCAGCGCGTCGTCGAATTTTTGTTCGACCTTTTTCTGCCAGCCAAAGGCTCTAATTGTGGTTGCACCATTGACCTGGAAATATTTCAGACTAGTTGGCAATCATGCGGTGCAGCTTACGTATACATACTGTGTCTAGCATATTGGTGTAGACTTGTGACTTGGACTCTAGATCGAGGTACCGAAGTTGTTTAGACGTTCGAAGGTATACCCGCTGGATGAAGTAGACGCAGATAAAACATATTGGGACTGTTGCTGTCATCAAAGGTTGGACGCTCAATATGAGGACAACTTGCGCGAAGAGCTTGAAGATCTCTAGTGAAAACATTCAGCCAAGAACAAAACAAAAGTTTGGAAAAGGGAAAAGGTAGAAACACTTACGGTTGCTGAGGTTGGCTAGCGCCGGAGGGAGCTGCTTGTCAACAAGAGAGATATCCTGGCTGAACCTAATTGTTGTGAGTTGGCAACATTCTTATTTCAAGCACTAACATACTGACCTATTCAATGTCACACCAATTTGGGTTTCGGTGAAATAGGCCAGAGGTGCCCTTGTTCGAATTAGTTGGCTTAATTATAGGCAGCGAGATAGAGCTTACCGAAGAATTGTACCCAGCAGCTGACCATGGAGCATTTCCCCTGAGCGTATAGCAATCTTGAGATGAGTAGACCTTGATGGTGTTAGCTATTGGCATTGTTGAAATAATATAGAGATGGATTTTACCACATGGTTCCATTCGTTGCTATCCACGCAATGCCTGAGACTGCAACATAGAGGACCATGTACATTCGTAAGTCTTCTGAAGGTGCCTCAACCGCCCATTTGAGAATATTACTGGAGAAAGTCAAGGCAAACGAATATGTAGCGGTACAGACTGTCATGAGAAGAGCGCTTATTGGACCGACCGCACTGAGATAGAACCCATAAACAGCCAGATCTCCAGTTCTTTGGAGTAGATGGCTTGCAGTATCATTGGCTTGATGCCTCTCAATTAATACTTTTGGCACTTTTGTGTTAGTAAGGGGGTTCTTCCCGAGTTTTCTAGGTGAGAAGGGAGTTGATGAAGTTTCTGGCTCTTTGCAAGCCAGTAGCTCTTGGCAGAAGGCTATTGAATCACGCAGTGAAACTATTTTGTCCACCAAGGGATGTAGCATTGCTTTTTTTTATCCTTTAGCAACCATTTGTGGTATTTTCGGTCCAGATATTCCACTCACCAGAGTTGCTTATCAAAAAGGTCGTTGATTTCATCTGCTTGAATAGACCTCTTGGTCCCAACAGCTTCTGTATGACATACCCTCTTACATTCTGGTCAAGTGCACTGAAGGGATCGTCAAGAACCAGTACTTTGTGTTGTGAGTATACCGCTCGAGCCAGAGCCTTGATATTATAGTTAATCTAACTGGGTAAGATCAGAAGGACGAGACACTCACAATGCGCTGCTTCTGGCCTCCTGATAAGTTGATTCCGTTGTTTTCAATCATGGTTTTATCACCGTGGGGAAGCGCCTCGAGGTCGGGAATTAAGCCGCATGCATCGACGACCGTGTCGTACCACTCTTGATTTAGACCACTAGCCTCTCCTGATATTGCATCGCAGATAGTTGCACTTGGGAGCCAAGCTTCTTGAGCGCAGTATGCTATTTGCTTTGAAGGCACCACGATGGTGCCAGTAGACGAGGCTTCTCCTAATAAGGCCAGTGCCAGCGTTGTTTTCCCGCTTCCCACGGCACCAACACAGAGCAGGATCTCACCACTGCGTATTTCTAAAGAGACATTCCCTAGGATAGGAAAGGACATCGAAGCAGGCTTGATAGTCACATTCTCCACCGAAATAAAACGGGTGGCTTCACTCGTACACTGCCGGCTGTCCTCAATTAATGGCTTAGTGAGATACGACTGCACTCGGGCAAAGTTCGCCATTACAGCAACGGCACGAGGGACTAAAGTCATAACCATGTTCGCTGGGTGTGTTACCATAGCCAGGAGAGCGAGGGATGAGAAGATTTCAGTAGCCTGCATAGATTCTTCATGGTTTGAAGACAAGGCATATAATATCAACGTGACAACCGGAGCGAAGATACCGAGGGCGTTTGCACTTGCGTTATAGGCAATCAATATCCACCTCATCCCCTCCGAGATGCGTAACTCTTGGCTTCGCAAGTATGAAATTTGAGACTGAATAGCATTCTCAATGCCTAGCATTTTGAGGCTCTTGATGCCACTCAAAGCTGACGTAACAGTTGCAATACGCGCTTGTGTCGCAAGATTCCAGTTCTTTTGTTTACCTTCCAAATTATTAGCAACATATGCGCTCATTCTGGAACACATAATAATGATTAGAAATGGCAGCAATGCAAGCCATTCCAGTCGCGCGGCTAACATCACAGTTCCCACAATAACCTCTAAAAGCTGGGCCCAAGTCTCGTGGAATATTTCTCCTGATGACTCGATGCTTTCAACATCAGATCCCATCAAGGCTAAAGCTTCAGAATTATCAGATCTTGTTGCGGATATGTTCAATGAGTGATGATGAATAAGACCAATCAGGCCTCCTCTGATCATTATTTGCAACCGATTGATTTGATGCTGGTAGATTGCAGCGGAAAATGCCAATCCCGTATAAACGACGGCAGCATAGAGCACTAAGTATAAGCCGGTATCTGATGATGCGCTTCGGACAAAATCAATCGCAAGGCCAATGAGGACAGGTTGTAGATAGCGAAATACAACGAGAGCAAGTCGAGGTAGTATTGGGGACAGAAAAGCTCTCTGGAATGAGCATATCAACACAAGTGGTAGTGTCAACTTGTTAGAAGGCTCGGCTTCAAAAGGCGTCAGTATCATAAGCGGACAGAGCGAGGTCCCTTACCTCGTGCCGTCCATGCGCCCAAAACCTTTTCCCGCAGAGCCTCGGACCGTAGACTTGAGTGGATTTCAGGCAGTTTGTAAAGTGACAAAGTAGCTTTATAACCTTCTTTGAGCACAGGTAAAACCCAAAGGAAAAGGATTTTACTGAAAAGCCCAGCTGCTTCTTCAGAAGTTGGACATTCTTCGGAAGTTTGACCATGGCTCAGCAAATGAAAGACCAACCAAGCACCTTCCCAGCATGCTCTCAATTTAACCAGGTGATCACTGTCCTCATAGGGGTCACTTATTCCGGACGTGAGCGCGACGAGGTCTCGGACTAGCGCAAGGGCGAGATACACGGCTAAAGTTTGGGTTGGCTGTAATCTTGGTTCGAGAAACACGCCGACAAGAATCCCAGCTGATGCAAGAAGCGATATTATCGCAGCGCAAATGAAGAGCCTTTCATGAAACCGAGGCACAGACCAAACCCTCCAGACCGCTGTGAGTTGGATGATCAAGAAACCAACTGGGAATATCTGGAAATTTGTTAGTGATTGGATACAAACTGACTGCCTCATATGACAAACATACAATATGTCGAATAGTACGCAGGCTCAGTGTGCTTCTGGAGGAAGTTCGAATATGGCGAATTCTTCGCATCAGCTGCTGAAGAATGAGCGATGAGAGGATAATGGACGACCAACATCCCCAGCTCAATGATTGAGAGAACAACATCTTGGTTTCTTGCTGGGCCAAAGCCATTCTTTCAGATCGGCTTGCCTTCCAAAGAAAGCGATTGATGGAAGAAGATAAAATATAATCTGATCTGGATTTCTCCCCTTCGATTCAATCAAAGCTCGGCCCGACTGACGCCTCATGCACTATTATTATCACGCCTTCATCCAGCCCTGACAAGGTTAAATCTTGGCATTTTGGAGACCTGGGATTTCTTCACTTTAACTGGTCAATTCCGTCCTTTAGGCTCGATAACGATTCCCCGGAAGCCCGTCTTTCCCCGTGCCAATCAATTTATCTTAGCCCCATATTGAGAGTGTTATCTATATGCTAGTTAAGGATTAGGCACCTACAGGCAGACCCTGAGGAGGCTACATCTGGGGAACTTATTCGTATGGATTCTTAAGTAAGAGTTCACAATAAAGCTTAATCAATGTGATTTCATCCTTCAAACACGCAAATGCTCGTTGAACCACTCAACGGCTTGTATGAAAGCACTTCGCTTTGCAAATCCCACATCAGGGATCGCAGGATCACCCCGAACCGCAAACCCATGATTCACGCCGCTGTACAAATTGATCTGGTAAGGCAAATTTGTCTCCTTCAGAATTGCTTCTGTTTCATGCCGCTTTGCAGCCGGGAAAATTTTGTCTGTCTCCGCAGCCGCAATCGCCAATGGACCCTCGATAGCTTTCAACTCACTTGCATCAACATGCGACGGGTGAGCGGTATAGCCAACATCTGCTTTGCCAGATTGCAGGTGTCGTACGACATACTTGCCACCAAAGCAGTATCCGATTGCGCCGATTTTCTAGAGTCAGATTAGATCTATATTGGGGCACTTTGCTTGGAAGTGGGGATTTTGCATACCTTGCAGCCGTATGTCGTCCGCAGCTCGTACAGACAAGCCTCAACCACGGGGTCAACGGTTTCAGGTAGGTGGTTTACGCCTTGTGGGTGATACCCACCCGTCCGCCATTTGTTCATGTCGAAAGCACCTGGCTTGTCTAGTGGTACGGCATCACCGAAGAAAAGGTCAGGCATTAGGACAACGTAGCCGCTCATTGCAAATTGGTCTGCGATGAGTTGCGCGTTGACAAGTCTGTGGCCGATGATATCGGTCAGTCTAATGAGAGTTAGATACTTCAGATGCGAAGGAATTGAAAATGGGGTGGCTCACATTACAAGACCGTATACCTTTGGATCGGCTGGAGGAAGGCTGGTGTAGACTTCAAAGTCATGCAACATTGACAAGGACCCGGTCGGCTGCCCGACATGTTTGACACCCTGGTAACAGCAGGATTGGGCGGGATAGGAAGCCATGGTGGTAGAGATTTCGGGATGCGCTTCTGGTATTTTCAACCTTGAAGCACTAAATTATAAGGTCGAGACGATCAAGCCCGGGGTCGTATTTAGACGTAGCTGAATTGATAGAAAGCCCGAGGGCCGAACTTGCTCGGAGACAGGATATTTTGAATTAAGTTTGGAATTTAGCAGCCGCATACGTATTTATTGTCGTGGATAGTAAAGTTCGGGCGAACCAGCCTTGTTCGTACACCAAGGGAGTCATTGTACATGCAAAATTCGGGTGCCGATTGAGGTATCGGACGTCTGATGAGTCCAAGAAACTGAAAATTCTGCATCTGTCAGTCTTTAAACATTGTGCTCGGCTTTTTTAGTGACCCAATGGGCCTAATTTGATCAAGTCCGAAGCATTTGGCCGATAGACAGGCCTAGGTCCGAGCACTGGCGTGCTTGTCCTCGGTGATCCCTTAGCTGGTGCCCGCATCTCAGAGTGGATTTAACGCCTTTCAAATCTTTGTTCGTCATGTAGTTGTGGCCACCAATAGCAGCCTCTCGGGTTTACATCATGGAGAATTGCAATTCCGGGTGAGAAGGTTTCGAACCTGGTCATGTCCGAGAATCCATGACTTCACAATTCCCTTGCAGCGATGGGAACCAAGTTTCGACATATACTCGGCCTTAAAGATGCCGATCCTTTTGACGTCAACGCTATATGGCGGACTTGAGATGGTCGGGTAGGGTCGGGTACGGAGTTCATTTCCCAGGTTGGTAAGGCTGAGTCGGATCAGGGTTCAAGGGCCTCGGAGCTTATTCGGATTTAGCTTTCGGGACATGAACAACGCCGGAGCCTAAATAAAGAAAGTGTGGTCGGGCTCAGATACCATCCGGACAATTGGAATTGTATGGAATCCACATTATGGGGCTGTCCGCGCGGATATGCCTAACGTTACATGTATAAGGTCACCTGGGTGAAATCAATAATGTGCCTTGTCAAAGCGGTATCCTCTAGGAACCGGAGAATGTATTCCATGATGTCGCTATAGACCCGGCATTCGAGCTCGCGGCAAGTGGTCTCATCTCTGCTCACGAACATTTAAAACAATGGAGCAGAATCAAAACCGCTTGGAACAACCAAGGCTATTCACCAGACAAGTCTTGTTCTCTCTTGTTTGCCATTTACTCCGTTTGTTCCCCATTGGTTCGAGTAAATACCTAACTTCCTGCCAAAAGTATACACTGACGTTGTCTCGGTTAGACAGCGAGCGTCTCGCCTGTGTGATGCAAACAATCCGCTGTTTGTTGGGGTTCCATGCCGTTCCCACACCGCATATCTTCCTACTAACAAGATTTTAAAGTTGCACGGTAGGATCAATAGATTAACAACACATTACACTAATGTACGATATGTGTTTCGGAATTTTTCGAGACAATATTATCAAAAGTCCCAAGGTGAAGGATAGTAAAATCAAAGACTTAGGGCTTAAAGCTCATAGCCCTTGCGTGTTATTGTGCTTATACTAATTTGAGCTGCCAATAGGTTTACCAATTCAACCTTATTGCATGCATGCAAGATAATAACTCATGATGTTTAAGCCAGCTTTCCAGGGACAACAGGGTGTCCAGCACTCAAACCACCACACACAGCCCATGCCTGTCCATTCACGTAGCTACTCTCGTCACTACCAAGGAACAGTGCCACACGTGCAACCTCGTCAGCAACCGCACCACGCTGCATGGGGTTCAATTGTCCAATTTTGCGCTCTGTGCCACGTTTTCGTGCATGATCAAAGACCGATTGCGTCATACCGGTCTCGATCAAACCGGGACAAATCGCATTAATCCGGATACCAGTACCAGCAAGCTGGTACGAGCATGTCTGTGCGATAGAGATGACTGCAGCCTTTGAAGCAGAGTAATCGGTTGAACCAGCATTAGATCGCAGCCCGGCAACTGAGGCAGTGCAGATAATTGAGCCACTGGGGTACGGCTTGGATTCCGAGGTAACCTTCATTGCTGGGGCGGCGTGCTTGGCTGCTAAGAAAACACTGCATGAAATCAGCTGGATGAATTCAAGAGGGCTTCAGTGATATATGTCTTACCCAAGAGCATTGGTTTTCATGGTTTTCATGAAGCCATCGCCATCAAGGTCGGTGAACATTTTCGGTTGTCCCACTATCCCGGCGTTGGCGAAAAATACATCTAAGCGACCATATTTGGTGATCGCTTCGTCAATGACGGCTACCACGGCTTTCTCGTCAGCTGCATCGAATTGTCGTACATGTACATCTACTCCGGGGTAGAGAGATTCCATTTCCCGCTTGTGGATTGCGAGGTGCGTGTCGCTGTAGTCGCAAATATAAACTGCTTTGGCACCATTATTGGCGAATTGGTGTGCACTAGCCCGACCAATGCCATTTGGAGAGTTGGCACCTGCCAAGCTTTTAGTTGAAGCATCATAACGGGCAAGGTAGTATAGTGAGCTTACCAGTCACGATTACCACCTTGTCTTTTGTTCGACTATTTGCACATTAGTCAGATATTCGACGTTGAAGAACTTAATAGCCAATTGCATCATTACGATCCAGGATGGAAACAGGTTAATTCACTTACGGACCAGCTGAGTCTGAAGCAACATGGCGAATCCGGGGAACCCCTTCAAAAGTACCCTCGTCAGGAATGCCCTCCACGAGCTGTTTGCTTAAGGCTTGAAGGCGCTGTCGTGCTGCGGCTGACATGGTTGAATATACTAAAGAGACTGATGGGTCGAGCTCAAGTACAAAGATCAAATAAATGAAAAAGCAATCAATGCAAGGACAATAAATAGCAAGGACTCCGAGGTCAAAGAGCTCGGCGCGTTCCCCACTCGGTTAATGCGGAGAAGCCGAGGCCCAGGTCAACTGACACCACGTGACCTGATGATAGCTCACAGGTCACGTGATAAACACACGTCATGTGCTTGTTTCGTGTTTTGGGCGCAGAAAGGCCCTGCTTTCAGTGCTTTTTTCGGGGGCTTTGTTTTACTTGTTTTTGCCGACACCATTTTCCAGGTTGTTATTTACGAAACTGTTTTTTAACTGGTCTTTAAAAGTTTGGGGATCACCCTGCATTCCTTCGATCCACACAGATCACGCATGATCGCCAAGGGCGCGCAACAAAGGCCACAAAAAAAAAGATAAGGACGTTTGAAGGAGTTCGAGACCAGGGGCTGCGCTCACGGGCCAATTTACTGCTACACAGTTTTTATTTTTTGGAACACTCATAAGCATTCATGAAGTCCGCAACCGTCCATTCCGATTTCTATGCCATCCATCAGTCGTTGAGTCATGGCGGAGCCCGATCCTCTCCCACGACGTTCCTCGTCCCTAGCTTCCTCTGGGTCGACCAGGAGCCAAAGGGCTAGAAAATTGCGCCCTCAGGCGCACAAGCGACATTCGACTTCCTCAAACAACACGACCGACCTCACGTCCTTCCCTTCGCTTTCCCCGCCAGATCACACCCCCACTTTGACACGAGGCTTGGCGAATACGCTGATGGGGAGCGAGGATGCAGACAGGCCAAAAGAGACCGGTCGTGGGCGCAAAGCCACTTTAGCAAAGTTGACAACCGGTGTGTCTCATACAGGCCGGGCAGCGCTGTTTGACGATTCGGTTCCCACCCACGATATCCCTGGAGCTCTTCATCTGGCGGACGACGCACCCATAGAGAGATTGATCGCAAGTACCGGGGCCGTGAAACTAGTAAGGCAGTATGCTCGCGATCTGGCTCAACGGGACGCCGAAATTTCCGCTTTGAGACAACGTGCCGATGTCAGAGAGCGAGAATTGAAACGCATGCTCCGCGAAGTCTCCGTGTCTAACCAGGATATTGAACGCCGCCTGTACCAATCGGAAAATACTTTGGACGATCGCACCTCGGATGGAGAGAGTAGTCACAGTGGTGATCAAGGCTCTCAACACTCGTCGGGGCTGAATGGACTCATGTCTCAAGCCATGACAGATGCGGTGGGCTCTCAGGCCGACGGGGATACACATGTATTACCTGAACATCTCGCCACCATTCGGGCGCAACGGTCTGACGGTGATGCTCGTTCGACTGATCTGGGCCCTAACCGAAAACGACAAGGATCTCTTCGCGGCTGGCAAGAGTACTTGTTTGGTTCAACCAACCCGAGCCGCAAGACGAGCCGGGCGAGCAGCATCATAAGCGACATGAAAGAGGTGGAGGAGGAAAATTCCGAAGGATTTCGAGTACCAAGTAACCCTTCAAATCGACGCAAAGGGCTTGATGATCAATTGTTCCAGCCTCCCAGTGGGCTTCCAGTGAGCGAAGCGACCGGGAAGCGACTCGCTGCAACCAATGGTGACGATGCAAGCATTCATTCGCGCAAGTCTTCACGGTCGCTTGGATCATGGACTGTTAAGTTGTTTGCCGGGAATTCGCAAGCAAAAGACAACAGCGACACTGAGAGCATTCGGAGCAAGCCTGCAGTCGATCAGAACGTTCCCTCTGGAAACTCCAAGGGAGGGATGACTGCAGTTGCTGCGCTGAAGCGGATCAACAGCAATACCAATGTTCCATCATTAAGATCTAACGGGGCGAACTCCACTACCAAGATGAACCCTTCAAATCGAAGAAGCGTCGCGGCGGGAAGTGTGTCACAGGGTGCAACATCCGATGGCGCAGGGAGCTCGACTAATCTTGGCCCCGTCGAAATGGATGCTATTCTACCCATGGAATCGCGCCCTCCTACTCTGGCACCTATCTATAATAAATCCCAGTCTGGCGAGTTTCTTACCGACAGATTTGGGTTTATTTATGACCAGCGCCGAAAGCGACGTCAAAGAGAGGCTACCACGGCAAAGCCCACCAAGCCTACCTTGAGTATTGCGGAGACACTCGGAAACCTTCGTAGTGATTCATCAGATGAGGATGATGATCTCGGCACTCGAAAACCCGAATCGATCAAAACTCCAACCTCTCCTACTTTCTCGCCTGATGACCCTGAAGGCGGATCAGTTGGACTGCGTCGCTGGCAGGACTACTTGAAAATTCCATCTCGCCCGACAGAACTGCTTTCTCATACGCCTTCAACAGCCCCGATTGTATCTCTGACGGACGCAGCAGAAAGTCGCCCGCACAGTTCTTCCGTCTCGACGGATAAAGGCTTGTCGGTCAACCCCAGTCCCCAGCCTTCCGCAACTACCTCGGCCGTCACTGCCGATCGTCCCGAATTTGCTGGAACCGGTTCCAATGACCCTGTCTCCATAAGCAGGGCCGGTACCGCCGAAATAGAGCCTGTCAAATTACTATTGGAGCAACTCACTGATCTCCACGATGCATTACAACGAGATCGTACTGTGCGGTGGAATGAATTTCTCCGCAAAGTCCGTGCCGAGCGCCGAAAGGAAGGCGAAGCTGCAGCTGCAGCGTCTTCTGACCGAGCCGTCACTACAGTAGACACACCAGAGGCAACTCTCACTGATGGCGAAGTGGTTGGAATTGCAGGACTGGGAAACAAGGGCAAAGTAGGCCGTGCTAAGTGGCGCGAATTCCGCACGCTTGTTCTTGGCGGTATTCCCGTTGCTCTGAGGGCCAAGGTGTGGTCCGAGTGCAGCGGGGCCTCCGCTATGCGCATTCCAGGATACTACGATGATCTTGTCCGCGGGGTTGGAGGGACCGAGCCAGACTCTACCGTCGTGGCGCAAATTGACATGGATATTCGGCGTACTCTGACCGACAATGTCTTCTTCCGCAAAGGGCCTGGCGTTGCGAAACTCAAGGAGGTGCTCTTGGCATACTCACGCCGCAATGCGGAGGTCGGATACTGCCAGGGTATGAACCTTATCGCCGCGTCCCTTTTGCTCATCATGCCTACCGCTGAAGATGCATTCTGGATATTGGTATCGATGATTGAGATCATTCTCCCTCAGCATTACTATGACCACGGTCTATTAGCGTCTCGCGCCGATCAAGTCGTGCTACGGCAGTACATCTCGGAGCTATTGCCGAAGCTTTCGGCGCACCTAGAGAACCTGGGCATCGAATTAGAAGCACTAACTTTCCAATGGTTCTTGTCTGTCTTCACCGACTGTCTCTCCGCAGAAGCTCTGTACCGTGTCTGGGATGTGGTTCTCTGTCTCAATGTGACGAGCTCCATCACGCCTAACGGTGTCAAGGATGGAAGCGACAAAGCTACCCCGACACCTGAAGACCTTGCCTCCGGCAGCGGAGGTGGTAGTACGTTCTTGTTCCAGGTGGCCCTGGCCCTGCTTAAGCTCAATGAGCCACAACTACTCACCACTTGCTCGACACCTGCTGCCCTATACACCTACATCAATCACCAAATGACCAATCATGCCATCAGCATCGATGGACTGATCCATGCCAGTGAGGCACTACGCAACATGGTACGACGAGAAGATGTCCTTTCTCGCCGCGCCGTAGCTCTCCGCGAGATGCGTGAGTTCGGTAGCCATTGAGACTTGACTGTCAGCTTCTCTTGTCTTTCTCCATTTGCTTTTCGTTTGTTCAACTTCATTAGATTTGGGAGGATGCCGATATGACGCATTGGGCATGGAGTTTTCGTTATGTTTACTATACAATTGTTTGATATCCCACTAGCTTCATTCCTTGGCGTCCTTTTACTTTCCCTTTTGAAAGGGGATTTCCACATTAGCCCTATTTTTTCATATCTTGCGAAGGCATTTCGAGATACCCCTGGCTGGTACAATGGGAGAAAAAGAAAAGAATAGACATTATGATTCAACTCTTTGATATTGATTCCTGTGCCATGTAAATCATTTTTTATATAACCGAGCTAACTTGAAAATCGGCTCCAGGTCCGAATGCGAGACCCATAGATTCTCAACAAGATAGGCGATACCATGATCAACGCTGACAAAGCGGCAAGCAAAGTGGCAGAGTAATTTATGTGCAAAGAGTCGTACATCGGCCCTTCAAACAGCGGAAACGTGGCGGAAACCAAGCTGCGAATCATGACATGGATCGAGATGGCTGATACCGTGTTGAGGACGTATACATCGACAATGTACACGATACCCGAAATAAAGATAATCTGCAACGACAGGCCAATGAAAAAGCACGAAATGACCTGCGATGCCCAATGTGTATCTCCAGACCACCCAAACCAAAGTAAAGACGGAGGCAGCAACACAGCACCCAAGATCATGGGCGGAAGCCGATCTTCAGGAGCAATGCGAGCCTGGCCCTTAGCTCCTTTCTCCGAACCATGTATCTCAGCTCGCTGCGCAGCAACCCACCGCTTCTTATACCAAGTCATCGTGAAAACCGAAAAGATCCCCAACGCACTCATAAGCCCAAGCCCAACAGACAAGAACGGCAAATAAGCCACAGGCGTCCTCCAGCCCCTTTTCTCGAACGCCTTCGGGAAAAGCTGATAAGATAAATACAGCGACCCATAAACAAGCGTCAAATATACCGTCATGACAATCAATATCGGCTCTTGAACAAACATTCGCACAGGTTTCGAACAGTACTTCCTCACCAAAACCCGCGTATCAAGCGAATCCATCTCGGTAGGCGCACGCAGCCTCTCATCACCAGTCTCTTTCCTCAATCGAGCAGCCCTTCGCATCAAAATCCGGTTATGCGACGACTCCCGCAGCAGGAATATACACAGGACCCCAGCCGCACAGCATAGTATAAGCGTAACCCACGCCGTCCACCTCCACCCCGCGTTCTCATTTGCGACTAGGTACGCACCGGCTATAGGCCCTATAATCGAGCCTAAATTCATGATACTAGCCGATGTCCCGACAGCAATACCCCGTGTTATGGGTCCGAAGATATCGGCCAGTACGCCCGAACCAACGGCCAGTCCACCTGCGCCGAACAATCCGGCCAGGAAGCGGGAGACCAAGATCGTAGCAACGTTTTTTGCGAGTGCAAGTGGAATCTGGAATATTGCACAGCCCGTTAATGCTAGTCCTAGGATCGGTGCGCTGCCGATTACTTCGGCTAGTGGGGCCCAGACTAGTGGGCCTAGAGCGAAACCGGCTATGAAGAGGGCTACGCCTAGGCTCATGAGTTCTTGGGAGACGCCATATTCTTTTGCCGTGACGGTTGCTGAGGCGCCGAAGATTGAGCTGGCGAATGCTATGGAGAAGATCACGGCGAGGGGTGCCGAGGAGCGGAGGATCTTTGTGCGTCTAGGCCAGTTTTGAGGATTTTCGGGGTCGGAGGGGCTCCATGTTATGAGTTTGAAGGTTGGATCTGAGCAATTGGAGGTTTCGTTTGGCGGGGTACTGTTGGTGGGCGTGGATACTCCGTCTGATGGAGATATTGGGTTGACGGAGAGGTGGGTACTTTTTCTTGACCCTGGACCATCTTTTACGTCCATAGTGGTGAGAGTATATGGAACCGAATGGATGTTGTTATTAGAAGAGCAGCTGTTTGAAGGGCTTTTGTGTCTAGGTACCCAGTGATCGGCAGTTGACGCAAATCCTGATCCACCTAGTTCAGGCTGTTATCAGGAATACGGAGTGTCTCCGATGTGCTGCGTATGCAAAGTATGCGGGCCTTTAAAACATGTATAATATGGTTTGATTTGGTATGTGATGACGATTCGTGTACACGTACCTCCGAACACCCCAGGATCGGTGATCAATTGATGCCAGGAGGTTCTCAATGATATTCTCGTCCATTGGGTATAGCTCGGGTGAAGTGAGGGTTTCGGCGAGATCGCCGAGATGATCGACCTCCATTCCGACTGGTTGCCTCCTGTAGATCTGCATTAGCTGACTTGGGCTTGGCATCTTCAATTGACACAAGTATGTCTGTTTTTCTGCTCATAGTTCTTCTCAAAGCACTACCGGTCCCAATAAGGTAATATTCGAATCTGAACGGGAACCCTAACTCCCAATCCCTCAAGGTGATTGGTTGACTTCCAATCTTGCTTCGTATCAACTGCTAAACGTGATGTATGTGGACTTGACTAAGCTCAGGGTTGGTCATGGTACCGATCTTGAAGTGTCTGGATCACATCAATCCCATCAAGATGATGTCTCCCTTGGTGTAATTGCGGAGAAGGAGCATCCTCAACGAAGTCTCAAGGACTTTTCTAGATTGACAGAAAGCACAACCCAAAGAGCGATTGCCAAAAAATAAGCAATTATGCACGAAAGCTCACATCACTTGAAATCCTGAATCTCTGAAACTCCCCACCAACTCCTCTAACTAATGATGATTGATACAAGTTGGCTCCGTGAGCTTTTACTCCGAGTATCCCTGGGAATATGAGTCTGGTGGCCGTGCCTGCATCTAATGCTTGGCGGGGTCTGGGAGAGTATTAAACAACTGTTTCCGGAACAGGCTTTTCCAAGACCGAAGATAGAGCCATGGTTTCCCACCAGGGCCATAAATAACCCTCTTTATCACTTCGAGTCATCATATAGACCTTGAGCGAGGACACGATCAAAGCTGATGACGAGAGTGAGGAACACAGCGGCGTCGAACTGGGGAGATATTGAAGGAAAAAGAATTTCATGAGGTGCACATGGTATTTGATTGACTCGGTTTTCCGTCGGGTGTGGCGCTAAAACATGCATTTGATCCATAAATTGGGCTGTTCCAAGGTTCCCAAGGGTCCCTGTTCGTGATCCACTCATTGGGCCTGCCAAGTTAATTTATACCAAAACAACATAAAGAGTTCACACCAGAGCGACATTGATACTTAAAGCGTAATCTGGAAATCCAGAGCGCTTATAATTATGTGATATGTACGCTATGAGTAATCAACGGATGCACGAACGGTCCAATGAAATTTGCTGCAGGTATATGCTAATGTAGGATATAGACAGTGGCTGTATGGAGTGGAGCATCAACAATGGACCCGTCAAAGTCCCAAAACTTAAATCACGCTTCGTTAAATCTCGCTGCGAGCCCCCATTCATTGCCATCAATACAGATTTCGAATCATTCAATTCTCTCTAGGCCCCACCATCTGACCCCTGTCGACAATCTGACCTCCAAGGATGATGATAGGTGGCCACACCGAAATTGGTCCATTGGCCAGCTGTAAGCTGATTCCCGCCCCCAATGGATCAAATCCCGAACCGCGAGGCTTGCAGATAGCGGGGTTTGGGCGCTATGTACAACGCATCGACCCAAAGCGACTAGATGGGTAGTATAAAGAAAGCCACCCAAGGGCGGATAGTCCTCATTCGTGAGAATGCTCTCGGTCCTCGCCTAATTTATGCTATTCGCTCCGGCTTCACAGAGGGTGTGTATGTTCAGAATACCCGGCCCTCATGTTAGTAACATGTTTTTAGTTTATTGCATGTCGTCGCTTCAGCTGGGGCCGTCTTGTGGCCAGAAAAGTCCAGTATCAAGCATCGAGGTGAGATCCATTTGATCCATGGTTGGTCGTACGCCGAGCTCCAATACGTCGCGAGACACGGCCTTGATCTGACGCATGATGGATTGCGAGATGGCCCAGGTTCTCGCCAGAGACTTGAAAACGCCAATGGTGAGACCAATGCGATCACGGCTGGGGTCGGGCATGTTACCCGCCTTGACGGAGCAAGCGGCCAGCTGGACAATGGAACTGAGTGTGAGAGCGCAGATAAAGAATGGCGTGTGACGCTCGACTGGCAGACGAATAGCCGCAAGCGAAGAAAGTTCCCTGGCTGCATTGACGGCCTTCATGGCATGCGCATGATGAGAGAAAGCAGGAACACTGATCGGACCATGATGACCGCAGATCACCTCCGATGCAACGGCAGGAGACGATAAGAGATCCGACCGCGGGAAGTTTAGGTAGATGGTGGCACCGTTAATGATCATGGTTGCCTGGAACATGATCTCATCAATGGACCCATCTGGCCGAATCAACTCTGACTTCGACTCAGGCAGATGGTGGAACCAGCTGGCAATTCTTGCGTCAATAGCTTCAACATTGCTCTGCTGTCCTTCCGTCATCTCCTGCGTCGCTACTACTCGACCAAGAACCCGCACGGCCTCGATTCGATATGAGTAGGAAGAAAAGTCCCGCTCATCGTCGTCAAAGAAACGATTGTCAAATTGCTCGATGGTTGCAGGTGTAGGTGGGGTAAGACCGTCCTGGTAAATGCGCTCCTCACACGGCAGCGGCACTACAAGCGGCACCTGGCTGGTGCGGTACACCTGCTGTACTCCCAGAGCTGTGAGCAGACCTTCAATCACAAAGAGTTCCCACCAGGTCCGGCGCAAACACTCCGCACGAACTGGGTCTCCATGACTAGCAAGCTCGGCGAACGTTGCTTGGTGCATGCCAAGCTCAAATGCCACGTCCACAGCAGTAGCCAGACACACGCCAGCTTCACTTCGTTCATTACGTGAGTGCAACACAATCGCCAACAGGAGAAGTGCCTGGACCTTTTCGACCGACGAGTCTTGCTCGCGCACCCCAGTCACTACATTGGGGCGGTATGTATCACTGGAGGCTGCGGGGGTGAAGTGGGATCCAATGAATTTCATCACATGTTCCAAAAACGGCGGGAAAGGAGAACGGAAATGAAACCGAAGAGGCGGGAGGATTGGATGGGCCGAATGAAAATAGGTATAGTAGATATCGAGGAGGTACCCATCAGTAGCGACCGACGAGGCCGACTCGGGAGTCAGCGGCCCAGTGAAAGACCGCGCGACAGGTGGAGCCATTGTGACAGACATGTCGTTCATACCAGGGCTTACAGACCCAGATGATGAGATTGGAACGGTGGGAGCATATTGGAAGGTCTCCTGACTATGCCAGTCGACAAGTGGATGGACTATATCGGCGGATTCCACAAGAGGAGTATCAGGAGAATCAAGAGCGCGGCGTTTTTTGGAGCCCTGATAGCCCCGGCGGGATTTTGTGTATTGGCATTCTGAGCCACTTGAAAGACAGCGGCCACAGACGGGAGTTTGGCCATCACATTTAAGATGCTTGTGGCGGCAAAGCAAGCAAGCTAATAAAGAGGGGGACGGTTTTGCTGTCGCGGGGGTGATTGGAGTCTGCGAGACGTTGGGAACCTGCAAATCCTGCGGTTCAGCCATGATGAGCAGAGCAGTCGACGCATGAAATTAATAGGAGGAAAAACCGGGGGATTTGAGGGGAAAAAAATCAAAGAGAAACACAACTGTGTATGACCGTTAGGAACGTTGTAGAAATATTAGTCATCGTACATCTAACCGCGACGAGTTAGTAAGACCCGGTCCCGATCGACGCTAACTTGCTTCATGACACGTTATGGATTCCTCTGATCACTGATCCCTCACCAACTCTCATTCTACATCCTTGTCCTTGTTGGGTTACGCAGTGGCGTCTCGCCTAACACAACATCCTCAATTGACGTGTCCACTCCCCAACTAATTACCTCCCACACGTTGCTCAACTGCTCAACCGGTTAACTCCTACTATCCCACCCATCCTCCAAATCATCATGATCTCCGACAATGACCTCTACCGCCTTGCCATCTTCTTGGGCTCATGCGCCATGATGATGATCGTGCTCTACCACTTCCTTGATGTCAATGCTCGGGATGACGAGGAGACTACCGACACCAAGCCAGTCAAGAACGAGGAATCCAGCGTGCCCTCAGACAATGCCCCCCGATCGACGACCAAAGCGAAATAAGCGATATAAGAAATAAGACCGCATATCAGAGGAATCGATCGGTCAGGAATCCGGTTTCGACGGTTGCCGAGACCGGCCATAGGAGAGGAGAAAGCAATGCATGTACAATACCCAACGACCAACGCGAGGCCGATTAGTTTTGTTTTATCGTTCTATTCTAAACAGCAAGATACCAATTGGCATTGAAATTCCTCAACCAGAGTAGTGACCTTTTCTATTCAATTTCACGGCTCCCAATCAATAGTGTTTTAGAGACATGCGGCTGAATTCAAAGTCAGGGCCCCAATCCCCTATTCATTTCAAATCTCTTGATGAGATGAAAGGAAAAATAGTAAAAAGCTTCCAAGGGGGTATCATAAGAAAACATGCGCTTGGTAAAAAAAAAAAAAAAAAAAAAAACTCATGGGGTCAGTTATGGAGACTCGGGCAACGTCATTGCAATTTCGGTGAGATGGCTAGTCACCAGACGTGAAGGGGTGGAAAGCCTGCGGTCGCTGATGTCAACATCGGGACCAACCTCCTCCTTCCAGCGGTATCCTGCATTTTTGAACAACTCTGCCCTCTGCTCGGGGGTGTTGATGCGATGGGATTTGCTGTATGTTTTGACCACCTGAGGATCCAAGGGGAGAAGCACCGTTGACACACGTGCCTGGCGATCAAAGAGGTTGAATTGAGGAATTGCAGGCGATCCAATTTGATCATCTTCGCCTGATAAGAGCCACTTTTGTTAGAATACAACTCGCATCAGAGATTAGATATGTGGGTCCAGCATTGGACTATCAGATGCGTGCATGTCAAGATGCTCACCAGGTGAGGGCACCGCAGGACCATCGCCCAGGGTCCACGCATAATCTTCAATATGCGTATCTCTCATATGCTCCCACATCGCCGACGCTGCCATAGGAGTTGAATTGTCGCACTCCATCCAGCCACAAGTGATGTTGTGAGGGATATGGGCCTTCAGGACGTGTTTCTGAAGCAAGACCAGTGTGTGAAGCTCCGTTTGACAACTTTCCCACCGGCATTTGAATACTGGGTACTGAGTGGGCGGTTGACTGGGGCTTGAGACAGTCACGGCAGCATTGTCGCGTTTCGCGTCCTTCCTGGGGCGGCCAACTCTCTTCCTAGTGGGAGGCATTTTCTGGGGAGACGAATCGATGACCACTTGCGGCTGGAGAGCTTCCTTGGTTCGTGGGGGTGGAGACGCGGCGGGAATCTTTGACCGTGGAGTTGAGCTCGGTTTGGTCGTTGGCGTCTCTGTTGCCGCCTGGAGTATTGATGGCGCTCGCTCGGGCGTAGGAATGGGCGTGGAAGAGCTCGGCAGTGGAAATGGGATGGAAGGGTCGGATTTCGCGAGATGAGGATTGGAAGGCAACAAAGAAGGTTGAGGTGGAAGGGAGCTGTCGTGAAATGATGAAAGAGCCACCGCGCCGATCGCGTTAATTGGTTGCGCAGGTGGGCGCGTCGGGGGGTTGCGGGGCCGTTTGTCACGTGCATAGATGATCGGATCAATACGATCCCATCGTAGGGAGGTCAGGTCCGATGAATAATCCATGGCTGGAATTATCTTCATGAGGGGATGGAGGTGATAATTGAGCACCTCTTCAGATGGGTGTTTGCCAGCAGCAATCAGCACGTCCCGAGCGATTGTAGTCACATCATAGCTGTCTTTCAGAAACATGTCACTAATACCCAATGGCTGAACGAAATCAAGGCGCTTAAGTTTGTTCTTTGATGCCAGCTTCGTACGTGGCATATGCTCTTTGAAATTGGCACTCGTCGCGTGCTTGGAGCCATCGTCGAGTCTCCGCATCTTATTTGGAGGTTGTTGACCTTGAGAATCAGATGACGGAACTGTCTGAGGAATGTGTGCCGCTAGACCTGAGGCTGCTGAAGCCGAAGCAGGGATCGTGACGGGGGGTTTCTGAGACGGGTGCGGATAGATTGGTTTTGGCGCACCATTTGGGTTCGTGGACTGGGGACCAAGTGAGCTCCTCGTTGCGGAAATTCTCGTATCTGTCTTTGGTTTGATAGAAGTAGAAGCTGATAGGGATCGATTTACAGGTCTTGCAGAAGGGCGGGCCTGGCTCTGATGACCTCCGTACTGATGGTGTAGGGTTGGAAGCCCATTTGGGATTGAAGTCACCGAGCTACGTCCGTGACCTGCATTATGGGACATTGATGTTGGAGAATCTTGCGCCATGTAATCGGTAAGTCTTGGAGACTGAGACGCCGAAATACTCTGGGGGGTTCTCTGATGGCTCGCCACCGGCCTTGAAGCCTGCATGGCACCCGCTGGTGGTCGGAAATAGGCAGGAAAGGGCACGTTAGCCCGACGGGAAGTATTGGGTTGGTAATACGGAGAGGATGATCCGGTATCTGATGGCCTCACATACTGCGGGCCTGGAGCCTCTCTGCTTGATAGTCTCACGAAATGGTTCTCAGGCTCCCCAGTTGTTACCGGTTGGCAGTAATTATATCGAGCCACCATTTGGGCCCCATCATATCCCCGTGTATTTACTTCGAAAGCCGGGCCAGCCTGTACTTGTGGATGACCGTGTTGATATTGTCGCAGCAGCTCCTGCTGTTGCTGTTGCCGGTACTGCTCTGTCTGTGAATCTCTCCATGCCTCCATCGGCGCTTGTTGTTGTTGCTGCTGCTGCTGCTGCTGCTGGCGGCGTTGAAGATGTTGTATATGCGCCGCGTGCGTAGCATCCTCGTATGCGGGGTGCAGATTGGGGGAGGGTACAAATGCGTTGACACGGCTTCCTAGCGATTCAGATGCACCTTGATCCTCATTCATGTCTGGTATAGCAAAAGCCTTTCTCAGAGCTTGATTTCCATGTTGAATCGGCGATTAGAGGACACAATTCGGGGACAAAGGACTCGGCTTTGGGCGGACAAAGGGCGGACCACACAATTTGCAGCCAGTTCTTGCGTCAGCACGAGACTGAACATTAAATTCACTGGGTATAGTCGATGAAGCCGTGGTAGGTGTGACGATATCGGTGCTAGGTCGAGTTTGAGGCTTATTTAGAAAAGAATTGAAGGCCGGCACGCATTCTTTGTTCGCGATATGATAGAGCCCGCGTCGAGCTGTAGCCAATTACATCACAGGAACGGAGACGCAGCTATGGTCACCTGACCACACACTTTTTTCGGCTACAAAAGCCAATGCTGGTTTCTTCCTCTCCCAGCCATCCGTCTTCTGCAATGGCTATGTCAAATGGTCGATTTGAATGATCAATGATAAACAAAATCAAGTTCAGTTTCCATGAGCTGACTTGGAAGCATAGAAAGATCGGGTGCGAAGGACTCCACGGGTTCCTGTTGCGCTGGAAGATCTCCGAGCTCCAACTGCCGACACAGTGTTCCAGGGGCTGTCTCGGCGTCTGCAATTTGGTTCATGATGCTTATGTTGCGACGCTAGACGCCTCATGGAATCCAAAACTCTTGCGCACTAACATAACTTCTCCTTTTTAGATTTCCCGCCAAATTATCTCCGTACCAATCCCGCTTGACGGACCTGATGGTTGGTATGGTAAACGAATGGCGCATAGCGAATCGCAGGGTCATTCTACGGAATGGCTTTGTCTCACTTGCAGACCGGCGCTGATGTCTTTGGACTAGGATGTTGTTGGTTTGAAAGTGAGGGACATCTTGTCACTGTAAAATAGATCTCAGCAGTCATGTTAATTAATTAATATGGAATACATTGAATAGTTCATTCATGCCCTTAGGTGACCACAATGCCACGGATTGCTTTCGTACATGTTCTCGCTTTGCCATAGACATAAATCTTCTATGGATCATACATTGTCTTGCGCTCACGTTAAACCTTGTTTAAAACGGCGGAGGGTTCAAGTCAAGTCCCTCCACTGTGAGCTTGAATGCATCATTCCGAGAATAGCTACCTGCGACATCCATATCAAGTCTACCCCGTTCACAATCTTCAAGGTCGATCTCCGAGATGGCCAATCCATCGTGATCCTGGGAGTTGGCAGCGTCCTCGGAATCAATGGTATCATCAACGCAAACTTCCCAAATTGGACCAGCCAGTACCTCTCCCAGGGGACCGACAATAGATGATCCACCTCGGCAGACATAACGGCTTCCTATTACTCGTTAGCAGATGCACCGCGCTATGGTATATGTACCATAAACAAGGATCAAGACTAGAATCCATATACTTACCGTCTTCTTGTGCGGGCGCATGATCAGTGATCCAAGATGGAAGTTCATTGTAGCGCACGCATTGGTTCGAAGAGAGAACAAAGGTCCGTCCCTCACCACCAATAGTCCGCATCAGTGGAAGCCAGGTATCGCGAGCATCAGCCGTAGGTGCCAGATAAAGGTTCACATTCTGCGAATACAGACTCTGTCGAAGAAGAGGCATGAAATTTTCCCAGCAGATAGCTCCACCGATGGTGAGCTTAACACCGTTGATCTCGGTAGTGACAGCTTTCAAGCTTGCTGCCGAGCCTTGTCCCCAAACAAGACGCTCAGAACCGGTCTTTTCCACGGGAATCCAGAACACGTTAGTCACCTTGTCCATGTATAACATCAATTCCCTGAGAAACTCACTGGCATGACCTTCCTTCTCTTCCCAATAACACCGCGTGAGGGGTCCACAAAGACCATAGAACAGTACAACGTACCAGCAGCCTTTTCGATCAATCCCGTAGCAATGAAAACACCAGTCTCTTGAGCCACCTGCTCCAGGTACTCTCTTGTCCCATCTCCACGAGAGCTCCTCCCCGGAGCTGTGGGGAGTTTGCGGTCTACCCAGTCATCACCGGCCCCAGCCGGAGTATCGCCTAGATCTACCGCCGACTGGAAGTACTTCAGGAATTGTTCACGACCATGAGCACCACGAGCGCCCACCGCGGCACCAAAGTCGCAAGTGCGTGGGTACCCGCCCAGATATGCCTCGGGAAATAGAATGAGTTGAACCCCGCGAGAAGAGCCGTGGGCTGTGATGCGCTTCAATGCAGCTAGAGTGGATGGCAAGTCCGAACGAGTGCGCGCCTGGGCTACGGCGACAGTCAATTTTTGTGGCATTCTACTTGAAGTCAAGTGTTGATAGAGTGGATGTTTCTTTTTGACCTTCAATTATGTAGAGGGAAAAAAAGTGGTCAAGAAAGATTTGATGAGAGGAGTTGGAGTCATCGGGGTTTCAACCTCCGATGCGGAGTGCATTCGGCGCTGAAACTCCGACCCCACATTCCCCACTGCGGTCCGGCAGTTGCAACTACATCATGGAATTGCAGGGCAAATTCGAACAAGATGGGCTTGTCTTACTTTTTTTCCTAAGTGAGACGAAGGAAAGAGCGGAGAAATGCCGTTTCAAAGATTTCAACGAAGATAACTCAAGGCAGTTTGTCTGATGATGCTGGTGTGTCTGTCAACGAAAGCAAACCTCGCATCAGGAGCTAAATGGTCTGAAGGCTCAATCGCCCCCAAACCTAAAACTCAACAGACCCAAACAAGCCAGGAAACGCGAAGAGCTCATCATGGTTGCTGACGCTAGGCTCGTAAAGGCCGAAAGCCTCCGGTACAAACATACTTTTGCTCGTTGTTTTGTCTTGACAAAGAAAACAGGTCTGGGAAGAATGAACCTCCGAAGACCACGGAGGGAATTCCTCGCTGTATCTTTGATCATGCCACGGATAATCTTCATTCACCATCTCCGTGATCATTCTACAGATATCCACGTTCACAACAAGTGATACGATGCGAGGCATCATCGACCTGATTGAATTCGCGGCATCGGGAGATATCCGAGTCTCGGTATGATCGGCAGAGATGAGGGGATGGTATGGAATTGCCTCGGAGAGAGTATCAAATAAATCGCGTAATGGCTCGGCCTGTCTCCACTGCTCTGCAAACACAGCCAAGATGACAGAACATGTATGGATTGCTGCTAGTGATTTTGAGGAACGGTATATGTCGGTCCGGCTGGACGGAGGCGTTGCCCAAAAGCAATAGAGGAGGGTAATTCCGATACCGAATTGACTGAGAAGCTTCATACCACCGACGTGCGTTAGTGGAAATGTACATCACAATGGGGTTATCACTCACCCCTGGCCAAAGCTGGGCTGTCTGGCGGTCCTTTTGATACTGTCGGAAAACAGACAGAATATCTGCGCAGGCCTGTAGGCACTTTCCCCCAACTAATTCGCGGGCATTTTGTTTGGTTGGCCTGTGTAAGAGTAAGATTGTATAATTGTAAGCCATCCCAACCCATCCTTGGCTAGTATAACCTCTGGATTCGGGATCACTGTGAGGTTGTAATTGATTTCTCCATTGGTCTAACTCCTTCAGCATATGAAGCCTCCAGCCATAATGCGGCGCAAAATTTGCGTCGTAATCGGCACGCATCATGACAGCAAGGATGTGTGACTGAATTCGTCGCACACGAATCAGATGGAGGGCAGAAGATACTTGAGTTTGGCGGGGAAGGGATTCAACCTCTGCTTGTGAGCGTGATTGTGGCTCCCATCTTTGAATTTCACCGTCATTCATGTTCGCAAAGAGCTGCATTTGTTATAGAAAAGAAAACCAAGAAGGAAACGAGGGCTAAGCTGAACTTACCTCGATTTGGATATTCTCGTCTATGACACTGCACGGAACGTGGTAGATCCAGCTAAGTAATCGATCAATGGAATAGGCGGACCAGAACACTCGACGGCGAATTTGAACTTCCAGGAGCGTTGAGCTATCTCGGATTGAAGGTTCATACATAGATCGATGTAGCTGAGAAACAACACAGCATCGCATTGTAGTTGAAATCATAGTCAAAACAGTTTGAGAAGAGGGGGAATGAAGTGCATGTATTGTGCACATCAAATATGCCTGAACATGTAGAACCGGATCTGGTCTCTCGAAGACAGAACTCAGGGACGCAAGGGCGATCGAGTATAAGTTCTGGGACTTTAGTGAATGGTGGACATGGGGAGTTGAGAGTCGCTTACATTGGATAGGCGTCTCTCCTCAGGGAACACCTGAGGTGCTATGAGAAGGCTCACTGCAAAGGCCATCTGGATAAAAAATGACTTCCATTGCTCGCCAGCAGGTATATCACCGCCATTATTCCGTAAATTCTTCCAGGATGAATACCATTCTAGAAATTGTTCTTCAAGGATGAATGGATAACGAGGGTTGACTCGCTCAAGGTAGGTCTGGATCAAAGCTTGTTCCTTTTGATCTGAGAATCGTAGATCTTTGGAATTCGCGTCCTGCTCAATTGGCTGTAATCCATCAAAAATCGATCTGAAAATGGTCCTAGAGCCTTGATTGGCGATGCCAGGTGTGTTCGGGAAGATGGGCGATGATGCTTGGATAGTCATCGGGGTTTGAATATCCATTTCCGCTGGAGGAACAAATCGTGACTCGGAAGGCTGAGTAGACCGTACTATAGGAGAGCTGGTCTCATCTTGTCTTCCTGGAGCTGTTGTAGAGCTTTGGATTGATTCAGATCTATGAGGGAGTGAATTCAAGACTTGTTCATGCGCATTTGCCTCTAGCTCAAAGATACGATTCTCCAATGTTCGCGTGTATCTGAATATCAAGTTAATGCATGGATACAACAGTCAAAATGAAAGACAGCCTTACTGGGTGTTGGCAAGGGACCGCTTTTGTAGCCGCTCTGATGGCATGCAAACTAGACCATTTTGGCTGTCATCAGTAAATGTCCGAGGCCTTTCAAGGGAATATCATCACCTGTCTGTGCCTGAGCACAGTTGTCACAAGGACGTTCTCTATTGCACTACAACATAGTGAGCTTGGTATTTTAATTGATAACCTCAGAAAAGGCCAGCTAGGGAATACCTTTTGTTTTCGCCGTCGGCATCTCTGACATGAAAAATTTCCTTTCGGTTTCGGCCTCACAGAAGTGATACTAGCGTCGGCCATTGTGGCTGTAGAAGATGGACTTCAAGTATTTCGGGATTTCTCGATCGAAGCCGACAGCCGAAAACCAAAAATAAGATCTTTTAGGTGCTACAAGCTCGAAATTAACACTGCTAGTGGCTCACTATTCGGTCGTCGGAATAAATTCTCCGGGTGATGACGAAACGTGCTTAGCCCCACTATCTCGCTCAAGTGTACAATCAGAAGCAATTGAATTCCATGCCGCATTCCCCTTTAAAGTGGCAATAAGCAGAATAATTAATAAAAACCTTGGAACACCCAGTTTAATTGTCAGGCATCTTTCTCCTCGGCATCGGGCCGAGGATAGCATCATCCCAGAAGTGGGCCTGCGCCGAGTCGTGCAAAGGATCTACGCTAATTGGCGTTGTCTTAGATTTAGTACAGTTTAGCGGCCACTCAAAAATCTCACTTGTTGTCATGAAATTTGTGTTTGTACGTAATGGGATCTTGGAGATCTAGATCTAGAAGAATCCTCGTGTCGTTGAAAGGACGCGAGTGGAGCTTATCGAGCTGAGCAATGCCAATGTGCCACTAGAGCTTCGCCTTGCGCACGTTGAGGAAGATTGTTTTGTGCCGCTTGATGCAGATACAGACGCGCAGCTTGTAAAGGTCGATAAGGCAGAGATCTTATATGCGCAGGGAAATACGGTTCTGACTAGGCATATGGCGTGGAGGCAGAGCAAGCAGGCCCTTGTGGCTAATGATAGTACTGAGATCATGTTCATGAGTGAAGTTTTCAACGAGGGTGCAATGGGAACTGAACCTACTGAAATGGCTCGGACTATCGCGGCATCTCTGCAGGATGGCTTGCGAGAGTTCTTTGGTGTCGAAAGTACAGTTTCGTACCTTGGGAAAAGCCTGGGCAAGCTTGATACTGTTTTGTAAACCTACAAGTTTATAGCAAGGTACTCCGGCCAGATAATACGCTACACAAATCGAGCAACCGATAGACAACCGAATCAAATTTTAACAAAGAATACATTGGACTAATCAGCTTTTACCTTTGAATGATTCTGATTTGTAACCAAGAGATAGTATATCAATGGCATTGGTATACTAGTAGCATATGACACATTCAGACTTATTATGGCGTGCTATTTGGTCATCCAGAACTCCGCACATCGTGCTTATTGATAATCAGCAATCTGCTCATATGATGACTGATATAAACATACTCAAAGCCCGAAAATTCAATCTCAAAATAAATAGTAGTTGACTACAAGACTAAAATGGTTGGGCGTACATTGCTTACCGTTGCTATTGTTGGGGGAGGACCGGGTGGGTTAGGAACCGCCATTGCCTTATCCAAACTGCCATTCCTTCAGGTAACGCTTTACGAAAAGAACCCGGAGCCACGGGAGGCAGGTGCAGGAATTAGCTTGAGCACAAATGCTTGGAAAGTTCTGGACTTGCTCGGAGCAAGTGATGGAGTCAAGGGAGGATCGAAGTCAAATACACACCAAAGGTAAGCGATACAACTAATGACGAATGACATCGTTCGCCTATTTTGAATGCTGTTAACAATGTATCAGAAATGCCTATACAGGCAAGATCTTGAGTATAACCCAGCATCCCGAAAATTCCGACGCAGATACTCGTGGTGCGATTCGTGCCCGCAGAACACGACTCCAATCTGCCCTTCTGGATAAGGTGCCAGACGGTCTGATCCAATTTAATAAGAAGCTTGTCTCCCTCGAGAACTTACCCGGTGCAGGCGTGCGTTTGGTTTTTGACGATAAGACAGACGCTCATGCAGATCTTGTCGTGGGTGCAGATGGGATACACTCCGTTCGTCGTGCTACTCCTCTAAGTGCCATCCTTCGCAGCTAATGAATCCACTCACCAGATCGTGCGACGGGTCCTGTTTCCCGATCATCAGCTTCAATTTACAGGAAATACTGCATTCCGCACCATTGTGCCCCGATCACGTCTGGCTCACCTACCGGATATCACGTCCACAACAGCTTGGTGGTGGGGTGAAGCTGGCCACGTGTACTTCTCGGACGTAGATGATGAAAATGAAAGCGATGATCCGTTCTTTGAGATTACCGTGCGATTTTATAAGGAGCCTGAGATTCCTGGGAAAACTGTCGTTTGGGGTATTCCGGCTACGAAGGAGAAAGTGGCATCTCGTGTTTTGGTGCGATGGAATCAACTCATTGGCAAGGGTTATGCTGATAAATCTGCTAGACCTTCGATCAGCGAGTACGAGATGCAGTTGATGCGGTCCAAGAAGGCGAGTGGGGGGAATTCGCTACGTTCGCTGGGCCTCGATTGAGCAAGATTACGGGCTGGGATAAGATCGCCCTGATAGGTGATGCTAGTCATCCACTTTCTGGTATGAAAATCTTCTCCGCTCATCACTGGATAGCCGTGGACTGATAATCTAAAGGAGCATTTGGATCTGGTGCGACATTTGCCATGGAGGACGGATGGATCCTCGCTCGAGCCCTGGAACATACTCAGCTTGCTTCTCATCCTGTTGAAGAGGCCCTTGAGATATTCAACCTGATCAGATCTCCATATTATGCCAGGATGTGAGTCGTCAATGTGGACGTGTTCTTGTGTTTCCTCAAATAGTCTTTGATCTGAGCTAACTTGTAAAGGTACGAACATCTGGACGAGGTCGGTCTCAAAATGCAAAAATTCAAAGCAGATAGTAACGACTTCGATACCTTCTTACAAGCAAAGATTGACAGTTTTCTTTATGGTGATAAAGACTTCATTTACAAGAACGATATTGGAAAGATTTGGGAAGAATATCTTGCATCACAGCAAATCAAGGTTGAATAGACTCAAGTTTGTCTATATTTTAGTATATCAATCAAATCAATCACCTAGACCATGAAATCGGCAATCGTCTAGGATATTGACTTTGAAAAAATGCATTGCGGGAGAAAGTAGAAACAAGAATGCGGGGTGCATGACGTCGGTAGGGATAAATAGGCTGATCACCAATAGTTCGAGGCCCAATCTGAAGAGGCCCAAACTTGGAAAGGGATATTGCAATTGTGTTGGATCTTATCAAACCAGTTGATACGAAATTGCTTCAATAAAATTTTCAAAGGCACTAGAATAGATGGGCTATTTAGTTAATATACAGAGAGCGCTTCATGCAAACGACAAGCCGAGAAAGAAACCATCGTATCGTAAGTCACGGTCAGGAAATCAACCGAGAAAGAGAAAAAAGCCACGCTTGCTCAAATAAATAAGCAAATGTCTTCCTACACTCCGTAAAAGCCAACCAGCAGAAAGTTACTGGCTGTTCTTATGTCCGACACACTTCGACCAAGCTGGCAGTCCACACCCGAACCCAATGAACAGGTACAGAAGGAAGACTACCACAAAGCCAAGGAGCACCATCAACTTAATATTCTTCCACCACATCCGCCGACGCAGACCCCGACTACGTAGGCGGAAATCGTGTGCACTCCCACCCAGCCGGTCAGTCTTATCGACCAGCAAATCAATGCGCTCGCCTCGTTCGAGCACGCGCTCAATATTCTCCGTCATGATGTCGCGCACGCTGTCGATCTCGCGGCGGGCAGACGCCAGGGAGTCTGCCGGTGGAGTGGTGTTGTATGTCTGGAGCAGGGCGCGAAGGTCTGTGTTGAAAGATGCGCAGCCGTATGCTGGGAACAGAGAGAAGTCTGTGCTGGCGGGTGGATACTTGGAGAGGAAGTTGCGCTTCATTTCGAGCAAGAAGGCGAAGGGGATGCGGCGGCCTTGTTCGGCAGATGCTACTACGATGTAGCTTAAAGGTGCGTAGGAGTTTTGCTCGGTGCGTCCATTTATATCATCTGCGGACCCGCCCTTTGGCGAGTCGGCGATGTAGTGTACGAACAGGCGTTCGTGGGTGAAAGTTAACTTCTGGGGCTTGTCGTGGGTGATCTTGGGCAGGATGACGGATGCGAGGGAGGAGGCCGATGTGGATGATGATCCTGGGGAGGAGTGCTCGGCCAGGATGGTTGTGCGGTGTGCGATGCAGGAACTGGTGATGAGTGGTTAGAATGCTTCATGACGGGATCCGTGGGGTTCGGGCTGGTGTGGCGGGAGCACTCACTAGAGCAGGGAGCTCTGAGGTTTCGAGGAGGACGCCATGATGGGTTGCAGGTGGTCTGTAATAATTTACAAGATATATATCAGAGCCAAATCAGACCAAGAAGAGGAGGCCTGGGTCCGACGAATGATGCGTCAGGAGCTCCGGTTCTCCAGGTGTGGGGCGCTTAGTCATGATTGTCCAGATTGCGGGCCAAAGGTTATCGAGGTACAACTTTGTATCTTCTTCCTCTCGAAGTGTTTTGATATTTGCCTTTCTGATAATACGGGGCATCTTTTGACTCTCGAAAAGACTTCGAAGATCCTGATTTTTTCCAATAGAAGAGATACTTCGTGCCCAAAAGATTCCTTGGATTTCTTCAGCTCAGTACTGATTGGAGGTCTTTCAAGGGGCCCGCTTTTCTAGCGGTCTACGGTAGAAATCTCTTGTACTTGTCGTGTCGATGTGTATCTACCTCGTAGTTCAATGCGGTTTATGATTTGTGGAAACCGACATCCTTCTTTGGCCAAATCAACTGGGCACAAGATTGCTCATTGTATCACTCGTGTACTACGTCGTTTCCTTGACGTCCCGATTCTAAACAAGTTCTTAGACGATTTATACGCGAATCTTAGAGGATTGTGCCGCATTTTCTTCATAACTTTGCAGCTAAAACGGATGTGTAGCGCTGAAGTGGGGTGGGATTCTTCTCCGAGGTCTATGGTAAGATTGGTTGTTAGACATGAGCTATTCCAAGGTCACAGTGTTCAACCTGTTAACCCTTCCTTCACATAATGAACAACTCATGACTCCATTGTAAGACCTCAGATACTTCGTACGGTCAGGTGCTCCTTATTAAATATGTACTTCCAATGCTACTGTGAGTTTTGTGAGTGACTGATCAAGAATATATCAGTACTGTTAGTGTTCCTCACGCCCACCCTCAAAAAGACGCACGAGTGCACCCCAATGCTGATGCTACTTAGTAGCTCCTGGGTCAGTGGTCATGAGACATCATTCCAATATGAAACTCTTGAAACAGCTCATATCGCCCCTGAGAATACAGCCCGAGCAACCTTGGAAAGCTATGGCACTCGGTGTCAAGAAGTCGCATCTCGCAACATAATTATCTTCCGTACATTAAGGTGATGACGCACCCCGTTTACGTAACTCGTCAAGCCCAGAACTATGTGGGTCAAGTTCTTCCATGCAGGAATCTTATTCTACGGTAGAAACACGTTAATGTTCTCTTTAATTCAGTCGTTTCATTGCATGTCACATGTTGCGGATAGGTGACCTCTTTCAGTATTTAAATCCGCGGGAACTTCGGCCGAGCTTTCTAAACCCAGCCAAATGAGCGCGTTTCTGATCCGCCATATCTCCACTTTGGCTGATCTTGATGATCTTTCCCCGTATCGGATTGAGACTATGGATGAAGCCAAAGCATCTGCCGCTTCGTGTCTAAATTGACCAAAGATTGATCCGATTGCTCGGCATTATTCAATATGTGCACGCAGTTCCACCACCATAATGCAGGAACTATAAGTGTCCAAGGCTACCCGCTTCCACTAATAGCATCCAGTTCACTGCTCCCTGTTCCCTCACCAAGAACCGCTCCGCCATGCGTTCGATCATCTCCTTGGCGCTGTGCCTGGGTGCCGCCGCAGCTTCCGAATTTAAGACACGCACTGTCTACCAATTCGCCTCTAACGATACCTGGTTAGAGAACCTAGCCACACGATCCAATGGCATCATCCTAGCAACCGAGATCGGCCCCCCAGCCAATCTCCTGGCCTTTGATCCCCGCGAGAAGCACCCCAAGAAGAAGGTTATCAAGGACTTCACCTCAGTGCTGGGCCTTTCCGGTATCACCGAGGGAGCTCACGATGTCTTCTACGTTGCCGGTGCAAACACCACATCCGACAATATCAGCGATCCCCCCAAGAACGCAACTCATATCTGAGAAGTCGATTTCAACAAGGACAGCGAGCACCCTCAGATCAAGCTGCTGTGTCGCCCAACCGCACCTACCGGGTTCAACGGTCTGACCACCTTCAATGAGACCATTCTGCTCGCTAGCGCCTCCTACCAAGATTCTATCTTCGCCATCGATACCCAGACCGGTCGTACCTGGGAAGCTATTACGCAGACGAGCCTGATGTCTTCTATCAACGGTATCAAGGTCTCCAATGGCTTTGTCTACTGGACTGCTAACAGTGCTTTGTACCGCGCTGAGCTTTACCCTAATGTTACTGCTGGTACTGGTCAGCTTATTTTCCAGGGTAGCGCGTTTGATGATTTCGCTATCTCTCCTGATGGATTCGCTTTGAACTCAACTTATGGATCGGACTATAAGTTTGCGTACCTTGCTACAGCCGCTGAAAACACTATTGAGCAGGTTATCTTTACTCGCAATGGCACTGCTGTTGGTCATGAGATTATTGCTGGTGCTGAGGACTCGACTGAGGTTGCTGAGCCTACTGGTGCTTTCTTTGGACGGGGTGAGGGCCAGCTGAATAAGCTCTATGTTACTACTGGTGGTGCCAGTGCTGTTAACATTGATACTAATGGTACCGATGTTGCGGTTGGTGCGCAGCTATTGGAGATTCAGTTGAACTAAATCCCAATAGTATCTTGCACTATACAGAATGTGAAAATTTACTTGTAAGATGAGTGCTGTTACTGAAGTTCATGTACTGATACATGTCTAAACGAATAATTTGTTGGTAGGTCACTTTGTTGTGTCCTGTCCATAATTTCTTTGACATGTAAGCCCAGAAGGCAATGCTTCCTCCTCAGCCAGCCGATTAATCATCACGGCACATTGTCTGTTGATAAAATTCAAGAACCATTGAGAAACCTGCCAAAACAAAACCTGCGCCATAAATCAAGTAAGGTCATCCATCATGTCGCAATCATCTTCATCATTTCCCGTAATATCCATATCGTCATCAGAAAGGCCAGAAAGCTCAGGCGAGCCCATAACGATTGTACTGCCCCCAGCGCTGTAGGTATTCCAATCTTCATTATCCGACTTGACGGATGGTACGGAGTATCCGTAGTCACGATTTACTAGCATTGTCTCTGGTCGTTGTTCAAGGCTCGCAACGGAACCTGGATGTTCAACCTCATCATATGAGTCCACCGACACGACATCCGAAGTATGGGAGTTCGTCGCGTAGTGAGAGGCACCCTGGACGGTACTTTGCAAATCGCTCGAGTGAATATCGCTGAAGGATTCATCGGTGGATGCAACACTGCCCGTATGAACTTGAGGGCCTGGGGCGGAAAAGCCTCCAGATACCATGATGGGAATGTCATGGTCTGTGAACACGCCGCCTGTTCCGTCGTCATTACCTCCAGCCCATAGAGGTAGATACTGGTATTCGTTGTCGGTAAGGCAGGTCATGACGTCCCCAATTCGTTCTTGGAAGAGAGTTTGATCCATAGGATTCAGAAGCGCGCGGCAGTACTCGGCGACGTATGCATTGGCTGATAGAGTGAATCTTTTTAGATCAAATTCTTTCCACGGACACGTCGAGCTGCCCGAGTCATCATGTGGGACATCGAGAGTGGATGCTGGCCCTCGTACAGATACGGAACTAGACTCTTCCGGATCAGAGTGTGGGACGTCGAGGGTGATCCGACGACTCTGGGATGGTTGCTGCGGAATAAAATGCTGTACCTGTCCTGCTGGTCTTTCTGTTAATGTCGTTCTCCAAAAGGAGAATGAGTTGACATCCGTAGCAGTAGAAGAAGCATTGTTCGAAGATGAAGCAACCGGCTCGCGATCCTGTGGAATCCTGCGGCGCAGGTTGATAGTAAGATTCCACCGCTTATTCGTACTTTCGGCCTGCGCCTGCATCTGTCTCTTCAGATGGTCTTTCACCTCGATCGCTTGATTGAACAATTTGATTTTCTCCTCCAGAGTCTCTTTGGGTATGTAACGAATTCTCGCATTTTCCTGTCCTTGAAATGCAAGCAGGCCACACCCAATCTCGGCGATGGAGTCGTGCTTGATTATTATTGCTTCCAGGTAGTCCATTATAAGAGCAAGCCGATTATCCATAAGGTCGGTCCAGAAACTCCTCCCCATCAATCTGACCAGACAATCCAGTGAATCAAATGCACGGTTACTGCTTCGGAATCGTCTGGTACTTGTCGGCATGTCGCTAGGAAGGTCTGGCTCTGCATCACAAGAACGCATGGGATCTGCAGCTAAAAACAGATGTTGATAAATTGCAAATCTAGCGCTGTCTTTCAGAGTCTCGATTATGGAAAGGGCCCAGTCATTATCTTCAGGGAAATCACGGGCATGTTCTTTCAACTTTGCACATTCTGGGATATCTTCAATCCAAGACATTTCCTCTCCCGCCAAATGAAGAAAGTGTTTGATCATTGTGTCCATGAAGGCCTTGCTAGCGTACTCGATCCGCTGTACCTCATTGTCATCGAGATTATCTTTGACCTGAGACTTTGTAAATGACAATTGCCATCTCTTCATTGGCGTGATTTTTGCGGTCCTTATGAGGTAAAGAAGTGCTTCATCACTGACCAATCCCACAAATGCATGGCGGCAAAGGGCACTGGATTTAATACCACAGCCGACCCGATAGGCTATCTCAGGATGAATTTCAATTATTCGTGTGTTTGTTGTGTCGTAAAACCAAGACGTGATGTATTCGCTGATAGTCGGGAGGGTGGCCACATCAAAAATCTTGGCAACGGCGAAGTATGTCCAAAGCTTGCAAGGCGTATCGAGGGTTACTCTCAACCCCTCGAGGACGTGTAGCACATGCTCAATTCCTTCACGGTGGCGGGCTCCGGAATACTCCACAGGCAGTCCTTTCCGGACTATGGTACTAGACACAGGGTGCTCGTTATTTGGATGTCGTTGTGAAAGGAACCGAGAGTTTGTTTCGTCTTCTCCCTCACTCAAAGGTCCATCTTCTCCTTTCTCTTCGTTGCCATTGACCGTTACTGGCTCAAAGATTGCTGTTGGATCTGGACGCTCCCACATTTGATATTCATCCTCTCCTCCGACACAGGCATGTGGAAGGCTCCATTTGCTCTCTAATGAGGCCCATTTTCGGATAGCCATGGGGCAGGATACCTCTGTCAGAGTAATGATAGCATCCTCCTCAAATATCGCCGGCGTCAAGTCCACCAGATATTTGATACCATCAGGTAGCTTGTCGATGAAGCCTCGCTGCCTCCGAGCTCGCTTCTGGTATCGTGGTGTGAAGAGCTTAGCAAAGTATGCAGAGCCTACTGTCAATAACGAAGAGCTGTGGACGCGAAGAGGAATTGTTTGTGTCGAGGCAAGGGCCCTGGGTCCGTCTTCAGGTGAGGGGTCGATATAGAGCAGAGTGTCTGCATCGTTGAAGAGAAGAAGTGGAACTACCATTTCAAATTTGGGCACGGGGCTCTGGCGAAAACCAAGTGGGATTTCTGGGATTACCACGGGTGGTATCTCTGCCGGCTCCTCTTGCGCTGTCTCGAAGGCGACAGCCCTGGGTAGAGTGATTGGCGCCAGGATGAACAGTCGTTTGTTTTTTATGGCAATTTGGGTGAGGAGGTTCAAGAAGGTAGGAATATTTGAGGAAATTAGAAGGTGTTGAGCACGGTAAGGTTCAAACATGGAGGGGCGGAGTAATGAGGCTCAAGCCTGTTGCCTTACGAAAACAGACCAATCACAGCTCAGTCACTGGCAGGGAATATGCATTGCCACGGTGTAATGCCACAGTGAGTCACCAGCTGAGTTATATGCGTATTTGACTTTTGTGAATTACATTTTGAACAACAAAGACACTGTTGGAGTGTAGGGAGTCTCCACTTTGACAGGTCCAAGAGTGGGTCAACAACGGTCTTACCCATCTGTCTAGGTAACCTGCATGGCAGAAATAAATTAATTGCACAGTCATCAAAACATTACCACTGCGTTATACTTCATCAACCATGGTTCTTCAGCATCTCACCCATGTATTCCACAAGCCAAGCATGCTTTCATGGCCAATCTATCCCACACAAACCATAACCTCAACCTTACAAGGCTATGAACCAACGCTAATTCCTGGTAATCTTGAAATGTTTTTTGTTTTTCATTGGAATCTATGGTATCTATTTCAGAGCTTCCTGAATTTTGACACGCTTCTCAGCTTAGGATCCCTATTCCAAAGTCGCCGGCCTTTAAATCAGTCTTGTCCCAGGAATATATACAATCTCGCCTATTAGTTAACAGCCGAGTTCATTACAAGATAGAGTTCTATCGCGTCCACTAGGTAAGTGCATTCAGCATGATCGAACCTTGTCCAATATCTCGTGCTCCGCCTCATGGCCGCGTAGTGAGGAAGGAACCGTTCTGACTACAAATAAAGAGATGGAGGCTCTCCGGGGAGGATGTTTCGACCAGACAAGTGTGCCCCCCGGGCAGCTGGTCAACTTGCACAAAAATGAGCACCCGGGTATTAACTGTCCGAAACAAACAGAGATATAGAGTGAGAACATTGGAAAATATCATGTGGTTCAAAAGTGGTATCGCAAAGGATGAAAATCAACACGCCATGCATCCCGACATTCAAAACTCAGAAAAGCCGCCTATTCTAGTTACAACAGAGGTTGGGAAATATTCTACATTCTTGGAAGACTCGGATAAGGAATCAGTGGCAGGAAATTAGCTCGATCGCTGAGTTGCACGCTCAGACGGTTGCCCATCACGACCTCGCCCACTTCCATCTGAGTGGGGTCTCCGCTTTTTGGTATCTTTCTTCTCCGCCCGCTTCTTTTTCTCGCGCGTGGGAGGACGGGATTCATCCGGTCGGCTGCGGCTGAGGCTACGGCTGGATCCTGTGCGGCGGAGGTCCTTGACCTCTTTGATGACCTCGCGGAATCCCTCCTCGATGTTGTTCATGCGAGCAAGGACTAATTTGCTGAGCATGTCTTGGCTTTGGCTGGGTCCGTCCCGACGGAGATTTCCGGTAGCGAGAGCCATTTGGGTGTTGAAGCTGGATGGGATCACACCCGCAAAGCCACCGGCCACAGCCTTATTATCGCCTAGATCAGATCCGAGATCGAATAGCAGTGATCGTGGGGCTCGTCGGGCAGATGGACGGTCGGATAGATATAGCCCTTCGATTTCTGGGACGGACATGTGGTTAAAGCCTAGAGAGGGGTTGCGCGAGAGGACAGCGTTAAGAGCATGTCGTCGCACAGTGCCAATATTTGCAGACGTTGATATGCCTGGCGGATGATCGTCATCTGAGGAGTCTTCGTGGGGCCGTGGGGGTGTTGTTCTTCCTTCAGTCTCTTCATTCGGCGAACCAACGGGATTGTATAGCATGGTAGCCCCTGAAATGTTTCGTGTGTGTCTGGGGCGGCGTACTGGGCTTTCTCGTCTGGATATGACTCTGGCAGTGGATGGTCGGGAGCTGTAGAATTTGGGGGTAGTCTTCTCCATACTGCCGGCCGGATTGGCACCGTCAGTAAAGGATCCCTTTTCCGAATGCTCTTCATGGGAGCCATCATCACTGTCGAGCTCATCGTCTCCTTCCATGTCGGTGTGCTGAGAGAGAAGGCGGGTTCGCGTAGGCGATATCGAATCTCTCCGTCGGGGGTAGAAGGCTGGATTGGCAAAATAACTGATTCGTTCTTCAGGATTGGATGCTGCCACAGATCGAGTAGTTTCTGTGAAATTGCGCCCATGTGAATCCATTGTCTTTCGCATTGGGAGCTGAGGGCGTCGCAATGGCATCTCAAGCCGATCCACAATAGCTCGGTCTTCCTCATCTGGGGTATTAGCTGGCCCGGAACCAATCTCTTGCATCCAATCCTTGATGACATTATTGGTTTGGTGTTTGCGCATGCTGCCCGGCCTATCCCGAGCTCGGTCGCTAGTGGTTTGCTGTCGGAAGACCTCTTCCAGGGCCTGATCTTTCTGGTATGTAGCCACCGACGGCTCTCGCATTAAGCGTGGCGCCCTCGTGCTAAATGCCTGGAACCGACTGGGTCGGGTCTGCGCCGATGTTTGTTGACGGGATGCTGCGTCAACAAGGTCCATCGGCTCCATCACACGAGCACTGAGAATGGTCTTTTCGTAGAGACAAATAGTGAACAGTATTGGCAAGTGTGTGACTTTGATGATGGTCCTATTAAGCTTGATATATTGACGGAAAGGTATGAGGTACCGGAACGGCGTGACAAGCCAAGCAATGACATTTGCTGGGGCCACGTAGCTGAACAGCGCATCTGACTTGACCATGGATATGGTGTTGACAGCAAACAAGAATTGATGCTCAGAATCAGCGTTGTTCACAATCCGCATGAAGCTGTTGGACAGTACGGAGACAAGGATGGTGACGATCACAAAGTGACAAATGAAGAGAAAGACCGTGAGAATGGTCCTGCCGAGGAAATTGTACTCATCCCACATCGCCCACGCAGTCGGTGTAAATCCCATCACCATCTGAAATAAGCCATACGCGACGGTCTTCGGAGAGTTGTCATTTCCAAAAGACAAGAATGCGACGAAAAAGCCGCTGCACGCAATTACAATCAGCACAAAGACGGCGATCAGATCGGATGCCATGATTCGAAACGCAACCAGCAGTTGGGAGAAGTAACGGTAATGATCAAGGATTGAGAACAGACGAGGAAAGAGAAGGACGGAACTGGCAGCCAGAATGTCGTATGCTTGATCGGCTATCTGGTTGCTCCGTGGATAAGTCAGGAAAGCACCGTAGACACGCAGGCAATAGTAACAAAACAGGAGCAGCAGAATCCCGAGATCGAAAAGATTCCAAAAGCTCATCAGATAAAGACTGAAGCCTTGTTCATTGAAACCAACAATTTCGTCGAGCATGAATCCTGCACTCCAAAACCAAAATACAATCTCCAAAGATGTGATCCGGCCACTGCGCTGTTCAAGAACAGCCAAGAACAGACCAAGCAAGACCGCGAACGATATCGTTGATAGAAATTGTCTATAACGAGGCACACGTAACCGCGAAAGTTTGAACAATGACGCGTTTTGGGGGTTGTACAAGGTCACAGAGCGCCGAAAGGTCGCATTTCCAGTCTGAATCGGGATCCCATTTTGATCCGTCGTGGTTCCGTAGTTATAATCCCCCATGGACGATCGGTTCAAAGGCCGATGCAAGTGATCAGCAGCGGAGTGAAAGACGATTGTCCCCGCCCAAATGGCTTCCAATTGCTGTACCACTACTGGATGCGCTAGGAAGCGTTTTGCCTGCGCCCGAATGGCCACCTCCAGACAGGATATCCGAGCAGTACCCGCAACTTTTCCCTGTGGTGGACCAGCCGGCCACGCTGTGGGCATATCATGCCCCTGTAGTGGATCAAAGTCATACGATAGCGCATCGATCAATTCGCGAGTCGTGTATTCCCGCAGCAACTTAATCGCAAGCAGTTCGCTGACCATCGCGCGGGTCTGACTTGCCCCGCTGTTTCCAGGGTTGACATGAATCTCCTTCTCGAACTGCAGGCAGTTCGCCATCAGGGCATATAGGGTAGCTCGCGAAAAATGTTCAGACATGATCTGCTGCTGAATAGGTTTGATCAGGAACTGCGACACTTGGGGAGAGCGGAGTTGGTCCCAGGTCAGTGTGGTTTCGCATCGTGAGGCGATCAAGGGACGAATGGCATGGGTGATATCGTATACGGGCAGCGCATCTATGTGTGGGTTGTGGTTAGCGATATGACTCGTCGCGCATGACCAAACGTCATACCCAAATGCGAAGAGGAGAAGATTGGGAGCAGCGGGGTTGACTCTATAGGACCGTCATCCTCTTCCTCATTTTCCGGCTCCCAGTGACCACCTATGTCCTCATCGATATCCTCGAGCCCAGGCTCGTCGTCGCTGGAATCTGCCCCACGCGTGTTTCGCAGACCGCGTCGTGCACCGAACCATGGTGAATGGTCTGTCGCTGTGAAAGGCGAGGAAAATTGCGACTGGTCAATCCGCCCGCGCCGTGCTTTCGGGCGAAGGAGAGAGGCCAGCATATTGAGAAGCTTCACGTGGGCCGAGTAATCTGCATGACCGTTGAAGGTGTTGGCGTTTGGCGTTTAGTGCATGGTAATTTAGAAATACAGCTAGGAAGTAAATCGGCGAAACGTAAATAGAGAGAAATGAAGGGCCCAAGACGATAAAAACTAGCATCAACTGGGTTCCAAAATCTCAGCTCTGGGGGAAGTCAAATTATCTACAAGGTGAACACAAGCTAATGGCGCGCGATTAATCAGATCCAACATCTGCGAGTCCAAGCTTGGTTTAAAAAGACGTCCCAATAGTAATGTAGACGCCCCCATTCGCCAGATTTAGTATAGCGTGGTATTGGTATTTTAGAAATAGACACGTCCTTACAAAACTTACTTGGGTGCACAACAGGTCTCATACCCAGGTAAGAATTGGAGTATTATGGAGAGTATATATGTTGGATTGATCTGAGAAAAGATCATCAATATACACTGTAAGGCCTTGGTACAAAAAATACAATCCTGTGCAGTTTGGCACGGGGTGATGGGGCGTCTTTTTAGCGACTTGGGGCGTCCTTTTAATAACGCCCGAGCTTCGGCAGATCTAAAGGCACGATATACGTCATTGCGCAGATTCCCCGTACACCTGACCGCACATTCCACAAGTCACAGTATGAACCAGGTTTTTGAATATGATCAAACTTTTGATCACAAGCAGCACAGCCATTTAGATAATTGTCATGTTGATCATTGGTTCTCCCAGTCACTATTCATGGGAGTATGTAGCAGAGTACATCAACTCAATGCGCACAGTTCTTGTACAGTGCATCCTCACCGGTCGCCGGCACTTATCGCCTTATCGGGACTGACCGCCTGCAGCGCTCTGCAGGGATTTAATTTATTAAAAGAGGCCTATACAAGAGCAGAAGCAGAAACCATAGTTGGTGTCCTTATTAACATACAGAGTAGTTGAAACCTCAAATCCTCATTAGATATCCTCTTTCCTCTGTAGATAATTCGGCTCTTCATGTTTCCACTTTTCCCACTTTTTTTTTTCCTTCTTTTTTTGCAGCGACCAGATCCACTATGAGAAGCTTGGAGAAAAACTCTGAGGGCGGTCAAGTACCACGGCGCACCGAAACCGGTGGGTCTGCTCGACGGTGAAAATTTTCTGCCACGGCCCTCAATTTTCTTCTTCTTTCATATCTCAGCTCATTGCAGCTGCTGCACAAATTACCCCCTCTCTTACTCAATTTAAAAACCCCAGAAAACCCCACGACCAAGAAGACGAATCAAAGGTCTCATTGGCGAATGCTGTGCTAGAGTGACCTGCCCTCGCTCAGATTCGTCCCCGAGAGGACTTGTCCCCTCAATTTTCCCCTCCACCAAGTCAGTTACCTTCAACCGCTTTCCAAAGGAATCGGTCAGACCGAGTCCGCATTTGGGCGGTACTTGAAAAGATAAAAAAGCACCGAAGCTATTCACAATGGCTGCTACTGGTGCTGTGATTGCCCCGGCCACCATCCCGGTCCGGGGTGGTAGTGACCGACTCATGGCCCTCGAGCTGGCGGATGGTACCGTGTACCAGGGTTACAACTTTGGTGCGGAGAAGAGTGTGTCTGGTGAATTGGTCTTCCAGACTGGTATGGTTGGCTACCCCGAGTCGGTCACCGACCCTTCATACCGCGGCCAGATCCTGGTTGTCACCTTCCCTCTGGTTGGAAACTACGGTGTCCCTTCGCGGGAGGAGATGGATGAGGTGCTCCAAAGTCTGCCCAAGTACTTCGAGTCAAGTCAGATTCATGTCGCCGCATTGGTTGTGGCAGCCTACGCTGGCGAGGATTACTCTCATTTCTTGGCAAAGTCTTCTCTGGGTGACTGGCTCAAGGAGCAGGGTGTTCCTGCCATCCACGGTATTGACACTCGTGCTCTGACCAAGCGTCTTCGTCAGACCGGTAGCATGCTCGGTCGCCTGCGTCTGCAGAAGGCCGGAGAATCCAACGGCGTCTCCGATGGTGTTGAGGCTGCCAACTGGAGCTCACACTTCGAGGAGGTCGAATGGGTGGACCCCAATGCCAAGAACCTTGTTGCTGAGGGTGAGTCGAAGAGCAGAGCCCTTTTCAATGCTTCTTTTCTGACGGTTTTCTAGTTTCCATCCGCGAGCCCCGCCTGTACACGCCCCCCGCAGATGTTGCTCTCAAGCACCCCTCGGGCCGCCCCGTTCGCGTTCTGTGTTTGGATGTCGGTATGAAGTTCAACCAGCTGCGCTGCTTGCTCTCCCGCGGCGTCGAAGTCATGGTCGTTCCTTGGGACTACGACTTCCCCACCCTGGCCGGCAAGGACTACGACGGTCTGTTCGTGTCCAACGGTCCCGGTGACCCTGCAACCCTGACTACTACCATTGCCAACCTTGAAAAGACTTTGAAGGATGCCCGCACACCCGTCTTCGGTATCTGTTTGGGTCACCAGCTGATTGCCCGCGCGGTCGGTGCTACTACCAGCAAGATGAAGTTCGGTAACCGCGGTCACAACATTCCCTGCACAAGCATGATCTCTGGAAAGTGCCACATCACTTCCCAGAACCACGGTTACGCCGTCGATGCCTCCAGTCTTCAGAACGGCTGGGAGGAGCTGTTCGTCAATGCCAACGATGGCAGCAACGAGGGTATCCGTCACACCAGCCGCCCCTTCTTCAGTGTCCAGTTCCACCCGGAGAGCACCCCCGGTCCTCGCGACACCGAGTACCTGTTTGATGTTTTCATCAACACCATCCAGAAGTCTATCGCATCTGCTGATGCCCTCACCAAGCCCGTTGAGTTCCCAGGTGGTCTCATCGCGGACAACCGCAAGGCCTCTCCTCGCGTCTCTGTTAAGAAGGTTCTGGTCCTCGGTAGTGGTGGCCTGAGCATTGGTCAGGCCGGTGAGTTCGACTACTCTGGTAGTCAGGCTATCAAGGCGTTGAAGGAGGAGGGTATTTACACCATCTTGATCAACCCCAACATTGCCACCATCCAGACCTCCAAGGGTTTGGCTGACAAGGTGTACTTCCTGCCCGTCAACGCTGAGTTCGTTCGCAAGGTCATCAAGCACGAGCGCCCCGATGCCATTTACGTTACCTTTGGTGGTCAGACCGCTCTGTCCGTTGGTATCGAGCTCAAGGATGAGTTCGAGGAGCTCGGTGTTAAGGTTCTGGGTACTCCCATCGACACCATCATTACCACTGAGGATCGTGAGCTGTTTGCTCGTAGCATGGACTCGATTGACGAGAAGTGCGCGAAGTCGGCCTCTGCCTCCACTATTGAGGAGTGCATGCAGGTTGTTGAGGCCATTGGCTTCCCCGTCATTGTGCGTGCTGCTTACGCACTGGGTGGTCTCGGCAGTGGTTTTGCCGAGGACATGGACCAGCTGCGGGACCTCTGCACCAAGGCTCTGGCTGTCAGCCCTCAGGTGCTCATCGAGCGCAGTATGAAGGGCTGGAAGGAGATCGAGTACGAGGTTGTTCGTGATTGCCAGGATAACTGCATCACTGTCTGCAACATGGAGAACTTCGATCCCCTTGGTATTCACACTGGTGACTCCATTGTCGTTGCCCCCTCCCAGACTCTCTCTGATGAGGACTACAACATGCTTCGGACGACTGCCGTTAATGTCATCCGCCACCTTGGTGTCGTCGGTGAATGTAACATTCAGTACGCCCTGAACCCCTTCTCCAAGCAGTACTGCATTATTGAGGTCAACGCTCGTCTGTCTCGCTCTTCTGCTCTCGCCTCCAAGGCCACTGGTTACCCCTTGGCTTTCATTGCTGCCAAGCTGGGTCTGGGTATTCCCCTGAACGAGATCAAGAACTCCGTCACCAAGTCCACTTGCGCCTGCTTCGAGCCCTCGCTTGATTACTGCGTGGTCAAGATCCCCCGATGGGATTTGAAGAAGTTCACTCGTGTCTCTACTCAGCTCGGTTCATCCATGAAGAGTGTCGGTGAGGTCATGAGCATTGGTCGTACCTTCGAGGAAGCTATTCAGAAGGCTATTCGTTCCGTTGATTTCCACAACCTCGGTTTCAACGAGAAGGATGCCCTTATGTCCATTAAGGGCGAGCTCCAGACTCCTTCCGACCAGCGTCTCTTTGCCATTGCCAACGCTATGGCTACTGGCTACTCTGTCGAGGATATCTGGAAGCTGACCAATATCGATAAGTGGTTCCTGACCCGCCTGAAGGGCTTGAGTGACTTTGGCAAGTCCATGTCCGCGTTCAATGCTACCTCGGTTCCCGTTCCTATGATCCGCCAGGCTAAGCAACTTGGTTTCTCCGATGCTCAGCTTGCCAACTTCCTTGGTTCCAACGAGCTGGCTGTGCGCCGCATGCGTGTTGAGGCTGGCATTACCCCTATTGTCAAGCAAATCGATACCGTCGCCGCTGAGTTCCCTGCCGTCACCAACTACCTTTACCTCACCTACAATGCCTCTGAGCACGATCTGAAGTTCGAGGACCACGGTATCATGGTTCTTGGCTCCGGTGTCTACCGTATTGGTTCGTCTGTCGAGTTTGATTGGTGTTCCGTGCGCACTATCCGCACTCTCCGCGAGCAGGGTCACAAGACCATCATGGTTAACTACAACCCGGAGACTGTCAGTACCGATTACGACGAGGCCGACCGCCTCTACTTCGAGAACATCAACCTTGAGACTGTTCTTGACATTTACCAGCTGGAGACTTCCAGCGGTGTTATCATGTCCATGGGTGGTCAGACCCCTAACAACATTGCCCTGCCCCTGCACCGTTTGAACGTCAACATCCTTGGTACTTCTCCCGAGATGATTGATGGTGCCGAGAACCGCTACAAGTTCTCTCGCATGCTGGACCGCATTGGTGTTGACCAGCCTGCCTGGAAGGAGCTGACTAGCATTGAGGAAGCCCGTGAGTTCTGTGACAAGGTCAGCTACCCTGTGCTTGTCCGTCCCTCCTACGTGCTTTCTGGTGCTGCCATGAACACGGTTTACTCGGAGGATGACTTGGAGAACTACCTCAACCAAGCCGCCGATGTTTCTCGCGACCACCCCGTCGTCATCACCAAGTACATCGAGAATGCCAAGGAAATTGAGATGGATGCCGTTGCCAAGAACGGTGTCATGGTTGGTCACTTTATCTCTGAGCACGTTGAGAACGCCGGTGTTCACTCTGGTGACGCCACTTTGATCTTGCCCCCGCAAGATCTGAGTGCCGAGACGATTCGTCGCATTGAGGAGGCCACTCGCAAGATTGGTAACGCCCTGAACGTCACTGGTCCTTACAACATTCAGTTCATTGCCAAGGACAACGATATCAAGGTCATCGAGTGCAATGTCCGTGCCTCTCGTTCATTCCCCTTCGTGTCCAAGGTCATGGGTGTGGATCTTATCGAAATGGCTACCAAGGCTATGATGAGCATTCCGTTTACTGAATACCCTCCTGTCAACATCCCCAAGGACTACGTTGGTGTGAAGGTTCCCCAGTTCTCCTTCTCGCGTCTCTCCGGCGCTGATCCCGTTCTTGGTGTTGAGATGGCCTCCACTGGTGAGGTTGCCTCCTTTGGTCGTGACAAGTACGAGGCCTACCTCAAGGCTCTGCTGTCCACTGGCTTCAAGCTGCCTAAGCGCAACATCTTGTTCTCCATTGGTTCGTACAAGGAGAAGCTTGAGATGCTTCCTTCTATCAAGAAGCTCCACGATCTCAAGTACAACTTGTTCGCTACCTCCGGTACCGCTGACTTCCTCAAGGAGAACGGTGTTCCTGTGAAGTACCTCGAGGTTTTGGCTGGTGAGGAGGAGGACATCAAGTCTGAGTACTCTCTCACTCAGCACTTGTCCAGCAACCTCATTGATCTCTACATCAACTTGCCGTCAAGCAACCGTTACCGTCGCCCGGCCAACTACATGTCCAAGGGTTACCGCACTCGTCGCATGGCTGTCGACTACCAGACTCCTCTGGTCACCAACGTGAAGAATGCCAAGATTCTCATTGAGGCCATTGCTCGCCACTTCCCTCTGGACATTCAGACCTCTGACTTCCAGACTAGCCACCGCACTGTGACTCTGCCTGGCCTGATTAACATCGCTGCCTTTGTTCCTGGTCTTACCACCCCTGGCTCTAAGGACTTCGAGGCCGTCACCAAGGCCTCCATGGCCGCTGGTTTCACTATGGTCCGTGTCATGCCCGTTGGAGTTGACAGCTCGGTCACCGATGCTGGTGACCTGAACGTTGTTCAGCAGAATGCTCAGGGCAAGTCTTTCTGTGACTTCAACTTCTCGGTTACTGCCACTTCCTCCAACTCTGACGAGATCACTCGGATCACTGGTGATGTTGGCTCTCTCTTCATCCCCTTCAACCACCTGTCTGGCAACATCAACCAGGTGGCCACTGTGACCAACCACTTTGCTTCCTGGCCCTCCAGCAAGCCCATGATCACTGATGCCAAGGGTACTGATCTGGCCTCGATCCTGCTCTTGGCCAGCCTCCACAGCCGCAACATCCACGTGATGAGTGTCACCTCCAAGGAGGACATTAAGCTCATCGCTCTGAGCAAGGAGAAGGGTCTGAAGGTTACTTGTGATGTCTCCATCTTCTGCCTCTTCCTTTCGCGCGAGGACTTCCCTGCTTGCAGCTCTCTGCCCTCTGCTGAGGACCAGAAGGCTCTGTGGGAGCACTTGAGCTCTATCGATATCTTCTCGATCGGTAGCATTCCCTTCCAGCTTGCTGGTAAGGATGCTTCGCCCGATGTCGGTCTCGCCGAGTCTCTGCCCCTCCTCTTCACTGCCGTGGCTGAGGGCCGTCTCACCATTGAGGACGTTACTGCTCGTCTCTACGAGAACCCCAAGAAGATCTTCGAGCTCCACGACCAGGCCGACTCCTCGCTTGAGATCGAGATTGACCGCCCTTACGTGTTCCAGAACACTCAGGCTTGGTCTCCATTCAACGGCAAGATGATGCGCGGCTCCGTTCAGCGCGTCGTCTTCCAGGGCAAGACCTCCTGTCTTGACGGCGAGATCACCACCGAGGCTGGCAAGGGTGTTGACATGTCTTCCCACCGTATCATCCCCAGCTCCCCCGTCCAGAAGCCGACCACCCCAATGGTCCGTCCTGAGACCTCCCTGGAGCATCAGAGCACCCCTAGCCGTCGCACCCGTGCTCTGGACTCCGTCCCCGTTGGCGAGCTTGGACCTCCTCTGTACACCCCCTCTTCCCAGGCCTCCTCCCCGCTGAGTGAGATGCTCTCCCGATCTCAGTTCCGTGGAAAGCACGTGCTGTCCGTGAACCAGTTCACTCGCGCGGATCTTCACCAGCTCTTCACTGTCGCCCAGGAGATGCGCCTCGGCGTTCAGCGCCAGGGTGTCCTTGACGTGCTGAAGGGTCGTGTTTTGTGCACTCTCTTCTACGAGCCCTCCACCCGCACCTCGGCCTCTTTCGATGCCGCTATGCAGCGCTTGGGTGGTCGTGTTATCCCCATCGCCACCGAGCACTCCTCTACTCAGAAGGGTGAGACTCTCCAGGACACCATCCGCACCCTTGGCTGCTACGGTGATGCTGTGGTCCTCCGTCACCCCAGCCCCGACAGCACCGACGTTGCCGCCAAGTTCTCCCCCGTTCCTATCATCAACGGTGGAAACGGCTCCGTCGAGCACCCTACCCAGGCCTTCTTGGACCTCTTCACCATCCGGGAGGAGCTGGGCACTGTCGCCGGTCTGACCATCACCTTCACTGGTGACCTCCGGTACGGCCGCACCGTCCACTCCCTGATCAAGTTGCTCCGATTCTACGATGTCCAGGTGCAGCTGGTGGCTCCCAAGGAGCTGTCTCTGCCCGAGGACGTTCGCCAGCAGCTTGTCGCTTCTGGCCAGCTCCGCCTCGAGACCGAGGAGCTGACCCCTGAGATCGTGGCTCGTTCCGACGTTCTGTACTCTACCCGTGTGCAGAAGGAGCGCTTCACCGACCTCGCCCAGTACGAGCGTCTCAAGAACAGCGTTGTCATTGACAACGCTCTGCTCAAGCATGCCAAGAGCCACATGGTCGTTATGCACCCTCTGCCTCGCAACGCTGAGATCACCGAGGAGGTTGACTTTGACCAGCGGGCTGCTTACTTCCGCCAGGTATGTTTTCTCCCCAACCTTCCATTTACTGGGGAATCCTAACTAACTTCTTCTAGATGAGATATGGCCTGTACTGCCGCATGGCCCTCCTGGCTTTGGTTCTGGCCCCTTAAATCTTGGCCTCTTTATAATGTGCAAACAAAAAGCGCCTTTGATTTTTCTCACGCATGACATGTTTTTCTTTCTCTTTCCTTGATTTCAAAAGTGTTGTTCTGTCTGGATATCTTTGCTATGTAGGTGAGCAGCTACCTATACATATAAGAAGAGCTGTATAGATTAGACGAATCTCCGTTTTATGAATTAGAAGCCCCCGTGCTATGTATGATGTATATTATGTTATGTGTTATGTGTTATGTGTCGTGTCGTGTCGTGTGTCGTGTGTTACGTTTTGTGTGTTTTGGCGTGGCGTGCGTTGCGTTCGGTCTGTTTTGGGGCGTTCTTTCTGATTTCTTCTGGTTTTGGGGGTTTTTTGGGCATATCTGGGGTCTTATAACTATATACCAATTTGATTTCACCCTTGCATCTATTTTCTCCATGATTTACTCTATATTTTGCCAAAGATAAGGTGGAAGACGCAAAAGTCCTTGTCGTCTGCTGGTGGAGAAGGACCCACCACACTAAGCCGAATGCGACAGGGCAAAACCAGTCTTTGTTCCAAGCTACACCCCGAGATGTTACTTATGTAACTCGGACCTATGGGTTGTTGGCCCTGAACAGTCTTTGTCCTTATTGTACATCCCAAAACAGCATCACCTGGACAGGCAAAGAGCGCATGTGAATGGAATATTGTATCCAATTCACGGCTTTGAATCATATCTAGGTCCTTCATTGTCTCTTTGTACCTAGAATACCACAATGAACATATTCATCACAATGGATATAATGAAGTCTAGGCACTCGGCCAATGTCCATGAATATAAAGACCTCGAGTCTCCAGCCTCCAACTGATTACACGTCAAGATCACCACTGCTTTGCAGATCGTCTAACTAGACGCGCCTACCTGTATCACTTACTTGAACATGACCCTCACAAGAATCTACAATAATGGAGACTAACTTTTTAGATGAAGTACGCCAAACCGCAATGGAGGTTATAATAGACACAGTTTTTCGCGGAAGACGCTCCAATGGACAGACCGAGCAAGAAGCCACAGACAACGTTATAATTCACCTATCAGTGTTGGGCCAAGACATCTTTCCGATGGGCATTGATATCCTGCGACAGCGGGGATTGATCGCTGAAAACATGAATGTCTACTTTGTAGGTTACGGATTGATTCTTATCGGCCCTGCAGATTCCGGACACGGACTTACTATTATGCCATTCGAGCATGAAATGGAGCGGCTTCCGTCTGGGTCTCGGTGGGTGGATTCTGACCTTGACATAGATTCCAATGATCGATACCTTGTTAGTTCTGACGACGAGACAGACCAGCATGGTATGTCATGGACTGACGTACGTGACTTTGGTATGGAAATCGTCGGCGATCTAATACTGAAGTTATGAATTCATTGCCTCGGCAGACGGTGAGTGATACTGTGTTGGAGGGCGGAGACACCGACTGTGCTATTTGTAAGAATGAGCTTGAGGGTGATGATATGGTCATTGTTTTACCTTGTGAGCACTGGTTCTGCTGTGAGTGTGTTATTGCGTGGTTGGGCGCTAATGATACTTGCCCTATGTGTCGTCGTAGGGTCTTTTGAGAGTTTAGAGGTGAGCTTCTTGTTGTTTCAAGTAAGGAAATAGAATGCCATAGAATGGATTAGAATGGATTTCAGTTTCATCAAGGGCTGCATAGCCTCGGTTCATTCCAATGTAATTATACAGACATTGTGGTTACCTCATTAGACTATTTCTTCTCAATATCCGTTCTTCTCAATATCCGTTCTTCTCAATATCCGTTCTTCTCAATATCCGTTCTTCTCAATATCCGTTCTTCTCAATATCCGTTCTTCTCAATATCCGTTCGCCTTTAGGTTTTCCATTGTTGGCTGAGTCTGTGTCCTTCACTACTGATAATTCTTGCCAATGTTCAAGTTTCTTCTTACGGATATATTGCCGTATCCTGAGTTTTGCACTCCTTGGCCGCGGAAGATGGATTTTGCAGGAATCGCAGCTGGACGGTCACTGATGGACGTTTCAGGCCCATGACGGCCGTGGGGTTTAGTTATGGTAGGCTGCGGCGGGTCCACGTATGATAGTAGTTCTTTGGCGCACCCAGCAGCTACGCTCGCAGCATAATGCTGCCATGTATCGTTCTTGTGAGAATCTGCATAGTCAGAGACGCCCCGGATGGCGATGCAAGAGTACTCCGTCGCGATTCCAGCTGCTTCCATCTCGAAACACAGAATATCGCCACTCACCCTCTCGTCAATTTCTGCCGCATTTGAGGCGCTTCTGATGACTTGATCTCCGGAGGCAATGAGCCCATAATGAATCTTCGGGATCGGTTCCCTAGCCTGACGATGAACTAATTTCGTCCTATCACAAAGCTGACAGGTTGCTTTGTTCGGAACATGACGATATTCCAATTGGAAGAGCTCATCTGCCTCCAGAGGTCGCTGGTACGAGATTCGAAGTTCATCGCTCTTCTGAAACATGGCCAACATGAACTCAGGAATTTTGCTCTGCGAGACCCTTTGATCGGACCGCATGATGGACACAGCACTTCTCAGAATCTCAGGTGGTGGCCAGAGAAATCCTTTCAGGATGATACCGTTGTCCGTGTTCTTACCCAGGTCGTATTGAACTACACCGCCATGCTGGCCGTCCGGCATACTCACGACAACGTCGCCCAAGCGAATATCATTCTTTCTGCTCGGCACGCCTCCCCCGATACCCACTATTAACCGCAGCTCGATCGATGGAAATGTGCGCGCTATATCTTTCGCAACTGCGGCTGCTGCGCTCTTCCCCTGGCTGCCCGGAAGGCTAGCAAGGATCACATTGTGGCCGCTGAGCTCTCCTAGGATATACAGATTCGAGTCGCCAGGTTTTCTGGGTAAACGAGTGTGTTCTTTGTCCAGCATATAGCGGACAGCACTCATCTCAAACTCTAGAGCGCACACGATCCCAACGGTATACGCCTCGTAGCCAAGCTCTGCACGACTTGTTAGACCGTGGTGTCTTTTGCTTCGGCTAACATGGCTAATCTACCTTGCATATTCGAGTTCTGAACTCTCATACGACCTAGGTCTGAGGGGGATTTAGAGCTTCGGGGTGCCAGAATAAGCTCTCTAAGGGTAACGATCATATGCGGGATAGCAGCAGCTGACTTCAATGCAGGTGCAGGACATGAGAACCAAGGCGGCCTGTGCGCAGGTCTGGCGCCTAACGCCCCATCGACTTCAGCTCATCTACAGGACTGCTTAATGGCCTCTATTTTTTTTGTTATTATTGACTATGGCAAAGAGTTTGAGGGCAGTCCTTGATGAATTCCAAAGTCATGAAGCGCGGGGCTACTGAGGAATCACTAGCTGAGGACAGACCCGAAAAGCGACCCGCAGCAGCGGTGGACTCTGCTCAATCCTCCTTCCACGGGCATGGGTTGCAGAACAGCGGGAGAGGAAATATCACCGTGGGTCGAGATTTGACTATAGGTACGGTCTTGCCTGTTTCAATAAGCTCTGCTAACGGCCTGTTAGGCAGTTGGTCTGACAACCGCTTTGACTGTCAACGCGACCTCTTTGTCACGAATCCGGCTGAGGACAGGAAAGCATTAAAACGCAAAAAAGGAGGCCATGCTCCCGGAACTTGTGGATGGATACTTCACACGACAGAACTTACTGCCTGGCTTGGTTCTGGACCGACAGGGACCATTGGCCCTGAGAAACAAGCGGCCCAGGTCCTATGGCTCCACGGGAACCCAGGAACTGGGAAATCAACCATGACCATATACCTTACAGAAGAGCTGCCAAAAGCATATCTCAATACAAATGGGGAAATGCTGGCCTACTTTTTCTGTGACTCTGGCTTCGACAAACAGAAGACCGCGACCTCGATTCTCAGAGGACTTATCCACCAGCTCGTTGGGCAGCACGAGCAGCTTCTTGATTACCTCTTGCCCATCTACCATAAGCGTGGGGCGGAGACTTTCAAATCATTTGATGCTCTCTGGGAGATATTCACGGCCATGGCGGCGGACCAGAACACAGGTCGAAAATATTGCATCATCGACGCGTTGGATGAATGTGACCGAGAATCACAAAACACCCTATTGGCGCAACTTGAAGAAACTTTTTTGAGCCAAGGTATCTCGCCCAATATCCGAATATTGATCACCAGTAGGCCATATTCTGAGATACGTGAAAGCTTGGCAAGGTTCCCGAATATGGATTTGGCTTCTTTCCCAGAGAGACAGAAAGACATTGATCTTTGTATTGAAGAAAAAGTGAATTATTTGGCCAAAAGAAAAAGCTATACCGACAAAGTCACAGTCCAAATCTCTAGAATACTCAGAGACAAGGCAGAAGGTACTTTCCTCTGGATTGATTTGGCGTGTCACGAGCTTAAGGATATATCTTCAAGCCGAGCCATCAGCGTTTTGCAAAGCATACCAAAGGGCCTTGATTTACTCTACGAGAAGCTCCTCGAAGCGGCCTTGGAACAGAATGAGACAAGTTGCGATGATATTCGACGTCTTCTAAGCTGCGTGCTTGTATGTACGCGACCACTGACTGTGTATGAGCTCTCTGAAGCATGCCAACTATACCAGGAGGAAGAAGATGTTGAGACGAGGCTCCAATTCACACGCGAGTACATCGAGTCTTGCCGCTTGATGATTATCATTCAGGACGAAAATGTTCTTCTGTTACACAAATCAGTCAAAGACTATCTATTCAGGGCTCGTTTTATCCAGGAGCTCGAGGCACATGCCCAGCTTGCGTATCGATGTGTTGATCTCCTCATCGCGCAGTTCCGCAACGCGAATCAACTGCACAGCAGTTTATTGGATTATGCAATCTTAGAATGGGCCGATCATGCCCGCATGGCCTGTTCAGATTTCAAAGTTCAGTGCCCACAAGCGGAATTCTTCCAAATTGATTCTCCTTGTCGGGAACAGTGGCTACAGCAATTCAGATCGAAAACGAGCTTATGCCTAGTTCCAAAAAGATTCTCCATCTTTCATGTCGCTGCAAAGTGGGGTATTTCCGCTTTAGTTGATTATGCCTCCGATTTGGGGGTCCGTGATTCTACTTGTGCTGTTCATATCAACTGCAGAGATGATTCCGGCCAAATGCCCCTTGAACACGCTGCTGGATCGAGATATCCAAATGCCGTCACTGCCTTTTTGAGCCATGGAGGAGAGGTTACTACACGAGTGGTGCAAGCTGCAGCTGGTAACTTGAAGAATGGTAGAGAGGTGATAGCATTACTTCTCGATCGTTGCGGAAACCAGATGACTCTGACCAAGGCAGTGGCAAAGGCTGCAGCTGGAAACATGGGAAATGGCAAAGAGGTGATATCATTGCTTCTTGATCGCTACAATTGTCCGACCAGTATCAATAATGGGGTAGTATCTACTATTGCTGGAGGCTTTGACGATAAAGTGATGGCACTACTTCTCAACCGCTATGGAGACCAGATCACTATTACCAACGAGGTAGTGAAGGCCGCGGTTGGAAATAAGTGGAACAGTAAAGAAGTGATAAAGCTGCTGCTCAGTCGCTACAAAGACCAGATCACCATCACCGACGAGATAGTAGCCGCTATGGCCGAAAATAGACAAGGTGGCAAAGAAGTGATGGTACTATTCCTCAACGGCTACAGTGATCTGATCAGGATCACTGATGAGGTAGTATCTACTATTGCTGGAGGCTTTGACAACAAAGTGATGGCATTGCTTCTTGACCGATATGGAGACCAAATCACTTTCACCAACAAGCTAGTGAGAGCCGCGGCTGGAAATAGGGAAAATGGTAAAGAAGTGATAAAACTACTTCTCGGTCGCTACAAAAACCAGATCACTATCACTAACGAGCTACTATCTACTATTGCCAAATCTTTTGATGGCGAAGTGATGGCATTGCTTCTTGCTCGCTATGAAGACCGGATTCCCATCACTGATCATGTGTTGAAGACTGTGGCTCGAAGCTGGCATGGTAAAGAAGTAATGGAACTACTTTTTGATCGCTGTGAAGGCCAGATCACCATCACAGAAGAGGTGGTGAAGGCTGCGGCTCAGAGCCAGCAAGGTAAAGAAGTAATAGGACTACTTCTTGATCGCTGTGAAGACCAGATTCCTGTCACTAACGACATGTTGAAGACTGTGGCTCGAAGATGGCATGGTAAAGGCGTAATGAAACTACTTCTTGATCGCTGTGGAGACCGGATCACTATCACTAGCGAGGTTGTGAAAGCTGTAGCTGGGAACAACAATGGTAAAGAAGTGATGGGACTACTTCTTGATCGCTATGGAGACTGGATAACTATTACGGATGATGTGGCGAAGGCTGCGGCTAAGAATTGGCGTGGCAAGGAAGTATCGGAATTACTTCTTGATCGCCATGAAGGCCAGATGTCTATCATCGACGAGGTGGTGAAGGCTATGGCTAGAAACATGCGAAATGGTAAAGAAGCGTTGGCGCTCTTTCATGCCCGTTACCGAGATCATACTATCATGACGAGCTGGTGAAAGTCGCGGCCAGAAATGAGTCTGTTTGATCTGTTTCTATCTTCAACTTGTCGGATCATGATGCCAAAATCATTGATCTTTTACGAAAGTACATGGTCGGACGGAAACATATAACATCTGGATCTTCGCATGAATTTACCCGAAATTTCAAGTCAAGCCTTGCTGCAGTGCCAAAAAAGGTGTTGAATCTGAATACCTTGGTGCCTGATACTCAAAACCCAATAGTTCATTGCCAATTTCTATCTCATAACTATGTCAGTCTCCAGATATAAGCTCATTATCACTCACTGACCTGACACAAACCGTGTTAGACTTCATCCCATACGATACACTTTCCATCTCTCGGTATAATCCATTTTGAAGGTAACTCTAAGCGAGATACGAATTAGTATCATCCTGGACAAGGTTTAAAAACAGTCTTTAGTAAAGTGGTGAAACTAATTTTGGACCCCCCCCCCCCCTGGTACTAGTGGATAAATTAGTCATTGTAACCAGAATACAATAATAATAGACCTTTAGCTGAACCATACAGGTAGCCTAGGCCCATTAGCTGAAAGCTGTTATTGAGCGTGATAGGATCGTATACTACGTAGAACACGCAACATTGGAACAAATAGCAGATTCATTCTATCGTTTTTGAACAAAATCAAAAAGAAAATTAAACCAGCAGAAGATCATATAAACAAAACAAGCCAAAGGAATCTAAAACAGTCATTCTAACATCTCGCCAGCATACTTCAATATCCTCAGAACTGCGACTCACTAAAGTCCATATACTCGGCACCCTTAGCCTTCAAATCATCAAGCACGTTATACTCCATAATCCATTTCATACGCTCCATCAAAGCCTCAGGGTTGAACGTCTCGTTCAAATGATCGGGATCATCCGAGCTAGCAAGTTTCCCAGCCTCAAAGCTGGTCTTTGTGACCCGATCCGTGCGAGGCTTTCGCAGGTCCTGATAAAATTGGAATGCAGCATGCAAGTCATCATTCTTCCAGTGGGTAAGAATAGTAGCCAATGCAATACCGGACTCAATCGCCATACAGACACCCTGCCCTATATCAGGTGTTAGTCATGATTTTATTGCAGCATAGATATAGCTTACCCTGGTGAGGAAGGGTCGAGTGAACAGCATCGCCAAGAAGAACAATACCCGCGTCTTTCTGGCCATCTTTCATCTCGTACCACTTATCAATCGGCTCGCGCACGTACAGTGCCTGCTTCAGCATACGACCATCTGGCGATCCAGCTTGAAGGCCCTCAATAATATCCTGGACTTGTGGACACCAGTCCTTAACATGTTCGTGAAGAGAACTGATATCCGAACGAGCCATCCAGTTCTCAGAGTCCCAGGATTCAATGGGCTCGGACATGAAGCCGATGACACCGACCCGGTCTGTCTTCGTAGCCGGGTTACCGATAGGAAGACAGAGGATGTGGCGCTTCGGGCCACGAAAGTTGACAACGCTGCGTAGCAGCTTAGCGGTGTCTTCGGGTAGGTCGTTGTAGTCAACGAAACCACGGTAAACGACCTGGCCGGAATAGTTTGGCGAGTCTCCGAAGCCGAGTTCCCGACGGACGCGGGACTTGATGCCATCGCAGCCGATCACAATATCAGCGTCGGTGGTGGTGCCGTCCTCAAAGTGAAGCGTGTAAGGCGCGGCGCCGGGGCTGGTGTTGCGGTCGAGGCGTGCGAGACGCTTCTGCAGGTGAAGAAGCTCTTCTGGCACAGGCTCTTTGAGTGAGTCAAGGAGATGGGCTCGGTGAATAAGACGAGCGTGTGGCTCGGAAAATTCTTCGATATGGCCGAGGTACTCGCCCGACTTGTAATTGTGGTATTGCATGTAGTAGGGCAGTTGGGGCGAAGAGCGACTCAAGAGAGACTCTTTCAGGCCAAATGCATCGAGGATACGGTTTGCATTAGCGGAGATATCGACTCCGGCGCCAACTTCTCCGAATTGGTGGGCTTGTTCGTAGCATTGGATATTCTTCACGCCGGCGTACTGGGCGGCATTCATGAAAGCCATGCCGCCGAGGCCACCGCCGACGACAACAACTCGCTTGTCTTGGAAGCCCATTTTGTTATGGAGGAAGGCTTATAAGGTGTTTTGTTTGGAATATATGCTTGTATTGAAGAATTGATGGCGAATTGGCTTTGGCTTGCTGGATGCTGAGATACGATGGTGAATGGAATGAGGGATGATGAGGTCCTCAAGCAGACTATTTGACTGTTTCGAGATGCCGTTCTATCATCGAACGCAATAATAGCTATCCGATCCATGGTTGATGTGTAGTTGAATCTTCGGAGTCTGCAGTGAATTGCATGGTATGCTACTATGTCCTTCCGAGGCGCTGCTAAGGGCAATGGGGCCTCCCGGCCGATCATCCGTATGCACGAAGCACCCACTTGGACCAATTTGCCCACATAGAAATGTCTTCGAAAAGCTTCGTTGAGGTGACTAGTCTGTATTTGGTGTGCATTTGGTGATGTTGACCGGAAGTCCATGGTATATTGTGGCGTCCAGCTTCCGAAGCCCCCACTATTCTTCGGATGGTACTGCTTACGTTCAGCCTGCAGGCCACTAACGAGTCAGGATGCCGGATTTACCGGGGTTCGAACGAATCAATAGGGTTTCCATTATCTTCATCAGCATCGTACGTCATCTAAAAACAGGCTTGGTAGAATCATGGCGTTCCGAAGAGTTGGCTGCACGGCCTCCCGAGAGTGCCCCGTTCTCGGGTTTGATGAAACCAGCGCGCCATTTAGAAAATCTTAGTGCCGACCTGCTGGAATGGTTGGCTTGGACGGGTATCGGCACTGACGTTTCGGTGGTTGATGATGATGATATACCGCTTGATCACTAGGGGACCAGTGACAGCTTGGGCCTAGCAGTATTTTATCTATAGTGGACGGCCCGGCCATGGACATACATGCCCAAGTAAATATGTAGGCGGAATTACCTAACTAGTGAATACATGTTGAATTTCTTTAAGAATCTTAATTTAAATTCCATTCCTACTGTTCTCGTAAAATCTCCTTCGCATCTCGAGGTCATTTCTATCCCACTGAATCTATAGATTGGCGAGAGTAGATGGCGCCGCAAGTTCACCTGGCTGAATAGCCCGTGGACCACCGTTCTCATTCGGATCCTCTAATCCTTGTGCCACTAAGTCTGTAAAGTCAATCCCCACGCTGTTCAAGTGTGCCGCATGTTCATGCACAATTTCCAGGCACTTATCCCAGATTGATGTGCCTCGTTGCACACTGCTAAGCTGGCGACTGAGCAAAGCGTTGAAACCATCCAGGTGCTGCTTAGCCCAGCGAATTGATGAGCTAGACATTGAGCTGGGGAAACACTGCTGGTAGATGCCGACGGTGTTCTTGATGAGGCTGAAGTAGACGTATGAGATTTGAAAGATGTAGAGAGGAAGGTCACCCTCAAACACACAGGCCCTGTTTCGATGTTAGAAGTAGCTCATTGTATTACAATCCATAGGACTTACCGAATACGTTTCGCGATGATGTCAGACCGAGCTCTCAAGTACGTTTCACGGGCTTGGTCCTCAAATCCTAAACGGGTCAACCAGGAGACATTGGTCTTAGTCGCCGTGGGAAATGAGTGTGTGTCGACCAGCGCACGAGAGAGAATCCCTGCGAGTCGTGTTGCACGACCATCAACCTTGACATTGATCACGTCCTGGGCAATGGAATTTCCCTTGAGTCCCTTCGCCAGCTTTCGGAGTCGTTCAATGCTAAACACCGCGGCCTCAAACCGCTGCAGCGCAATATCAATGTCAAGCTCGTCAACTTGTCCCTCCACCCAGCGAAGGTTCTGCTGTTTACCATCCACATCGATGCGCACCTCTGACTTGTCGCGTGGGATATCCGTCAACTCGAATTGATCAGCCATTTGAGAGTACGACGTGTGCCGCCCAGCGAGGTATCCATAAGCCTCTAGGGGTTTGCTGGCAGCTTCAGTTTCAGAGCGTAAGTTTCGTCGGAGATCCTCCACGGTTTTACGGAAGGTCGCGAGCAATTCGTTCTTGGTAGATGTATCCCGTTTGTCCTGGCGATAGGTAAATGGCTTAGACCCCACGCGAATACTAATGGCATTGCCAATGCCACGATCCAGGGCCTCCTCTCGCGCTGCGCCAGTTCCTAGGTTTGCTGCTAAATCAATCATGTCGATATCTTGCAGCGGCCAGCACTCTTCCGCAACCAGTTTGGTGGGAATAGGCCCACGGTGAGCGGGGTTGTTCTGGTCCACACGCTTACGCTTTTTTGCAGCCACCAACAGGTGGTCGTTCAACAAGACAATATGGACCGGTCGTTTCGGTTTCCAGGTGGCAGAGTCCAGCTCTGCCCAGTGGCCCGTCTCCAGCACAATGTGTCGCCCGGGCACCGCCGGCAGGAACTTCTGGGAGCCCTCCACGCTTTTCCATAATGTCTGCAACTGGACACTCCACATGCTTTCCAAGTTGGCGACAGAGCTGCGATTCGATCGCTTCGGGAATTGATCATCGACAGGAGACATGGGGTTCGGGGAATTTCCCACGGTCGTCTGTCCGAGCGCATTGGTGAGTTCGGCCATGAGCGTCCGGAGGGTCCGCATTTCGTCCTTGAGCTTCTCAGCCTCTTTACTGATCTTGATAAATTGCGTGCGGTTCTGGTAGACATTCTGTTGAAGGTCGGTAGAGGTTCGGTTTTTGACTTTGCGGAGGCTTTCCTGGTATTTTTGGATATCCTCCTCGGACGCGTTCGCAAGGAGATTAGCGACATCTGGAGATGTGTCAGCTTGAGTGAGGCGGATATATGGGGATACACGTACATCGCTCCACTGGTAAACTGGGGTCTCGTAAGACATTTAAATCCACTTTCGGCGATGATGAGGGGGCTCCGTCCATGGGTAATGGCTGCCCTGGAGCATTGGTCGATGGCAGTCCACCATATCCACCTCCAGGTACTGGTGGAGGAAGTGCAGGGACTGGAGGCGCACTGGTATCGATATCGCCGAGGTTGTTGAATCTGGTCGAGTACCGTCTTTTCACTAGATCGGCGGTGGCATCGCTCTGGTGAGCTCGGTCCTTGCCAGCGGGGATGGCATTTTGGCCGGCATCGGGGGCTCTGGTGTTTGGTGGTAGGGGACTGGAGATCGGTTTCGGAGCACTGATTTGAGGACGTTGACGGCGAGACTTACTCCGCAGAGTCAGACCTCGGCCTTCCATTGTTGTGATTGAGGAGTGGAATGAGACGTTTGGAGATTGGACAAGGGGAAGTCGGGAGGCTCCCGTATCGGGCTAGCGGTAGGTATTAGCTATTTGATGCAACAAGGACAACGAATTAATGTCGTATCACGATCAAGGATTGATATCATTTCCATGCGAAGATAATCTGTATACTATTCTCATTGCAATTCCTATTGACTAACATCTTTTTTACTCGATACAATTGATGCCTAGTCGATGTGGATGACGTAGCATTGTGCATACAAGACAAAACTCCCCAGCCTGCGCTCGGTGGCATGAAATTGATCTTGATTCGGTGTCTGAAATGGTCTATTCATTCTCTTCATTCTAGTCATTTCAGGTTCACTATCCAATGTCCAAACCCTTGGGGAACTGTGTTGGTGACGTCGACCCGAACCCGAGTAGTAATGCCGGAAGAACAAAGTTCCTGTCCAATTCAAATTTATCCTCCCAAAACACGTAGCTTCGTCACCTTCCAACCCCATCGCTGTTTTCTAGAGCCCGGTCGCGTCATTCATTCCACCTGACACCCTTTCTTCCTTCAAAATGCGCACATCTGTCTTGGTCGCCGCCTCTGCTGGCACTGTCGTCGCCGGTTTGCTCGGTAAGCATTCGGACTCTCCCGGCAATGCAGTTTGCTCAATCTAATATCCATCTCAATTAGCCTACGCCGCATACTTCGATCACAAGCGCCAGACCGATGCCGAGTTCCGCAAGTCCCTGAAGCGCAACAACAAGCGTCTCGCCAAGGCCGTGAAGGAAGAGGTCGAGGCCCAGGGTGCTCAGCAGCGCGAGGTGATTAAGCAGGTCGTGCAACGCGCCAAGGAGGAGGGCTTCCCCACCGATCTTGAGGAGAAGGAGTCCTACTTCATGAACCAGGTCGCTACTGGTGAAGGACTGTGCCAGGATGGTACGTATCACAGCCACTGCGGCCGCGGCCGCGGCCGTTGATGGTCCCGGACAGGGAACCAACGATCATTGGACCAGACGCTGATATAATATATAACAGGCTCTAGCCAGGTTGAGGCCGCTCTCGCCTTCTACAAGGCCCTCAAGGTCTACCCCCAGCCCAAGGACCTGATCTCGATTTACGACAAGACCGTCCCCAAGGAGGTTCTGGAGATCTTGGCGGAGATGGTCGCTATGGATGCCGGTCTCAAGCTGGGCAGTTTCACCGGCGAGGGTGCCGCCGACAACCACGGCGTCGAATAAATTTGAGAACCTACACCATTTCATTTCCTTGGCTTGACCTTGGCTGTATTATTGTCGCTTTTTCCCTCACGCCTTCCTCTTTCACAGCCCTCTTCACTCTCCACTATTTCCTTTTTTTTGCCATCTTTCGCGCATGTGTATATGTATTGGGCTTGGCCCGGCCTTGGTATTTCTCGGCGCCAGGAATTTGGATTCGTTTCCCACCCCCTTTTGTTTTTTTTGGATCCCACTTTTTCATTGTGTTGAGTTGTGCATTTCCTGGGGGAAAAAGGGAAAAGGGCCATGATATACAGAATGTATTTTAGAAAGACGAATAAGAATGATCCACAATGGACTGATTGAAAATAGAAAATGTGGCTGAAACTTGGGAGAATTGAAACCAATCAATTTCCGATAATTAATTGGTGCAAAGACGTGACTTCATGACGGACCCGCAGCGTCTCAGGGCTTCCAGGGACTCCAGGGACTTGGACCCCTAACCCTGACCGTGACTGGACACTCATCCAATGTGGGCTCCACCTCACGCTGAAGTGTTTCCCCCGCCGATCATAATCCGCCTGGTTTTAAACTCCTCCTTTTCTCTTCAACCTTGAACCCGATCTGCTTCCTGTTCTCTTCCTTTATTAATCCTTTTGGCGATCTATATTGCCTGACGTTCGTTCTTTCCCGCGCTTTGCGCTGTCGCTCACTGCCCCAACTTCTTATACTTCCAATCGCTTCTCCGTGTCAAAGCTTTTATCTCACCTATACTCCCCGATCGCTTCATCATGGTTTTCGTACGTCTAATCCAAGACCCAGCAGGAGAGATATTCAAAACTTTTTGCTATGGGTCAGCGGTGTGGAAAGAAACTGGGATGCTGACGTGATATAGTCTTACGGCCGTGTGTTTACGGCTGCTTGTGCCCTGATTGGCACTGCCGCCGCTGTCACCACTCTTGAGGTTGATGGCAAGGACTTTATCAACTCCAAGACCAAGGAGCGTTTCCAGATCATCGGTGTTGAGTACGTCTATCCTTGTATCAAACGTTGATCCTGGCATCAAGACCCCGTACTTACGCGCACACAGCTACCAGCCCGGTGGTGAATCCGGCTTCAGCGCTAAGAAGGATCCCCTGAGTCAGCCCGATGCCTGTCTCCGTGATGCTACCCTCATGCAGCAACTGGGCGTAAGTACCAATTTGCGAATGACATTGTGAATGATGTTGGAAACGATAATGCGAACGTACTGACTCCCAATTAGATAAACACCATCCGTGTTTACAATGTCGAGCCCACCCTGGACCACAACGAGTGTGCCTCCATCTTCGATGCGGCCGGTATCTACATGATCCTCGATGTCAACTCCCCCTACTCCACTGGCTCGCTGAACCGCGCCAAGCCCTGGACCAGCTACAACGCTGGCTATTACGAGCAGGTATTTGGTGTTATCGAGGCCTTTAAGGCGTTCGATAACGTCCTCGGTTTCTTTGCTGGTAACGAGGTCATCAACGAGGACGCTACCTACAGCGCTCCTGCTTACGTTCGTGCTGTCATTCGTGATATGAAGCAGTACATCAAGAACAATGTCGACCGTACCATCCCCGTCGGTTACTCTGCTGCTGATGTCCGTGATATCCTCATGGACACTGCGGCTTACTTCGAGTGCTCCATGTCCAACTCCACCGAGTCAACTGCTGACTTCTTCGGTCTGAACTCTTACTCTTGGTGTGGTGATGCCTCTTACAAGTCCTCTGGATATGACGTTCTCACTGAGGACTTCTCCAACGCCACTCTGCCCGTCTTCTTCTCTGAGTACGGATGCAACGAGGTTACTCCCCGTACCTTTACCGAGGTTCAGGCTCTGTACGGCGAGGACATGACTCAGGCTTTCTCTGGTGGTCTTGTTTACGAGTGGACCCAGGAGGACAACAACTACGGTCTCGTCAACGTCAACAGCTCCTCCGTCGTCACTACCCTGATTGACTTCGACAACTTGAAGAAGCAGTTCAACAAGCTCGATATGGACCGCATCTCGACTGCGAACAAGACCCAGACTAGCATCTCTGCTCCCGAGTGTGCTGCTGATCTTATTACCAGCTCTGACTTCTACAATGCCTGGGACTTGCCCGAGGCTCCTTCCAAGGTCTCTGACTACATCAAGAGCGGTCTGCCCAACGCCCCCTCTGGCTCTGTTGTCTCTGTTACCAGCACCTCCCTCTCCCAGACTGTGTACGACTACACCGGTGCCCAGATCACTGGCCTCACTTTCAAGATCCTGAGCGATGACGAGAGTGCTGGCCCCAGCGGTAGCAGCTCGTCTTCCTCTTCCTCGGGAACCTCTACCTCCACCAGCAACGCTGCCATGGTCAACGGCGCCCCACTTGCCCTTGGTGGAATTAGTGGTTTCTTCATGCTGCTTGCTTCATTGATGTAAGAGTGTGTGTGGCTTGTGGATACATAGAGTTTAGACATTGGCTTTTTCACCCCTGTTTTTTTTTTTTTATCTTTTTTTCCCCTTCTTTGGCAGGATTCTTGTGGATGCTTGGTTTTCCGTTTTTTTACTATTCCTGCACATGATTGGTGTGTTGAACAATGAATGTCTTTCCATGACTGAGACCTTCCTACCGAGGTAGTGTCGTGTCTCAATTATATCTGATTACTTTTTGTGAGGCTTCCAAGCTGTAGTGAGGGTAAAAGAATTACCGAGCTGGGTGGAACCGAACACCTGGTCTATTGATTCTCTCAATCCTTAGAAGGTAGGTACTTTGTGAATAGCCTCATTAACGTCAGCCGCAGACTGGGTCAGAAACCGGGTCAAAAATCCTTGCCCGCATAACACACCACACAAATGTAATAAACGCATTTCATTTTTTAATCCAGCATATAAACACCTAGCTAATCAATATGTCCAAAGACTATCCAGCAAACATCAATCTCAGGGGTATATAAAGATCACAGCTGTAGCCATGTCTTGGTGGTCTGCCCCTGGGCGATGTTTCCCTGTCTGTCCAATACGTACATCCAGGTCCCAACAGCTGAATTGGTGTGTTCCAGTTGGCAGTGGGAGGGCTTGGCCAACTTGATCGTAGGGGATTCTTTATGCTCTTCACCTAATAAGGTCAATCCTTGATTTCTTGATTTTAGATTTTTGTGTTCTTATCTATGCATTTCCTTGAGGATCAAAAAAAATTCTTGGTGCCTTGGATGCTCGGTGTTCTTGAATGACAGCGAATGGGATAACAGATAACTCGGCTCATGTTAAACGCCAACCCAGATCATCTAAGGGATACAAAGAAGTTTGACCCTGAAAACCTGGATCAAATCCTATAGTCTGACTGAATTACAATCCCACACCCTTGGATCTCCCCGTTTGCCTTTTTCCGCATATTCTCATCGATAATGTCCTTGTTCTCTTCATATTCCCTTCTTATTTCATCCTTCTGCTCACTTGTAAAGCGCTGTGGTACTATGGACGTATCTGGTGCCCACCATTGCTTTTGAGGTATCAGGGTTCCGTCTGAATTGTGGAAGCGAACTTCCAGCTCCTCGTTGTATGGGAAACGATCAAGAAACGCCTTGATAAGTCGGGGTGGTAGACCGATAGCATCAATCACTTCTCTTTCGAGGTTGACGGAGCGCAACACACCATCACTGCCTATTTCAAGGTGGCTTAATGGGGTTTTGTGTAACTTTTGCACAATCGCGCTTAATTCCTTTTGATCTGGATGGTTTCCTGGGTCTACCCCATAGTGGGTGTATGTAGAAGAAGCAGTACAAGACATAAGGTATATTGTCAGTTTATTCTGCTATTGTTGACTCACTGTTTTGTAGAACATAATCATGAAGAACATTCACGGAGTCTCTCGTATTTATTTCACGTTAGGCGACCAGCACAGTGCGGGGTCTGTGACTTATAAGATTTTGCGCTAGTGGTTTTGCGTTCAGACCTCTCGGGACAAAGATACTGGATGCTGTTTTTTATTTCTTATTGACGGTTGTATTGGAATACTGCTAAGAAAAGGGGGGTTCGAGAACCTTGGAATCTCCGTATGTAAGTGGTGAAACTGATTTCAATCCATCCTGTACCTTTGTTAGTCAAAAGGTATTTCATTAATTTATTTCAATCGATCATTCTCTGTCACACTTTTTCTCCCGAGGCAGTAAATTTGATAAATCAAACATATATTCGAGTCTAAATCTAACCGAGAACCAGAATAATAAACAGTGATAGACAAAATCAAACACTATGCTAAACAAATGCCGGTTCCATATACAAGTCCATGTATAAAACATTCACCACCTAAATCGCTCTCGCCTTACCCTTGCCTTTCCCAGAAGATTGAGAAGAGGACAAGAGCCCCGATGCAAGAACAGGGAATTCCTCCCACTGTTGCACATCACGACTTTGATCTTCCGCCAAGCTGAGCTGAATAGCAAATTCAAGATCATCCATTTCTTTCTGCTGACTGCTCTCAGGACCAGCCACTGACGAAGATGATGACAAAGAGCGCCGTCTAACACCCTTACCGTACTTAATCGGGATAGACGGCGTTAAGTCAACCGGAGGGGTATTGACAGGAGTTGCCTTCTCATCGAGGAGACTCAGGCGAATAGCCTCAGCCAAATCATCATCCACGGTGTCGTCAGCAGCATCTTGCCATGGTGAAGAGGAGGACGACAACTCATCCATACCACAGGAACTAGGCCTAGTTGGGTCACTGATGGAAGTGCCGACAGAGCTTGCGATAGCGTTTTCTTCATGTTTCTGCGCGTCTGATCCACTATGGGCCTCCTGGCTAAGAAGTTGGGCGTAGAGAAGAAGTTGTTCTTCATCGATATCGGGGCCGAGTAGATCTACTCCGAAACGGGCGCTGAGATGTGCTCTTTCTTTGGCATCTTCGATCTCTTGTCGCTTGATTTCGATTCGCTCATCTTCGATGAAGTCGTGGATTGCTCCACGTCCACTGGGAGTGAAACGTTGCCCATTGCCGGCCCCGTTGCTGCCGCGAAGACCGCGTCGAAGCTGGCGTTTGGTACCCTTATACTGATCGGCGCCAGATGAACTGTACGACCAGTACCGGATGTGAGTGCCGAGGGACACCATACCACGGAGAACAGTTGGGTCTGGGTCTAGGCAGATGGCGCCTGTAGCGAAGAAATTATTCCCCACGCCGAGCATAGTAGCTTCTGCCTGAACTAGACGGCGGCGAGCTCGAGATGAGAAGCGAGAGTTAATGGTCCGAATTGGCCGTGTGGATGATGCCAGGGGATCCCAGGCCTGTACGAGACCGTCATTGCCGCCATGAACTAAATATAGGGAAGTGAGTGCTACACAGGATATCTGGGGCGAGTCTGTCTGGATAATCCTGAGCGGAGCGATGGTATTGATGACATCTGGGTTTTGCGCTGGCAATGCACGAATGTCCCAAACGTAAACCGTGCCAGTGGCAGTTCCTACGGCGAGATATCTTGCTCGCTGTCCTGGAACTTCGAGGACTGTACGCGGCTGGTCCATATGTGGCAGCATCGGCGAGGATGTTGCGGATGAAAATGAGCTTCCAGACATTGCTAACAGAGGATCTTCTTCTGCAGTGACAGTCGCAAATAGAGAGCTATCCAGCGCAGTAGTGGTCACTTCAATTGATCTGCGATCATCGAACACGAAGTTCGAGATCCTCCATTCGCTACTCTTCGCCAAATCATTCAACCGACCCGACGATCGAGACGATGGAATGCTGGATGGAGTCGAGGTACCAACTGGTCCACCGAACAGAGAGCGAGGCTGTTCCTGACCTGGAGTTCCCGGTGAAGATTTCAAGTCAGAATTAGATACAGCTCGAATGTATCGTCGAACTGATGCCTTCTCGGTTTCGTCGGCGCCCCGAGCGACAACAATGACCGACTCCCCAGATCCACGCCCATCATCACCCGCAAAATCAACTTGCAGGTCGCGCCGCATATTCCAGCCTTCGCAAACCTTGCGGAAATACTTCGGTTTGAAGGAGAGGAACTTTTCAATTTCTTTGGTCTCTGCGACAATCTGATTTTCATCAAGTTGCATTGAATCAGATGAGGATCGCGGGCTATAGCTTCCATCAACAAGTTCCCGGTTGAAAGGGTCTGGCCGAGCGATGCGCCGGCTCGGTTCAACAAGTTCCCAGCGCACCGTGCGACCAGTTTTCCAAGCAAGCTCGTCGAACTGCTCAGCAGTCAATTTGGCGGTTGGTGAAACCTCTTGCGATCGTGGAAGATCCGTCAGGTAAAAGATTTCACCCAGCGCATTCAAAGCAACAGCCCAAATCCGCTGGCGAAGGTGACGCCTCGGCGAGTAATTCTCATCGACAGCAATGCTGATGATCGGCACACCTGGGCACAGAACCCATCTAGCAGTTACTTGCCCCTTCTCGTACCGTCTCTCGTATGTAGGATGAGGGCCCAGTGCATACGCGGTGATTACACCGCAAGAAGAACCAGACATCATACCAATAAGACCTGATGTCGTCTTGAGTATTGAAGCGGACTTTGCAATCCACACAGAGCACACGGCATGGTGGATCATGCTCACGGCTGGAATACCAAGCTTGGGGTGGGAGCCCAAGTCAGAGAGTCCCAAGAACCGGCCACGCTGCTCCGTGGTTGAAATGAAGTAGCTGCGACCCTGCGGACATCCCTCACCATAGATCATGCCGTAGGGTTGGCTCACGTCCATGGAGTTGGACGTGCCGACCATGTCCCCAGCTCCAAGACCGTACGGTGCATCTCCAGGAAACATATCTGCAAAGTGCCGGAACATCTGGTGATCCGCCAATCCCCAGGTGCTCACTTTCACGGTCGAGGGGTCACTTGCCGAGGCAATGCCTTGCTCAGAAGCGCCATGGATAAACTTCGGCTCTTTATCAGGATTGTTGAAAGCTCCATGGATGTGGCTCACAGGAAGCACCAGCTGTGACGTGTATGTAGCGACCGCACTACCATTGCGCGACGCTGCGGCGCGAACGGTACCGTGTTTCTTGGAGGGCTGGAAATCTGCTGGTTTGCCTCGAGATAGAGATCGCATCAGACGAGTACGCAGGATATATTCACTGCGCCATGATGCGAGCGCTGTCAGCCGCGCAAAATACCGTCTATCCGACGCTAGATCAGCCTGGTCCGAACAGCGCGTATCCACCACACTTTGAGGGCCTGGGAAGAACCGCGAGAAAGCGATTCTCCAAGCATGTGGGGTCGTCACGAGCGCATGGAACCGACGGGATACCAGGGTGATCGCCGAAAGAGATTGAGGAGGCAAATGCGACAATATGTGGGTAAGAACCTCTGAACATAGTTGTTAGTTCGGACAAGCTGTAATAGATAATGATATGTTTTTTGCATACCATTCGGTAGTGTTTCCAAAGGAAGTTTTATTGGTCCACCAGCGACAACTGGAGGTCCAGGTTCTGCACGTCTCTTGCCTGGAGACCCAGCATTTTCATGCTGGCTCACCCGTTGGGCCGAGGGCGGGGTTGAGGCAACATCGCTCAAGTCAGATTTGCTCAAGGCCGCATGGGAATTTGCGAGGGTCGACAAGTCCGGCGCTGCCGGGTCTCCAGACTTCTCTTGGAGAAGACCAGAGACTGGGCCGGCTTCAGAATCATTTCCATGCTGGGTAAAACTAGGATTCGCGGGGGGTGAATCACGGAAAGACGTCTTCTCGGAAACGGCAGTGGGCTCGGATTGCATAAAAAGGACTTAAAAGGAGATCTAGATGAAAGCGACTGAGCCAGCAACAAACCTGGATCAGTCGAGATAGTGAGATGCGAGTTGGAGAGAGTGGAACGTGCGAGGTGAAGCGTTGAGGAGGAGAAGAGGTACAAAGGCTGAATGGAGGCGAAAAGCGGCGACCGGGAGCGGCCAATCAGCAAATTCGAGAACTTGAAATGGAAGTCTCTTTCAGATTACACTTTCTTTACGTAGTACAGTAGCATATAGTGGTGATTTCTTTATAAGATATTGCCTATGATCTACTTTGTATAACGTACTCATGCAAAATGACTCATACTTATCAGTCCCTCCCACTTTATGACTATGAGATTCTTGCTGCAGGGGAAATAACGCGTCAGGTCACGTGATGACGCGCTTTTACGCGGTGTATTTTGATCTTGCATTTGCCATGACCTCACATCCATAATATCCAGCTGGTGATATCTTCTTTTTGAACCAAGAAGCCGGCTGGTATCTGATGAATATGCCAGGAGTTAATGGTAAGCTGTTCCAAAGAATGCTGAAGAGTTCCTTTGCTGATCTACGCAGAGGCCGAGACTATCCGCATTCTCATCTCAACTGATAACCATGTCGGTTACAATGAAAGAGACCCCATTCGGGGAGACGACAGCTGGAAGACCTTTCATGAAATTATGTGTCTTGCCAGAGAACAAGATGTGGACATGGTGCTGTTGGCGGGAGACTTGTTCCATGAGAACAAGCCATCAAGAAAGTCCATGTACCAAGTGATGCGATCAATCCGGATGAACTGCTTTGGAGACAAGCCCTGTGAGCTGGAGCTCCTCAGTGATGCCAGCGAGAACTTTCAAGGTGCTTTCAACCATGTCAATTACGAGGATTTGGACCTGAACATCGCCATTCCCATCTTCTCCATCCACGGCAACCACGACGACCCATCTGGCGAGGGTCATCTCGCAGCTCTTGACCTGCTGCAAGTATCCGGTCTCCTCAACTACTATGGGCGGACACCTGAATCAGACAACATCGAAATTAAGCCAGTTCTCCTTCAGAAAGGACGAACTAAGCTTGCTCTCTACGGGATGAGCAACGTTCGTGATGAGCGCTTGTACCGAACTTTCCGAGATGGCAAGGTCAAGTTCTTCCAGCCATCTATCCAAAAGGACGACTGGTTCAATCTCATGTCCGTGCATCAGAATCACCATAAGTACACTGAGACCGGTTACCTACCAGAAAACTTCTTACCTGGATTTATGGACTTTATTCTCTGGGGCCACGAGCATGAATGTCTTATCAATCCTCGACTTAATCCAGAGATGAACTTCCATGTCATGCAACCGGGGTCTTCTGTGGCCACATCTTTAGCACTCGGAGAGGCCGTACCAAAGCAGGTCTCCATAATGAGCATCACAGGTCGAGAATTCAAGTGTGAGCCGATTCGCTTGAAGACTGTGCGGCCTTTTGTCATGCGAGAGATTATCTTATCAGAGGAGAAAGGGGCCCAAAAGTTAGCGCGGAAAGAGAACAACCGAACCGAGGTGACTCGGCTTCTCATGGATATTGTTGAAGAATTAATCGAAGAGGCCAAGGCAGAATGGTTAGAGGTGAATTCCGAAACCAGCGAAGATGAAGAAGTTCGAGAAATGCCCCTTCCGCTTGTCCGACTTCGTGTCGAGATCTCTACACCCGAGGGTGGGAGCTACGAGTGTGAAAATCCGCAAAGATTCTCCAATCGATTTGTGGGGAAGGTTGCCAATGTGAATGATGTGGTGCAATTCCACCGCAAGAAGAGGGGTGCGGCCTCGCGAAAAGCCGATGCAACTGACGAAGCAGCTGTTTCACATCTGACAGGTCTTGATACCGTCAAGGTAGATCAACTAGTTAAAGAGTTCCTCGCTTCACAGTCGCTCAGTATTCTTCCTCAGAACACATTTGGCGATGCCGTGGCCCAATTTATTGACAAGGATGACAAGCACGCCATGGAAATGTTCGTGAATGAATCTTTAGAGAGCCAAGTCAAACACCTTATGGCTTTGGACCGTGACGAGGATGACATAGACGACGAGGCGGGAGTTCAGAGTTCTTTGGTTACAGCGATGGAAAAATACCGCACGCAGATGGAAGATCTTTTCTCTAAGGGTGTCAAGAAACGCACTGCACGAGGAAAAAAGCGATTTAAGCCAAAGCCGGATACCTGGGATAGCGAATTTGACGGCTCATGGGAGGATCAGCCGGGTGCTCTTATCCATTCAGATCATGAAGGTGATCCAGCTGAGGAAGAAGCGGGAGAGGATGGCTCCGCAACAGCTCGCAGCCGTGCGCCAGCAACTTCAACGCGCGCCAGGGGACGGGGTCGTGGCCGAGGTGCGGCTACTAGTACTCGAGGCTCTAGCAAAGCTGCTGTCGCATCCAAGGCACGTAAAGCCAAGGCCCTGTCTGAGGAAGAATCCGCCGATGATGTGATCATGTTGGATGATGACGACGATGAGCCGACCCATGTTATTTCGGAGGAGGATGATGATGACTCCCAAGCTTTGTTTGTCAAGCAACCTCGCGCAACGACCTCAAGGGGCAGGGCACGTGGAGCTAGAGCGACTACTCGAGGCCGTGGCGGACGTGCTGCCGCCTCGCCGGCTCCGTCCTCGGCTACTATCAGTGCAACTGCCCCCCGTCGGGGAGGTAGGTCTGCCAAGCCGACTCAACCGACCCAAACAACCCTCGATTTCGTTGGTTCGCAGGCCAGCCTACCCCGGTCTTCTCGATCCACTCGTACAACGCACAAGGTGACTATCAGTGATGATGATGATGACGACTCGGACTCTGCCTTCGAGCCGGCTTGAGCTTTATGCTGCATATTTTTTTCTAGTAGCGAGCGGTGATTTGCAATAGCATTCTGATACGATTCTCACGACTGTATAATTCAAAAATGAGCTGTTTCTTTAGGGCAGTCCCTTACATCTAAATTTTAAAAGCTCCATATCTCCCATCTCCAGGGCTCTCAGACGCAACCGGCTACCTACTTGATATGCCTCACTTTGCAAGGCGGGCGCTAATTAAATTATCCTTTTAGTCAGTATATTTCTTCAACAGTTATACATCGTGTCGAGAGGTTCTGCAATCATCATTCACCATTGATTGAAAGGTTTCAACCTCGAGCTGAGCTTTTGAGAACATTTAATAAGGCATTGTAAACGCGAGTCAACAGACCAACCTTGTAGAGGGCACACAGAACGCAGAGTTCAAACCGTAAAGTATAAGTTGCAGAAGTCGGGGGTGCAGTTCAGAAACTTAACAAAAGCTTTCTTAGCAATTAGACCTCGGGAAGAGTTTTAAACATGAACTCTGCTGGAAAAGATCTTACAAGTCTTTTATTATTATTATTATTTTTTGGAATCATATTCAATCTAAGGTTGATGCTCTTGAATCCCTACATGTCAGCTATGTTTGCTGTATCAATCTTCCATTAGCCTTGTAATATTGGATTCTTCTGATTGAACAGTCACCAATTTTTCATATCAAGAACAATGTACTCCTTCAGCTCTCGCACAAGCATCAAACAGGCAGTCAATAACCGAAGTATGTGGTTTCCACAAGATTAGTTTATTATCAGATCTCAACCCCGCATTATCGGGGCCGAGTTGCCTCGGTCGTGCAACACTATGACGATCCCCAACCTTGGAACCTCCAATCCCTTACATGAGAATGTCTTTAATCCCTTCAATGTCTGAATGAAGGTCAGTGATCCATATCAACCATGACATTTACAGGGAGACCCATTCGCATTGCAGGTAAGTCTCTTGATATTTGCATAGTGCAGCATCTGCTAAATAACCTCAGGTGCCTCGGGCTCTGCTTCAGACCGTCGTCATGCCATCGCTGAATTTGCCCGAAACTACCCAACTGACCCGGTCGATGTGATTATCGCTGATTTTATGAGCGAGTTCAATATGGCAACTTTCGCGGGTCGGCGAATGGACCAGGCTGGGAATGCAATGCCAGCGTATGATCTGTCATTCCTTGAAGCTTTGCAGCCAGCTCTGGGCGATATAGCCAAGCATGGTATCAAAGTAGCTGTGAATGCTGGAGTGTGTGACACGAAAGGTCTCTTTGATGTTGTTTCACGAATGGTGCAAGCAAAGGGACTTGATCTAAAGGTGGCTGTCTTCGCTCTTTCTCTAGTCGTAGACCCTCAGTACTAATGGGTTTTATAGGTGGCCTACATCACTGGTGATGAGGTATTGCCTGCTATCCAGAAAGCACTTTCTGGTGGCCAGTCCGACTTTCAAAACATCTATACGGGTGAGAAATTGGCCGACTGGAACTTTGAGCCTATATATGCCCAGTGTTATCTCGGTGGGCTGGGAATTGCTGCCGCTCTCGCCGAAGGCGCTGATATCGTTCTCTGCGGTCGAGTATCAGATGCCTCGCCCGTCATCGGCGCTGCTTACTGGTATCATGGCTGGCAGCGTAGCGATCTGGACAAGCTCGCCAATGCTTTCGTCGCGGGCCACCTCATCGAATGCAGCAATTACGTGTGCGGGGGTAATTACACTGGCTTCAAATCTCTGGAGCACGGTGGCGACGGCTGGACGAATATTGGATATCCTATAGCTGAGATCTCCGCCGAGGGTGACGTCGTGATCACCAAGCAGGCTCATTCAACTGGCGGCGCTGTCACAGTGGATACCTGCACTTCTCAGTTACTGTATGAGATTCAAGGACCGTGGTACTACAACTCGGATGTGACCGCCATTATCGATGGCATTTACTTTGAGCAGCGAGGTATCAACCGAGTCGCCGTACGCGGGGTTCGATCGGGCCCGCCCCCTCCTACCACGAAAGTGGGTATCACAGCGCGTGGTGGGTTTCAAGCTGAGGCGTGGTGGTTCCTGACTGGGCTTGATATCGAAGACAAGGCCCGAATGCTCGAGGCACAGATCAGACGGCTGCTTGCTCCTTCTGTCGGGCGATTCTCATCTCTCAAGTTTGACTTGCTTGGTTCAAACTTGCCTGATGCCAAAACCCAGAATCGTGCCACTGTACCCCTTCGTATTGTGGCACAAGCACGAGATGAGGAAGCTCTAGGACCGAGGAATTTCGTCAAGCCCATTTCTGATAACATCATGCAGGGTTATCCAGGGGCCACTTTCCACCTGGACATGCGTCAAGGATTCCCCCGAGCAGTTTTTGAATACTACGTGACTCTCCTTCCCCAGTCCTCGGTCCAGCACCAAGTCCACTTGCCCTGGAAACCAACAGCACGCACCCAATTGATTGATATCCCGCCTCCACCACAGGCGAAAATATACCCATCTCGCCAGCCTTCACAGGCCACTACGCACAACGATAAAGCTGTGGATTTGGCCAAGGATTTTGGCCCAACAATTCGGGGACCGTTGGGGTGGATTGTTCATGGCCGCTCTGGAGATAAGGGCGCCGATGCGAATTGTGGCCTCTGGGTCCGTCATCGCGATGAATACCTATGGCTACGTACTCTATTGTCGATAGAGACAGCGCATGAGCTTCTCGGAGATGATGCTCTTCAACAGCCACAGCTGGCGATCGAGCGCTTTGAGCTTCCGGGTCTTCAGGCGGTGCATTTCCTCTTTCGTAATCTGCTCGATCGCGGGGTTGGGGTCACGACCACCGTGGATTTTTTGGGGAAGAATGTGGCGGAATATCTTCGATCACGACATGTTGATCTTCCTACTCGTTTCCTAAATCGTGGTAAGCTGTAGTGGCTTTCTGGTCAGCTTACTGCTTGGGTATAGCTAGGATAAGCAAGGAGGCGAAAGCTGGATCTCTTCCGATCCCACACGAACAATGGTTACAAATCCAAGTAGCAACGTGATTTTGTACGTAGTTTGACTTTGCTTAGAAGGTAAATAGTCCAAATGATGACTTGAAAACCAGACATTCTTGGACGATCCCCCGCATATACCGTACGGATTAGGTTTCCCGCAAAGAGGTCAATTGGGTCAAGGGGACCAGCTGACCTTTCTCGGCCGACCAGTGTTAAGCCGACATTTGAAACGAATCGAAAGAATTCGAATCGAAAAAAAATAAATAAAAATAAAATAAAATTCGTGTTAGCTCCACCCGAGCTCTAGAGCGGAACGAATACCGGACATCCCTACCCCACCGACTGTAACCGGGGAGATGTTGGTCCGCAGAGCGAATAACATCACGATGATCACATTTGGCCCACCTGCCCCTCCCTTGGTCCGAAACATGTTCACAAGGTCTTTACTACAGTAAGATACGGAGAAGCCTTAATGTTAGAATCTCGGCGTGGTCGGGTTTACAGTATGGTCTCGAGGGAGTGAGGAAGCCTCGGTTGAGATAAAGGTATAATTAATTTACTTTTCAAGAATAAAGGGGGGGGGGAAACAACTATGTGGGGCAAGTTGAAGTTACCAATAGCGAATAAAGAGAAAAGAACTGCAGATTATCTGCAGTTTACGTGAACATTCCGAGTACCTCTACGGTACTTCGCCGATGTCGTGCCAATGCTGTGCCCCGCTGGTACCCGCCAAGTCACTCTGTAACTGTGGCGTTACTAACCCCGCATGAGAAGGGTTTGGTTTATAAGAGGATGTCTCCGTCCGCAATTTCATTTGTTTCCTTTCCTTGCATCATTGTGATACCCTGTTGATTTCTTCATCCGTTTCACTATGTCGCTTTCCGCTACCATCGAGACTCCCAACGTCACCTACGAGCAGCCCTTGGGCTTGTATGTGCCCCTCATTACCCCTCACCTCCCTTTTCCCTTTCCTCCGCAGCTTTTGCTCTGTCTTTGGTCAATATGCTGATACTTGAAGTATAGGTTCATTAACAACGAGTTTGTTAAGGGTGTCGAGGGCAAGACCTTCGAGACCATCAACCCCACCAACGAGAAGGTCATCACCTCCGTCCACGAGGCCACTGAGAAGGATGTCGATATTGCCGTCAAGGCTGCCCGTACTGCCTTTGAGGGTGCTTGGCACGATGTGACTCCCTCGCAGCGTGGCCGCATGCTTACCAAGCTTGCCGACCTCTTCGAGCGCGATATTGAGACCCTGGCCGCTATCGAGGCCATCGACAACGGCAAGGCCATCACTCTGGGCAAGAGTGATGTCACCAACGCCGCTGGCTGCCTCCGCTACTATGGTGGCTGGGCCGATAAGATCGTTGGTCAGACCATCGACCAAAATAACCAGACCCTCTCTTACACCCGCCACGAGCCCGTCGGTGTCTGCGGTCAGATTATCCCCTGGAACTTCCCCATCCTCATGTGGGCCTGGAAGATCGGTCCCGCTATCGCCGCTGGTAACACTGTCATCATTAAGACTGCTGAGCAGACTCCCCTGTCTGGTCTGTACGCCGCTAAGCTCATTATTGAGGCTGGCTTCCCCCCTGGTGTTATCAACATCATCTCCGGTTTCGGTCGCACCGCCGGTGCCGCTATCTCCAGCCACATGGACATTGACAAGGTCGCTTTCACTGGTTCCACCCTTGTCGGCCGTATGATCCTCCAGGCTGCTGCCAAGAGTAACTTGAAGAAGGTCACTCTTGAGCTCGGTGGCAAATCCCCCAACATTGTCTTCGACGATGCCGATATCGACAACGCCATCTCTTGGGCTAACTTCGGTATCTTCTACAACCATGGTCAGTGCTGCTGTGCCGGTTCCCGCCTGCTGGTCCAGGAGGGCATCTACGACAAGTTCGTCGCCCGCTTCAAGGAGCGTGCCGCTAAGAACCAGCTTGGCAACCCCTTCGATTCTACCACCTTCCAGGGTCCCCAGGTCTCCCAGCTCCAGTTCGACCGTATCATGGAGTACATCAACCACGGCAAGAACGAGGGTGCCACCGTTGCTCTCGGTGGTGAGCGCCACGGAACCGAAGGTTACTTCGTTCAGCCCACCATCTTTACTGATGTTACTTCCGAGATGAAGATTGCCCAGGAGGAGATCTTCGGTCCCGTCATTGTCGTCCAGAAGTTCAAGGACGAGGCTGAGGCCATCAAGATTGGCAACGACTCTACTTACGGTAAGAACATACCCTATTTCATGAAACTCGTCTGAATCATACTGACTTCAACTCTCAGGTCTTGCCGCCGGTGTCCACACCAAGAACGTCAACACCGCTATCCGTGTTTCCAATGCCATTAAGGCCGGTACCGTCTGGGTTAACAACTACAACCTGCTTTCTTACCAGGCTCCCTTCGGTGGCTTCAAGTCCTCCGGTATTGGCCGTGAGCTTGGCTCCTACGCCCTGGAGAACTACACCCAAATCAAGACCGTCCACTACCGTCTGGGCGATGCTCTCTTCGGTTAAAGGGTTAAGGATGAAAATGACGATAATGAACTGAAATACGCTTTTTTTTGTATATAATCCAAAATTTACGGATTTGATTTTATTGCTTGAACCGTACTTCTTACATATGTCTCCGATGTCGTTTATATTACCGCTAAGTTTGTACCGTAAAATTGTATTCTCTAGAACGCGTCAGAATGGATATCGTGTAGGTGTGGACTCAATTTCGGGAGAACGAGACACGAAATGGCGGGGCTACATTTGGAGGGTTCGGTGTTCGTTGCGAGACGCCACTATGGTAGAGCCAGAAATGATGTGAGAAGACCGGGTCAATTGTTTCCGGCGTCTCGGTGTATTGGTGTCCGAGGCCATGTGGACAGGAGCTCGTGGCATGGCAATCTCGGATAAGCATGTACTACGGTGCACTAGTGGAACAAGGCTTTCCAGAATATTCGTCGAATATTATTAATTGTATAATTGTAATTAGGTGGTTTTTTATCTATCGGTGGGTTCGGATATACTGTGTGTACGGCCGAATTTAGGAATTCTTGCATCATTGTGCTCATGCTACTTGAAGCGATTGTATCCTTTAAAATTGTTTCAAACTCTTCAAGTTTACTCCTGAACTAATAAAAATTTTCAATTTGATTCTGTAATTCCTTATTGCTTCCGGTCGCGGGATTCCGTTGAAATCACCCTCTTCTGCTTAAACTCAATAATATACTTTGATGGATTCTACACTCGCTCGCGTCTCAGTCTAGCTATCCTGAGCCAGTACGTATGTTCTGTCAATATCAATATGGTTAGATAACCAGTTGTAGTGTAAACCCCCTACGCCCAGGCTCCAGCTCGCCCAATCAATCAACCTCCTCTGCCTCTTTCACCATTTGATGAGCCTCACCACCCGCCGGACCTGTGGTGAGGCTCTAGTGAATTGAGTGGCCAATCGGAGTTCTTACTTTGGGAAGATACCGGTTTTCTAGTTCCAAATTTCCCTGAGGATCAAACCCTCTTTTTTCCAGTCCAATGAAAATTCGTGCAGCTGAACCATGACTTCCACATTGTCTAGTGTTGGGTCGCAAAGAGGCTTTTATAATTGATCATAATTGAACAAACTCACTAAAGGTATTAGGCAAGGCATACCATTCGTAATTCAAAGAGTAGTTGTGATTCAGTTCCTGAATTAGAGTCAATATTTTCGCAATGACAACGCGAAGCCTCAATAGGACTTGGAGATGTACGCCAACATAGCCCTGTCCAAGCACAGGAAGGTAATCTCGAAGACGAACTTGTAAGTGAGATGACTTGAGTGATCGGCAGAGGTGATATGATGTTGGTCATTCGTGGAGCGGTGATACCAAAGGACCTTTATTAAATCAACCACCAACTGGATGCAAAAATCGTCGCACTAGAGGCCAGCCTGGTAAAGGATGGCAAGAAGCTTTTAGAGGGAGACAACGAAGTTTTCAGGCTGGATGTGAAACGCGTACGGGCAAACAACGAGACCTTTGAAGCCGAAACTGCTTACAAGAGAAGGCGAAGCTTTTGAAACAGGCTCAGGAAGTGGAAGTGTATGTACCGCGCACCTGCTAGAGGCTGAGTCTCCTCACGTACTTCCACATCGGGACGCTTCAGTTTACAGTGTATGTTTCAAATCTTCTTGATCTTTAAATTTCATATTTGAGTTTAGGTGTGTAGGTCTCACTATGACTGTTCTGAAGACTTCCGAGCACAAATGTTTCCGAAAATCTGTTCCCACTAGTCATCCGAATGTCTCTAGATATGCTTGCCGAGTATGCATTTTTCTGCATTCCTTCCATGGAGCTGCTTGGCCGTCACATCATTCAAGCCCAATTCTATGAGCTACGCAACAGATCCAAGTTATGCTAATACCGCTCAGGCTCACTGTGATCTACATGGGACAACAATTTTTCATAAGTTCAAATTGAAATTCTATAATGGGGATCTTAGATAAAGAAATGCAAATATAAAAGTAAAGTCCTCAGTCGCTAGGTAACAAATGGAAGAGTGAGTCGTAAGAAGTCGTACAAGTACATTCGCTCAAACCTCAAAGTTTTGCTCCGATGGTCACACCAGTAGGTAATTCCAGACCGACTGGCAGTCCGGAGACGTAGTTGTCTGTGTACTCGATACCGGCGAGCTGGGCGAGCTTCTCGTTAATATCGCTGTACATGTCATATCTAAAACTGCTGTCAGTATAAGATTTGAAAGTCAAAGTCAGAGAGACTCACGCGTTCATCTCCTCGATGGTAAGGACCTTCTTTGGGTCCTCGACCTTGTAAGTAGCAATATCTTTGTTGACGGAGAAGCCTTGAACCAAATGGTTAGCACACGATCTTTTTTATTTCTTTGATCCCACATGCGGGACTCACCGATACGCTCGTTGATATTGTAAGCTGCTTTCGCCGCAGCTGCCTGGACTCGAGTAACGCGAGGAAGGCGAACGAGCTCATACGCCTCAAGAGTTTGCTCGATATTTCCATTGAAGGTATTCTTGCTGAAGAGGATTCCAAGAGCCGCCGCGTCCTCGATGGCCATGCAAGCACCCTGGCTTTGGTGGGGCATCATAGGGTGGCCGGCATCTCCCAGCAGACAGACCCTTTTCTTGGCGAGGTAAGGGTAAGGGTCATGAACCCAGAGGCGCCAGGGCTGAATTTCCTTGCCGATGGCGAGGTGGTTGAAAACCTGGCGGTCGAGAGCAGGATAGGGCTTCAAGAGATCCTCAACAGGTCGGCCCTCAGCACCCCAAGTCTGGCTTGAGTTGTCGCCTTGATCGCGAGGGTAGAAACAATAGTATGAAAGGAGCTTTCCGCCGTTGCAAGGCGAGAGCACAATCTTATCCCATTTGCCCTCTTGGCCGCCCCAGTACTCAAGTGCACTGTCATCTGAGTAGTTGGCAAGACCGAGCTTGGCGGCTTCATCCGCATCGACATTAGCGTGCAAGCAGCTCTGATCGGAAGGGCGTCTCTCGGGGGTAATGCCCAGGATACCGCGAACCACCGATCCGATTCCGTCGGCACCGATGATCAGATCATGCTTGGCAGAGTATCCGTTCTCGAAGGTAATGACATTTGTTTCCAGATCAATGCCGGAGCACTATGAAAACTTGTGTTAGCCAGTTCATCCTCCAGTCTTTGAGGATCAGCTATCAGTATACATACTCGGTGGTTGACCTTCAGCACAGCAGGAACGCCTTTGCCTTCCTCCGCCAGGGCGGATTCCTTGAGCATGAAGTGCATCTGCTGACGGTGGAACATGTTGTACACGTAGCCCCAGCGCTCCTCATAATCAGCGAGGTCATACACACTAACCGGCTCTCCGGTCTTCCAGTCACGGTTGATAAGCTTCTTCAGGACAACAGGGTCACCCTTAGAGATATCAACATCCCACTCATGAAGCCAGCGGGTTCCATTAGCAGCACATGAGACTGAGGCTCCCACCTCACCAGCAAAATCATTCTTCTCATAGATGGTGACCTGGTGACCAGCGCGGCGCATGGCAATCGCAGTGGACATGCCACCGATGCCACCACCCACGATAGCCACGTTCAGAGGTCTCCAGGCTTCGGAATAACGCATTTTGCAGGGTATATGAGGTGAAAGCTATATACGATGTGCTAGTTTTGAGTTCTTGGGAGAAAAGAATTTGAAAGGCACACTCTTGAGTTCGGGAAGGTGTACAATTCGAAAAGGGAAAGGGCGGGTCGCAAGTTTGGCTTTGGTATGGGCAACCCTTGGTAAGAGATGTGAGCTTGAAGAGAGGTAATGAAGAAGATAGAATACGTCCTGGCGTTGCATTTATCTTATTCCAAGGTTGTCATTCACTGATTGCGGACTATCTACACTGGGCGGATAGTGCACTATTAGCGGAGCGGAGCGGCGGGTCGGGGACCCGCTTATCGTCGGGTGGCAACCATGTGGCGTGAACGTTCCGCTGAGTGTCGAGTCTCATTGGTCAAGATATTGTACTGATATCATGGCGAAGGCCTATTCTGACCAGTACGAGAGCGTTTTTGAATCCGGAAGAGATAGGATTGTAGCGGCTATTACATATATATTGCAAATATATTGGAATGTACATATATTTCATTATAGAGCACATGAGCCTGGTTCGGTGAAAGGAAAGCTATCCCAGAGTGGTAACTCCATACCCTCCCACTCTAAAAATGCGCCGTCGAATACTGGAGGTGTAGTTGCAGTCGGGCCGTCGCCTTGTGGAATCCAGGGAAATAGCGGGCCGCCTTGTGTTGATTGTGGGGTTGCGCTGTCGGGTCGGTTCTCATTCTGACTCTGTGCACGGGGCACATTTGGGCTATCAGTCAGGCTGAAGATCCGACTTACATACTTGCTTCGACGCTGGCGAGCTTGAGATGCCAGGCGTTGTCGCTGCTCAGTGATTGCGGCTTCGAGCAATGTCAAGATTTCCAGGTAGTGGGCCGCTTGAGCAGATTGCTGCGCCAACATGCGGAGAATGGTCAAGGCCCCTGAGAAGGCACTGTCGATTTCGGAGTCCACATCTCGGTGCGCAAACATCGAGAATCCCAAAACTAGGGCGGCTGCGAAGACGAATGCTCTATAATTTGGTTAGTCGTTATATTTTTTTTTTTTTTTTTTTTTTTTTTTTGAATTTGGATGAGATGGATACTTACTTAAGAATACACATATTACGTAGGAGAAGCTCAGACTGGTGAACTTCGAGACATGTTTGAAGCATATAGACAGCGGAATCAATGCAAGCTGCCGCTAGTCGAGAGTGCACCGGATCTTCGTCGGGGAAGTCGGTCGGCCCAGTTGTGGAAAGGTTCTGGTGCAACCGTGCTAAGCGCACACTTAACGTGGAAATAAGAAAGGGACGGGTCAGAAGAATGACCGCGAAGTGGTATAAGCAAGCCACATGCATGTTTCCAAGAACACGTTTCTGTGCATCGTCAGGATGTTCGTTGTCAGCTAGGGTACGCAAGGAGTCCGGCAGGTGTTGACTCCAACGATTCAGTTTGGCAAGCAGTATTTCGGCTTTTTCAATAGAGGCGCCCTGGTCGCCGTACAAACGGCCGATAATTTCATTTAGGATCAAGGATAGTCGATATGAAGCAAATAAGCCAGCTTCCCCCGCTGTGTCTGTTTGTCGGCTACGATCTCCACAGTCTGGTAGGAGTGCAGATGTAGCTGCTGGTCGACCTAGAATGGAGCTTGCCAGGAGGTCAAGCACACAGAGACTCATCCATAACCTTGATCTATAGAGTGAGTCAGCTGATAATTCTATACATTCATCAGAGAGACACGAACCTTTCTTGTTGTTCCTGATGACCCAATCCCGAAGAATCCTCGTGTAGCCCCAGAGCAACGGCAGACCGAGCTGCAACACCCAAATACATGAAGGCGGCATTCCGGCGACAAGCCCCGAACATATAAAATGACATGAGCAAAAACGCCCGTACTAGATCCATACTTGGATCTTCTAGGAAGTTGGCGAAAGTCCTGCGTTGCCCCCGAGTAATGAAATAACGCTCAATCTGAACCGTGTTGGGCTCGTTCAAACATGACTGAGCACCGATGGCAATCATCAGATCTCCAATGGCAGCACGAATCTTTTCTCGATCAGTTTTCGGCTCTGCGGGGTTTGTCAATAGTGTTTCGATGTCGCATCCCAGATAGAGGAAGCCGCTTGTCTGTCAACTGGTTATGATACGAGCCGCAGTCGGGTCGGGTCACTCACCACTGCGTAGAAATTCGAAATGAAGCGGCGCTTATCATCCACGCCGCAGCTATCTTCGGAAAAGCTCAGTGGGTCATGGTGGGCTTCATTTTCTAGCATATCCTCGCTCCAATTATGGGAGAATTGCGATGGCCCAATATGCTGATACACTGTCTCTCGAAGAAGTTGCAGAAACGACAGTGACGCGGCTTTGCCAACATATACTGTGGATTCGATATTTAATTTCAAGTTTCTTGAATGAATGCGGATAACTCTCATACCTCTGTCTCCCTGTAAATTACGCAACATCCGCGGATGGGTACGGTGCGTTGCCTCAGGCGAGCGTGAACCTGCCGCCGGGCGCTGCTGCCGCTGCAGCAGACGATCGGTCGGACTTCCAGCACGAACCGGAGGGCTCAAGGGAGTATTCAATAGCTCATTGGAAGCGCTCCATGTCGGGACCGTATCTAATCTTGATTGAGATCGAGGAGTCGGGTCCCGGTGGCTGCTAGGACTAGTCTGGGAAATAGATTTGAATGGAATGCAGGAGCGCGCGTGTCCTTTGCGAATGCAGTTGGTACATGGGAATGAGCCGCTGCATCGTTTCTTGGAGGCTCTGCATTTGGTGCATGCTGTATTGGCCCGCAGGCGGTTTTCGGGACTAACCTTGGGGCGCCCCATGATGGAGAAGTGGAATATGCGGGGAGCTTCTCAGCTTATCCCACTGGTTTTCCCTTGCGGCTGGCATCGGAGGTGGTCGGGCCGCGCACCCGGAGATTTCCTTGCGTAAACGGCGATATGCACGATAAGGTTTGACATGACAGCTTTGGTTGCAAACCGAATTGATAGGAATACAAGAAGATAAGCATTGCTCGTCGTACAGCTTTGAAACCAGTCACACCTTTACGACGAATTTCTCATCCCGTAACACACCCACCGCATCAGCGTTCTAGATATTTCCGAAATTAGCACGTTTCTTGGACTGCCTCAAGCCCTTCCGGCATGTGCACCCGTGGACAGCTTTCTAATGAAAGTAAGTGTCTGATAATACTTTTTTTCTCGCTTAAACAGACGCGCTATTAATCGCAGTAGCTATCGTTCTACGATAGGCACCGTCCTGGTGGTGTGTGATTTTGAGCCCTTTTTGCCATTGTCGATACTTGAATATGAACACACCTATCAGACACTTAGCCTTCATTACCAGACAGCTTCTGCATCACATATATCGCCTGCGTAATCTAGCGTCATAGCTTCGCCATACTCAGGTATTATGGATTAAAACTCCTCTGTAACTCATTCCTCCCTTGCGAATAGTGTCCATCGCCTTCTCAATTCCCTTGTGATTGAACGGGAATGTCATCACGATAGGCTTGATGCGGTGGTGGGCGGCAAATCGTAGCATTTCGGTTAGCTACCTCGAGATGCGGGCAGACTGCCTTGAATCCGCAAAGTCTTCATGACTAAGGGCAGATAGGGGAACTTCATCTCATCCATAATGACCTTGCGGTTGGCAAGCTCGATAAGCGGAACTGGAAGAGAAGTTTATTTCTCGGGCACAACGATTTTCACATTGAAAGATGGCAAGATTGTGGACGAGATTGGTGAATAGCAAGCCCTGACAGCTCTGCAGCAACTAGGGCTAGTCTCTCCTCCTAATCCTGGCAAAGATGTCAAGTATAATGCGGAGGGAAATCATGTCTGAAGGGGCAAGAAATCTTTGTGGTGAATGAGGATTGACGAATTCTTGCCGCTAGTATGCTAGTTGGCTTTTTATTTGTCTCAATGAAGTATTTGATCGATCACTTGTCATCTTTTCTGTCTAGTACATAATCATAAAGTCGCCATCTGCTCTAACTTTTTAGTTGAATAGGTGTATTGCTTCTAGGTAGTGCTAAATTTTCAATCATCCAAGCATCCTATGATGTACTTAAGTGAGTGCGAGGCCTTGATCGTATGCATGAATGGATATAGCTGTTTCTATATATTGTTTTCTATATGATAGACTATAGTAGAAGTATACTTGGACGAATTGTTGCCACTTCGGCGAATCCGTGAACTGCATCAACCCAATCAAACCCTGCGATATGATATCAGTGGATGCCCAGTGATTCTACTCAGTAGTATTCGCAGACAAACAGAAACAAAACCGCTCCAGCAAATAGAAGTCAACAGCCAATCAAAGACACGGGAAAGCGGTGCAGAAAAATCTCTGCGCGACCAGATCCGCGCTAGACCCATCCAAGCTCTCCCGTTGGCCAGCAGCTCCAACAAGCCCCGCCGAAGGCACAAACAGCGCAAACACACTTTTCCCTCGCTTAGCAAGCACGGGCCCCGTCCTGGATATAAAAGGCATCTGTCGCCCCGTGGATTTTCTTTTCTTCAAGCGACTCTACGTTAGTGATCCCACCCCCTAAGGATTTAATCCTGGAACATTTCACTAACAACCTCACAGTTCAAAGAATCACTTTAGAGTAGACGTCCTCTTCTAAGCTCTTTAAAAGAGCCACAGAATCTCCACCCTTGCTGATGACTTCTATGTCCTCGATGCCCTAAAGTGAAGCCTTTTTACTCCCGCCTCGACGTGTCACGCGTGCTGCTTGCAGTGTCTGCGTTTCATGTCCAGGGAGTGGTGATGATCTTGACCTGGTCTGGTGTCTGACTTCGGTCGGCTGGGCCTGGTGGGTGTCGAGGAGGTCTGAAAGGTTTTTCTAATCCTTCGATTTCTCATGCAGATTTCGATGTGATTTGAAATTGGTTGATTATGTGAGTTGAGTTACTCCCCATCAAGGGAACCGGCAGTGCCGGGCGCTTGGAGGGGGCAATTGCGCAGCTTGAAATATTTTAATGGAAATCTTTTACCCAAAACTTAAATTCTCTTGTAATTCCTGTATCGACGCTATCTCAGCCCCGTGACCTAGTTTTGACTAAATTTCCGCCAGCCTTGATAATGCTCAGTCACGATTGTCAATGCACGTCGCGTGTTGTATAAGTCATGTCGTATCATTGCTATCGGGTATCTCATGCAGTCGTTGAATTGGCTTAAGCTACATGCCAATCAATTTCCTGAGCTTCCCTTCTCCGTCTTCTCTTTCTCCTTCTCCCCATTCCCTCCAGCTGCTCCTCCCTTCGATCCCTTATTTCGTGATCCACGTCCACCTCGCGATCCCCGTGCAGACGACGCGGTCGCATTCCCAATGTTTCCAGCATTTCCACTGGACGGTGGTGGTGCTGGCGATTGTTGTTGCTGCGGTTCGCCTCGACCCTTCCGCGATTTCTCACCACCAGGGTTCGCCTTGCGTTCAAGCACAACCACCTGGCTCTGAGCGACCGTCACAGGGCTAGCGGCCATTGCCTTTTGCAAGCTCTCGGGATCCGCAAAGTCAACATATCCGAATCCTTTCTTCTTATCGATCTCCACCTTCGTCACCGCGCCGAATGCCCCGAACGCTGTTTCTAGCAATGCTTCGGTCACACCTTGGGAGGGGTTCGCGTGTTTGAGGAATGCCTGAGTGGCAGTGGAGGTGGGAGGAGCAAATGGTTTGGGTTTCGAGCCCTTGTTCGCTTTCGCAGGTGCGGTAGAAGTAGTTGGTGAAGCGCCATCGGTTGCTTTCGTCGCAGAGTCGGTATCCTTCTTCGCTTTACTGGAGCCTCCCGATGGGCCATTCTTACCTGCTTTGACTGCAGGTTCCTTCTTGGAGCCCTCTGGTGCCGGGGCAGAGGAGTCTCGGGAACCCTCGTTCTTTGATGACCCGGTGTCATTGGCTCCCTTGCCTCGGCGCCGACCCCCAGCTGGCGAGATACCAAGGTCGCGCTGAAGGATTTTGGTCGCCGCAGTGACATTTCCTCGTTCTCGCTTCCTCTCCGGAGCTGCAGTGGCCTCTTTTGGTGTGTTCGTTGTGTTGCCCTTGCCAGACTTGTTGGCTGAGGCAGCTTGCTTAGCCGCCTTCGTAGACTCCTTAGTAGCTTTATCGCCCCTGCTCTTCTTCTCCGCCGGCGCCGCACTGGACTCCTTATCAGCCCGTTGTAGCAGTTTCTTTGCCTGCACCTTTTCCTTGGGTTCTTTCTCCGACCGGCTGTGCTTAGAGGATTTGGATGCCGCGGCTTCTTTGGCCTTGCTTGCTTTCTTGTCCTTGATGAACTGCACCAGCGGTGTAGTGAGCACCGCCGTTTTCTTCTCCTCGTTCTCGAAGGTGTCGGGGGGTCCTGACTTCGTAATAGGCTGTGTCAAACTCTCAAGGAAAGTGATAAAGTCCGGGTCCTGATCAATTGTACCCTGGCGAGCATCTTTCCGCACACGACTGCCGGGGATTTTAGCGTAAGGGGCGAACTCTAGGGTTGGAGGACCCAAGAGAATTGGATCATGGGAAGTGGCGCGAGCATCTTGGAACGAGGCTTGTCGCACTAGATCTGATAGCGGAGTGACATGTTCGCTCGAAACAACGTGAATATAAGCTCTGGAGGGACGAGAGGGTTTGGCGGGGCTAGATCAAATAATTAACATGGTCAGCTGCGGTAAGAAAGAATATTCATTCAATTGTGGCCTTACTCCTTCGACACCTTGCCAGCCTTGTACTGAAGCCAATCTACCTTTCCGGCCCCGACTTTCCATTCTGCACCCAAAATCCCCTCGAGTTCCAGTTGGGTGAGTCCTGGAGGCAGGCGACGGATCAGCAGCTTGAGTCGAGGAGCTGGGGGCTTGTGAGCCTTCTTTGCTGGTCCAGAGGACTTCTGTGTGGCCGCGGCAGGAATCTGAAGCAAGCCCGCGGTGGGCTTGTCGGCTTGGGTCATGATAAGACGGGCAATAAGTAAATGATGATAGATTTAAAGAAAGGGCAGTATGGTTGAACAAATCCGAACGAGATTTACGGCCCTCCCCCCCTTATAAAGACAAAGTGACAGTCTGTCGGTACGACTAAGAGTGCAGTCACACTGAATCCCAGAGCGGGATGTGTTGCTGAGTCATCATTTCCCCTCAGACAAACAATGCAACATGGAGGATATAGTTGGAACTCTAAATGTATTCTACTTGAGGCTCTAAGCTTATAGATGAAATTGGAAGATGGGCTGCAACGAGAACGATTTTATTATTTTTCTGGGTCAGTTCTCAGTTTTCACATGGCAGTACCTAGCTGGTCATGTACCGCAATGGGTTATGTGATATATATTGGACACCGACCAAAGATAGTGGCGCCATCAAAGGCTCCACGGCAAATTTGTCTGCCAAATCGTGTACCACTTTTCTAGGATTGCAATCACCTGGATATGTGAACTTCACAATGATGGTCGCAGCAATAATTTTGTTGTGGATGAAAACTCCGGATGAAAATTTGAGCGCTTTGGTCGAAGTGCAAACATGAGCATCGCTGAAATGATTTGAAAAGTCACCAAGTAACGCTTTTGAAGCTCAGCAGCCCAATTCGAAGTGCCGTCCGGTACTATTCGGGATAGGGGCAAGTCACCCAATGCAGTGATGAATAACTCATGACGTCGAAACATCCTCCACAGGAGCAGCCTCGATGGCTCTATCTCTGTTCTTGCCCTTGCGATGGACTCGCTCATCCTCTGGGTTAAAACCACCATTGCCCCAAAGCGCCCACTCCTCGGTCTCCTGCATATAATCCTCTGGGGTAAAAGAGGTTCCATCGGCCTTCTCCTTCTCCAGCAACTCGAAAAAGCGAGGGTAGTCAATTCGAGTGTGCCATTTCCCATTCACATGGAACCGGTTGGAAGCGAGTAGGACGCAGCAGCTGTGGGCGTGCTCCGCGGCAAGACCATAACCGAGACCCCGACGCTCTAATTCCGCGTTGAGAGCAACGACAAAGCTGGTGATTTCTTCATAGAAGGGCACGTTCTGCATGGTCAAACCGGCGCCGGCGCTTGTGCTGGTTCCACAGTACGTGACACCCTTGACCTCGATCAGACACGGCAAAGCCTTTTCAACCAAGTTCGCATATCCAATCACCTCGTCATCCACGTTAAAGCCTTTGACCAAGGTCAATCGGAACACAGTTCGCTGGACGTGGCGCTTTTCCCGCAGAATATCAAGACAGCGCTGGAATCGCTCCCAGAAATCACGGTGCAATGGGCGGTCAATCTTCCGCAGACTTTCACGGTTGCTGGCATCGATGGAAACATATAGTTGAGTGACGCGGTGCAGGTTCTCGAGCTGGTCGGGATGCTGGGCGTTGCACACCATGAAGCTGGAGATGTGCTCCGCATGGAGCATTTCCAAGAACCGGTTGATGTGAGGATAGAAAATCGGCTCACCGACCAGACTCAAAGCACAGTGGCGGATACGCATGGCCTCGGCGAATCGCTCAGCTCGGACACCCGGGACACCCTTCATCATCTTGATCTTCTTGTAGTGACCTTCTTTGACACCTTGGAAGATCAGCTCGGGAGAGTCAACCTTCCAACGCCATGTCGTTCCGACCGGGTTCGTACCATGGCGCCAGCAAAATATGCACTTGTTGGAACATGAGAGGGAAGGTGTTGCCTCCATGCAGAGATGAGATCGGATACCATAGAAAGAGTACTTGTAGCAGGATCCTCGTCCTCGCAGCGCTGACTTGGTCCATCGACAGATCTTGACTCCAGAGTGCGAACCCACAATCGTGTAACCTTGTTTCGTCAAAGAGGCATATGTTGGCGAGGTCTTGGGAACCATTTCCTTGGCACTGGCTTCCGAAGACACAACTTTGCCCACAGTGGTGAAATCAATAGGAAGAGGCGCAGAGTCACCACCCATCTTGATATCCTCGAGATCCACCATGGAGCTCTTCTTTTCTTTATCAGACAAATTCTCATCATCCACGTCCTCTTCGTCACTCTCTACAGCATCACCGCTACCGGCAACACCCTCGCCCAAGCCGCCGTTCTTCAAAATATCCGACAAGGTATCCTGGAGACCTTGAGACCACTCCTTCAAAGCAGCGTCGGCATCGCTCTTCACATCGCCCATGCCCAACGGGTACGCCCGCTTGCGGCCGGTGAGCTTTGACATCCAACGATCAATCTCCTTAGCCTGTGTGCAGAAGCCCTCCTCCTCGGTTGGCCATTCTTCCTTGTCACCAAAGCCAAAGACCGAGTATCCAGCCAATTGGTGTAGCGATCCAGTATCAATTCGGAAGTCATTGTGCGTTTCCTCCAGGTCGCCCAGGAATGTGCTCAGTACCGTGTCAATGTTGTAGGTTGGGACCAGGATGCAGTACAAGTAGCGTGTTCCGGGAGAGGTTGATGGTGGTTTCGGGGCGGAGACAAAATAATCGTCGAAATCGATGTACGAGATGTCATGAATCTGCGGGGGCAGGAGACCACGTCCAGGGTTCTCTATATTTGCTTGGTTCTGAGCAGCGGCGCGCAGATCCTCCAACAGAACATTCGCATATCGTTCGGTGTTGGTTGTCAGAGAGGCAAAGAAAATTATGGGCTGGATATGAGTGATGGGTTGCACCTCCTCACTGGAACTTCGGCGGCCACCAATTGTCTTTGCGGGCTTCTTTCCCTGGACGCGTTTGGGGCCTGAGGGCTTAGTCGGGGATTCAGTGCGGAGGGTAACATTTTCTTTCTCTAGGACGGCGGGTTGTTCCTTCGCTGCGGGGATATTCTCCAGTTTTTCCAACTTCTCGGGTGACTGACTGCGTGGGGAGGTAGGTACTGAGGCCGATGCCGGAGTTTTTGACCGTAAAAGCGCCCGGTAGGCACGAATGGCGAAGAATAGCGCCGACAGTGCTACAAGGATAGGAAGACGGTAGGCATGCCACAAGGCGAGGAGGCCTGCGGCGTTGTGAGCGCGTGTTTCGTGGCAAAGGAAAGATTTTATTGAAAAATTAATGAAGACTGAAACATACCGTCTGCCATGGCTCGATCGCCAGCCATTTTTTGTAAGATAAATTGACTACCCAGGAGAGTGTGAAGAATGTACGAGGGGTTCAAACTTGATCGGGGAAAAGAAAAAGTGGAGAAAGGCGGGAGCAAATGAGCATCAACGCATTGCAATGCCCTATGTTTATTTTTACACCTACCACAACGCTGTACAGATACTATCTACCACATTTCAAATACTAGCTACATTCACAGGGTGGATCTAGTAATTTGTACTCCTTGCAAACGCGGGAAATCAAGAAGAAGAGAGCGAAATTGCAATTGCAAATCAGGAGAGGCGGTAAACGCCAATGAAATTTATTATAGCAGTAGCCACACTCCAGATCGCCTGCCTGTTTGAGCTTCATGCACTCAACGGTAGAGCAGTAGACCAGCCATTGGAACCGTTTTACACGCCAGACAAAACAGCAGATACAAAGAAAGATGAAACAACAAGAGCAGACTTGAGACTTATCCCAGACACAAGAAATGGAGCACCATTCGCAGTGGACGTAGAAGTGGAGCTCGTCGCAATTCGAGTTCCCGTTGACTTGGACGTTTCAGTCGAGGTATCATTCGCAGTCGCAGTCGCAGTCGGGTAAGATGTTGCAGTAGCAGTACCATTGGTCGACCCATAACACCAGACATCCTTCCAATCAATGCCCTCTTTGTAGAGACAGTCCGTGAGACTCTGGACTGATTGGTCCACGGCGAGCGCATATAGAGCGCAGTCATTGTCGTAAGCAAGCACGCCTGCAGGCCTGGCGCATGCTTCGATAATTGGCTTGTGTTTTGAAGAGTTCGGAACTCCACAGGCGGCATCTTTGACGGGAAGCTCATACTGAGCAGATGTTCCGCACGTGGTGCTTGCTGAGACACCTGTAGTGGTTGTTGACACCATTATTGGTGGGTAAAGGATGTGATAGGTGAGGCCGGGGAGAGAAAACGTATGCTATTGCAAGCGCTGCCCAATTCGCGAGATGTCTTCTATTTGCATAGCCTTTAGATATACCATTGTTTGTTTAGTCAAGAATGATTACTTGATTAGTTCGGTTCTTCGTAGTGACCCACCCATGAACCGACTATTAATATCCGGTCCGAAATCTGACAAGGCCAAGGAAAGGGTCCTTTTCCCGAGCCTTGGTTTACCGAGCCTTGGAAGAAAACTCAAATAATCGGGAGATTAGCAATGGCCCAAGGAAGATTCAATATCTCGGAAGAGAGCTAAATGGCCCAAAGTATTATCTTATATTTGAAGGTCCCTAAGCTGGGATCGGTATCACAATGCAATGTAATCTTTGGCTTGGCATTTCACAAAGGTTTCGGCGTCGCCATTACTGATATGACCATTTAAGAATTCTAGTGCCATAATAATTTGAAACGCTCATTTTATTGCGATCTCTCAAACTAATCTTTTGTATCTCAGGAAAGTATGCTACCCCGGAGATGAGGGCTAGGTATATTTAGTGTTCAGAGATGAATGCGATACATAACTGGTGATACACTTATAGGCCAGCCCTTTGCGTGAAATGATCGAAGGATTCTGTAAAGAGCGGGAATAGATCTTCCATTGGAAGAGGAATCATTTCCGGGTAATCTTCGACCTGAGTCAGTAGAGGCGGAGTGATCACAGATTCTGCAACTTCACAACCCCACTGGGAAGGATTGGCATTCGGATATTGCGGAGTCATATGCGTCTGAGATTTCAGTTGAGAATTACTGGCCTTGACCAATGCAGTTGCCTCGTAATCAAAGACTTCTTGGGAGAGGGATACAAAATGTTGAAAGATGGTCGTTATTTGCTTAATTGGACGGCTCGATGTTTCGCTGTGGGACAATAAATCGGCGATAGCTTTCATGAGGTTAAAGTCGTTTGTATCTGATGTGGCGACAACATTGCAGAATAGCACGAAATACGCCATGATAGGATAATATAGTAGAGTCCTGGAAGTTGAATCAGAAGCTCGTCTAATGCATATGTGGGGGGAATACCTACCAGTGCAAAAATGCCACAGCGCTTTGTTTCTCGGCGGACAAACACATTGACATGAGTGAAGACAAACCTTGGCGAGCTGATTGTAGGTATAGATTATGGGCACCGAGAGATTGCTCATGACAATTTTGGAGGAGATTCAAAGTCATCGTCCTGGTAGAATGATAGGCAAATTGGAGCGCGGAGACTTCAGACTGGGCATTTAGGCCCTGCCAAAGTCGCGAAGGGCATGCGACCTAGCCGGTGTCAAAAAATGATGCAAAATATACCAGTGGACTTAATGGAATAGTTCCTACCTTTTCGATTCTGGCTTGTATCTGATTCATCTGAATCAAAAGACGTCCACCAACCTCATGAAAGGATGGGATGGAGGTTGGCATTTCCAATGAGCGGCTTCCCAGATATGGAATGACCACTGCTTGAATTTTGGCAAGTTCAATGTTCAATAACATGTTCTCCGATATTGAGTGTCGATTGACCTGTAATTTGAAGCAGTTCGTTTCAAAATCAGCATTCAGCAGAGACACAGATCGTCCCAGCTTGAAGGTATAATTTTTGTCCAACATATAACACCAGGCTAAGCAGTAGAACTCTTCTTCACTTAGAGCATTGCCTTCACTAAATGTCATATCAAGACCGAGGTCAACGCAAGCTCTGCAGGCAGTTCTGGTAAGTTCCCAACAGAAAGTAACATCTCCAGTTCCTTGATGGAGGAATATCTGGGAGCTCATCAGTGATTGTCATGCAGTCAAAACAGTGTAACAGCTTACCCCCGAGAGAATCGCCTGGAGAAGTCCCAGCGATGGGGCAGCTACAAGTGGAATTCTCTGGAGAGCCATTTTCGCGGCTGCCCGGTACTGTAGTGCCTTTTGTCGATACTCGTATATGACCTCAGGGTCTGTCTCAAGACTCATTAAACTGGTGAGGAATTTATATCCCATCGAATTCACACAGACGGAGCCAATGGCAAATTCAGATTTTGGAACCCTCTTACGAACAAGATCAATGCTCATTCGCTTCAGTGTATCTTCCGAGATGTATCTGAAATAGTCTTTGACAAATGGCCCAAACTTGTCGCTTTTCATTTCTTGAACCGAATTAGCTTGAGGCGACTGTTTGTCATACAGGTGTGTATTTACCAGACGTGATCCACATTAATAATTCGAGAGAAGGAATTTCGTCTCCACTGCTGGTATTGTCGTCACTGGGTTCCTGTAGTTGCCCTTCGAAACTGTCTGATAGTTGAGCGGCATGACGCAACGCGGATTCCAAGATCTCACGCCGGTTAATGGCAAGGCCTGGCAGATGATCTAGCTGAAATTGAATAGCGAATTTTGCATCAAGAAGTGGAAGCGGAGAAACGAATGACGGGATTGTTCGAGAGAATTGCGCCGCGTCTAATTCCAAGGACGGATTATACGAGATGGCATTTCGCAATTCTTGCCTTTCGAATGATGCTTTCTGGGCTTCGTGCTGAAGCTCTGGGGTATTTTGGTTGGGACTCCACGGTAATTGGCCCCGGCCTCTGATCACCTCGAGGCGAGAGTTTAATTTTTTTCTGCTTCTTTCCTTCCGCTGCCGAGTACATGCAACATCGGCATCTTGACAATTACCGCATGGATCGCATCGGTCGCAACGCACCTGCATAATTGATCAATAGGGCGACAGAGTGTTCTCTTGATCTTTGTTCATACTTTTCGAGAATGGCACAGGTCACACTGTTCAAGGATTAGCAGCTGAATTAGAAGGAAATTCGAAGGAATACTTACAACCGGGAGCATTGCGAATGTATTAGCGACAATCTTTTTTTGTGCATTCCTATTGAGGAGAAAATCTCTGGGCTTATTTATAGACTTGCAAGAAAAATCATTCATTTATTCATAGAAACCCTTGCCAAGAGTTCTCGGCATCGCCAGTCTGCCAGGAACGAAGCACCGCCTCCAAATTTAAACTTCACTAGGCCGCAAGATTTAGGGAAGAGGAACTTGAATTATAAATGTCACAGCGAACGAGGTCAGAGCAAAGGATCCATATAATATACATTACTCCTGGAAATAGCATGGTATTCTACATGCTAAACAACATGATTTTTAGATGCATCGAGTGGCGTGGGGAACCGCGATCCGCCCAGCCTCAAAAATTCTAACCCTACCTGCGCCGACGTTGTTCACCGTCTTCTAAAACAACACAGAACTCCAGTTTTTGCCAAAAACCAGAGAGCACCAAGAAAGCGGAAAATAGAGAGACCAGAGGTTGCCCATAGAATGACCTTGAAATACATTGCCGTGCGAGGCGTCGATGTTGTCTGCTTCAGTTAGCAGTGATACTAGAAGAGACAATCATATGCACATACAGTAAAACAAAGCCGATCCAAGTCGGCGTTGTTGATACAAAATGCCAGAAGGCCGTTGCTGAATGTCCACAACAGCACCAAATTAGTTCGGAAAGCTTTGTATGAATCATCCAAACTGGTCTCCTCTTTCTCAATAGGTGGTCGATACGGTGTCAAGGCTCGTTTCACCGTTTGCTCAAATTGTGTATCAATGTCAACCTGGGCCTTATCTAGCTCCTCGACAAATGTTTGTTGAGCATCTGTTTTGGTGTGCGCTGACGGTAGCGCCTCGGCTTTGTCCGAACCTTTAGTACCCCATGAAACATCGTGCCAGTTGCAAAATGCGTACACCATAAGAACATTGATTGACGAAGGCATTCCCAGAATATATGCCCAGGATGAGGTAAACATATGCCACGGGTCCAAGTAGAGAAAGCTGGCCAGGAAGTAGATGCCGTACGTGGAGACTAGAGCGACTAGAACAATTCCGCCTGTGGACCCGATGAAAGAGCCGAGGAATGTTCCGAAACCGTGATGCACGTCAAAGGTTAAGTTGTTTCCTGTCAGTGCCTGTGCCACAAGGTAGAAGGTCAAGACCAGAATATAAGCTTGAACAAATGAGAAGTAGCTGAAAGAGAGTGTGTATAGCCTCTTGGTCCTGGTGATTTCTACGTCAGTCCTGGCCAGCATGCTTTGTTCCTGTTGCTTGTGGAATTCAAAACATACCCTTTTGGTCGATTACCGAGAGCCAAGATGAACTGGAGCAAGAGTGTTGCTAGATAGCCGATCTTGAGGAAGTTGTTCACGATCGGAGATGCTTCCTTCCCGAATGGCCAGCTCTTATAGTGATTAACAGAGCTCGGAACTCCCACAATATCCATGATGACGGATGTGGTGAGCCAGTATGATGCTAAGCTCTTGACGTTAGGCCCATGGAAACTAAGGGTTCAAATTGGAATATCACTTACCTAGAGAGAACCATGTCATGACAAGCTGGGCGATATTATACACCAGCTGGACATGGAAAACAAAGAGACGAATCCAATTATGGCCACTGGCATAGATCCTGCCAAAGTGCATTGTAGCGTAAAGACTCGCGGCGAAAGAACCATTTAACCAGCGTCGTCTCTGGCTAAGAAACTCTGCCGGGCCTTCGGGCACGTCAGTCTCTCCTTTGGATGCCTTCACATAGGTCAAGCGCCATTGGCACCCGGCCTTTGCGACTAGCTCAAAGCACAGAATTCGATCCTCCGCTAAGAACATATTCTTCTTGAAGATATTCATCCCCTCAATGCCTTTCTTGCCGAGCCTTGCAGAAAGTGTGTGATCGCCATGGAAGTATTGCTCCAGAGGCTTACCGACGATAGCTCTATACCGATAAGCAGAAAATGCTCCTGGAAGAACGCTCACGTAGCCGAAGCTACTCTCGAGTGGTTTATCGAGAATGTTAGAGATCTTATACTCGAAATTCTGCGCAGCGACCACAGGATTCAACACATTTCGCCAACCACGACCTAGAAGTGCATGGATTTCGCCACACGCACCACCAAGGTGTTTATCGTTGTAAAAGGCTTGCCATAAAGCAAGGAGAGACTTATGCCCTGGCTTAGTACCCGCATCAATCAGGATGCACACCTCGGGATTGAGGATCCTTCCAAACGCATTAAACAGCCAGCGGTGGGAGTTGATCTTTTTGCTATTATTTTGCTTGAGGCAAAAGATCATTTGAACAGGGCATAGATTAGTGATTTCATCGCCGGATGGTCGAATCAATTGCTGTGTTGGTGTGACCGATAGTTGAGTCGTATACTCGAACTGCTGGTTGTTAGAGTTGATTAATGTAGGAAGGAAGGGGGGGGGTTTACAATATGAGCCACCGTGGCTCTGCCATCAACGTCTTTTTTCATCACACCATCTTGGAAGATTCCAACCGTCGCAAGAAGATCAAGTGTCTCCTTGTCGCATGGCTTGATTCCATCGAATATGAGACAGACAACAATCTTTTGCCACGCCGGACCTCCTTTGTGCCAGAATCGGGTCTTCTTCAAGTTGACGATATCTCGGATATTTTGCATAACGCTATGCAAGGTTCTGGCGGTGAGGACTTTATCCTCATTGTAATAGGTGATCGCGATCATCATTTCGGTGTGTCTATTATACATAGAAGGGCGAAGGTTGTATCCATTTTGCAAAGTGAACTCGTCGGGGTCGCAAGTGGCCGCTGTATCTATTTAAAGTAAGCTCATTGTTATTAAAAGAAACGCAATACATGGGGCTCACATCTCATATGAGTAAATTCTTCAGGGGAATCGCCCTCTAGGTCACGGTATTTTGGCTGGACGGCATTCCGTATCGCGCTTGGAACCGGATGGTCAACGCTTAAGACCGTGCCTTTAACTAATTGAATTCGACGAGTCGGATTTCTGCGTAAGGAATTCGAGGTTGCCTTTTGACGTTGTTCCCAGCGTTTTGAAGGCGTGGAGCCAGCGTCACTAATGCCCTGTTCCCATGGTGGGTCTGCTTGTTCCGAGTAGGAGTCGGATGCTGGATCGATAGGATTTGTAGGATGTGGTGAAGGTAATAAAGTATGGGATAAGGTAATCGGGGGCTCAAGTCTTCCATGCGGGATTGCCGACGGATTTGAGGGAAGTAGAGGCTGTCGGGCATAAAACGGGTCGTCGACGGCAGGGTTTTGCTAGCTCAGAAGGTTAGCTAAAATGATTGGAAGGTTGAAAATCAGTGCTAACAGTTAGAGGCTCGTGGGTTTCCATTGTTTGACCGTAGTTAGGTGGGCCGTGAGGTCGGTGAGTCGGGCTCCATGCTGGATTCATTGCGTGCACGAGGCATGAAAACAGAGGGGACGTAATTGAGAAAAGAAGGAGAAAAAGATTTCGGAAGCGAAAAACGGGATTCAGCAGCAGAAGTTGGTTCATTTGGCGATCAGCCGGCCATAGGATAGCTTCAGAAGCCATTTGTTGGACTTAATTACAATAGGGTACATGACTGCAGTTACTCAACAGTGGGTCGGATGATGAATATGAGCCAATCTGCGTTCCAGGAATGCCCGGCTATTTTAAACCGGCGGGTCTACCGTTGAAAAAGGGTCTAGGTTGGTGTTGCCAAGGCGAGATCTTCGGAGCTAGGTAACGTGGGATTCACGTCTGAGTTGTTAATTCTTGTACAATACTCGTGAAACCCAGGCAAGTGAGACACCACTGGCTCTGTTATATTTTTGGTCGGCGCCTTAATTGGTAGGAACGTGCGACTACTGTAATCTAATTCCATAACGCCAAGTCGATCCTCAGATTCATTATTTCTGGACTCTTCGCCGCATGGCTTCATCTGGTCTGTTATCTGTGAATTTCATTAAGATCTCTCTTATCCCTCTATCTCGATGTTAGCCACTGTAGCCACGCTTTTGGCGGGCAAATCGATGCAAGTCCAAGTCCACCTGGATCGTGACGACCCTATCTACACAAACCAGGATTCAGTATCTGGAGAAATCACCATTGAGGCCAACTCTTCCATAAATCTGTCGACTGTGTCTGTTTCCTTGGTTGCGATCGCCGTGTCCAGGTCTGGCAGAAGCTCTGAAACTCACCAGGTATGATGTCGCACCGCAATTACCAAAGCTCTTATTTTTCTTAATAGTCTATAGTTGTTTGAAAATACCAAGCAGATCTTCCCTCCATCTATTCTCGACAGCGTGTCAGGATATTCGGGCGTGCCCATTTGTAAAGGAAGACATGTGTTTCCTTTTTCCATCTTGGTGTGTTTCAGGAAACAATTCGACCACTTTTACGGCCTGAGATATTAATATGCTTCCATGGGTCAGCCCCCACAGGCTACCGAGTGCTCTAAGTCAGGAATCAATATAAGGAGGCCGGTGATACCTATTGTCAAGACTCAAGGTCGACAGAAACGTGAGGGTCACCTGCTTCGGCAACTTCCCCCATCGTGCGGAGAAGTCGGTTCTGCCGCGGAAATAAAATATCTTCTGGAAGCAACGATTACTGGAAAAGGAATTCCTAAAAAATTTCGAAAACTGGTTGAGTCTCCCAATTGTACTTCTATTGCCGTTCCGAGGAATCCAAGCCCTCTCTGCAAAGCATGAGAAGGACAAATCACTAACCGAAGGCTGAAATCAGGCGCGCATGATACTATTTTACCCGGTGTCGGAATATTCACCCGTAAAATACCCTTCTTTGAAACGACAGTGTATTCCTATCTCATCGAAGAGTTCAGACTCGCAAGAAAAGCTATCATGGCTAGTCGATATGGAGCTTCTCAAGGGACCCTATCTGGTCTTGGGCCAGTCCATTCCGCTGCGTGTGAAGATGACGAAAGAGGGTGGTCATGATCGTGATATTTTACTCAACGATTTCCAAAGTATGCTTATTGAAACCACCCAAATACGAGCACACGGCGCGGTCGAGAGCTTTGATCGTTTCTGGATCGTGCAAACCATTGCAAATATGAAACGGAAGATCTGCGCCGAAAATATAGCAGATGGAGAAGTGTTTTATTTGCCAGAGGGTATTTGGAATTCTTATGCTCTGCATCTGGGGATTACTTCAAGTTTTGAGGTATGCAACATCAAGCGCATCTACGAGCTTGAGGTTCGCCTTGGTTTCCAAATTGGAGAGTCAAATGTGGGTCAATCTGATAACTTATAGCCTTATGATTTTCGTCCCTGCTCATAACTAACATTTGCTATGATCTTAGCCCCGAATAATCATCCAGGAATTCCATTTCCCTGTTCACGTTGCATCATCAAATTCTTCATTGCCTTGTTTCATGGGAAATTCTATTCCTTTAAACATGTTGCTTTGACAAGCAATACCGAATAAAGAGGACAACACAAAAGCTGAAGATGCCAAAGAAGCTTGGATAGAGATAGCTTGAATCACGGAGCTATTAGTCAATGATTCAAATAGATCATAGCGATTGTATAGTTAGCGGGGTACTCGAGAAGAACATGTATATGTGTTTTCATTCTGGTACTGGAGAGAGAGAGAGAGAGAGAGAGAGAGAGAGGGTTTTGTCTTGGTGAGGAACCCTGCAGCAGAAAGGATGAAGAGCTAATTACGGGAATTGAATAGCAATACAACATTCCAATTGAAATTTGACCCATCATTATCGAAATACAAGGACACTAATGACTGCGGCGACCGTTTTGAACAAAGATTATAGATCTTTTATTTAGCTCTCTTTGAAGGATAAGAAAGAAGAGGAAGCTGTAGATTGCACGAGTAAATCTTCTTGCTTTTGTGATTGGTTTTTTGAGCTCTCGGCAAAATTTGATATACGAGTTCTCCGAGTTGGGGTTAAGGGTGGGGGCCGTGGGGGCTAACACAGGCTGTGGCGGGGGTCGATCTTACACTATTCAGCACAGCCTCTGTGCAGCCTTATCCGTTTCTGCAGATCTCATGCCTCGTCCTTCTTTGATTAGCCAAAACTTTTACTTTTCACATCATCTCAAACAGTCTTTCAATCTGTTCACGCCTAAATTCTTTGATTACTTACAGACCCTCACCATGGGAAGAGAGGACTTCATCCGACAAATCGAAAACTCCATTGAGTTCGATTTTCTCGACAAAGTAGTCAAGGAAGAAGTCACGGTGCAAGATGCAATCCAGAAGCTCATCGATATGACCATGAGTGCACTGTCCGTTCATGGTCCTAAAGAACAAGGCGGGATCGGCCTCCCAGACTACAATGTCTCTCTTGCGATAATGGAGCTTGTTCAACGTCTAGAACCATCCAAACACACCAAGCTTGTCGAGTTTACAATTCATCTCCAAAAGCAAGTTGTTATTGATCCAGCGACAAACGAATCCCTGAAGGTCCAGCGCGATACCCTCTGGAAAGAGATGCCATCGTTTGGCTACACGGAGCTTGAGACGTGGTACGAGTGTGGTGGTGATCATGAAGGTGATTCATCCTCTAATTCAATTCATCAAGAAGCTAACGGTATGTAGATCCAAGTGATGCAAAGCTAGACTCTAAGCAAAGAGATCGCTGGGTGAAGCTCAACGCTTTCCTCGCGCAGCTCACTCAGGCTGCAGACATTCGCTATCCATCTCCCGAGGAGGAAGTGCTATTCTTTCCCCTAGACAAATCACTACGGGCCATTTGGACTATGGCGATGGCACTTGAGAATGAGCGCTCTCCTGCATTGCTGGGAGACACGGCGGCGATGGAGGCCGCTTGCCAGTGGTTCATCTACGCTGCGGGCCGGCTGTGGGCAAATGTGCTCAATAGTCGCACATACCCTGAGGTGTCGGGCGCTGGTTCAGGCGATAGGTATAAAGAAAAGAACTGGACGGGCTACAATCGGGAAAGATGGGGAATCTGGGAGGATGGGCTGAAGGAGGCTAAGGCCAATTGCGAAAATGAGCGGATGTGGAAGTTGATTGATGATGCTTTGGCAAGTCTGGGAATGGTAACGGTAATTCAATAGTGCCCACAGGCCCATTTTCCTCCGATGGGCATGCATTATATATGCTCTGGGTAATTATTTGTGTAAAAATTATAATGAACTTTGCACATCTTACCAAATCGTCCACCCCAGGAACCGAATTAAATCACTGGCATAAATTATCTCTCTGATGGGTGAATACCTCTAGGTACATAAAGCTCTTCCAAGTAGCGAACTTCCTCTTCAGAGAGCCGCACACTGATAGCAGAAACCGCTTCATCTATGCGACTCCGACTATTCAGACCAAGGATGGGATTTTCGTTTGGATGACTCAAGCACCAAGCAATTGCAACCTGTACCATTGTGAGGCCTTTTTGCTTGGCAATTTCTTCAACCCTTCCAATGATTGCCTCATCAGCTGCTGACTCCCGATCTCTGATGATGCTTTTAAGGCTGCCATCGGTGGCCTCTCGGATGCTTGAGCGAGAACTCCAAGGCCTGGCAAGCACACCACGAGCGATGGGAGACCATGGAATCAATCCAACCCCTGTGTCTAGGCAATAGGGTATCATCTCACGTTCTTCTTCACGGGCGATTAAGTTATGGAGATTTTGCATAGAAATGAACTGGTGCCATCCGTTCTGTGCAGCTATATTCTGTAATGTCTGGAACTCCCATGCTGCCATCTGAAGGCAAAGGATAACATTAGTTCACATCGGAGGGCATATCCTGAAGAAGGGGTTACTAACAGAGCTAGCACCGATATACCGGACTTTCCCACTATCCACAACGTCATTAAGGGCCTTCATTATTTCCTTCCGTGGTGTTTCACGATCCAAACGATGTATCTGCAGCACATCTATGTGAGTTCTTAGTCGCCTGACACTTGCTTCCACTGCGTCAAAAATGTGCTTTCGCGACAGCCCGACGCGGTTCACCCATTCCTTTCCATCATTGTAAATAGTAGCTCGGTTTGGAGGTTGTCCACCTTGATCATCTACGCCAAAGTAGCACTTTGTCATGATAACAACGCGGTCACGAGGGATTTTCTTCTCCTCAAGAAATTTTCCGATGATCTCTTCCGATCTGCCGTGAGAATAGATGTCCGCCTGTCTCAAGATAGTATTAGCAATACTTGATGCTAGGATATGCTGATTGACAGTAATCTGGCTCTTAGCCGACTCCGAGGTACATACCGTATCCCAGGTGTTAATGCCTTTGTCATAGGCATATTCGAGAAGGGGGAAGGCGTCTTTCTCATTGAGAACCCATCCCTGCCAGTCGCTACTGCCAAAAGACATTGTTCCGAGAATTATTTTGGAAATTTTGAGCCCAGAAGTCCCTAGCCTAATGTCCAGTTTTCGAGATGTGAGTGACTCGTGATGATACTTGAGTCAAGAGAGAGTCTGTGAAAATACCGGACATATTCCATCTTGGATTCATCGGCCATCTTTTGTTCTTTTTTTAGGAACTGCACTTGGATGTTCGAATTAAAGCTGAGTGTAAAATAAACAAAGCTACTGGAAACCGGATTCCAAGATAAAAGGTAAAAGGCTTACCATATTATATTGATGGCCTTGAACCCAAGATCTGCGGAGATAGGGGACAGCCGGCGTTAAAGGCCGCCTATGTAAGGGATGTTGCGCGAAGCGAAGTGGGGCGTATGTATTGGTGAACCGAGAAAGGGCCTCGGATGGTGAATGTATATTTCCATCGTTTGTAATGATGAAATTCTACATATCGTGAATAGCTTGCCCTCATTGGCTGTCCTTTGGGACTTACAAGCATACAGTAATATACCGTAACATAAATTTACTGTTATTATGGTGCTATCGTGGTCCTGCCAAGTTCAAGGCATAAAAAAGGGGATTTCCCTCTTCCACCTAAGGAGCCTGAAAATTTTTTGACGTTCGTTCAAATTTCAAGGCATAATGCCTGATAGAAAACATATACTCATAACTGGTGCCAACCGAGGTGACTTCCTATCCTTCAAATTAATAAAACATTACCATTTCAAAAATTCCTAATCACAATCACGCTACTAGGAATCGGCAAATGTCTCCTTTCCACATATCTATCAAGGACGAATCACTCAGTTATTGCTGCTCTTCGGGATCCAGCCTCATCATCATCAAAAGAACTTCAGAGTCTTCCTCGTGGCCGAGACAGCGAGCTCATCTTGGTAAAGCTTGACAGCGCTAAAGAAGCCGATGCAACTGTGGCAGTGCAATATTTGCTTTCAAAGCACAATATTCAGAAACTAGACGTGGTAGTTGCAAATGCAGGGATCTCCGCGTATTTTGGAAAGGCTACTGTTACCCCGGCTAAGGAGATGTATGAGCACTTCAAGATCAATACTGTTGCTCCATTACTTTTGTTCCAAGCAACAGCATCTCTGCTGAACAGTGCTGAGACTCCTCGATTTATCGTCATATCATCCAGTGCCGGAAGCCTAAGCGGGGTAAAAAACTTGCCCGTGGAAAACACTGCTTATGGCACATCGAAAGCTGGCGTTAACTTCGTCACAAGAAGAATTCATTATGAGAATCCTGCCTTGATTGCTTTCTCTATCAATCCTGGATGGCTTCAGACAGATGTGAGTCACTCTTATTATCATCGCATTCCATAATCTAACTTTCATAGCTGGGCAACCATGCAGCAAGAGGCATTGGAATGGCTGCAGCCCCTGTACCAGTTAATGTTGGCGTCAACGGCATTATTGAGCAGATTGATAATTCGACAAGAGATAGAGATTCTGGGAAGTTTTTGAATTACGATGGTAGCGAGATTGATTGGTAAAAGACAGACCGAAGGAAAAAGCCAGAAGTGAAGCACAGGTAACATTTTAAACTCGATGCATTGCGTGCAAGTGGTTATTCTATACAGCGTGCATGGACATCTTGAAGCCTTTCCTTCTTGATTGAGTCCACTATATGACAGGCCCATCATCTATAACGTATCATTCTCAATATAATATAACCTCGAGTCTCGGAGAGCATTCACACGTACCTGGCAGAATAAATCGATTGTAGGCTTCTCATCGGAGGTTTTAATTATTTACCTCAACTTGGGAACCAAAAAGAAACACCGGCTGCTTATTGCTGAAATTGGGAACATCGCTCATGATCTCAGCCACCTCGGGACTCTGGAAGGCTTGCTCAACCCCCTTTTTGCTTTCCCAAATCACAACACTTCCGAAGGTGTAAAGTGGGTTTGTACCATCTGGACCGGGGCCAAAGTCGGTAACGGACCAGCTCTGCACGCCGTACTGCTTCCAGTGTCGCTCGATGAGCGGCATGTGATGGTCGACATAGTACTTTTTGTCATAGTTGGCATCTTGCTCGTTAGGAAAGAGGACAGTGATCGTATAAGCCATGGTGCTCAGAATGCTGTTCAGAGAGAGAGAGTTTGAAAAACTTTGTCACGGAGCTAGGTGGTGAAGAATGGAGTGGCTTTGCAACATCAAGTCTGAAATCTCTGTCCTTATATATCTCAAATTGCGGTCGTTAGATTACTATTCATTTGAAGTATTGGCCTTTTTGCCAGAATCTTCCCAGAGACAGGCTTATCAACCATCTAGGGATTTATGTTCCTAAGTCCGAACTGAGTGGGGAAAAGCCGGTAAGCAATTCTGATTGATGGAATTCATACCCATGTGAGGATCTCAGATCTTGTAGCTTGCCTATTACAACTGAGCAGCAGCATTCTTTGAACCGGATTTATCCGTATTCCCCTTATATCTGCTACCCATAAATCCGCAACTCTCAATAGTTCTTGGCGCTTACGGGGCCCTGGTCTGGATTTAGGATTTACTGAGCTCTCAAATTTTTTTCAAGTATAAGAATGAGTCCCTGACACTCGAAAGTTGAATTTGAACACTCAGTTACCTTTATATTCACTATCTTACTTACTTTCCTCTCTAAAGATCTTATTGAGAATGACTGCAAAACCGAACTTCCTCTTCGTTCTCTCGTCTCAGGCAATTTTGCCAAGTCGAGGGACTCCTACTGGATGGTATCTTCCTGAGCTTGTTCATCCTTACAAAAAGCTTGCGCCGCATTTCAACATTGTGGTGGCCTCTCCTAACGGGGGTGAGGCTCCACTTGATCCCTATTCCATTGAAGCCACCAAAGACGACGTTGATTGCCAGGACTTTTTGAAAGAATATTCGGCCGTCTGGAAGACAACGAAGAAGCTGTCTTCATTCCTTGGCAAATCATCAGAGTTCGCCGGTATTTTTTATGTTGGCGGTCATGGCCGTGCGTTCACCCTCCCACCTTGAAAGTCTATCGAGACAAGATAGTTCTGACACATAAGATATAGCCATGTTTGATCTCGCAACCAACGAGATCTCTCAATCACTGATCCGAGAATTCTACGAGTCTTCCAAAGTTGTCTCGGCAGTTTGCCATGGTCCGGCTGCCCTTGTCAATGTGAAATTGACGGATGGCACATACCTTGTTTCGAATCAAGTAGTCACTGGTCTTTCCAATGATGAGGAAGAATTCATGCAATTCACCAAAGACATGCCATTCTTGTTGGAATCGGAGCTGCGAAGCCGTGGGGCAACCTATGAGAGCGCCGATGGCTTATTTGGTGCCAAGGTGGTCATCAGTGGAAATGAAGGAAATTTGGTCACTGGACAAAACCCCTCAAGTGCGGCGATTATTGGCGAAACATTGCTGAAGATCGTGGCGTAATATCCGATCAAGACAGATTTTGCTCACTAGAGAATTGAAATTGAAAAACACTTTTGCAACGGCGATTAATATATCATGTAATGTTGGCAATGTCGTAAACCACGCACAGCGAATATTGTCTCTGCCACCTCTTATCTTCCTCCCTTGTGCAGCCCACTGATTATACTCGATAGCTTCATCCGTAGTCTTCATGATTTTCTTCTCTCGTCTCTCGTTCCTGTCCATTCGACGATCAATAGCACAACATGTAAGCGGGCTAGAAGATTTGAATCCCATATAAAACGCATATCTTATATCTCAACCATTTCAAATTGTTTCTATCTGAGACTTTGACAGAGGGATTCTGATGATACTCTAAGCTGGTTCCATGACTTTAGAGTAAGATGATGACGATTGAACCCATTTCCTTAACATCTTGCAAAGAGTACCTACCTGATCACCTGCGGTATCTTTAATCTATATAAAGCTCCTCATAACTCATGGCTGGAAAGATATAAGTTGTATTCTGTCGCATTTACCATTTCCGAACCCGGATGGCGAGCTACTTGTAAAATACGTTCTTACTTTACGAAGTCGGTACTATCCGGAAATAAGCGCGGATGTTTTACATATGGGTCTGAGGTGGGGCTAATCGTAAATGCCTCAACCAATAAAACCCAAGACGTAAGCAGACGAGACTCTATTTGACCAATGAAATTCTGAGGGTAAGCAGAATGATCCCCACTGGACCAATGATACTCCAGGTGTAAGCAGATTGCATGAACCGAACGTCATCTGGGCAGGAAACTTTCTTTAATCGCCATCTGCTTCTTTACTAATTTCAACCTCTCGTCCCCTAAACTCCGACAATCGCTGTTTTCATGTCATGAATCGCTATGTCATCAAGCAATACAGTCTCAAAGCCCCCAATCAAGCTACGGCGCATGCCGCAACAGTCAGCAGTTTACGATCCCGATGAAGATTGGACGGGTGTAACCAGCTCGGCGTTACGGCGGAGAATACAAAATCGCCTCAACCAGAGAGCCTATCGTCAGTCTTTCGCCCAAAATATGGCCCAATAACTCGCTTACTGATATAATGGTCTTACTCTGATATAGGGGCGCGTCGAGTGGAGCGTGCTCAAATTGGAAAGCAGATGAACAATTCGCCACAAAGACATGGTACTGAAGATACTACTACTTCTACACTTATACATAATCATCCAAGCTCACAAACAACCGCCATAATATGTACATTGTCTGACGCGCAGCATGTGCACTGTACATTTGCTCCTCCGAATGTGCATTCACTTATGACCGATCTCGAAAAAAGAGCCCTAGAGGGTTATCTAAGTGGATCACCAAAGACAGATCTCCTTATCAGTCTGAGCAGGCTTAATGTCCTGAAAGCAGCCTATGAAAATGTCCTTGCTATGGGGATGACCGCTGAGTGGCTGTGCGGAGACGAAATAACTTCCATATTCAGCCTGCAAGGCCCCCAATTTTCTGAAGACAAAATTCCTATCAGCCTGCGCCCAACCGCGTTGCAGCGATCAACTCCACACCATCCATGGCTCGATGTTTTTCCATTCCCGCGAATGCGTGATAATTTGATTCGTGCAGGAGATCATCTTAACGATGATGAGTTGTGTCATGATCTCACGGCCTTTTGGGACACGCGCACTAGCCATGCGAGATTACTAGTGTGGGGAACGCCATCTTGTCCGGAAAATTGGGAAGTTACCGAAGACTTTGCTAAAAAATGGGGTTTCTTTCTGCAGGGTTGTCCTGCTATTCTTGCTTCTACCAATGCTTGGAGGGTACGACGAGGTGAAAGACCCTTGGTTTGGAAGAGAATATTTGGCATATTTTGAGGATTCGTCGATATAGACTCCATCTTGCTGCCTTTCTTAAGCGAAATTCAACTATATAAAAAAGGGAAGCACCTTCTCACGGCTTTTTTCTTTCTTTAATGAAAATGAAAATGAAAATGAACAACATCATTCAACCGTAAGGATTCGACGTGTAGTACATACTCATATTTTTCAGGCGCAAGATGACGGTGATGTATTTGAATGCACCCAAGTCATTTCGATCATATTAATTCATTACATCGTATTGGGTGCAGTGGAATGGCAATTTATTGGCCTTACAGGCTTACTAACTACAGAATTCTATTTCAAATAAGAGTTGAGTCTCCAGCTCTTGTTGGGCCACTGATTACCTCCCAGATTCCTATCCAAATCTATTTCAAGGGCCCTTAACCCCTCTTGAGTCTTACTCCATCCTCTCGATGTGCATACACTGGCCGTGGTGCCCTGAACACCGATAAAAAGCTTATGTTTGGCTTGGACAAAAAAGTCCTGAAGCCATCGCCCTGTATCCCTGTGTAGGCAGTACGGAAAGCATCCCACAGGATTCAAAGCTTAAATTCCATGAAAGAATTCACATCGAAGTCGGTTATGTAGGTGCAAATCTCGAGTGTCTCTGTCAAGCCATATTCTGGTTCTGATAAAGACCTTTCCCCCAGAAGGATTGGAAAGAGTGCAGCTATGTGATAATTCCAAATAGCCACAGTTCTTGGCTAGTTTGCTTTCATTAAAATGCTTGCTCTTATAGCCTCGATTCCAGTATCGTATGGCGGTACTCGGAAGTTGGCAGAATTGGTAAAAGTGTTGTCTTTGATGGAACGTCATACCATCACAGGGGCATATGTCGAATTCACCAGCATACGCAAGAGAGCATTTCGCTATAGACCTTTGAGATTTAGTGAATATCAGGTCTTTTCCAAGGAGACTAGTCCCACCAAGTTGGCAGTCAGAGCCACAAGGCTTTTGGATAAGTTTCCACTTTGATTCCAGGGCCAGTCGCATGGAATGCGGATGTAGGCTCTGACATTGACAGCAGTATTTCCAGCGATTATTTTCGAGCCGACAGAGGAAATGTGATCTTGCTTGATCGGGTGTAGTAAGTTCAGATGTGGATAGCATTATTCCTTGCTGCGTATATGCTTTCTTCCATGGTAGGAGCTGGGCCACAGTGGTTCCACGTTGTTTAACGTATAATTGAAACCATGCGAAGTAATATTTACAACTCAGTGAGAAGCAGATTTGGTCCATCGTTGGAAGAAGTTCGAGTATGAATTCCAGTAGTTTTGGTGGGATATTTTGGAACAACTTCGACTTCAATCGATGATCCGTACGAAAAGGTCGCAACAAGGCCGTGATGGCTGGCTTCCCGCTGGATGGAATCATAATAAGTTTGAAACCTCTTTCAAATTCCGGATACAACTATCGATCGGCAGTCAGGGGTATTTAGATTTGAAGTAGACGGAGCAAAAATACAATTAAAACTAGAAGCCGAGAACTTGATGATCGGAAAATGAATGATAGAGTTCAACCATTTAGTGCAATCTGTGCCATAGTAGGCTGCGGGACTAGAGCAAGGATAGTGTACTAAGCCTAATTTCGAGTGAAGGCTAAACCTATTGTGGCAGCGGATCTTTAACCAGCCCGACATTGAATCACATAAGCAGGTGTATGCAATCGAATGACGAGAACATAAGATGATTTTATGTAAATTAGAGGAAAGCTGGGGGAAGAATATGATGGGAGGGGCAAAGGAAATTGGAAAAGCACGTGCGGGTGGGCAACTAGTTAGTTCATTGACCGAATCATTTCACATACTAGCGCGTATTGAGATTCTCTCACCTGTACCCTGTTCCTCATGATTTATTACCGTATGTACTGGGGTCTGTAATGATAGATTATATCTAGTACCAGCGCAAGAGAGTTGGGTGCAAGTGGAGAGAAAGCCCAAATATGCAGAAAGTAAAGAGAGAGACTATTGTGACAACATGAGCTTTCATCCGCACAAGAGCAGATAAGAGGGTTGGATTTATTGATTCGGGTCCAATTCAGTGATATGCTATCAAGGTTCACTTTTCAATTCCAAAGTATTGAGCTACTTCGATCAGACCGGAGCCCCCAAGTCCTACCCAAAGATCAACAAACCCCTCTTCTCTAGCTCGTGCAATGTCTCGGCTATTCCAAGCTTCTTCAAAGTCTCTCTCGAGATAGACTGTCTGGAATCCACATTCTTTGGCGGCATACAAGTCCTCAAGATGAGCTGCGACGAGACAACATTGCGAATTCCTGAGCCCGAATCTGCGGGCAGCACCATGGTAGACCTCTGGCGACGGCTTGTAAGCACCGAAATGCTCTGCACTGGTAATGTGCTTGAAAGGCAAAGAATTTTGCTCTTGTAGGTCTTCGAGGAGTTTCACATTGCCATTGGATAATGTAGACGTCAAGAATTTAGTATTCAGCAACGAAAGGCCGGGCACACTGTCGGAGTGTGCATCTAATCGATGCCAAGCGAGTGTCAAATGTTTGAGATCATCCTCGTCAAATAAATCTTGGAGACGCAGTTTGGTGAGAATTCTTGACAAAGAAAGTTGGTTGTACTCATCTACTGAGACAAAGGGTTTCGATGGATCGTAAGTGTTTCCAAAGTCCATATATGAGCGATGCCACTCCTCGGCGATCTCCTGCCAGCTCGAAGTGGACATGTCAGAGACACGTGCTCGCACATCGGCGCTCAGATATTGAGCTTGATCTTGCAGAACCTTTTGTGCGGCGGCATTCAGTTCGTTCGCGATGCAACATCTCCATTCCACAATTGTCCCCAAAACATCGAAAAACATCATTGAAGGATGACCATCGAGCGACATCTTTGTCGAGCCTGCTTGAGAGATATCAAAGTATGAATGTTTCTGCGTAAACTGTGGGCTATACCAGGAATTACAATAAATCTCTCATCTGTCAGTGATAGAAAAACCATGACCTCAAAGATAGAATGACTTTACCGTTAGGAATTAGTGTAAGCCTTGACACGATAGCATCGCAATGAGACCAGGCGTTCTTAAATGTGAAACATCCATTCCTTTCATTAACCTCGGAACTTCATTGCTGGCGCATGTGATAATGAAAAGCAGCTGTCGCTCGTGCTGGGCTCTTTCCTAATAGCGCGTCAGTGGCCCACTAAGCTTCGGAGGTGCAAGTACAATGTACAGTTGAGGGTGTGGTCATAGTCCTCATCACTGGGCTAGAATGAATAGAGACCTATTTTGTCTGGTTCAGTGAGGAACTGATTTGATTTGAAAGGAAAATTATACCTGAATCTCGGTCTACCGCTGATCCAGACATTTCATGTATGGGTTGTTACCCCACTTTCCAAAGCTAAATTGTTTGGAATTCCCATTATAGTGATTATGTAGAAGTGCGCCAAGTACAGTATCATAGAGATTTCTTGTCCGATTTATCTTCTAATTCTTTTTTTTCTGAGTTGGCAGGACCTTTTGTTCACTTCCAAGGATCTATGATTCCTACTGAAGAAATCAACGAACAGGCCCGACTGGTTATAGGTCGGACAAAAATAGTCTGGAGATGAAACCAAAAGCTCCGACATTTTGTACTGTGCTATGTAAGCTCAAGTGATCTGTTAATTTAACTTCAATTAAAATTTTAAATTATCACCCGTTGGAGTTCATAATTTGAAATCTGAGGATTACTCAAGTCTTCTGACAGGCCGCCATTCTATAGATGAGTGGTAACTGTCCATGTCTGTAAACGTTTCAAATATGGATAAAAATCATAGCTTAAGTACAGTTCCTTCTACTCTCTATGTCCCGGTCGCTTACAGGGATATCTTTGTCCTCAGCCACTGCGGTTGATTCGTGGGTTCCTTATCTATCGGAAATTATACGGGAGCTCGGGGTTATCGGCTTTATCGCGTGCTTCCCCAACTTCTCCCCGTCACACATCCTCCGGTGACACAAAATCGACAATGGAGAAGGTAACACTGCAGAAGCACTATGAGGCTCTGAGCCAGGATCCAGAAAACCTGGAAATTCGGAAGTCAAAGTCATGTCGGAAGCGAGGCTGGGCTTTGCTGCTCTGCACTGTGCTTGCCGGTGGCTGGTTCCTCAACCCGCACTGTCACCATGTTCACCGTGTTCCTAGCATTGAGGAAAGAGTGCATAACATCTTGACTCAAACACCGCTGATTGGTATGGTTTGCTTTTCAATGTTGGGGCCATCTGGCTAATTTGGGCTGTAGATGGTCATGATGACTTCCCTATCTTTATCCGATCGGTCTTTCATAATCACATTCATGGTGCCAATTTTACGGACGCCTTTCTTAATGGCACACTTCCCGCCCATGTAGACCTGCCTCGTCTGAAGCGTGGTCATGTTGGTGGCACCTTTTGGAGTGTTTTTGTTCCCTGTCCTACCGATTGGACGGACTTTTCTGATGAAACATATGCGCCTAGTAGGTAAACAGATTGTACTTTAAGATCGCAGAATTAACAATAATATTAGGTATACGTCAAACTATGGAACAAGTTGACTTGATGTCTCGTGTTCAGCAGACTTTTCCCGAAGTCTTTTCAACTCCGCCGAATGGCACTACCGCTCTGAGCGCTTTCCAGGAGGGAAAGATTATTTCTCCCCTCGGTATAGAAGGGCTGCACTCAATCGGCAATTCTCTGTCGCATCTTCGCATTTTCTACGAACTGGGAGTCTCCTATGCAACGTTGACTCACAATTGCCACAATCGCTATGCCGACGCCGCGGTTGTTGAACTGTCAGGTGGTGGGGTGAAGAAGTCCGAACCGTTGTGGCACGGAGTCAGTCCGGCGGGCCAAAACGTGGTCTACGAAATGAACCGACTCGGTATGATTGTTGACCTGGCCCATGTGAGCGTGGATACCATGCGTGATGTGCTGGGTGCCGGCAAGACCGAGTGGACCGGAAGTCAGGCTCCGATCATCTTCAGCCATAGCTCGGCCTATGCGTTGTGCCCGCATCCGCGCAATGTACCCGATGATGTCCTTGAACTGGTGCGGCAGAAGAACTCGGTCGTCATGGTTAACTTTTCGCCTGATTTCATCTCCTGTGTGGATTCGGGCCGCGCCGATGGTATCCCGGGTGCTGATCCAGAGCACGCTACCCTCGAGCGCGTCGCGGATCATATCATGCACATCGGGACTATCGCGGGCTTCGACCATGTCGGCCTTGGAAGTGATTTTGACGGTATCCCGACAGTACCTCGGGGACTGGAAGATGTATCCAACTTCCCGGCTCTGATTGCGGAGCTCCTACGCCGAGGATTGAGTGATGAGGATGCTGCCAAGGTAGCCGGTGGCAATTTGTTACGTGTGTGGAGAGATGTTGACCAAGTAGCCCTCAAGATGCAGGCTGAAGGTGCGGCTCCCGTGGAAGATGACTCCCAGACGATCTAGGTGGAGGACGCCATGATAAATCTTGACCGACTGATTGATATAAATATATATTGTTCTTATTTTGGTATTCTCTTTAGTAAATCAAAAGCCCGGGCAAGATTAGGCCCAGCGAAGGGCGTAAACTTGAATGGGCCCGTGCCAGACTGCAAGGACGTCTGTACATCTTCCTCAGTCGCCCACACAAACGCATCATGCGCATCAACCTCTAACACAACAGGAATAGTATCCCGGTTTATGATCTGAGTTTCCCCAGATACTTCACGCACAGCTTCATGGACCTCGACAATGAACGAGTACTTAGCGATGCGAATGAATCGTCCATCCTCACGCCGCTTGTGAGTCCACCCATCAACACTCACGAGCTCAACAATTCGCGAAACATGCAGACCGGTCTCCTCGAGAACTTCACGCACGACACCATCTAGCAGAGTCCTGTCGTCTTCGGGCTCATGAGAACCCCCAGGTCCTTCCCAGCATCCAGGCATCGAGTCAGTCAGCGCTCGTTGAAGTAGAAGAGTCCGTGGTGGTGGGGCTGACTGCGAATCGGATTCAGTCGCGTTTGCATCTTGAAAGAAAATGAAGCCTCCGACGCCGAAGCTATCAAATTCTGGGCGACTTGCTGTAAATTCCGCCGAGGGCACATCAAAGTATGCTAGGTGGGGCGCGACTGTGTAGGGGAAAGCCATGGTTGAGTTCGGTTCCCAGGGGTAATGGTTAATGGTTAAGGGTTAAAGGTTGGGTTGGGTCGGTTCCTGCCCCGCTGATTGTTGACTTTTTACCTGTTTGGTATGACTCATCCGCCTCGTGTTGAAGAGAAAGCGTGAGCTACCAGAAGTTAATAAAGCAGATGCTCTAGAGTAAGGCTTGGACTCGGCGCTCAGAAAATTATTATTCTGCCTAGCTGTATACGAAAATCAAAGCGTTCTACACTTGTAGCTAACATTTGCAGAAGGCGATATAGGATCTGCAATCGACATGCGTTTCCGATATATAGTCGTGTTTTTGAGCTGGTATTCGTGAGGACCGCTTGGTGCTAGTTAATTTTGTTGTCCCGCGATCATTGTTGTATCGGTCGAATTGTCGACGCAACAAATTGAAACATTTTTTAGACCTATTCTGTGCATTATGTAAAAAGCAAACTCCCCAAATTATACTTTGCATCATTTCCGGTCTAAGATATAGATCCAGTGGAACACGTCAGGGGTATAAGCGGACGACGACACGGGGCCCGCAGGGGCTTTTAATGGTGTCCGGGATCGAAGAGTCCAGTATTGATCGAGAATGGAATTTCCCCCGAAACGGAAGGTTGAGTATGACATTACAATCCAAGTCGTGTGTTTCTGCGTCAATGGCACGAGATGTAGACCGAGTAATTCGACAGGGGACAGAGTGATTGAGGGCTGGGTGGCTAATAGCTCTCGAACAGCTGGGCAAAGTTGTTCATCCGTCGCCGCGAAATGCCGGTCGGTCGCGGTAGCGATGGCATCACTGGTACTTTTGTCGAGAATCACGTCGAAGGGGGCGAACGGCAAAAGGTCCGAAACATGGCTCCAAGATAGCAAGTCGGCCCGCTGCCAGTGCATCGCCTCTGCGGGAGATTTCTGGCTTTCATGTTCCTGTCCAAGACGGACAGCTTCTCCGGAGAAGTCGACATTCTGTGTCAAATCACTATGGTGAGTGGAAATGGGTTGTGAATACACGGTCTAGCTAATACTCACGACAATGCCATTGCCCTTCCAGTGGCGCTCCACACACGCGTCACGCAGTTTCAAGCCCAATTGGGAAACGCCTGGGCCCAGGTGCAGGACGCGTGGTTGTCTGACTGGTCGGCTTTCTAGATCAGACACCACGGCGTCGATTAGCGCCTCGCCAGAATTCAGCCACTCGCCCACATCCCGACCGGTCGCAAATCGGTCATCCCAAAACTCTGCGTTGTCATAATCTGGGGCCCCAGTAACCTTTTGCGCTTTACCCGTTGAGATTGCCATGCTCGAGGAAGAATGAAAAGTCTGCAAGTGATTTACTCCACGTGGTCATGTGACCAGTATTGGTCTATAGCATTGCACCTTCTCTCAACTAATTTAGAAAATAAATTGCCATTCGCAATCCCGGTCCCTTTTCTCATGTCCATGCTTAGTGTCAAACTCAACTACTCTATTCATTTCAAGGTATCCGTAATTGCACACGTGGACTTAAGCTCCACTGCCCAGAAGCTAAGTTAAGCACAATTATCTCTCCATATTAAGCTCCTTGCTGGGAAGCTTCTCAATGATCACGAGCTTTGAAGATCCATAATTCTTTCTAAGTCCCAATGTTTCCCAAATTTCATTTTCTGATCTATGCATTCAAATTGGATTCGACTTCCAGCGAGTTGGTCTAGCTTTGACAAGTCGGAAAGTTGGAACAACCTTGGAACACTGAGTTTTAGGAGCTCCATGCCCAGATTAAAGAAGCTATAGTACATTAACATAACGTGGAACATAAGCATCATGGCACAAATAACCTCCACGATTGGCCCACGAATCCTCTTAAATGATTGGTCGATAACATATAGGCTAATATATCTCCACTTGCTAATTAGGGGGCATCTTCACCAACCTTGAACCTTGGGAATTGATTAATGTAATCTTCCACGAATGGCCATGGGTTACATTGTGGATCCGCAACAGCGTCATCGGAATTTCTTCGGTAGATGCTTGACAGGAACAGTAGACTCGGGAAACTCGGCTCTATGACCGTCTGGGCCTAATTGAGCAAGGTGAGACGTGATGGGTCCGCCGAATGTCCATCATTGCTTGTTTCAGGGGGTCCATTAGCCACCAATGTCGAATTGAATGGCTCGGCCGTTAGAGATTGATGGGTCCCGCCAAAGCACCAGTTCTTCACCGAGCTAACATGGGTAGAATGATCCTCTTCAGCCCCTGGTTTCTGATGGAAATTGCCCCAACAAAGAAATTCCAGATGAATCCCAAAGGGGGAGTGGTAGGGTGGACACATCTTGCTGGAGCCCCGGCGGGATCTACCGAACGCATCGTGGACTATAAGTAGGGGTATATCTCGCTTCTGATCATGGTCAGTCTGATTATCATTCTCGACTACTTTCACTCTTTTTTGGTATTCTGTTGATCAGAGCCCACTCATTCTTTTGAAATTTCCTTGCCTCTACTCTCGCTATCAAGTTCTGTTGAACAGAACTATCCAACGATGCCTTCCTACATTTCGCACCTCATGTGCGCCGGCCTGGCTGCCAGCCTTGCCGTTGCCGCCCCCACCCCCTCGCGTGTTTCGGATGCGATCAAGAGATCCTCATCCTCTTGCACCTTCACCGATGCCGCCAGTGCCACGGAGAGCAAGACTGATTGCTCCACTATCGTCCTCAGCAACATTGAGGTCCCCGCTGGCGAGACTTTGGACCTGTCTGATCTGAACGATGGAACTGAGGTAAGATCGCTGCTAAAACACGCATTTTCCAACCAGCATACTGAATGCATATAGGTCATCTTCTCAGGCACCACCTCCTTCGGTTACGAGGAGTGGAGCGGTCCTTTGATCAGGATCTCCGGATCCAGCATCACCGTCACGGCCGAGGACGACGCCGTGATTGACGGAGACGGTTCTCGCTGGTGGGACGGCGAAGGTACCAACGGTGGCAAGACCAAGCCCAAGTTCTTCTATGCCCACTCCCTGGATGATTCGACTATCTCGGGTCTCTCCATCAAGAACACCCCCGTTCAGGCCATCAGTGTCCAGTCCGACAACCTTATCATCAAGGATGTTACCATCGACAACTCCGACGGCGACGACAACGGTGGCCACAACACCGACGGCTTCGATATCAGCGAGTCCACCTACATCACCATCACCGGCGCAGTGGTCAAGAACCAGGACGACTGCGTTGCTATCAACTCGGGTGAGAACATCTACTTCTCGGGCGGTACCTGCTCCGGTGGACACGGTCTGTCCATTGGATCCGTTGGTGGCCGCGACGATAACACCGTGAAGAACGTCACCTTCACTTCGTCCACCGTGAGCGACTCCGCGAACGGTGTCCGTATCAAGACTGTTTACGACGCGACTGGTACCGTCTCCGATATCACTTTCTCCGACATCACTCTCTCCGGTATCACCGACTACGGTATTGTGATCGAGCAGGACTACGAGAACGGCTCCCCGACCGGTGACCCAACCAACGGTATCACCATCTCCGACGTGACCGTTGATGGCATCACTGGCTCCGTCGAGAGTGACGCTGTCGAGGTGTACATCCTGTGTGGTGATGGTAGCTGCTCTGACTGGAGCTGGAGCGGCGTTGACATCACCGGTGGCAGCACTAGCGATGACTGTGAGAACGTGCCCTCGGGTGCCTCGTGTTAGAGTGCTGCATGGTACTTTTGCGTTTGACTTGGTGTAACTTGGTACATTTCCCGGGAATCTTGCCGGTGCATCAAGCTGCAGCTAATTCTAGACAGCCATGGTGCCAGGGCGTAGTCATCCTTCCCGGACCTCGGGAACACCCACCCGTTGGCATTGATAGCGGGAGCTTTGGACATTGCGATGCTTGTAAAATTTATATAGGCCATATAGATTCTATCGAACCACTTGTAATATAGACCATTTCTCTCCACCTCTGCAGATCTTAATACTATGTAGTTTCTTCCATATTTGTTTGAATTGATTTGATTTGGTTTTTGGTTTCACTATCTACTCTTTAGTGTATTTTTGCTTTTCCTCTTTCCGTTTTCCCCTTCCTGCATACAATTCACGGGAACGGCTCGGACGACCGCAGCAATCCGAGAATCCGTTAAACTTAGCTGCGCCGTGCCAGCTTGGCAAACAGCCACGTCCAACATTCGGTGAGAGTGGACCTCGGAACGGCGCGCATTGGCCAACAACATGGAAACGCACAACCCTCCCATTCGAGGAAAGCCCCATTAGACGTATCATGTAAAATTCTGGGAAAACAAAACTATTTGAATTATGCTCGAACGGACCAATGATGGCAAACAGATGTGCACTGCAGGAAACCCAGACGGGTACTAATGCAGGTGGCCCATGTCCTATTGGCTTGGAGAAGTTCTCCTTTGACATCGTTCAACAACTCAGCGTCACGGCTCAGTCCCACTGTGCCGTCAAGGACACGAACCTTCTTTTGTTTTTCTGGCTCGGATGCGGGACTCGCTTTCCGTGCAAAACACAAACCAACAAACACAAGCCTGCTGGAGTCGGTCTTGCCAATCAATTTCCCTGAAGGTGAAGTGGGGAGGCCGTAGCGGGGCGCGTCAAAAGCCAAAAACCACAAAAGCTGGGCACAAGTGGTCCCAATCTTTCCTTCTTTTCTTCGATTGGAATCCCCTTTTTTCACACCTGTTATTCCCGCAACTACTGATCTGACACCGTTTATTCTTGTTTTTTACCCCTTGCCATTTATACCATCTCTGCATTATGGCGGATGAGAGTCAGGAAATCTCAGTAGTAGGTTTTTTTATTTATTTGCTGCAGGTGCTGTGCTAACCGGGTTTAGGATCCGAGTCTGCACATTGCCGATGCGAGCTATCCTGATGACTGGCAATCGTAAGTGAGATGCATGATCTACAAGACCTCATTCTAAGTTTTGTCAGGGAGACTACCTCGATCGGTTCCTCGATCTACCGAGGTTTAATGGAAAATGGTCGTCGGTGAGTCGAACACGTTATAACAATGAACAAAACTAATTACAAGTAGCTATCAAACGCTGAGCAACAAAGAATATCTGTACGGGCTTTAACTGCAACAATGATAAACCATACCTTTTAACGTGATCACAGGATCCCTTCGGATGACCAGATGTTTGATTCTTATGAAGCTGGGTATGCCAATTCGTTCCGAATGGAACGTCGATCCCTGATACTAATGATCCTCAAGACATTTGGTCGCGCTCGTCTTGGAATCGGACCGAGAGAATCCTCTTTTTCGAGCACCTATCGGGAATAGGCCAGAGCACATCCTCGATCTAGGCACGGGAAAGGGTACCTGGGCTATGTGAGCACAAACAAGAACATGCCACGCTATGCGACCAACCAGAATGAGGCTGACCAAATTTTAGCGATGTCGCAGACATGTTTCCTGATGGTGAGATCTACCTCAACTCTAAACACTGATTATTTGAAGTCCTAACGAGTCCCAGCAACCGTTCGCGGCGTGGACCTGTTCCCACCCCCCGTAACCTGGATGCCGCCCAACTGCATTATCGAGGTAGACAACGCCCTGGAAGAGTGGACATGGCAGAACCCATTTGATTTAGTTCACCTACGAATTATGATCGGTTCATTCGATCCAGGCGAGTGGGACCGAGTCTACAAACGTATCTACGAGTAAGTACCATACTCCCGCATCACCATCAATACTTTTGCACCTTCTAACATCAACCCAGCAACCTACGCCCCGGAGGCTGGATAGAACAACTCGAGGCCTTCCCCTGCATTGACTGCGACGATGGCAGCATCCCCAAAGACAGCATCCTCCGAACCTGGGGCCCAAACATGTTGGCATGTGGCAAAGCCGCAGGCCGAGAATGCGACATCCTCGATACGATGGCAGGCTCGATCCGTAAAGCTGGATTTGTGGAAGTGCACGAGAAGGCCTACAAATGGCCTATCGGTGCATGGCCACGTGATCAAAGGTACAAAGAGGCTGGTGTCGTCAACTTTCAGCATTGGATGGATGGCATGGAAGGGTGGTGCATGTGGCTGCTTACTAAGTTTGGGACTCCTCACCCGTGGACAAAGGAGGAGGTTGTTGTTTATGTTGCGAAGATGCGGAGTGAACTTAAGAACCCGCGGTATCATGGGTATCAACGGGCGTAAGTTTCTATTATTCTGTGTGTGTGTGGCTGTTTGGATGGTACTAATGGGATATGCAGGCGACGTGTGTGGGCGCGGAAGCCTTATGAGGGTGAATGCTTGCCGACTCCTGACTCGATGCCTCATTCGTCAAAGCCGCCCGTGCCGGAGGCGTCGCAGCGAAGGCAGTAGCCTGTTTTCTGTGTCCTCCTGTTGATTGAAGCGGGTTTCTTACGCACCAAATGACCACGGCCTCGATGGATCGTCGCCACATTAATGTTCTCTTTGTGTAGCATGCCCATCTGACTGTACGTTTGGAGCTGCCCTGGATGGCGTTCCTTGACATTTTCGGGTTTGGAGGCAGTGTCATATTTGCTTTTTCTGCGTTTTCATGGCTTGAAAGAAATGATGAAGACCACTACTTAATGAAGGCACATACCATTGGGAATAGTTGCGCCAAGATCACTGGACATTTGGGAGGCTCTGCCCAAATCGTAGTTTAGGCCTTCGGGATTGACCCTAATGTTAGACAATAAACCCTGTTTTTGAAAGATAGAGTTTAAGCTTGACAAGCATCATCCTGTCTAGCCTTCCAGGGTTAGAAGTTTGGTCTTCATTGATTTTCTAGGCCGGTGATTGGTCCATCGCGAGGAATGCTCGGCCCTGACATCACCACGATCGCGTTGCATCGCGTCAAGATTTCAGGTCAAGCCGATTATCTCTTTAAATTGCGTGGCACTCTCAGCTTTGTCTGCAAAAGCCCAAGATTTTGCGTATTACACAGATCCCAACTTGCAATGTCGGAAGTAAGCAGAAAGAAGGTGGCTATCATCGGAGCTGGAGCCGCAGGCATGGTATGTGCTCAACACTGCATCAAATGAGCCAGACCTCTAAATCCATTACTAGTCATGCGCGGCAAAGCTAGCAAACCATCCAGACAAATTCAAGGTCACAATGTTTGACATTGACTCCCATACAGGCGGCCAGGCCACCTCAATCCCACTGGATGAATCCAAGCATGGAGCAAGCTGGTTGAATGACGGAGTCCAAGGCGGTTCAGCCATCTTCCGTCACACATTCCGCTTCTTCCGCCAATACGGATATGAACCTCAGCCAGTCCAGCTGCAAGTATCTTTTGGTAAAGGCCCAGACAACTTTTGGACAAACGTGTTTCCCAGCCCCCTTGTTGATCAGCATTCCCGAGAAATCAAGAAGCTGGGCCGGGTGCTGAAATGCATCAAATACATGATGCCGATTCTAGGTATTATGCCGGTCAAAGTGATTCTACGTTTGTTCGGATTCAGTCGCGATTTCAGCAATAAGATGGTGTTGCCGTTGCTGGCGTTGTTTCTTGGAACGGGAAATCAGACACCTAATGTTTCAAGTGTCCTTCTGGAGCGATTGTTTGATGATCCGCAGATGAAGTTGTGGGAGTATGATCCGGATACTTTATTGCCGAATCTACCGGTGATGTATACGTTTCCAAATCTGGGAGATTTCTACAAGGACTGGGCTTCGGATCTCCGATCAAAGGGGGTTGATATTAAGCTCAACTCTTCTGTGACGATTTTAGAGCGCAGTGCAAAAGCTGTAGTATTGGAAGTCCGAACAAAGACAAGTGATGATGGCGAGGAGTTGTCGGAACCGATGACGGCCACCTTCGACGAATTAGTTCTCTGTTGTCCTGCCGACGAAGCAAAGACACTTCTCGGCCAACAAGCCACATGGCGAGAAAAGTGGGTTCTGGGTGGTGTGAAATTCTTCAACGACATCACCATTACCCATTCGGATTCCGATTACTTTCAGAAAATCTTCGAGGCGCAATATGATCCAGCACTTTGTGCACAACCGACCACTAACGAACGAAAGAATCAGATTGCATTTGCCGAACAAAAGCCCGTCTGCCAGAAAGATGGTTGGCGAGGATATCGGCCAATGTATTATACGCATTCTTTTGCATCTGATCCAGACAAGATTGAGATGGGATTTGACTGCACGAACTACCAGCACCAGTTCCGTGATACCTTAGGTGCGGGTAATCCACCACGACCGCTGGATCAGCATGTCTTCCAGACTATTTTCTTGAATGACCAGCAAAAGGATATGTGGACGTGGAACGATATCGACACGACAAAAATTATTGGACGGAAGTGGTGGCATCAGTTTGGTCATCGGTGGCAGCATTATCTTCGTGTCGTCCCAGGGATGATGTTCATTAATGGCAAGAATCGAACTCATTATGCGGGCAGCTGGACTATGGTTGTAAGTATATTATGTCGGGCAATTTTTTACCTGAACTAACCCGAAAAATTAGAATATGCACGAGATTGCTTGCATCTCCGGAATCGCAGCTGCCCACCAACTAGGCGCAGCCTACGAGCCATTCGATGATTTCGCCGAAGATTTCTTCGGTAAATATCTACTGGTCTGCCATGGAACACGTTATAAAAAAGCGAAAGCAAAGCAAACTTGAATCTTGCTTTGGGTCATGTATAATATTCATAATATCTAGAGAACATATCGGAAGCTCTCAATCTCGTGGTCGGTTTTGTTGGAGAATTCATCCTGTAGTTCCTCTGCCTCAGTCAATTGTCTCGGGGATCCGTAAAGGCGATCGCGGCGGCGGTTTTCCCAGATATAGAACACGTAAAGGCAAATTAAGAAGAAGATTCCCAGAATCAAGCCAGACATAGCTGCTTTGATACCGGTCTAGATTTAAATTAGTAATGAGGATACAGAGGACAGGAGAATGATTCACTCACGGGGTACGAAGGCTTCTCAGCGGGAAGGAAGAACTGTGGCCCCACGATATTTCCGACACAGTATGCGATAAACATCAAGGCACTGACGGTACTCTTCTTTGTGAACCCAGCGACGTTTGAACTGATGAGACTTAGTGATAGGGGGATGTTGACTGCAAACACAGCTCCCAGAGATAACCCCGTCAGGCGACCGGTACGGTTATCATCATCTAGCTTCCAGATGAGAGCCATCCCAATAACTGAGACAGAACAGTTCAGTATCATCATGGGAATTCTAGAAGAGCGTACAAAGGTGGCAAATCCCGATGTAAGCAGCAGGAAGACGATCTGCGCAGCACCCGTGGGCATCTGCATAATCAAAGACTTGAGGTTGGAGAATCCAAAGCCTGCAATAATAATAGATGAAAAGCTGGTAATACCACCATTGCAGAGGTTGACACAAAGGGTATACAGCACAAGACACCAGGTCTGTGGATCCTTGATCGCCATGAGAACCTGGTTCCACCGGAACTTGCCCACATCCATGACACCAGTCTTGTTACTGAGTGTTCGCTGCAAAGCAATCGCCTTCTCAGTCTTATTGAAGAACACGACCTTGGCTGGGGAGTCTGGCAAGAAGACCGCAAGGATAATTCCGTAGGCAGCAGTGACAGCGCCTAGGATAAGGAATAGCAATTGCCAGCTATTGACATTGTTGTTCTTAATAAGGCCAATTCCGTATGCAATCAGACCACCAATAATGGATGCGATGCAGTTTCCAAGAAACCAAGCTGCCTGTCTAGCTGGCTGCTCTTCTCTCTTGTAGAACATTCCTGTGATTAAGGCAAAGCCAGGGGCGATCGATGCTTCACCGACTCCCAAGAAGAATCGTGCTGCCATCAGCCCGCTCCATGATTTGCAGGCTGCATGGCACATGAGAACTCCACCCCATATGAACACGGCTAAACTCAAGTATTTTCCGAGAGGGAGTCGTACGATTAGGTATGAGCTGGGCCAACTCCACACAAGATATCCGAAGTAGAAGACCGCGGACGACCAATTATATTCTGTGCCTTTGAGGTGCTGGATCAAGCCGTGTGTGATCAGCAATAATTCATTGCAAACAGCCCCAGCAAGGGGCTGGGGGGAAAGGGGTGAGTAAATACCAGGTCTTCTGTTAATCCAAATAATGTTGCCTGACTGAGGGCTAACTTGTCCATATATTGCAGCATGTAACAGAATCCCATGAGAGGGATGAGACTGGAAGGATGTTAGAAAACATTTTCTCGGGTAACTATGAGCAATTGGCTCTATTGATAAGGAAGAGCACAAGGGGTCCAATTGAGTTCATTCCACTGTTCGAGGCGTGTTGAATGGAATAGGGCAAGTGTTGTGATAAAGAATAGCTGCCGAAGTATAATCACATCATGAAAACTTACAAGAGGTCAAGTTTCCAAAGAACTTTTCTTTCCATCTGTGGTGTAGAATGTGTTTCCAGAACTTCGCCAAAGTCCACATCTTTTGCTGCGGGATTGGATGGTGCTTTCAATATGTCGAGATCGACTGAACCAGGTGGTTGTTTTTCCATCTTGGATATTGTGATTTAAGGAAAACAGAATTCGAAAGCAAAAACGGAAAAGGTGGCCTTTCAAATTGAAAGAGTAGCAGAAATTGGTAAGCAACGAAGATCAAAAGTTTCTAGGCTGTGAATTGATTATTGACAATGCAAACCCCAGACGGCTGCACCCCCCATACATAACCTCGATCATGGAAAGAGTGGCGAAAGGCGGATCTCCCCCGCATTCAGTACATCGTATTGAGGTGCCAATTCTATGACACATAAAGCATCGTTCAAGCCACATACCATACTCTATACCCTCGGCCGAGGGCAGCTAGGCGACGATATACGCCACAGGAAGATCGTTCAGTAACAAGCGGCTACAAATATCGGCAGTCACTCGCGACTATAAAGGATTTCAGATGCCGATACGAGGTCCTATACGCTTCGGGGAGATTAATAGAGTTACCTGGCCCCGCCTATTGATAACGACGTTCCTGCCAAGTCCCGGAGATTAGGGCTCTCATCGGCAGACTGGCCAATGTTGTCGTTCCGTCGGCAATCAGCCCCGGACCTCCTCCTATCGGCAACCTACTTACCTATTAGAAAGCAGTCAAAGTCATGGATTACACCGAACACTGATCTGCCTAGATTAGAAACACGATAGTCACTGGTGTGTCATAGTTTTACCCCACAAATTGAAAACGTGGGGAGACGACCCACCCTTTGCCGACAGACCAAATTCCAGCTCATGAGCTCGCCTAGCGGAAATCCAATTTAGCCATGCCGCTATCAAGGATTACAGGGTCCAAGTTCGATCGTCGGCAAACGCCATCCGAAGAGTTTCACCGGACTTCCGATCTTATCGATAGGGAAACGATGCCTCGGGTGTGGCGAAAGAGGCCCCTCTTCTATTATCTATTAAATCATGATGGCCCCTCGAAAATAATGGGAAGATTTAGGTAGTTTTGCTAAACGTACACCAGACGTACACCCTCCGGAGATCTCCATCATATTGCTAGCATCTTAATACATTAGACCATTTACGACATGACTGTTTCCGCCGTTCAGTTAGAGACTGTGCGAGCATCCGTCGATGCCGCGCTGGAAGCATTGAACGACTCGCTACGCAAATTGAACCACGAGGTAAGTTGCACCGCATCATTAGAGTTTCCTTTCAAGCTGCGCCCAAATCATTAACGTCTCTTATCGTTTAAGATCTGGTCGAATCCCGAACTTGCCTACCAAGAGCACCGTGCCCACGACACCATCTGTGACTTCCTCGAGCAACAGGGATTCACTGTCACTCGCCATGCGTATGGATTAGATACTTCGTTTGAAGCCCTCAGTGGATCGGGTGGGCGATTGATCAACTTTAACGCCGAGTACGACGCGCTTCCCGATATCGGCCACGCCTGTGGCCACAACCTTATCGCGACCAGCAGTATCGCTGCGTTTCTCGCTCTCTCTTTTGCATTGAAAAAATATGGGGTTCCTGGACGAGCAAAATTGTTAGGAACACCAGCTGAAGAGAACGGAGGAGGCAAGGCTAAACTGATCGATGCCGGAGCCTACAAGGACGTGGACATTTGTCTCATGGCGTGAGTTTCCAGCTTTATTTTTTCTCGTGACAATTCCTAATTCCTCATCTAGTCATGGTGGATCCCAAACATTCTTCCCGGACAAGCCGGAAATTGTGGGAGTCGCCGGAACACTTATGAACGCGCGCAAAAATATTCATTGCGAGTTCTCGGGCAAGAGCGCGCATGCCGGTGGAAACCCGTGGGCCGGAGTCAACGCCTTGGATGCGTTGGTGGCCTCTTATAATAACGTGGCAGTGCTTCGTCAGCAACTTATGCCGGACCAACGTGTCCATGTTGCTTTCACAGACGTTCCCAAAGTGGCCAATGTGATTCCAGCTTATACCAAGGCCTTCTGGCAGGTTCGGAGTCCGACATTGAAGGGACTCAATACCCTTGTGGCCAAGGTCCGCAATTGCATTGAAGCTGGTGCTTTGGCTACTGGATGCCAAGTAACAATCTCAGAGTAGGCTCTTCCCTGTTATCTTTTCATTTCACAAATCACTGACTCGGTATTTCCCTTCAGGGATGAGCTCTACACTGACGTCCGACTGAATGATACACTCTGTGAGAGATACAAGGTTCACATGGACTCTTACAACCGAAATGTGATGAAGCGTGACGACAAAGTCTTGACGGCTTCATCAGATATTGGTAGGTCATCAAGGATTTTTTGAAAACGCAGAGCTGACGTTTTGAATAGGAAATGTTAGCTATGTTGTCCCTACCCTACACACAATGTTCGGCATTCCCACGGAGGGTAATAGCTTCCCTCATCATCCTACATTTACAGCCGCGGCTGGAACAGATGCGGCACACGCGGAGGCAATTATTGTTGGCAAATCGCTTGCCTTGATCGGATATGATATGGCCACCAACAGTGAGATGTACGAGACTGCTCGCCGACAATGGCAAGAGGAGATTGCCCGTGAGGATTAGGATATGGGGAATAGAGTTATTAATTGTATACCCAAGGCTATTTCTCTCGATATGCAAATAGCTATGAATATAATAGTACGGTACATGAACTATTAGCATATTGAAACATAGTAATTCCGACTTGAAAAAGCAATCAACTGAAATCAACTGCCGCTGTCATCCTATTTTAGTCAAACCTAATGCAATGCACGTAATGCCTTACATATCGGGTGTCTAGACCCACTTTAATCCCGGCTTATCGGCTTCGGCTCCAGGTTTCTCTCGGAATCGATGATTCAATTCTCCCCTCTTCCCCACCCACCCTCTCCCCCGTCGATGTGTGAAGATTAATCCACTGGATCTAGCGAGAGGTGGGGGATTGACTCTTCATGTCTGGACGGAACGCGCCGCGCTCAAAGAGTGGTTAGTTCTCCCCCAATTCTGAATCTCCATACGTCTCCGACATCGCGACTAATTCGACTTTACTCCACTCAGGCTGCAGCACCTGTCGTCGGCGCAAGGTGAAATGCGGCGAAGAACGCCCCGTCTGCAAGCGATGTTTGAATCTTCATCTGAGCTGCGAATGGGGCGTTCCGGTGAAGCGTGGCCGCAGTGCACAAATTCGACATCTGCAGCCCGCTCTGACGGCCCCAGATCAGGTGCTTTGGCCGGCGTCGGAAGCTGGTGATATGGTGGTGGACCTTTCGCATGACGCCCTGCTCGATGGCTTCTCACCAGTTTCCTGGCCTGGCGATACCCTACCTTTGGAGCCTTCTTTAGAGCCTTCGCAAGTAACACCTTTTTATCCGCCCATCGCCCCCATTCGAATAGCAACGCCCCTCTACCCCCCATTGATGGGTGGTAGCGAGCTCGCGTGTGCCAACTCTCTCACGCTCACTGAGCATGACCAAAAATATTTCCAATACTTCCCCTCGTCGTCAATCGTTTACTATTATATGAAAGGATGGAATTGGAGCAGCTTGTGCTATCTATACCAAGGTCCGGCTGCCACGAATAAAGTCATTATGCGAATGATTTTGGCGTTGTCCGCAAGCGACATGCATCGTCATGGATTGGCTGTCCGATCACCGGGTCGACCAACTGCTGAAGACCACGGACGATATCACTACAGTTTGGCCGTTAAGGAGTTCCGGCAACTCCTGGAGACGCCCCGGAGGCAGGTCTCCGTGGCCGAGCTGGAGATAATATTTGCCACCATGTTTCTCATGGTTACCTACGAATGGCAATTCGGACACTCTGTGCGCCATCTGCAGCTTCATTTACACGGGGTACGCTCCTTGCTTGAATCCCATCCCCAGCTTTTTCGGCTCAAAGACGTCAATGACGTATTTTTGTCTGCTGAAGACGAGACGACATCCCCGGAGGATGCAGTCGCCACGAAAGTTTCATTTATACCAGAACAATTTCTTCTCTGGATGCTGTAAGTTTTCGAAAATTTATTTAAGTCTGAACCTTCACTCACATAAACAGGTACATTGACGCCAGTTGTCGACCGATGGGCCTGACGGAATCACTTTACGACTATGTCATGAAATCCAATAACCCTGCATTACATCCCGATCATCTGCATCGATGTGCTCGCCTGTGGGGCCGATGTTTCTGGGGTGAGCAGTATCCGGACCAAGAGGTCTTAGATGACATTGAAAATTATCGTGCACTAGAGCTACTACACACCGGGTTTCACCTGCGCTATCGCACCTGGAAAATTTTGGTAGACTCCGAGTCTGGAACCGATACCACCGAGTCACTGTTCCGTGAGATCATTTCCATGCGCGACGTATGTGCTTCAATCCCGCGCAGACTTTCGTTTTGAGTCACAACTAACGATTTTAGAAATATTCCGACCTGTTCATAACCGCCAAATTTGCCGGTGCTGTTTCCGCCCGACGTACTCTTAACACTATCTACATGGGTGTTTGTACATTCCACGCCCAGATTCTACTCCACCGCCGATTGCTCTGCGTAGACAGTCCACCAGCGGCAATCCATAGACAAGCCACAGCCGGGATCATAGACATCGCCCGCAAGCAATTCATAGCCGATCCCCGGCTTTTACGACGTCTACATTGGCCTATGCTAATGGCCATCATCGAGACAGACGATGCCAACCACCAAGTGTGGCTCCGACAACGCCTATTCGAGCTACGCGACTTTCACTCAGAGTACGTCTGGGCCAACGAGATGGCCGATGAAATCCTGGCTCGGCAGGACGTGGGCCAGGGCTTCTACGTGAACCTCGCTGAGCTACTACTCCAGCGATGCCATGCGCCATGATGCGTTTGTGATGCTTTTGTATACTTAGCCGTAATGTCTATAGACCTATTAATGTGTGGCTTTGAACGTCACGATACATGAGAATCGCGATTGCGACTCAAGCTCCAGCCGATCGGTCTCATGGACTATTCTCCAAGAAATACGCATCGTATGCTACCTCGCCCTTGGCTCTTGTAGCCCGTCCAACAATCACACGGTCATTCATCCACTTGTACTTCTCATGTCCGGTCTCAATCCGCACATGGAGGTGGAACCAGTACTGGCTCGGATCAACAGGTCCGCCCTCCATGAGTGCTTGAAGCACCTCTGGAGGCCCTGCCCGAGTTCCTTCGGTACTGCAATGCAAACCACTGTTAATTCATGCTTATCTACAAGTACAGGCAACCAAGGCAAGACAACACTCACCGAATATAAAGGAATGCCCCGTCATCGCTCTTGATCACGTAATTCGTGTTCACATGAGTTGTTTGATCCTCCTCCACGATCCTGAATCCATCCATCAGCCAAACGTCATTTCAAATTCAAGAAGTTACTTTTCACTTACATAAAATCCGCACCTCCGGGTACAACCTCTCCCTTGAAATGCGGTCCATTCACAACACCCGACATAATCGGCACGCAACGCCGCCGACCGTAAGGCCCGTGGCCAATCTCCATAGGCGTATCAACCGCACATCGGAGAGTGAACAAGTGGCTCAGTTTAGGGGGTGGTGCGATTGTGTCCATTGTTGAATAGTAATAATTGGGGTGAGTAAGAAGGTAGATGCAATCTGGAGGGCTTAAGTAAGGTTGATCCGATTCAAGTGGGACTTCTCCCCACATCCGGCCTTTTCGGCACGCTTCCACATTCCATGTTAATCTGTGGACATATATCAAGGTGATAATCGGTGAAATTCCTACCTACTTAGATTGTTACTTTATCCTATATAAACTTCAAGTTTGAGTGAAGAAGATTGGCTTGTTGCTGTAATAAACCGATGCGGTTTTCACTAGACCTCGGAAGACTATATTTCACTCGAACCAAATACCGGCGAAGTTGCCGAGCCTTTTGACATCATCCACTGCACAAGCTTCATGACTCCACCACTTGCCGATTTTTCCGGTTCCAAGGTTTCTAGTAGGGCTTTAAACAACACATGCAAAATTCTCTCTATTAACTTCTAGTGTCCCTGGTGCTTGTTCTGGAAAACTGACTTTTCTAGGTTGGGGCTTATTTTTAGGTTAAGAACACATTCATCATTAGTCTCGCCACGCTGCCTCTGAGCTTGACCATGTAATCATTTCTTATTGTAAATGAAAGGAGTCAGAGTTGCAAAACAATCTTCTCCGATGTCCCTTATGGACACGAAATGATAATAATAGTTTTTTTTTTTTTTTTTTTTGTGGAGTCTCTATCAAAACCGTTATGATAGGAAGACGTTATAGCAAATTATTAAATGAATGAGAGAGAGAACTTCGAATATAGGTATAAGGCTCTACGTATTTAAGGCAGAAGTATTTTGATGCTACATTCATTATGAATTATCATCGAGAGCCTCACTTGTCCATTCTAGCAGCCTTTCGGATGTTGAAATAGTATTGGGGTGGTCAATCCCCAAGGTCTTTTCCTGTCGAGCTAGGCAATCTTGGAGTAGACTGATAGCTTGGGACTTTTGACCTAAGGAATTCCAGGTCCAAGAAAGGTTGGACATACTCGCAAGTGTACTTGGATGGTCGTCGCCGAGCTTCACCTTGCTTATTTTCATCACCTGCAACTGAAGCCTCTCGGCCTCCATGTAACGGCTTTGGCGCTCAAGTGTCGACGCGAGATTGCCCATACTTGTTAGGGTAGTAGGATGATGTTCGCCGAGTTTCTTCTTGCTTATTTCCATTTCCTGTATCTGGAGCTTTTCGGCCTCCTTATAACGGCCTTGCCACCAGAATATCAATGCGAGATTACCCATGCTCACTAGGGTGTCGGGATGATCTTCGCCGAGTTTTGTCATGCTTATTTCCATCACCCGCTTCTCGAGCTTTTCAGCCTCTACTAATTGGCCTTGGCGCTCAAGCGTCATTGCGAGGTTACCCATGCTTATCAAGGTAGTAGGATGATCTTCGCCGAGGTTTGTCTTGCTGATTTCCATCACCTGCACCTGAAGCTTTTCGGCCTCTATATATTTGCCTTGGAGCTCAAGCGTCATTGCGAGGTTACCCATGTTTATCAGGGTAGTAGGATGATCTTCGCCGAGGTTTGTCTTGCTGAATTCCATCACCTGCACCTGAAGCTTTTCGGCCTCTATATATCGACCTTGGCGCAAAAATGTCACGACGAGGTTACCCATGCTCACCAGGGTATGAGGGTGATCTTCGCCGAATTTTGGCTTGCTCGTCTCCATAACTTGCACCTGAAGTTTCTCAGCTTCCTCCCATTGGCCCTTTTGCCCGTATGCCATTCCCAACAGTGCTGTACTATGAAGAGAATCTTCATCCTCTACGCCTAGTAATTTCACCCTTTCTCTCCTTGATTTCGATGCCAATTCAATCGTATCCGCAATTTTGCCAGTTTTCCATGTATACCACGCACTATTGTAAAGCAGTGTAGCCCAATTTTTTCGAGACTTCGGCGATAGCAGCCCGGGTCGTTGTAACATTGCCATTTTGACGTGAGGAAAGAGGAACCGGCATTTTTCCCAATTCTCATAGTTCCCGACCGGGAACTCATCGCATAGAGTGTTGATGAATTTTTCTGTCCAAATTGCAATATTCCCGTGGTTCTTTAACCATGCGCGCGTTGTAAGCTGCACAAGTCGATGCATTGTGAACATATTCCCGTCCTCGATTGTAGAGATCAATGAATAGTCTCTAAGGGTTGCAATATCATTTTCAAAATCATCAGCTATATCGGATTCAGAAGTCTCTTCAACATCACCTTTATTGTCTAATGGTGCCGAGGGTGAATCATGGTTGCCTTTGTCTTGAGTCCGGAGAAGATACTCTGGAATACCTTGCCGATCGAAAAAACACATAAGAGAAAGCAAATCCGCTGCAGATGGATGTTTTTGGCGTATTCGATCAAATGAAATTTGCCAGGTGACTAGAACTGAGTTACTTGCTTCCCAATCTCGGTAGAGAGAATTCGCTTCCTGTTTCAGGAGATTTGTCGCTTCGCGGTCACTCTTTCGAAATTCTGCTAGGTACCGCGAGACAGAATAGCGAGGTGCTCGACTTCTGATATATCCTGCTGCCTGTACGATGGCCAGAGGCATATACTCAAGTTCTTCCACTAATTGTCGGCTATCTTTGTTGTCTTCTGAGTCAAGTCTTTTTCGAAGAAGCTCCAGCCCTTCTGACTGATCCATTGGGTGGATTTCGACAAGATCTTTATAGTCGACGAGCTTTAAGGCAACTTCTCTGGAGCGACTTGTGATGATAATTTATCCGGGTAGACTGGCTGGGAGGTATTGAAAAAGTGGCCTTGTCGCGGCGTTCCCTGCCGCCGAATGCTTATGAAAGAGATCATCGTCATCAACATTGTCAAGGATCAGAATCCATTTCCCTCTCTTCTCTTCTCGGAGCCAATTTTCGACCAGCTTGAATAGGTCGATCTGAGGATCATTACGATTTGGGATTTTGACCTGCTCGGCTATGTCGCGAAAACTTTGCTCGAAACGGGCAGCATTGCTTGCATGCACCCAAAAAACCCACTTCTCCGGTGACTCAGATCGCGCCCGATAGGAGTATTCGATGGCAAGTTGCGATTTCCTCCTGAATATTAGCTTTGTTCCAGAGTTGCTTCGCACTTCGCACTCACCCGACACCACCGAGACCGACCAGCGCTATCCTAGACCCTGAGATCGAGCTTTTCTCGTGGATCTGGTCAAGAAGTGTATCTCGGCTTACAAAATCTGCATCACGCTTGAATGGGACGGTCGACAGAGGACTAGGTGGGGTTTCCGATCGCTCTGGGGTAACAAACAGCTATTAGTCAGGTCACTCTTGGCCTTGTTCTCCCTGACCTACGAGGTAGATGAATTTCTGTCGTGACTGTCCCGTTGTTGATCCCCACCAGCACACCATCGTTAGTGCCGGAGTGATTTATCGTGGTCATGATAAGAATAACCTAGTGGCATTGTAGCTCAAATGTAAGTCTGCTCGCTCTCAACTGAAGGAGGGGCATGTCTGTAGCCTCACCATCAGGTGACTTCAGCGCCTAAACCATGCATTCCTATCTCACTGGGTGATGACTATTTTACAGCTACCATTTTGTCCTAGGTATCTTCGGCTCCAATTTGAAGAATTAGAAAAGAGTAATTTGAAATTTTTGACCTGAGCTATCTGAAGAGTTATGCAGAATAACCGTAATACACTATCTAGTCAAAAGTATTTCGCCAGATCAGTCTTCGGGCCTACCCCATCGATTTCGTATATTTGCTGAACAGTTCACTCCACCACTATATCTTACTAAAATTCCATATAATTACGCATAGTTATTTTTACTCATCTAACGCACAAAATTATGGCTTAGGATTCTTATAAAAATCCACCGCAAGTTTTTCAACCACTAGTAGTTGTCTCGTCATCCTTTATCCTAACACATCAATTTTTGAGTATGTTATTACTCACCATAATTCTGCTATATACCCCTGAAGGTACTATTAAATAATTTTATATCTTTCTATTGATATGAGCTTCAGTTAAAATCTAAGAAGCTCTTATTTTAACAACATATAGATAATGTTGAAGGGGGTTTAAAGCCCAATGAATGCCTCGGCGGATCCTCCACAATTACACATCAACTTTCAAACTGCTCTATCATCACTAAAGCTATATGAATTTCGATTTATCTTCTCAAAATACTTCTCTGTGGCCACTGGTCAAAGTAAGACTTTTTTGAAGCGAGTCCTCTTGATAATGAGTGGTACATGCCTTCCCAAAAGTTGGTTGTTGGCTTGACCCTACCGCACCCGCACTTGGGGAAATACTTACGATCCCCATTGGGTACGTTCGTTGTGAATATTCGAACTGTTTCTCAACCATAATTCAACTGAGATTTTTCGATTTGAGAATCTCTCAGAATTATTTTGGAAGATGTGCCAAGAGAAGTATAGAAATAAGTAGACAGAAATGCAGGACATGGGTAGATTCAGTCCCCTCCTGACCTCAGTCACCCACATCACCGTACTATAGACAGCTTTTGGAAAGAACGCTCAACTCCCCTTTGTTCTCCTATCCTGGATTCAAACGAAATTCTTCTGCCTGGTGCGCTCGGTGTGCTGCTCAGGAAAATGAAGATGTCGGATTCCATGCCTATGTGTTGTTCCTGGCGGGTTCACTCCCGAGCTCCCTGGTAATTATCAGTCTGTGCGCAAAGAACGCGCCGAACGAATTTAGAAAGCGCCGCTCTGGCATGGCTCTGCATGTGGCGGATGGGTCGTGACAATGCAAGCGAAATGAAAGAATCCGGGGACTGAGCAAAACCCCGACCTTTGGGCTTACCACATCTGATGTGGGAGAGCATATGCACTGTTGTGATTGGTCTTGGGTTAGTATGGGCTCACTCTACTCCAGGCACGGGTTTGATGAAGGATAGAATTGACATTTCGGGGATCGAGTGGCGTACACTACTTGGAATAGTCTACATGCAGCTCTTGATGTTACATACTAGGAAACATTTCAATTGTGATGCTCTTAGGAAGCCTTCAATAAACAGATATCTAGGTATGTCGCGCGACACTCGACACTCGCTTATAGCCAAAACTACCGGTTTTTTATGCCCTTACAGTTTTTTCTAATTCTATGCTCTATAATAGCCAGCTTGCTTACCTATAGAATAATACACTTCGTGACAAAACTTAATGACAGTTGAATGTTCCTGATACGTCCACGGGTCCGACGGCGTCGTCCTTCATTGAACTAGTCTCACCCCGCTAATGCAAGTACCCCAGTCAAATATCCCTCAGGGTTGAAATTACCGGCTTTAGCCTGCAGAACATGTGCATTGACCCTCGTCACGGATCAGGCCGACTCGCTTAGTTTAGGCATAGTTGCTCCATGATTTCTGGTGTCACTACAGGTCAATCTATTTACCCGCCAGCCTCATCCGAAACAGGAACGGCAATCACAAGACTGGGCTCAATGCAGGGCTCATACTCATCTCATCACGGAGCGTAAACCCTTCACGGCTATCTCGGAAATGCGGGGAGATTGTCAGTGCTGCTGCAGAAGATGCCCTGAAGTCGTCCGAGACGCTCAACGAGATCTAGGAATTTCCTCCGTGTCCGCGGAGTGCTCATGGGACTTCTTCTTTTGGAAGAGCAGACAAGTCCGCAATGAACGGTCTTGCGGACCGGGTCGCCGTTGCCATGATGCTCGGCGCCAATTTGATGCTTCATGAGCGAATATAAAATGAACCTCTGAGTATCTGAAATGCTTCATCAAGTTCCTCAACAACAACTACAACAGACAGTCTCCAGCTAACATCGGCTCAAAATGTCCGCATCACTGTCTTACCGCATTTACAAAAATGCTCTCCTCCTATCTGCCTTCTTGACTGCCGCTCAAGCACAGCAAGTTGGTACCTCAACCTCTGAGGTTCATCCGTCTTTGACCTGGTCGAAATGTTCGAGCGGTGGAAGCTGCACCACGCAGAGCGGCTCGGTGGTCATTGATGCCAATTGGCGATGGGTCCACAACGTCGGTGGCTATACCAACTGCTATACTGGCAATGAGTGGGACTCGACACTGTGCCCTGACGATGTTACCTGTGCGGCCAACTGTGCTTTGGATGGTGCCACATACGAATCGACCTACGGTGTCACCACCAGCGGTGATGAACTCCGTCTGAACTTCGTTACTACTGCCTCGCAGAAGAACATTGGATCTCGTCTCTACCTGATGGAGGATGACACCACTTACCAAATGTTCGATCTGTTGAACCAGGAGTTCACCTTCGATGTGGACGTCTCTAATCTCCCCTGTGGGTTGAACGGTGCCCTCTACTTTGTTGCTATGGACTCCGATGGTGGTATGGCTCGCTACCCCACAAACAAAGCTGGAGCCAAATACGGAACAGGTTACTGTGACTCTCAGTGCCCCCGGGACCTGAAATTCATCAACGGTCAGGCCAACAGCGAAGGCTGGACTCCTTCCGAAACCGATGTGAACTCCGGTATTGGTAACCACGGTTCCTGTTGTGCGGAGATGGATATCTGGGAGGCCAACTCGATCTCGAACGCAGTCACTCCTCACCCTTGTGATACTCCAACCCAGACCATGTGTGAGACAGATGCCTGCGGTGGTACTTACAGCAGCGATCGTTACGGCGGCACTTGTGACCCCGATGGATGCGATTTCAACCCTTACCGCATGGGTAACACCACATTCTTCGGTCCTGATAAGACTGTCGATACCAACTCCGTGTTCACCGTGGTAACCCAGTTCATCACCGACGATGGTACCTCCTCGGGCACTCTGAGTGAGATTAAGCGTTTCTACGTCCAGGATGGCGTCGTCATCCCCAACTCCGCCTCTACCATCAGCGGTGTGAGTGGTAACTCCATCACTACGGACTTCTGCACTGCCCAGAAGACTGCCTTCGGTGATGAGGACATCTTTACCGAGCACGGAGGCTTGGCCGGTATGGGTGCCGGTCTCGCTGACGGCATGGTTCTGGTTATGAGTCTTTGGGATGATCACTACGCCGATATGCTCTGGCTTGACAGCATCTACCCGACGACCGATTCCTCCACCACCCCAGGTGCTGCCCGTGGCTCCTGTGACATCTCATCTGGAGACCCAGCTACCATTGAATCATCCGAGGCAGACTCCTACGTCATCTACTCGAACATCAAGGTTGGTCCGATTGGCTCCACCTTCTCGTCGGGTACCTCCAGCTCGAGCACTACTACCAAGACCACGTCTACGTCCTCCAAGACTACTTCCACTTCCACCAAGACTACTTCCACTTCCACCAAGACTACTACCACGGCTTCTAGCACCACTGGTGCTGCTCACTACGCCCAGTGTGGTGGATCTGGATGGACTGGTGCCACCACCTGTGCCGACGGCTACACCTGCACTGCGCAGAACGCCTGGTACTCCCAGTGCCTATAGGCCAGTGACTGAATGACGAACGAGAGTTTGTGGAGCGATAGGATGACATACAAGACTGAAGTTTGAGATTTATTGAAATTTTGTATCTTTTGACAGCCGCTATTGTTTCAGAACTCAGATACTCGAGAAAATACAATCTATTTGAGTTATAATGTGTAGCGTCACCAGTACGAACAAAGACATTCGGGCCCCTGTATAGTGTCTTCCGGTAGTCGCTTTTGGGCGTCAATGTACCGAGGTCTGCACGGGTTCTTAACGATCCCACTGCACCCCGCACAGCCAACCTGCAGGGAAGGTCAGCGCTAGCGCCCAACCATGTAACCTAGTCGGGGCTTTAATAGAGTGGCTTAATTTTTCCGGAATGTGTGGCATTCTCTTTAAAGTGTCGGGCTGTTTTAGCTTCGCGCGTAAATTACCACGCGGAGAATGCTCCGACTAGTCAAGCCACTAGCCACTTCATTAGGTTTTCTGCTGTTCTGCAGCTTACATATTCCATACCCCGAGGATACGACCAAATAGCGAGCTTTGCCTCTTATTACCCCGAGGTTGTAGGTTCAAATAGTGGTCATATGATTTCCTTTCCTGGGCGAAGATTGATGCCCCTTAATTCTTGCATCATATGCAGACTCAATGTAGCACAGCACAACCTAACATTAGCTTCGTCCGTGGAGAAGATAATCTCGGAAAATTCATCAATTTGCATGTTTCTGAGGCTTTTAAAACCATGTCATATTGATATTTGGGGAATTTCGAGGGACCAAATCAATATTCACCAATCGGTAGCCGCCCGGAATTTCAATTTGAAACGGTCATATGCTGCAAAATGGACAACCTCATTTTAATAATCTATAACTTTAGGCATTTTTAAATCAGGCTGAGATAGTCTCTCGTAAACTACAAGTGGTGTTTCCTTCTCGCGTTCAAGTATATCTACTGTCCAAGGTTCCTCTATCTACCAAAAATGGTGACAACGCCTAGCCTCAAGCATACCTTTGAGACTAGTCTCAGTTTGGCCTCATCCATATGCCATGAAGATGAATAAATGGAACGAAATTTGTATAATTCACATATTACTTGATCATCATCAGTGATTATCTAGGTAGCTGCTACACTCATCAAGCCCAAGGCTGCTGTAAAAGATCTCACCATTCAAGCCTAGACCCAATTTAGACGCCAGGAATCTTCCAAAATGACTCTCCCGGGTTAATCATCAGCCCTTCAGCCACAATATCTGGTAGAAGGCGTACAATCCATAGGGAAATGGAGCCGGTTGAAGGAGCCGAGCCTATGGAGCCTCTCGCACAGAAAATACACTCATCATGTCCATGTTCTATCTATTCCCGCTGATCAGTGGTTTATGGTTCATGGTCCATGAAAGGGTTGTTGGCCCCACTGTCTAGATGGTAGAGTGGGGATGATGTAGTCTCCCCAGGCGGCTTTAGGCTGTCCCACAACTGAACCTCCCACACCATAAAAAGGACCCTGTGCCCCTGTGCTGAGAGAAAGATAGGGAAGAAAACACGCACGTTGACTTCCTTTCCACCTTGTACGCCGCTGTTCAAGCTCGCACTGGACACGCGTTAAACAAGCCCATTCGAGTCTGTCTTCTGGGTGCATGTAGCTATACAACCACCAGACAACCAAAGACACTACCTTGATCGAAATCATTAACCCGAATCAGCACGACATCATGCAATACTCGGGTGTTCATGCCTAACTCTCCCGCAGCAAGGACAGGTTAATATGAACAGGGCAAAGAGCTGAAACCCGAAGCGGTATTTTTCGGAATCATTATCGCGACCGGCAGAGCTCAAATTCCTAGCTTGAGAGGTATGTTCTACCGCACGGGAAGCAAGAAATCAGGTGCCGTTGAGATACCTATCTTCCCCGGACATGAAGCTCATGTGCCCTTCATCCCCGGCATCGTGGGGACGACAAGAACCGATCGGGAATGGGCGCTGCCGAGCTATGCTGACTGTGTGGGTAAATGAATACCCGCCGTCGTGGGGAAGCGCTTCTCCGGGTAGTGGCGGGTGCCGAGTTCGCCGTCACGGCGAGGACAAAGTGCCGTCTGAAAAGCGATGATCCGAAAATGGTCCCATGATGTACTTCGGTGAGGGAATTTGGCAAAGTGTTGATCTGTTTCTGCCTTCCGGTGATGATACGAATGGGTCCAGAAATTTTGCAGTAGGATTGGAATTTGCTTTCGTTGAATGATGACATCATGGCTTTGTTTTAGCCAAAATACAATGTTTATACTAGTCCTTAAAGCTTCCATTTAAGCCATAGAATATTCCTAGAGAAGCGGTAGCGATCGCTGAACCAACACGTATGTACGGGCCCACGTTTCAAATAAGCATACATTTGAGCTCGGTGATTGGATCTGTGAGTGGATGCATAAGGGTTCGTGTGCATTAAGATGCAGCCCAGTTGGCACCAGATCGGCGCCAGTCGATCATTTAACCTCGTTGGTGGCACAAGTGGGGTGTAAAGATCTTTACGAGTCGTGTGAGAGGCTACTTGTTCTAGCTAATGAGGCTTACGATCTAATCTTTAGATAAAGATTAAGTTGAAATGTATAATTGGGTCGTGATATTTTTATCTCAATTGGATAGTGGAGTACACGAGATTGAACATATAAGACATGGGGAAACAAAAAAAAAATTAGTCAGGTCGCTAAATCACAAATGCAATGCCAAATGGTTTTTCAGTCACAACAAAGCTCCTACAGCGAGGGCTTGGCCTGGCTGCGCTCAAAGGAGGAGACGGGAGGAGCGGAGTTGGGGTTGGGGTGGTGCTTCTTGAGAGCCATGGTGACGTTGTACTCAAGGTCGAGAGTGGCCTTGGGGTCATCGGTCTTGGGCTTGAACTCAACAACGAGGTCATCCTTGACAGCGAAGACGGAGTCGATGTCGAGGAAGGGGTCGGTGCTGGGGTAGAGCTGGTTGATGATAGTGGCGTAATCGGGGTGGGTGATCATCAAGTGGATGTGGGCGGGACGCATGGGAGAGCGGTCCATGAGGTTGAGGAGGACACCGGCGGGGCCGTCGGTGGGCAGAGAGTAGGCAGTGGGGTGGTAGCAGTACCAGTAGTACTCGCCCTTCTCGTTGGTGCGGAACTTGCCACGCAGGTTGTTCTCGGACTGCTCAGGGTCCTGGAAATCGTAGAGGGCGTTGGCGGAAGCCTGCCAGATGTCAAGAACAGCGTTCTTGATGGGCTCGCCAGTCTCCATGTCCTTGATGACACCGTGCATGTAGGTGACCTGACCGTTGGGGAGGGGGTTCTGGATGATGCTGTCACCCAGAGCGCGGAAGGGAGCGTTGGGGGACCAGAAGGGGCCCAGGATAACGTTGGAAGTGGGGGAGATACCCTGCTCGGTGATGATCTTGTTGGCGATCTCGTCAACGAGAGACTCAAGACCGATCACATCACAGATACGGTGGCACTCGTTGCGAATGGGGGTGGAGATGGCACCGATGGAGTTGATGAACTCGACACCCATCATCCACTCAGCGGGAGTGAGCTCAACCTCACGAGCAAAGTCGTGGATGTGCTTGATGAGGCAACCCAGGATCTCCTTGGCGCGAGGAGGGGTCTTAGGACCCATGGCGTTAACCACATAGGGGGTGAAGTTAGGGTCCCAGCGAGGCTCGGCAGACATGATGGCTGAAGTATATAAAAAAGTGGGTATACAAAGAGAAGGTTATACCAAAGCTGGAGGATGGATGAAAAAAAAGAAAGAGACTTGTGAAACGGGATCGACCTCTTTATAAGTTTTTCCAACCAGAATTTCCAAGAACGAAAAACTACCCCGGATGACCATTTCGGCCCATTCCAGAGGTCAACCCCGGACCGCACGGTCGGCAATGAGCGGAGGAGAAGAGGTTCTGCGAATCGGCAGCGGCAACCCCCCAACTCCCGTTTTCCGGGATTGTGTTTTCCACAGTGCCGGCTTGCCACAGTCTCTATGATCCGTGGTTTCTCGTTAACTCAATGAGCAATGCAACCACTCACAGGCTCTAAATCTGAACTGGGTAATCCGCTTCGAGCGGTTATGCCTGGTGCCGCCCCTCGCTGCCGGTCGCTGGCCCCCCGCACCTGGATAAGACTTCTGCGGGCGCGTGTATATTCTGTATCCTTGACTCGGTAGCTACACATCGTATGATCCGTCCGGCTGTCTTCTCTCAGGCATCTGCCATCTTCACCCGATTACGCACGCGTTCATTCTCAACGACTTCATCCGCAGCCATGAAGCACCATTTGATGATTGGAACATGGGTCGCTCCCGGGCGCATCTACACTGTTCAATTCGACGATGAGGCTCTCACCTTGGAGCTGGTCAAGAAGACCGAGATTCCTGAGGCTGAGCCTATCTCATGGATGACCTTCTCCCACGACAAGAAGACCATCTACGGCGCCGCCATGAAGAAGTGGAACAGCTTCGCGGTGAACAGTCCCACCGACATTGTCCACCAGGTGTCGCACCCCGTCGCCGGTCACCGTATGTACTGCACCATCAACCCCCAGAGTCAATTGGAATTGACATGGGCAATCGCAATGCCAATCCTTCACTAACACAACCCTTTAGCTCTGGCTCCCAGCGCCGAGACCAATACCCGCGCAATTTTCGTCCTCGCCGCCAAACAAGCCCCCTTCAACGTCTACGGAAACCCCTTCTACAAATATGCGGGGTACGGTAACGTCTTCTCTGTGAAGCCCGACGGAGCCCTGGATGTCAACGTTCAGAACTACGAGTACCAGGAGAACACCGGTATCCACGGCATGGTCTTCGACCCCACTGAGACCTACCTGTACTCGGCCGATCTGACTGCCAACAAGATCTGGACTCACAAGAAGGATGCACAAACTGGTCAATTGGAGCTGGTCGACTGCCTCGAGGCTCCGGCTCCCGGTGACCACCCCCGCTGGGTTGAGATGCACCACACTGGCAAGTACCTGTACGTGCTGATGGAGGCTGGCAACCGCCTGGGTGTCTACGTGATCGATGAGCGTACTCACAAGCCCGTCTTCACTCACATTACCTACCCATTGCTTCCTTCCGGTAAGTCTAAGCTCTACACGAAGGACCTAGATCCCAACGGAAATCCTAATGTTTTTTTTTATCCAGGTCTCCCTCCCCGCAACAAGTACCGCGGTGACGTGACCTTCACCACCAAGAGCGGCGACTACTTGTTTGCTACCACTCGTTCCAACCATTTCGATGTGACTGGCTACATCACCGCTTTCAAGCTCGGCCCCTCCGGTGAGATTGAGCGCCAGCTCTTCATCAACCCCACCTCCACCAGCGGTGGTCACTCCAACGCTGTCAGCCCTTGCGATTTCACTGATGAGTGGGTTGCCATCTGTGACGACCAGCTCGGCTTCGTTGAGATGTACCGCTGGCGTGACGAGAAGCTTGCCCGTGTGGCGCGTTGTGACATTCCGGAGCAGGGCTTCGGCATGAACGCCATCTGGTATGATTAAACGAATACTTAGAAAAGTACAATTAATATGTACATAAAATCTAGACTATAGAATCTGGAAAATCCAATTACGTATATTTGAACCATGAATCATAGACCAATTAATACTCATAAAAAAAATTAAAAATGAATTAGGTTTGTAGAACCAATAAGTCCAAAACGTACATAGCTTAACGGGGCAAAAAAAATATGGGGAAAATCGGCAAAGAACTTCGGGTGTGCTTTGCTTTCTTCCGGATGAGGGGCAACTGCCGATGACGATGGGATAATAGAGATGGCGGGCTATTATTATTATCTTCATTTGCTTGATCATTCTCTACTCTATTCATTCCAAAAAGCTCCTTGATTTAATCCCTCCCAAATATACCCCGCCATCATGCCGACTACCGGTCTTCTCTATGTGACTATGCAGCCCAAGGGCTCTTTGCCCGACACTCAATTCCACGACTGGTACAACACCGAGCATGGTCCTCTGCGCCTGCGTCTGCCATTCATCACCAATGGATTCCGCTTCCGGGCCACCGACGGCGAGGCCCCCGAGTATGTGGCACTGTACGATATCACCGACATGGACGAGTTGACCCGCAAGACCTACCTGGATCTGCGAACAGATCTGATCAAGACTGAGCGTGAGAAGAACACCATGGCTCAGATTGATGTCGGCCGCAAGCTGTACGACCTGGTGGAGGAGCGGAGCCAGGACAACTATGTTCAGTTGGAGGACCGAGCCGATACCGATCCCGAGACCCGCGGCAGTGTCATGATCGCTGTCACTACCACTACCCACCCCGACGCAGAGAAGGAGGCCGAGCACGACCGCTGGTACCGCGAGGAACACATCGACATGCTTGCTCGCGTGCCAGGTTGGCGTCGCACTCGTTTGTTCCGCACTGCCGCCATTGACTCGGCTGCGCCGCGTGAGACCCTTGCTCTGCACGAGTACTCTCCAGTCAATGGTCTCGGTGGTGAGGAGCACAAGGCCGCCATGAACACCCCTTGGCGCCAGCGCCTCCAGGACGAGGTCGTGGCCTCCAAGATCCGCCGCACTTACCAGTGGTACTACACCTTCGGCCCTGCTCCTCGTGAGCTCTCATCCCTCGCTAAGTCGGATGTTATCGGACCCTGGTCTTCCAACGACGGTAAGACTCGCACCCTGCCCTCGACCACCCGCCCGGCTGTCGAGTCATACGTCACAACCAAGGACGGTGTCGAGATCCCCTACCGCTTGGAGGGTAGCCTCGACCCCGAGGCACCTGTCGTTGTGCTCAGCAACTCCATCCTGGTCAACTGGAACATCTGGGACCGCTTCGTCGATGCCTTCTTTGCTCGTAAGGAAAACCAGAAGTACCGCCTTGTGCGCTACCTGACCCGTGGCCGTCGCTCTGCCAGCGGCGAGCAGCCCGTGAACATTGACGTTCTTGCCTCCGACCTGAACACCCTGCTCGAGGCTCTGCGTGTCTCTCCTAAGGCCGCCCGCCTGATCGGTGTCAGCCTGGGTGGTGTCACCGTTCTTAACACTTCTTTGCTCTTCCCCGAGCGCGTTGGCGCATTCATTGCCTGTGACACTAACTCCTCTGCTCCCGAGTCCAACCGCAAGGCCTGGGGCGACCGTGTCGCTATTTGTGAGAAGGAGGGATCTGTTGATCCCGAGACCAAGGAACCCATTGTTGGCGAGGAGCTGGCTGAGGTCACCACTCGTCGTTGGTTCGTTCCCGAGTCCTACGAGACCCAGCCTGAGGTCCTGGCTCCCGTTAAGGAGGCCGTGCGCACCAACAGCCTGAAGGGCTTTGCCCACAGTGTGCAGGCTCTGTGTGCCTACGATATTCGCGACCGCATGGCCAAGGCCACTGTTCCCGGTCTGTTTGTTGCTGGTGCCTGTGACGGTGTCCTGCCCCAGACCATGCAGAAGATGGCTGCCGATTTGAACGGTGGTGCTGAGTTGAAGATCATCGAGAAGGCTGGCCACCTGCCCATGGTTGAGCAACCCGAGGCCTTTGCCGATGTGGTCACCGAGTACCTGAGCAAGATCGATGCTTAGATTGCACTATTATGAGTTATATAAGGTTCTTAGATAGATTTTGATTTCATGTTGCAAAGTCCATAGCGAATGAGAAATGAAACGGTTGTTATGACGGATCATGAATTGATATTGAAAAGAATATGATAACAACCCAGTAAGTCCTGTATATCAAGAGATAAGAAAGGAAAACAAGAAGTTAAACGTGATCCATAAATGACCTCAGTCATCCAATCTTCGAATCAAATGTTCGAGAAGCGTTCAGGTGTGGATGTCGTGTGCCCCGTGCGGTATCCGAGTCCCGCCAAGGGCGCAAGTTCCCCTCCGCTTCTTCGCTCCGCTGCTCCACGATTCCTCTCTTCAATCACATCTTCCGCCATGACAGACAGCAAGGTCCCTCAGCCAGGCCCGGCGAAACTTAAACGCAATGCGGGCCCTGACCAGTGGCTGGAGGCCGCGAAGGACTGCAAATACTTATCCGAGGCTCACATGAAGCAGCTGTGCGAAATGGTGAAGGAGTATATGATGGAAGGTAAGGAGTTACCCTTCTCAGCTGGGACGCTAGAAATTCGGCTTGGTACTAATTATGATCTATAGAATCCAATATACAACCCGTCTCCACTCCGGTTACCGTCTGCGGCGATATTCACGGCCAGTTCTACGATCTTCTTGAGCTCTTCCGGGTTTCTGGTGGGATGCCCGATGGCACGGAGCCCGACGCACCCAAATCTGCCATCACATCTGCCGATATTGAGCCGCCGTCCGAGATTACAGATCCTAAAATTCGGAAGAAGTTAAGAGGTCCCAACAATGATACTGTGGAGGATGACGAGGAGGAGTCCGAAGGCCCACGCAGCCGATCAGGGAGCCAGACATCCAATGACGTCCAGGTGAACCGAAACTTTGTTTTCCTTGGAGATTATGTGGACCGTGGATATTTCAGTTTGGAAACTTTGACCCTGTTATTGTGTTTGAAGGCCAAGTGAGTATTCTCAAAGAATTCGCACCCCGCGGGCATGAACGTGAACATGGGACTAATGCTGTGGCACTCAGATATCCCGATCGAGTAACATTAGTGCGCGGAAACCACGAATCCCGCCAGATCACCCAGGTGTACGGTTTCTACGAAGAATGTTTCCAGAAATATGGCAGTGCCTCGGTATGGAAGGCTTGTTGCCAGGTTTTCGATTTCATGACGCTGGGCGCCATTATCGATGGCAAAGTTCTATGCGTTCACGGAGGATTGAGTCCAGAAATCCGTACCTTGGACCAAGTGCGTGTGGTGGCTCGCGCGCAAGAGATTCCTCACGAGGGTGCATTCTGTGATCTTGTCTGGTCCGATCCCGATGATGTGGAGACATGGGCGGTCAGTCCTCGTGGTGCAGGTTGGCTCTTTGGCGACCGCGTCGCTGACGAGTTCTGTCATGTTAACGATCTTTCCCTCATTGCTCGCGCGCATCAGCTGGTGAACGAAGGATATAAATACCATTTCGCGAACCAGAATGTGGTCACAGTGTGGAGTGCTCCGAACTACTGTTACCGATGTGGTAATCTTGCTTCGGTGTGCGAGATTGGAGAGGATCTGAAGCCCTCGTTCAAGCTGTTTAGTGCTGTGAGCGACGACCAGCGGCATATGCCCAGCTCGCGGCCGGGCCGCAGCGAGTACTTCCTGTAACATGAGCAATTAGCTTTGCACCGGCGCGGGCGTTTGGGTTTTCTGTCATTGATTCATCTGGGGATGACGGGGAGCATTTACCATAATGATCTTAGAGACGAAATGAATGATATGTCTATATCCACATACGGAACACAGCTTGATTACGATTGAGAGAGCTATTTGGGACCTATAATCTACTGGATTACACGACTTGAACCTTAGGGGAAAGGTATCACAAAGGAAGTACGGTACACAGATGATTTCCAACTGTACTACCGTGCAGCCCTGGAAACCGATTGTAGGTGCATGTTGTCCGGCTATTCATGTGTTCGGCCCCACATACTTAGAGGTTGAATCAAGGTGCCATGAAGTCCGGCTCTAACCCATTCTCGAATTAATAATACTCAAGCACGTAATATCAAAGTGTGCGTGCTAAGGCAACGAAGATATGGTATTGGTAAGCGGATCTCGGGGTTCGGGGCTTGTACGGATCGTTCCGCGGCGATCAATTAGACAGATGTGATGTGTGATACAAGATGCCCAGCACATGACATGATCTTGGCTTCGTTATTAGTAACTGCATATTTAGCTTGCATGAACACGTCTTCACGGAGAGGATTTATAAGGTCCACGGTTACCCCTCTCAATTCCATCATCCAACACACTTGCTCAAACTATACCAACATCCGATCTATCAAAAATGGCCATTACAAAAGTCGCCGTCGCCGGAGTCTGTTCAACCCACCTTTTAGTTCGAAATCATACTAACTTGATAACAGGGAACTGGCAACCTCGGTCCAGCAGTCGTCAACGCTCTAGTAGAAGCCAACTTCCAAGTCACTCTCCTTAGTCGCTCCTCGACAAACGAAATCAACTCCCAAGTAAAGACCCAAGTGGTCGACTACAACTCCCTGGACTCCCTCGTCACAGCTCTCACAGGCCAAGACGCAGTTGTCGACGTCCTCCCCTCAGGATCAATCCCCGTCGAATTCCCTCTCCGCCTCATCGAAGCCGCACACAAAGCCGGAGTCCAGCGCTACATCCCGTCCGAATATGGCTGTGACACCTTCCATCCCCTCACCTCTAAGCTACCCGTCTTCGCTGACAAGGTCACCGTCATCAACCGACTGAAGGAGATCTCGGCACAAGATAGTGCATTCACCTACACACCCATCATTACGGGACCCTTCTTCGACTGGGGATTAAAGATGAAGTTCACAATCAACCTATCCGGACCATCAACTCCCATATACGACGGCGGCGATTCGCCATTTAGCACAACCACCCTTGCAGGTATCGGACGTGCGATCGCCGGTGTATTGGAGCATCCTGAGGAGACGAAGAACCGGACAGTATACGTCTCACAGGCAGAAATAACACAGAATAAACTTCTGGCGTGGTCTGGGAAGACAATTGAGCGGGAGGATATTAGTACTGCGGATTTGGAGAAGAAGGCGTACGAGGCTGTTAAGCTTTCACCGCCTGATTTCAGGACTTTTGCGGTGAATTTGATTCGACTGGCGGTTTTTAATCCTGCTTATGGGAGTGCGTTTGCCAAGACGGATAATGAGTTGCTTGGGGTTCATAGGTTTTCGGAGGCTGAGATTGTGGATTTGGTTAAACAATACTCTTGATTAGCATCAGTTGATGGATTCATTACAATTCCAGACACCTAGGAATGAATCAACAAATTCAAATTGATGCCCGTTTTAAATCTTTTTGGACTCGGAGTGATCGAGGTCGGTTGTTTCAAATTATATTCTGAAGTATTTATGGTGCAATGTGTCAGGGATATATAACCGGGGTCACCAGATACTTGAAAATAGTAATGCCCTCGTTCAATCTCAACTCAAAATCAAATTTAAGCCAGATTATTGTTAATGTTGATCAGGAAAGACAAAATGTAATATCGTATCTAGTGATTCTAATATTATTTGTGAAAAGTTGCCTAGTTCTGGTGGACTAGATGGTAGAAGGGCTGCATGGTCGGGGTCCTGACTCTTACTTAATGCAGGATAGCATGATTTCGATATATTTCTCTATATGCCCACTTTGTTTATATAGGGCGGCTGGCCTAATGGTAAGGCGCTTGTTTTCGGTGTAAACACAGGAATTCACAAGAGATTGCAGGTTCGATCCCTGCGTCGCTCATTCTTTTTGGTTTTCCTTCAACGCCAACTTGGCAAGAATCCACTTTTGTTTTTGCTTTGTGGGGAGCCAAGAGTAGGAAAAACAAAGCCAGAATGCTAGTATTGCAGGTGCTAACTATGCACCGTGGACTACGGACTACATCAGAGCTCGAAAGGCATTTTACACTACGGCGTTCTAAACTCAAGTGCAATATCACCTTCAATCTATATTCAATGTCGAAAAGTAAGAATAAAAAATCATGAGATTCCGATTGGACATGACAGAACGATCTTCCTTCCGAATTCCTCAGCAGTTAAGATAAATCGCTGCAAAGAAATCAGTTCTGCTTTCTCCATGGGGAAGGGCGGAACTTACCGTTCGAATACAGCGCATATGTATCTGCATTCAACACTGCCTCAGGTTCCTGCAAAGCAGTCGCTGCTGCATATCCATATCCATAGTCCTCTGTTCCCGGACTAAAGACCCCGGGAGCATGAGTGAACTCGTGCAGACTGGTTGTTGCACGATCCTGGTGATGGCAACTTTCAGAGATTTCCGGCAAATAAGAGTAATACATGTCACAGTTTGCGATCGCATTTTGGGATGGGATCGTGTATGCTAGCACGTTGCTATCGCAATACCCAAACTCATCACTGCAATAATAAGTGGTGGATGATGTCGTCGAATTAGCCTCTCTTGCGACCGCGTCAAGCCGAGCCGCCACCGTTGCTCGTACCGAATCGTTGGTGGTCTTGTAATATTCCTGGAATTTGTCTGCGGAACCCTCTCGAGCGGCAGTTGCTGCGGCTGCAGCTAGGGAAGATGCCTTGCGCAGCGCATCCGTGAATTGTTGGTTCAGAGTCGCGTTATTGCAGCTTATTTTTGTACGGCGGTTCAAAGTATGGTGGTCTAAAGTCGGGATGGCCTTCACGACCTGGGATGCTTCAACGGCATCGACCTTGATCTTGAGGCGATTAGAGTGGTATGGTAGATGGCGGATGACTGCTCCCTCGCGTACGAGAGGAACTAATCCATTGGCATGGACCGTCAAAGAGCCCCCGCGGGAGAGGTCTGTAGTCGAGGCAATGTCGAATACATCTTCTACCGTCTTTCCAACTCCGAGCGTGGTGAGTGCATCTGCAGTAAGTCCCTGGGATTTGATGCGCCGCTTGATGCCTTCGAACTTAATTTGGGCATCTATCTAGGGATTGAGTAACGAGTAGTATAGTTAATCACGAACAAGGGTGCGTACTATTTTGATAAACTGCAACCTTCTTCACTGGTGCATTATCTCGGAAGAAGTTCAAGTGCACAAAGGTCACTTCCTCTTCACCAATATTTTTGACCACAGCCTTGATCTGGGTATTCCCCACTTGACTCAAGGTGATATCCAAAACCGATTGTCTATCAACATCGGCTGGCAAAGTCCACACCTGTGGTGCGAGGAAAAGAACAACCGAAAAGAAAGATTGTAGATGCATAATGAAGGCGAGTGATGTAGGTTGATAATACAAAATGGGCTATAGCTTGTTTGTAGCAAAATGCTTTCTCTTGAAATTCCTAAAATCTGAACTTCGGGGGCTGCACGAGCTCACTTTATAGATACCATTTCTGATCTTCTGTTGAATATGCTCCGTTCACAAGGAAAATAGGCTACTTGTCACGCATAGACGTGATCATCTACCAAGATAGCCGAGTAGGAAGGTGGTACTGGCTCCCACGAATAGTGGTTCGCCGCACTGCATATTCGTCTGGTGGAGATACCTATTGCCGATATCAGAGGTCGTTCGTCATTCTAGGCTCGGTGGTGATTCGTTTCATCCTTTGATACCCGGGCATCAGGGTCCCTTTGTGAATGTGAGACCTTCGGAAGCTCCCCTGAAATGGTAGAAAATGCGCCACAATGTGCAACAAGAGCGCCTTGGCCCCGTTCCCGGGGCTTGATGTAACATTTCCCGATCATAGAATTTGATGCTGGAACAGGGGTACGAATCCAAAGAATCAAAGCGATGATCACGCCGAATCAAATGTTGTGGCTGCAGAAGAAACTCTAAACCATCTTGGGTGGCACTTAACCTCCAGTGAGAAGCTTGGGTAAAATGCTCCGGAGACTTCGCTATCCCTGGGGTTGATAACCCAATCATCCAACCATACGTCCACTTTGCTTTCTTGTCAACTACATTTCTTCAAAACATCAGCCCGGATAAAATATCACAAAGAGCAACAATGAACCACATTTCAAGCCTTGAGCTCACCCTCCCAACCATCCTCCAAAACCTCAATACACAAAACCCAACATCCCTCCCTCTCCAAATATCGATTCATAACCTTACAAACACCCCAATCACAGTCCTCCGCTGGAACACTCCATTTGACCCACGTGCCTCTTTACTGGATCTCTTCGAAGTCCGTGATACAACAACCGGACGCACACTGGCAGCCGACACAATCAAAATATCACGAAAGCTTCCCGCGTCCGTGGATGACCTGGTAGAGATTAGAGCCGGCGAAACAATGACGTGCGATGCCACTATTACCGGATTATACTTTGAAACGGGTCACGAGTACTCTGTTCGTGCCCGGGGAATTTGGATGGCCATTTGGCCGAGGCAGCTGGAGGATGTTACTGCATCCCAAATGCAGAGCCTTTTTGGGGCGGAAAGCGGGGGATTTGAGTCGAATGTGGCCGTTGTGGAAGTCAAATGATATCGGGGTATTTTTACTGGCTTGCATGTGCCTTTTACTTCTATCCGAGAGCACGTCATATCGTCTTGAGTTACTATTGATGTGGATTGCCTTTATTTGATAAGATGTGGGAACCTTGGTGGATTTTGAATGTTATGTTCTTGATGGTATGTGGAGGGCTTCCGCTTATTCGCGTCTATAAAAGGCTCTGTATTTATGAATATTGTTCAACTCTGAGCTTTTCTTTGTGCTAGAAAGCGGCATATTCTACTCAAAAATTCTCGTGAAGAATTGAAATTAGAAGGGTGAAATATATGACCCTTTTATGCAAAAGCAGTCTGTTTGACTAAGCGAAAAGACGTAAAGTTCGGAGGGAAAAAAAATGGGACAATACGGGACATAAGGCAGAGAATAATCTCGTTAAAGCATCTAGCCGATAGCTTCAAGCCAGTATCTTCTCGATGAAGGCTCGTGGCAAAGTTCTATGCAATGGATTTGTCAGGCTACAATATGAATCCAAGACATATTGGGAGAATCTCAAGGAAGCTTGACTGGCAATGAAGTCGTGGGACGGAGGCAATCAAAGAGTTGAAGATACCTGGGTTTACATTGTGGCTTTATATAGATGTGGAGTGGGAAAGGAAGATGGCCAGGAAGGGAAATTCACAATGAAGCATGATTTCGAAACGTTTTAATGAGATGGAAAAGCGCTGGAATTTAACTCACAGGCTAAAGTGCCCGTAGACAAATGGTCCGACGGAGAGCGCGTCCTTTATCGGGCCGAAGCAAATGTTGTACTTCCCGAGTGGGGGTACAAGTACTGGTCCCGTGTTGCAAAATCGATTTGAATGAGGCGGTGTAGAGATAGCCCTATGTGTAGCTTGGACAGCTAGAAGGTCTGATAATAGCGTGGGACTTGTAGATTGGGTCAAATCATCATCTTCAACTGGATTTGAGATCCCACAGCCAAGTCTAGATCAAGCCAATACCAGCAACAAGACAATTTAGATTTGACCACAATCATCATCTTACATACAGAAACACTCAAGAACTTCATCCAAAGACTAATCTTGCCTGTCTTGGGGTATCGGCTACGTGAAGACAAGGGGAATGGACAGTTTCAAAAGCAAAAATAAATGACATTTCTTGACCAAAGTTTATGAAACATACATAGGATTGCCGACCAAAGACAATGGCAATGATGAAAGACCAAATGCATGTTCACCAGGTTCCAAAAGAATGCACTTTTAACAGCATCCACACAGCAATTCAATTCGATCTCCCCCAAAGTTCAGCTATACTCAACTATATCCAGTTATATCCAATGAAGAGCCATTTGAGAAAAGACTCTTAATATGGTCCATTTAAACGTACTCGACAACGACAGTGCTGTCGGTGACGGAGACAGAGGTGAGAACGGAGCGGCCGCTCTCAATGTCGATGATGGTGGCATCCTCAGGGCCGACGGAGGAGCTGCCGGAGGTGGCGTAGGCGTCTTTGAAGGTAACAGTGCCGAAGTCAGCGAAGGGAACAAGGGAGTCATTCTCCTCGAAGTCCTCGACGATCCACTCGGCATTGTACTCGCAAAGGTCACCGTCAACGCCACCAGTGAAGGTGTGGGTGACAGACTTGCCAGTGGTAACATTGTCAACAGTAGCGGTACCAGCGGTCTTAGAGGTGGCATCAACAGTGATCTTGATCACGTCACCGGCAGAGACAGTGAGGTCAAAGTCGTAGGCATAGTCGGGGTACCACTCGTACCAGGCATCAAAGGAAGTGGTGCTTCCCTCGATACAGAAATCAATACCGGTCTGCAGAATGGCAGTGTCGCAAGTGTCACCGTCAATACCGACCCAGGCGGAGGCACAGTACTGCTCACGGCTGGAGCCGCCGCTGGGAACACTGGGAGTGGGCACAGTGAATTCAGCAGTGACGGCAGTGTAGCCAGTGCCAATGAGAACGGCACCGGCCCAGTTGGAGCTGTACTCGACTTCAGAGGTGTTGGAGAGATCGATGGACTCAGTGGTGCCGGGCTTGAAGGGAGGGTTGCTCTGGCGCTTGGAGGCAGAGCGAGCGGCACGGCGAGCAGCACGCTTCTCAGTCAAGGGAGCAGCAAGGGCGCTAGCGACAAGAGCGCTGCCGAGGATTGCAGTAGAGAACTTCATTTTGGCGGTTGATTGTTCGTGAAGAGAACTGGACTCGGACTAATCTTTGGATAGTGGAGTGGAAGATGAGGAAGCTGTGTGATGGAGAAGCAAAACCGAGCAGCGAGCACTGGGCTTATATAGCTTCCTGTTGTCTATCTTTAGCATCATCACCGATGATGGTGATGGCGGAATGAGGAGATCCGAAGGAATCCAATCCAGACCTCCGCTCCATGAGACTTCGTGTCGATGCAACATTATCGTCGGTGCCGGATGGCCATAGGCTGACCCGAAGCAGCAGACTCAAGCCTGACCGGCCAATATCTGGCGCCGACGGAGACCGATGGAACCGTCGAACTAGTTCGCTATAGGTATTTCTGCAGAGATTGATGAAGAATTGCGCACGGCTCTCATGGGGTAAAGTGAAGATCGCGTTAGTTTGTTCTAGCCCGCGATAACAACCTGTAATCGCCCCTTAAAATATCCATTAAGGGTGCCATAAGAACAACGGAAAGTTTCTTGGCAGACACAAATTCCAGTTTCCCTTGATCAAATGAACAGAAGGGGGCAAAAAGATGGTGTGGTCTGAAATCGCATGGACAATACGATAACGTGCTTTCCTATCAGGAACAGGAACAGCGGGTCCACGATTGGTCGAGCGCACCAGGCAATATCTCTTTAGCGCATGCAGGGTATATTGCATTGCAAACATGTCTGCAACGGGTGGCTTCGCGAGTTGGAAACAGCCAGCCGGTACAACGCGCTGAAGATATTTGATCCCCACATTCGTCAACAGGGCTCGAAATTAGCCACTTGCCCCTCCCTAGATGCCTCCACCATCATCTAGTACTGGCGCCAGTCCTGCAGAGATACGGATTTCCGACGGGAACAGGCGTTGCGATAAGGCATGTTTTCTCGTTTTTAGTATTCCGATCCAGCAAAGCTAGGCATGGGACTGTATACGGAGGATGACCTTGTTCAGATGGACCACGGCAAACAAGGAAGTGATCGACCTATTCATTTAGAAAAATTGAAGTGATTTCAGATAAGCGATGCTGTTGCGATGCTACTGTGGCGCACAGCTAAAGCCGGATGATGAACAAGCCAAGCTTTCATCAAGCAAAAATGGCGGGGACAGAGGAATAATCCTTTCCCACTCTTAAAATGTTGAGATGACCGGCGATCTGCAAGACTCCTGCCTCTGGCCGTTGATCTCAAAAATCATAGTCAGATCAGGTATCCATCAGTGAGCAAGGTCCGTCCGTTGGTCCACGCCTTAGTACGGCCCCTTGGGCGGAGGGCCCGACGAGAGATGGAAAGGTTAGCGCCCTATCGAACCGAGATAGAGCGGAGTCAAGTCATCCGTAAGGCGACCGGGGACGCTAGCTCTCTTCGACGACCAGACCCGAGTGCTAATGGTCAGCAGTGACTCCGATGAGGTGGCTCTATCAAATGCCGCGAATCCTTCCCCTTTTCGAGCGGGGACGAGTGGGGCGCGTGAATCACCCAACCCAATTTCCGGCTGCTACCGATGGCACATCTCGTACCAAGGAAGGTCCGTGTCACTAGGTTGGGAAGTAATCCAATGGAATTCTGTAAATAACCTTGGAGAAAGGCTGAAAGATTGTAAAAAGGAGGGGTTGCCGAACCGAAGGACGAAGGATCAAAAGGACGTTGAAACCGGGGCAAGGAAGTGAGTCCGACCGCAATCATCTATGAGCCCACGTATTTTACCAAGCAAATACATTGCTTATTGCTTTCTTCTTTTCTCTTGGCACTTGGCATGTAGTGGATATCAGACGCCACCTGCAGCTCGGATCCAAGTGCCGAATCGCAATTATGCTGTGCACTCGAAATGGGCCCTTTGGGTAGATAGAGTAAAGAACTATCATGATAGCAGGCTTGCTTGATGTGAAGTGGGTTCCAAGAATATTTTGTTCTCCAAGCCAAATAAGAAAGAAATGATGGTATTCCTCCAGATATAAATCGGTCCATTGTGAAACGAGTCAGGACGTGTTGAGCATCCATTCAAGGTGTTTGTTAGATTAGTCCTCGAGACTCCGGTGAATACATGATAGAACAGAAAGAGAGCCAAGGGCGGGAAAATGAATGTCATAGTCCGGCTTGAGAAGGGGGTCCAAGATGTGGTGTCGTAAAACCTTTCTCTAGTTCCCGGGTATCCTGGCTGCGAGTCGGACGTATCGCGTCCAACGTAGCTCCTGGTGAATTTGTTGAGACTGTCTTCATATGCTCATATCCGTGCGGGAATATTTGATGTTCTCCTTGATAGAACGTAATTACTTCCTCGAGGCTGCCATCGAGATCATCATACTAGAAGCGTTGAAGGGACGCTTGTCGCCCTCAGCATCCTGAAGACCGGAAATTTTCAATTCTTGAATTTGCGATGCGAAAATGGTGACTAGATAAGTAAACCGACACGTGAGTTTGTATAAGATGTATCCTGAAGAGGCGCTATGTTGTTTCAGGTAGACTGTTGACCACGGCGTGTCCTTCTCAGAAGCTTCGACAAGGTCCGTTATTCGCGGAAGGCCCTGGGCAGTGGATGTGTCGAAAAAGGTCAAAAGAAAGAGCTAAAAGCCAGTGCGTTAAAACGTGATGTCAGTCTTGACTGTTTAGCGAGGTCTTAACGGATTTTTTTCCAGAAGAAGGGTCATTGAAGCGACAACTGCCTAGGCGGGTTTTTCCGATGGGTCTTGAGAGTCGCGAAAATCCTTGTTCAAAGGGAACCATGACAGGTATTCTCTATTGACACAAGGTTGAACTTGATGAATAGGGCAAAAGAATGGAAATTTACTTGCTTGCATGGGCAGAGGAGCGGTAGACCCATAGGTGCTAAATCAAGCTGTTAAATGGCACTTGATCACTCCGTTCGTTATATATGGGATCAAGATATCAGTGGAAATACAGAGCACCTTGTGTATTCCGCGACTGAGCTAGTACTATTTCGGTGAGGATATGGCGTGTCGGAACGCTCATTTGGAAAGCAACGGGCGCAACGAACGAATATGGGTAGAATATTCGTTTCCTAGGAATCGCTCCACACAAAGTGACGGGAGCGGGGCATTAAAAGCATTTAATGGCTTGAGTCCATCCAAAGACCGATTCGAAGCAGTATTCGTGATCGCCGAAAGTAGGAACAGACGTTGTTATGGACGGTATCCATCAAAAGAGATATCCAGGACCAGGAAAGGGGTACGCGGACAGAAGCAGACCAAAAATCTCTCGGTAAACCAGTGCCCGCTATGGTGCTGCTGATAATATTTAAGAGAGCGTGAATATTGAGAGGAAGGATAGATTTTTGAGATTCTCAGTCGAACGAAATCGAGGAACCTGGAGTTCACCTGTCACTGGTGAGCACGGAGTACACCGGAGCCTGATTGACTAATGCTGGAGGGTTACCCATAAGATAGGAACCCACAGGCTCCAAACAATCCACGCCTGATAAGCCGGAAAAGACGGTCCACTAGGCTGATTGGTCAGAATGTCGCATGGGTACTATAGGGATAGGGGTGTGAGATCACCAGGACGGAGCATAGAAGGTAACGGATATTATTTTCCGTTTCGTTCGGCTATCTGTAGTGAGCTATGGGACATCAAGCTTAGAGGTGTTTGACGAGACTGGGTAAGTGGGTGAACCACATGATATTTGGGACTGGACATCGCAATCCTGTATAGGTAATATATCAACATTTCGAGTTGGTGTTTACTGTAACAGGTATCATTCTACACCCAGACTACCTGTCCTAGACTTCATCATGTAACATTTGATATCAAAATATCTTCTTCTTGTATTTCCTTTACAACTCATGTCACCCGGCGAAGACAAAAACTTGTCTTCAAGTGGTGGATTATGCATGGTACTAGCTTGGGCTCAGTCTAGAAGCTACGCTAACCGCAAACCCAAATTTCCAATGTTACCCTCTTCTCCAGCTAAGGTATCTTTTATTCGACACCCAGGGATGTGATAAGTTGCGAAGTAATATTTGCAAGGGTTTTCCAAGATGTTTGAAGGCCTGAATGTGTCTGTATTCAAGTTTCCCCTCATAATAATCCTTTACAATCCTGTACGATTTTCATTTTATATCAGCTACTTGATTGCATCTTCACAGGTTGCCTCTTTCTTGAATGACCATTTGGTACGGATTCTCATTAGTGTATGTTCTGTTCGACTTGGGCTGTCATATCTTCAGGTGCTGCTGCCTTAATGAAGATGCTCAGACTCAGTAAGCTGCGCAGTCTTTTAGTGTCATCACGTGGCCAATCAATGAGGCCCAATGAGCATAAGCTAGCCAACCCATTTCCGTCCATTTCATTCCGTTTATAAGATGCCAGGTCACTCTCCACCATTTCATCGCACCAATTCGTCTATTTGATGAAAATGCCGAGCTGTTCTGTTGACTTATATCTCTATGGGAGTACATCCGCCTGGTCCACAAATGAAAAGTGTGTGAAACGCAAATACTTCTCGTTCTGGAGACTATATGGCATGGCGCCAATGGTAGTACCACCTTTCAATACATGGGCGATACTACCATTCTGCCTCTCGTCAGGGCCGCAGTTCAACAGGCTTCACTTGTCGCCCTTTCGGATTGGGCCCTCGGTCTTTATCTCGGAATTCGTATCTCGGGGTTCAACCTGGCTCTTGTAGCCGGCAGCAAGCATAGTGATCGCTTCGCCTTGCAGAGGGATTGTGAAAGCTTCAAGCTTCAATTTCTTTCACGGTTGTAGATGTGATACCTTACTCTAATTCGATCTGCCCAGTTTCATTAGGCGTGGTGTTTGTGAAAATACGAGAAAAAGCTTACTGCGGAGGCTTGTTCCAGCAGTGTCTCAACCTCGATATCAAAGATATCGATAACTCCAGTGCTTTCCGTCTCCATAAAAAGTCCCGAGTGCCCAGAATCGCGGATACCCATAATTTCATCGGGGTTGGTGAAATTGTCTCATCACTTAAGCCGACTTTGAAATGGATAGGATCTCTTTCACTAAAGCAATGTGGAAAATTGCCATACTTAGACCTGTGCAAACCGGGACCCATGAGAATAGGTGCCTGTCCAAATCCCAACTGCCAAGATCCCATGGGACTGATTAAGCTAGATGGGCATCCCATGGGATTTCCCATAGGACCCCATGGGATTTCCCATAGGATCCCATGGGATACCAGGTAAATCCCAACCCTACATAATTCTGGAAAAGGAAATGGATAAATTGAATCTTGATTATAAAGGTATTCTTTTGCCGTTTAGTCTTTTTGTATTTTTCCTTTTAAATCTACTATCTAGAAATACTCTTTTATACTATTCTATCTAGCCTATTATAATTAGGCCTATTAAAACTTAGCTTAAAATTTAGATTAAAGGTCTTTTATCTTTAGTCCTGAAGGTAAAGATATTCAGTAAACTCACTAATTCTTTACCTTTTCTCTAGAGCTTCTTTATTTTTAATATACTAGGAGCTATTTAATCTTTAATGTCTGTTGAATTAAGAAGGATTCTAACTAATACTAGCTAATCTAGCGAAGACCGAATCCCATAGGACGAGGTGCCTGTCCAAGTCCCAACTGCCAAGATCCTATGGGACTTACGTAAGTGGGAATCCCAAATCCCATCATGGGATTCCCATGGGGTCCCATGGGTCCCGGTCCTAAATGCACAGGTCTAGTCATACTATGCCTGAACAGGGCGAAGCTAGAGGAAACCGATTTAGTTTCTTAAGACCCTCTTCTCTTCCCCTGTTCAATGCTTCTGTCACGTCTCTCTTTTTAAACATGTTAATCTCCTATTAATGAATGTCACTGGGGCAGAGGAGGCTTACTGATTTTCCAGGCATGATGCAGTGCCAGATATTCCGGAATTTTTTCACTCTTTCTCTGCCAGCCCGAGATGCTGAGGCTGAAGCTAACATTTTCTTTCATCCTTGTAACCTCGGCTATGCATAATTCAACAAACCGCACAGAATTGCTATGCATGCTGCCTTGGAATAGCCACTCGACATGCTATACCGCCGATGATTTTTAGGGTGATAGTTGCAAGTTGATTGTGTGCGTCGCAACCAATTCACAGGCTGGACTTTTAATTGATGGATTCAATATCCATTACATTCCCTTCCTCAATTACGACCTTTTCCTTACCGCTGCACGTGCTTTGAACAGTACAATGAGCGCTGAAGAATTTCTGGCCAATGTTGAAAGCGGTATCGTGCCTGTGATCTGTCATAAGGATGTCTTACGGATCGCATTCATCTATCTGGATGAGGGGCTATGGGCCGACAACGGGGTGTTCGATTTGGTGGAGAAGCTACACGCGCATGGCTGGTCCTTTGGTGCGGGCGAGTTACGCTTTAATCGGTAAGCTATCTCCAACTATGGTCATCTCAAATATCACTGTATAATTAACGAATAATAGTACCCTAGATGTATTCTACCTTGCACAGCTAGCAGCAGCCATCTACCGCTACTCCTCCTAACTGGAGGGGGACTTCCCCCTCCTTCTCCGATTTCCCTGCCTTCTACACAGCTTACCACGCCCTCCTGCACTCCTCCGCCTAGCGCTCCTACTACTCCACCCAATTCCTCGCCCAGCGCACAACATCGCGCTTATACCGCCTGCCCGATCTCCAGGACCTCCCCGACTCCTCTTCCCCGCTATTAGTCGCGCAGGGAAAGTATGATATACACGGGTTAGAAGCAGAGTACCTCGCACAGGTATCAGGGGGAGAGGTTACCGAGGGAGATGGCGAGTTGGAGCAGGTGAAGTAGTGTGGGTTGCCCGATGGAGGGATTGGAGAGCAGGCGTGGTGGAGGGGTTTAGGAGGAAGAGGTCGGAAGTGAGGAGGAGGCGAAGTTCCTAGCCGCCGTTGCGGTGGAGGAGACAATTGGACTAGGACTAGAAGGAATGGAGATGGATGAGTTAGACCTTTCGATCCGGTCACATATACTACTAGCGGTCATGCAGGCTGCGGTGAAGGACAGGCAGGAGAGAGAACGTTTCCTAGGGGAGCTAGAGAGGCGGATAGTGCAGAAGGGGAGAATTGACGAGGAGAGGGCAGGGAGGTGGACCAAGGAGGCCTTGAAGATCATGGAGCCCTATATACGCATATGGCAGGGTGTGTGGCCTGGTACAGAGGAGAAGGGGGGAGATGCTGCGGCGCATCTTGGTGGAGAATGCGCAGCTCTTTGCACGCTGAAGGGTGTCACCTCTTTCGAAGCAGTTCGCTTTTGAGCTGGGGCCGAGAAAGTAAGGGAGTTACACTACCATCACGACCATCATACAACGAATTAGACAGGTGTACATATATACTCACCGATACACGTGAACTCCCCTGGGCAAACCCCTGGTCAGTGCGGCTCAGAAGGTAGTTGAGTTCGACTTCACTTCAGCCCACTTAATGTGGGGTCTGTAGTTAGTGACATGGCGTATTGGGATTATGTCATGAATTTTTTTTTTTTTTTTTTTTTTTTCTCTGAAATAACCCCTGGAAATGTCCTTGATCACTATGATATGGTTATAACAAGCGAATTAACTGGCAATTTCCTAGGATGTCAGACAATTTTCAACTTCACAGAGAGATTGGTGCTTGCCCGGACCAACTCGTTCTATTGTATAGGGGAGCTTGTCGATCATGATGCGATCTAAATTCCGTGCGGAGTTTGTGCTAGGCACGGAAAGCTACCCACTGACCCACGAATGGACGTTGTCCGTGTTTGACGCTAGGCTGATGTTTTGGACACAGTTTGGCACCCTGGTAGATCTTCCAGCGTGCTATGAGGGCTGAGTTGTTCCAATCGAGAGGTCATTATGGGAATGAATAAGAGTAATTGTTGGGAATAAAATATCTTCAAACCTTGCCAGACATCATGTGCCTGGAAACTATCAAGAGCCGATTGCTGAAAGCAGATCAGCTACAGAAAGTTAATTTTCTGACGCTGATGTAAACGTATTATAACCTATATAGCTAGGTGTATACGCGTGTCTATTAAAACCTTATATTCTATAGTTAATGATAACCTGATAGTTCTCCTAATGATAGATAGCTATTTCTGCGCTATTTACCACCTTATATTCCCTCTGCTTCAGCTATACTCCGTAATGGAGAGATTGAACGTGTCTCGTTGGATTGTTTCGCGAACTCGTTCCATGCGGAATCACCAGACGACAAATTTAATGTGTCAAGGGGCTCCACAGGACTCTGCGGACGGGAGTAATGTTCGCTGCCAACCACCCATGGATCCACGGAGCTTGTCGTGAAATGTGGACATTCCAGAATCAATTGACGGAGCTCTTGGACGGTGATTCTCTTCTCAGGATCGCACTCAAAAATGCGGCTTAAGATAGTGACTACCTCGTTTGAAATAGGCAAGATTGTTCGGAGGAAAAAAGGGTCCTTCAAGTAGGCACGGAACGTGGAATCTTCAGTAGAAGCCCGTTTCCATGGGTTACGGCCGCAAGTGAGGTTGACTAGGATCACACCAAGGCTCCAGACATCATTGGGAGCGCTCGCATAGCATGAATCTGGATGCGGGTTTGACTGTTGGCATTCTTCGCAGCAAAGAAAAACAAATAGTCAGTGAAATATTTTATCATAAGCCGGATGCAAGAGAAGACAATCCTTACCTGGCGACATATAGAATGGCGAACCGCAGCCAAAATCAGAGGTGAAGTGGTCTGTCGTAGCTAGGCTGAAGCTAGCGAGCATGAGAGTCATCCCCTCATCCTTGACAAGGATACTCTCAGGTTTGAGGTTTCTGTGGTAGATTCCCTGGGAATGGCAAAATTGGACAGCGTCAAGTATCTGCAGGAAAGCACGCTTCACCAAAGGGCCATTACCGACGAAATTGCCCTTTTCCGTAATGCTGCAGAATAGGTCACCTTCCGGGCAAAGCTCCATCACTATATATGTATCATCGACGGAATCAATGATGCGAACCAATGATATCACATTGGGATGCTGACCAGCCAGATGATGCAGCCTAATCTCTTGTTGTTGCGATTTGAGCTGACGTGAGTCTTGTCTAACTTTATTGAGGGCCTTGACACAATATGAGATATTTGTATGGATGTCGACAGCAGTGTAAGTGGCACTTTTGTCACCCACACTCAGGATACTGGTCAACTCCAATCGGTCACCTAGGATCAGACCCAGGCGGTCTTCAGGGTTGCTATGAGGGATAACTGAATCTAGCCAATCGCTTGTACCTGTCTGCCCTAATATACCATGAGGTACTTGATTGAGAAGATCATCCGTTAGTTGTTGTTGCTGCTCGTGCACAGATTGGGCTGATGCCCTGGAATTCGAGTCCGCAATGCTCTCCGTATCCATAGCCAGCTGTGAAACTACAGCCGAGCTCGCCGAGAGCTCTGATTGACAGCTGTTAACGTCAAAATATGGATGTTGTTTGAAAAATAATCCGTCATCATCATCGTCGTCTGATTCTTGGAAGCCTTCTCTGGGAGCCCATGGCAAGGACCTTAGCGAAAACGAGTGAATATGCTCAGCAACATGGTCGAGCACAGCGTGTTGATCGTCGCTCTGGAAACAGCAAAGCGGGCAAAAGGAAATTTGGAAAGAGACTTTTCGCCGCCAAGCTGAGCGTAGCATCGGGATCTGCTCTGGTCTAATTCCCTTGCTATGCTGCTGTTCAAGATGTGCAGTGAAATTGGCCGACTCCGTGAAGGTGGCATATATGTTTTTATGGGAGCATGCATGGCATACCCATTGGGTCGTTCCCCCATGTTCTTCGTTTATATGGCTCAACCACGTCTCTTTAGTCATATAAAGCGTATCGGCCTTAGGACAATCTTTGACAATACATGTGTATGGTAAAATATCTCTCATCAAATGTTTCCTGTCCCGCAAGCCATACCAATTAGATTGAGTCACATTTCTTGAGTGAGACAGACTTACTTCCATTGGTTACCCCGCCCAAATGCCGCAGGAAGGGACTGACAGCAACAAGGGCATACAAAAAGCGTTTGACCATCATGGAGAAGTGGAGCGTTTGGATAAGTGATTCGAGAGCTTGTTACTGACACGACTGTCGTTGCGGAGTAAGTTACCTGCTCCGGTGGAATCTCAATCTGCTCGTCCACCGCCGTGGCAGTTGTCGTGCTTTGAGCTTGGATGCCATCCCTAACAAGTGCCTCTCCATGCAAATGGGAAGGCGTGTTGCCAAAACCCGAATGTTGCGACTGTTTTACCAACCGTAGTCCCTCCCTCAGCCTGCGTTTTGGGTCAGACTTTGCCTCTAGTCTCTGAGCATGTCGCTGGGCGTATAAGAAGCGATTCCGTCGTTTCAAGTTGGCATCAATCAGCCGTAATTGAAGTGGGCTCAGTCGCGCTGGGTCAAGCTGTTGTTCGCTTGAAACAAAATTTCCGTGCTCATTAGGATGCACTAGGAGAATAAATTCAAGATGTCGACGTAATGAACGAATATGGGGACTGTCGGGATCAAATGAGCTGTCTGCCTTTTGAAGTCGTGATCTAGTTCCTGCTTTTCGGATCGCAACCGTGAGCCTTGTGAGCTGACTCACACTGTCTTCAACATCCTTCATTCTGGCTAATTCACTGCTAGACAGCTCCCCGTCAATATCATCAATTCTGCGGCCTAAGGGCGCGAGATCAGATAAAGGTACATCTGTCTGGGGTGGTATGCATCCATACATCCGTCTATACATTTCTGGATCAGAATTTTCAACATCAACAAGAGGTTGAGCAAGATCGTCTGCGCCTCTGGGCTTGCATGTAGTCGATGGTCCAGCGAGGCCTTCCCGGTGCTGGACGCGCCAGCGCCTGTAGACCAGAGATTGAAATCTGCCAGCCTATTCTCAGCCCATTCTTGTTGCATCAGCCGTGGGGCTGCTGTGGCCGTCCTGAAGATGCGACGACATGCTATGGTAGCCTCAAGGATCGTAAAAGATTCTGCCGTGGTAAGCGTTGCTCCTTGCGACAATGTGCTGGCATTGTGGAAAGAAAGACTTGTTTCCGGGCCATCAAAATCGCCTACGGCGCTATTCATTCTCAACGAAGCTAATACGTCTTGGGTCAACCACAAGCTTCGTGTTTACCCCGCAGCGCCTACAGCTGAGGGTGAGATGTTTTCGCACGTGATTTGATATTTGACGAACATTGCTCCTTCGTTTTTTAATTTTCTCCCGGTGGAATGCCGTCACCACGAGGAGGTAGACTGATGTGGTGAGAAGCAAAATGAATGATATCTTAGATCTGTGTTGCAATGCTTTCCCCTGGATCAGCAACCAAGCAACACTTCTCGGCCTGGAAACGCAAGATAACAGGTTCGCTCAGCTGGGCGGCGAACTCTTCATTTTGGCCCAACAAATCCCATTCTCAGAACAAACAAGGATAAATCACCAGCTGTTCAAGGTTGCATCACTCATCAACAAGGCCTGTTCTGTAAGTGGATATCCATTAGTCTGTCTGATCTGCCGGAAGACACACCAAAACTTACCACTGAACACTCAATGCTAAGGTCTCGAGAACCAAGCATGCAATGGAGAACAGACAGTTCGATGCACTTTGGAGGATCTTGGAGTGCAAGGACTCAAACATGCCTGCCGAGGAAACACTAGGTCGCCATGTTCGATGCAGCCTATTGCAGTTTGTCCAGCAGAACCCCGAGTATCCTTCCCTCCTACGTTTCATCACGGATTGCCTACATATAGCGGACTCACCAGAGGCCGTTCCTGATGAGCAAGTACGTCTATATAGTAATGATACGAAGTATCCCACACAAGTCAACAATACCCTTTATACCCAACTCCGACTGCACTCAACCTGCTCGTGTAGCAAGCGCCATCTTGAACCCGCACGGCTGCGACTGGATCCCGGGCATGAGAAGCAAGAAAATACGGACATTTTATTCGACCTGTTGTTTCTAGCAGGCTCCGCGTCGTCTGGTACAACTGAATGCCAGCTACAGTGGAAAGAGGTGAAGATATCGGTTGCTAGGTATAGACATTTCTCAAGCACCGTAGAGACAGGTGAAGCTAGCTAACAATCTGCTTGTTATTTGTAGACGAAATACCCCACAGCGAGAGAAGAAGGTCTCCTTTGCGGTCCAAAGTTACAGGCCATTGCCTCGCGCGCAGAGCAAGTCGCCATTACCAAACGATCTGCGAAAACTCGAGCTCGGAAAATTTTGCAGCCTGATCAGTAGCGAGAAATGCAGCCCAGTCCACTTCCACATTTTGGATAATGTGATGAAGGTTGCCGACACCGATCAAAGTACTATTTGGCGAAACTTTCTCCCCTTGGCGAGCGATACTCTGGCAGAATGGCTGGAACGGACCGTGCATCTGTCCAAAAGAGTGAAGGTAACGCTAGCATACACCATTGCGAGATCAGTGTGGCAGTACTATGATTCGTACTGGATGGAGAAACCATGGACGCACGACAACATTCAAATTATAAAGGAGAAAATCAGCGATCAGAACCATATTCGACCGCATCCCTATTTTACCACAAAGCTTCAGAAGTTCAAAGACCAAACTCTGGACTACTGCATTGCAGATGACCTCTTCCATATGTTTCCTAGTATCCTTGCGTTGGGGGTAATTCTTATTGAGATTGCAACCAAGCAGCCGTTCAGACACGGGAACTCACATTACCTCTGGGACCAGACCACAATCAATGATTACTACGAGTGGGCATGGACCACGGCAAACTGCAATAATTTGAGAAGCATGATTGGAGCTGCTTACGAAGTGGTAGTCAACAATTGTCTCGATGCCGAACTGTTTAGAGACGGCCCTATTGACCCGTCGAAACCAGACAAAGATCTTGAATTCAGACAGTCGCGTCTCTACGAGAAAGTTGTGCTGCCTCTACGGGATCTATATCACGCATATAGAGATGACTGGGAAATCCAGGAGATCCCCAGATCGGAAATTGCCGTTTCTCAGAATTTCTCACAGACCGAACACACCAGACAGGCCAAGCGTTCCCAATTCACTATCGCTATATTCTGTGCATTAACCTTAGAAGCAGATGCCGTAAGCGAAATTTTCGAGGAGATATTCGACGAGGAAGTCGAGAAATGCCACAAAGCAATCGGAGATGACAATGCATACACCCTGGGTAGAATCTTGCATCATAATGTGGTTCTCGTTCACATGGCTGGTATGGGAAAAGGCGCCGCATCGCAGGCGGCTTCATGTATACGATCCAGCTATCCGGAGATCAAGCTCGCGCTTGTAGTTGGCGTCTGCGGAGGAGTTCCTTCACTTTTGGCGGGCAAGGAGGATCTTATCCTTGGCGACGTTGTGGTCAGTGAAGGAATTGTGCAATATGACTTTGGAAGGCAATTTCCCGATGCTTTTTTGAGCAAAGCCAGACCAGAGCTCCCTGGGCCCAAAATTCGGGGATTATTGGCTAAACTGAGGGGGTTGCGAGGGCGAGAACGCATCGAGACAAAGCTTTCTCGGCATCTTAAATTCTTGCAAAATAAGCTTGGCCCCGAGAGAGCTGGCTACCCCGGTGTGGACAAAGATGAGCTGTTCCAATCCACCTACCGACATAAGCATCAAGACTCAGCAGTCTGCAAATTATGCAGAGCCTGTGAACACGGCATGGGTCCAGTATGCGAAGAAGCACGAGCACTGACTTGCCAACAGCTCGGATGTCAGAAGGAATTGCTAGTCTCGCGCACACGACTGCAGGAGGCTTTGGTGAATGGCTGTCCCCCAAAAGCAAAAGTCCAGTTTGGTTTCGTTGGCTCTGGAGACACGGTTATGAAGTCTGGGCAACATCGCGATGAAACTGCGACCCAGCATGGTCTCATCGCTTTTGAGATGGAGGCTTCAGGAGTTTGGGATATTTTCCCGTGCATTGTCATCAAAGGCGTGTGCGATTATGCCGACAGCCATAAAAATAAAATTTGGCAATACTATGCCGCTGCTACGGCTGCGGCCTGCATGAGAGCTCTATTAGAGGAAAATATCATAGGAGAAGGGTTATTGAAAGAGAATACATAGTATAGCTTAGGTGACTTAGACATAGGCCTTAATGAATTAATGATCGTAAACTATATTTTTAGCAGGGGTCCCTATCTTAGTCAGGCTGACCAAGGCCAGCTTTAGGCGCTTATTGAAGGGTGGAGGATAGGGTCGAAGCGGATGTTGTGATTACCGAAATAGCGGACTTCTCAATACTATCCTAATGTTGAATCTCTAGAGGCCAGCAGCAATCGCTTCAAGATTGGAGATCATTGAATTTGAAGCGGTTGAAAAATGTCTTGATAGCTGAAATTTTCACACCGAGTCTGCGATATGTTCACCTCTGGGCAAAGATATCAGGTTGTATCATTAATCTGTAAGATGTATGTATTCTGAATATCAATCGAGGGAAAAATGATAAATCTTCATGACATGAAGTGCTTGAATCCTCAAATCGAAATCTGGGTAACGGAGTGATATCTAATTTATGGGTCAGCCCATCCAACAAGTAAGCCTCCCAAAAGCTCATCACTAAGCCCGGTAATTGGCGTGTCAGGATCTGAAGACTGTTCATCTTGCAATTTTAAAGGAATAGCAAATGAGGTATCAATATCCAAGTCATTAGCTGTGAACTGAAACTCTCGCTTCAGTCCATTTGTACCGAACGGCATTTTGGACAAGGCTTCAATGTCTTGACCTCCCATCGCGAATTGTGACAACAAATCAGGGCCATCAAAGCTGAATGGTAGCTGAATAGGAACTTCGAACATATCTTTCTTGTCCAATTGATCATCCCAGATACCCGCTTTATGATCCCGGGATAGGTCGGTCTGTTCGAGAAAGTCTAAGGTGGGAAGTTGAGGTTTCCCATGGTCGGTCAACTCAGATGTGAAAGGTGACGGTGTGTTCTGAGTTGTATTTTCTGGCGTCAAATTGTAGTGATTCTCATTAGAGAGAGGCATGGGGTTATTATGCGCGTGGCTGGTGGATAAAAAGTACTGGATGGTCGTGGTACTCATTTGTTGGAAGACAGTCCCGGATATTCTCGTAGTAGGAGACTGATCAGACATTTCATCTAGAACAGCGGTGACCGTTAAGACTGTACTGTCGATATCTTGAAATGACTTAATAATTGAAGTCACAAATTAGATTGAACGCTTTCATACAAGAGACAAAGGTCCTTAGCGAAATGATGAGACATACCAAGCAGCGACGAATATGGTCTGAGTTCCAGATTGTGAACAAGAAAAGAGAACCTATTACGCATAAGTATGGCCTGAATATATGTAGAATAAACTTTCAACCTACCGGCAATGAATATTTGGTCCCCCGCAAAGTATGCAATGTTGATTAAATCCATAGACTGTAATGCGCGGTATATTCGAATGACCTTCTGAGAGGCCTCGGCCACTCTTGAATACACCACGTCGAATTCTTTAGCAGTTTGACTCATCAGCTGCTCAACTTTGGCCTCATTGGCAGATGACAATCCAACCAGCTGCTTGGGAATTATTATAATTTGGCGGTAGAGCGTGATTATGGTTTGCCAGTAACCGAGTTCCATCAGAAGGTCACAAGATGAACGACCGCTCTCAGAGGAATAAGGGATAGACCATCTCCACTCGTCTAACTTATCGGTCATTTTTCTTTGCCATGAAATGAAAGGGCCAGATTGTTTGGGAATAGTGAGCGTTTCTCGACGCGAATCCACTGGTTGGCAGGCATTAGCACGTAGAGCAAGTTGAGACTGAAGCATGCAGTGAATTTCGGATTGCAAACGCCGCAGTTTCAGGTGATGGTGAGTTGCGTACCCGGAGCTTGTCGAGCTCCCTGAGGACCTGATAAATCCAAATTCAATTAGAGACTGATCATCATCAACAAGCGGAAATTCAGTGGTCACGACATCGTCGGGAATTGATAAAGGTCGACCCAACCAAGGAGCGACGAGGCGATCTAAACTATATGCGCACCACCACAGACGACGGCCCAGATGTTGATTCCGAACAGCTAGCCTCCTACTCGAGGAATCGTAGCTCGAGAATTTGGCTTGAAATGTGGCACTAAAGCTGCGATCAGAGTAAAGTCGTAAATCAGTAGCTGAGCGCATGGCCGTGTCAACCAGACTAGCGAGAGAGGGAACCGTTGGCCTCAGAAGGGAAAGACTACATAGAAGCACCAGGGCTTGCAGCTCTTCGAGAGAATTCGATAGACCTGGAGATGGTGACAATGCCAAGTATGATTCTAGGTAGATCATGGCCGAAGCCTCATAAGCTTCTGATGTGTCAAAAGTGCTTGATATCTTTTGCCTTTTCCCTCCAGGTGTCCTTTGAAACTCTGTAGCCAGTTGTTCGACCGCGATATGCCGTGCGGAATCATGCTTTACGGCAGCGCCGATAGCAAAAACAATGAGAAGAATATACAAATTTCGAGGTTGTTTCTTACACCCCAAGCTCGAATAGGCATGATCAATAAGTTGGTCGATATCATCACGATGCAGGGCTGGCATAAAAGTATTCACATGTTCAAAATATCGGTCAACAAGTATGTTTGCGTCTCTTCGACGGGGCAGCTCTGCGCATCCCTCATTCGATTTGCCAAAAAATAGACCAAAGAATGAAGTACGAATGGAACTTCTTATCCCATTTTCACCATTTCTGCCGCTTTTCAAAATCTTGCATCTCATGGAACTCCCAGCCAGCAGGTTCATAATTATGTTGTTAGAAGAATCTTCCAATTTTGATACGCTCAGGGAGGCTGGGATCTTTGATGGAGCCGCCGAGGAAGAAAGCTCGTTCTCCCGGACAAGTGTTTTTCCAGTATGCCGATTATCTTCCCTGTCATCCTGGTTTGGCAGCTCATGTAAGTCATCAGGGACAACATTTTCACGTGAAATGTTATCGCTGCTTGCCTCTGATTCATCAAAGGCGGAGACTGGTTTGACTTCAACATTGTGATGTTGTAGGAGTGTGTCGAGATATTTGAGACGAGTTTCCAGAAAGTGAACATAGCTCCGAGGAATCTCTTGCTTTGTTATCGGGTCATAGCCGACGCACTTCACTTGAGCCCTTTCACAAGGTTGGCATCGTGGAAGTGACGAGTCACATCTATGTTTTCGCGATCGACAGCGATGACAGGCCGAGACATTGCGAAAAGATGAGACAGGAGCCAAAGTTGCTGGTGGATTGAGCGTTGTTAACTCTTTGAATTCTCCAAGATCTTCATCTTTTGGTTGGTGATGGCCTGATGGTGAGACCCATTGCACCTCAAAGGGAGATGTGGCCTTGGGCATGTCAAAACAAACAAACAATCACCGGTGTCGGGTTCAAACAATAAAGGAAGATGATGCTGCGCTAGCTTCCAAGGTGAAAATCAATTTTGATATTTCTTTTTTCTACATTTCTCTGCAAATGCGAGAAGCTTTAAGTGCCCAAGGTGGATCTGTCGGGGACTGCTTGAAGGGCAAGGCGGCATCGGGCCAAACAGCAAATCAAAGCCAACCAAAGAATGACGATGCAACTCTCTAGAATGAAGTTTCATTTGTCAAAATCATCACGACTGACTCTCGCGTTGGACTCGACCGAGAAAAATACGATAACAGAGAGTTGGAATTACTCGATGAAAACCCCGGAAATGCAACGGAGAGGGCAAGCTAGTGCTGATTTTCTATCAATTACTCGATGAGAATTTGTGAGAGGAAACGTCGATAAGACGGAATTGGGGTCACATTAAATTAAATTACTCGATCAAAATATAAGAACAAGCTTGGGGTTGATCCGTGGATGCGGGCACCACGGAGTAAATACGTTTCCCGCGGGAAGTCAATAGCCGTTTGGCAACATTTCACTCTACCAGTGCGATCGTATGACGAATGAGGCTGTGAAATAAGCCCATAATACATCAACGATTGTCCGTTCTGTAGCTAATATGCCATGCTAGTCAAAATCAGGCAATTGAACGATTGAGCCGACCCGAGGGAGAACTACTGCGAATTATCGTGGGGATGGAGCTCATAAACCCGTCGCGCGGGAAGAGATATCCATCAGGGAATGATCTTCTTGGGTTGACTGAAAACATATACGATATCTCTCTTGTTACTCGATTGCAATATGTACTCTTTCTCAATGGCCGATGTCGGCTAGCAGGGTCCGAGGTTGACCCCTATTGATCCACTTTCCATGCCCCATACCCCCCACTCAGGCTTCCTCCACTTTCTTCTCCTCATCGGCGTCCAGACTCGTCTCGTAAGGAACTTCGTTCCAGGTCTCGCTTGTTGCAGGGAGAGGGACCATCTTGGCTAGAAGCCAATAAACCGCCCCGGATACAATGAACCCGGAAAAGTAATTGATGTTGTAAATGTATACTGCGCCCTGAGGGACATTGACCCCCACGGCACCCGCAAATCCAACAATGTTGATTAAAATGCCGCAAAAATAGGCTGCATACCCATGCCATGAGACTCCATAAATCCCATAGTAGGCACCGTCCTTGCGCGCACTGTATAAATCCTCAATATCGAAATAGCCTTTGCGTACTAAATAGTAGTCGCTAGCCATGACACCTGCAATTGCCGATAGAAAGACGGAATATGCGGAGAGGTAGAGGGTAAATTTGTTAGAGGAGGCAACGAGAGTCCACTGTGATCCATGTTAGCTATGACTCAAGGATTTAAAAGCTGAAGGTGACTTGCAGGACACATAGCAAGCCCAATAGCTGCACAGATATAGCCTCCCCGTCTGATTGTACAGAATCGTGGCAGCAAAGCAGTCAAATTGGTACCCGCAGAGACTGAGTTGGCGGCAATGTTCGTTCCAAGCTGTGCCAAAGCAAAGCCACTGGCAATGACGAAGATACCAAATCTCTCTGCTGAGCTGGCATTTTCTAAAAACATTCCTAGGAGAGTCAAAGGGTTCCAAACGGATTGGTTGAAGATGACCATTGCAGAGGAGGATACAACAATTCCAATGAAGGAAGTGACTGCAAAGCCCACAGGAATGGTGATCAGCTGAGGCCAGAGTGCATCCTTTGGCTTGCTTGCATATCGCGCAAAGTCAGGATTGTTAATCACCAAGGCGGCAAAATTGGCAATGCAATTCATAATACTCTTGACGAATACCCATGCAAGTGCACTGCCATGAGCAGTATTAGATTGAGTCATGATTGGACCCAATCCATGGGCGCGTGCAATTGCCCAACCGAAAAAGGCGATGGCACATGCGGGAGAAAAGTATGCCTTCACCGTGAAAAGATGCCGGATCTTGTAGATTGGGAACCACAGAGCGGGAAGAGATCCCAACCAGAACAAGAAGAAGCTGACGAACTGCTTTGTCGTCACCCCTGCGTTGGCAGGCATAGTATTGGGAAGATTTGCGTAGCTTGGCCAGATGGCTTGGATCATCAATGTTACGCATTCACCTTTAAACATAGAAGTTTAGCGTTCATCAGTAGGGTTGATGTTTTCCTTTTCGGATAGACTGACCTCCAAGATATGTCTGGGAAAGTCAGCTTCGATTATCATACCAAGCAGGGAATGGTGTAGTTCGAGACTTACTTGAACACCATACCATATCACGGCCATGCCTGCTCGATTGAGAATGGGCCAGAAAGAGCCCCATATTCCAAACGAGGCTCTGTTGGTGACAGCGAAGGGGATTCGATAAATAGTGGCAATCCGACCCAGCAGACAAACAAAGATTGCAGCAAGACTGTAGCCAATCCATACGCATAGCCAAGACTGCCACCAGGATAAGCCATCAACGATCATTGAAGATGAGATCATCCATGTGTTCTGATGAAGAGATGGTGATATGTAAGCCCTCCACCCCACAAAGAACGTGAATATTGAATGGAGATAACAGTGACTTGGGGAAAGCATCAAAGATTACCGACCACATTCAGAGAGTCTGCAATCCAGAAAGCAACGAAATTGAGCCATCTCCACTGGCGGCGCTCTGGTTCGACTAGTCATGAAATGGAAACTCGCATTAGCGTTTTCGGGGAAATTTGAAATGTACAATAGACTTTTGGATCGCAGTCAACATTTATAGAGAAAGACTGTTTCGTCCAGTGACTCTCACCTGGTCGAAGGTCATCATTGGTCAACATTAACTGGGCGGTTGTCAGTCCCGGCTCGGTGGGAGCCTGCAATTTGCCTAGCCAGTATTTTAATTGACCCATCTCGAGTTGAAAGAAAGGACAGCGGTATGGAGGAGGGATGAGGCTTTTTGAAGTTCACGAGTTATTTCACACTAAGTCAGATGGCTAGTGAAAATGACCATCAATTGCTACGCCTGCTCTGCGACACTTATAGTCTACACATTCGACCCGCGGAAGCCAACCGAGCATCATGTGTAATCCTCAGAGCATTATTTCTCCCCTTCCGACCGTCATAACTGTTCCAAGTGAACCTTAACCCCGCATTTATCTGGAGTCTTGAGCGGAACAGGTAAACATTGACCTTCTTATCACGGCTCCACATACTCCGCAATATGAATTTACGTTAGGTAATTCGAGGCAGTCAAGGGACGAGATCGGCCTAGACAGTATACATCACCGGCTCAGGAATATGACTCTATTTCATTTGAACATGAGAGCACTGTTGCTAAGAAAATGCCTTTACTGCAGCTCAAATCTAATTAGTGAATCTTTCAGTTTTTCCACCTCAGCAGCCGCAACAACATCGCTGTTGTCAACCAATGCACTGGAATGGAACGCTCGTCCATGCGTTCTCTCCCACAGCAGTCGAATATTAGACGATCTAACACCACCACCGACTATGATCTCAGGGACTCGCAGGTCAGACAGTAATTGTGATTGGGTCAGGTCCGCCTGTCGGAATAACTCAGCGAGCTTGTCAACGCATTCAATGGCTGTATTTCCCGACGGACCCCCGCTTGTAAGGATCGAAGCAAAGCCACATTCCGCTAGGTTGCCGAGCGCTGTGCCCCAATGTCGTTCCGGGATACAATCAAAAGCGCGGTGAAAAGTGCATGGCTTGTCACCTGCGAGTTTGACCAGTTGTTTATTTCTATTGACATCGATCCATGAACATGCGGGGTTATCCAACGGAACTGGATTGAGAATACCAAACACAAATCCATCGGCCCCTGCATTTTTTAGCGTCATCAATGTGGATTTCATGATTTCAAATTCTTCATTGTTGTAAAAGAAGTCGTTGGCACGTGGACGGATCATGACAAAGACTGGAATTGAAACCTGGGTTTTCAACCGAGTCAGCATCGCTGGATCAGGCGAAAGGCCCCCAGACGTGTAATCGTAGCATAATCTACAGTGAAATTAGCTTGATATTCCAAGCCCACAATGTGCTATATGGCATTGCGAAGCTTCATGTCCAGCATTGAGTTGAATGGGGATACGCAAGACAAGGTGAACTGGTACGGGCCGCTTACTCAATCCGATCAGCGCCTCCTTCGGCTGCATGGACTCCTGAATCGCCGTTGAAGCAGGCAACCTCCAATAACGGCCTTGCTAGCCTATCGATATGACTCATAATACGAATCTGAGCCAATCGTACTGATGGCGAGCTGTCTTATTTTGAACTAAGAGAGATGTGAAAGGGTAAACAGAGGTGCACTCGCCGGGTACCGAATCACTTGGGCGGCTCCTGAGGCTTAATCAGCCAATTGTCACCTGCATCTCGGGCGCTCTGTTCATACTTCCAATAAGTGGGCACAATAACACTGAAAAGACTCAAATCAGAAATGGGACCTCACCCTTCATGGTAGAAGAAAGGTCGAGTCCAAAATTCAAAGCATTTGATAAATTCTTCTCAAAATACATGGAGTGGATTATGATCAGAAATAATCAAGTTATGATACTTTGAGACGTGAAAGGCGAGCGGCTGGCACTACTCATAAATATTGTTATCCTTTCATCTCCTTTCCTCGAAATTTCCCAATGCCAACCTATTGCTTTACTGACATAGAGTCTATCTCCGCAGTTAGTTGTTCCTCCACCACATCCGTGTCGATTGCTTTCTGGCCCCGTCGGAGTTTCTCGATATCCGGCACCGAGGAATGTTTCTCTCCTTCAAAGAGCGCGTCAATCTCCTCCAGGGTCTTTCCCTTTGTTTCAACCCAATAGTATGCCTGTGATTGTAAGGATTAATCGAATCAATCATGGGAAAAATACTTACAATGAGGCCAAGAATGACCAGATCCCAGGATGCATTAATCATGTACATCTTCCAACCAATGTTGCCTAGGCCAATTGGCATTATGAAAGTGAAGACAAGGCTAATACCATGTTAGCGCTCATGGCCCCAGACAAATGTTGGAATTGGAACTCACGCAAATGCGTTAAGGACAAATGAAGAAAATGCCAATCCATTCGCACGAATAGAGTAATTCATGACTTCGGGTGGGTAGAGATAAAGAAGCGGTGTCCATGCGATAGAGTAAAATCCCTGGAAGAGGAACATCACCGCAACATTGCCATATACAAGTGAGTTTGATGCACCGTGTGGGTTTGATGCATATATTTTCGATAGGCCGCCAATGATGAATAGGCATGCACTCAGCAGGACTTGAGACAGCATCGCTGTGGGTTTTCGCCCCCATCTAGCTATTAGATGAGTGCCAATAAGACAGCATGCAAGACACCAAACATTCAGTACCACGTTCTGTCAAGTAAGCGTTCCGGCCTGCACGGGAGTATACAGCCGGAGAACTTACTGCCTTGAGCTGATCATTGGTGTTCGTAATACCAGCCGTGTCAAGTTCCGACCCGAAATAGTATGACGCGATGATATTTCCAGCAATGCAAGAGAATGGTCCCGGGGACATTCCGATGAGCAGTCGCTTTCTGGCCGAAGGAGATCGAAAAATCTCGACAGCACTCATGTCATGCACGTTTTCTTTTTCCCACTTGAAGGTATCCACAATCTCTTTGAATATCGCGATAACAACTGGATCAGACAGGCTCCCATTTGCATTTGTCTGCGCCACAGAAAGTCGGGCTTCCGCGTAGAATCCTTGGCGAACGAGCCATCGAGGAGATTCAGGACTTGATTTGATCGTTAGCCAACTCAAACCAGTAAAAGAGGAAGAAGATAGAATTAATCCGACGCACATAAATGGTAGGGTGAGAATGCAGAGGAGAGAAAATATCGCCTGGAAGAGTGAAGGGGCTCTCCATGCCCATGTTGACTGCCACTGTCCAGTGCCGAGGGTAATTCCAGCGGCGATCAAGGCACCAACGCTATATTTGTGAGGATTGTGTCATTGCTCAAGGAGATGGGAGAGCATACTAAAAAAAATCATTCAGTAACCCAACTCCCCAGGCACGCCACCGACTGGGGAATGTTTCCGCAAGATATACACCTCCAGCAATGCCAGAGATAGCAGAACCAAATCCAAGAATAATCCGAGCCACCACAAACATGGCAATGTTCTGCGCGGCAGTCTGGAGGATGACTCCAACAATGGTCAAAGCTGATCCCCAGAAGATCGCAGGGCGACGACCTAATTTATCTGCCATGACACCCGACACCATTGGACCGAGGAATCCACCAATAAAAACGGATGCAGTGTTCAGCCCGGTAGTAGCATCATTCAAGTTGAAATATCCAGTGTAGGAGGGTAGGATGTTGAGGCCATTCAGCATGGAGCCATCGTAGCCTCCCGTCTTGGCAAAGTTAGTCTTAATGGTGCTTTGATGAGATAGTAGGCGCAACCTACGGCAGATTGGACGATTGAGCTAATCAGCAACAGGATAGAGACTGAAATTGTATTCTCGGGAACCCATGCGGGCAGCCAAGTGCCAGTTGCAGTCTTTTGCAGCATCTGATGATATACCTATGAAGGATTCCGATTTTGTTTGCATTGATTTGTTCACGAGCTACCAAGCAACAAGTTCAAGGCTGGCCGTTGTAGGTACCTAAAACTGGGATATATACTTTATGGACATGTCCCGAGGTCTGGCTAGGTACTCCGCACTTCTCTTATCATATAATTAGACGATAGCAACGTTTCATTGGGAGCTAGCCGATCAGTTGGTGTTGACATTAAAGATACGAGGTCATGTAAGCTTTAGCCTATCTGCTATCAAGCATTCCTAAGCCTTTGGCGCCATGAACCCCTTGCCAATGTAGCTCTTTTCTTGCAATCTACAACAATGAAAGTTTCAAAAGGAAGATGCGACATACATTATTGCACTTCCACGGGCCGGTTCTCTCTACTTAAGAAATAAATGAAAAAAAGGCGAACTTTGCGGTTGTTTCGACTAGACCAGGACTGCATATCAACAAAGCGGGGTCAATTCTTCGGGGAGCGGCACGACGCGACGTTGCATGGACTGAACACTCCAAAATCAACTATTTGCTGCCAGTGCAACCTTGAACAATCACGACTTCAACGCTCACGTGGTCGGTTAAAATATTGTGTTGCGGTGGTTAGTTGGCCTCCGGCCCCTGCAATCTTGCTCGTATCAACTGAGATAGACTACCTGAGAGACATCATGTTAGGACGTCCCAATATTGCTATCGCAGGACTTGCATGCGAAACCTCTACCTTTTCCCCTGCACGCACACTCGCGCCGGCATTTCATCCACGGCGCGGCGAGCAGGTGATCGATGAGTACGCTTTTCTTCATCCCGGGACTCCGCTTGGGAATTCCGCGAATTGGCACGGAGCGCTTATCGGCCATGCTCTCCCAGGCGGTATTGTAGCCCGACAATCCTTTGAGGAACTTGCCAGTGAGATCATCACTAGGCTGATAGATATTAAAAATACAACCAACATCGATGGGCTTTGGTTCGATATTCATGGGGCGATGTGCGTTGAGGGGATGGATGATGTGGAGGCAGAGCTTCTTCAACGGATTCGAAAAATAATAGGTCCCGATGTCATGGTATCGGCATCGATGGATCTGCATGGGAATGTTTCTCATCGACTGGTGCACCAGGTTGATCTCATTACTTGCTATCGGATGGCACCGCACGAGGACGAACAAGAGACTAAAGAGCGAGCTTGCAAGAATCTTGTCGACATGTTGAAATCCCCAGCTGGACGGCCAGGTAGACCGTTGAAAGCTTGGGTCCCGATCCCAATTCTTCTACCTGGCGAACAAACTTCTACACGCATAGAGCCAGCCAAGTCGCTCTACGGATTGGTTCCCGTTGTTGAAGCCACGGAAGGGATTCTGGATGCCGCAATTTGGGTCGGTTACGCCTGGGCAGATGAGCCTCGTAATCACGCAGTTGTAGTTGTTACAGGCTGGGATGCAGATCGAGTCACTGAAGGTGCAAAGAAACTGGCAAATTATTTCTGGGACGCACGCGAGGACTTCAAATTCGTTGCACCTACAGGGTCACTGATGGAGTGCATAGATGCTGCTCTGGTGTCTACCAGTCGACCATTTTTCATTTCAGACTCCGGTGACAACCCCACTGCCGGGGGCGCTGGGGACGTGACTTGGAGTCTCAATCGAATTCTAGGTCGCCCTGAATTCAAGCCCTCGTCTGGTCCGACTGTCATTTATGCTAGTCTTCCAGGGCCGCGGGCAATTGAGACCATTTTACAAGCCGGCCTAGGTGCTATGGTTACTGTGACAGCTGGCGCTGAGGTCGATAACCTCCACGATGGCCCGATTACTATGACTGGCAGCGTTCATGCAATCAGACATGGGGATAGAGATGCCGTCGTGGAGGCTGTGCTTCAAGTTGGAAGTGTCTTCGTCATTTTAACCCAGTTACGCAAGCCTTATCACCGTGAGCATGATTTCACTCGCCTCAACCTTGCGCCACGGGATGCAGATATTGTTTTCGTGAAGATTGGATATTTAGAGCCGGAGTTGTTTGATATGGCTTCTGATTGGCTGCTGGCTTTGACACCAGGTGGCGTTGATCAAGACCTACCTCGCCTCGGGCATCGTCGCATTCATCGCCCAATGTGGCCATATGATCGAGAGTTTGCCGAGGCACCGGACCTGACTCCTCAACTTATCCCCTTCTCAAACGAGGCATTCTAGCACTTCCGTTCTGCAGAGACAGGTACCGCAGACTGAATAAGCTAAATTGCAGAAGTGAATTAAAGTAAATCGTTCGTTTGCCCGTGTACGAGAGCGGGATGAATAGACATAGACTCGAAAGAAGACATCTGATAGCCATCATCTGACTACCCAAAGATCCTTGGTTCCTACTGGAGGATTCAAGTTGAAGTATAAAACGCGACCGGAAAATTTAGACATTGCAAAATACCCCACATCCTACGTCGGTGTCTAAACTTCAGGTTTTCGGCAATCGATGGAATTTGACCCGATGTCCGGGATGTATTTCCCCACAATATGGTAATTTATGGACATAAATACGGACAGCCTTGGTCTGTCTGCAAGGGTTAATAGTTCTCAAATCTTCAATAAAATTCAAGCATGATGATCTTTTGTTTATTTGGGCTGTTCTATCTGCCCAGTCTTACTTCGGCAGCTAGCCTTTCGTTTGATATTCCCTCCAGCCCCCCATCCAATGCAAGTGCCACGCTCACTGAAGCCCCTGTCGGTGTCTCGTAAGTGCTCAACATGGTTAGGTCTGTTAAAATAGTGTGTCTCATTAAACAGCTTCGAGTTCTTCGCATACCCCGCATATGTAACCAGTGTCGCGTCGACAGAGCAGTGCCTGAGCAATTTCAAAGACTTGACTGGAGTTTGGCCACCTATCCGTATAGGTGGCACTACCCAGTGAGCACTTCCAATGAGTTGATGAGTTCATTACCACTAACGGCAAAAGGGACCGAGCCACATATGATGCCTCATCAAGTGCTGCCGTCACTTATACCGTGGCTGCTTCAGGTGATGCTCCTGATTCTCTCACCTTTGGACCATCGTTTGTCGCATTAGCTGCGGAGTACGATGGGGATGTAACTTTAGGCCTCAATCGTCGCTTAGACAATATATCCAATACAATTGCAGCTGCAAAACTCGCGGTCGAGGAGATGGATAACCTCTATGCCATTGAACTCGGCAATGAGCCAGAATGTCGGTGAAAGATACCCCAAGTCAAAGCGAATAGCCACTAATCATTGTCCTAGTCTATTCTTCTACCGACCCAATCGCGGACGGTGCCTCTTGGACTGCCGCAGCTGACTATGCGTCTCAGGTTAAATGGCAAGATGAAGTTTTCGGAAACTTATCCATTGAGAATATTGTTTCCGCCGGTGTTTATTTTGGAACATCTCCGGAGAGCATAGTCGGTCTTACCGCAGTTGAGGGGGATGCTAATGACTACGTGAAGGATTATTGCTCTCACAATTACCCCCAGTCTGCAAGTACTGCTGACCTGGAGACGCTTATGGGTCATAGCGATATTGCCTCGGAAATCGAGGAATTTGCTGCAGAGGTTACTGCTGCGGCTGCTATGGGGAAGGAGCATGTATTTGGTGAAACTAACTCCGGTATGTCTTTATGAAGTCTCTTATGAGGGACTGAGAGCTTATTTTGAACAGCGACGGGTGGTGGTGGCGGGATAAGCCCGACTTTTGGGGCTGCCCTGTGGATTTTGGACTATGTCATGCAATCCCTCATCATGGGCACCAAGGTAATGCTGCAAAAATACCGGAGTATTTCCGGATAAATAACTGATATTCTGGATGCTAGTCACTTTACTTCCACCAAGGCACGATCGGAAACTGTATATTCCTCTCCCCTCACTCAATGACCATTCGCTAACACTTTAAAGGCCAATACTGCTGGTGGGGTCGCTATGATATGGGATCTCCGTACTTTGGAGCATACTTTGCCACAATGGCGCTTGCAAATGCGGATCAAATTGCTCCACTGGATAGTGGGGATACAGCATTCGCGGCATACGCCATTTACAAATCAGGAGCACCTATTCGGGTTCTCCTTTACAACTCCGAATACTACACTAGTGGAACTCGATCAACCCAAGCATTTGTCCTAAGCGGCATACCGTCATCCACTGTGACGGCCAAGCGACTCACTGCTTCATACGCGACATCGCGAGTTGATGAAGGCGATAGTCCTACTGTTGCGGGACAGTACTTTGGAAATGGAAACTGTACCCTCATGGGTGGTGAGGTCACTGAAACTACCACGGCCTCGTCTGGTAAAGCGACATTCACGGTGGGCGCATCGGAGGCCCTTCTGATTGAGCTTTAGAAAGGCGAGACCAACTTGGAATTTCTGCGGGAATTCCTTTAATTGTCCGTAGATACAAGAGCGAATTGTTGTAATTCGATCAATGAATTGCGGAGACTCCGTGTCAAGCTGGATATTGGACCCATGACCCTGTAACCACCGGGAATTGTCCTGTTAAAGTAAAACGCGAAGAACATCCGGGGAATATCCGGGGAACCCCACATTTAAATCAAGCAGCTTGATCTGGACTCCCGCTCAATCCCATATTGGACAAATTGAATAGCATTTCAATTCGGCTCATTTTCAAATAGCTTAGTTCAGTTCAATGTTCATCAATCCAATGTAGAGCAGCGAAACGCCAGACAGCTTGCCTGAGTTCATCTGACAATGTCATCTTCAATTAAGCAAGCATTCAATAAAGCGCTTTGGAACCTCCGGACGCGAGCTCTTTAATCCTTCAGGTCAATGAGGCGCACTAGGCATAGAATTCGGGACAAATAGACCCGAATCATTACCCGATGCCCGGGGTTAGGTACCGAGACTAGATCATCTAGTCGTATTTACAAGGCAAGCTCTGGGCTGAAAGGCTTGTATCGGGGAATGAAGCTTTCTTTCATTAACCGTTGCGGGGGATTATTTTGGCTTTATGTAACTTTTCGTTGTGAAATCCATTTTTACATGGCAACTTCGGTCATGTGTATTGGTGGCTTGCAAGCCATCGCTCCTTGTAGTATACTAGTCCGTTTTAATGAACCCCGCAATATCTGGAGGAAGCTTAAGAATCCGTGCGCTTAATTTTCGAAATTTGTCACAAGCCAAGCTATTTGGCCGGAATAGCTTTAAAGATAAGCCATCGAGACTCACAATTTTCCGCAACGGCTGGGACGACATACCATATTCACCCCTTAGATTCCTGACCCTCAAGCCATTATGGAAGAGCCGAAGCAAACAAGCGAAATTATCGAGCATGCTCAGGTGGAGCATGCAGTTGATGATGAGCCGTCGAAGCAACCAGTGATGCGAGCCAAATCGGATGATCTCTCGGTCTGGCAAACCCTTAGCAAATTCAAGTTCATCTCGCTGGTCGCTATGGCTGCATCGTTCAGCGCATCTCTGGATGGATATCGTAAGAACAAAACCTCCAAATCATACCAGCCTTTTGTCTGACAATTTATAAAGAAATTAGTTTGAACGGAGGAGTTGTCTCGAACAAGGGGTTCATTGCTCAATTTGCCTCTCCCGGAACGTCAATCATTCCAGGACCGTATGTGTCTGCATGGGGCGGTATTCAATCGGCTGGTCAAACAGTTGGACAAATTGTGAGTTCTAAGTAATCCAGGTTTTCTTGCCCCTGCGCTGCTAACAATATTCCCAGCTTTTGCAGTATGTCACCGAGGCCTATGGACGTAAGATTGCTTTGTACCTTATCTGGGTGGATCTCGTTATCGTGAGTAACTTGGACATTTCACATTTAAGAATCCATGCTTAATTGCATGAATTAGAGCGTTTTTATCGAATCATTTGCCACTCAATGGCAGCACTGGCTTGTCGCGAAATTGTTTTCGGGCATGGGTGTCGGCATGTTGCAATCTACGCTTCCGCTCTACCTATCTGAAATTGCACCTACTCAGCTACGTGGATTCTATATCAATGCTTACAGCCTGTCAGTTTGTATCTTCTGTTTTATTTTGGTGGGTGTTGTTGTTGGCTTACACGTCACGGACTAGGTGGTTTGTGCTTGGCCAAATCTTTGCTTCGGTGGCACTCAACAGGCTCAACGCCTCGGACCCTATGGACTTCCGAACTCCCATCTACTCACAGGTGCGTGCTCCTAGCATAGAGGTGAAAGTAATACGATATATATGATTACTAACAAATAATTCCATTCCAGTGGGCGATGGTCGGTACCATTGCTATCATCTTCCTCCTGATTCCGGAATCACCATGGTGGCTGGTCAGCAAAGGAAAGAATGATCGCGCAGCAAAAATCTTGCAGAGATACAATGGTCATGTAGAAGGATATGACGTTCAAGAGCAAATTGTGAGTCAAATATCTCAACATTCGAAAGAAATTACTGACATGCTCTTAGAGCGTGATGGATGCCACCGTGTTGCAGGAACGTCGGATTGCTGAGCGTAACTCAGAAATTGGCCAAATGGCTATCTTCAAAGGCCGTAATTTGATTCGATTTCTCATTGCGTCTTGGCCAAAGATTACACAGCAGTTTGTGGGACTGGCGGTTTTCAACAGCTATGCTACCTACTTTTGTAAGTCCTCTCTGACTATTCCAATGTTCTCCGACTAATATGCCTTCTCAGTCCAATACGCTGGCAGCAATGACCCCTTCATGGTAACCGTCATTCTGTCATGTGTTCAGCTCCTTTCAATGCTTATGACCGTCACTCTTACTGATCAATTCGGTCGTCGGCCTTTAACCGTTTACCCCTATGCAGTGACAGTTGTGTCGGTTTTATGTCTTGGCATCATTGGGTGCTTCGACTATACAAAGCCTGCGACCAGTTCGCTATTGGTACTTTTCCACATCTCAGAAGTGCTCGCTTGGCAATTGCTAATAGTATTAATTTCAGATTTTCTTCGCTTGCATGGCCACATTTTCTACGACCGGCGCATCGGCTATCGGATACGCCTACGCAGCCGAGGTTCCTCAACAGCGTCTCCGAGCCCAAACTGCTGGATGGGCTCTGGCTTTATCCAATGGTGTCGCAATCATGTTCAGTTTCTGCACTCCATTGATGATCAACAATGGAACAGTTTCGCACTGGGGTGTTAAGACGGGATTCTTGTTCGTTTGAAGCCATCTCTTCACTTGACAATGCATAACTGACAATGACTGGATAATAGCTTTGCCGGAACTGGATCTGTCGCTGTGGTCATTGCTTGGTTCATCTTACCCGAAGTGACTCGTCGCACGCCTGCAGAAATTGACGAATTGTGAGTTCAAGTCCTTCCATATTTCATCTTAGCAAGGACGTGTTGCTAACATGTCTCGCTCTACAGATTCGAAACCAAAGTCAACCTTCGGAAGTTCAAGGGACATGTCACTGAAGTACAGATGCGTGCAGACGCAGATCATCATATTGAGAAACAAGCAGTGGCTTGATTGACTCGAGTCACACGAGTAAAAGGATAAGCTAGATATAGTGTTCGCTTATAGTGCCGTGGCTTGTGTCCTGCGTGTTATTCGGCAAGTCATTCTGTATTTCACGTGGGGCTCCAAAGCTGAATACACATGATCTGAGCGTAATGAAGATAAGTTTTTTGTCTGAGTTGAATAATCGACATCCATAAATGATCACTCCTGAACTCGCTCTAATCATGATTTTCCAACTATTATGACCTCGGGATAGGATAGCACTTGCAGTTCCCTCACTTTCGCTTCAATTCGTCGAAATATTACAACAGCTTTTTCAATTATCATGCTATCTCTGAATAGCCATATAAGAGAGATTTTGAAAATGATTCCCTCAAAGAAAAATCATCCCGTGCTAGATGGGGGCGGGCTTCACCAGGCCACTTTTGTGACTTTTTGGAATTGGTCCTTCAGCACTCGATCTCACACAACGACATGTACGCTCATTCTCCATCAAAATGGAATTTCAAAACTATCAAATTCTAGGTAGACATGCACTATGACGAGAACTAAAGAGGCTCATAAGCTAGCCTGACATTATCAACAAGACCATATTCCATCGTACCCGCACCCGGCAACTGAACTGCAACAGAAGTCGCTTTCTGTAAAACAAGCTCCACGTTAATCATGCCCTCAGAATTGGTAACCCAAGAGACAGTCGCCATATTATCGTGACCCAATGCAACCTTTGCCTGCAGGGTACCGGTGAGGTGGAGCCGCGGTTTAAATAATATTTTGGAACACCCATACGCGATGGGAAATATTCCCGCAACTTCAGTACAGTACTCATATATCGGAACACTACCCCATGCATGGCAATCGGAGCGTTGTCGAACATCATCCTCTTCCCAGGTCGACAGATTGTTCGCGAGCATGCCTCGCCACGGTGCCCACATTTCGTTCCAGACTCTTTCATACGCCTTGTCTCCAGCCATTGCCAGGGCACGGAGGAGATAGAAGCGCATCACATACGAGCACTTCGAAAAGTCAGGGTTGTCAAATGAACCCATCAGAATACGTTCTCTATCATCCGGTAGCGCAGCTCCGCAAAGAACGGCGAATACTTGGCAGTGTTGTGAGTATGAGTCTTCGCTTGCTACAGTGAGTGTCGAATCTGTGAAAAATTGGCCATCGAAGCAGTGCTCCCTAATGGCAGTTACCAGTGCCTCGGCGCGTGAATCGTATTCGTCCGCGTTTCCGGGTCGTCCAACATCGCGGAGTAGTCGTGCGGCCTGTCGTAAGACGTATGCGTAAAGCATGCTGAAGTACGTGTGTCGATTTGACTTCCGGCCTGACGTTGGAACTCCTTTATCGGGATGTTCGGCCGTTGCGCCCCACGTCGTCACCCAGTCAACATATTGCCATACATCTTCCGACATGCCGCTCACGAGGCCGAGTTGGTCGATGTATGAGTCGAAGAAATCAAGGACCCCGTCTATGCGTGGGACAAAGGAGCGAGAATATTTTGTGTCACCAAAGAAGAGGTGGTGATCGCACACCTGGAGAATCCAATAAAGTGGGAAGCCGGCAATGACCTGAGGAACGTGCGACGGGAAGCGTGATTGTGTAAGTCCTTCAGGTGTGATGGAAGATGCGAAGTTCGTGATTGCTTGTCGCATCAACCTGTCGTCACCGGATAGAAGGTAGTGAAATAACCCAACAGATCTGCTGTCTCCGGAATATCTACAATACTGTCAGCTGAATGTAAGGATTTTCCACGCCAGTAGAACTCACTGGAGTTGCTCATAAAATGGGCAGTCTGAGTAGCCATCAAACATGCAGTTTCTCAAGGTTCGAATTGACACATCCCAAATATCCTTGCTGCTTTGATCCTCGGGATTCTCCCAACCAGCTTTTACAGCTAGAGGATAATTCACCTGGGTTCCGTCAAAGCGTACCAACTCGACTGGCTCAGGTCCGATCGTGATTTCAACCCGCAGAACTCGGAATGTTCGAAACCAAAAGGGCTCATAATTCACCTCTTCTTGATCCGGGATAGCGAGTACCACCTCGTCATATGGACCAATTATGACTCCCTTTGATGCATCTAGCCGATCAGCCTTGGACCTAAAATAGGGGTATGAACGAGGTTCCAATTCATAACCCTCGGAATACGTGACTCTGAGGCCAACCTCGGATGACCCTTGAACACCTCTGAAGATCCATTTGAGAAAGGCAGTCGAGTGAACTTCTGCCTGTAGCTCTAGTTTATGACTGGACTCAGCTGGTAGGGTGACAAAGCCATTTCCAGCGAGAAAAGCAGTCCATTCCTCTGTTGGGAGAGGGCTTTCGCAGGATTTTATGATATTAATAGCCACCTTTTGGGTTTCGGGCATTGGGATAACGCGTGGACGTAAGCGCCAGGGCGGAAGCTCCCCATTGACACATTTGATGTTATATGGTACTGGTGTCATGGCGGGACTGGGCTTGGTGAGCCTAACACGCTCATTGATCTTGATTTACTCATTAGACAGGGAACCAATTATAGATAGGGAGAACTCACATGGAGAAAAACATCATCCACAAGCCCAGTTGGGAAGTCCACGCTTTCGTCCACCTGTGCCACCCAAGACTCCCGAGACTCAAGATTGACAGTCTCGGTGGTTGTTTCAACGCACCCTATAATTGTCAAGCCAGGGAAGGATGTCCGCTCGAATGGCATTCCCCCACGAGAGGAGGCAAAGTATCGAAGTACCACGATTTCCACTTTATTTTGTCCAACCTGGAGATGAGGTGCAATGTCTTGGCTATCATAGTACCAAATTAATGGACTTCCTCTGGCAGGGCCAGTGATAATATGGGTGCCATTGACAAATAACTTGTATCTCGTATCAGCGGAGGCATGTAGAATTGCTTGATTTGGTAGTGTTGTCAGATTGAAGCTCCGGGTAAACCTAACCAATCGCCCGGTGGTGTTGATACTGGAGGAATCGATCCAGTCGGGGACCCAGACCCAGTTGGCTTGGAGACTGTTGATGATCTATGCAAAACGTCAATAATTGAACGCCTGGGAAACGAATCAACCTAAAATACCTGTTGCTCTTCGGTTGTTATTTTCTCCATTTTCTTTCCAAAAACTTGAAGCTCCCAGCATTATTAGAATCGGGTCCCTGAACAGCCTTTGTACCCCCGCAACATGGTGGGGCGACAATGCTCGGAATTGTTTAGCCCGAGAATCTCTCCGGACACAAATTCAGAGCTCCACCCCGGCCTTTGAGCCTGTATTTACATGGTCACAAGGGATTTTGGAATAAGTTCCGATGATGAGTCTAAATTTCCCGGTCCGATATATGTTTGTTCAATTCTGGTTATTTCTTTTCTCAGCTCCCTCAGTTCGAGTCTGTCCTGTGAAAACGCCGAGCTAATTTGACAAGCTTGTTGCTCAGTTGAGCCAACCTAGACTTTTCAAGGCCCCTAGGCAAACCCCAGCCATCTCGCCATTCCATATGTCGCTCCGATCACCGCAAGCCAAGAGACAATCCCTCGAGCGTATAATACTCGGGCTACCATTTTGATTTCAGCTGCATCGTTGCGGTGGGGATAAGGCTCGTTCAGAGGCGTCTCCTTTCCAAGAAGCGCGCAAATCGGTCCCCATCCATCCTTCGGTTCATGCTCCAGGACTTCGCGCCCACGCTTTGCCGCCTCGGCCCGAACCCACGCGTTGTGGGCCTCATAGTGCTTGGCTGTAAACATCTCGTGCTCTGCGAGCCCGAATTTCTTCTGGCAATACTCTATATACCAAATCCACATCGCATGCATGTTGCGATCTGTTTTCCAAAGGAAGGTGAGCACTTGATAGGACCGTGTCTTTGCCCAGGAGAGAAGCTTGATGGATTCTGCCCAGCTGTCACCCCCACCTGGACGTAAATTGAGCACAATTTTGGCATCGGGGTACATATCCATCAAATCGTCGATGACGGTACAGCCTGGGAAGTCGGAAGTAGCTCGGAATCCATCAAAGATCCTGTGCAGGAGTTTGTGGCGTCGCTCTCGGTTTGGTTCTTGGAATGCCTCCAGAAGTATGTCACCACGGTCGGCATGAGGTGCGATATGTGCCATGTGCATGCACGGATGGCAGTTCAAGTGTTGAGATTCAAGAGCAGCTTGCAGAGAGCTAGTCGCGCAACGGGGTAGACCCGCAGCAAGGACCTGAAGTGGGGTATTGTCGGCTCGATCAACGTCGAGACCATCGGATATGAAACGCATTCTGACGTATATTGATAATTGCAATATGCTAGAGTGTCCGGGTTATAACGGGAAGGTAGCAAAGTGCACATTATATATCTATTTTTTTTTTACCATCTCGTGAAAGGACCTCTCAGGTTGGCCCCCAAATCTGACGCGTTAGTAGCAGTATGTGGCTTGAGACTACCACCTTGAGCTGAGTCGGGCAGTTTAATTTGATTTGTTGAGAACACGAGCTCAAAATTTTAATTGGCGGTAAATGATGGGTGTGTTTTGGAGATTTTTTTGGTATTCGTTCGGGTCTCTCCGTCATCTGCTTCCTGTTTCCGTTTCGCTCCAGTCAAGGCAGTAGGGAGTCGTTTCTCGGCTAGCATTTGAACCAACGTCTCGATTCGCTTTCCCCGAGATCTAACTGAAGTCGTTTGGACGCGCCACAGTACAGAATAGCGATTGGTCTTATTCAAAGTCTCAAAGAAAGCCGCAGCATTGGGCACTGCTGCCAGCGCGGCTTGAAAATCAAGAGGGATTTTCATAGTGGCAGGACCAGCATAAGCACGTTCCCATCGACCGTCAGCTTTTGCCGCTTCCACTTCAAGTAGCCCAGCTGGGCGCATACGGCCATTTTCCACCAGTCGATTGACTGTATTGACATTCTTTTGAGACCAAATACTCCTCGCTCGGCGAGGGGTGTACCGCACCAGCCACCAATCCTTATCAAATGCATTAGCGCGACCATCTATCCAACCAAAACATAATGCAGTCTCCACGGCCTGTGGTGCAGACACTGAGGGAATCCCCGAAGCCTTCTTTGCAATTTTGAGGTAAAACCCAGGCGCTGTTGCATGCTCGCGCTCGAGAAATACCTCCAGCGCTTGGGCGGTGGAGAATGATTGTATGGGTAGATCTGAAGGAGCTTCCGCTGACATAGTAAGTATCGTTATATTCGTAGCAATGAAAAGGGAGTTCCAGAGCTGAAAGGCGAAGGCCGAGACGCAAGACAACACGTGTGGGGTATAGATAAGGGGATAAGATAAGCGATAACGACTCCGCGTTTAAAAATAACTGGGGAATGACATCAGCCACACCTGTCAACATCACCGTCCCCTTCCCTTCCACCACAGTTTCCGAATGGTAGGGCTATCCAGATCTACCTAAGCCTTATTTCCCACGAAACGGACAGCGGACTCACCACAGTCGGTGAGAATGAGCAATGAACACGATGTCCCAGGAGAGCTGAACAACGAAGACGAGAGCCTGATTCAGGCCCCTGAGAGCGGACCCATCCAGCCAATTAACAAGAGACCCAGTGCCCAATGGAAGCCTTCATCTCGGACAGTAGAGGAAAGCTTGGCCAAAGGCCTTTCCAATGAAGACCTCTGGATGCTGATTCGACGATTCGACAAGGTTTGTAGCCCCCACAGGAATGGGACCCAATGCTGACATGTGAACAGCAAATTTATCATGTGCGAGCCGTCGAAGATTCCAAATCCCAGAAACTGGACCTCAATCGCGTAGAAATTGAGCGATTCCCGCCCGAGAAGTTGCGAATCACCCTCGAACGGTTTTACACATCGGTGGTTGTTGGCGTTATCGAGTTCTTCCGGCACATAACTAGATTGCGATCATGGAAGGAGTCCGGGCGAACCACTGTGTTCTGTATCGTACGTATAACTATGCATGATGCGTTCAGGTTGGTCAGAAACTTACAATGTCCAGGTCTATTTTACTTGCTGGGCTTTGGATATTCTCATTCCGACCATCTGCGGTATCATAATCTCCCTCATTATGGTCCCATCTATCCGGACATGGATCTTTCCTCCTAGCAAGGACACACTAGATTCGGAAGTTCCCAGTACCAAGGGATCGGCAACAGAGCAACCTGAATCTCTAGACAGCCTCACTGGCGCACCGGAGACCCACAAAGGTGAGGCTGCAGAGCAGGAAGCCAGAAATTTGATCGATAGCCTAGCTACCGTGGCGATGGAGAGTGCTGCGGCCAAGTATGGTCAAGCCGTTGTCGATGAAGCCCCCGAGCAGCCCCTTCTTGGTGACAGCTCAGAAGTCATTGACACTCCGGAGACTCCGAATGCCGATGCTCCCGAGGATAAGACTAAAAAGCCGATGAAAAAAAAGGTCTCGCACGCAACGGATAAGATCATGCGAGGATTGAGTGATGTTACCGATATTTATGAGCAATTCTCCAAGTATGTTTTCTATTTTTACCAGCCGGGAAAAACTCATGGCTGACAATATTAGTCTTCTGTCTCCAACGCCGCCATTTTTGTTGATTACATCTCGATTGCAACTGGCAGGTATCTTGACTTTGATATCTGTGCTGGTGCCCTTAACCTCTAGCTATTGGATTGTCAAGATCATCGGATTCTCCATTGGCTTTGGTTTCTTTGGAGATCCGGTCTTCACCTATATGCTGGATACCCTGAACCGGAAAATTCCGAACTGGAAAGATCGTATGGATTTGCAGAAGTATGCACGTTTTCATCTCATCTGTCAAGACCCTCATCGCTGATCGAAAATACAGGACTCTGTTGGCGGGGGTTCCGACCAATGCTCAACTAACATTGACTCTTCTACGAATTGGAGAGATCAACTCCGAACCTCTGCCGCCTCCTCCAGCCGTGGGTAACAATGACCGAGCATGGCCGATCGCCCGCAAGAAGTCGCAGGCTGCGTCTTCAACGGATCTTACCAAGCAGGATTCATCCCCCGAATTGCAGAAGTCAAACTCGAACATCTCCCTCCCTGAGACAAAGCCGAAGCGAAGAACGATGTTCAAATTTTTCAAATTTCTTCGTCGAACAATCGCAACGGCGATCCAGGGTCACATCGCATTCGACCGAGCAATGGCTATTGCAGGGTCTACCCACACGAAAGGCCTGCTTAGCATGCTGCAAAACAGACACTTTTCAGCAACCCCCTTTGGACCTCTTAAATTCGACGCAAAGTACGAGCGCAAGCGAGGCGCTGCAGTGATTGACAACTCGAAGGAGCCTCCGATCTTGTATTTCACAACATATCAGTCTGCTGGCTTGGATGATTTGCGAATTGAGAGCCGGAAAAAGGGATCTGTTCTCTTCCAAATTCCGGTGACTGACATCAAGGAGCTGAAGAAGACTGAAGGTCTAGGGTGGAAGCGGAAGTTAATTGTTGAATTAACGGCTGGTAGTAAAGAGGCCGCGGATGGCCTCGTGGTTAGTGGTGATGATCTGGAGCAGACGTATCATCTCACCGGTATGAGATCTCGAAACCAACTTTTCAATCGACTTGTTGCGATTGATGCACAGTTTTGGGAAAGCCGTTGATTGCCTGGTCCGGGAACTTCGGTCAATATGGTATTGAGGTTCTGGTCGATCTAATTTCAGGTAAAACTGCCATTCTGGATACTTGACATCTCCAAAGTCTAATGACCATTTTGAGATGTATTATATACGCTTGTGTCATACCCGCAGTCCTGTGTTATCTTTCATCTTTCGATCTTGTTTCTATGGCTTTTGCCAACATCCGAGATCTGACATTCAAGCTAGAAGGCTCGCGATCTAAGAAGTCAACTGTCTACATGGCATTAGCTACATATGAATAGAGCTTAGAAAACCCTTCTTCATCCCTTTAAATTTTCAAATTGCTAGCACAAAGGATCAATTCTTGAAGGAGAGACATGAATGAAACCCTGGTATCCCTTCCTTGAGGTCCACTGGTCCGTTATAATAAAGAATCAAAGAGAAGACAATGGGTTCCAAATTATCCTCTTTGATCCTTCTTTGCAACTTAATTGGACCCATTGTTCCACTTCTTGAGGTTTCTTTTTATTTTCATTTCTTTGCCTTCACCAAAGATCATCGCGATTGACCTTGTTGCTTTGTCAGTTATTTGAGATGGATATAAACCATACGGAATACCTCGCACAACGGAAAGCTTTGCCTATTGAATTTACAGAGTGGTTCACATGCTCTAAAGTTCTAAAATGACCATGCCTCAGAGCTTCGCTGCTACGGCTCAACAACTTCTAGACCCGCGCAGTGACCTTTCTCAGAAATACCCACACCTTCACCACGGTCTTAAATGGCGATTAGAAAAAGCTTTGTCGGACAGAAATCATGAGCCTATCTCAAGGTGTGGCCATGTAGTGTTCAATGGCTACGAAATCGGAAGAAACGACGAATCCATATTTCAAAATGAAGAAAATTCCGCATTCGTTGATTTCCTTGACCCGATCACTAAAGACCACACAGGAACTCGTCTAATCCGAATATGCAACAAGTTAACTGACCGTATGGAGATCTACGGTACAATTGGCCATGGTAGTAAGTCCCTATTCTCCTCTCTTCTTCCAGGACTAGTCATATGCTAATGTATTATAGCGTTTGCGGCTGTGTATCTCGCCCGAGAAAGATGCGGTCCTGGTCAGGATCCTCGAAATGTGAGGCATTTTGCTGTCAAAGTCGAAAGACATCATACAGTACTCGGTGATAGGGATTTCATGTCGGCCCCTGTGGTGCCAATTCATGATAACGCCGATCAGGCGAGGTATATTCCTACTGAAGCGCTTTATCTTCTTTTTCTATCAAGCAGTGACAGGTTCCCGAAACTCGACTCTGTCTACATCCATGATCGATATCAAGCAATTGTGATGTCTGCCTGTGTTGATCCCGCTCTAGATCGATGGTCCCCAACGGTAGGATCTTGTGCATCTTTCTTCCCCTCTTTCACGGGCAAATATCTCATGACCAAAGATAACAGGGCCATCCTCGATGAGTTGTCGGCTTGCAAAGTTGCAGCGCAGCTACTAGAAGCCGTTGCTGATATGGCACAGATAAACCTTTTCCATTACGACCTCTCGCTCCTTAATTTTGTCGTTGACCAGAACCTAAACGTCCAACTCATTGACCTCGGCAACGTTTGGTTCGGACTCGATGATGGGGATTTCATTTCCTATACCTATGCATACCTACCCTTTCAGGAATACCAAATGTTGCCTGAATTAGCTGAGGTATTGTTCCGACCAGAGAATCGCGAACGAGACTTGCGCACAAATATCTGGGTCGAATTTGAGAATGATGTCCGCCAAATCACGTTGTGGAAGTACGGCGTTATCGTCTATGGGTTTCTGCATGGTTACTGGCCTTGGGATAATCCTCCAGCTGGTGGCCATGAGATGAATATACTGGAGTATCAAGGGGAGGAAAATCAAAGGGTTTGTGATCGACGAGTAAGAATGATGTGGGACGGTTTGCCGATAAGGGAGGACTTATCTCAGGACTGCAAGGACGTGCTGCGTCATCTGTTTCAGAGAGACCCTGCCAAGCGTCCATCTTTGGAAGCTTTGGTAACATATCCCTGGTTCTCGCAGTGGACATATCAGAATCGAATCTATGTGCGGCCCTTTTCACAAGAGTTTCAGGATGTCTACTGTCGGTCTATTTGACTGTATAACTCAGCTTGACCTAAGCGGGTCATTCATGATATATTTTGCAGCGAAACCATACACGCAGACCGATAATAATGAAAGTCGGTGGGCTTAACTTTCCAAAGTCAATTCTTTCAAAGTTGGGACTTCGGAATGTCCCTCATGTATCCAGATGTCAAAGATTGTTGATTTAGATATAGCACCGCTTTATATCTAGTAGGTACGCCTTATTCATTTCTTAAATGTAAAAGGAGGCATTGCCCACCCAGCAGCTCCGAGAGTCCTCCCTAGACCATGTAGCTCCTTGATCGTGAACTTCCAAGAGGCCTGCCAGCATGAAAGTAGGATAATTTCAAACATACTTTGCAATAATATCCACAGCTTGGAAATTTTCACACCCCCCACCCTTAGGTTTGTCGATCTCCACCTTGGCACTGCATACCGTGAAGTTGGCGTCAGGGTCCTTTTAAATCCATATTTTTACTTTCCATTTTTAATTCTTAGTTTTCTGCAGCATAGACCACGCAGAACAGAAATTGCTCCCAAGGCTTTTTGTATAACGGTTGGTGTGGCCAATTCGTACGTCTTGACTCACGAAGGTTGATGGCATTCTTCAATGGGTGAACCGAGGCTGAGGCTCCGCCCCTTTCCCGTATCTGCCAGAGACTTAATTTAGGAACTTGTCCGGAGTGATCCAAAACATTTCGGTTTTCGGTATAGCGCGAAAACAACAATAGCAGGTTAAGATTTGACTTTGGCGGGTATATTTTTATGAGAGCCGCACTATCACCTTTTAGGTGGGGCTCCACCCAATACTGAGGCTCGAGACAGCACATCCGTTTCGGCTCACCATCAACATTGGACATGAAAATGTACACTTTTTTGTCGTTATTTTGCAAGCAAATCAACGTCAACAGCCAGAACAAGCTTTCTTTTTTACGATGCACCATTTCAGCCGATTTGATACGATGGGACCAGCCCTGTGGGGCCGTGCCGCGCGGCATTTGCGTGTGCTATCGTCTGCTATCGCACTAAATTGGTCCCCGCTGGATCATCAGTGGTTGGTTTCCGGGTTGTCAATGCAAAAATAACCACCAAGCTAGCTGTTCGTGGGCTACGAAGCAGACCTACAACGCAAGCCTTTGCCTACAAATCTCTTAGAAGGCTAAGATTCAACGGTGGAGCCCACGTTTGCCAAGCCACAGTACGTCAATCTACTCGCGGCCATAAACTAAGAAAATCATTTAAATTATCTCTTTTGGCGCAGTTTTTCTTCTGTAGAATTCAATCACTCCCTTTTGCATCTCTACACCAAACAAAGTTGGCTGGCCCAAAATGCAGGGTCTACTTTTGCTCCTCCTAGGAGCGCAATTGTCGCGGGTCTCTGGTCACCCATTCTTCACACCTACCGCTGTTGACCAGGCACCACAAACAACCAAGCTTGCGATTCCACCTATGGTAGCAGATCTTGATGGAACAGTACAAATTCTCGAGATCCGAGATGAGCGAGAGCTGAATGCAATCTTTGCTCGTGATACTACTTCCTCATCCTCCACATCTACAACATCCACCACCTCATCCACTACATCATCTACTACATCTACAACGTCCAGTACTACCAGTTCGACTACATCCACTACCAGCTCGACTACCTCTAGCACCTCCAGTACCACAACATCTGATTCGACTTCGACATCCACCACCTCTTCTTCCACATCAACTAGCACCAGCAGTTCGACAACAACTACGAGCACCTCCACCACCACAACCAGCACTGCAACAGCGACAAGCACCGAGAGTGCCGCGCAAAAGAAGAAGAACCACCAAGGAAACATCAACGCCATCATCTTCTCTTGTGTCATGTTCTCCGTCTTCGCCGGTGTCGCCATCCTCCACTGCTCCAAGGAGCGAGCAAAGTCCAAGCGTATTGCCGCCCGTGAACTGCTCAAATCAGCCGCTGTCATTCCTGCACCGCTCGAGCCTACAAAGAATGAGTCCAGCACGAATCTGCTTGGCGATCGTTCATCTGTGATGTTCCGAGACAATCCTTCCCCGGCCGATTCACGACCCATTACGGCCCAAGGCACTGCTCCGACGCACGAAGCTGAACATCATTGATGGAGCGGTCTTGGCCTTTACTCCCACATGAGATCTCATTCCGGGGCCGGTGGGGTTTAAAATACCCATCCTTTCTTTATCTTCCTTTGTTTTTAGCATAGCACTGGTTCTCAATGCATAGAATATTAACATTTGTCACGATTTGAGTTTTTGGTCCAGATTTAGACTTATCGTAGACCCACGTGGGTAACTGGCACTACTTCACGTGGTCAAGATCCGCGTTCCTGATGTTTGTGCGATGCATTTTCTGACTTCATCCACAACCTTAAGACTGCAACGTAAGTTTTCGGAGTCGGAGTCGGCATGCTGTCACACTCCATGTTGAGAACGCAGCTTTCCAAGCTTGGTACCTTTTGGAATATTTTGAATATAGCTACGCTCACCATGACTCTTGGATACGTCAATAAGATCCAATGGGCTCTTGCGTACTGGTTTACTTCTCTATCCCACCAGTACTTAATTCCAGCCTTCTTGTATAAAGCACGGTCATTTCCTCTAGCCTTGCCCATTAATTAATCAGATTATACACCATAAATTTCAACGTCAGCATGGGCGGTATATTCTCAAATTTAACAAGAAATGGCTCGGCTCCAACTTCAGCCTCACGTCCTCCCTCACCCCCTGCCCCAGATACAAATGAGATAACAATCACTGGTTTAGCCACCGAATGGCCCTCCAAAACAGCTACCGGGGAAGATCTCCGAGAGTTTGCGCACAGTTTATATCCCGCAGAAGCACCATGGTTCGTAAAATTCCAGGCTCTGCATGTCGCTTTGCCTTGTTAAAGATAATCCAGGCTTCAAAAACTCCTCAAACTCAATGAGCAAACCGGAATTGAGACCAGGTCTGTAGTGGACCTCTTTTCAGACCCTCGATGGCGCCGGAAGGATCCCCCCAAGGCTGAAGAAATCGATGCCGCCTGGCGACAATACGGAGTACAGATTGCCAAGAAAGCCGCACAAAAGGCTTTGTTGGATAGTGAGATTCAGGTGAGCGACATCACACACATCGTCGCGGTCACTGCCACCAATGGCGGGAGCCCGGGCTATGATCAAATTGTCGCTCGCGAGCTCGGGATTTCGGCGACGACGGAACGGCTGTTGATAGGTGGCGTTGGATGTGCTGGAGGTTTGGCTGCCTTGAGGATGGCTTCGAATCTTGCCAGGGCAGCTACTAGCCAAGGTCGACCGGCTAGAATTTTGGTGCTGGCGTGTGAAATTTGCAGTCTCTTCATCTGTTCGGAACTCCACGCGGCGTCAATTGGACAGAGTATGGGGATTGCGGTTGCTCTGTTTGGTGATGGAGCAGCTGCGATGGTTGTTTGCAATGCGGATGGTATGAGCCGGGAAGATAATGAGAAGAGTCTCCCAAGACGATTTTCGATTGTTGATTCACGTTCTTTTATCACGCCTGGGACTCATGAAGAGATGGAGGACAGGGTCACCAGTACTGGCTTTAAACTTGTGTTGTCAAAGAACGTCCCAAGGCTGACTTCCGCATCGCTTTCGCGCCCGTTTGAGAGCCTGATCATGGAAAATGGAATGTCTGGTGCTTCAACAACGGATTTTGATTGGGCGATCCATCCGGGTGGATTGTCTATTATCAAAGGAGCCCAGGCGGTGATGGGGCTTCCGGATGAGCTGGTGGCGGCAAGTAATGAGATCTACAGAACTCGTGGCAACACATCTAGCGTTGCTGTTTTGGCTGTTCTGGAGAAGTTAAGGACATTTGAGATGAAGAAGCAGGACGTCATTGCCTCAAGCTTTGGACCAGGTCTTACAACTGAGATGATGCTGTTAAAACGATGGCAATGATTACTTTCATGAACGCGGTCACATGTATATGGGTTTTGCTCAGGTGCTGTTGGGTTAGAATATATGGGCGTGCAGAATTTCATTAATCATGCGTGCTTTGGCCTATTTGAATTGGACACGGCATGAAGCTCAATACCGTGTGCTGTCCGATGTGTTTTATCCCATGATTCATTCCTAGACTTGTAATTTTTATTTTGGATTTTGCCTCAACACAAAGATCAATCGCTGTCTATCTCTGCCAATCTCTGTCTCCAAATCTCTGGTAGATTAGTTTGGGGTATCTATTTCTTGACTCAAAGTTGTGAGAGCCATCCTCAATGATAGAGATTGACGGTTCTAGTTACAGTTTAGGATGAAGTCAGAGAAGTGGGGAGAAAAGCAATTTTGAGGACTAGAGTAAATCTGCCATGTCACTCGAGGACCAATTAGCACCGTGGCTGAAACGCACTTTCGCGGGAAATATGTGCTGATCACCTAGTCATCAAATGGGGAATGAGAGGTACATGTTTTGGCACTATGAAGCCATTGATCTGAAACACAAAGATTGGATACATCATGATTCTGCTTCCCAATCTATCCCTATTCCTCATTGTCAGAGACATCCATGCAGTTTCGGTCCTTGGTAAGAGTCATCCTGTTGCTGTGGAGAATCATTGCTAGATCATTGAGTTCACCTTCTAGGAACCGGGGGTTTTTTCGGGACGCGGTTCGAATCAATTGGCCAGTGTCTTCAAGGAGGAATTGGTTGGCTTCCAGAGTGCGGATGTGGGAGCAATGAACAAGGATCTGCGCCTCAAGATGGCGAACCTGCCCTTCAAGGAAATGATTGCGCTCATACAGAGCTTCTTTTTCGGCGTCAAACACAAGAGGCTGTGCAGTTACCATTGGGGTAGCGGGTGTGATGGGAGCGGCAGGGGCAGCAAAAAGAAGCGCCTTTTTTTCTGCGCCCTGTGAGGATGGGGAACGCACGGATTTGCAAAAATCACAACGGGTGTCTTTCTTCCGCCAGTGACAGTTTCCACAAGCCTTGATAAGATGACCCATGTCATCAATGACAACGCATTGTGTCCAGGGACCCAGATCATTGGAGCACGGTTTGCACTTTTGTGTTGGGACCCGACCGACTGTCTGGATGACGGCGGACTCTGCATTTGCAAGGGCTTTGCTGACCTGCTCCTGAAGCCTTTTATTGGACCAGTCTCTGCTCGCTCGCAGGACTGGCTCACGGATAGGGGTCTTCAAAATTAAAGCTTTGAGAAGTTCGGACTTGATGATGTTTCCTTTCCTAGCCACGGTCCACGGTAATGTCATAATGGCTTTGGAAAGCCCTCCTGGGGCTTTGTTGATGGTTCCAATCATGATGCCCGGAGCGACTGCGGGTTCTCCTGGATCATTTTTATCGGCGTCGTGGCTGTTGTGTTCATCAGTTTATGCATTCAACCGAGATTCAAAGGAATATCTTACTTTTCTGACGGGGGACCAGGGACTGAAGAGCTCATGTTGGATGAATGAGTGCTTTGCAACTGGAGTGGTCCTGGTAAAAGAGTGTGTGAAATGGATTGTGAGGGTGGTGGAGAAGGAAGAGGAAGGACAATGGAAGAGGTTCAAATATACAAGTGGACGCGTTGCCCCAAGATGGCTGTTAGAAGAGGGGACTTCACTTTATGGCACACCCGCTCCCCCAAGTTCTGCCTTGGGCTGATATCTACACACCATAGGTAACTTCTCTCTAGCAGGTGGCCATATATCCGATAGATGTAAACAACAAATGAAGGACCAAAATGCAGGCAGACGAGGAACGTCAAAATGAAAAATTGGACGAGCTAAGAGCATGGTGGGGGATTAAGCTGCACCTTCAATTTTCAATATATTTCATTTAAAAGAATATGAACGATAGATCGTTTAAAGAGGCTTGCGAGTTGCCACCGTAGATTTATAGTGACAAAGTGATCATCATTTGAGTCCCGCCAATTGCCAACGTAGCTGGAATGTATGCCTGGAGCACCAAGCAACGATATCAACAGCTCTAATTGCCACCCCCAACTATTCAGACGATCCGGAGACCCGGAATAGACGTCTTGAGTTTTCCAGGGTATTCGAAAGTGCTCTCTAGGCTTCCGGCTTCCCAGATACAGGAAGATTTAACGTGTGTGACTCGAACATCCCATTCAAAAATATCATAATGAGGCTTACTTCTCTCTCATTATGTGGATCTTCTGTTGTAGGGTTAATTTATGCATTGACTTAAAGAACACTATCCTGCCTATCGAATAGTTGAACTAGAGTATACTTCATCTTCATATACTCTAATTGCTACAATTGTCTTCTTATTCACCAAAGTTGAATGACCAATTAGGCTAACAAGTCCGTACAATAGGATTTCAACGTTAAAAGGCATATCCACTGGTGATCAAGATTCACCATAGATCGTGCATCCGATGCCATCATCACGTGACCCCGCATCCGATCTTATCGGGATCCGAACCCGGACTTTTCTTTCGGATCTGCATGCGGGGTCTCATTACTTGCACCATATCCGCCATGCTTTCTATCCCGACGGCCGATGCGCGGCAGTGGTCGGATCGAACCCGGGATTTGCTCCGTCGGGTGGCTACTGCCGTCATATATTGTAGCTTTAACATCTTGAAATCTGGATCGGCTGGTTGCATTTTGAACTTGTCACCATCCTCACTGATCTCCTACTGATCGTACGAGTGGTTCTGCGATTCTTCACTAGCTGATCCATCTGGGAGACCCGCAATCTGCGAGAGAACCATTTCTACATAAAATCTGAAGCGACAAAGTTTAATCATGGCAGACGATTCCTCAGCCAACGGTTCGCCGTATTCACCCGTTCTCGAGACGAGTCGCATTTTCTCCAGTCTTTGTGACCAGTCTGAGAGGCTCAGTTTACCTGAAGAGGTGCTCGCCAACAAAGACAAAGTCTCATTTTCAACCAGCCATAATGAAATTTACTTCCCGATTCCTTTCAAGGAGACTGAGACCCTTGCAGCATTGAAAGGTGTTGAAGGTTCCGTGGCTGCAGCCCTTGCCGATCTCCGATTTGGAACTACCGAACAGCCGCGTAGTGTGCAGGTCAGTCTGGAAGCAGCTACAGCCTTTGGATGTCAGGCGTATATGGCCAAGATCGATGGATTGTCAAAGCTGGATCCTAAAGTCAAATCCAAGTTGAAAGGTATGTGAGAGCAAGCGCTTAATAGAGCTATTATTAAACTAAAGTCTCAGACACGGATTTATTGGCTGCCCAATCCAACGGATATCGTCGCATGTCGGCGAATCTGTATAAAACCAAGAACCCAGGGGAGTTCTACCATATCCATGGCTCTCTTGAGGCGACCACAACATTGAACATGATCGGTCTCGAGGGCCATCGTCCCGATTTGACGGATTACGAAGAGATTATTAAGGTTATTGAGGCTCAGGTTCAGAAGTACACTGTCCCTGAGCTGGAGGCGATGAATAAGGAACGCCGTCAAGCGGGTGTCCCGGCACTCAAATATGAAGATTTCATCAAGACTCCACATGTATGTCCCTGATCGGTCTATTGTGGCTAGTCTCCAAAGAATCCGAGGAATGAGGATAAATGCTGATACAGAAATAGGGAGCTCTCAACGTTCAAGAACCACCATGGAAGGTTGTTAAGCTTCAAGGAGACATTGCCCCGACTCCGTTCCCGGCTACTCGACCTGGCAGCAAGAGGATTCTGGAGGGCGTCAAGGTGCTCGAGATGTGCCGCATCATCGCAGGCCCAACCGTCGCCCGCATTCTAGCCGAATACGGCGCTGATGTGTTGAAAATCACCAGCCCCAACTTGTCTGATGTACCCTTCTTCCAGGTCGACGGCAACATGGGCAAGCATGCCGCAGACCTCGATCTGAAGACTGAGGCCGGTCGCGCAGAGTTCGAGAAACTCTTGGAGGACGTCGATGTAATTGTCGACGGATACCGACCAGGCGCCCTGGAGAAGCTGGGCTACGGTCCAAAGGCCATGGCTGCCCTCGCCGAGAAGCGCGGAAAGGGAATTGTCTTCGTGAACGAGAACTGTTTCGGATATGAAGGTGAATGGGCTGGACGAGCTGGATGGCAACAAATCGCCGACTGCGTAAGTTGAACATTATTCTGATGCTTGAAAGTCATCTCACTAAAAAATTCGAATAGGTCACTGGTGTCGCCTGGGCCCAAGGAAAGTTCATGGGTCTTGAAACACCCGCGGTGCCTCCCTTCCCTATCTCCGACTACGGAACCGGATGTATGGGCGCCATTGCCGCGTTGACAGGTCTCTACCACCGCGCCAAGACCGGTGGCTCATACCACGGTCAGGCCTCCCTGATGCACTATGATCTTCTGCTGTTCGCAGTGGGTCAGTACTCCGCTGAAGTGCAAAAGAATCTTCGAGCTGCCCAGCCGGCAGAGTTCTTCCAGCTTCGCCATTGCGACAGTGTCGATCGCATTTCCTCGACTGTCCTCAAGGGGATGCACAAGCGATTCCCGCATTTGTATATTGAGCCGGGGGTTGAGTCCGAAGGCCGCAAATCGCTGACGGAGAGCTGGTTCTCAAAGGCTTACGGCACTGACATTGAGGTTGTCAAGCCTATTACTGTTGTGCAGGGTGTGGATAATCAGTTTATCAGGGCCAGTCGGCCTAATGGGTCAGATCGGGCGACTTGGGAAGATTTTGGGATTGAGCAAGAGGGCGACATTAAGAAATGTTGATTCCTTTTACTCCAGTGAAGATACCGAATACATGAGTCAGGCTATACATGGGGGCTTTTTTACCCTACAGCTACATAGAAATTCAGATATGTGTCTTTTCTATGACTGGTATGTTGCACATCGATTAGATCGTCGTTATATTGGGCAGTGATCAAGTCTTCGGGAAATTGATAAACTAGCGCGATTTTTATTGCCGATCGTCCCAAAGTAGCGGCCGTTAGCTGTCACTAGCGACCTAATACCACCCGTGAACCGAGCCTCAATTTTCTAATATGGGGCGAGCAATCGAATCTAGAACAACTCCTATAGGCATAAAGGGTATGACGCGCGGGGCTCAAGCCACCGTGCCACAGTTTGGGGCATTACGCATGTCAGTTAAGCGTGACAGGATTAGTTGCTGATCATCGGAGATTAATGCGTTGACCTCCAACGTCATTCCACTGACGTCATTTTTAATATAATTTGGGCCGTGGAACAAGTAAATAAAACCACCTGCCTCGCCACCAAGGGGAAAACGTCTTTATCCTGGGCGAAGTGCTGCATCAGAGGTATGTTATTCGAGTCAAATCAAAGAAATAATAGAAGATAGGGAGAGAGCTAATGAATGACTCCATCTATTCCAGAGCCTTATCTACATCTACCTACCTCCACTCTTCACCATGCCAACCATCCACGAGCGAATCCGCGAGGAAATCCTTCGCAAAGAGCGTGCTCTCTGGACAGCGATCACATCCGCTGATCCACCACCTCAAATCAAGAAACTAAGCAACCCAGAAGTTGTGTTGTTGTTCCCCAAAATGCCCATCCTCACCTTGGAGGACGAAGAGCAATTCGACGAATGCCTGAAGCCTCCATTCCATCGCTTTGACGGATTCCAACTGGATGATGTGCGGATTATTATTATCGATCTCATGGCCGGGTCGATCACATATAAGGTTTATGCCGTTCGGGGGGAGCAAGAGTATCGGGCAACCGGTTCTACTACTTGGAGTCAAGCGGCGGATGGTGAATGGCGGATTGTGACGCACCATGAGACTCTTCTGTAGAGGGAATTCTGTTAAATATTAATATTTGTCAATGATTTTATGATCGGAACGACCTCAATCACGAATCGGTTTTGTTCATACTAGGCGAAGATAGGCATATGAACAGTATGTCGTCAATGTGCTAAATCTGTATATACAATCATCATGCATGGTTTATTCACATATTTGTATCGCTGCAGCAATGGGTATAGGTATCACTAGAGCTTCGCCGTCCACAGCTTCGGTGGATCATTCGTCCTTCGTCCATATTCTCCCTTCCCGCCCAAGTCCACCACAATACCCTCTCCAAATGCAGCCTCCTGGCAATCCTCATCATCAACCCCGTTCACATGCTGCACCACAACGAAATCCACCCGTCGACGACCCAAAACCACCATGGGCGCGTGCCACGTGCCAACACCGTATGTCACAGCTTGCCCCCCATGCGCAATAAATGCCTTGATGTTCTTAAGATCAGGTGGATCCCGAATAGTGATCGTCTCGCCCGCAGCGTTCTTCGCCGTCGCGACCTCGCCTTTCAGTGTAGGTGCGACAACAACCAAGAAGATAGGTTCCTCTTCTCCATTACCGACCTTCGAGTGGCTTGACAGATCGACCGGGATGAATGTCTGGTTCGTAAACGGGTGGCGCTCGAGAATACGCACATCGAACACCTCTTTCTCGGAGCCTCGACTCTGCGTGATCGTACGCAATGGGCGCGGGAAGCAGCAGAACATTGTCATACGCGCGGAGCTGGCTGTCCCAGATGGGCCGGTGGCATAACGATCGAGCATTGGGGAAATGGGACTGTATTTTAGGGCGGAGTTTTGGTTTGCCAGGACCGGAGCTGGGTTGTATGGTGGGAGGTTTGAGGGCTGGGGAGCGACATTGAGGTCTCGTGGGATGGGAGAGCAGATTGCTGTGCCGAATGGTGCGAAGTTGATCGGTGTAAGAGGTTCGGGAGTCAGTGTGAGGGTCGGGTTGGAGGTGAGAACAGGTGCCATGGTGGCTTATGTTGAGGACAGCGGCGACTGAGAGTCAGTTGAATTGGATCTTTCGCGTGCGATCGCGAAGAGAAAAGGTCGAAAGCTGCGGAGATTCTGGGGGAAGCGGAGAACGTGTCGGCGCCCTCCGGCGATAAGATAAGCGGCGGGCGCCGATGCAATATGTTGTGGGTTTCAGGTTAGCCGTGGTGAAGATTCAATGTGAAAGAAGGAATGCTAGTCTAATCAAGCATAAACCTTGAAGCTACTCTAGCTTCCAGTGGCTGATGACCTTGGAACTGTCACAGATGAAATTAAACCATGTGTTGGGAAATGATGGGAAGAGTTCTATACACCGCAACTCGAGAAAGAATGTAAGGAGGGGAAAGACCGGAAAGGGTCAAAAGGAGAGTCTAAACGGCAAAAACAGAAAACAGCCAGTCTATAAAAAAAATGAAAGAACGAGTCTATAAAATGCGCAATCTATACCTTCGCATGTATCAAATATGCAAGATGTCAATGCCAACATTCTATGCAGGACATCATGTTCCGTCGAACGAAACGCTGCCCTGGTCTAGTTTGAGAAAGCATTTTTTAAGTACTTCCTTTGGTTTTGCTTCCCTTGGGAACACGTGCCCACCAGTAGATTCCAAGGGCAGCGACAATGTTGAACACCAAGTAAGCCCACATGATTCCAAAGTTTCTCCAGGCTTCGCTGTAGTAAGAGTCAACACCGGCAAGGAAGGTATCGGTAGAGGACATGGTGCAGTACGAGCACGAGCTCGTTGCGTTGGGGTTCTCAATATATCCACCAGTCCGTTCGGCATAAGCGTTCAGGTACTGGTAGCAGGTTTGAGAGCCCGGAGGGTTGAAGGTCAGGATTTCATCGGTGCTGCAGGTGACATTTGTACCACTGACGGCGGTGGATAACATTCCCGATACCAGATAGGTAAATGGAGAAACACGATACATGAAAATCCAGAACCCGGGCATCTCATCAGGCGTAGCAACGACACTAGAGACGGACCGAGTTAGTATAAAGAACCAGAGATGAGAGATCGGTGAGACTTACCCGCAGAACAGGAGCAGGAGAGCGAAGAGCAGATTAGCAATGTTTCCTCCCGTTTCCGCAGTCTCCACGCCGGCAATGACCATGTTCGTGAACGTAGATGTGAACCAGAGGAAAACCAGCAGGAACAAAAACATAAGCGCACCACGCTCATGCACGGCGTCAGTCGGCTCAGCATTTGCGTACAGACCGACCGGGTAATACCAGCAGAAGAACATCAACACTGCAACCAGGAAGTTCCAAGGCAACTCAACGATGATATTTGAGGCCATGAACACCTTCCACGAGTACATTTTGGATGGGCGCTCTCGGACTTCGAAAATGGAGCGTTGGATAATGAAGTTGGGCATAATCTGTTGAACAAGATTTCCAAAGATGGTCATGAGCATGAAGATACTGAACATCTGGTTCTGCAATCCCTGCTGGGTATTCTTTGCGTGAAAGAAAGAGAATCCGTTGTAAAGAGCTGTGAGAATGGAGAGAACAAGCTTGGACCAGATGTAGGAGGGGGTCCGCCAGTATTGGGAGAAAACTCGAGATAGACACTGCACAAGCTGGTCTTTTGTCGAGGACGCAAATTCACTATGTTTCGTCTCGAAATTGTCCTCCGGTTGCTTTTGAGAAAGAGTAGATTTCAACTCAGCCAAGTGGTCAAGAACAGCCTGCTTTTCAGCACTGTTGTTCCACGTCTCAGGCCAATCGATGTCACTGTGGGATCCAGGAGCAGCGCCAATCACATCAAGCATCCACTCTGCTGGGTTCTCGCCTTCGCTAAGAGCATGGCCGCCGTTGCGCATGAAATAGTCGGCCAAGATCGAAGAGTTATCTCCAATCTTGCCGAAGTAGACGGTGCGTCCTCCTTTAGCGAGGAATAGGAGGCGATCAAACCGCTGGAAAAGCATGGCAGAAGGTTGATGAATGGTACACAAAATGGCCTGGCCGTGCTTGGTCAGGGTTTCAATTAAATCGAGAATGGACCAGGAGGTTTGACTGTCCAAACCAGACGTAGGCTCATCAAGAAAAAGCAATAGCTGGGGTTTAGCAACAAGTTCCACGGCAATAGTCAAGCGCTTCCGCTGCTCAACATTCAATCCTATATATCGTCAGAAGCTGATGGAAAAATCCCATAATAGTCACATTATTTGAGACAACAACATACCTTCACCCGGGACACCAACGACTGCGTCAGCGTATGTTTGCATACCAAGCAGCTCCAAGACTTCGTCAACGTAGTCGAGCTTCTCTTTCCGGCTGAGATGAGCTGGCTGCCTAAGCAAAGCACTGAAATTCAAAGCCTCGCGCACCGTCGAAGTAGGCAGATGGACATCTTGCTGTTGAACGTAGCCGGTCTTGCGCTGGAATGAGTCGTCTCGGGGACGGCCATCGACCAGGACATCGCCAGTCACAACACCCATAGTCACACGGGTTGCAAGAACGTCAAGTAGCGTAGTCTTCCCTGCACCAGAAACACCCTAGTAAAATTGTGTTAGCGAGCTTTGCTGCACTATGCGAAGAAAATCCCTTACCATCAATGCAGTCGCGGTACCTGGCTTAACCCATCCGTTTACATGGTCAAGAATACGACGTTCCTCGCTTTTGATCTTGATATCGTAGCAAAGATCTTGCCACTGGAAAATGGCAGTCTGTCTTTGGATATTAGCTCCAGCACCTTCGCCCTTCTCTTCCGCCCGATAGGTTGCGTCTGCGGTGGTCTCAGAATCCAATGCCTGGGCCTTCGGCTGACGACCCCGACGGAACAGAAGAACTTCACCCTTAGAGGCAGCTTCGGTGATATATTCAGTCGCGATGAGGTAGACGAACATGAAGAAGATCATGAACGCGATAACGATGCCAAGGTTGCGCCAAAGATGATCGTTGGTATAAGCATACGCAGTCTCAAGGTAGGCGTCTCCGCTGACGTAGAGCTCTCCCGCACTGGACGAGACAGTGCTACAGATAGTATTGGCAACATCCACGTTTTCGTATCCCTCTCCGGAAGGAACGAATGCCGAGCATTTGAACTTTCTGTTGCGGAACTCGTTGACCATCATGCTTTCAAACGAATAAGCAATTGGATCAATGTAATTCATCCAGCGAGACCATCCCAACATGCCTTTCGTGGGAATGATGAAACCCGTGTAGATCACGAGACCGAGAATGAGTAGAGCAGCAGGAACCAGAGCTTGGGCCAAAGACCGCGATGCTGCACCAAATGTACGGAACACCATTGACATGGTCAATGTTGTCATAATAGAAAAGAGCCAAAAGATAAAAAAGGCGCCTGGCTCACGTTTCAGGTTGGCCATGAAGTAAAGCGGAAGATTGAAGGAGACGGCGTTTGCAAACTTATATGGAAGATCACACAACATAGACGCAACAGCTTCCGTAAAAGGATGGTAGAAGGCATATCGAGATTGCTTTTCCACAATTGGTCGTTGAGCATAAAGAGTCAAGATCTATTATGATGTTGTTAGAATTCCCAACGAGGATCTCCGTGAGATAGTAGGGTGGCTTACCTCCAGCGCACTGGCAAACGCAGCAAGCAGAACGGCATAGAATAGCAAGACTTCTCGCGAGTAGAAACTGGAGGTATCGGATGCAAGATTATAAAATACACTGCCAAGAATGAGAGAGAGGAAGAAATTTCCAAAAAGAGCCGAGTAGAATAAGCTCATATCAGCCTTCAGACGCTGGAAACCACGGACTAGGTTGAGGTTAATCTGCTCGTAGACCGAGAGCGTGTAGGGGGATTTGGCACGCCTAAGAGATGATCATTAGCATTGTCAAGATACATGTGATGCCGGTGGTTTGGCTTACTGTTGCTTTGACTGCATCTGACGGCGAGCTTCACTGAAAGTAGTGAAGGACTCACCACCAATGGGGTGTTCCTTGTCAAAAGCGTCAATCTCCTGCAGAAGACGGGCATACTCTGGACTATTTTGCCAGCGCTGGGCAAACTCCTGCGGTGTTCGAGGCACTCTTGCTTCGTATCCAGGTTTCACTCTGCGCTCAGCCGGACTAGTCAGGGAGGTAAGGAAGTCGGCAGTTGTCTGGCGCGATGGGCAGTCAAAGCCCATGGTGGTAAAGAAGTCACGAGCCTCGCCAGTTGGACCGAAGTAGATTTGCTGGCCTTCGTACAGAACAACGACCTTGTCAAAAACCTATTGTAATGGATCAGGTTAGTGGGATCATTTCAAATAACATCGACAATTCCAACTTACGTCGTAAGCACTCTGCGAAGCCTGGTAGATCGCCACACAGGCCGTGGTGCCTGCGTAATCGCTCATCAAGCGAAGGTTCTTACAAAATTCCAATGCGTTGGCACTATCAAGACCTCGCGTACTGTTGTCCCAGCACTGAAGGGGGGCTCCACTGAGAATGGCCTCTGCAATACTGACACGCTTGCGTTCACCTCCACTAACACCACGTACAAAGTCGTTACCAACTTTAGTATTGAATGTATGCCGAAGTCCTAGCATAGCCATGACAACATCCCGAAGATGTTCTGCGTATTGCTTTCTCGTCAAGTTGGGGAAACGTGTGCGTGGTGTACGTGCCATGGCGGCAAAGGTCAAAGTATCACCGACCGTGAGCTGAGGGAAATGCACATCAGTTTCAGCGCTGAAAATTGCTTCACCCTTGAATTGCTTCTGCATGATCGGGGCAGAGATTCCTATTGTCATTTGCTGGTTAGTATAATCGCATCTTATAAATTGGGCGTTGTTGCATACCTTGGTAATTCAGATAACTCTGATCGTCGACATAGATACCGTTCATCTCACCAGAGATCGTCTTGAGGAATGTTGAGCAGCCACTAATGAACAGTTAGAGCGGTCTTACTCAACCGAGATCGTATTGTGACAAGGCAGACTCACCTTCCAGGACGACCCAGAACCACCAACATCTCTCCGCTTTTGACGAGTCCATTGAAGTTGTCGAGGATCTGAACCTTCTGTTTTCCACTTCCAACAAGATTACGAACGAGACCGCCGATACTCAGGAGAGAATTGAAAACGTCTTTTTGATAGTCGGTGGGACTTCCAAAACCATGCACGGAGAGACTCTTGAAAGCAACACCGGCGGAACGTTGAAGGAATCGCTCCGGGTCTTGGGACTGGGCGGCGATCAAGGACCGAATCCAATCCTTGGGCCTAAAATTAGGACTGTCTGGGTGCCAGGTGGTTTCCTTGTTCTCCTCAAAGAATGGGTTGGCTGCATTGGCCGAGGAGAAATGAGTCGAGTGGCGGGTGAGTTGCCTCACCATCTCCTCGACCTCGTCCTCCATATCAACCTCAGGCTCCTTGTCTTCTTTGGCATCATTGTGAAGTGTAGTAGATGAAGCATAATGTTGTCTTGTTTCACCGGTTGGTAGACGCTGCTGCTGCGGCGAATCCATGGAGGGGATTCCCCCCAAGACCGACATGGTGAATAAAGACTCGATGCACCAAAGTTGCTTCCAGTAGAACAGACAAGGTCTATGTGGGCCTTAAATCCTTATAAGAGATCGACGGCAGTTATTTGATTACCAACCTGGCTGATGAATCAATCCAGAGCCGCTGGATTCCGTATCCGGCATTTCATTTCAATACTTCAGGTCCGGGACTTTCATGAACCGAGAAGTCTACAATTCGGCTAATCATATTATGGAGATTTCCTGGGGGCACTTGAATATCTCCATCACTAGTTCCGCAGATATTGACTAGGGATCACAGATAGAGATAGGGGCGCCACATCCGGGCGACTTGCTAAGATACGCCCATCGAAAACCGGTGTTTCAGCCCTGGTAGATCCACCAAACACGATCAACAACGAGTTATAGATCCATACCAAAGCTTTACTGCGGGTCAGCTACAGTGGCTGATTCCAGCCATGTGGTTCGGCGGCGGTTGATTCACGGGCCGTAGGTTTGATAGATCCCCGAAATTTACGCACCCATTACGCTCGGATGCTACACGTTCCGGTGAAATATTTCCCGGAAAGAGCTTTGATTGGTCAACATACATCCAGATGTAATATATTCTGCTTCAGTGCATGCAAATATTCATCGCTTTCGTCAATGAATAAATGCGACATATCGCACAAATAATGTCACTATTCAACTAAGACCAGGATGGATCACTATAGACTAACATGTCGCTTTTACTAGGAAAGCCGATGCGTTTGACCTATATTCGATCCTATTCTATGGAAAAAGTGGTTGTCACATTGACCTAAGTTTGATGATAACTATGCTTCTTATTTTCATGTTTACTGGTGTGATTAACACAAGCATCTTAATGGCCAATAATCACGTCAATTTCATCCGTTGCATTATTTTTCTGTAATAGGATATTAGAATTTAGATTGCCAAGTGGGCACAGGGCCGTAATAATACAAAATTCGACACAGGGGAAAAATAATTCTTTAAAAAAGGGGCATACCAGACCCATACCTTAATAGTCAGCTGAATAGTCCATTCTGTTTAGTCTTAGCCGCAAATATTCCGATCCATGGGCACGGGTGCAACTCGCCACGATCTGATCGTATTCCTTATATCTCTGATTTATCCCTAGTCTACTCTCGGATACTCGCATGCTGAAGTTTCTTTTTTTGAAGTACTATCAGCCTGATACCCAGTGGGGCCCAACAAGTAACTTTACTTTTTACGTCAGTAAAGGACCTGAAGTTTTTGGGCATACAAAATCAATTCGCATACACTGCTCTTATAATTATGCCACGACAGGCCACGAAGCCAACAGTGTCGAGAGACTCGCCGTATTCCACGGACGGTGCTCGTTCGAGAGTACAAAAGGCTTGCGATCGCTGTAGAAGGAAAAAGACGAAGGTATGCAACGGTGTGATTTCTACGTCTCCGCTTTCTTTAAAAGACTTAACCTAACCATAGTCAGTGTGATGGATGCAGTCCTTGCCAAAAATGCCGCGATGAAAATGCCAATTGCCTGTTTGGTGATCGGAAGAAACACCGAGAGAAGATATATCCGAAGGGGTAAGTTACCTAGCTTGTCAAAGACGAATCGAACAAAAGGCTCACTGGCTTCATAGGTACACAACATTCTTAGAAGAGCAGCAAGGCTGGCTTATCCATGGCCTCAGAGAGCTATATCGACATATGCAGGCCGGAGATGGCTGGCCTGGAGAACCTTTGAAGTGTGGAGCCAATGGTCAGCCTTTGGTACACGACATTCTCTCTCACCTAGGATCCTTGAGCCAACCTCAATCTGGAGGCACAATTTTGCAAGAAAGTGACCAAGCCTTCGTGCGCCATGAAAGTCTACAAGATCAAAACAACCGACAAAGGCAGCGACCAAATTCCTCCAATAGCAGGTCTCAGGAGTTCACCTCATCCCCGGCTCCGCCAATTGTTCCTAGCAATATCTTATCACCAACGGGCGATGAGACCCAAGATATCGAAGCTGAGAACACACCATCCTCGATATTGATACAAGATGATGGTTCCGATGCCACTAGCCTCGATATTTCATCTCAATTGTATCCCAGTATCAATTTGGATGAATATATGCCAGACCCTGCAAGTCATGCCGGTTTGTTGTATAATGATGTTCAGACGAGCAGCCCCATGCTGCAATATCCCACTGAAAGTGAGCCTGTGGACTTGAATTTTGATCTCTTCACTGGCATAGGGAATGGCATTGATGACTGGGAGATATTTTTCAATCTATCCGCAAAGGGCCAGTCATCGGCTGAGGGATATTTGACGCCATTTAATGACTCTCAGCCCTTACCTTTTGAGTATGCGGCTTAATTAATGCCCTTTCATGTTGAGTGCACTCTTACACCCCTTCTCCATTCTTAATTCTGTTATGTATCTATACTTCTCCATATATTTTGTACAATATACTGTTTACAATCAAATGGCTCTAGGAGCCTCGCCGGGATTACAATCGCCCATAATGCCACTCATGTCTATGATCTGTGACTGGAAAAATCAATGACTAAGAAAAAATGAGCTTAAAATCCCTCCTTATTGGTTTGATTTCCGATACCTAGACAATACATTGCGAATGACCCGCCATACCCAGAGGATTGCATAATCATTACAAAGGGCACCTGATGGTATAAGTTTTCAAACACGACCGTTGAACCCTCGAAAGTGTCAGCAGAGAAACTGCTACCATTGCAAAAAGAACTAATCGAAAGGGGGTCCGCCCCGCTGGATCCACACAACCCGTCAAAATTGGCTCAGGACCCACCAGACTTGTGGATTGTGCACGTAGGATTTCCTTATGCTCACTTTTGCCTTCATTAGCATGAGTCAGAAACACTAGTGGATTTGCAAGCCCCGGAAACGTAACTGACTAGGTTTTCCTTCCCGTTCGGAAGAAACCTTCAAGAACACCGGATCCCGGGAACTTTCTGGGCCGGGAACGGCAACTCCCTTCCTGCTTTGTTATGATAGGAATCTGAAATTCCGCCGAGGATATGATACATAGAGTACCTATGGAGGAAACAAGATCCGGATATATATCATATTTCCATTTCTCCAATTTTCAAGAGATGGCTAAAATAAAACTTGGCATGTCTATCGCTCATGTAGTGTACAGTGTTCTTCTTGGATATGTAGATTATGAAGATCCCAAGAACTTGACAACCGCTATATCATTATGATGTTAGCAATGAAGTATATAAGGATAAGATTCAAGTGATTACCTTGCCGAAAATCTTCGGGTTTCTCAGAGATGAGCCAATGTCCCGCCTCGACGTCCGCAATCTGAGCATTGGGGAAGAATTTTCTGATTGCAGGAATGGTTGCATCAGTGACATATCTGGACTTGGTACCTCGAACGAAGAGGGTGGGCCCGTCGTACTGGACACTATCCGACTGGCTGAAGGGGAAATCGGCCATGTTGTCAAGTGAATCACCAATCACCGAGAGAGGCACACGGAACTTCAGAGTCTTATGCTCGTCATCAGAGCGGACGAGGTTTGTCAAAAGAAATTGGCGGATTGGAAGGGACTAGTTGAAGATTAGTTCACTTCTGCGAATTTGTTGCATTAGTCTTCTTCATACCTTTTCATAACCCTCGAGAATTTTGTCCGCATCCGATTGCTTTTTCACTTTCTCTCGCTCTACGTGCTGCATGCCTCGCACATACTTTGGGAAATCACTCTTCAATGTTGCGTTGAGCGGGGCATTGTCAACTGGGATCAAGGCGGAAACGCTCTTCGGGGACTGAAGAGCCACTGTCATCGCGGCTTTGGCACCCCTGCGGATCATCAGCATGAAGTTTATAATATATGGGTTCAAAGCTCTTTCTGAGCCATATGAGCCCTGTGAGCCATTAGTGAGGAACATACATCGAATGGCCAATCAGAACACATTTCTTGAGCTTCTGCTGCTGTATGAACTCCTGCACGTCCTCGGCAATTGCACTGTAGTTGTGCTCCTGGGCATGGAAAGAATCGCCATGATTACGAAGATCCTGCAAGCGATTGTGAGTACAAACAATATTCATAATATCTCCGTCTGCTCTTGATCGCAATGAGGAGCTAATGCGACAAGCGTACCAGTGTGAAAATCCGGCATTTCAAGTCCTTTGCTAAGGCTCTGCAACCGACGTCAGATACAAAATATTTCTATACAATTCATGATGCCACATACTTGCTAATACTCCGGTTGTTCTGCTTAGAACCGAAAAGTCCATGCAGGAACAAAATGGGATCGCGAATGGCTTCCTCCTTTTCGGGTCCGTAAACTTGGTAGGACAGCTCCGCCCGACACGCACGAGCGGTAGAGAATGCCCGAATACCAATAAAGCTTCGCGCAGTTGCCCGAGTGAATAGCATGATGGAATGCTGAGATTTAAGTGTCGATCGGAGAAGCCAACAATTGACGTGAAGCGATCGGGGAGCCAAATGGCTGACTCAGCAAGTCGTTCGCGCGTTGGATCGGGACCAACGTCATCGCGACAAAGCAGATTGACCGTGTCACGTTTTAGTGAGATCTCTAGTATAAATTTGAGGAAGATACATGAAGATTTACTTCTAATAGTCTGCTATGTTCTCTTCTTAGCCCGGATATAAGACCAATTGTCCGCGACGAAGTGATCCGGCCCTGCCATCGAGAGTTTGGAACGCGCTGAGTCCCAAAATCAATCTGTTTTATACCATCTATTGATCAACTTGGGCTCCTTAAGGCTGATTGAGGATTTTAACCGGCATCAATTTCTTGTAATCAAGTCTTTGCCTAGAGTGCTGGCGCTCAATGAGACTTATCCCCTCGCCTCCCAATCGTCAGGGAGATTCCAATTTTTGAATGCTAAATCCCGTTGACTGTTTCATTTGGAGTCTCATAGAACTCTCTGAGTTTTCAACTATATAATAAAACTTTTCAAAAGTGAATGAGTTCAGTAAGACGCCAAGTCCTCGGACCGCGCAGTGGGGCTAAGCGCGCTCACCAAAATCCTAACAACCGCCGTGTGCTTGTAGATAGAGAACAATGAGTAACAACAGGTCTTAAGAATAAGAACAGCTCTATGGAGCAAATCAGGGTCAATGCAGCGATCTCAATTAGTCGGTCATGCAGCTGTTCTCTCAAATCGTTTGTCGATTTTGTCCATCTTAGCTGGCTTTGGTAGATAGATACCCACGAAAAGATATCGGGGACCGTTCGATTGATTGATATGGCGAATTCAGCTACTGCACTAGGTAAAATTCTGGTTTACATACAAAACCATGTGACCTTTTTAAATATCCCCTTCACCTGGACATCAATGGATGTATAACATAAGTCCACGCATTTTCTCCCTATTACAAGGCGGGTCAAGACATTACATATTTTTACCCATATCTCTGGAAATTTAGGTTGGGGAGGTCTTATGCATGTACAATAAGAATCAATGGATCTCAAATTAAATGGTTTGACCAGTGAGTTCATGCGTACATGGAACGTTCTGAGAACCTATGGTCTCGGGGTGGTCAACACTGATAAAGGCGGGACCGCGGGGAAGGACCGCGATAAGCAAGCTCCACGTTATAAAACCCGAGCTGCCCCTCTTGCCACTTAACTCCAACAACCCCCCTTTCTCTGGTCTTCTCCTGTCACCGATATATACACGCCTTCAAAATGACCAATCAAGTCCGTACCATTAACCCTGCCAACCACGAGGTCATTTTCGAGCACCCGGGCACCTCCCTCGCCGAAGCAACCAAAATCGCCACCGCCTCGAAGCAAGCCTTTGAATCATATCGTGCCACTACCCTCGATGAGAGGAAGAAAATTGTTGCTCGTGCGCTAGAGGTTCTTGCATCTCGAATCGATGTTCTGGCCAAGGAAATCACTACACAAATGGGGCGTCCCATTCGGTACTGCGCCGGTGAAATCAAAACTGCCATCCTTCGCTCCGAACACTTGATTGATATTGCGGAACAAAGCCTGGCTGATCTGCCCGGCAAGCCAGAGGCGAACTTCAAGCGCATGGTCAAGCATGTGCCTGTGGGCCCAGTTCTGATTGCTGGCGCTTGGAACGTAAGGGGTCATCGTCTTACAACGGGAAAGCTTTCCAGACCGCTAATTAGTTCATAGTACCCATACCTGACCACTGTCAACGCTTTGGTGCCTGCACTTCTGGCGGGCAACTCTGTTATCCTGCGCCCATCGCCTCAGGTGCCTCTGTTCGGCAACCGACTTCTTGAGATCTTTACTGAGGCCGGTTTGCCGCAAAATGTTCTCCAAGTTATCCACATCGGTAGCTTGGATGTCCTCGACCAGATTGCCCAACTTCCTGAGATTCAATCCGTCTCTTTCACTGGATCCACTGCTGGTGGCCTCAGACTTCGCGAGGCTACGGCACGTCAGATCAAGCCTGTACACCTGGAGCTTGGTGGAAATGACCCCGCATACGTGCGCCCGGATGTCGATGTGAAGGATGTGGCAGAGAACCTTGTCGATGGTGCTGTTTTTAACTCTGGACAGAGCTGCTGCTCCGTTGAGCGTGTCTATGTACACGAGAAGGTCTACGATGCCTTTGTGCTTGCCGTGCAGGAAGAGCTTAAGTCGTGCGTTCTTGCACTTTCCTATACTCTTTTTCTAAAGATGCTAATTACTTTCAGATATAAACTCGGCGATCCTCAAGATGCTACAACCACCACCGGCCCTGTCATTTCCGCCGTGGCCAAGGAAAAGATCCAGTCCCACATTGATGATGCATTGTCCAAGGGTGCTGTCATCGCGACTCCAGAGAACGCTACCTTTTCTGTGGCCAAGACGGCTGACAAGGGCAACTGGCTGGCTCCAGTCGTCCTCACCAATGTGAACCACTCCATGCTTACAATGAAAGAGGAGACATTCGGACCCGTGATGCCAATCATGAAAGTTTCCAGTGATGATGAGGCGGTTCAATTGATGAATGACAGCGATTATGGATTGACTGCCAGTGTGTGGACGAAGGATATCGCTGCGGGTGAGGAGCTGATTGATCGTATTGAAGCTGGCACAGTGTTCATCAACCGCTGTGACTACCCAGCTCCGGTAAGTTTTTATACGTTCGCCCATCTCCAAAGCGACCATCAACTGACTATCTTGACAGGATCTTGCATGGACCGGTTGGAAGATGTCCGGACTTGGTTGCACTCTTGGACCTCGGGCATACGACGGATTCACCAAGCTTAAGAGCTACCATATTAAGGGTGTTTCAGCTTAGAATTTAGATTTTCCAACTTTCATGACCTGTGATTTCAATTACGATAAAGAATATATAATTCACAATTAAGTGACATAAGAATACCTCAGATTGAAACGGTACGGAGACTCCCATATCACGCATCTCAAAATCTAAGTAATCGCGCATATAGTTGTTCAGCCCATACAACAAACGACCTAAATTTACAATTCCTTGCATTTCATAGTATGCAATGCCGTTATCTTTAAGCTTATCGCTTCCCTTATCACGTTACACAAGGACATGGCGCGGTCCGGGACCGCGCTCAGTCTTACCAACCTTAAGTAATGTCCTTCAATTCTCAATAAACCAAACAACCACATGGAGGACCGATGACAGTCTCATCTTTTTGGTCTGAATATATGCCACATATTCTAGATAGTGTTTGTTGCAGATGTCTCGAGGTCCCTGTCCAGGATTCCAGGCACGACATTGATCATCCCCAACACCCTCTTAAGCCTTGCTTCCCTCTCTTCAGAACTGACAAAGTTCAATCAGTCAGCTTATTTGGCCTCTCGGTACATAAGTGCCTAGAAGTTGAACACTCTCTTTAGGCCACCCTATTTCTCCAAACTTACCTTCGATCAACCTCATTAAACCCATGCTTGAGATACAAACTTAGTCCCTATGGAGTTGCCTCAGTATAGGAAGGTAGACCGAGTTCAATTGCTTTGTGAGCACCAAACATCACCAGCAATCTTCCAAGTGTCTGGCGCTCATATCCAGGCAATAGAAACGATTCTTTCATCTCTACAGAGGTCAGGTCATCAGCATAAAGTTTTTGTCATAGAAGCTATACGCACAGGCTACGGAAGAATACTTGCTCTCCAATTAGATTGCTCGTTTCACATAATGCGTTTCTGTGGTAGCATCCATCAGGGCAGACTGATCAGAGACTCGAAAGCGAGCGACGCAAGTCGAGAACTACGCAGCCAAATGATAACAAATAGGGCAGTGAATCTTCTCTATTACAGCCAACAAGTGACTAGGATAGGAAGCTCAGAGGCCAATTAGTGAAATATGAAGTTTCGGATCAGGCCTTCGGTCTAGAAATTTAACACCCGCCTTGGCTGACTAGGAATCGCGGACTGACATAATAAAGCATATGATTTAAGCCTTTTAGCGCCGGTCGATCATTTCTTGGCCTACATGCCCCTCTTCCTTTCGCTACGTAAACCTATGCCGCCTACTCCGGACGATTAAAGTAGCAGGATAACCATTACGACTGTACTTGCGAGATCTCACACTGAGGAAATAGTGACGTGCTGAGCATAAGTGATCAAATGTCTACCATCAGCTACCCTGCATATATGGTACATATGTAGACATTACTTAGATGGAGATATACTTGAGATGTACTTACTTGCATATTCCATAAACGACCTGAATACTTAACCAACTACAGGGACACAAATATATGATATTGCCCAGTTTCAAAGGCTCATGGAATAAAGATTTGGGAGTTTAGAACTTCATAAATTCAAGGACATAATATAACTTTACGCACAGTAACGCGGGTCTTGCAAAAGTTTTGAAAATAGATGATAGTGACGATAACCGAACACTAAGGATTTTAATAGTGGACTTGCTCTTGCGTCGGCCTATAACAGAGACCCAAGTTTTACGTAGATAACAGATGGCAGTTACCAAACACAAAGTAACAGCTGAAGACTACGAGGGGCGTACACAAAACATGTAAAAAACCACCATACAAAGCAAGTGGCCAATGACTTTGAATTCAAAAACGGACGGCAAATTCTTGGCGAATGAGAAGCACCCCGCACGCGGCGAGACCCACACGTCTTTGACTTCACATTTCCCTCTAGCAAGTACGTTTATTCTGGTGTTCTACAGGCTACCCTATCGAATTCATCCTTATACCCTGATGCTCCCCTATGCAGGAGATCCCATGGTTCTAAAAATAGTTTTGCTAAAATTGCTCTAGCATGAGCACACCCAAGGACAATTACGCCATTCACAAAGTTTCTCTGAAACGCACACGGCAGGCGTGCGGACCATGCCGGTAATTTTGTTTTAATCTGATAGGAATACCAGCACTAATTGATTGCCAGTCGCAAGAAGGCTCGTTGCCCCGGTGAGAAGCCTGTGTGTTCAACTTGTCAGCGATTGGGGCAGCGCTGCTCCTATGCGGCACAGGTAACAACTCGAACTCAAAATCAAAGATCCGCCAATCATGGCGATGGGTATAGTTCTGCGGGCTCAGATCAGCCCAAGGCTTCTGGTACACGCCTTCAAAGCATAGAGGAGAGGCTTGAAGAGATATCATCTCTAATCAAGTTTGTCACAGACACTGGTTTATTTCAACAGCGTGTCACTAATTTTTCAATGCTAGAGAGCGACTACCCGAGAGAAATACCCAGGTTGAAGAATTAGATGGGTTACAGCCGACATGCCATGAAAATGTTGCCCAGGATGATCCAGACCAAGTCTACCGGGACTTCACGTCCAAGTACGCATTTACCGACCCGTATCAATTGCTTCGTCCAACTGACGTAATCAAGCTCTCCCATATCAATACCCCTGATTGAATCCGAGGTGCAGGTGTATTTGAACGATTTCCATGATCAGCCCTATTGTGTATTCGACAGGCAATGGCTCCTGGAAAACAAAGATGCTCTCCCGCCAGAGGTCATATTTCCATTGGTAGCTCTAACACGACGTCTCTCAGTCAAATCGCCAGGCCTGCCAGATGGTACCATATCAACAGGCAATGCCTGTGCCGAGCGAGCGTGGCAGATACTCTCTACCAAGTACCGAGATGGTAAGACGGATCTGTCCTTCCTGCAAGGCACATTCCTCGTCGCTCAACTTGACTTTGTCGATGGCAATGCTCACAGGGGATGCCTATCCGTTGGCATTGGTGTGCGGGTCATCCAGTCATACGGGCTCAATCAAGGCAAGAAACTTTCTTCTCTAGAAGGTTCTGAAGCAGAGGCCTGGCGACGTATCACCTGGGCGTTCTTCATTATCGATCGCACCTATAACGCGTCCCGGAATTTTTCCATTTGCCTGTCGGACAATCACTTCACGCTTTCCTTCCCTCTATCAACGGCCGTGAATGACACGTCTCGTGCATGCCTACATAACAAATCATCAAATCATGAACAGAAAGGCGACCAGGATATCTTAGCTTCTCTCCTGCGTCTCTACTCATTATGGGGGAAAGTGACAGAATGGGTCTTCGAGCCTCTAGTAACAAGCAGCCTACCACCCTGGCAAAGCGGGTCAGCACTCGCAATTCTTGAGTCGGAGTGGATGCAATTCGAAACCCAATTCGCAGATATTCATCGCTACATGAACGTGGACTTCAAGCGACGCGCACGCGAAGAACCTGGGTCTCATTCCTATCTATCGACATGGCTATGCGTCCAATTCCTCTTCCACTCGATTCAGTGTCTCTTACACCACCCTTTCGTGACGATGGTCAAGCTCCGTCATATGAGAGGAAATCTATCCGCAGCATTCCTCCAGAAATCGTTCGAAACTTCATTGCTTCATTCACGGTGGATAGCGCGGTTTGTCAATGAAATGTCCGAGGTTGGGTTGCGTCTTCGTGATCCGTTTTTCGGATATCTTGCTGCTATTGCGGCTACTATTCAACTTGAACATACGGGTAACAAGAATCCTAAAATTGCTCTTTTGGTGAATAATGAATATCGAGTTCTGGTTGGATTTATCACCGAGCTTTCTTCACAGTGGGGCAATATGAAGGTCTTGGTAAGTCTTGCAACATGAATTGCAAGAATCGCTCTAATATGCGTGTTCGTGGACAGGTTGACCGATTGAATGAATTGGCCTCGCGGCGCCAGAATTATGGCTCGTTGTTTTATAATCAGGATGGTTTCTCGGGTGAATTGTCTAGCATGGCAACGCCGTCCAACCTTCCGAGGATGTCGGTGCAGGATGAGGCTCTTATGTGGAATATTCTTGATCTCACTTCGTTCGGCTCTGAAGAGAGCATCACGATACCGCCGTCTACAACAGGCCTTCGAGCAGAAATACAAAACGTAGAGCCGCCCAATCTTGGAGAAATGCCTCTTGTTGGAGTCGGACCAGGACTGATTCAGGCAGCTGCACCAGAGTGGCCTTTCGGACGAGGTACCGGTTTTGGACACGGCGTGCCTGATATACCAGACTGGATGATTTTTGGAGATTTTATGTCGGAGCATCTTTGATCGATCTCTCTCTCAGGGTCCCATGGATGTACATTTGATGAGCTATGGTCAATATTTATTTCATTTTTTATGATTCAGTTCGCACAATCGTCTATTTTCCGCCGGTCATGACTCATGAGTATAATATAAAAATGATTCAAATGTTAGAAAATGAAGGGTCGATCGCCACTCCTGCATTTCCTCTGGGCTATATTAACGCCACTGCGGTATAAAACAAGAAGCTATGATGAAATAATTTTATTGCCCAAGCGATCAAATTGGTATATTAATGATAGCAGAAGACAGAGTAATACCAGGTTTACCAGATCTTCCTCTGAGCCCCAATCACATGATGCGCTAGATCGAATCAAGTCTAGAATCTAAATCTTCAACTTCAAATACAAATCATGCAAACCAAGCAAACTAGATGTTCATAGTCGCTTACTCCAGGCTATAAGTACTTCTATCTCCCCATCTGACAGCTTCTTTTCTTCGTGTGTTGCTTTGTCCCTATGGTCATCAATCTGTCAGCATCGCATAATCACCAGTGACATTATGGAATCAATCCTATCTGCACATGAAATCGGCGAGGGGCTTCCTGTTCTGATCATTCATGGATGGGAAATGGACGGAAGAGTCGAGGCGCTGGACTTTGAACCGATCTTCAGCAAAACACCAGGACTTCGCCGGATATACGTTGACCTCCCAGGCATGGGCACGACACCTGCCAATGATATCAAGAATTTGCATGATATATTCCTTCGTCTGGTGCATTTCATTGATTCCCGACTTGGCAAGTCACGATTCTTACTTGTCGGCTCATCATGTGGTGGCTATCTCGCACGTGCGATAGCTCAAAGGTATATCGAGCAGGTCGATGGTTTGCTACTACGTGTACCGCTTATCGAGCCAAAGGACAGCATGCGTGACCTTGATGCTTTCAAACCTTTGGTTGCGAATGAGCAACTCATGTCCAGCATGTCAGCCGAAGAGAGGACACTTCTTGGGAACGTTCTTGTTCAAACGCCTGCTTACGTTGAAACGTTGAAAGCAAAATGTGAGGAAATTTGGCTTCCAGCGGTGAGAGCAGCCGACGATACAGTGTTAGGTCCAATCCGAGCAGATCCAAGTCGATACCAGTTACCTCTTTCATTGGACGATGAAAATGCTAAGTTCTTTGCACCCACTCTTATTCTATGTGGTCGACAAGATGAGAGCGTGGGCTATCGGGATAGCCTTCGCTTGTTGGAACTCTATCCGCGATCAACCTATGTTGTACTAGACCGCGGTACACATGGTCTTCCTATCGATGAGACCGGTGTTTTTGGAGCTCTTGTTTGTGATTGGATAACTCGCGTTGAGGAATGGCGAGCTTGCACGGACAGATAGGACCACATGAATGATAACCGACACCGCATATGCGCAGCACAGTCAATAGAAGGGAAAGAAGCACATGTCTTGAGTACTACGCAAGTGATATGTGGTTTTCATTTATATTTCATTATAAATGAACTGGTCTAAGCATCCGAGGGTATAGATAATAAAACTACCTTAGTAACAATTGAAATACCATCAACTCCGAAACAATGCTTTAAACCTTCGCTTTGACATGCACCTTGACATCCTTCGCAGGCAAGAAAGAGCCCCAGCTCTTCTTGTGGGGGGTACAACAAGGCCTTTGCCATCTGCGGAAGAGATAACCCACATAGACACGATCGAAGCAGTAAACGCCAGGATAGCCCGTTCAGTGAAAGCGTTATTCTTCGGCGTATACAGACCTTCTGCAAATGGCCCGAGGATATCTGGATTCGCCTCCTTGCTACCAGTTGTACGGTTCGTAACAAGATAACGAAGCGGATCATATTGGTCTGGGTTCGAAAATCGCGTTTGATCGTTCTGGTAGACGCCATGAGGCATGAGCACCTTCTCGCCCTTTCGGATATTGTATGTACGAGGCTCTATGGCTTCTCCCGCGGACTCGGTAAGAGTCAAGTCCGATTCTAACTCTCGGAGTGATATTCCGGCAGAGTGGAGACGAATGGTTTCGTAGTGGCAAGCTTTCAATAGGTGGCATGTCTGTAGCATTTTCTCAATGTCGAGGTTGAGCTTCGGGGGCTCATCAAATGGGAATCCAGTCTCTCGCCGATTGGGGCGAGAGGAATCCACAGCCGGGGCCATCTCCTTTCGGATGTCTTTGAGCAATTCTTCGTCGGCGAAAATGTGAACAAGATTCCAGAATGTCATTTTGACAATGTACTCCATCAGGTCCCAGTGAAGGGATAACATACCTGCCGCGCTGGCTTGTGGCGACAAGTCCATTTTGTTGAAGATTCGCATGCGTTGCTTGAACAGCTCTGACACATCATCAAGATCGCGAAGCTCAATGCCTGGGTCAATGCCATTATCCCAGGCCGTAAACGCACGGTAAAAGACCGACATGATATGCGTGAGACGATAACGTGCAGCGTGTCCTGCGGAAATACCAGGCGTAGGTGTCCATCGCTTGAATCCTGCAAATAACGACACGAAATTGGCATCCAACGTCCAAAACTGCTGGAGCGTACCGGGGAACGATTCTACGAAGGCCTCGCCTAGCAGCAACGTGGTGATGTTGTGGCCCACGAAGTCTCTCACCAGCGCGAATAGGTTCACCTCGCAGATTGACTGGTCTTGTTCAGATAACGACACGGAGCTGTCGCGCTCCCAGGGAGCTTGGTCCACAGGGCTTCGAGAGAAGGTCACCAAATTCGGAGCGTTGCGCTGCAGCAGCCGGGTGATTGCCTTCGATGTATCAGTGATGAACGATTCTTTGCTGATAATTGCTGAAACATCACCACCGATTTCCTCGTTACGGTTTGAACGCAAACTGCGCACCATGGTTCGGTCGCCAAAGACATTTCGCATTGCCTGATCAAGCACTATCATGCCAGATGGTTTTTGCGATAAGACTGTCTTGATCATTGATGGTGACACTACAGTGTTGTGGACCTTCCCTTGCAAGTAGATTCCAAACACGGGCTCACCCATTGAGTCCCTAGTTTTAGATTAGCGGGTGAAAACTGCGGTGGAGTTGGCAAAATACCGTAATGACTCCAGCAGACCAACATGGTCCCACAGAAATGATGGTCCATGTCCGAACCGTGGAAACCAGTAGGGGGCTACTCGTGGTGTTCGCGCCTCTGTCGAGTCAGAGTTCCGTTGACTGCGTAGACCAGTAATCACACGAGTCACGATGCATGAAAAGATCAACACCGCCAGACATTTTAACCAGGTCAGCTGGGAGAATACATCTCGGATGGTCATTAAACCATGGGACATGAGTTTGTCTTCCATATTTCTTTCCACGTTGACAGTCTCAACACGAACAGAACAAGTTGGAGATCCCTTGCTTACCTCAGCATTGATGCCTGAATTTACAGTTTGTTTGTGTTTTACTTTCTACGAACAAACTACATAGTAACTTCGTGTACGGAGTACTGTACTTGAATCATGTACTTATATGCTCGTAATACGAGCTGAGAGACCGGAAATAGTTGGGATTCTCCTCTTGATGTTCCACGATAGCCTCTTTAGTTTCTGTGTTAGTTTCTGAGCATCTGTTGCAAACTTTCCACTGGCAACATCACACCGCTGCCCCACTGTGATGTTGGATCTCTTTGATGCGTTGGTTGGACCAGGGTTTGATTGGACCTGATTGAAGAATCGGACTTCCAATCCTGGTCCCACAAAAGTGTGTGTTGGTTTGACAGGGAAGATGTAGCCAACCGTACGTAGGATGATGCGTAGTGGCCCAGACAAGCCGATCGTACAGGACTTACCCATATTAAAGCCTAAGCCGTTTTCCCTACCCGTAAATTTACTTCTTCTTTTCTCTATGGGCAGAGGACTTGTATTCCCCAGACCCAATTAATTAAACAAGCATGTCTGATAACCCCCGTGGTCGAGGGCGAGGTGACCGGGCACGCGGTCGTGGCGACCGTGGTGACCGTGGTGGTGGTGGTGGTCGCGGTCGCGGTCGCGGTCGGGGAGATATGGACCCTCCCTTCCGAGAAGGTCGTGGAGGTTTCCAAGGGGATTCCCAGGGCTCTCGTGGCAGAGGAGGTGATCGAGGAGGACGTGGAGAGTCTCGTGGTGATTATCGTGGAGATTATCGTGGCCGCGGTCGGGGAGATATGGACCTTCCTTTCCGAGAAGGCCGTGGAGGTTTTCAAGGGGATTCCCAGGGCTCTCGTGGCAGAGGAGGTGATCGAGGACGTGGAGATTCTCGTGGTGATTCTCGTGGTGATTCTCGTGGTGATTCTCGTGGCGATTCTCGTGGTGATTCTCGTGGTGATTATCGTGGCCGCGGTCGCGGGGATTCTGGAGGTCGTGGGGACTTCCGTGGTCGTGGCGATTTCCGCGGTGGGAGAGGAGGATTTCGTGGCGGCGGCAACCAAGGTCCACGAATCTTCAAGTGAGTATATCGATATCCAATTTACCGTGAGATAAATATAATCAGTCAATGATGGAAATGATACTCATTATACAAAACGCAGCGAGAGCAAGCCAATCCCTACACCTGATGCTCAGGTTGAAAAGGTCGAAAATGATACGGCCCAGGCCCTGGTGGGAGAGAAGAAAACAGCACTGTACCCCAACCGTCCAGGATATGGCACACTAGGCCAGCCTGTTACCCTGTATGCCAACTATATGCCTTTCACGGCGGTCGGCAAGCCAATCTTCCGCTACCATGTCGCTGTTGGCAAAGACCAGGGCCGCGAGGTGCCGACCAAGAAAGCGCGTCAGATCGTGCGACTCTTGTTAGAAGAGCACTTCGCCAAAGAGATTAAAAACATCGCCACCGACTATCGATCCACGTTGATCTCGTGTATCGATCTGGGACTGGGTGGTGACCAGAAGTTCAATGTGCGGTATAAAGGCGAGAATGAGTTTGATTACCTCGATGACCCCAAGGTCTATAGCGTGACCGTTGGACCGACAGGCATACTGGACCCGACAGATCTGATTAATTATTTATCGTCAAGTAATATCCAAGGCCACCTGATGCAGCAAGAGCAGATATTGGCGGCGATGAATATTATCATGGGTCACCAGCCAAAGACCAACCGGTCGATCGTCACGCTCAGCGGTAACAAACATTACGACTTTGATGCGGCCACTGCCGAACGGTGGTCTTTGGGTGGTGGTCTCGAGGCCTTTCGTGGTTTTTTTATCAGTGCGCGTGCCGCCACTGCCCGGCTTCTGCTGAACGTGCAGGTCAAGTATCTCGCGTGCTACCAGGAAGGTCCTCTGCCCATGGTGTTTGGAGATTATATGCGTACGAGTTCACGCAACCCCTATCGTATTGAATCCTTTTTGAAGCGCATGCGTGTCCGAGCCACACATATTGTTCGGAAGACGAGCAGTGGAAAGCCTCGTCCTCCTCAAATCAAGAGTATTAACGGGTTGGCGTCACCAACCGATGGTCGTTCCGGCACGAACCCGCCTAAGGTGGCTCGTCATGGAGCTGGTCCTTTTGATGTTCAATTCTTTTTGGAAGCCCCTGGCTCGAAACCGCCAGCTGCCGCGCAGCCTGCCGAGGGTAAAGGGAAAAAGGGAAAGAAGCCCGCCAAAGCAGGCCCAGCCCCTGCAGGCCAGTATGTTTCGGTCGGTGATTATTTCAAGCGAGAGTACAGGAGAGACGTGGACCCAAGCTTGCCGGTGATCAATGTTGGTAACCGACAATTCCCCATGTATCTTCCTATGGACGTGTGTGAGGTCGAGCCTGGTCAGCCCGTGGGAACCAAGCTCTCCCCCAACCAGACATCAGAAATGCTGAAATTTGCTGTGATGGGCCGCAAACCTGCGCAGAACGCTCAGTCCATTGTAACCAAGGGAGTGGGCATGTTAGGACTTGGCGAGCCGTTGAATGCCACATTGGCTGCCTTTGGTGTCCGCGTCGATAACAATCTAATTACCGTCCAAGGTCGTGTTCTGTCGCCTCCTAAAATTCTCTATGCTAAGCAAAAAGAGGTCTTGGCCATGGCTGGCTCATGGAACATGAGAGCCATTCAGTTCTCCAAGGCTGCGTCGCTGAAAAACTGGACATACCTCTACCTCACGACCGACCGCGCTCGTACATACTGGCAAAGCGGCGCTGATATGATGGAGTCTCTGAGGAAGTTCACCTCGGTGCTCCGAAACATGGGCATTGATGCCGAACTGCCGAAGGAAGGCCAACGCGTTTTGCTAAATGGCAGAAACGATGCCGAGATTATCGAAAAGTCTGTTCGTGAGTTGCAAGATCGCTACAAGCCCTCTCTGATCCTAGGTGTCTTTTACGCCAAAGAAACCACCCTTTACAATACGGTCAAACAGGTCTGCGATGTCCGCTGTGGTGTGCGCAACGTCAACGTACAAGCTGAGAAGCTCGCCCAGGGCCAGGACCAGTACTGTGCCAATGTTGGCCTGAAGATTAACCTGAAGCTCGGCGGAGGTAACCAAACCCTCAAAAACTCCGACCTTGGCTTATTTGCAAACGGCAAGACGATGCTAGTCGGCCTCGATGTCACACACCCCTCGCCCGGCTCCGTAGGCAACGCGCCAAGCGTCGCAGCGATCGTGGCATCAGTCGATTCCGCGCTCGCACAGTGGCCCGCCGAGGTTCGAATCCAGGAGAAACGACAGGAGATGGTACAGGATCTCGACGCCCTAATGCAGTCGCGCCTTAAGCTTTGGGCCAAGTCTAATAAAAACAAGTATCCAGAGAACATCGTCGTCTACCGCGACGGTGTCTCAGAAGGCCAGTACAACCTTGTCATCGAAAAGGAACTCCCACTCCTCAAGCGTGCCTGTGAAGCCGTCTACCCAGCCTCTGACACCAAGCGTGGTCTCCCAGCTATGTCCATCATCATCGTCGGCAAGCGCCACAACACCCGCTTCTATCCGACCAACGATGCTGAAGCTGATCGCTCCGCGAACCCCATGCCGGGTACTGTCGTTGACCGCGGTATCTCCGAGTCCAAGCACTGGGACTTCTTCTTGCAGGCCCACTCCGCACTTCAGGGAACTGCCCGCCCGGCCCACTACTTCACTGTCTGGGATGAGATCTTCTCCCCCAAGAACCCGGGTGGCAGTGGAACCCGAAACGCAGCTGACACTCTTCAAGATCTGACCCATAAGATGTGCTACCTCTTCGGCAGGGCGACGAAGGCAGTCAGTGTCTGCCCGCCTGCGTACTATGCGGATTTGGTCTGTACACGTGCCCGATGCTACCTCAGTGATCTCTTTGATCCTAGTATGGCTTCGGCAACGGAGGAGAGTGTTGCTGGGACCGAGGGCCGCGGACAGCCTGATTGGGATAATGTCCTTGTCCATCCTAATGTGAAGGATACTATGTTTTACATCTGATTGGCGATGTAAGTGCTTGGTTGGAGTTTGGAATTCTCTACGGTATTGATGATTCGGCAGTAGTTTGGCAATTGGCTTTTATCTTGTCAATGCGGCAGATTGACTTGCTTGACGGATTATGAGTTGCTTTCAAGAAATTTTGCAAGATGAATGAATCATGACCACTCCGGTATATTGGCAATTTAGACTGTAGCCCGTACATGTTGTTTCACCATTGTTTCACTTTTGGTCTCCTTGGTTATGCCATTTTTTCCCCATCGGGGCCATGTCTAGACCAAGTCTAGATAAACCCAAGATTTGAATTTCTACCATACTATTTTTCAGACTTTCACCGCAATCTCCACAAATGATCATTACCTAGTAATCAACCTTACTAAGGCTGAACGATATTCGCATAGAATCTTTGCGGCCCATACTCACGGAGCTTTTAACATTTAATAACACAATATTGAGAAATAAGAATTCTATTGCAAGCTATCTAGGCCAGCTAGACAGGTATATCGATCATACAACAGTGACATAAGGAAAAAGCCAAGACTATCCCTTAGTAGTTCGGGATGCAAACACCGGCGTTCCACTCAGTGGCGCCAACGCACTGCCAGCCATCGCAGCAAGGATCACCGCCCGAAGTGCAGGCAACATCGTAGTCTAGCAAAAGGAAGTTAGCTCAATGCTCCTACGGGCTGAAGCTTCAGGTCAACTCACTGGCGACGCAGGAACGCTTCTCAGCGGTCTGGGAGGCAGAGGCCACGGCGGCCAGGGTAGCAATGAAGACGGCGATGAACTGCATTTTGTTGGTGGGAGGTTTTGATCGGGAGGTCGGTAGATTTATTATTTGGTTGGTTGGTCGGTTAGATTGATGGATGGATTATGTTCAAATTGACGAGGAAGTTTCCTGCTATTTATCTTCGAATTTGTCCGTCAAGAAGAACCCATGACGTCCATCTTCAGCGAAATGCATACCTATTCAGGTACATGTTCAATCTGAGATGTTTCAAGACCGGAAACAGTTGGTTATCGAAGTATTTTGCCTCCGCATACACGAGTCCAGCCTCAGACCCCACTAATATTAGCCACGAAAGAGGCATTAGTGGCGTTGCTTACCTTTTAAGGATCGACTCTAGTGTGTTATATTTACTGATACAGTCATCTCACCTTCCATTGGTTTATGACCTGACTCCAGTGAATGGGGTCTAATACCCTTTAGGAAAATTGGTGCTGTTTAACCAAAACGAGTAATACTGGATAGAGGAACCTGTATCAGGACTCAACTGCCAGGGGCCAGAAAACAAGATCATGTGGAATCGATGTCTTGAGGCTCGCTCTGCACCTGAAGCAAATCCCATCACTGATGTCGCCAATTTATGCGTCAGAAGGTGGGACTGTGTAGAACTCCGGGCGGCTTTCTACTATCGTCTCCCTCACGGATCTGTACAAGGTATTCTACGCTTTCCTGGGAATTCTATTTACTAGGGAAATCTACCCGTCTCCTTAGTTTTAGTCAGTAATTGGAGCTCTAGGCTCGCCTGCCGAATCGAAGCCAGGAATCACTATGGAAAGGACCAAATGTATCAGGATTGACAGCAATGGCCGGGAGCACGTACTATATTTCCTTCTTTCGTCTGGCACACTGGGACGAATCCAGGTTCCGCGGTTACCCGAGAATAATCTTGGGAATAAATTTAGGCATCATTGGAAGACAAGTGTAGAGAACCGAAAGCGAAACCGAGTTTGGCCCCATAAGCTCAAAGCACGCTAAATCTCGGTTTCGGGTGGCTTGCCCGATCTAACCACCACCAGCCCACGCTCAGAGCCAATAACATCATCACAATGGCAAACAAGGCTGTGATGGACATGCAATTGAGGCTTTGCAACTGAAAAGCTTGTCATATTATCAGCCAGAATGAGATCCAGGAGTCGAGCGACTGGGATAAAAGGCTGTCTTTCCCAGCTGTCTTGTCAATTCAGAGTATTTTTCCAACAACCTGTCCAATTATTTGCATAAGGAAGCGGCACCATGACCAATATACACTCAACGGAAGGTCTTGAGCTAGCCCAGATCGTCTTCTATGGAATGGCAGCTCTTCCAGCTTTCGTCTGTTTCGCGGCACATGGCAAACACGGAGTAATGGGGTGGCTCTATGTGATTGTTATGTGTGGCCTACGTCTCGCAGGGAATGCCATGGCTTATCATTCCTTATCCACGACTGGTCATGCCAATGAAGCCGCTCAAATTATCAGTGGGATCGGGTTGTCGCCTCTCTTACTTGCGGCCTTGGGAATACTCCACGAGGCGTGAGTTACTACACCATACCTATGCATGATTTGAGTCAGTAAGAATTGATATCTTTTCAGCAACCATTCTATTCAAACGACACTTCCGAAAATACTACAGGGACCAAGCCTTTTCCTCCCGCATGTGGTCATTCTTACTGGTATTGCTCTCGCCGCTGCTAGTGGGGGAAGGTCTACTCTACTCGAGGCTGGCATGATTGTCCTTACTTTCGGCTGGCTTTTTATCGTCACATTGATTGCAATGTCGCTTCGGGCAGGCTCCAGCGATTCGCGAGTGAATGACGAGAAAAAGGTATGATGAGATTTTTTGATTCTCTTTGCTGCTTAGCTAACGATGCAAAGCTTCTTTGGGCAGTCATCGTCGCTATACCGCTCATCGGTGTTCGCGTGATATATTCTGTTGTCATTGCCTTTGTGGACTGGCGGGCTGATGGAGGTAGCTTGGCTGTTCAAGTGGTCTTTGGAACAATTGCAGAGTTTTTCGTCATGATCACTTATATTGCCGCTGGCATCGTGACACGAAATCTGGCGTCCGATCGCGCAAAGCTGAAATCAGGATCATCCCGGAATCAGAATAATCTAGTGTAATATATGAAAGTAGAGAAATGAGGATAGATCGATCATGTGCATTTGTACAAACTCTATACTGCGTGTTATCTGCTTATCGCCGCCTCGGTTGGAAGCGGGTAGTGACGTTGCCCCGACGCCAACCGAGCCCTCCGCATTTTACCATCAATAATGAACCCCTCGATCCCGGATTTCCTCTTCTCACAATCAAGATGTCTTACAGAATGATAACTCGCCAGTCATGGCGAGCCACACGCTCAGTGGGTGTGTTCCAGCCACGTTCAATGGCCGCTTCACGACGATGGGGAAGCTCAATCTCACAACGGCCGGGTTCTGATCGGTAAGTGTGGGGAAATCACTTCTCAAAGAGACAGATACTGATTCCTGCTTCTCTATAGGGTACACTTCCCGGGTGCGGTGAATAGTAAATTTACCACCGACATGTCGTTTCTCAAATCCTCAGATCTTCCGGCTATCCCTACCTACAGAGTGATCGACTCCGACGGCGAATTGGTGGATAAGACACGCGGACCTCCAGATGTCTCGGATGAGGAGGTATTGACGTGGTACAAAAATATGACAACTGGTATGATGTGCTGATATTATGGCGGGCGCAAGTGGCTAACAGAGAACAGTGAGCGTCATGGACGTGGTGATGTTTGAGGCACAGCGACAGGGACGGTTGAGTTTCTATATGGTAAGAGACATAACATAAATTCTAGTTTTCGCAATTATCCGAACAAGGTACTAATATCTGATAGGTCTCGGCCGGAGAAGAAGGAATTGCCGTCGGTTCGGCAGCAGCATTGACACCGGACGATGTAGTTTTTGCTCAATACCGAGAGACTGGCGTCTTCCAACAACGCGGCTTTACGCTCAAGAATTTCATGAGCCAGTTGTTTGCCAATTGCAATGATAAAGGCCAGGGAAGAAATATGCCCGTGCACTATGGGCAAAACTATCCTCGTATTGTTAGTTCACCTGGATATCTTATGACAAAGTGTCCTTGGCTCGCAAGAACTCAGAATGCTAATCCGAATATAAATAGCATACGATCTCATCCCCACTGGCAACTCAAATCCCACAAGCTGCTGGAGCTGCGTACGCATTAAAGGTTCAAGACCTACAAGATCCCAACCGGGACCCCCGCATCGTTACCTGCTATTTCGGCGAAGGCGCAGCCAGTGAAGGTGACTTCCATGCAGCACTCAATATCGCCGCAACCCGATCCTGTCCGATTGTGTTCTTGTGTCGGAACAATGGGTTCGCTATCTCCACACCTACCCTCGAGCAATATCGCGGTGACGGAATCGCCAGCCGAGGTGTGGGATATGGCATTGACACGATCCGTGTGGACGGGAATGACGTCTTTGCCGTTTACGAAGCGACAAAAGAAGCAAGGAAACGAGCATTAAGCGACGGTGGTCGCCCAGTCCTGATTGAGGCAATGAGTTACCGTGTTTCTCACCATAGTACGAGCGATGATAGCTTTGCGTACCGGGCCCGCGTTGAAGTGGAGGACTGGAAGCGCCGTGATAACCCTATTATTCGATTGCGGAAGTGGCTTGAAAATAAGGGGCTTTGGAGTGAGGAGCAGGAGAAGGAGGCTAGGGATTCGATCCGGAAGGCTGTGTTGAAAGAATTTAGTGAGGCGGAGCGTGAGAAGAAACCTCCTCTTCGTGAAGCTTTCACAGATGTTTATGAGGATATAACTGAGGAGGCTCGTGAGCAGATGAAGGAGCTGAAGCGCATTCTGGAAAAGTACCCAAATGAGTATGATCTGCGGCCATATAAGGATGGTATCAACGGACTGGATTGATCCTGAAAATGGGGGCTTTTGTTCATAGAGGTTTCTGTGATATCCCATACAATGCATATACCTTGATTTGACCTAATTGACGAGGACTGGTCGGATTAGGTATCGCAGGGCCGCCATTGTCTTGGTGATATTATACGTTACGGGCGCTATTACATTCGTCAAGTAACCGAATTTGTATATGCGTTGTATTCATTTATATTTCATTTTTGTTCATCATGTGCGTCAATATTTGACCCAGTCATCGCAGCATGTCCCACAGTTCTATATTTTGTTTAAACCAAGGTATCAGAGTCGCTATACAGGCCAAATAAATTCCAAGTGAAGCACTTAGTCGAAGACAACGGTCTTGTGTCCGTTGAGAAGAACACGGCGCTCGGCAAAGTATTTGACAGCAGCGGCCAGGACGTTGCTCTCGACATTGCTACCAGCGTGAGTCAACTCCTTGGGGCTCATGCCATGGCCGACACGGACAACGTTCTGCTCAATGATAGGGCCCTCATCGAGATCGCTGGTGACGAAGTGGGCAGTGGCACCAATAATCTTCACGCCACGGTCGTAAGCCTGGTGGTAGGGCTTGGCACCCTTGAAGGAAGGCAAGAAGCTGTGGTGGATGTTGATGATCCGGCCGGACATAGCCTCGCATAGCTTGGGCGACAGAACTTGCATGTAGCGGGCCAGCACAATCAAGTCAATGTTGTTCTGCGCCGCCAGCTCGAGGATCTGACCCTCTTGCTCGGCCTTGGTAGCCGCAGTGACGGGGAGGTGGTGGAAGGGGATGTTGTAGGTTGCGGCGAGGGGCGCAAAGTCGGGGTGGTTGGAGACGATGAGGGGAACCTCAACGCTGAGTTGGCCAGTGGACTGGCGGAAGAGGAGGTCGTTAAGACAGTGACCAATCTTGGAGACCATAATCAAAACGCGGGGCTTCTGTGCGGTAGGGTGGATCTGGTAGTCCATTGAGAAAGACTCGGCGGTAGGCTTGAAGGCATCGCGCAGCTGCTCGAGTTCAGGAATGTCGGTAGTGCCCTCGGGGGCGAATTGCATGCGCATGAAGAAGCGCTTGGAGGTGGGGTCACCGAACTGGGATGAGTCGACGATGTTCAGGTTGTGCTGGACCAGGAACGCGGTCACGGCGTGGACAATGCCCGGGCGATCAGGGCCCGAGAGGGTCAGGATGAAGGAAGTAGGTGCCATGTTGAATATAAGCGGGGACGGTGTTGAATCCGTAGAGTATGAAGAAATGAGTCAATTGGCAAAGGGAAAGCCTCGCGATCACAATGCGATAAAATAATTGACACCCCACTGCCGATCCCGGCGATGACTCAGCGGTGTCTAACCGTGATAGGCTTAGCTTATCGCGGAGCTTGTTACCACTTCCATGTAAACTCCGGCTTCCTTCATCTTCTGTCTATGGCCCGCGCCAAAAATAACAAATTTTCCGGTCCCGGAGACATTCCGAGCGGCTCGTCAACGACAGGAGTGCTGTGGAGCCAAGATCAAGCAGGTCACCGTACTCCTTGACAAGGTCACGAGTCCAGGTGTCTGAGGGGTGGCACCGCAATGATGTGCCAGGTGGTGTGATAACCTTAAAAGGCATATGTCTTGACACAAACAACTAACTAACATTTGCATGCAAGCTTTGAGGTTCAACTAATATCGCCACAGCAGATCGTGTAGAACCACCACCTTTCCACTGGTCTAGTCTCCACCCTTCGACACCTAAACCGACATTCTCTTTCACCCAGGACCAGCAGTTGTTAAAAGGCCACAATGACCTGCTCCGACACTGAATCATATGCGCCATTAACAGTAGACGTCATAGCCAGCGACTCGACGTGTGAGGAGTACTGGACCCGTCCTGTCATTCGTATCCATACTCAGCCCAGGTCCCTTCCTCGCAATCATAATGGAGGGAACTTTGTGCGACAGAGACAGATCCAGATTCTTGTAAATGGAATATGCTAGGCTTCCACACAGGCTAGGAGAGTGACTTCTGAGCAGGTGTACATTATGGCTGTCTTTTGATGGCCGTATTGGGGACTCGAAGACTTCTATATCCGCGAGTGGCATGTTGTTGAATGCTAATTTTTTTTTATAATTTCTTCCATTAGCGTAGCATTGTATTGACACAAGATTGTATTAGGTGAAAAGCCAATATTGAGACATGGAATCATGGTATTATCATCAAGCGGCCAAAGACCGCTGATTTGGCAATGTAGCCTTGCGAAGAACATCCATCGCAGTTGGACTCAGTCCCCAGTCGCCAACCCATTGGTTCATCCGTACCCCATTCTTGAAATGGTCTGCCAGGTGTTCTGCCCGGGCAGTCCACGTTGAGAATGATTGGCCGCAGAACCCACATCGGCTTTGAACCTCGGCGCCGGTCGCTCTCCATGCTTCTAGATCAGGAACAGGGTTCTTCGAACAACCATGAAACTTGCGGAGATGCTGCCATAAATAGTCCTTGCGCGTGAAAGACCGGTCAACCATGGGCTTTGTAGCACAGATGTGAAATTCGTGTTCTTCTAAATGAGCTGGACCAGGACACAACACGTCACAGAAGTTGCATCCGACACCTTGGGTTTGCCAAGCTTGTTGAAGCTCGTCTAGGCTAGGGGTGCAGATCCAGATCTCAAGTGAAAAATGGACGCTCTTCTCATGCCGAGCCCAGTCATGTCTCTTCTTAAATGACCGCATACAAAAAGTGCACTGGTATTGATGCTCTTTTGAATGATCTCGCCGGCGAGAGCGCGACGGCTTTGGTAGCATTGGGAACGGCAGACTTCCTTCTCCAGATTGTTGACTCCAGGCTGACGAGACACTATCTGAGGTCTCTGATACCCAGCTCCCAAAGCTGGAGGCCGAAGAGGGGAGGTGAGATGATGATTCGTCAAAGTTAAAAAGATCCATGGCAGATCCATCGAACTGAAAAGGGTCCATCGACATATCCAAGGACGTAGATGCGATCGCGTCCTGTATCACAGATTCTGGAACCGCTTCATCTTCTGGTGGCGATGCTTTCCACCGCTCCATAGGGGTGAGCGAAATGAGCGTATTCGTAATCAGTGGGGACCCTGCACGAGTGCGAGTGTTTGCTGCTAGATTCGATGACTGCATCTTTTGCTTCTGGCGACGACGGGCATTTGCAAACCAGGTCGCTACCCTTTTCTCTGAAAATCCAGTCTCGCGTGAAAATTGAATTTTCTGTTCTTCGGTAGGATATGGACGTTCTTGGTTTTGATAGAACCACTCTCGTAAAACCCTGGCTCCCTTCCGCACGAATTGTTTGGATTCTCTTTGCTCTTCTATGTTCTCCACGCTGGGAAGAACCGGTGCCTGTTCCAATTAAATGAGAAAAAGCTTGTTTGGTGAGATATAGGCACTCACGCTATCGTCGGGATGCTCCGGAAGCCCGTGTAAATGGCCTAATACCGGGGCGAATGTCTCAAATCCTGAAGGCAGTCGCTTCTCTCCCTTTGCGAGACTGCATTCTCGAAAAAGCGCCACGCAGCTGGAGCAAGCTGAGACGGGGTTTGGGTTTGCTGATGTAGTGCGAAGTATCAAACACTGGAGTCGATACTTGCGGCAATAGCGGCATGAGACTGGGGGACGATATGCACCGTCAAGCCACTGTGGAACATTTGCGAGATTTTGGGGTTGCGGCTGATACACTTTCGCTAAGCTCTCGGCTGTAACATTGTTAAATGGTTCGCTTTGGATATCTGAGGCTGCAAGATCTGGGGCCTGGGGAGCTGCTTGGTCGAATGTCTCGTGAGGTTGTGCGGCATGGCCGATCCACGGCCATTCCGACGAGGTGGGCTCCGATGAGCAAAAATAGAAGTCATTCAAAGCATTCCAGTCTTTTGTTATATCATCTGGAATCCAGCTGTTCTCTGGTGTATCAGTTGTTCCCCACAGCCTAGAGTCTGAGAGTGGCTGTGGCGATTGGTGGGGATCCATTGGTCTGAGGATCCCTGAAATTATGTTTAAAAAATCACCATGCGGCTCAGTAAAGGGTTTATGGTTATTGAGTCAGTGGAGCTTGAAAGCACTAGTCAACGTCGAATTCGGGTGGAGTCACGGCCATTACTAATCGTTCATTTCCCGCCATATTTGAGTTGATCCTCACATTGGCCGGAACTGATCAGCATAATGTATTTCTCAAAGAATGTAATTAGGTCGCTGAATACATTTGGTGGTAGTAAAATTCTTCTTCTGTTAGATACTCTCATCAATGCAAAGTTGATATTTTGATTTTTTTCTCAGTTTCGACTCGTGGCCGATCATGACCACTCCAGCGAGAAGTGAGAGATCTTTGAAGCTTTCCCTTTTTCCTTCCCAACTTTCGTCCTTGATCTTTCGTGTCCTGTTGTCTCTCTCCTGTTTCTCTCACAGGTTCTTTCAAATACTTTCAACTGTTCATCTAGCCAGTCTTGTGGCATCAGCTCACGAGTCACGATGGAAAACACCGTTGAGTACGCACCTCTCGACTCGCTCGGTCGTCAAGAGTACGTGAGGATGCCCACAGCCTTTCATCCTCCGTTTATTCTACCAAATGGAGGTGTTCCTCATCCGCGGACCTTGTTTCCACTTACTGTGGGCCTGAATGCTATCCCATCCGTCCTTCGGTTCATCAACTACACCAACCCGACTGAGCTTTTAATTTACACCGATGGATCTTGTTTAGGCAATGGCGGGCAAAATCCTAAGGCCGGTTGCGCCTTCGTTTTCAAAGATACCGAGCAAGGCCCCAACGACGCCCTATCGTTCGGCTACGTACGCTTTCGGCTCGAAGAGGAAGGGCCCACCGGTGAGAAAAATCGCCAGACTAGCAATCGAGCAGAGCTGCGAGCCGTCATTGCAGCTTTACAGTTTCGGGAATGGGAGCGGGAAGGTTTCTCGAGTGTAGTTATCGCGACAGATTCTAGTCACGTCGCCGTGGGAATGACATCCTGGATTCAAACCTGGTTGATTGGGGGTTGGAAGACGTCGAACGGGCGACCAGTTATCAATCAAGACCTCTGGATGTGCCTGATCAGTGAGGTAAAGCGTTGTGAAGACGCTGGCCTGCATGTTAAGTTCTGGCAGATCCCAAGGGATTGGAACGATGAAGCGGATTATCATGCTAGACATGTGGCGGCGACACAAGGCGCGCCGGCGCATTTTACTCGTATCGTTGGCTCCCTTTGCTGAACCGAAGTGATCTGTTCTTTGACGTATTGTTACGATCTTGAGTATGTTACAAGGATGCATTGAATTTTCACATATGTGATAGCTCAGAAATCGAATTATCATGTGTCTATCAGTTCTTGAGTTCTTGCCCAATGCACTAGGCTGACTTCTTGCGGTGCATTCAATTCTACATTTGCGAAACTGTTTCAAATTGATGACAGATTCATTTCAATTCCAAATTATATAATTGCCGAAAATCATTAAGTACATAAGAAAAGACAGCCAAATCCCACGCGCCAAGCCAATGCAATCAATAGGAGACATTAATGCAACACAGGTCCATTCCGGTGGCATAAATGATATCCGATCTCTATTGAATGCGGATCTTCTTAGGCTTGGGTGCAGTCTCCTTAGGCACAACAACAGACAAGATACCGTTCCTCAAGCTGGCACGCACTGCATCCTGATTGACACGAGTAGAGAAGGTGAAAGTGCGCTGGAATTCGCCAATGGAACGCTCCGAAGCCCAGTAGTGGAACTTTGAGGGCTGGGCCTGCGCTGGAATTGTAGTGGACTTGGTGGAAGCTGCAGATTTGGCGGAGGTTGCAGAGTTTGCTGAGATCACAGAAGCTGAGGAATCGGAGTTGGAATCAGAATCCTCATCTTCATCTTCGACAGTGGGTTGGTGCCAACGGGGCGAGGACTCCTGGGGCTCCGCAGCGGGCTCCGTGTCCTTGTAGTCTCGCACAGTGTGGCCTTTGATGACCAGAGTTGTGGGGTCACTGAATTCAATATCGATATGTTCTTGGCTCACGCCGGGCAGCTCGCCATCTAGATAGTAGGCATCAGCCAGCTCACGGACATCGAAAGCTGGAGTAAAGGTGCGGCGAGGAGTGGGGCGTGTCTGGCGGCGCTCATGCTTATCGTAGTTATCAAGCAGCTGGAATAGCGGCGAGAGGTCAGAGGCGCAGGTCAGGAAAGACATGGTGGAATTTGGTTCTTTGGAGGATGAAAGAAGGATATTGAGGTCTTCAAGTACTTGATTTGATTGGAATGCTTTGATTTGATCTGATGCTTCTTTTCAATCGTTGTGTTCGTGGTATATATAGTTTTGGGGGCGTTGTGGTTGGTGATTGGTCAGAACCAACGGGAATGGAGTGGCGCGTTCGAGTATCTTCTCCAACCCTCCAGATTTCGACTTGCCACCAACATCATCAAATCTTGAATCTTCTGGATGGTTTCTAAGCAAGTGTTCTCACTAACATTGTAGCTCGAGCGTGAATTAATTCATTCGATTAATCATCAGTGTATGTAACTGTCCGCGAGATTCTCTCAAGTCACGGGAATATATTTCTAATCATCAGCGCTGGAGAACCGTAATCTATCTAAACTGACCCCAAACAATTCACACAATTCCAATGTTCTGAGCAATGCTAGGAATACGCGCTTTGGATTTTGGATGGCGAAAATGAGCACTTGACAAATAATCTTTTAATTCCACAAACATCTAGTAATGTACAAAAGTTTCTGCACCCAAGGCAGAACAGGGAGGAACTCAGGATATCGTACACGCGCATCACTCAATGTTATTGTGCACACCTCAAGAAGAAGATCTCGGGTGCGATCGGGAGGTCTTGAAGTACTCTATATACTGTCCAATAAGTGAGCCTCCTGTTCATAGCTTGGTGTACAGAAGAGGATGAGCCATGCGAAACCTACGGGATGTGTCATAACAAAGCCTGGACTTTGGCCCCTTCATCGGATGTTTCGAGTCCCCGGGGAAGCGTACATCTCTAACTGGCGCTGGCCCTTGCGCAGTAGATATTCGATAGTGCTAAAGTCCTTCTTGCTCACCGAAAGGTGTTTTTGGAATTCCGCCCTAGGGCCCTGTCAGCCGGGATGCACCGACACCTTGGAGAGCGGGAAAGGAACGGGAAAGGAAGAAGTTACCGGGCATAGTTTTTGAAATTATCTCTAGAATCCTGTGGTTGAGGAAACAGAGAATAACAGTCAGTCGCGAACCAGCCAAAAAAGAAGTGAAATGTGGAGCACGCACGATCGGCTTCTTGCGGATTTCGCGGAAACATTGGCGATAGAGGGACAAGACCTCCCGCTGAAGGCCGGAGAGTCTAGCCATCATGGAGAGATGAAGAGATGCGGATCATTGGATTGGATCGGAGCGAAGCTGGGGAAAGCGCGAGCTCCGTTTCCCGCCGGCAGTTTTCCCGGCCGAAAGGACCTCTTAATCCTTATCTCCACACTTCCCCAACTTCATCACTTTACATCTCTAGAATACTTACAAGATGCCTTCATTCACAGTGAGTGGGAACTTTTAATTTACCATGCATTGTTTTTTTATCTCATAAACTAACCCTCCTTAGCATTTGGTTCGTTTCCTGGCCAAGGATGGTCAGGTCTACTACGGTGATGCACTGCTTCCAGCGGGCGTGACCGATATCTCCAAGGCTACCCAGGCCAAAGTGATCAAGGGCGATATCTTTGGTCAGCACCGAGTGACCGACAAGGTTGCCGAGGTGCGCATGCTGCTGGCTCCTCTGGCTCGCAAGGACATTGGCACCGTTCGCTGCTTGGGACTCAACTATGAACAGCATGCCAAGGAATCCAATCTGCCGATCCCCCAGTACCCTGTCTTGTTCTTTAAGCCGGTGACTGCCATTGCAGGCCCCACGGATGACATCCCGGTTGGTCAGATGGCACAGGAGGGCGAAGGCCTAGATTACGAATGTGAGCTCGTCATTGTGATCGGCAAAGAGGCTCGCGATGTGCCTGAGGACAAGGCGCTGGAGTACGTCTTGGGTTATGCGGTCGGTAACGATGTTTCGCACCGTGATTGGCAAATCAAGCGCGGCGGTGGCCAGTGGAATCTGGGTAAAGGCTTCGATGGCTGGGCACCATTTGGTCCCGGTATCGTCTCTTCTCAGGTCATCTCCGACCCCAATGCCCTGCACATTTCGACCAAATTGAATGGCAAGACTGTTCAGTCTTCCTCTACCAAGGATATGATTTTCAGCGTAGCCAAGACCATTGCCTTTTTGTCGCGGGGTACTACCCTCTTGCCTGGAGATTTGATCTTTACTGGAACGTGAGTGCACTCCTTGATCCGTATCCCCACATTCCTTCGATCGGCGTTGACATGATTTTCAGACCACAAGGCGTAGGCATGGGCCGCAAGCCCGCTCTATGGATGAAGAATGGCGACCAGGTTGAGGTCTCCCTGGAGGGCGTTGGGTCTTGTGTCAACCGAGTCGTCTACGACAAGCTTGCATCCAAACTATAAATAGTTATCATTGTATATATTAGTCCTCATGAACCCCCGGTTGCTCATATCGCATCATGGAAGCATCCAATAGGCCCATAGCAACACAGCCGCAGCAATGCATAGGCTAGGATGACTAACCCAGCTTTGACAGTTCATTAAGGGGCAACAGTGTCCACTCTGTATCTGCGCAACTCCGAAAGGAGTAAAGATGCCCCCTGTTCCACCCTCAAACATCAATAGAAAAAGAATCGAATAGTGTCATCACTCTGATCTGGATACACTGCTTTCTACTTTATGGAGTTTGGAATACTATCCTCACGGTCACTTTCGGGTCCGTGTCCGGAAGGTTGTCGTCATCTATGGGCGGTGCGCAATCCCCGATCATTCTGGATCCACCGGTACCCGCGTTTCACCCTTTCATTCGTCCACGGCCCCCGCGATGCACCATGGGAATTTCCAAATATGATGGATTGTCGGCTCCTTCTAGGCTCTGCACTCCTAGCCGCTCCTTTCCTTCGATTCTCCTTAAACACCTTCCCGACAATCTGCGATTCCGTGCCAAACGGTTGGATTGCAATGATCTCACCTAGTGTGTATGTATCGAAAATTCGCATATATCGGGGGGGGTTTCAACATCTCCTGAATTCTTGCGACCCTTGATAGTACACAAGCTAACTTTCACCTCGTGCGACAGACCAAATCTCCGCGTATAAACCTCCGGCCTTATTCCATGATTCTCTCACGGCGCGCAGTGCTCTCCCTCGGCGTCTCCTTCTTCGTCGTCTTCTTCTTCGCAGCCCGACATCTTACACAGCCATGGAGTAAATTTCCCCAGGCCGTGGGCCTAGGTGACTTTGTCTACCCCGTTGGCAAAAACGGAACCAAGAACCTCAATGGCACTGTGGGATATCAAACCCCGTATGCCCCTCAGCCAAACTTTGTTCCCGGCATCCCCAAGCCACCCGGTGCTGAATATTCAAAGAGGCTCGTGGTTCCGCGCACGAAGACGGAGGATGTCAGTTGGATTGATACGGAGCTGCCCGATTGGGACACTGCGATCTACGTTGCCAATGACCCTCATGCGCCGCTCCACCCGCCGTCGAACAAAGGTCACGAAGTCATGGTCTACCTGACCTACGTGATCGATTACTACGACGACCTGTCTGACATCTCTGTCTTCATACACTCCCACCAGAACGCATGGCACAACGATGAAATTTTCGGCGGCGATACGGCAGAGATGCTTCGTCGTCTGAACTTAGATCGAGTTGCTCGGGAGGGATACATGAATCTACGCTGTGGTATGGCCCCGGGCTGTCCGGCCTGGATGCACCCCGGGGCTACGGTGGAAGATGAATCAAAACAAGAAGAGCTGATGCTGGCCCGCGCTTGGGGAGAGCTCTTCCCCGATGATCAGGTTCCGTCAGTGCTCGCACAGCCGTGCTGTGCGCAGTTTGCTCTGTCACGCGAGCGAATCCGGACGATCCCTCGGGCCCGCTTCGTCTACTACCGCGATTGGCTTCTGCAGACCGATTTGAGTGACTACATTGCAGGTCGCATTTGGGAATATCTTTGGCAATACGTTTTCACAGGTGAACCAGTTGTCTGTGTAGAGGAGAATATTTGTCTCTGTGATGGTTATGGTATTTGTTTCGGTGGACCGGACGAATTCCAAGCCTACAGGGATGCAGCTGATCAGCTGAAATATCTCCAGCAAGGTTTATCGGACTGGTCATTCTTGGCGGATGATTTGGCGTTCGCTGAGAAGAATGGGGAACTGGATGAGACGATGGAATTGAATATTCCGCCGCTTGGTAGCGAGGGCACAATGAAGGAGGAAGTCGACAGAGTTGAGCAAAGAGTTGCTCAGCTCATTCACGATGCCCTTCGACGCGGCGAAGACCCCAAGCTCCGTGCTTTAGAAGCGCGCCGTCCCTGGAAGGAAGGCGATGGCTTCTAGGCATAGTCTTGGGAGACTGTCTTGCTGAATCATTTGTGCCATTATCTTGGTGATCTATGGGGCGTTTTTTAAAACCATTTACTGGATCATCTTTAGATGCTTTTGCCTTTTCATCTCTGGCTAGCCTCCTGGCGAGGCTTTTCACTCATGTCACAGTTTGACATTTACTGCGTTTCTACATTTGCGTGTTCATATATTGGGATTTAATGCATGTCTCTAGTTTACAAAGACCGGTACTGGAATAGAGAAGAGAGAAGACCGCTGAGTCATTCAGTATATTGTGACCCTTCCAGCCTCCCACATATATCAAGGACGTACATAGAGTCAGAATTATTCACTGGCGATGACTCATCTGGCTTTGTAAGCACGATGACATAACGAGCCATGGTTCGCAGAATCATGAAAATCTTCCCGAATCTCCATTCGGTTACGACTAAGCCTTATCAAGTCGTGTTTCGTTGTCTTGAGTTTTGTCGATAAATCCTGGCATTACTTCCTTCTTTGTTGTTGAAGTGTGGAAAACCCACTAGCGACCGAACTTTTCTTATCGTACCCCGCCGATAAAAAGGCGTCCCACACACTTTTTTCTTATCCCACCACCTGATTATTTTCACTTGGAAGACAAACGTCATGTCGTCGAATCTCCCATACACCTGCAACACCTGCCTCGTTGCGTTCCACCGCAGCGATGCGCAGAGAGATCATATGCGCAAGGACTGGCAGTAAGCGCTCATTTTGAAGTCTGATTATAACAAGTACTGACCATGCCGCAGCTTGTACAACATGAAGCGCAAGGTCGCCAACCTCCCGCCCGTGACCCAAGAAACATTCAACGAGAAGGTCCTTGCCGCTAAGGTTAACTCGACCGAGGCCGCCGCCAAGGCTGCTTTCGAGAAGAGCTGCCACGCCTGCCAAAAAGCCTTTTTCAGCGAAAACTCCTACCAGAACCACGTTAAAAGCGCCAAGCACAAGCAGCGTGAGGCCCGTCTTAGCAAGGAGGGTGACAATGCTTCGGTTATGAGCTCGGCGTTCTCCCTTGGAGAGCCTGTTGGCAAGGCACAGGACGATGTTTCCAACGTCGCTGATGGCCTCAAGGCGGCTACCATCGCAGAGGACAAGGAGGATGAGGAGATGGAGGAGGAGAAGGACGAGTTCTCCGCATCTCAGTGTCTTTTCTGCCGTACCGAGTCAGCCGACATTGAGGCAAATGTCGAGCACATGTTCAAGAACCACGGCATGTTTATTCCGGAGCGCAAATATCTGGTCAACCTGGAGGGGTTGATCAACTACCTCTACCGTAAGATTAACGATAACCACGAATGTCTCTACTGCCATGCCATCCGCAACAATGCTGAAGGAGCCCGCACCCACATGCGTGACAAGGGTCACTGCATGATCGCCTTTGAGGCCGAGGAGGAGCAGATTGAGATTGGCCAGTACTACGACTTCCGCAGCACCTACTCTGACGACGACGAGGAGTGGGAGGATGAGGACGAAGATGAGACCATGGCTGAGGCTGGTGGTGTTAAAGTCTCGTCGTCGGATGCGGACGAGGCAGGCTGGGAAACTGATGCCTCTTCTGTGGATGATGACGAGGAGATCGATTCTCGCCGCAAGGCCCCTGTCATCTACCAGGATGAGTTCGAGCTTCACCTGCCCTCCGGCAAGAGCGTTGGTCACCGCTCGCTCGCCAAGTACTTCCGTCAGAACTTGCACAACTACCCCAGCCCCGATGAGCGGGCTACCCGCCAGCTGGCTATTGAAAATGGTGAGATTGAGGAGGAGGAGCAGAAGCCCCGTGGCCGTAACCAGAAGCGTGCTCTCATTACTCGTGCCAATGGTGGTGATGGTCTGATTACTGCCACCACTGAGCAGAAGAAGGCCGCTATGGTCGCGGAGCGTCGTGAGCACACTCGCGCGGCCCGTGCAGAGAACAGATGGCGCGCCGGTAACGAAAGACAGAACAACCACCAGAAGCACTTCCGTGATCCCCTTCTGCAGTGATTTCTTATCTTGGTTTCCTTTCTCGCCAACAGCTATTCTCCCCACTGTTGGATCCATCGTTCGGTCAGTACCGAATCAATCGGCCTCATGGCTGGACCGTTATCGGTATGACCGTCCGTTGCGATTAGAGACCACTTAGAGCTCTACTTGATACCAGCCTGGTCTCTCAACGGGACAGTCGCGATGTCTTCACTCAATATCTCATCTATGGGAGAAGGGGCCCCTTCGTCTCGAACGATATATCTGACTGAACTACTTTCGCTCTAGTCCGACGTCGTGTCTTCCACTGGGAGCCATCGCGCTGGTCAGGGCTATGGGCCTCATCAAACACTTCACGCATGCCTTGTTCTATGAATACCCGCCACGCTTTTATGATGACGCATGTGTGTTCGTCTGCATACTTCGGTTTATCTTGGATCATATGATTTTTGGGGGCGTTTTGGGATTTAGAATTCAAATGAATTGACGCACAATTTTATGTTTTGATGTTTTCCGTAACTTTCGTAGGGCTTGAAACGTAGTGGTTGCAAGTGGAGTTCGGGTCGGCAGTTGCGCTGAGTGAAATGCCATTCGGACTTTTGGAAAAGGGCCGAGGCTTAATCGCCGCCGAGCTTCTCCATACTTTTAACTACGCGGGGAAGCGGCAATTTGCACTTCTTTTCCTCTACTCATATCACCATGTCGTCTCCATTTCGAATTGTTGAGCATGTGGTGCCTACCCAGCATATCCGCGAGTACCCCGGTGCCATTGCGGACGACCAAGATCAACCCTTGGGCCTTGCCGTGAAACAATATATTCCGCTAGACAATCCCAATCCTCAGCCAGGCGACGTGACAATCCTTGCAGCCCACGCCAATGGCTTCCCCAAGGTATGAAGGCTGTGGTCCAGAGCATGCGACCGGTCTGATCGCGTCCCATCCGCATCTATCAACCCCATCACTGGCCATAGACTAACTAGTCAATAGGAACTATATGAGCCTCTTTGGGAGGAGATCCATGCCCGCGCAAAGGAGACTGGATTCCGCATTCGCAGCATCTGGATGGCCGATGTGGCGCATCAAGGCGAGAGCGGCGTCGTCAACGAGGACCGTCTAGGAAATGACCGTACGAGATAGCCTACCCCAGGAAGTCCGCAATAGCCACTTACTATATCACAGCAAGCTGGTTTGATCACCCCCGCGACCTTCTCCACCTGGTCAACGTGAAGGCGGCTGAAATGCCTCGGCCCATCGTCGGAATCGGCCACAGCTTCGGTGGCGCACACCTGTCAGTATCAACCTTGGCAATCATTTCCTACGACCACGGCTCGCTCAAACACCAATCTAACATTCGTTCCATATAGCACACAACTAAGCTTAATGCACCCTCGTCTGCTACACACTCTAGTACTCCTGGACCCAGTAGTCCAGCCGCATTCCACCCAACTTGACGGCTTCAGCCGCCAAGAGAACAAGCGCGTCATCGCAAAGACAACCCAACTATCAACCTACCGCAAAGAAATCTGGCCCTCCCGCAAAGCAGCCGCAGAGGGTTTCCAGCGCAGTCCATTCTACCAAGCGTGGGATCCACGCGTCTTAGACCGCTGGGTCAAATACGGACTCCGCGAACTTCCCACCGCCATTCACCCCCTAGACAACAAGACCACTTTCGATAAAGCTAACCCGCCCGTTACTCTGCGCACAACGCTTCACCAGGAGGTCTTCACTTTCTCGAGACCCAATTACAACCATATTCCTGGTAGTGATGTGCCCGTGAATCGCGTCACGCACCCGGATCTCGACGCTAACCATCCAGACTCGCATCCCTTCTATAGACCCGAGCCTGCGCGTATCTTCGCGCAGCTTCCGTTCCTGAGGCCTAGTGTCCTTTATATCTTTGCTGGGAAGTCAGATATGTGTTTGCCCAAGATGCGGGCGGATAAGCTTGCTAATACGGGTACTGGGCTTGGGGGCAGTGGGGGTGTTGCGGCGGGACGGGTACGAGAGGTTTTCCTCGAGGAATTTGGGCATTTACTTGCTCAGGAGGCTGTTAATGAGTGTGCTGACGCGGCCGTTTGTTGGCTTGGACCTGAGTTGAGGCGGTGGCAGGATGAGGAGGAGAGTTTCCGGACGGCGTGGGAGAAGAAGAGTAAGCTTCAGAAGAAGACCATTGATGAGGCGTGGTTGAAACATGTTCCTGCGCCGCAGAGGAGATCTAAGGAGCCTTCAAAGCTGTAGGGTGTTTGTACCTTGGTTTCATTTCGGTTGGCCCTTGAACTCTGCATATATACCTAGAGCCCGAATACCCCTGGTCATTGGCAGATCTTGGAATGGAACATAGAATAGTCACAACCTATCCAAATAACCCCCAAAAGGCAAAACAGAAACCCAAGTTGCATCTATAAACCAATAAAAGAATGCATGCATACATACAGGTCTAATTGGCCGGGGACAATAATTGAAAACCAACGCTGCAAAGAAATTGACATCAGATATTTACACACGGGCATCCCAAGTAAGAAACCGCTTAATCATCAAACATCTTCTTCATGAACTTGTGAGCAAGCTCGACACCCAAGCTGGTAAACTGTCAGTATAATACCCAAAAGCGATGTCTCGAGGGTGATGCTTACAAGGTAGCCGCGTTGGCTGGAACAGCACGAGCAAGTGCCGGTCCGAAACCAGGGAAGAAAGCCTTGAAACCACCGTTGCCATACACAGCACGGATAGTTCCACCAATAGTTGGCTTGCCCGGTGCGCTCTGCAATCGGGACTTGATAGTGTCGACAGGGAAGACAGGGATCCACATAGCAATACCAGCAGCACCACCAGCACACACGACGGCCGAGAGCGAAAGGTCACCGGTGACATTACCATCAGCATCCTTGGGGGTCAGGGATCGCTTGATGTACTCGTATGCGGCGAAGTAAGCGGCCGAACCGGGACCGTCACGGGCCAAGGTCATGGCGCTACCACGGAAGACACTGCGGATACCACCCTCCTTGTACAGCTGGCGGACGACATCCATACCACCGGAGTACCTGGGCTTCTGACCGGGTGGGGGTGGGTTCTGACCCTGGATCTGGAGGAGAACCTTGACACGCTCGAAGGGTGCTGTGATTAGGGTCATGGGGATGGCGGAGAAGAAACCGGCCGTGGAGATCTGGGCGATGGAGTACTGGGGAGTGTTGTTCTTCACTGGGACAGTGGAGAACTTCTCTACAAGGGTCTTGCCCACATCGTAACCCTGTTACTGTGTTAGGTGGTGTCTGAAGCGGGGTCGAATTGGGGTCGATTCCGAGGACTAGAAATGGTGGACATGGCACGTACCCAGAAACTAACAGCGACTATGAAAGAGATGTTAGCTAAATTAGATTTTGGCGCGGGATTGTAGCTATTGTAGCTCGAAGTGCACTTACACATCGGGGTCACACCCACAAGCGGGGCAGATACACCAGCGTATAAACCCTACCGCCAAAGCCTGTCAGTTCCACCGTCCTCACGGGAGCTGAGAGATGTCCTACCCGAGCCAATCCCTCACGGGCGACAGTCTTGCGCACAACATCCATCGCACCGGAATAGATACCCTTCTCCGCAGTCTGTAGTCGCACCTTGACCAAGTCAAAGGGGTGACCGACAACCACAGCGCAGAGACCACCAGCAGCGCCAGCAGCAAGCGATCGTAGCTGCACAATGGTCTGGTTCACGGCCTTAGCCTCAACAGCTTTGACCTCATCCTTAATCTGCTGTGGGGAAGAAGCAGAGCTAGACATGGTGATCGGAGGAACTGTGGGGGAATCCGGGGAAGAGGGGGTAAGTACGACCGCGAACAAAGACAGAGGTGAGGGGAGAAGAAGACTCGAAGTGAGGAGAGCAAAAAAGTAAGGGAGATCAATTGAAGAGCCAAAAAATAGTTTAAAGCAGATCGGCCTATGCACGCCGACCGAAACCGAGTCAGCTTGAGATGCCCCGGACAAGTGCCATGAGCCTCGGCTCGGGACCCGGAGAAACCGGCTTACCGCTATGTCATCGATCCACACGCATCAAGGGCACAATATGCAATGACCTTCTGCGCCAATATATACTAACACTGCAATATGTTGAAAAATAATGTAGACTTTGTATTTGACTCTACAGTCTGAACTGCAGCTAGACTAAGTCGGAGGGCGCCGGGCGAACGGGAAACTTGTGTGCTTTCCACTTTTCCGGCGGGACTATGGAAGTTCCCGAGGGGTCTTAGGCTGAGGGTTACTATAGACCATGGTCTTATGACTTGTTGATATGGGATGTATTGTTGATCTATAGCTCGGTCATATATAGTATATGTCTGGATATTAACGAGAATTAATGAGAATCCACAATCACATGTAAAGATGCACGTGCGTATGACTTCATGGATCGAGTGACCATCACATATTGTTAGAATAAGAGAACTTAATTTCAGTATATGATGTAACACCCGCCCGGGTGGTCTAGTGGTATGATTCGCGCTTCGGGATAGTCCCAGATTATTGGAATAGTCTATTGTGCGAGGTCCCGGGTTCAAATCCCGGCTCGGGCCCATCTTTTTTATTTTGTTTTTTCTGCTGCCTTCTTTCTTATTTTGCTATGTATATCAATTTTTTCGCATCGTGATCTTTATTACCCTAGTTCGAGTTTTTGATTATCGTGGTGATATTATACCAGGAAAGTTTCTCTTGAATTCAGATTGCTGGTGGGTATCATGGTATAAATATTCGTACTATGTTCATGTGTTTATACATCCCGTCACAACTCCACCGCAACACGACCCTTTCATGCATTTAGACTCCGTTGTGACATCCGACGCCATCACACTGATTGCGACCTTTCCCACATCTGATGCTCATCATGGGGTTCTGCACCTAGCTTCTTGATCAATCGACGTGTTGCGTCGTTATTTCCTCACGGATAAAGCCGTCAAGGATTCTTCTTCCTTCGTCAAAATGTGTATGCTTAGTTTCCCTTATACATCGTGGAATCATATGTCTTGATTGCACAAGTCCGAATAACCAGAGCTTGAGGCACTGTGGACTGCTGCATCGGCTTCTTCTTCTGAATCACACCCCGGATCGCTTCTCAATAACCATGTAAGCCACTCGGACCTCTGCCTCCTCTGACGATCCACACCCCTCAACCAACGCGATCTCTTCCTTGTTAAGTATCGCCTGACACTGGTATGTCGCTGGTACCCCCTTCTTCTCGACTCTTCTTGATTTAAAGACAAGGTTCCCCTCGAATCTGACCAAGCTCTGAGCCGCATTTCGAGGATGAACGACGTCCACATCATCTGTGAGTATGCGGCGTACATATGGAAGCAGACCGGCTCGCTCCATGAATTGCCTGCATTGGTCAAGATCGCCACCAGAGTCGATGAAAATGGCACCAAGGACACTTTCCATGATGTCGGACATGAATTTATCAGGGCGTAACCGGGTCAAAGGTTCCCACGGATATTCATCCCCATGCTGTATCTTCGCCGTGATTTCGTCACGCAGGCCATCAAATCTCGCCAGACAAGCCTCTCGGGCTGGATTGATAGTCGGGCCATTGAATCGGAGATAGCGCCACAGGTAGACCCCTTTAGAGTCGCAGATCATGTTGGGGTGTTTAGTATACAAAGAGTTCTGCGTGCCACTAAGACCCATGCAGAAAAATGCAAGAAGATTTGCATTCACTACTGAGTGCTTAGTCAAGGTCATTTTACCCTGAGACGTCTTGCCTTGGTGAGCGGCTAGTAATGGGATGATGAGCATATCAAGCACAGCGTCCCCCAGATATTCGATTCTCTGGTATGACTGAGTGGTCGTATCATGCTCGCATGAGGGATGAGTGAGAGCTTCAGTTAGAAGGGAAGCGTCTTTGAATTTGTATCCGATGACAGATGCAAGGCTGTCTGTATCAATCAGATTGCTCTCACCTCGCGGGATGGGAGTGACATATGATAAAGCATCACTCGTGAAGATATCAATCTCTGGCACGAAACGGTGAAGACACGCCTGGGCTTTACGAATTCCTCCGTCTAGAAATGCCGCGCCGATGAGAGCCTCGACCACGTCTGCTAGCACTTTGCTGGATAAGGTCCGTTGGGGGGATTCCGCAGGCTCAATCAATTTTCTGGAGATGAATGGAGCAGTCCACTTTTTCGGTGTGAACCGCTTAGCCAGGATAAAGCTATCCAAGCCTGTACTAAGCGCTGCATAGGCGAGATGCTTGTTTTGGACAACCTTGTCTCGGCTTTCAGATAAATACCCTTCATGCCAGGTGGGTTGCCGGAAGAAGAGTTGACAGGCCACAGTGAACTTCAGCACTGAGTCACCGAAGAACTCGTAGAGTTGGTAGTCGGTGCTCGCTTGTGCTATCGGCGTGGTAATTGCCGTGAGGACATGACCGAGATTTTGAATCCCAACACCTTTCAAAATCGTGTCGTTTAGTCGCTTAGCAACCATGGTGGCCTCCAAACGGTCTAGGATAGCGGAAATCAACAGACCAAACATAGATTTCCGAGCTGGAAGCTTGTCTACGGTACAACCCGCTGCTGGAATCACATAAAGCTTAACTAGGCCCTCTCCGTCCTCGCTTGCTTCAGCTGCTGTCCGAGGCTGCAAGAAATTCCGCCTTCTCGGAATGGATTGACATTCCGTGTCGACCCGAATCTTGGTTCCCTCTTCAGAATGGATCCATTTGCGAAATAGGCGGGGTTCACTATACTTGGCTGTGTCCCGAATGATACCCACTGGTTTGTTGGATGCATCGCGCTCATAATGCTCCATCAGCATTTCAGTGCCCCCGTTGGTATTCTTCCATTCTTGCAACTGATCAAGGGGAACGGTCGGCATGAAAAGCACCACATAGTCTCGATCAGGATGCTGTAAACGCGACGATGGCGCCTGGAAATATATACCTGTTATTTCTCTGATCAGGTGAAGGGTTTCAATTGTCGGTGAATGAAGCGGCGTTGAAGACTTGAATTTCGCGGTCAAAGTCGTTTCGGGGTCCCAATAGAGAGGGATGGTATCTGGCATTGCAACAAGCTTGGGTAGTACAATCGAAACCATTAAATCCTCATCCAAACAATCGTTTCTGAAAAATTCTACGTCTGTTTGATAGACATCAGGTGATGACCATGCCTGTGACAACTCCACATAGGGGTCCCATTGTTCCGCGCACTCGACCAGTGCGGGAATTTCTTTCTCTTCACCAAATCTGAGATCAGCCTTTTTCGTCAATGGCAACAAATTGTCGTTGACTAGGCCATATTGCCACAAAGCTTTGTAGGCTTGAAACGCAACCTCCTGACGGGCTGCACGTTCTGTGCGCCACCACCTCTTCCCTTCTGCCCGTCGCACGGCAGGGTGAATAGAGCTAGGAAGAGTTACAGACCCCTGGAGAAAGCCACTGGAATTCTCGTTGAAAGTAAACAGAGGGCGGCTCTGAGCATCTACATTTCGGGGTAGCAAATCACAGAAATGCTGTAGGTGTTGTAGAGCATCCTCCGCGGCAAGTCGGGCACTTTGAGATTTTAGTCAGCAACTCAAGAGCTTGATAAAGCACGATTAGGAATGCCTACCCAGTCGAAGGAACATCTATATATTCCGCAACATCCTCGTCGATGTCCTCCAGAGCCAATGCGTCTGCTCGCTGTCTCGCGTCATCTTGGTATGCCTCGACCATCATTCGCTCCAAATCTTGCCATTTTTGGACATTCAAAGTTTCATCATCTGTCGATGTCATGATCGCATATGTGGATTCCTGATGTCGAGCCCGTCCCCGCCTTTGGACGAAAGATTTGAGATTGGAAGGCTTATCGAAACATATTACCAGACTGCAGCGACTCACATCCAGGCTTTCTTCTAACACGTCTGTGGCGACAATTATATTCTTTATGCCCTCTCGGAACTCTGTAAGCGTGTCTTTCTGTATATCTCGACTAAGCAGATCACCAATAGATTCGCGACCACCATTATTCGACCACCCTACATATGCCGCACATCGGAATCGTTGTTTGGTAGAAGGGTGGTTTGATAGAATGGCCGTCAAGACGCTGACAGTGATTCGTCTTCTCACGAAGATTAACCCAGAGAACTCCGAGTGGTCCATTTTCAAAAGGAACTGGAGCAGTGTCTCAAACTTTGAAGAGAAAAGTGGCATAGGGTTGGCATCATCAGTAACCTCAGCAGGCACCCAAATCGGCGCAAGGACTTGAAGGATATAGGCCCTCTCTTCGCGATTCAATTCAGACATTTCCATTTCGCTAATAGTCGAGTTACGCAATTGAGATATGCAGGCATCGATGAAGAAATCTGTTGCGCAGCCGCCAAGCTCTTCGTAGATATGCCAGCTTTGCTCAAGAAACTTGTTCAACTGTTCGGCACAATATGTTTTGCCTGACGCTGCGACAATTTCTGCCTCAACTTTCGTCTCAGGTTGCTTTCGCAGCATCTGAATATAGGGATCACTTCCCACATCATAGGACTGAACGCAAAGAATAAGCTGCTGAAGCATGTGACTAGCAGCGCCTATATCCTCAGTTTCACTTGGGATGTAGGTGACGCGCTCCAGACGGGGTTGATGTACATGTGCAAGAAGCTCTTTTCGGTGGGTGCGTGGCGTCTTGCATACAGCATCCAGGTTGGCCTCGATATTCCTGAACGGTCAGTCCGTTCCTGGAAAATCAGCAGTAGTGGCGTACTAGACTCACTGAAGCTCGTTTGAATTAGATCTAACGATCGGACTGGCAGTTAAACCTAAAATTCGGGGGACTGCCTGCCGACCGAATTTGAAAAGGGTTGGATGGTAATGGTTTTGCATGATTTTATTCGCCGGATGCCGACGCATGCAATGGTGCGCTATCATGATGCTTAGCCCAGCACTTACAGCTTTTAAATATTATGTCCAGGACGGTCTAACCTTCGTCAAACACCATCAAGGCTAGCTGCGGCATTCGTACAAAGCCGTGGCTCAGGGCGTCCGCAAGGACTGCATGAGTTGACACCACCACGCGCACTTCCTGTAGAGCAGTGTTCCAGGTGGATTGCTCAGTCCACCGATCGACATTGTCGAAGCCGGTAAGAGTTCTGGTCTTTACTGATGGTATCTGGGAAGCAATCGCATCGTGCTGTTGGAGACACAGCGCGACGGTCGGAGCCAAAAACCACACAAGCTGCTCGATGCATCAATATCAAACGAGGCCACCGGTACGAGGGATGATAAATGCCAAAGCCTTACCTTTCCAGGGACACCTTTTTCCAACTCAGCCATGATGCGTAAGATGGCTCTACATGTATCTTAGTTGATTTGCCCCCTAATACCAACACACGTGTAACCAGTGCACGTGTGATATCCATGGATATCAGAGGAGAGGACCTAGGGAATCTTACATCTGAGTTTTTCCACTGCCAGTATCCATCTCGGAATCCAGTATGTCAGTACGTCAAATGCGACATGACTAGAGGTCGACTCACGGCCACAATGATATTCTGTTTTAAACTCGCTTCCAACATTTCAAGTTGATAGCCACGCGGCCGATAAGCTTCAGCCTCAGGGTTGCTACCCCCAGCGACGGAGTTGTCGTGAGTTTTATCCATGGCATCGATGGAAACCATCGTGTCGATGTGCCAGGATCACAGAAGGAGATCAAGGAAGGTGATAAATGTCTGGAAGTGGTACTTTGTTTGTTCGGTGGGATATGCCCGGACGGGTGTTTCCGTTGGAACCCAACGACGAACAGAAAAGACGGAAAGGCCGGAGATTTGAGTCTGATTGGAGGAAAAGCAAGCTGTGTGGGGTCGGGTCTCACGGACCTTTGTTTACCCGGAATATTCTGTCAGTGGAGGCGGTGTGGTCTATTGATGGGCTGTTGAAGAACCTACATCTATGTCATTATGAGACTGTAATTGGGTGATGCACGCGCTGAGGGAGAATTAGCAGTCGATGCATAGGAGGAGTAGGAGCCGCGATAGAGACTTTTTATAGTCAAATCGGGAAATCTTGGGCGCCCTACTCTGATCGCAACGCGCTCTTGAGGATATTGGCTCTGGAAAACTACTCCTATATCCTCTACAGAGCCATATCAAATCTATGAAGTGTGTATTATATGCCCAGTATATGATAGACACATTGGCTACATTCTTAAAGACGACTCTTGCAATATAGGCGCCTCTTTGTTAAGATCTAAGACTATATACCACCTGGGTAATTGTAATGCCCCCTAAATGCACACAGGTAAGGAGACAAGCCATTCAAGCTTGAGTTTATACACCAAATGGGTACTCTGTATCCATGAATCATTTCTGCATTACGACTCATCATAATTGAAATGCGTTCTAATAGGCATTGAATACAACGTACTTATTTGTCACCGAATCTTGCAGAGCTGACCAAGATGTTTCCAGATTACACTCGAGCTGGATCCGTTGATCCAAATAGAGCAGTCCAATACTTAGTTACTCCTCTGCATATATCTGTCCTGTTCTCCCAGCTTCCAAATTTGTTTTCCAGCTCACAGCCCGTCCAAAGGATCTCCGCCCAGAACTGTTTTTCAACATCAGACCCAAAAGCTTTGATCTTATCCTCAGGTATCGTCCAAGCACGGGTATATGTTCCGTCGTCGTTGAACGCCGGGTTGACGGCTTGCTTTGAAAAGACGGTCGCGGGATTGAATTTGGGAAAGTTGGCATGAATGAAGAAAGCCCGAGGAGCAGCGGTCGATGACCCTTTGGCGCGCCCTTCTCCCTTCTGAGCCAGGCGATAATCCTCAATCGGATCAAACTGTAGCATTGCAGATCCGGCAAGACCGCCTTCTGTTCTGTGACCCATTGCGCAAATAGGTTCACTGACTTGGTAAAATGGCTCGTTAACCGCCATGGCGGCGTTGATGAAGGTTTCTTTGTCCCCTTCGCCAGCCGCTCCTTGAGAGAGGAGACGGTAGTAGTGCGTCGGGCCCCAAAAGTTGTAGTAGGTGCAGAGAAGGAGTGTTTTAAGGTGTGTTCTTTTCGAGATAAGCACCTCGCCGGACTCAGTCGATTGTCGGGATTCCATTGCTGGGACGCTCTGCGAGGCAATCTGGTAATAGAATGGAGAAGCAGAAGATGCCCAGAAGTCTGGCCAGGTAAGTAATTTGGTGCTTCGGAATGGCTCCTGCTCAAATAGTATCTCGGGCTTGGCGATTGGGAATGCGTCCGCGTCCAAAAACAGAATTTCTTCAAACGAAGAAAAAAGCATCGCGAATGGCTTCAACTGATATTTTTCAATCTCGGTCGTACCCGGCACTGCCTTCATGATGTCGGATAGTACAACACACTGTGCGTTCAGTGAAGGTAGTACTTGGTCGCAGATGAATTCCTCGTACTCGTCTGGCGTGGCCAAGAAGACCTCCATCGGCAGTTTTGAGCCCGTCCGACGCAGCATGCGCAAGGATATCACCAAAACCGGGAGATAAGGGCCGCCTGCGGTAGTGACCAAACCTCTGGTTCCAGGTATATAGGGAAGAGCGGGTGGACCGAGTTCAATAGCTTCGACGAAGTCTCCGTGTGCCTTCTTCATCGCCCGAACATCGCGGGTCGTCATTTTCAGCAAGTCAGGACGAGGGCCTGCACCCGAGGACTTGAAGCCGGTAGCTTCTGCATTTCCAAGTCGTTTGGGGGAGTTGCATGTTGGTTTATGCGTCTCCAAAAGTGATTGGAATTGGCGCCAGAATTCAATATGCTCCGTCGTGTTTCGCGAGTGTGCTCCTGTCAACTGATCTGTCAAGTAAGCACGGTAATTGGGAGCTGTAGCCCCTGCTGTCAAGTACCAAATGGATGTAGCCGCAAGACACAAAGCAAGGACTATTCGGAATCGGCGAGTCATTATAGTGAAGCCTATTGGAGACGACGAGGCGACATGGATAGTCTGTATAGGAACGAGAGTGAGATTGAAAGGTGGACTTGGAGAATATTTCCAAAAGACATCCAGAAAGGCAAAGAATACAAAAATCTTACTTTTCGCTCCATAGTCATCAAATCAGCCGGAAGCAGGCCGCGGGCTTTGTACTCTATCTCATGAAAAGAAGTAACTACCCCGGGTTCTTCCCGCTTGCGACCGTGGCAGTCGTCCAGACTGGAGTGATTATGGGCAACCCACAAAGTCTAAGTTCCAACCAGTTTCATTGAATTTGTGTTTCACGTTGACGTTCCCGGGGTCGTTTGTGATTTGGTGATTCGTGGTTTACCGGATGCGGATGGGGGCCCGTCTCAAGTTGACAACACATGGTTCGTACATTCCTGTCCCCTTCAACAACCTGGACTTGTCCTGTTTCTAGGTGCTTTATCTCCAAATCTCTCTTTCTGAATTATGCGATCATGTTCACAATATTAAATCTGATTGCCTAAAGACCCTCAACAACTCAGTTTACAGCGCCGTATGAAGTTTTCAGCTTTACAGCGCCAGCACTGCAGAGCGACTAAACTTGAGAATTGGGTTGATTTGTACGATACAGTTTCCGGTGCTCGGTTCCATGTGGACATGACAGGGACAACTTACCTGACGGCGGTTCTCCGTTCTACAGGAACAAGATTCCTATGTATTCTGAAAGAGTATTTGTGCGCGACCACAATGGCGATTGATTTCAGTGGATGTATGTGAAATGAACATAATAATTGAGGCATTTACAGTGTAGGAATATTACTACAGGGAATGGTACGCACTGTTCAACTCGGTTTTAGTGCTGGGGGAATGTGTACCCGTTCATCCTTGTCCCTGGAATGTTGACGCGGCTGGATAACTATGATGTGGTGCCGTACAACCCTCTTGTTGTTTCATAGTGCAGCGTAATTACCTTCATGATAATGAACATGGGTACAAGAATCCATGGAGTCAGATCAAAAGATGAATGACTCAGATCACAAGTTATAGATCTCCTGATCTGTCGTAGAATATGATTTGGTCGAAGAAGCATACCCAACCGCATCCGGCCAAGATGGTAGACAAATCCCGATGTTTTCAGGCAACCAGCGTGAAGAACAGAAAATCTTGCGTTAACAAAACTATTATTGAGCGTATTCATTTGTGTCTTGATTCATTTCCAAGGCTCATGCTCAAGCCACCCACCACCTAACCCGTGATGTCTCTTCACAGGAGATCTGATAACTGGATCGACGTGAGTTCACCTTATGTAAGTATCTTGTGGGCGAGATGAGCTGACAGTGGCACAGGGCATTCGGGGGATCGCAGCAATCATAGTCGTGACATATCACGTCTGCTCCGCTTTCGCAAAATGGTTGAACTCGCCAGCGATTGAGGAAAATGGCGAGGTTTTCATATTCCAACAACCCTTTTTGCGAATTATATTTGCCGGTCGATTTGCAGTTTCCCTGTTCTTCCTCATCTCTGGATATGTGAATTCTTTCAATTCGATCAAGCAGATTCGCAATGGAGACCAGAGTGGCGTCCTTTCGAAGCTCTCCCGGAATACGATCCTTCGGGCTGGCAGACTAGTCGTACCAACAAATGTAGCGATCTTGACGGTCTGGCTTGTCTGTCAGCTTAATGGATTTCGCATAGCAAATCAGGTTGACTCTGACTGGGTACGAGTGGTCGCCACGGCGCCCGATCCTACTTTTCGTGATGCGCTTGCAGGCCTGTTTCGCAACTGGGTGTTGTTTTGGAAGAGTGGTGATTCACCCTATGATCGCACATACTGGACAATACCGTACTTTCTAAAAGGGTCTATGTTGGTATACCTAACTTTACTGGCAACGACACACACCACCCCCAGAAGTACCAAGTTGCTTCTCATTTGTCTTTATGGCTATTCCTGGCTTAATGGTGACGGTGAGTCTCAAGACAACCGAGCTCCATACGTTTGAACATCTCTAACAACCTAATCATGGAAACAGCTCTTATGGAGATGACTACCTACGCGGGAATGTTTCTAGCCCAATTGAACGCAGATTACGGTCACAGAGCCACCTCAGTCATGCCCGCGCCGATACCGATAATGATGATTCTGAGTGGTCTTTTCCTCGCTTCATTTCCGGATGATAATCATTCATGGGCGCCATGGAGCTGTGTCATGGACTCTGTGGGACATCACATTGTCCCCAGCGGTGGAGAAGTCAGTCGATATATAGACTCCCTCGGAACGACTCTTTTTGTTTACGGCATGTTCTTTTCGCGCAGCGGCCGTCGGCTTCTCGCGTCCCCATTCATGAACTTCTTGGGCCGCATCTCGTTCGCTATCTATCTTATTCATGATACCCTCATCCGCACGGTTCTATCGTGGATGATCTATCAACGGTCTATTTTTGAGCATGGTTTGCATCCCGTGAATAACGAAGGGCAACCTGGGTGGTTTGAGAGGGGCGGGTACACAACGTTCGCTGTTGCTATACCATTGTTCTACCTTGTTCTGATATTCCTGGCATATTTGTGGACACTATATGTGGACCCGATTTGTGAGAAATTGATATTATGGATGGGCAAGAAAGCGTTTGGCGAGGATGACGGATTTGATGCCGGGCGAAAAGACACAGGTGGGATTTTGAAATCCTGAGAATTAATAACCGTCTCGTGACACTAGACTTGAGCTAGATCTGGAGGTCAATATCATTATTCACTCCACTCATCGGCTGGTCCTTCTGAATCTGTGAAATTGAAGATTGGTATTACGCTTACTTTATCTTCCGCCGGTGAGGATCGCGCAGATTCGATTGGTGGAGATCGCCGAACGAATCTCAGTGCAAGCTTGCCTCTCGACGAAATCACCGGAACGCGTAATCTATGTAATGGAAATACAAACCTTTCAAAGTTGTGGATGTCGGAGAGAACAACAGAACCAAAATGATGAATTGGTGTCAATTGAATGATCCAAAGTCGATCGGATTTACTCTACAGAATTGGACTTGTAGAAGAAAATAAAGTAGTATAAAACTGGTGTCAGTGTTTGTACAGATTAAGAAATCAAAAACAAGTAAGCTGTCCCGCATTCGGGGAGCGATTCCCCCAAGAAACCAGCGCATGACATCAATCCCCGCTTAGCATCCAGCTTCCCTTCTGAGCTTGAACATCTCATCGGCGCGATCTCCGTCCTCGGTGCTTCTCGGGTCTAAAGGTCAATCACCATCGAGCCCCACGGAAGCTTGGAATTCATTCTACCCCTTTGCCGCAAAGTGGCGAAGTACTTTAAGAAGCGCATCTCCAACTCCCCGCACGGAACTCTGACTCCGCTCGCCATTTCACTCTGTATTAGTAAATCCTATCTCCCCGCCCGAGTGTTGGTTTCTCATAATGGAGCGACTTATCCGCCCCGTCTCCCGACAACTCCTGCGATCTCGTCTGCGATACCCTTACGCTATTCCCCCGCCGCCGATTGCTAAGAGACTCTACACCATGGGACACAACAAGCCTGAGGTGAGTTACGATCGACTTAGGATTGGGGATCGAGGTTCTAATATCAAACACAGTTGAAAGATCCATCTCTCTTCATTGAGAAATGCTACATCAATGGCGAATGGGTTGGTGCCCAGTCCGGCGAGACCTTTGAAGTGCACGGTAAGACCAACATCACTTATAAATGTCGGGTTTGCGGACGCTAATTTACGTTATTTTCCTCCCATAGACCCTGCTACCGGACAACTCATTGGTAAATGCCCAGAGCTCAACTCCTCCGACGTCGAGAAGGCCATCCAGGCCGCCACAGAGGCCTTTCCTACATTCCGCACAACCCTGGCCCGCGAGCGCGCCCGTATGCTCCGCCGATGGTACCAATTGATGATGGACAACGCAGAGGATCTGGCCAAGCTGATCACATGGGAGAATGGCAAGCCATTGGCCGACGCCAAGGGCGAGGTGAACTACGCCGCCGGCTTTTTTGAGTGGTTCAGCGAGGAGGCTCCTCGTATCTACGGAGATACCATCCCAGCATCGGTGCCCGGTAACCGTGTCATCACCCTCAAGCAGCCCGTCGGTGTATGCGGTCTGATTACTCCCTGGAACTTCCCGGCTGCTATGATTACCCGCAAGATTGCCCCAGCTCTGGCAGCTGGTTGTACTGTGGTCGCCAAGTCGCCCCAGGAGACTCCTTTCACTGCCAATGCGCTGGCTGAGTTGGCTCACCGTGCCGGTATCCCCAAGGGTGTTGTCAACATTGTGACTTCGTCGAAGAATACCCCATCTGTGGGTGAGACAATCACTACTCACCCTGATGTGCGGAAGGTTTCATTCACTGGCTCGACAAATGTTGGCCGTCTGCTCATGAAGCAAGCTTCATCCACTATTAAGAAGGTCTCTTGGGAGCTGGGCGGCAATGCGCCGTTCATTGTGTTTGATGATGTTGAGGATCTCGACGCCGCCGTTACCGGCGCTATCAACTCTAAGTTCCGCAGCTCTGGACAGACCTGCGTTTGTGCCAATCGTATTTACGTGCAGAAGGGCGTGTATGAGGAATTTACTAAGCGCTTCACTGCCAAGGTTAAGGAGTTCAAGCTCGGCGCAGGTTTCGAGGAAGGAGTTACCCACGGCCCTGTCATTCACGAGCGTGCTGCCGGCAAGGCGCATGAGCACGTCCAGGATGCTATTAATAAGGGTGCCAAGGTCTTGATTGGTGGCCAGAAGGCCTCTGCTCTTGGTCCTAACTTCTACGAGCCTACTGTCCTGTCGGGTATGAGCAAGGACATGCTTATCGCCTCCGAGGAGACCTTCGGTCCTGTGGCCGGTCTTTTCCCCTTCGAGACTGAGAAGGAGGTTGTTGATCTTGCTAACAAGGCTGAGGTCGGTCTCGCTGGCTACTTCTTCAGTGGCAATGTCCGCCGTATCTTCCGCGTCGCGGAAGCCCTGGAGGTTGGCATGGTCGGTGTTAACACTGGTCTAATCAGTGACGTCGCTTCACCGTAAGTTTTTCTTATATACACATTTTATTTTATACTGACGAGAATAAAGGTTTGGTGGTGTCAAGCAGAGTGGTTTCGGCCGTGAGGGCAGCAAGTATGGCATCGATGAGTTTATGGTCATTAAGAGCGTTACCTTTGGCGGTATGGGAGAGCCTCTGCAGGAATAGAGCCTCACAAGCATACCAAAATGAAAATTACTTAGGATGAAATGATATGCCTTATAAATGCGCAAAATTTCTTCGCATATTTCCATGATGGATTATGACTTCGCACGGGCACCTCTACTTAGTAGATTGGCGTGGTAGGTTTCCAGAGGGGAAGAAGTACAAGTAGAGATTTGTCATATGAATTGAGGCTCTTCAAGTCATATGTTTCTTTCCTAGGCTAAGTTCATCAATTCTGGAAGCTGCATGAAGGTTAACAGACTCAGGCTATTAAGTGGCTTGTTCTAGCCAAGATCTAGCTCACGACCCCGCGATAAGCTAAGCCCCACCAACCCACGATAACAAATATCTTCGCAGCTCCTCATTGCAACTTCATCTTCAAGCTACTAACTCCAATGAAGCTACCGACAAAATGACATCCCCAGAAGCTCTTATCTCCAAATTCCAGGTCACCAAGCTGCTAAAGCAAGGTATATCAACCCCAATCGCAAACCCAAGGACCCAAACTAACCCCACATAGATCAGAATGGCCGCCGCATCACCCTCCTCGGCACAATCGACGAGCAACAGGGCATCCTAACAGCCGAACGTGCTGCATTCGCAACAGAATCCCTAGAAGTGATCCAAGCCTTCCATGCAGCCCTCACCCGAATCAACAACCTAGGCGACAACGACATCTACCGCTGGTACCTCGCATCCTCAAACGGAGATACCAACGATGCATCAAACACCAACCTACTACAGCACGACTTAAAGCTAAACTTGATCTGGCCATGCACCGAGCAGCATATCAAAAAATATTCTGATCAGCAGGTCCGCATGGTTACCGAGACACCAGAGATCTACAAGAACCAAGTCCGCCCATACATGCAAGCCAAACGCGACGAAGGTCGTCTCAATTGGATATTCAATATCCTTGAAGGCCGGACGGAGCAGGAGGATGTCATCATGCGTGACCCTGGACACGGTCCTGAGGATGCGTTCTTGATGCTGCCTGATCTAAACTGGGATCGGAAGACACTTAGCTCGCTGCATTTGTTGGCGCTGGTGCATCGGCGTGATATTTGGAGTCTGAGGGATTTGCGGAAGAGTCATGTTCCTTGGTTGAAGTATTTGCGGCAGCGGGTTCTTGAGGCTACGGTTTCGATGTATCCGGATCTAGAGCAAGATCAGCTTAAGCTTTATGTTCATTGTGAGTTTTTTCGATCGAGCCTTTGGGTGGGGTGGGCTAATTGTGCATTTAGATCAACCGACTTATTACCATTTTCATATTCATGTTGTGAATGTTATGCTGGAAGCTGGTGCCACACAGGCCACTGGAAAGGCATTTGGCTTGGAGAATCTGATCTCCCAGTTGGAGACTATGACTGGTGGGGAAGATGCTAGTTTGGCTGATGTTAGCTTGACTTATTACTTGGGCGAAGCGAGTGAGTTATGGACTGATATTTTTGCGCCATTGAAGGCGAAGCAATGAGGATTATTAGATAAAGGAGTTACGAGACAATAAAATCCGGGAATTCTTGTTTTAGTGCTTTTTTCAAGTTTTGGGGCGGTGTAGACATAAGTGACATGGCTCGTGGTACAAGTATGTACATTGTTGATTGTTTTGGGTAAATGCTATTCTATTCCTCCGAAGCAGGGTCAGCATTGAGCGACTTGCTAACCTCATCCATGACCTTGGACCAAGTCTGCGACCAGAGAGTAAACTTGTCCTCGGATGACTCCTCGTTCCAAGGCGTCGTTACCGACTCAACGGCCTGTGAAGCATGCGCGTGTGTTTTCTGCAAGAACTCGACAGATCGGTCCACATCCTCTTCATACAAGGCTCCGGCAACCTCATCAACCTGATCAGGAATGTTCTGCAGGTTTGAGATCAACTTCTCCAACCGCGCAACGTTTGCTACGGAAGACAATGGCGCGTCCTTTGCACTCTTCAGTCGGTGGGTGATGATGGCAGGGTAAACCTGGGCGATGGGCTTCAGGAAACGGAGGGTAGTCTTCTTCTGTTCTTGCATAGCAGCAACATCCTTGTCGTCAGAGTTCTCGTCTGACCCAGCATGCTCATCATCATCCTTCTCGTCGCCCATGATCTCGTCAAAGAAATCATCGTCTTCTTCCGGATCCCAGTTCTCGAGTTCCTCCACGGCATCCCGGACAAGGTCCCTCCATTGTTCAACGCGGTGGGTGATGAAGCCCACTACGCCGTTGTTCGAAAGACTGACTAGCGAGTCACATGCGTCCCAGACACGTCCAGCCGCGAGGGTAATGGCATCCTTCTCGATCTTGGAGAGTTCCTCTTCCTTTTTCTTAGGGTCTGCCTTCTTAGCCTGATCCTTCTTCTCGGACAGATTCTTCACTAAATTCACGAGTGTGCTGAATTCGGCGAACAAAGTTTTGACTAGGATCAGCGTCTCGGAGTGGAATGCTTTTGTGTATTCAGCGGGGTTGACGAGGAGGATGGCGGTCAACAACGAGGGGAGGACGGAGTCATTGCAGGCGCGGAGGATGCCGGTCACTGCGGAGTGTGTGAAGGGCGTGGTGATGGCGAGTAAAGAGAGCTTGGTGACTTGCGCCTTGAGAGCACTCGATGAGGCTGAAAGGAGGGGCAGGGCCTTTGCGTCTTTGACCGGTTTCTGAGTGGACTGCGCAATGTTCGACGGGGAGAGAGTATCTTGGAATTGAGTGATGAGGGCGAGCGAGGTCTCAAGCACTGTCACTAGTTGTTGCGACATTTTGTGCCGATTGAAGGTCCGACTGTGGTGTTGATGAGGGAAAAATGTTGATTGATTCCAGAATATTTTAGATAATCCGCCCCACATTGAATTGATCCCCTCACATTTTCCGCTTTCTAGTAAGATGAACCCATGAATTTCTACCGGGGCACCCACCTACCTACCCATTTCAATAATCGAGAAAATGCCAAAGTCCTTATTCACAGAGCTTTTTAGTTTGCGCCAGGGGATCCCCTCCCTACAGCGAAAACTTCACAATTGTGGGAGATATTCAGGCACATATGATTGATTCATACCAGTCTTTGCAGGCGCTGCTTATGATAGCCTAGCTCTATGTATTGACTGGCGTCTTCTTGACGAATAGGCAGGTCCCGTGAGAGCGTAAACTATGTCGAGATACTAAGAGTTTGCCAAGAGATACTTCCTTGGAGATTAGAGTATGACTGCATTCATTAATGTAGCTCACGCGTACCATTTATTTCTACATATTATGCTCAGTGGGCGAATCAAATCACTCAGGGCAGACTCAGTGATCCGATCACTGCGCCTGACACCGTGCTCAACCCTGCCCAGTGAGCAGAAGCGGCGAGAGGTGTGAGCACTCACACAGAAGGAGAAGCCAGGAACCGTTAAAGGAAATCCGGTAGGTAGGTATACGAGTGTCCTCAGCGGAAAAGCTTCTCTAACCACGTCGACTCCCGGGACTTCTTCTCTTTCTGCGCGAGAAAGTAACCACAGCCAGCACCAGCGAAGTACCCACCGAGGTGGGCTGCATGGTCCATTTTGGTAAGTCTGGATAAGGGAAAGACTCGTAGGAAACGAGCTGGAGTCACCATGCTCAGAATCTCGAGACCTACAAGACAGGAGAGGAAAATCCAGCCCTCTGTGCGAATAAGATCTTGAAAGCCATCGGGGAGGACCCACATGGTAAGAGAGTCACTAAAGAAAGAGTTAGTTGTTGGAAGCAAGAGTATGTACTGGGCATGGTCTACATACTCAAAATGATACATGCACCATGCGGCAACAATACCACTAGTAGCAGCACTGGCACCGAGAGAAGAGGTGGCAAGAGCTCCCAATAGAACGTTGCGAGACAAGGATGCCAAGGACCCGATCGCACCAGAGGCGAAGTAGATGGCCAAGAAGTTTCCGCGGCCGAGTTCATCGTGAACTATAGATTGGTAAGTTTGCTGTTCAAGTGAGGCATACACGGGGAGCTGTTACCTCGAGTTCCCATGATACCCAGCACAATCATGTTCGTGGAAAGATGTCTCCATGTTTGATGGCTGAAAGTGCTGCCAATCATACTCACTGCGCTGGGATAAAAGGGAACAATGACGAAGAAGCGATTCAGCAGTCGCCACGCGGGTGGAACGTATTTCCACATCAGGGTAACAGCGACATTGGCACCAATGATAGCTCCCACCGTTGCCGCGGCCGGAGGAACGTTGGGCCAGAGGCGATCCTTTCTCGCGGGCGCCTCATAGTTTTGGGCGAATACATAGCAACAGCCGAGGACACCGATAGCGAAAAGTATAGAGCTTAGCAGGCGCTGGGTCTGAAATGAAACTACTGATTAGCACAATAAGACTGAGTGTCATTCCTAACCATACATACCGTCGTCATATCCACTGCATCAGCTTGGTTATGCGTTCCCGCAATATGGTGCTTTTGAACCCAAGCGAGCAACGGCCGTTCGTTAGGGTCCGCCCGCGGACGCGCTACAGATGTCAGTATGATGGATCGCGAAAAGCTTGTTGATATAGAGCCTACCCTCCATTAAAGCCGACTCCTGGTATTGCTGCAGCGCTTTACTGCCTTCAATTTGGCGCTGCAAACGCTCCTGGTCCTTGTGTTCACCTTCCAACCATTGCTGACGCCTCCGTTCCTTTTCGGCTAGCAACCGTTTTTCATTCTTCTCACGTGCCTCTTTGAGAACACTCTTTCCATAGACCGAGTTTCCCTCACCGAGCTCAGCCTCGTATGAGCCGCTCTGTGGCTTGTAAAGGCCGAGCTGCTCGGCGCGTCGCACTAACTTTTCCTCCGCTTGTCGGTCCTCCCGTTCAATCCGAGCTAGAATAGCAGAGTCCTCATCAATGGGGTATTTCTGCCGCAACCATTCCAAAGCAGTGTCTAGTTGTGGTTGGGTGACGGCACGAGTGATCTCCGCGGGGAGATCCAAATCCAGAGTACCCTCTAACCTCCGCGCATGCAAGACTGCCAGGGTGCGATTGGCCAATTTGGTGGAAATTTGTGAGGGAAAAACAGCCTTGAGCTCGGCTTCGGAGGCAAGATTTGCGCTAGGCAAAGAGTCAGGTTTTCGTGAGGATTTACGAGCTAGCGTTCTTTTCGTTCTGGTGTAGAGAGGCGCGGGCGTGGAGTGCCGAGGTGAAAGGGGGGAGATCAAGGGTCGACCGGATCGAGGGAAGGAGCCTGGTGAGCTAGACCAGCGCAGGGTACTGAATGCGCTGCTGTGTATGCTGCTTGGCTGTAAGCGAAGATCGCGGCATCGAGGCCGGAGGGTCGTCGACAGCATGCTCGAGAATCGAAACCCCGAGCATGGGATTAACCATGCGACTCCCACCGCATTACTCATATTTCAGAGTCTGGCGAAGAGCGCCTGGAAATTGGGTAGGTTCTTGGAGATCAATTGTTTGGGTTACTTTTTTGTTGGTTCTACATGGTCAATCCCGGCGCGCGGATTGTTCCGCCCGGATGCCGGTGACAAGCGTTTAATGCAGAAAAAAGGTCACGTGAGGAGTGATCGGAGATAATCTTAGGGGTGACCCGATCTGTAGTCACCCAGGTGCGGGTCGGTATCGCGTGGGCCCTCGAGGGCCTACAGCGTGCAACCCTTACCGACTCAGCATTGACAAAATGGCGTAGGTTGCAGCAGGGCTTAATCAGCTTCCACATCAACATAGACCATACAACTGGGATATGGAAGTAGACGAAGCCTTCGTGAGATAAGACGAAAGGATACATAAACCCGGGAACGGACGCATTAGACTAAATATCCGGGGTATTAACGCCACGCCTAGGACGTTCGTCATCACAGTCGCCCGGTTTAGAATGGAGGCCAACCGCTGAAGCATGCCACCCAATAAAGATAGCACTTCGAAGTTCCTGCTAGTCATGTCCTATACCAATACCGTCTAAATCTTACGCGCGAGCCTTCACGATAAGCGTTTAGGGGCCGTCAACTCAAAAGTGTGAAACATTCCGCATAATCGACTATCCCGTGCCCTTTGGTTGAATGGGCTCTTTCGAAATTCCTGGTTACACTACTCGGAAGTTTCCGATCTACCCAGATCTGTCCTTCGTCATCCATCATTCCGCACAGCTTGGCAAATCTGTCATTCCAACCACGCCGTGGCATTCGAGCAGCCTTTACAAACATTATCAAGTCAAGCTAGGATTCTAGCGGTCTTTGTCACCTTCTCTTTGCCTTGTGGATTCTTCCATCTTTGATCATCAAATATAACTTCAGAATAAGTACATCTATTATAATGGGAGCTTATTCCGTCATGACTGGTTTGTCATTTGCTGGATGGCTGTTGATCAGCCTTGTTGCTCCGGGTGGCCTTGAGGTAACCTCTTTGCTTGGGTTCCGATTGACTGGAGTCGTCTAGGTGAGAGTGGCCAGCTCACACAAGAACGCCGATTATGAGAAGTGAAGCCCTGCGCTCAGTGTTCCCGCCGTCCCAAGGTTGTTCATCCCAAGACCAGCTCATATATCTATATGCGCTCTTGCCTTCGTCTGGTTTACGAATACTAGGATGACTCCTTAGTGGAGCATATCAGGGACGCTGAGTCACTGGATAACATCTGTGGAATGATAGTGGGCTTGGTTGGTCCTGTCGTGCTTGTGTGACATGCATCTATACAGAATGGTTGGATGACGGACAGAGATTTTTGTAACACGCTTACTTGCCTTATCGTATTCCGTATGATGCACTGCGCTCAATTGCGCGGATTATTACGGACTGCTGTGAGGGGTACTTGGCCTCATGCATGAACATCAAACGTTGTATCCGTAGACCCGTTGCTTGAATGGGCATGGGAAGGTGAAACACGAATACACTAGGAAAAGAAAGTTGATTCTGGCGGCCCAACGATATAGACCCATGAAAGGCCTGCTTCTCAATTGCACATCTGGTGTGGTTTTCCCCTGCACATGTATCTCACTTGCTCACCTAGCCCCTCCTTTCTGGCTTACTTGATAACTTCCACTTTAACTGTGTCAAATCTCTCAACCCCTAAATCCCCTCAACCTCTTCAACATCTTCAACTGTCCTCGACATGGCTTCCAAGCTCCTTCATATTGGTGTCCTCCTTGTGGACGTCGTTCAGCTTCTCGATCTGGCAGCCGTTGATCTCCTCTTTATGACCAGCCCGGAATATCTAAAGGAACTGGGAGTCCCTAAGCCTATCGTGGACCTTGGCCGGCCTTGCAAGATCTCTTACATTAGCATAGACGGACCGACTTGCCACCGCGACCTCACATCTCAGACCTCAATTCCTATCACACATGCACTGAATGATCCAGAAGTGGCACCAGGCAAACTCGATTTGATCTATCTCCCCGGGCCGCCACCCAAGCGTATGCCCCCAGCAAAGGAATACCTTGATTTCCTTCAAAAGCACAACGCCGCAAATGTGATTATCCTCAGTATCTGTACTGGGGCATTAGTAGTCGCTCATGCAGGCATCACAAAGGGAAAAGTGGTCACGGCACCACGATTTTTGATTCCCGATTTGAGAAAGAACTTCCCCGATGTCAAGATCTGGGATGACACGGTGCGAGTCACTAAGGATGGAAATCTTTGGATGTGTGGTAAGCAAGTTCTTGCAATCTCTTTCAAATCTAGGTCCCTTACATCAAGTTCTGTCAAGTTATAAGCAGCTGAGCTCATAATAAAATAGGCGGGATCACAAATGGCCACGACCTTGTGATCGAATACCTCCGCGAGAACTACCCAGCACCTCTTGTCAACACTATCCTCACCGCGGCCGAGATCTCACCTCGTGAGTTGCAATATCCGAACGGGCCTATGGGCGACTTTCTGTGGATGTTTTGGCAGGTGGTCTGCGCCCTTCCATACTCTGCCATCCGATTGGTGAAGGGCAATTGAATTTGCAATAGATGATAATGTCTAGAGTTGTCTGACTTCAATTTGATCTCCAAGTTTATCGAACATCCCAAGTAACCTACAGCTTAATAGATGTGTTCCTCGTAACTCAGGTAGCCGTGAAAACTTAGTATTGCCAAGGAGCCTCGTTGTCAGCTCTAATATCCGTGGTCGCACCAGTTCAGTATAATAAGACGTCGGATTTCCTTATTCCGAGTCAAATGCCAAGCATCGTGCACTGACAATAGGACATGTTTAGAAAATTTCGAACCGTGTAATTCAAGGTATATAGGCCCTTCTGCTCAATGAATTCAATATGTATTGGAAAAACAAACTTTGAGCGTATAGGAGTCCTCGAGACGAGTTGTTAATGGAAAGCCAAATCACTTGAGAAAATAGTGCCGTGGCTATATCTTCCAATAATCCCTGCCCTAATCACAACGCCTATCATCACATACGAGCCTTTTCCACACTCTGCCCATAGATCCGATGTATCCGTTTCCGATTCAAACTATCGACCTCAGGCTTGCAAGCCCGCATACTCAACGGCCCACCAACCTGCTTCAACCAATAAGACCTCCCACAATCAAAAAGCCAATTCCTCGACGCAATTTGCACCATGTCAGCCAAGAAACACTGCGGCGAATCCCAATCTTCCGTGAAAATAATTTCAGGAAGCTCCTTCCGAATCGCCGGCGGCGCATTACTATGCACAATGTCCAAGTACCCATCAAAGGTAAAGGGCTCGTACAGTTCAGATCCAACTTGTATTATTCCCGTTGTGCGGGCCGCAGCATGCAAGAGACATGCATTCGCGACAAAGTCTACGGGTACCTCGTCTATGATGTTGGCACCTGTGCTGTACCCTTTCGCCGAGTGCCAGATCTGTGTTGCGCCTGAATCTTCCATGAAGTGTTGGAAGAACTTGTTCATGGGTGTGGAATTCTCCAGTCCGTAGAGTGGATATGGGTCCCGGATGGCCTGTCCAAATATCGTGGGGCGGAGTAAGAGGATTGGAAGGAGGGTGAAGCGCTGGAGGATGATTCGTTCCATGATGTATTTGGCTTGGGCGTAGCTAGATGAGAATCTTGTTGTATGTGGTGATTTGTTTAGGGATAACACGGATGCAAGTTCCTGCTCGGGGTCTTCATCGGTGAGACTGTATGGTTTTTCTAGAACTGGACCGTCAGGGAGGAAGCTATTCACGTATGCGGTTGAAATCAGGACGAGTAGCTTCAGTCGGCGGAATCGTGAGACGACACGGGCTAGTTCCAGGGCTGGGAGGCAATTATTTTCGAATGCGTCCAGGGGGTTTGCGTCGAGGGTTATCTTAGCTGCTGCGTGGATGACCAAGGTGACTTTTTCTTGTAATTCCTGGAGGATGGCTGGCTGGAGACCGAAATCGGTTGACCGGATGTTCCCTATCACGAATTCTACCTTTTTGGAGGCGAGGATGGCCTGGTATTGGTTTGGCATGGCCTTCTTCCACTTTGCGATGGCTTCCTCCGGCTTTCCACGGATCAATGCGTAGATTTTGCGAGTGGGCAGCTGCAATGCTAATTTGTATAAGAGGCATCCTCCAAGTGAACCCGTACTTCCAGTCAGCAAGACTGTGTGGGACTGGTAGATCTTTGCATATCCCTCTCGAAGAATCCGGTCTGCCTGTGAGGCTGCTTGAGCAGGAAGCGATGACATAGTCAAGTTTAAGTTAGCTGTCTAGAATGGGAAGGCTGTACGTAGGAAACAGAAATTATTTCCTGGAGTAAATAGCGGTGATTATGCTGATAATATATGAATTTGGTCAGGCATTGAGCCCCTCTTTTCGGTGGGTTTCGATCGAAAAGTATCATTCCGTGCTACGTTGCCCTGTATTTGGCATTGAGTTCTCTTCCGGGTGTTAGTAAATCGTAGGCTTTATTGGAGAAACTAATCATAGCGCATATGAGCGGTCTTGTTGAAAGCTATCAATGTAAGTATTGACTATCTCTTGATCTCCTCATTAGTCGTGAAGCGCTATAAGCTTGAAGCTATCTTATTTCAACACAAAGAAGCTCATATATTTCCTAAAGTGGTTGCTGCTTGAGGCATTGGAGTTGACCTGACAGACTGTCTGAAGACATGCAGGAACGTGTGGTCCGTTGGAGGTTAAGACAGGTTGGTTGTACAGGTACTACAGTCACACCCGAGGCATTCCATTATTGGCATTTGATTAGCTACATGTGATTGATGCGCTCATAATATTTTTGCATTCTTGACTCGCTAAGTATTGGAGAGCGTCTAATAAGTGATAGAGGCAATGCTTCGTCCGATTAGCCTTAGCTACAACTAGGACATGGGTAATGGTTCTCCTTATCAAGGTACCATATCGAGCACCTTGGCAGGTGAATATGACCCTAAATACGTGCAGGCCAACAGTCATGATCTATCAAATGATGAATTATCGAACAGAGAATACTTGGGTGCCACTCCCTACGCGATTATGCCATTTTCTGCTCCTCTCTTGAAAAAAGGTGCCCTTCTTATGTCACTCATAATGGCGATACCAAATTCATGACCCATGAGATTTCCACACCTTATAGATAGCATGAGGCATGAAAACTCCAAATAGACTTCGAAACTATGACAAGGCTTTAAAAGGAGCATGTTTCATAGACTAGGTATATAGGAAACGACAATGAAGCAACAAGGTTTATAAAGAACGACTGAATACTTTCATCAATATCAAGCAACTTTCAACTTGCCCCGAAGACGATCCTGATAATAACGCAACGGATATGCACGCAATTTACTCGGCATGGCAGGATACACAGCCGTCGAAAATCCCATCCAAGTACGATACAAAGCACGGGTAGCCTTAGTCGACCTTAACCCATAAGCCTCACGCAGCTTTGGTGGCAACATCTCAATAGTAACAACACGAAGAAAAGGTTTAATCCGCTGCACCCACTTCGGCATATCGGTACTCTCCCGAAGATCCTTCGCAAAGCGCGCCGCATCGGCCGAGACAACCAATTTGCTCACTTGATCATCCCAGTAAGACCAGAACTTCTGTCGGGTCTCAGGCCATGTACCTGGGGGAATACCGAGGCAGTTCATTAGCATGGTAAACTCAGCGTATCCCTGCTGAGCGGTTTGATAATCAATACGGCCGTAGACACGCTGATAGAAATCCGTTGCAGTTGCGTACAACGTTGCGGCCATCCAAAGCTGAAGGGGAGGGTGGTGCGCAAATCGGTTATTATGCCCGCCGCCTAGACCCGGGGCTTCACCGCGGTGTAACATCTCCAGGAGGGTTTTGCGTTCGGCGCGAGTGCCGAAGACTAAGGTTGAAGTATAGCTGAGATGTGCTTGGAGGGCGTCGAGGAGCTCGGTGGCGAGATCTTGGGGGCTTTCGTTGTTGCTTTCCTCTTCGCGGATTTCGGGCATTGCTGCTTGGAGGAGGAGTGCTGCACCGGAGCCTGCGAATAGAATTCCTTCTTGTAGGATTTGGGGGAGGATCTCTAGCTGCTCGAGGGCGTGGAGGCGCCCGGAATCTGTTGTGACATCCGACTCATTGTGTTGGGATTGAGGTAAAGCTCCATCCTTTTCATTCTCTAGGGATGATACTGAAGAGCGAGACATTTTGGTATTGCTTTGTGCTTCAGAAGATAGGATATATCGTGAAGGGAAGGGAGTGGGGGAGTACTGAACAATAAGCAAAATGAACAGTGGTTTCCCCGCAAAATGGAAGAAGTAGGAAACCTAAAAACGGCATGGAGAACCTTGAAGTCCCCACATTGTATCCACATGAAAATGATGTATCTAGGCTCGGCTCATGTGAACGCCTTAGAAAGCCGCGGTTTGCAGATCTTCATGATGACGCATCCAGTAATATTGGCTGCATCTTACGCTCGCGCCTCCTCCTCTAAGATAGGGAACCCACTCCAGGCCTATGCTATGTTCCGCCGGTATACCAAGCTGGGAAGCTATGGACGTGTAGATGGGAAAGTCTTGAATTCATCCTAGTCATTCATTCATCTGGCTCATACCGGCAAATTTACTTCTCAGTTCGCACTTGCCGCACGACCTGGTTCTCCATTTTCTCAAACCCTTCAACAGCCATGCCGTACTGCTCGAACACGCCAGGCTGATATCCGTCCGCGATCTTCTCAATAAAATCATCCTCATTCCATCGCTGACCAACAAGGCTTTCAAAGGTCTGACCTGGCTCCTTTTCGATACCCCACACAGCTTTGTATGCAGCACCAAGGGCACAGGCATTGTCACCAATGTCGAGCTTATAAACACCCTCCACACCTCCGAGGATCTCACCGGCGATTTTGGCAATTGCCTTGTTCTTAGACCCACCACCGACCAGGTATACCCGTCGTGGCTGGGCTGGCAGCCCGTTTCCAGGGCTCTGTGTGAGGCCCTTGGATCGAAGCCGGAGCGATAGCATCTGGCTCTCAATAATGGCGCGGGCCTCATCTTGAGGCACTGTCCATCCCTCCGTTGTCTCGGTCAGGGTAGCGGTCTTTGGGTCATAGATGAATCGCCACTGTCCTGAGTGGATGTTAGGTACGATCTCTGGCCGCGGGAAGAAGAGGCCCATCTTCATGGGGTCGGTTGTGATCGCTTGGCCTAGTGCAGGGGCAGTCAATGCAAGCTTGTCGAAGATGGCCCAAGGTTCCTCGGCGGTGTCTTTGAGACCTTCGTTGAGGGCGTCGCGGACATATTCACGTGCGAGACCACCGTTCTTGTAACAGAGCATGAACATGTATAGTCCGGGGGTGGTTGGGTGGTTGAAGAAGTGGGTGGCAGGGTCGGGCTTGTAGCTGGGGGTGGACATCAAAAAGGTTGTAGATGTACCCAGTGATACCATGGCATCTGAAGGCAGCAGGGGCAATGCCAGAATGGTTGCTGGGTTGTCTCCGGTCGCTGGGATCACCGTGCAATCGGGACTGAAGCCGTAACGCTTAATGTAATATTGGTGGATGGATCCCAAGTGTAGTCCGCCATCCTCGGGCACATCACCAAGCTTCTGCTTCAGGTCCTCGACACCGAATTTACCGGCGCAAAGCTGCAGGAGACGAGCGTCGTAGGCGCCCTTCTTAATGTTCCACAGATTCATGCCGCACACGTCCGAGATATCGAAGGGGGCGACATGGCCGAGGAAAAGGGAGGCAAGGAAGGAGGAGACGAGAGAGATGCGGGCTGTTTTCTGGTAGACTTCGGGGTGCTTTCTGGTAAATCGGAGGACTTGGGGACCGGTGAATCTCTGGTTATGATGTCAGTACGCCTTTCATCACAACGCGGGCCTGGTCTCTTACGTGGTGCGCCTTGCTTCCAGTCACCTGAGCCAGCTCCTCTGGGCCGCCGAGGATTGCGTCAAATTCATCACACTCCTTCTGGGTGCTTGAATCCTGCCAATTGGGGCTGTATGGGTGGGAAAATGCGGGGGGCAGCTGTTCCTCTAGCGACTTCCCCGGATCGAGGTTTTGAAGCATGGACTCCGCCTCAAGACCCCAATAAACGCTTCCATGCTGTTGTCCCGCGGCGCTGATTCCTTTAATCCGGCTGAAGTCCAACCCTTGTTTGCGAAGGCTCTCCAACACGGTATCCAACGCCTGCAGCCATAATGCGACCGGGGCGAACACTTCATGCTCGGCTTCATTTGTGAGTACACCCTTCTTGATCGGGAACCCGGTAGAGTCGGCATCGAAGTCGAATTTGGCGATATAAACGACCTTCAGGTCGGAATTGACGACTAAACCCTTCAATTGTTGGGTTGACAGGTCGAACCCGATGTAGAGGGGAGATTGCGACGCCATGAGGGGTAAATTCAGGACCGCAATGTCGCTAGCATAACACGTATAAGAAGAAGTCACTTGGGCAGAGATGAGCGGTCGGCTTATATCTATATGTCCAGGTGGGGTGAATAGTGAATTTATCCTGCGGGCAAAATGCGGCAAGTAGACTACGAGCCCTTGCGGGATCCGGGGGACATGAGTCCGTGATGATGTCAAAGCCCCTCCGGTGGATCTGGCATGAGTAAGACAACAGGTTTGCTTTCTGCTTTTCAACCTTTCAAGGTTAATTGAGTAAACACAATCGACCCCGGTGAAGCTCGAAGATAGCATTTATCACGAGAACCCAATTAACCCGTTAGCTTCTGGGGTTTGGCATTTGGGGTTGCCGGCTAAATGCGAGCTCTGCTAATAGCTATCTCGGTTGAATTTGAATTCAGCCCCACCAGTGCTCCAGGGCTAACGAGATTTATCCTTCTAGAATCTCCCGATCTCTGAGCTAATGGACAATTCAAAACTCAATTCACGAGGAAGGTGGGCTCCGTCATCAGAATTGTATATACTTCGAGAGCCTTATTCATCGATGAACCCCAGCGTTCAGCTTCTCAAATGCAATTGTGATTGCTCTTCTCAATTCCCAGATTTTTGGGCCTGGGATGCCCTGTCTAATCTCTCTCATGAACCAAGTTTCAATTGTTGCTGGCTGCAATGTTCATAGTGACGTAAATTAGCCTTTGCCATGCCAGGGGCAAGAGGCGACAGAGATCTCCTCATAATCGACGCTTGCCTATATTACCTGGACGGAGAACACATCAAGACCATATCGTAAACTACTTCCACTCAACGCACCTCGGCTTTACTGAAATACCAAGTCTCAACTCCATCGCCATGTCGATCGACGAGCAAAGAAGCTTACTTGTGGTTTCCAACCGGCTTCCCGTGTCTGTCAAACGAGTCGATGGAGGGTATCAATCATCGATCTCGAGCGGAGGGCTAGTCACGGCATTGTCGGGATTGAAAACTACCAAGTTCCAATGGTTTGGCTGGCCAGGAATTGAAGTCAAGGACACTGCAGACAGGGAGCAAGTATCGCAGAGCTTGGAAGAACACAATGCCTGTCCGATCTTCCTAGACGATGATCTTGCACAGGAGCATTACAATGGATTCTCTAGTAAGTTCCAAGGTTTCCTCGATATCTTGCGGGAAGTCTTGTCTGACCCTTTTACTAGACCGCATTCTATGGCCGATACTACACTACCAGTCAGGAGTGACATTCGACGATGGTCCCTGGCAGGCCTATAGACGCGTCAATGAAGTGTTTGCCGATCAGATCGCCAATGCAGCTGACAGTGGGAATCTGATCTGGATTCATGATTACCACCTGATGCTATTGCCAGGACTTCTGCGTTCCCGACTTGAACAGCAGGGCAAATCTTGCGCAATTGGGTTCTCATTGCACACTCCATTCCCGGCGGGTGATTTCTGGAGAGCCCTGCCTGTTCGCAAAGATTTGATTGATGGCTTGCTAGCCAGTGATCTTATCGGATTCCATACGGATGAGTACATGCAGAATTTCATCGAAACTTGTTCGAATTTGCTGTGAGTTTTTGAGTCTTTTTTTCTTGATCTGTCGAGGACAGAATGCTGACTCTCTTCAAGCGGTGCACGCACAGAAATTCCGAATCAAATACAGTACAAGAATCGGCTGGTTTGCGTTGACAAGTTTATCGTCGGTATCGACCCACAGAAATTCACCGATACGCTGAAAAGCCCCGATGTCGTAGAGCGAATTAAGACTCTTGAAGAGAGGTACAAGGGGATGACGGTCATCGTTGGGGTGGATCGACTAGACCATATCAAGGGTCTGACGCAGAAGCTGAAAGGATACGATTCCTTCTTGGACGATCACCCGGAGCTACGAAACAAGGTCGTTCTCATTCAAGTCGCGGTGCCTAGTCGCGAGGATGTCAAGGAATACCAAGAGTTGGAAACAGAGCTAAGTACATTGGCTGGCAAAATCAACGGCAAACACGGTACGTTCTTGCATGAAAGTATATGGTTACCAGACTGACTGAATAGCCACACCCGATGGTACCCCATTGCTGTACATGCACCGATCTGTTCCTTTCAAAGAATTAGCAGCTCTTTACTCGATCGCCGATGCATGCCTCCTCACTTCCACTCGAGATGGAATGAATTTGGTCTCTTTTGAATATGTCGCCTGCCAGGAGAAGCGAAACGGCGTTCTGATTTTATCCGAGTTTGCAGGCGCAGCCTCATTTATGCAAGAAGGAAGTATTTGTTTCCACCCAGCTAACAAGACGGAGATGTCTGAGGCTATCTTCAAGGCGCTTAATCTCGATCCTGCCGAGCGCAAACGGAAGTCTGAACAGCTTCGGGATTTCGTCCAAAAGTATACGAGGTGAGCATCCTGTTTTGCGCCATACGACTCTGCGACTGACGATCATAGTTCACGATGGGGTCAAACTTTCCTTGAGAAGCTGAATTCGAGAGTTGGGGACAAGGCAGGACGAAGCTGCACGTAATTTACCTTTGAAGGCTAGGTCCGTGTACTTCAGACTACAATGTTTTCGGCAATCAACACATGTTCTACTCATACAAATTTGGAACCTAGGAAATTATGCGCCCTTCCATAGGATATAGATAACAGTGGGCGCGTTTAGTGGAAGAGCGGTTCCGGAAGATCATGATTGGTACATATTTGCTCGTCGATGCAGTATTGACAAGGTTGTTGGCAAGCGCTTGCGTTGGCGGTCCAAGGGTGTTTGCAGTGTAGGCATCCCATTGGTTCTCATTCTGCTAGAGGCCTCCGCCCAGGCGATGATGATTCGCTCATCTCTCTCACCGCCCAAGCTTCATAGTATCTTCACTCATTTCCCAGTATATTATTAGCAAACAATCGGCGACTTTGCCCCTCTCCACCTACCTAGACGTCCTCTTGCTCTTCTCAACCTGGCGACTCAAGGCATTCCGATATAGCATTTGCTCCCCCTACCCGAAGTCAGCCTCCTCTGTCTCCATATCTTACTGAACTCCCAAGTCTCTTTACTTTATCATCAGCCCCCCATGGACCAGAAAGGCCTTTTAGAATGGTGAATTGCTCTCCCATGTGAAAAGCAAATTACACGTATTTCTGACCGTGAAAGGATGCAGGTATCATCGAATAGGCTCACGAGTCGTGGACCTTGTTGGGGACTTCGTCGGTCGTGAAACCTTTATTATCGACGGCGACTCACTTCTCTTGGAATGTTTTTCTAACGAGAAGCTCGACTTTTACCCGGGACTCCAGATTCTTCACGCTACCTATCTGGTGGAAAGGTTCTTGCAAAAGCTTCAAAAGCGCAGATGTGTCTTCGAAATCGTCTTCTTTGCCCAAAATGCAAGACTTTGCGTTCCCTGTGGTGTTGACAAGGCTCTCCATATCCGATATCTTCTTGCTCGGGAGGCTGTCATACAGCATTTGACTTCAGTTTCTCTTCAGGAAGCACGGTGCCTCCAAGTGCGGAAATTCGAAAGTTTCCAATCGCCCGAATTCGAAGCACATCTAGTGAACCTGGGGGCTTACTTGTTCATGTGTCATGACGGGGCCTTGGCGGAACAAGAAGAGCATGAAAATTCAAGTGATGAAGAATCAAACTCGGAGAGCGAAAGTGACGATAACGAGCTTGGGGACAACAAGGGTGAAGTTTCTATGTACAGAGAAACATTCAGAGCTGACCTCAGGCGAATGATCTGCTGGTTTATTGCTCATGGATGCAATATTTCTCTCATCAATAGCTTAGATTTTCGTGACACAAAGGTTTGTAAGCCGCTAGTCCCGGGCCGCGGACAAGTATTGACGTATAACAGGTAATGTCCATGGTCATCGAGGGGGTTTTCAGACAGAAACGTGGGGCTTTACCACAAGAGATCCTGTTCACAAACACGCTTATTCCAGAAAGTACGGGCCAATTGATAGGTTACCCGGGGTCGAATGGTCAGGTAAACAGTATAGCACAGGGAGATCCGAGCTTGAAAGAATTGGAGACTATCTTAAAGCAGGTGATTCATGAGCAGCCGTCATTAACCCAACGCCAATGCCTTGTGATCATCACCCTTGTGGTTATTTTCAAGGAGTTTTCGCTGAGTGCCGAATCGACAGAAGAAGCCGCAGCAGTTATTTTACATCTTGTACTTCTGCAATGTACTCAGCTCGAAGATCGAGCTGTACAGGTCGTCGATTTTCAGAACTCCTTGTTCATGAACACCTTTTTTCAAATAGCCAGAGATGTACTTGGCTCAAAGGATTGGCAGATGTCCATGAGGGCTCATCAGCTTCCCTGTGATCTTGCAGACCTGTTTGATGGAAGACTTTTCCTCAGGGTCCACAGAATGACAAAGAAACATGGAACTGATAACATCATTTCACAAGCAACCCTGCTGCCATTCAATGCCCTTGTATCACTGGTGAATCGGCTCTGTGGCGTAGGGCTGCGGCTGGCGGTGATTAAGAAAAGCAAAAAGAGCCCTCCAAAGCCCACGGGCAAAAAGGCCGAGGGAAAGCAATTTCGGCAACTTGGAGGTACGAATGCTCTCCCATTTAGGAACAAGGTCTTTGATGATCATCTTGCGCCCGTTCATATCGATGTGGATGGCTCAGTGGGTGCAGAGGACAACCTTAAGGCTTCCATGAATTTCATAGAACAGACTCATTGGCACAACTCGAAGCCCCTTGATTCAAAAAAGATGCCTTCTTTGACCCCCAAAGAGCTTGCTCGATACCACAAAAGAAACCAGTTTTATATGGCGGAGATGGAGAAGTATGCAGAAAGCTTATTGGGGTCCTCGGGAATGTCTCAGCGAGATATTGTGGTTGCTGGATCCCCTTCAATTAAAGGTGAAAAGACGTATTCATCACCCCAAGTGAAAGCTCGCCCAGGAACTGGAAGACCTTCCGTCAGGGAGATGGCTGCGGCGACTATTCAACAGAAGGTAGCTGATGGAGAGCGAAAGCAAAGGCTGAAGTGGAAGACTCAGCTCGAAGCCATGGCAAAAGGACCCCAGGATCCAATGACTCGAATCTATATTGCGGAGGAATACTTGTCCAAACTGCCAAAGGATAGTCGCAATAGCCTAGAGGCTGAAGTTCTAGCTTACCTTCTTGATGCATCGTTTCAAGCCATTAATAATCACGAAAAACACAAAGATGGAACCAACTCGATTACTTTGACATACATGTGGGGAGTGCTCACTCGTCTGATGAAACTGAGACACGGTGTCAGTGTTGATATTCCTGAATATGTCCGGCAAATCTGCCAGTGTCTCGGATTACCAGTGGTCTCTCTATCAGTTCACACTAAGCAGACGCTATCATTCAAGCCTTTAACCATACCCCAGAAGCCGAAGAATTTGGTCGGGATGTCTGGAGTAGATTTCCAGCTTATGCATGGGGGGCCATTCATGGAGCGTGGCATAGGCTCTTTGCCAGACCCACGAACACCCGACTTTGAGCCTGATCTATGGCAAAGAGAGGTATTGGATCAGATTGATGCAAAGATGAGCGCCTTCATCGTAGCCCCAACCAGCGCAGGAAAGACATTTATCTCGTGAGTTTACTTCTATTTTACGAGCCACCCATACTGAATAAAGACAGATTCTATGCGATGAAGCAGGTCCTAAAAGAAGATAATGATGGCATCCTTGTTTATGTGGCTCCCACAAAGGCACTGGTAAATCAAATCGCGGCTGAGGTACAGGCTCGATTCTTGAAAGCATACCCTGCAAAGATGACTGGGAGGTCGGTATGGGCCATTCACACTAGGGATCATCGAATCAATAATCCAAACGGTTGTCAAATCCTCATCACAGTCCCCCACATTCTCCAGATCATGATGCTTTCTCCAACTAACGCCAAATTATGGACACCACGATTAAAGCGAATCATTTTTGATGAGATCCATAGCATCGGCCAAGCCAAGGAAGGTGTCATCTGGGAGCAACTGCTGCTTTTGGCTCCGTGTCCTATCATTGCCTTGTCGGCTACAGTTGGGAATCCTGACGAGTTCTACAGTTGGCTCAAGCGTGCTCAGGGCGTGAACGGGCACGACTTGAAGATGATTTCGCATAAGCACAGATATTCCGATCTAAGGAATTATGAGTATTGTCCTCCTCGAAGTTTTTCATTCAAGGGCTTTTCCAATCCTAGTGGTTTATACCAGTTGGGACTTGACCTGGCCGATGACATGAAGTGTATGCATCCTGTTTTGAGCTTGGTCGATCGTTCAAGAGGGATACCGAATGACTTTAGTCTTGAGCCACGGGACTGTTTGACCTTATGGAAAGCATTGCATTGCTTAAAGACTGAAAACTTCCCGGTTGATGCCTCTCTCAGCCCGTCCTCTTTTTTCTCTGATACCATAATCGGGAAGAAGGACGTCATTGAATGGCAGGAATCATTGATTGAGCTCGTCAGTAACTGGATGAAAGATAGGAATTCTCCTTTTGAGGCACTTCTACTTCAATTGGGGGAAGATAATGCCGGTTCAAAAACCACTGCTGACGCAGCGGAAACTTCATCGAGTTCACCTTGGCCGGATGTGCCACAGGACGACGAGCTCTTATCTACGACCCTTCCACTAATTTGCTCCCTCCATGCTCAACGTGCACTCCCAGCGCTATTTTTCAATTTTGACCGGGGAAAGTGTGAAGAAATATGTCAGCACTTACTGGCCCAATTGCGAAAGGCGGAATCTGCATGGAAATTAGAAAGCCAAGCATGGAAGGCAAAGCTCAGTAAGTGGAGCGAGTGGAAGAAGTCTCAGGAGGGAGCCAAAAAGAAGGCCATCAAAACGCCAAAGAAGAAAAGATCCGAAGATCAGGCAACTTCTCGCGCCGACGAGATTAGAGACGCGGCATTTGCTGAAGGCAGTATGTGGGAGCTCTTCGATCCAGAAAGACCTTTGGAAAGGTTCAGCTTAGCTGATCCAAAAAAGGTGTCACAGTCAGAATTCTTGAAGTACACCGAGGACCTTGAATGGCGCGATATTCCACGGTGGCTGATAGATGCCCTCGAGCGTGGCATTGGTGTGCATCATGCCGGTATGAATCGCAAGTACCGCCAAGTCTGTGAAATCTTATTCCGCAGAGGGTTTTTGCGCGTCGTTATTGCAACGGGCACATTAGCCTTAGGTATCAATATGCCATGCAAAACGGTCGTGTTCTCGGGGGATTCGTTATTCCTCACGTCACTCAACTTTCGACAAGCGTCCGGACGAGCAGGACGTCGTGGATTTGATTTGCTGGGAAATGTTGTTTTTCAGAATGTTCCCACTGCCAAGATTCACCGTCTAGTCAGTTCAAGGCTTCCAGATCTAAATGGTCATTTTCCCGTTACGACTAGTCTAGTTCTGCGGCTTTTCATTCTATTGCATGGCTCTGACCAGGCACCATCGGCGGTGAAGTCTATCAATTCTCTCCTGTAAAGTCCTCGCATCTGCCTGGGCGGTCCAGAGATGAAGCATACGGTGCTACATTATCTCCGTTTTTCGATTGAATACCTTCGGCGGAATCGACTTATTGACAGCAATGGAGCTCCGTTAAATTCCGCGGGCTTTGTGTCTCATCTGTATTACACAGAAAGCTCCAGCTTTGCCTTCCACGCTCTGTTGGACTCTGGGTACTTTCATAGTGTGTGCAAACATATCTCTCAGGGATCGAAGAGTTCTCTGCAGACACTCATGCTCGTTATGTGTCACATTTTCAAACGGCAACCTTTGCGTCAATCCACGATAGAGTCATATCGCACCGCAGGTAAAAGGAGTCCCTCCGTTGTAGTACTTCCGGAATTGCCGAAGAGAGCAGCTAAGGCACTAGCCAAGCACAATCGCCAGGTACGAGATATTTACTCTGGTTATGTGTCCACCTTTATCAACCAGCATGTCGACACGCGTGATAACCACCTACCATTGAGCGGTGCCGAGTGTGGGGGAGACAAATCGGCTGAGGAGCTCGGTGTTATTGATACTCAGCTCCATCGCTCTGCCCCAAAAATCATATCTCCATTCTATGCTCTCTCCGGTTGTGGCGACAAGTGGGATACCGTTGCCGATCTGTGCGAAACAGTCCGTCAAGATGTGTGGCTTGAGGAGTCCGTGGTTCCCTACGTACCTATCGCCTCTAAACGTGCTCCGCTGAATGCATATCTCTATGACTTTTTTAAGCATGGAAATATCCACGAGCTGGAAAAGGCCAATGGGATTCGTCGAAGTGATATCTGGTACGAACTGAACGATTTCTCCATGGTGCTTGCAACCATTACTGCCAGCCTGAAGAACATTCTGAACCCACATGGAAGCTCGGATATTGAGATTCTTGACGTCGCCGGTGGTGGTGATCTTCATGAGATTCAGGTTGATGATGACAGAATCGCTGATGACGATAGTCAGACTACAAATGAGACTCTAACGACCCCAGCGGATAAAGTTCATCCAAGGCCGGTGATGAAACCTGCTTCGGTCCGCAAGGGACCTCGTGCTCCATCAAGCGAACTGCTAGACAGCTGGGAAGACGAGATGGTTGATGAGCCGGCACATTTTTCGGTGGAGCAGGAACCCGAGCCTCGACCGCTGCGGCGAAAGAAGGCCGAACAAAAGGAGAAAGCCGAAGAAAGGCAGGATGATCAAAAGTCCTTGCTCTTGGTTTACAATGGGTTCAATCTTCTCAAGACTGAGTTTGACACAAAGTTCAGAGAGATGTGGGCTTGAGGATTGAAATGCTTGATATTGAGAGTTAAAACACAAGAACGGGGAGTAGATGGGCTCAGAAAATCCGAGTGAGAAATGTTTGATCTCTGTGACTGCAGTCCTAATAATGAAATTTTGCTCGTGCCACTACTCCTTAGGTCGACCTACTATCCTGAAACTTTCCTACTACAGGACGCATGTTTATGGTATAAATGGCTTCATTATGCTCATTAAGGCAGATTTTCACCTCCCCGTACTACTGAAGGGAAGGTTGAGGTTGACTGTACGCCCCCAAGTAGGGTATGACTTCATTAGGTTGACATTATAGAGATACCATATTCATTATTCCATATCCATATCCGAAACTCACTCATTACACCCATTAGTCAAGTCCTATTAAGAAGATCCCTTACAGGACCATCATAGCAGCCAGACCGAGAACACCGAAAGCACCGGTACCGACAGTGGCCATGGGGTGAGCAGCGCCGGAGCTGGTAGACGGGGCAGAGTCAGAACCGCTGGTGGACTCAGATCCGGAGCCAGAGCCAGAGCCGGTGGAAGTCTCGGTACCAGTGACGGCGCTGGTCTCGGTGGTCAGGGTGCCAGAGACGGTGGTGGTGATCATGGTGGAACCGGTGGTGATGGAGTCAGTGACAGCCTTGGTCTCAGTGGTCAGGGTACCGGAGACCGAGGTGGTGATAGTAGTGGACTCGGCAGCGTTGCCGGTCTTGGTGCCAGTGCTGATGGGCTTGGTCTCAGTGGTGAGCTCACCGGAGACGCTGGTGGTGATAGTGGTGTAAGCCGTAGTGGAAGAGCCGGTCATGGTACCAGTCATGGTACCAGTAGAGCTCTTGCCAGAGCCAGTTGTGGCGCCAGAGCCAGATCCAGTGCTGGAGCCAGTGGAAGAGCCTGCGGATTTATTGTTAGCCACATGGTCTATGCTTTTCAATAGATAGAATTGCGTACTAGGGCAGCTCTCCAAAGCCATGGAGAGAACAGTAGAGGCATCGTCATCGGGGCAAGCCTGCTTGGTGCAATCACGGATACCGTAGGAGTAGTCCTGGGACTTGCACAGGCAGTCCAAGTCACCGGAGGTACATCCAAGCTCGGAGGCCTTGGCCTTCATGTTGGAGATGCACATTTGCTATCAGAGAAATCAATTGTTAGCATAGTTCCAACAAATCATGATGACGTGCTCAGGGACTTACAGCGCAATCCGAGGCAGAGACGCCAGCGGCGGAGACCATTCCAGTGGCGGCCAGCATGGCCATAGCAACAGCGAATGACTTCATTATGTCGGATTGATATGAAAATAAGGTAGTTTTAGGAGCTTGGCAGGAATCAAGGGTGAAAAATGGTTGGTAACGAGAGGGAAAAAAACCAATGCCACCTGCGGTGTGTTGAGTCTCTTTATAACAAAGGGGAACGGAAAAATCCAGCTCAGAAGCCAAGCTGCATGTATCCACTAGAACTGTACCGGGTGGGGAAATGATCAAGAGAAATAAGAAAATAACAGCAACGAAAATAAAAACACTCGGTCGACAAGCTGTAATCCAGGCCGATCGGCCGTGTTGATTGCCTGGTCTGGTCTCCACTCCCTCTATTTTGCTTTTTGGCTTTGCTGTCCTGCATCGGTGCTACCCAGCCAACGTGGCTGAAGCAAGAAGACGTACCCACGGACCCTGTGGGGAGAAGAAATGAAATCATAAACATATGATCCAGATCTCGATTGGGGCCTGATCGGCAGCGAGGTAGCTCACACTCTAATAAGCCCCACCGCAAGGTTGATCCTATAGGCTCGTCCGAATCACCCAAAACCCCTGTGGAACCCTTTGGGCTCGGGATTTGACTTTCAGGGATTTCCCTTGGACGAGGGCAAAGCTTTGCGAGCTATGATGTATCGTGTAGGCTGCAGGATTCGATTCGACTACGGGGCTCTTGAGCCTTTCAAAGCTGCACGTTGGGACGCACGGTATTGGTCAAGCATCCGATTTCAATTACCAGAAATGCGACCACTAGACAAAGAGAAGATGATCTCAAGTGGCGCTGGGGATCGGCAGTCCCAGATCGTCGGGCAACGTAAATCCTTGGAACGCAGCCAGATAGTCGCGAGATAGATCAGGTCGGAAGGGCCCCGATCGCACTATTGAATCTTCGACGTCACCGCCAGTGTGCGCAAACCATGATGCCCTGCCACATTGTTTGCTGTATCGCGCGCATGTTCTCAAGGCTTGTTTTGGGTCGTGAGGAACAGCACACTCCTTGGTTCAATTGAATATTGTTTTGTCTCAATTTCATTCAGAACTCCCCAGACACCGAGGTCCGTCATATTAAGATCATCTTCATAATTTGACCCTCACATCGGAATACGAACCTGTACTTGCTTTTGTCCTGGTTATTTACCCCTGTCGACAGGAGGCAATTTCGAAATTGAAAGCTGACGCTGCATTGTCCGTGTCCTGGCACGTTGATGCACTCTGGAAGACGTGCAGGCGTGGATCCCCAAAGGTCTGGAGAGTCTAGACGATTGGCTTTGAGTTTCCAGACTGCAATGGCATAAAGCCACGCGTCCACAAGCAGAGGTGCCCTGCAAGCATGTCACTCAGCAGGAAGCAGCGCGCAGAAAGAAGCAAGAAGCTGCTAGCTCTGTAGACTAGGTCTTCTCATTTCATTTGTCGGTAAAGCGTGGCTCCCGCGGTTGATGCAAGGGGCTCAACTCACCGATTCCTTTTCGCACCAGCTGCTTTGCGCTTGATTGGATTCATAATATTATATCGGAAATGAATGCATTGTCTAATATTCATGGTATTACCAAAAACCAACATGGCCTAGCCTAACTCTAAGTAGGCTGAAAAATGTGATTACTCCAAAACTGTAACGCTTTCGAAACTGCACCCGAAATGAAAGGGATATTGACAGAAAAACCCAAATTCTTAAATGCTTCGCACCATCGTATTCTCTTGTGTATATATCAATTTCAAATCCATCTCATTCGCGGATGTTCTTAAATGAATCTGCGAAAGGTGAAGGATAAACTGTTCCATAGATTGCTTTAGTCGAGACAGATCAATCCAAAAAAGAATTTGTGAGTGCATGTCTTGGGGTGGGCGGGTGTTGTGGTGGCGGGTAATGAGGTGGGTGGAGGAGTGATAGCGGGAGTGTGGGTTGGCGTGTCCCAGCATCCCCATACCAGACCCGGGGTTGAGCACGTTGTAGATGCCGGCACCTGATGCGTGGTCGTGGGATCATTGCAACCGAGCCACCCGGGATGATGACAGATGGTTGAAGTCGCCGTCGGCATTGTCGTGATCATTGTAGGCCCCGGGGTAGCAGCAGCTGTAGTTGTGGTAGGATCATTACACCCAAACCAGCCGGGAGTCTTGCAAGTCGAGGTTGTGGTTGAGGATGTTGATGTGATACTAGTGCTGGTCGTAGAAGTGGTTTCGTCGTTACACCCGAACCAGCCTGGTGTTTTACAAGTGGAAGTGGAGGTCGAGGTGGTTGGCGTAGGCGTGGTAGTGGTCGAATCGTCAAGACAGCCCCACCAGCCCGGAGTTCTACATGTTTCAGTTCGGGTAAGTGTGGGCAATGCGGTCGTCGTCGTCGTCGTAGTAGTGACTTCGGAGCCATTGCTGCGGAAGAACTTCCAGAGCACGCAGTCATAGCACTCCTCCTCGGGTGCACATGGTGGCACGTCGTCATATACTTCCAGGACATCGGAGATGACATTCTTGATCTTATGAGTGCCGATGCCTACGCGCCAGCCCTTATCGGCCACAGTATCGTAAACACACATCTGACCGGTGTGGCATGCAGATTCCATGGCATATCCACCCCATGTGCAGATTGAGTTGATGCCGTTGCAGGTGCCCATATAAACTGGATCTGCCGTGTGTCCAAAATGAAAGGCTCCTGTGTACTGTCGGGTCTGCGGAAGCCGTGAGTCATGCCCTGGGGGACTTGGAAGGCCCAAGCGAGCTGCTGGCAGCGCTTCAGGTACGGCTTCGAAAGTGACAACCGGTAGTCCGAATGTGAGACCAAGCAAACTAGTCATAGCGCCACCTAGTGAGTGCCCGGTCAACCACACGTTTGCTCCCGGGTAAAGGGCGCTCGCATTGGTATAAAGATCAATGGAAGCCTTATAATACCGATTCTCATCAGTCATGGCCTCCACAATGCAGGTTAAATTGGCTGTGTAAGTTGCACTCTGACAATCGCAGGCCTGTCTCCACAGGTATGATCCTCCTTGTCCGCAGCAGCAACTGAAGAAAATATTATCGTTATTCTTGTCATTCGTAGTGGTGCCAGCACCATCGAAAAGGGCTGGCGAAGTGCCCTTCAAGGAAATGACAATTGTGCTGTTCGTCTTATCGGCGTAGATGTGTCCTCTAAGGCCATCTTTCTGCCATCCAAAGCTTTGAGAGTAGTTGAATTGACCATGGATCGTCTCCCACTCCCCAGTCCCGGGTACTTCAATATAATCATTTGCCGTCATCTTAGCAAAGGTGAGAACAGTGTTCTTGTCTGTGACGTTTGGACCTGGAATGGTGTCCATGACCCATTCCGAGGGCGACATGGTCTCTACCCCACCCGACAACCGAGCAGCAGCCATGTGCTCTTCAATAACTGACCTGCGACGGTCCGCCAAGCGTTGTATAGTGAGAGGCCTGGAGCTAGCGACCAAGGGGGTGAGTGCCGTGATAGCTTCTTCCTCGGTGCCATCCTCGGAGAGAGCCAACAGGCGAGTATCGGGGCGAATGTCTAGTCGCGCATGAAGTTCGGGCTGCTCAAAGGAACTTCGATGGAAAATATGGCGAAGGGACTAAAAGGCTATTAGATCGTCCCCATATTATATACTTTGGGAGTTACTTACAAACTCGTGGGTTTCTGACGGGGGTTCTGCCTCTCCCAACGGTATCTGTGGCGGTAGGATGGGAGCTTGCTGAAAGGGAAGGTGATAGTTTGCAGACACCGCCTCGGGAAGCAGCACTGCTGACAAGAGGAGGCCAGCCAGGGTCGAGCCCTGCCGCCCTCGAAATTTTGGTTTTGAACGAGGCATGATGATATTGTAGGTTGAGATGTGACTGGGCAGTCTGGGCTATGCTATGACGATGGGGCAAGGGCTATCAGCTTATCGCGGGGGGCTCGCACGTGAGGCGTCACGTTACGGCCTTGCCCCAAAGAGGACTAGTACGACGGATCCCGGTCACAAGTTCGCGTCTAAGTGCGCCATCGGTGCCTGGAATTTGGTTTATACTGTGGATCCTACTGCTAAACGGATAACCCCGGATTCTTCCCTATCCCGTGCTCATTCCTCCGACTCGCGCGTGTAACCTGGAGCAGTCCCTTCAATAATTGTCTCCTGCTTATTCGTCAGTTCCCCTGGCTCAACAAGGATGGACACGACTTTCCACTTACCGGACCAACGAAAGTCTTTCTCTTCCCACCACACCACAGAGCAAAAATCGCAGCCGAGATACCCACAAGTACCACACTGACGTAATTCATGCTCCCGACTGTAGTTGGGTTTGTGGTCGGGAAACAAAACATCACTGATATAAATGCTACCCATAGGGTGCTGAACCAATTACAGAAATTGCCAACATAACGTCCAAGACGGAATGGGCGCTCCGGCAGCACGCTGTCACGTCCGCGCCAGACTGCAATTGCTTGTGGTGCAACGTAGGTGATGTTCAGTGACATGATCGACATCGAGATAAAGCTGTTGAACGCTGTGGTGGATCCGATATAGATGAGTCCATAAAGACTGACAAAGCCAAAGCATCCCAGGGTTGCATTGATGGGGATTTGGTTTCTGGAATCGACTCGACTAAAGAAGGAAGAAAAGGGGAGGCCTCCATCACGGCTGAAAGCATAGGTGAGTCGCCCAGTAGTGACTATACAGGAGACCAGTGCCCCTGAGTAGATGAAGAGAATCCACACCGTGAGAATAGTGGCTGCAGTTTCACTATTGGTTGCTTGGTCGTACACAGTATGGATGGGGATGGCCGAGCTGATAATTGCATCAATGTCGGTGAGAGTGAACAAAAAGGCGATCGTCCAGGGGATGACCGTAAACATGCCAATTAACATCGTCATTCCCATGGCCTTTGGTACATTCTTGGCTGGACAAGGGACTTCTTCAGCAATATGTGTTGCACCGTCGATGGCAAGGTAGGCATACATGCACGTTCCTAGTCCGACAACGAAAGAAGTCCCATCATTCCACCCGGACTCGTTCTTGTACTCGGTGAATACGGATTTCGCAGATTGTGGATGTCGTTGGGTGGCCAGGACCGTAACGAAACTTGCCACGAAGCCGGCGACACTGCACCAGAGAAGGACGATTTCACCTCTAGGGATTGCATTTGGGGTGAAACAAACAATAGAGGTGGCAAGAATCATGATCAGGAGGTATATCAGGTATGTGTGCCAGGCCTCAGCCGTATAAGAAGGATGGTAGATGCTAGCAAGACTGCCGGCCATTTGAGCTATAGAGCAACAGAGGCGTTAGTGGGAGGGACTCTTGTGGGCATTTGATATCTTACCACACACGATGGCTGTTGAGGCGCTGGTCAAACACCATGCAGCAATGCTCAGCCAGCCGATGAGGAAGGCAACGAGGGAGCGATACTTGGGCGATGCCACCATGTATGCAAAATGATATTGTCCACCACTAGAAGGAAAGGCAGAGGCCAGCTCAGCTAATCCAGCAGCTTCATTCCAAAGTCAGCTCCTCAGTCCAACATGGTTGCTTCTTATGACCTACTAATAATGCAGCATGCAATCGATGCGACGATGAGACCGAAGAACACCATCGGACTACCTCCCATGTCCAACGGTGTAATAAAAGTAGCAGAATATCCTAGCCATGAGTTTGTCATACTAAACCCCAAAGCCAGAGTTGAAAGTATGGAGAACCGCTGAGCCAGCTGGTGGGTCGAAGCGGGCTTCACGCTTTCTTGGTCATCTGCCACGGGCTTCATAGTACTCGCACCCATAGTGAAGAATGAAGAAGGATATGATACCTTCAAGCTCCGGAGCTTTGCCCTTCCTTTAAGGTGAAGTCTCAGCCATTAGTATGACGGATGATCGTTCTTCTGTTATCTCCTCTCCTTGCCACTCGGGGCTGCCAACCCATCATGTACACTTGATACTCGGCTATAGAATCTCGAAAAAATCTCTGTCCAATCAAAGGCATGGATTTCAGGAAAACAAAGATTACGAGACGGGAACTGTGCTGATAAGGTGTTGGGGCTCAGTGATAGCTTGGAGTCCATCTCAGATATATACCCAAATGGGAATGGTTCGGGTTCCCCGGGTTCTCATTCACCTGCTCAACCCAGCATGTCTATCCGAAGGGCTTACCTATATGGACTTTCTAGAAGATTGTTTCTATCAAGATATTGTCATCAGATGCATACTCGGGCACGTAGTCATTGTTAAGTGAATCCGTCCGCAAAAACGCTCCTAATGTCCTGTTTTCAAGACATGTCGGTGGGTTTTAACTTTCTTGCTTCCGGGGGTCTAATGCAGTTCTAAATATTACTCAGATGTGGGAAATACCACCGCATATGAAGGACCATCTGCCCATAGGTAAGCAATGTTAATGGCAATGAGATTAGATGTGAGTTTCTTTCCATGTCATTGTCGCTCTCTTCAACATATATTTCTGGTGTCTATCCGAGACGCGCTGGCAATATTGACCGTCACCAAAACCAATTAGGCCATCACCTTGATACTGTACCAAACTCCTTGGGGTTTACAAGTCGAAAGACAACCTTCGCGTCGATACCTAGGTTTGTAGGCAATCACCTGAGATTTCAATGTTCAGATGTTAAGAATTTCGATGCCAGCCGCCTAAACCCGAGACAAACCGAATGTCCTGAACGCTTGAGGTGCTTTTAGAGATGGAGGAAACCTACATGGAAGCAAAAAGATGCTAAATATACATTTTTGACTATAAGATGACATCCGAAATTAGAGCAGAAACACCGATTACCAGAGGAATACAATTGTGTGAGTGGGTAAAGCTCTTTCACACTACCACAGGCACGGCGGGACCAAAATTACGTGACAGGTGTGAAATACCATAACGCCGATACGATCGAGCTCCTCGCCATTAGCGGTGCATTTTTGCCGATAGCAGTCAATTCCGAACGGCGTCACCTTTTTTTTTTTTTTTATGGAGATGCTCTCGTCTACGCCGCATAACCCAGCACGTTTGTTCGGACAAATGGAAAATTGATACGATTTATTAGTCGACTGTGCGTTGGATTCCGTCGACTAAATACAACTTCCTTTCTTTTCTTGTGGTGTACCGAGTTGCCTCGGCTTCTGGTGAGGTCATTGTCGCGACATAGCTTTTGCTATCGCCTGCATAACATACGGGATTCTCGAAGCTTAGGCACAAAGACAAGCGCCTCTGTAGCTTCCTTTAAGCTTGACTCAGCTGCTTTGATTTATTGCTATCTTTCATTTCCGCCCCGCTCCGGCAGCTTTCGCCGTTATGGCTGCCCCTCGATTGACCAAGCAGGCGCTCTCACGGTCGGTCTGTACAGCCGTGTCCGTCGCCAGGACGGGCGCACTTCGCGCTGCTCATCGACGACGCCAGACGAACACCCTCGCCCCCCGCTCCACGTCCCTCCCATCTCCGTCCTCGTACCTTTCCACTCAAATCCGATATAGCTCCTACTCCTCCCCGGATAGTGCGCCCAATACGCGAAAGAAGGTCACCCTCCAAACATTAAAAAACCTCTATAAGAAGGGCGAGCCAATTGCTATGCTCACAGCCCATGATTTCCCCACCGCCCACGTTGCTGATGCAGCTGGGATCGATATCGTGCTAGTCGGTGATAGCTTGGGGATGGTGTCGATGGGCTTGGAAAACACAACCGAGGTCGTGATGGAGGAAATGATTATGCATTGTCGGAGCGTTGTCCGCGGCGCAAAGAGTGCATTCATTGTAAGTGGCCGTCGGTCTTGCTTGGCACGGACTAGAGCTGATATCTCCAGGTCGGTGATTTGCCTATGGGCTCATACGAGGTGAGCCCGGAACAAGCTGTCGAATCCTCTCTTCGCTTGGTAAAAGAGGGTCGTGTGCATGGTGTGAAGATCGAAGGAGGCGAGGAGTTGGGTCCGACTATCAAGCGGATCACCCAAGCTGGGATCCCCGTCGTTGGCCATGTAGGCCTTACACCGCAACGACAAAATGCACTCGGTGGCTTCCGAGTCCAAGGAAAGACATGTACCAGTGCAATGAAGCTGTTGCGCGATGCGTTAGTCATGCAAGAGGCCGGAGTGTGCATGTTTGTCCTCGAAGCAATGCCCGCGGAGGTTGCTGCCCTTATTACGAGCAAGCTCAAGGTCCCGACAATCGGCATTGGTGCCGGTAATGGATGCTCAGGTCAGGTCCTTGTCCAAGTGGATATGACCGGAAATTTCCAGCCCGGTCGCTTCGTGCCGAAATTCGTCAAGAAATACGCCGATGTATGGGGAGAAGCCAGGCGGGGAATCGTACAATATCGCGACGAAGTCAAAAGTCGCGCTTTTCCTTCACAGGAATACACATATCCCATTTCTCCGGAGGAACTGGCGAAGTTTGAGAAGGAGGTGAATGCACAATATCAAAATTAACGATTGTATAATGTCATGGTCATCATTTGTACATAAGCTCATTCATGTTCGTGCTGGGCAGTATGTTGAACGCTCAGCCGAATGCCGGCGTCATTGAGTAGGCGACAATCAATTGATCGTCTGATTTGAAACACTGTAGATCCTTGTCAGAAGTGATCGCACGTCTCGCTAGAGATTGAAGTAGATCTTACCCTCCAGAGCCCACCGACCCCCTCATCGAGGCCGGGCGCAAAGACGCTATTAACATAGCAGAAAACCGAGTCCGTGTCCTTGCAGTCTAGCTTCTTGCGAAGGAACTTGACCACCGTTTCGAACTTCTGCGACGCGCTGACCTTGAAGACTCGGGTTTTGAGCATCGGCGCGGAAGGCAAAGGTTGAAAACGAACAGTGACTAGATCCACGTCAATAATCAATAACATGAAAAGGGATACAATGTCTCCCAAGTAAAGATGGGCGTGGCGCACGGAGTGGGCGACGTGGGGGCCTGAATATAGAAGCGCGGGGTGCATACCTTTGCGATTATCGATACGTTCCACATCCGCAAGAGCCTGATGGGCATCGGGAGGCAGTCCAGTCAGCATGACTGATGCGGTCATATTCATGGGTAAATCAGCGCCATGTTGATCGTCGGGAATGGGAGCATCCATGCTTGGTGATGAATCTCGTTGACCGGGACTTGTACGATAGCTGAGGCTACTCGAGGTAGATGGAATGGCGGGGGAATTGTGCGGAGAGCGCTCTAAAGGAGATGATGGATCCATGGAGAAGTGCTTTTTTCCTGAGGGGCTCGAATATTGAAGATGGCTGGTGTTGGTGGAGCAGGTGGGGAAAGATTGTACTGCAAGTCCGCTCCCGATGATTGTAGCCCGAACTTAAATTTGGAAACATTCAGGTCCAAGAAGAACAGCACAAATCTCATATTTCCACCAAACGCTGCTAGGTCTGCTGCGGAAGTGAAGACCGTTCGACTGCGCATCTTCGTTTACCGATCCCGCACCCAAACAGACTGGAAACGGAATGGAGCGATATGCACTGTCGTAGTGCCCCGGATGAAATATGGACATGTAGCTCGAAGAGTTAACTTCTAACTGACCACGGAATACCTTCTAAGCATGTATAGGAAATGTCATCCTTTCTAACACTGAAGAGACTGCATGCGAGTGACGACAGTCAACATTCATCGAGGGCTCGACAACTTCCAGGAACAGATGTCAGAGCTCTATCATGCCCTTGTCTAACTTTATCCAAAATTCCCTTTGAAAATACCAGGCAACAAGATCATGCGTGAAGAAGACTGGTGTTATTCAAAGCTGCTGCGACCTTGTTATTGCTCACGTAAATCCATGGCAGGGTTCACGCCTACATTTGCCACCCAGGCGCCGCACCTACAACATTTGCTTACCCAGAAAACTTACGACTTGATATGAAGAGCGTAGCCTGGACCACTTGACTTTGTCATGTTTCTGCTCCGTCTTAGACAATCTGAACCGTGTTAAGTGCTCGATTTGCTGCCGCGACCGAGAAGGGATCAATAAGTTGCTGGTGCGACCGCCCAAGGTTGACCTTGTGGGACCATGGGTTGCGGAGGAAGTGATCATAATTTTCAACCTTGTCACGAATACGGGAGATGGCCAATAGTACTATCATGGACTCGACACTAGGCGATCGATCGCGTCGCAGGCCGTTCCTCAGGTATGGGCCTTTGAGTCCCCAAAAACTCCACAATACTCAAGATCTTAGAAGACCAAAGTACCTGAACCATCGAGTCATGGAGACATCACAGCGTTCGTCAACGAGAAATCAGACAAGGACAAGGCAAGCTGATATCCTAATTCTCTGTAGACGTTGGCTTTTCTAAACCTAGCAGTCACTGGTGGGAAGCCTCGACGGGTTTGCCTGTCCTTGCGGTATGCCAAATATGCCTTACCGATCTACCTTAACAAGTCACTGAAAGATAGGAAGGGTGCCCTCTGCGTGATGGCTCTGATGTTCAACATCTGTGCGCTTGGGAAAGGATGGCTGCAGAGTGTTTCGACAGATGGGTCAATATCAGAGCCACGCACACCTAGCTGGTAAGAGTATTTCACCTCATTATTCCAGCTTTATCCATTTAATGACAGTTCCAGGGATACTGGACTCAAAGCTACTTCGTTAGCCTTAGCTATCATCGCTTATATAGCATACCTACTCACCATGACCATACACGCTGACCCGATCAAGGGGTTCATGGTGACTGTGATCGGCTGGCTCGCCTCAGCCACTATTCTGTTTAGCCTAGTCGGGATTGCGTTTCGAAAACATCGACTGGTCCAGTCTCACCACGCTCTCATATTTACCGAAAACTTCTTTGCCGGGGTCATATCCGCCGGTCTCTTCATTCTGGCAGCGGTTCTGCTCTCCATCTACATAGTCAGCTTGAACCGATCTACATTCAGTCCAGCAGATAGGCGAAAGATCGAATGCACAAGTATCTTGTTCAGGGTCACTAGCTTTGCCATTTTGCTTCTCGGAGAGGCCGCCGTATACAGCGACATTGAAGGCTGGTCATTGATAGATTCTCTCTACTTCACCGACTACACCCTCTTGACCATCGGTATTGGGAATCTTGCCCCTAAGACTCATTTGGGGCGCAGCTTGCTGTTTCCCTTCGCGACTATGGGGATCACCAGCTTGGGTCTATTTATCACCTCCGTGGTATCTTTTACTGATCAGATGAGGGAAATCAAACTTCAGCGTCATATCGAGGAATCTCAAAGAGAGTTTCGTACCGCAGACTCAAAGAGAACAATCGATGATACATCAACAGCTGAAGTTTTGCAATCTCGATTCCCTTTAGTCAAAGACCCTATCCCGAAATGCGAAGAGATCATCGAAATACGCAACGCCAGATCTACGTTCTATCGAAGAACGAGGTGGACTGATCTAGGATTATTCTTAGCTGCATGGTTTGTTCTATGGTTTGTCAGTGCGGCTGTATTTTGCCACTCTGAGAAGGAAGCCAATTGGACTTATTTTGTGGCTCTATATTTCACCTACGCTTCCCTCACCACAATCGGGTATGGGGATCTGTTCCCCACGAGCAATTTCGGCAAGGTCTTCTTCATCTTCTGGTCTTTACTAGCCATTCCAATTCTAACCAATCTGGTCACTGTGATCGGTAACATTTCCCACATTTGGCTGTCGCTGTGCTCTCGTTGGGTACGACGACACGTGTTTCGCAGACATGGCACGAGTGAGCACGACCATGAGTATATGCATCGTTCCCGGAAGACCTCAGGCTCTCTTACGACAAACAATCCTCTAAACCTGGATCTATGTGACTCTGGGATCGATATAGAGAGACGAAACCAGGCTTATTTCAAGCCCACAGAAGGCCTGCCAACGACGCACGTGGAATTTGAGCCAAGCGACTCGTTTGGGGAAGGGCCACACCGAATTATGGCTAAGAGGGCAGAAATGCGCTGTCGACTGATGGTTCTCGAAGAGATTGAAGACCTCATATCAGTGATGAGGGATGATTCGCTTGAACATCAGGAAGAGCTTTGTTGTAGGTGGGCGAGAATCATTCCTCTGCTTGAGTCCAAAGACGATACTGGCAGCTTTTCTGAGCTACTGCCCCTTTTCCTGCCCGCAAAGTCTGAAAGAATGAGGGAAAGTATACTCAAGGATCGTAAAAAGGAAATATCAGAGAGGAACGTGGAGGTATTATGGATGGTAACCTTGTTAGTGAAGAAACTTTCCCTTGACTCACGACAGGAGCTTCTCGAGACGATTTAATGAACTGTGGCCTGTGAATCGAGTCCTTGAAGCGAACGATTATGAGAGAACAGCCCTAAGAATCTAGAACTTTTTATGTGTCCTTGAGATCCTGAGGCCCCGTAGGCAAAGGGTTTTATTGTAATCATGTAGCCCTTATATGAGAGTCAAGAAGCTTTCTTTCCAGCCCCACGGGACAACGGCGTTGTTCGGCGTTGGTATAATGTCGATGAGTTCGAAATTTCCCAACTAGGCCAAGTAGCAAAAGCGGCACGGATAGTGTTGACAACCTTTCTTCCTTCTTTCATTCCGATCTTCATACCGGTGAGCCCTTCCATAATCTCAATCAAATTATACACGTCTTATAATCTGCATGCGCTACGTTTCCTGTGGGCTTCCGACTCTAAATCGGAATCGATAATTCTATTTCCGAAACCGATTTCCATTCCCTCCCCTTTTAAGTCGTATGCTTTAGTAAAATTAGGGTATAAAAAGCGATTCTTTAAGCTTTTTGTACATAATTCCTCTTTTTCTGCTCTCCCCAATACCGCATCTTTTCCTTCATTGTGTGTAATTTCCCTGAATTTCTTCGTAGACCGATAACGTAGAACAAGAAACCTCATCCTTAAATTGGAGATACTACGATGTCTCAGGCTACACCGTCCCGCCCGGTCGCCTGCCCCACTGTGGGTGAGTTTATTCGTTGCGTCATCAAACGGGATGATGAGTGATCATGCCGAGCCAAGCTTAAACGTTGTCGCCACGCGGCAAGCTGTTCGTCCGTCGCCCGTGGTAGGATTAGCCTTCATCCCACTAAGCTTGCAACCGTCTCTCTAATAACATCCAATTCCTTGATTGAGGTCTGGCAGCGCTGGTTGATTTCTGATACAGTGATAATTACTCCTGGCTGGCAGCCTATCGCTTGACTTCGCTCTGAGCTTATACATGACCATATTGTTCACATTATGGACCAACAAGCATCACCGCGGCTAGCTAGTGACCTGTCTCTCTTCAATTGGGTGGATTCTCATCAAAGCACATCGTTACTTGAATTCAGCCGCCCATTATCACAGGAGTCGGCGACCTCCGATATCAACTTATTGCTCTCAGCCTGCTCCTATCCCTTGCCCGAACCAAATAACTCGCAAAATGCTCAAATTGATACGCCATCACTGAATTCGGGCGACACCACTTTCGAGCTCGCATCTAACTTGAACTGGACAAACACAAACCGAACATCCGTCTCTAAGCCCACGACACCGCGACCACAGAAACGCCAGCGACATGGACCGAAGAAAACTGCACCAGCGAAGAATCGTACAACACCACAAGAAGTTGACGATAGCAAGGAAAGTCCTAGAGAGGTTCGTATGCTATTAGTCAACCTCCGTCAATTCTTTTGAGCGTTCTAACAGGACCACTTCGGTGACAGCGTCGTCGTATGCAAACTTGCATGGCACAACGTGCCTATCGTTCACGACAGCAAGCCACAGTCGAAGGCCTCAAAAGCCGCATCTCCAATTTGGAGACGTCAATGGAGAAAATGAGCTCTGCTATGCTGTCATTCAGTGAGCAGCTGGTCCAAAGCGGAGTGCTTAGATCACACCCTGGGCTGACGGCGAATTTACGTGACACAATGAAGATATTCCTTTCTGGGGCATCAGGAGCAAGCCTCGACAACGAGATAAAGGTACCAATTGACTCTAATAAGACGATTGACTCACCTTCAGCCTCAAAAGTGCCAACAATCAAGCTCCCGTCACCTAACATCCCTTTACACCTGCCCCAGAATGGTCCTGAATCAAATCACCTTAAAAGTGCTGTCATGCCATATACCGCCACCTCATCAGGGGTGTCGATTATAGAGGTTTCCAATTTCATTGAAAGGCTGCTCTTAACGTCGCTCTACCAGGGATATCTCGGCCTATGCAATCCATCTATTGGCTTGGATCAACTCCAAAGGCCCTTTGGGCTCATTTTTAGTATGATGAGCCGCGAACGCCTGTCGTCTTACTTCAAAGCGAAATTATATGCTCAAGTAAGCCAAAAGCCGCTGGATGGATGGGAGGAAGTTCCCCTATTTAGATTGGGAGGCGTGGGAACACATTATCCCGACGGGAGAACGGGTACATTTTCGCCCGTTTACCAGACATGGGGCACCGTAGAGGACCCTTTGTCACTCGTCACAGCAGATTTAAGGAAGCAACTAGAAGGGGATTGGTTTGACTTGCAAGATCTAGAGGGATATCTTCGAGAAAGGAATGTGCTCCTGGTTGCGTCCGCCGGTGAGCCAACAAAATACTCGAAAAAGCAGACCAATATCAATATTTCGCGTTTGATATCAGGTAAGTCTGCCCTTGGTCCGTATTGATTACAGTGTTCTGACCTTGGTAGCGTTGATCAGCAGAGGAGTTTGCCTGGGTCGGACACCTGGGTTCCAACGCAATCATGTGGAGGAGGCTTTACACTTTTCGACTATAGTATGAATTTGATAAATCTATGTGCGTGAGCCTTAATGGCATCTAATGATCGCTTCCATGATCTGTGATAGTCAGGGGATTTCCATCATTCACAAGTATCTGTTCCAAACCATATCCGATCGCTAAGCCGTTACCCTGCTTCTCCGCCTCGCGAAAGCCTGGCGCATAGTCATCCACTAGATCGACTTCACTCCCTTTGTAGATTTCCACGAGCGGCCGTCGCATATCGACTCTAAGCACATATTAATACACACCATCTCGTAACCAAGAATGGACAGACTCACGGCTCATCCTCCAAGATCTCTCTTGGATCTGTATCTCGATCGCGGCCTTGGTATATTGACCGTGACTCGATGTATATCAGCGCCTGCTCGATTGGGATCTGATTTCCCGGACCGATATCACGATAAAAGTGGCCGAATTCCTCCATCATAATTTGAGCCCGGCAGGCCTTCTCGTAGATGCCGTTCGTTGCAAAGTCAACCCAAAGCCCCAGTCCGGTCTCAAGGGTCCGGTCATCGATAATGAGCTTGGGATAGCGGTCCCTGAAAAGTACGGTTCCATCGAGCGCCATGTGCATATCAAGGAAGTCGGGTCGGGCGACACTTTGATGGAACTTGAACGTGTCAAGAATATCCCCTTGATTATCTTCCAAGGGGGGAAACATTATCATTTCGTCTGCGAGAAATTCCTAGCCTTCTTCCCATGGGAATAAACCCAAGATACACTTAGCTAGCAGGGCTTCTTTCTCGGGGGTCAATTCAGTGGTGCATAAGTAGACCATGCAGAAACTTTGAACGTCATTTCCTGCAAAGTCTAGGTCCTATACTCTAGATTAGAACCGCAAGTCAAATAGTAGAAGATATTTCAAACTGCAAGTTCGGGATCCTCAAAAAAACTAGGCTCATCCTCTGGTGCTCGAGATTGATAGCTCTGTCTTGGCGTCAGTGGAGAAATAAGAATTCTTCCAAATTATAGGCATACATCGCGAAATTGTTGGTCTGCTGTTGCCCAGCGTTCGATTAAAGCTCGTTTCTGTTGATCCGAGGCGTCGCCTTTGACCCACTGATCACGAACAAAATGTCTCCATGCACGAGAGGCGGCATCAAAATTTCCTGGGTCCACGGGTTCCTCGTAGCGGCGAACGAACGAGGGGATGCCTCCAGGCCACCGGCTGTGTGATCTTATTAGGGACATGGTGAATGGTGGCAGTTCTTAGGGTTGAAAAGAAGTGGGAATCGCGAGGGGCGAGACTCGCGAGAGTGCGTGTATTTAACGGACGCGTTTGACACACGCCCGCCCCCAGTTTGCAGTCAGACATCAAATCTCTCTTTCCCGTGCATATACTCTTCTCAAACACACTAAACCTGTATGATTTCCTGCGACCTTGGAACCTTAACGCACTAATCTTTGATAACATATGTGGGCAAGAAATTGGAGCCCGGAATGATTTGTTATCAACCCGACCGTTGACCCAGGCATCTAAAGTGGGTTGGTCTCTGCTATTGAAATGAGCTCCACTTGATTGGAGATTTTGATGAGCGCATGATTGCTAAGCTTCGGAAGAATTGCCAGGTATGCACTCAGTCGCCGGAGCCCTGGAGTAGGTAGAGGCTCACTCCTTCCAAGGTTCCTACAAAATTCTCTTGAATTGCTCAGGAACTCCGTGCATGTTCTATACATCCAGTTCCAGTACCAAATTTTGCTTTGAGCCTTCAAAGAATTACGCTCCCAATAATTCACCACGAACATGGCTCAGAAGACAGTTCTCATTACAGGTTGCAGCGAAGGTGGAATAGGTGACGCTCTTGCAAAGACCTTTCACAAGAAGGGCTTTCGAGTTTTCGCCAGCGCTCGGAACCCCGCCAAAATCCAACATCTCAAGGACATGAATCTCGATATTGTACAATTAGATGTCACCAACGAAGAGTCAATCAAGAAAGCAGTGTCAACCGTGAAGGCTGCGACGGGCGGATATTTAGATTACCTGGTCAACAATTCGGGCGCAGGTAGTCTCACGGCTTCAGAGTAGTTTGCTTGTGGCAAGCCACTGACCCTTCGATAGGTTATAGCATGCCTTTATTGGACTCAGATGTCTCAGTCGCCAAGGATATGTTTGATGTTAACGTCTTCGCTGTCGTGACTGTCACTCAAGCGTTTGCGCCACTTTTGATTTCCTCCAAAGGAACGATTATCAACATTGGGTCAGTGCTTGGCAAAATGCCATTCCCATGGCAGGGATACTACAATGCAAGCAAAGCTGCAGTTGCTATCATAACCGATCAGATGCGTATCGAGTTCTCTCCTTGGGGAGTCCGTGCAATCCTCGTAACTACTGGTGCAATCAAGACCAAGTTCTTCGACAACCTTCGAAGTGCACCACGTCTACCCGAGAAATCCCTCTATTATCCCGCAAAGGATGTGATTGAGCCAACATTGGCTGGAACTGAGGTGGATAAAAATGCTACAGATGTCAATTCCTATGCCGAGGTCGTGGTCAATAACGCAATTCGATCAAGCCCCAAGAAGCATCTTTGGTCCGGGGGAGGAGCTTTGATGACTTGGCTGGCTTCAACATTTGGCTGGTCGACTATATGGGTAAGTAGTTCCCCGCCATTCCATGGGCACCAGTCCCATTCTATATGCTAACTTTACACACTCAGGATACCTTGCTCCCTCCTGTCGCTCACATGCCGGATATTACGAACAAGATCCGTGAAGCGGAGAAGGCCGAACAAGATCACCAGAAGACAAGGTAATTGCGTCCGCTCCATCCTGGTGTTTTTTCTTTTTGTTTTATTGCAGCATTTGTTAAGTGTCTTCTTTTGTGGTCCATTTTTGTGACTCACGCTCACTTCTGGCGCTTCAATCGAAGTTTACATTCACACACATATTCAGGCAACATAAGTTTTCTCCAGTCTTTTTTTTTAAGCTCTTTTCGTTCATCTCTTTGTCTTAAGCAGCCTCCTGTCTCAAGTTTGAAAATATCGAGAATGACAGAGCTTTCAAACTTTGCCTCTATCTTTATTCGATTCTTGAAACACAGCTCACTATCTAATTACTCATAAGACCGTGAATGTTGTATATCTTACTATGCGCTGAACCTGCAAGGCTCGAAGCACCTGAGTTCCAACATACATCTGCTAAGGTTTAATACTGAGGGGTGCTCGAGCGCCATTAGAAATGCTGATACTGTCTCATTATGCTGATGTGAAACCCAACGTATGCTGTCATCGAAGACAAGACTATATTGATTTCGCTCGCCGCGGCACGGTCTGTAGTGCGGAATTCGGTGGTGAGATTCGGAAATGAAGCTGTGACCAATATCCACTGGACAGACAAATAGCGAGCCATGAATATATCGTCTCTATGTGTGCAGCAGGCTGCCCAATTTGTATCAGCAGTCTCTGCAGCTTTATCTCAGACATTGCCAAATGCGGGATATTCAAGGAACAATTGCAACACAGTGATATTCTAGAAGAGCTCAAATTGTTCAATTCCACCATAACCATAAAAAAAAGTTTTACATTACTCACCAGCACATCCTTGCACCCACCACTTTCTCCGAGGCTCTTGAGGGTTCACTAGCACTGTCCTATACAACATATGCCCTCAATTCTCGACATGTAGACAGCCGCTACCGAGTCACAAACGAATGCTATAATGGATGTGCTGCAAGACTAACAGACTCAGTTGTTCAAGAAAAGCTCAAGCTCCTTCGCGTAAAGCTCTGGAACCTGAAAGAGATGCCCGTGCCCTGCGTCAGGGTAAATATGCAGATGGGCATTAGGGATCCTCTGCTGTAATATGAAACTGTTCACAGTGGGCGACATAATATCCGTGTGGCCGTTGGTGACAAGAACTGGGGCTTTGATGTCTGCCAAACGATCGAAGTTGCGAGCCTCAGTGGTGAATTTGAAGATGGCAGCGAGCTGCGACTGAACCCCAGTTCCAGTAAGATATGACTTCCGGGATTCACCTTCAACGTTACGCTCGTGGATTCGCTTCCACCATGCACGGCCGAGGGCGAGGCTGGTCTCGGAGGGATAAAAGAACAGGTACATCATATCCTCCTCCGTTGGCGGCTGATCGTTGTTTGCTCCAGCACTTTCCAATATCTCCTGCGGAGGCAAAGCTACACCTTCACCGATTCCAGGTTGAGTGCCGGCCAGGATCATTTTGTTGACAATTTGAGGATACGAATATCCAATATGCTGTACAATGCCACCACCCATGGAGAAGCCAATGAAATCGGCCTTTGAAATTTTAAGCGCAGCGAGCAGGCTGACAGCCACCTCAGCCATCTCGGGAACGGAGTCCGGCACAGTTCCTTCGCTGTGTCCGATACCAGCACTGTCGTAGACAATGACTTCGCGACTTTTGGCGATGCTGTTGAACAAAAGCGGATCGAGAGTATCCATGCTACCACGCAGATGGTTGACATAGACCAAAGGTAATGGACTGCTTGCTCCAAAGCGCCGATAAGCTATTCTTAGTCCATTGACGGAGACAAAAGAAGTCGGAACGATTTGGAGGGTCGACATTGCAGTGGTTTGTTCAAAGAGCATTTGCGAGTAAATCAGTTGCGTTGAGGATAAATACTGGAGGAGGGTATCTCATGAGACAAGAACAGTTTGTATATTTTATAGGGCAGGTGTCCGCCTGCTGACTGCCTTAGGTTCTCCACTGAAAGTTCCGCAACCTGGTCATTGTCCTTTCTTGGTTGTCACATCGGGTCGGATCAGTTTGAGTTCAGCATAGTCATCAAGGAGAACTCGCATATGACGCAAACCCCACTTAAGTCGAAACAAAATTAGTAATCCCATCTTCAGGTTCGGAGTCGGGTAGATGAGAGAGTAAATGATACCTAGTAGGACGATCGGACAGTTGACTCATCATTCCCGGCCAAACTATGTATAGTGACGGCCCGAGGCTCCACATATATCGGCAGTTCCGTGGAAACTCCTCAGTTGACCGTGAACTTACTCGCCTCCTTGACCTCCCCTTGAATTATAGATTAGCATGTCAACGTGGAATCGACGTTCCGGTAAACTGGTGGTTTGTAAGCATCATAATATATAATACTTACATTCGCCACTGTCTCTAGTAGCTGCTGGATGCGACTACAGTTTAGGCTTTCTGATTTCTTTGCTTTTCGCTCTCGAAATCCAAATCGTGGGCTGTTGACCTAGTGCTCATCCCTTGGTCCCGTCGGCTTGAGGTTCGTCCGACCTGTTGGACAGCATTTTTGAGTTTGGGTGTTCTGTTCGCTCGCTGCATTGACGTTATTCTCCGCAAACACTTTTCATACAATCCAGTCCTGTACACCCGCCAGACTATATCAATCCGCCCAGATGCAAGCTATAATCACTCATCGAAGCTTGCCTAGGCGTCTACTGAGTTTTGCTCTCGGTAGTCCGCTTGGGCAGGGCGCGCAAGTCAAGGATGTCTCGATTCCAAGCATCACCGACGATGAGGTCTTGGTGAAGGTGCGTGCAGTCGCGCTGAATCCGATCGACTTCAAAGATATCGACTTCATTTCCCCACGCAATTCTGCTATTGGCTGCGACTATGCGGGCGAGGTGGCTCGGGTCGGCAGGAATTCGGGGCAGCGCTGGAAGGTCGGAGACAGAATCGCTGGCTTTGTTCACGGTGGCTTGTATCCCGACGTTGGCTCATTCGCAGAGTACGTGAAAGTCGATGGAGACTTGGCTTGGAAGGTCCCGGACGAAATGACCTTAGGTGAAGCCACTACTTTTGGAGTTCCCGCAGCTACCGCGATGCTGAGTCTTGCGTATCTTGATATTACCGGGGCGGACATTGAGAGCGAGCGCAGCATTCAGAGTGACCATCCGACCATTTTCATCTACTCAGGGGGCTCGAATGTCGGCCTCTTTGCTATTCAATTAGCCAAGAGAGCAGGATACAAAGTGGTAGCAACGGCCTCGCCACGTTCCTTTGACCTCGCAAAGCGTTATGGTGCCGACGCAGTATATGACTACCGGACCTCCACATCTATTGACGAGATCAAGAAGGCCTATCCAAATATTACAAAAGCTTTGGACTGCTTTTCTGAAGGCAGTTCGGCCACCTTTTGTGCTGAAGTGTTACGAGAGGGCAAGGTGGTCACGCTACTTGACCAAGGAAAGCCAAAGAGGGCAAACGTCACCTATACTTTTCTCATGGTGTACACTGTGTTCGGTCGTGCGTTTCAGCTTATGGCGCCTCTTGGCCCCGTATTCCCGGTAATTCCAACGGATCGCGAGGTTCTTACCAATTTCTATGGTAATATGTCCACATTGAGCCTTGGTGTTTTGAGACCCCCACCTATCACAACCATAAAAGGCGGGTTCAAGGATATTTTTGAAGGCCTCGAGACACTTCGCAAGGGAGAAGGTCGAGGCACAAAGCTTGTAGTCGAGTTCCAGTGATCGCAGTTGTCGCAACTTTCGTCACCGACAACATGTTCTTCTCACTCCTGTTTGCCCGTTTTGTATCTCCAAGCTATTGTTTCTACCGAATCATTACTGCTGATAACTCGGTGCAATTGGATGAAGCTTTATTGCACATATATCAAAGAGAGCTGGCCAAGCGTAATATTGGCCCGGTACCAAAAGGATGAAAAGTAAAGATAAGCTCGCTAGAGGGGTGGAGAGTTCCTATCCAAGTTTTACTATTTGCTTTTCCAAGGATCTGAGGTCTGCCGCCTCCCGTTGCAAATCTTTATGCTTACACTGCCTAAGCCTTGTGCCTACAGTCTCTTTGACAATGCGACTATTTGATAGCATTGCTTTCCCCTCGATCTAGCAAAGTCTGCCGTCTAAGTACAGTCAGTGCAATGCGCTGAGAATACAGAATGAAGAATTGGCTGCAAGCACCCAGGCTATAAGGAAGAGAGACAGGAAGAGGAACATGAACGTGGTGGTGGTGATTATCAAAAGTGTAGCTTTGTCCCAGAGAGTCGTCAGGCCAGGTCCGCAACAAGTCACCCTGACCTACGGATTAGTTGATCAACTGCCCAACTGACTAGGTATATGACTGTTGAGGTACGATCAAGGTTACTGGAGCCACCTTACTAGGTACACTTCGCATCTAGTATATAAGATAACGCGGGTCGACTACACCAAGCTTGATAAAATTTATGTTTCCAGTCTGGCCCGGATTGTCCAAGCGAAATAAAATAACTCTTGCTTCGATCAATAAGCTTTAGTCTAAAAGAGAAGATGACACTCTGCAATCGGAATGAACCCGAATTCATGAAGTGCCCGAGATGGCCTCAGAGCTCCCGAGACCAACGAGCTTTATACATGACGTTTTCTGGCCCCGGTCGTTTCGGGGAATTCCAAGTTATCCGTGGGAATTTAGGCTCAAATCCGAATGCCACTCAAGAATTGTCGTCGTCAAAATTCATCACTGCCAGTATCCTAGTTGTTCCGTTAATTCCTAAATTCTGGATATTTAAAGGGAAATGACCTACTCGTCTTCTCTCAGGATAATAAATTCTTGTAGATTTCGACCCACTTTCCATTGCCTTGGGAGATCACAGATCGGGACTCAAGCACTCGATCGGCCCTAGCCCGAGATCCATCCATTGCCATTTCGAGTCCATTGGTGCAGTAATCCGCCTAGGGTAGGGAAATGAGAGTACACCGCTAATTCCTAGTTAGATATATCATCTTTGAAACTATATAATATAATACGTAATGTGTATGGGCAATGGCTTCGGTAAATACGGTCTGCTCAACGCCGAGTACTCTGTGAATCCCATTATCTCTAGTGAACAATATAAGAACAATATATCAGGAAAACATTACACAAGCATTGGAAGATGGTCCTGCGTGGCCTTTGGGGTTTCAAAATTGGTAGCAGCAGTTTCATCGTCGCATGAACTACTTTCAGAATATAGTAGAATGGAAACAAGTCAATTCATCTAAATAACACAAACATGCCCTTATTAAGCTGCCAAGTTCCGCCAATTAATCAAGCTACCTGACCGGATATATTAAATGTGATCACCAAGCCAAGATTTCCTTCTGGGCTCCACAGCTCAGAGCAGCACAAATCTCCTCATCTTTGTCACTGACCTGCGAGTTACATGGCACTTTTTGTTTTGCCGGCCAGATTTCCCGCCCTTGAGCCTTTTCCCGCTCAAAATGTTCCGTAATAATCTCGCGAGCAGTGCTCTGGAAGAAGAGCGGAGCCTTCTCGAATTTAGGATGCAGCTCCCCATTGACGAAAACGTTCCGGTCGAGATTCTTCTGTGCACTGTCGCAGAGAATTTTGTCTTCCCTCATGACGCGCTCATACATGTCGCTAATCGTGTGGAAATCAGCATCGCCGGAGTTTTTGTTCCGGTAGATTTCGTATGACATCTTGGAGGAGCTGGCGCTTTTGGGAAGAAATTTTTGGACCATGATAAAGTGTGGCCTAGTGCATTATGCGTTAGTGAGTGCTTAGTGGAAATTGCCTAGTACTCCAGGGGGTGGCGGCACATACGAAACAACCATGGCGGAAATTGGGAAATAATATGTACTGGCAGTGTAAAGGCCCTTTGCCTTTTGCTCTGGAGTCGAGATGCAATAATGTTGGATATGTCCATCCTTGAGGTCACTGTCGAAGGAATCGAGATTGAGAAAATCGGGAATATCAGGGTGGGTTGTGGGGCAGTGGTAGCATTCATTGAAGTTATCCGCCAGGATCTTCCAATTATACTGGCCATCCAACTCATAAGTATGATCCAGGTCATAGTCATTGAAGTTATATTCCTGATAACGCTCTTGCGTATCGACGTCTCGGAAGTGCTCTTCCCACGGGATTTCTGGGACCTCGTTCGCATCCAAGTTCACCCATATAAATCCGTTGACATCAACCTTGACATGTATCCGGAATAGACTGTTTTGGTCCTTGTTGAAGTCCAGGTCTTTGTAGCCGGGCGCTTTGGCGAGTTTGCCATTCAAACCGTAGGACCAGCCGTGATAACGACAGGATAAGATTTTGGAGTTGCCAGATCCCTCCTTTTCAACCACTGGGTATGCGCGGTGTCTGCAAACGTTGTGGAAGGCATTCACATTTCCTTGTCGATCTCTAGTGATGATGAAATCGAAGCCCGCGATCTCATAGCGGAGCCAATCACCTGTTTCCTTAACTCGCGAGCTGTGGGTGATAAAAAGCCATCTCTTGGAAAAGATTGCACGGCGCTCTAGCTCGTACATCTCAGGAGATTTGTACCATGATGCAGGCAAAGCACGGACTGGAGAATCTTTCACTGGTTTATTCGAAGGAGCTTTGTTTCCGAAGCCAAGATAGTGCAGCATAGTGGTCATGGTGGTACAAGGTATGCGAGAAGATATCTATGAAGCATTGGTCTGCTCATATCTTAAGGTTCATGGCAGGCCTTATATGTATTCTAGTCCATCTGATCTGACACGGATCCTATTGTTTGCTCCGGTCAGGTGGGAAGCCCATTGTTCAACATAGTAAAGTAACCCGCCGATAAGCCCCAATATAGGCAATGGAATCCACCGATGAACGGGTTCCGTTCCCGAGACCAGAACATCAACCCTTTGCATTTTACTAAGCTTCTATGCGGTCTTGAAAAGAGGATCAGTTACTAGACCCGTAAGATCTTATGCACTCGACAGATTGAAACCATACTGGCATGTGTGAGTCCGTAGTGCATAATCCACAACAATAAAACTGCCCGTCTGATGATGAATAGATCTCGACCTTTGTCGGTTCGAACCTTGAAATTCGATCATCTGCCATCTAAAGTGGCAAATCTAGATCAATCGATAAGAGCATCCCAGCCAATCCGTAAATTGCCAGTCATGATTGGGAATGATTGCCAAGTTAGGTTGGATATCCATAGGTTCTCAACACGGAAGCGTACCCGATTGGCTACGTATATACAGAAGTCGACCGCTCTTTGTTTGTTGGCAGAGGGGTTCAATCTCCCAAAAAAGCCCTGAAGTATCTCGAGGCTCATTATCTGGTTTTCATGTTTATCAATCAGCATTGCCTAATCTCGCATACAGAGCGACAGTATGATAAGACCATTCTGCCCACTTAGACAATTCATTTTCTTCACACAGAATGATGAAAGGCAGGGAATCAATATCATAGGCCGATCAACCTGCTCAACAATTATCCCTAACGACATGTGAATGTGCTGGTAGTCGATTATTGTTTTGTGCAACTCCCTTATATGTTCAAGCCGCCGGATCATTGGTTCTAAACCACCCATTATTTTTGGTTATCTCCTCGCGAGCCCCCAAAATTCAGTTGCACGACCCGTTCCACATCTTCTGTTGTTCTCAAGGCACGCTATAAGTTCTCCGCTAGGTCAAGGTGAAGTCGGCCTCACGGGATGACATATGAAACACCATGGTTCTCCAAGCCCAGATCGGGCGAGAACCCCGCATATAGAGGGGCATGGGCAATGAAGAAAAGATTCTACAGCAAAGGCCAGGGAAGAAGCTTCATTACGCGCGTGTTCCGGAGAGGTTGGGGGTTTGTTGCCTCGGAGGTTCTGTGTCACGCTGATAATCCAACTCTCATCATCCCGGCGTTCCATGTCCACGGCCAGGAACCAATTCCCGATCTTACAGGCAGTCTAGTCGCCGATGGAATCTTGAGGAGAGTTGGCCAGGTCTTTCATAATCATACCTTCTGGTGGGGCGGAGAATTCTTTAACCAGGCTGCTTGTCCAGATGACGCGAACAGAACCGGGACTTGCGGCTGCAGGTGTAGTAAGACTAACCCGCCATTCTTGCTGTGGGGAGCTGCACGCTGAATAGACAGGGTGGCAACTGTCGCATTTCTATCGGACTGGCCTGCGATGTAGATCTCAGCCAAATCCGATCCCTGAGGCTACCCCCATGGTGAGGACAACCCTCCCTAGTTGATCAGAAAGTTGTTCGCCGGGCGTGAAAGTGGAACCAGGCGGAAATGCTTGTGAGAATTGAATATCCATCGCGGTGGTCAGCGTAAGATGTTACTGAATGGCCCAAGATAACGTGAAATTGGACAAAGCTGAAGATTAATGGGGACCTCCTTGCCCCCCCGGTTCTTTGCGTGCGGTGATTTGGACCCCAGGTTCATCCAGTCGATCGGCAAGTATAGTTTGCCTGGAACCTTGAAACAAAGCATTTTTGTCATTATTACCGTGAAAATAATAGTCGGATCTTGTGGTAAACAAGATTTTTGATTAGCAGGAAATATGTACTCCGTAGTGTGGGCCTAAACTTCGAAGGCTGCTGAAGTCGACGTCATTGTCCCCACTGTTGTGATCGTATGCGGTCAGTTTTTCGTCCCCCTCGGACGGACTTGGCATTAACCTCAACCGTGAATGTTGATTTCGACATCGAAACCATTAATCTTGACTGCGTGTATTCATGATCTAGGTCTAACCTCTAGCAGGTCTATCGTGTATCGTCTATTCGTTATATTGCACCACTACGACTGAGCCTGATCTGGCCGTCGCGGTCATACCTTCTCGCTCCATCCCCAGATCGACCACCAGCACTTTACTGCCAGCACATCGCCATCAGCACCCTCCCAGTCATCATATCCGAACTCTTCACCTTCCTCGACCACCGCCAGTCCAAGGTCTGCCATCCGCTGGCGGAATTCGCGCACCTGGGGGAGATACGGAGTGCGCAGTGGCATCTCTGCCAATACTCGTGCACCGAGTCCCCGTCCGAGCCACGATCCAATCGTCTGGACAAGCCATTCGGGGTGACTTGGCGAATACAAGGGGTCCGCGACGAGGATCACGTCGTATCGCTCCTTCGCTGTGGGTTGCGGCGCGGGAACAATGGACCAGTCCAACACACCAGTTGTTACCTCCGCCCCGGTCGTATTGAGAAGCTCGATGTTCAGAGCGCTATTGTGTGCAATGTTCGGTACAATTTCGGGTAGATCGGTCAGGTGCACCGTTGCGGATTTCCCTTGAAGGGCTGCGAAGGAAAGGCCGACCAATCCTGTTCCAGAACCAAGTTCAAGAGCCCGAATCGGCTTTTGTACCAGGTCGCGCGTGAGGGGATCCGTAGGGCCCGATGGTACAAGGTCCGGGGGGCCTTCGAGGATACTATGGAGTCGGCGAGAGAGGAGGTATGAAGAAACCCAGGTCTTCATGCCCAGATTATCTGCTGTGAGGGATGGCTCGTGCAAGGTAATAGAGTAATCGTCGCCGGAGGATCTGGGGACCGAGAAAACTCGCGACATGGCCGGCATGGCTAATGAAGAGGTGACTGGTCAGCCTCGCAGATGCCATTTAAATACCCCACAGGACTTACCAGCACGGCCAGAGCGCTCGCTCAGGCGAGCCGCCGCAGCATCCCACACTGCCTCTCGCAGTTCATCGGTGTCGAGCCATGATAGCGGGCTGGAAATGATCTGAGTGAGATAACGATTCACCCCCGCCGGGTGCACAGCAGGGCCCTTGACTGCCTCGGGGCTGGTTCCAAAGGCTTTAGGCTGCAGGGTTAACAGGGCCAAGGTCTTGATGAGATCAGTGCCCGAGGGTTTTTCGTAGATCTGGGGTAAGTCGAGCACTATGCAAGGGGGACACATTTCTTATCAGTTTCACTATCTAAGTGGCTCAATTGTGGATTGTCGGACTCACCGTGGATAGGCTCATCCTCTGTAGCACTAATCATGGTTACACCTTGTAGATTGGAGACTCTCTTGAAAATGGAGAGAAATCGGGATCCTTTCGGCGGACACGCCTCTTCAACGCCACGAGAAAAAGAAAATTCCCAAATAGGAAAGGTTGGCTCCGGTGCCGCGGATACCCTTCTGCCTGAGATCCCAGGCATCACAAGAGCCGATATCTGCAGAGGAACCAATCAGATTGAACCTTGGCTTGTGTACACAGAACATCTCTCACTGAATGTTTGTTTCGTCTAGTTTCGTCTAGTTAACATCTCTCATTTGATTTTATCATGATACCGTAGATTACCAGCTGGGCTGCTGTTGCCTATGTCTCGGGGGTGGATGACTTGGACCATGAAAAATGCAAGCACAAAACGTTGACGGTCATCAACTCGACGTCATTTACTATCGCGATCTACCTAATTGCAAAGATAAGATTCCCTTCCTCTTAGGTGAATGGGCCGCTCAAGCCCATTCCCGATAGCGAGAAATTGTCGGAATTGCCCCTCCCAACTTCAAAAAGCTGATACGCCCAGGCCTTCACAAAGCGACCTCGGCTTGGTCAGTACGATGAGTTCAAAAGGTACATTGTGACACGACTGCGCGCCAAAGTATTGCTGGAAGAGAGTCGTACAATGGAATTCCTATCTGAACCTCCGCATTGTAATTTCATCTGGTACTATGGTTGCCGCTTCCGGCGAAGCCACATGACCGGAATGGTGCTTGACCGCTATTCCCATAGCTTGGAGAACTATATTAAGCAAAAATAAGGATTCTTGAGAACACTCAATCTCTGAACGTCCTGGATTCCGCCTGCCACCATCTGCATTCACTCGGTTGGGCGCATAATGATCTGAACCCGACCAATGTGATGGTAGACGATTCTGAAGGGGCTGGAATGCCCGTCCGGGTCTACTTTGGCTTAGCTGGAGATTTGGTACGTTGGCGTGGATGTCCCGGGGTACAGCAAATTGAATAGAGGGGCAAATTGAGGATTATACCACTCTCAGGAAGGTACCACTTCTAGAAAGAAGCATGATCTCTTTTCTTTGGAGAGCGGGGTTGGGTTGACCACCCGAGCTGTCGACAGGACCTAGCAGAAAACCACAATTAGCTAGTGTTTATTGAAATCTCAAGACTCAGTATACGCCAGTGTAGGTCCCAGGTACACAGTCCGTGATCTGTATCCACGGGTCAGGTGCTCTCAAAGTTTTTTTCCACATCATGTGATCGTGAGGCAAACGGTCGCGAAGCAATTAAGTTGCCGGAGACGTCGCGCACGTTCCATGATCCACCGGATCGATCGATAGTTGCCCTGTTTACAAACATGTTGACCTGGATTTGGTTCTGCAATCAACCTGAGAGGTCTAATCCATCCCGATTACTCCACAACGCCCCGGATAGTTCCCCACTTTATGATGTAAGATCACTCGCTGGACACTTTCCGGTTCTGTGCAGTGGCGGTGACCTACAGCTCATTTCGTCAGCCAGACTCCTTTTTTCTCTTCTTTTATTCCCACCTTCTCCTTCCAATTTGCTTCTTCTCAATCAATTCATTTAATCATGCCTCCCTTAAAGCTTAACAACCAGAATCTCCCGCAGATTGCTGCGGCAGGCGAAGCTCAAGTCAAGGTTCCCACCTACGCCCGCGGTGGCGCTGTGAAAGAGGGAATTGTCCACGTTGGCGTCGGCGGTTTCCACCGCGCACACCTGGCTTACTATGTCGACCTCTTGATGCAGCAGGGTGTGACTGACTGGGCAATCTGTGGTGTTGGTCTGCAACCCTTCGACGCTGGCATGCGAGATGTTCTAGGTTCGCAGGACCACCTTTACACCCTCATTGAGCGATCTGCCCAGGGCAGCTTTGCGCATGTTGTGGGTAGTATCAACTCATACCTCTTCGCCCCCGATAACCGCGAGGCTGTTATCGCGAAGATGGCCCATCCAGATACCCATATTGTTTCCCTCACCATCACCGAAAGCGGGTACTACTACAATGAGAACACCCACGAGCTCCAACGCGAGCACCCTGATATCCAGTTCGATCTTGACCCGGCCAATGAGAAAGCCCCTCGTACAACCTTTGGTTTCCTTTACGCTGCCATGGCCCGTCGCCGCGAGGCTGGTCTGAAGCCCTTCACCGTCATGTCGTGCGATAACATGCAGAAGAACGGTGCCATCACACGCCACATGCTTACATCATTTGCGCGCCTACGTGACCCTTCACTTGCGGACTGGATCAACAAGGAAGGCCACTTCCCCAATGCCATGGTCGACCGGATCACACCCCAGACATCAGATACCGATAAAACGGCCCTCGCCGATGATTTCGGTATTCAGGATGGATGGCCCGTCGTCACAGAGCCCTTCACGCAGTGGGTGATTGAGGATCATTTCTGCGATGGTCGCCCACCATTCGACAAAGTCGGTGTCCAGCTAGTCACCAATGTCCACAAAGTTGAGGAGTTCGAAAAGCATAAGTTGCGCCTGCTGAACGGTAGCCACTCCGCTATCGGTTACCCAGGTCAGCTTGCCGGCTTTAAGTATGTTCACGAAGTTATGGAGAACCCTATCTTCCGTCGCTTTGTGTGGCAAATGATGCAGGATGAGGTCAAGCCCCATTTGCCTGACATCCCCGGCGTGAACATTGATGAATATTGCAACACGCTCATGGAGCGCTTTTCCAACCCCACTATCATGGATCAGCTGCCCCGCGTCTGCCTTAATGCATCTGGCAAGATCCCCCAGTTTATCATGCCCTCGATCGCGGAGGCCATCTGGGATACCGCCCCCTTCCGGCGCCTGTGCTTCGTTGCAGCTTCATGGTTCCACTACCTCAAGGGCGTTGACGACAGTGGCAAGCCCTTCGAGATCGTGGATCCCATGCGCGATGAGCTCCAGGCTAAGGCTCGCGCTGGTGGCACCAAACCGGCCGAGTTGCTGAGCATCAAGAACCTATTCGGTGACGATCTTCGTAATGACAAGCGGTTCATTGACGAGATGACGACCGCTATGGAACTTATTGACCGGGATGGGATCATGAACACCCTTCCCAAGTACATTGATTAAGAATCTCGACTGGGGCTGTTCACGGTACATTTACATTTGCGAGCGAACTTTATGCTTTTTAATATCTTGGCACGTGGTACGACTTGAGAGTGATTTAGGCGAAAAGCACGATTTAGCCTGATAGACATTGATGATTCCAACGTAGGATAGATACACAAAATTCATTATTTCCTATTCACGTTCAACTTTGGTGATGCCCTTTTCATGAGATAGTTTCCACTTGCAAGACCTAATTTCAATCCATTGACTGGATGTTAGACGTTCGATACGTTTTACTTTCTTCCGGATAAAGATAAGAAGATACGATCAGTGCCTGCATGAAGCATTTTCCAACACAGCCCCTTGCGGCATCTAGATTTGATATTTCCCCACTCTGCCTTCCACCCCTTCCCATAGCACCTCGTTTGACCTTTGTTGCAGCATTACCAGGAGACGTGCGGTCATCCTGATCTCCATTCAATTTTACAATGTTGACGATAATAGCTGCTGACGGGTCTTACTTAGTATACCCCTGAAAATGGGTACCTGTCTTGTGGTGCACTGGATGGATCTTGTGCCATGCCACGGTGTGATTGATATTTATATGACTTGGAATTTTCCGCCATTTCATCTTCCCTTCAGCACCTTCGTTCCGTCATGGATCTAATTTGTGATTCATGAGCCAAAAAGGACAACCTTTTGACAAAATGATAGGTGATATAAAATGGTGGGAAACAATTTCTCTCAGGGTCATCAGATACTGTAAACTGAGCAAAGATCTGGGCGGTGTCGTCTATGATTCGAAGGTCTCGAGCAAAGGTTGGGGCTGTAGGGGCCGTGATCAGGAACCGAAAGAGTGTGATGACAGCAGTGAGCAAGAAGTGGGCATGTATCCTATGGACCAAGAGGAAAGTTTTGAGCGAATGCTATTTGAAAAGTAAGAACATCCAGAGCGTGCACTTACCAGAATGTATGATAATTAATGTAATGTCGTACTCGACCAATATAGATCAAGGTGCACCGCGCTGCCTCATAAGTAATCTCTGTGCTGGACAGCAGTGGTGGTCCAGAATTCGAGACGGGGATGTTGTAAGAGTTGTTAGATCCGTGGATTTTGCCTAGGCAGTAGTAATACTCCAGATGAATGCTGACGCCGCGGATGCTGAGATCGTGGAACAAATAATTCGGGGCACCCTCGGTGGCAAATAGGTCAGGACGGCATTCCACCGGGAACTCCGATCGCAATTTGCTCAATTCGTTATCCAATTCGCGGATAAGCTGGAGTCGTCTTGCTTCAGAGTTGGGGGCATTCTTCTCGGAATACAGCATGGTTTGTATCCTTGTTTTGATCAAGTTCAATCGCAGATCCGATGGATAGAGAAGCTCTTTCGATGACAAGGGCTTCCAATAAAAGTGATGTTCCTTCGACTTCAAAGCGTAGTTGACAGGTAAGTCCATGTCACAGTGAGCTTCATTGATCAACTGAGGCTGGCCTTTGCGGATGCATAATTCGCTATCCATGCCATAGCAAAGCCAGAACAACGCCCGCAGGTGCTGGTTCTCCTGAGACCGACTGGGGGTTCCGGGGGTGGCTTGTATCCGGTGCCCACCTAGGCTATAGACTGTCTGTATAGCAATTCCCAACAATAGATCTATTGACTGCGTCTGGCCAATTGGGGCAATGTATATGGCCTTGGAAATCGTTAGAAGCAAGTCACATAGCCTGGGGAAAGTACCGGACTTACTAACATGATCACGGCCTCTAAGGTCCTGAGATCGGGTGTCTCCATCAGAATCGCAGGGATAAGCCCGAGAGCTGCTTGGGCGTAAGAGTCTGGATCAGCATTGGCTAGACTTGGTTCATGGCGGTGCATCTGAGCAATATTGGCAGTGAAGGCAGCCAAGCAGGCAATATTAGCAGCACGGGTCGCTTGTGGACGACTCAATACATCCGCATTGAGGAGAATTTGCAACGCTTCCACGTCCGCAAAAGGAAACATAGAATATAATCCACTTTTTGCATAGTAATCAATGCAGCTTTGCACGAGGTGCCGCGGCGGCCATTGAGAAGTTGTCAGTCTCTTGTTGGATCTGAACCCCTGAGCCTCAAACGAGTGGGCCACTTCAAATAGAAGTTCATCCAAGTCAAACTTGTGGCCAGTCTGTTGGTGAACTGATGAGCTAAAGGCTGCTCTTGCACTTGAAAGAGGACTCCCAAGCCCGCAATTGGCAATGTGCCATTTGAATGTTGCTACGGCGGCCTCCAGGGAGCGGGTGTCAGGGATGACGGAGCTTGTGAAGGGTATCTGGCTTGTAGATGCAGGATCAACACCTCTGCCAGACAAAGTGGATGCTGTCAACTGAGAAGAATTTTCATGAGAAGAACTTTGAGTTGCAAGATTTAAAGCATCTTCGAGCTCTCGCACCCGCGCCTGTGTATCGGCGAGTTCCCTGCACCAGTTGAAATTGAAAATGAGAAAAAATTGAGGGCCAAATCGTGCATACGAGATACTTACTGTCGGAGGTCTTTTCGCTCCTGGTTGAGTGGAGGCGTGAATATACAAGGTAGTCCTGCCAGATGACAATTCTCACAGGCAGGTTGAGCCCGATCACAGCGAATCTAAGTGACAACCCGAAAGCCATCAGTGACGTTTTCTGCGTTATGGATGGCAGACCATCAATACCTTTCGAACGCGACATAGATCACAGGCTTTTCTGGTTTTGGAACCACGTGCAACCGAAGAAGTCTCCATGGAGAACACGTCGATACTGGGTAATCATAATCTGCAAGCTAGTTAGTGCGCGGCCCCGCTTTGCCTTGGGGCAATGGCCGAGTTCTCCACACCTGCCCGGTACTTGCCTCAGTGTCGCGAATCCCGAATGCCAAGCGTCGCGCCAAGGATCATGGCTGAGTCAGCGGGGTTGGTCCTCCGAGCTTTGGAGAAGATCTACATCGATGCTGTCAATCCTCGACAGATGATTTACGTTTTACTAACCATCTCCACAGATCCTCAGGCTTCTGCGGTATCCCTGATTCTGTACGGGGAATGCATCTCAAGGCCGCGTAATTCTTAACACCAATCCCAGAGACCCTTGGCAATTCATACATCTGTAAACTATACTGGTACGTTGCTCTGGCTGAGAAGTTTGCCTCTTATCTGTCCTGCAATCGAATAAACGACCTTGGACGCCATTGTAAAATACCTTTCGCTTCCTATCGACTCTAGCTATCATTTCCAAGAAGTCTTGGCAACTGTTATGGGCTTTTGCTTGGCTCGGAGGTCTTTACCCCCACTCTGGAAACCTTGGCTGCAGATCAATGGGGGGTTCAGAAGCAGGTACGAAAGGAGAACATGATCTAGACGCAATTATTCTCCTACTAATCCATCTGGTGTTCAATGGCAACGGCGTGATTCGCCAATCACACCCCACCGAAGATCTTGCGTCGTCATTTGTGTCGATAGGTCCTTCTCCTTCTAGTATGGTAGCTCTTGGTACTTACTACAAACCCACGAAGGGAATTTGTGTCTTTCAAATCACTATATGGGTGACGCTAATGCTGACGTGTCAGTGATTCTGATACAAGCCGGGATAAACAATCCCAGAGCAATATGTTAGGAAATGGGTGTCCAAGGACTATAAATATGAGCCAATTGCTCCCAGTTGATCTTCCTGTTCAGCAGCTCAACTCGAATTCAAACACACCTCAAGACCTTTTGGCCTTCCGGATTTCCAATTACCGCCATTATGCACTTTACCAAGTTCACCGCTCTTGCCCTGAGCACCCTGGCCATGGCTCACCCTGGAGTCCACGAGCCTAACTCGTATTCATCTATGGCCAAGCGAGACTTCCTGAACGGTGCCCGTCGCTCCCTGGACCTATGTGCGGATCACCTGGAGAAGCGCGGGATCAATGATCGTGCTCGTGCTCGCCGCGCCGCCATCTTTGAAGCCAACAAGAAACATATTTTGCAAACGCGTGACACCAACAAGACCGTTGGTACAAATCACAAATCTTCTCTCAGTGTGACTTCTTCCACCTCCGAGTCAGAGCTCTTCTCGCAAAACCCTGTCTGTATCCTCGCCCCCGAGGGTGAGGTTGGGCCTTTCTGGGTTAAGGGTGAGCTCATGCGCAAGGATGTCTCCGACGGTCAGGCGGGAGTCCCTCTTATCATGGACGGTCAGTTCATCGACATCAACACGTGCGAGCCCATTGAGGCTCTGTATTGGGATGTTTGGAGCTGCAACTCGACTGGTGTCTACTCGGGTGTCCAAAGCTCTATGAATGGCAATGGCAATGACGCCTCCAACCTCGACAAGACCTTCCTCCGCGGCATCCAGAAGACTGACTCGGAAGGTGTGGCCCAGTTCAAAACTGTTTTCCCCGGTCATTACTCTGGTCGTGCTACTCACATCCATGTCATTGGACATACCAATGCCCACGTTCTTCCTAACAACACCATTACTGGTGGTCACATTTCACACGTTGGTCAGCTCTTTTTTGACCAGGATCTGATCAGCCAGGTTGAGGCTACCTACCCATACAACACTAGCACTGTCGCTATTACCAAGAATATCAACGACCACGTTGTCGAGGATGAGACTGAGGACTCAGCCTCTGATCCTTTCTTTGAGTATGCCCTGCTTGGAGACTCTATCGAGGACGGTGTTTTCGGCTGGGTTACCCTAGGTGTCAATGTTTCTGCGAGTTACGATTCGGACGCTACTTATGCGGCCTACCTTACCTCCAAGGGCGGTGTCAGCACCTAAGGTACCTAGCAGTTACATGCGTCTTTTTCAGAATGGCGGGATAAATATGTGTGTTTCGCGTTGGGTGTTTTGATACAACATAAGATGTTTATTTTGTAATTATAAGCGCAAACCAAATGTCCTAAGGGTAGAGAGCACCCGAATCCACGTATTTTATTTTCTTTCTTCTATCCTATGCCCTTTATGATGTTGTCATTAAGTTTGATACAGCTCAATGAACCAGATGTTTACGAGGTTTGAAATATTACAAACCCCCAAGAAAGAAGCATATCGATATGTCTAGTCTTGTTCTGTTTGTCGCATCTGTAGGTAAATGGAGATTTCTGGTCCATGTTATATTTCAGCCCTGATCCTAGCAAGGGAGAAAATACACTCATAGAGCCGAAACCTTGAGCAACTTCCTTCTCCGTGCAATCGAGATCAAGTTTGTCCGGGCATCAAGCAATTATACGCCAGAATTCCAATCATCGAATTTAGCCTACCGTTATATTACACTTTAAATCTTCAGCCGGAAATCGGAACAAAATAAGATAGCCCCGACTGGCACGGGCTAAAAAGTCTGAAGACAATTCATGCAAATTCGTTTCTAAGGTGCTCATAATACATCTAATCACTAATATCAAATTATGCAGCACGTCTACCATGCAAATGACTCTTCTACATACTTGATCCGGTACCCTTGTCGCATAGCGAGGTGAGCAGCGGCTCGAGCCTCATCAGCCATTCCGACGGGACCGCATGCCAAAACGGCCAGTGATATTTCAGCAGAGGAGGCATCGCATGCTCGGCTCATAATGAGCGACTGCAAGTGGGGCCTCCCTGGGGTAATCTCATACCCGAGGTCAGTAACATCCTCCGAGGATATAGTAGAGGATCCAGTGGTATAGAAAGAAGCTTGGAAGTCTTCGCGGAGTAGGAGGGGTTTCAGCTCCCTGCTAGCTACATCCTTGAGAAAGGGAACCTGCTTTGCTGTCCAGATCAGTTCGATGTCTCGGATGCGGGTCTTTTCCTCGGATCCCTCTTCCCAGTCGTGTCCTGATCGTCGCAGATGATCTTGGAGGTATGGCACTGCTGATGCGATTCCTGTGCCCCCCACAATGATCAATACGGATTCGTATTTCCAAAGTGAGAAGTGATGTCCGTATGGACCTTCGAGGAGGATGGTCGTGTTGACGGGCTGAGACTTTGCGCGGAGGCATTGCTGGCGCAGATGTCGGGTCCAGCCATCATATGGTCGGATCCAAAAAATCGCTTTTAAACGAGGTATATTGCTGCCTGTACTGGGTTCCTCTGTGGGCATCAGATCTTCCCGGCCCTGTGATCCACTGGGCAACAGAGGCATTTGAGAGACACTCAAGGATTCGCTCGATTTTCTCAACATTTTGGACGATGATGACATCGACCTGAGATGAGATGACCAGGCGCCGACGGTGAATGGGTGACTTTCCCAGCCAGTCCAACGAAAAGGTTGGTACAGGAAGAAATAGTCACCAGGTGTGGGGTGGATGAGGGGAGTGGCAAGCGATACTTCCAACCTGACTACATCCGTTTCCTCATCGTAGGTCATTTGACTCGAGGAAGTACGGATCAGATTGCCTCCAGTGATGCCAACGTGCATATTGCAATAGCATAAGCGAACCATACGTAAGAATCGGTCAAAAGCCCAGATTCCAACGGAGGGCCATAGATATTGCCAGTATTCATGCCCTTCAAAGATGGTGGTGTGACTGCCCGAGTTAGCTGCGGAAAAAAATTAGTGGATGCAAGGGGGCTCACTAGAAACAGCCGACAAGAGTAAAACCCGAGAGCACAATGTGTATGATCAAGAATATTTCGTAGCTTGAAAACCGAAGTCGATCTAACGATGTTAAGAGTAGGAAAAACATCACAAGGACGGCCTATTATTATTAGTCTTGAATTTGGCTTCATCCGATCTGGTTTAAATGTCTCACTATAATTCCCCAAAGGATATAAGTCTTGTAAAAGACTTTCCACATTTTATTTGCTGTATGGCTTCACTTTAGCATGCAGTCGCTCATGGAAAGCAAATATTCATCAACTCACCCCTGAAGTAGATCACTAGATAAAAAGCGGCGTGTGCCAGGGCCTGAAAAGTCGCCACACGAGCTACATGGCGATGGAATATGTTATACGTTGCAAAGCTCCAGCCTGTAGCCCAGATCAAGATATTGTTACGCCCGCCAAAGAGCCATAATAAGGGCAAATTGGCAAATGCCATGATGCCGGTTCGATCCGCCGCATACCGGAGGATTTGACTCGTGACATCAGCCCAGCTGCATCTTGTTAGTACATGCTATTCAGAGGTCGAGGAAATTCGGCAGTTCATACTAGATATTCCCCTCAAATGTCCGGTATCCGACCAGGCTCAACACGATACTAAGGATCCAGAATCCGCCTACGGCAAGGGCCTCTGCTCGGTTTGAGAATGTACATAGAAGCATCTCTCGGCCTCGTGAGGCGAGTGGAGCTGACACGATCAGATGTGTCTGCAGCCAATGTATAGTGTGTCCGACCAAGGGAATAGCCCGCCATCTATTGAGCAGCGGGTATGTCTGCGATTCGACTCCGCGTTGCATCCGAGGTTTTCGATGATGAATGGCCCAACGGCATAAACGATAGCACATTCCCAGTAAGATCAATACACCCCAGTACGCGTACCCGATATAACTAATCAAGTGTAAGCAAGAGTTTATTGGCTCCAAAATAATTCCGTCATAATACTCACCCAAATGCATGGTGGGACCAGGTCTCAAACTGCCAGGAATCGATAGTGTTGTGCATCCGGTTGAAAAATGATGCGGATATCATGATCGGTTCATCCGCCACTTCATCCCAAGACATTTCCAAATAGCTCACCGTCCGTAAATTGCGGATCACATCTTCATTCAGATTTTCCGCGACAGCCTCCCTCGGGAGCAACTCGCGATGGCCGAACTCCTCACATTCACTAGCCAGCTGCGCAAGACCGGCCGCCCGATCCACATCGCGACAGTATATTTCGGAAGCGGCATATATGGATGTGACCTTAAGGGGATTCTGGCACCGGGTATCCCACATCCCGGTGGCCGGTTCCCCCGCAAAGGAAATGTAGTTGTAGGCCGAGTAAATGGCCGTCACACAACGCTCATCTATAGGCAAGAAGTCACCCCAAGCGCACCTGGCGCTCAGGATGACCAGTAGCCATCCGAGACGCAACATGGCTGCGTTTCAGAACCAGGTGCTGATCTGGAGAGCGAAGTGAACGAAGAGAAAAAGGCGGAGCGGATGATCGTAACCTGGTCAGACAGGGACCCACATGCTCTCGCCCCCAACCACGAATGAGATTCCTGTGGACGCGGTTTGGTTCACGGAGGATAAGTGTTTGGGAAGATGGCAATCACTTGAAATCATCATTGATTTTCCTTGGAATTTCAAGCCGAATGGTCAATGAAATGTGTGGTCACATTTTCTCTTTAAGTTCGCTGCCGTTGAGCCGATCACATGCGCTTATCCTTATCGATCAGATAAGATGGAATTCTGCATCCATTTGATCAAAGTTCTTACTGTTCAGCTCGCTGACAATCAATAGAGCGAATTCTTCTGGTTTCATGATGCCGATCATAGTAACTATGATTGAATTACCCGCGCAATTCTTAATTCATGTAGCCTGCCTCCAAGGTCGTCTGTAAAACCGCGAGTGGGGCACATTCCCATGTATGAGGAGTATCCACTGCCAGGTGACCCTCTATCTTATGGGACATCTATGCAAATTCGAGATAAATGAATACATATGACAACTAGGTGTACGAACCGGAGCCCAGGTGAGGATATTGCCTGTGTCCTATACATCATGCGGTAAATTGAAGTTGACATAGAATTAACCTGAATACCGTAATTCAAGGTAGCTTGACTTATTCCATTTGAGTATTGATTTAGTTTAAAGTTCCAAACTCCATAGCTGGTGTTGTAACAGCCCTGGAAAGTCTTATTTTGTATCGGAATAAAGATGCATCCAGCAAGGTTGATCCGTGTGGCTCGTGCCGTTTCAGAGCCTTTCCTTTTGGATGCTGTTCGAAGTCCATGTGTGATTCGTTCATGCACCTGGAAAGCTTCTGACGTTGATAGTAGAAATGGTGTGGGAAGATTGAAGAAAGAGACGTATTTATTGCGGATCAAGATGCCGCTGTCTTGAGGAAGAGAGATTCCTTCAACAATAATTATATTAGCTTTATAGGTCCACCCACGCTAGCCTTTTGCTGTCTTCGACAGCTAATATGTTGAAGACTAGATAAATTTGAACGAAGCATGCGTAAATGGGCAGTAGAGAATGAGTTACATGTCGTCATCGTCAGGGTCGTAGAGATCGAGATCAAGAGTCGCACTTGGCTTTGGCTTGGGTGCCGGTGCAAAGCCCGACGCTGCAGGTCGTGGTGCTCCAGTAGCCGCTGAGCCAGCCTGAACAGCCGCAGTAGCGGCCTCCTCTTGCCTGGCATCTGCAGCCGGGGCTGGGGCCGGAGGTTCTGCAGCTCCAAGACCCTCCGCTTCACGTATCAACCGTTCCACCTCCTTATCCGGGTCATCGCCCGCGGCCAGCTGGACTTGAGCCATCAGGCCCATTCGTATCCGTTCCTCCATTGGGTATGGCAGCATGTACACTTCGCGCGTGACATTCGCCGAGTCGTCCAGCCACTGCGTCGCGTTCTTTGTTACCGAAGATACCGGTTCTGCGCCATCTGTAGTCGGCTCTCCATTGGTACCCGCCATTGTCACATCCTTGTCCATTATCTGTGGCCGCGACGCTTGACGTCTTTCGGGATTGGCAGCTCCATTTGCAGCGTCAGCGGCGGCTTCCTGGTTGTATTTGCTGATTCGGCGGGCAAAGTCGAGGAGAAGTCTGTAATCGATTTCCTTGCGGGGTGGCTTATTGGTAGTCTCGTCATCGTCGAAATCGAGTTCGCTGTCACTGTCTTCGTCGTCACCGCAGGCGGTTCGGATCTCCTTGTCGAATTCCTCCACGTCTCTCACGATTCCCTTCACGCGCTCTTCTAATCTTTCAGCCTCGGCTCGGAGTTGTAGAATTTTGGCGTAGTTTTCTTGATGCTGGCGCAGGGTAGAAATGGCGGAGGATAAGGAGTCATCGGCTTCGAGTAAGGCGACTGCAGCAGCTGGCGCTCCTGCTGCGGTGGGGGAGGTAGTGAGGGTGCTTAGAAGCGCATTGAGCTTGGACTCGACTTCTGACAGAGCGGATTGCACAACGGTGTTCATCGTGAAAGCCCGCGACAGGTTTCAATATCCGGGTGGTTATCTGGCGCAACCTTTTTTGACCAGTCCGCGTTGGGTGGTTGAAGAGCTTGCTCGGTTCCCCGCGCGACAGAGTTGAGGGAATGAATTGCGAAGTGGAGTCTGCGGAGTCTTTGTTCGGAATGTGTTATTCCGCCCGTCTACATGACTGAGTTATTGTACATGTTTCATTATTTCCTAAATATACATTGAAACCCGAAATCCAGGACTGCAATATTTGCTTCACAATTCATCGTGTTCAAATGGCCCCAATTTATCACACACGCTGGCATATTCTCGCATATTATTTGGGATAGTCACCTCCCACAACTCATCGCCCTGCAAAAATTTGTGTTGTTCCTTACACGCCGCGTCCGATGCCATGGGCAAGAGTATAGGCAGATGTTTGATCGAAGCCTTGAGGAAGTTTTTCTTAAAGCAGTTTCCAAAGTCGGACAGGGTGGTCGGGTCCGAGCAGATGTGTCGACCGTGTAGCATCGGCGCGCAACGCTCCTTGATGATGACCGCCACATCGTCACCCATTTTGAGCAAAGCATCCTCCTTATGAGGCACGTTCATGCGAGTCATCAGGCTGCGCACTGCCGGAACGAACGAGTTGTTGCGAGTCCAGAGGTCCCAGTGTGGGATGGTAGGCTGGCAACCACGCTCGCAGATTTCACTTTGGAATTTGTTGAATAGATGACCTGGTCGCCCAACCAGGGCAGAGACGACTTTGAAGCATGAGGGGCCGACGGCGGCGACGGGCGAAAAGAGGAGGCAGAGGAGGAATAGGAGGCGATGGAGTGGGAGGCGCATTGCATGAACAAGCGCAGACTACTGCTCAACTAGGACCTGGCGATGAGAGAGTGACCGAAGTAAGTATCAGGAAAATCGATTCGGGCGCAAAAATGAGGAAATGGAATGGTGAAAGAGCGAATCCCCGCGATAGTGGAGTGCGGAGAAGAGCCAGGGTCGAGAGACTCGGCTCGGGTTCCACCCAGAACTTATGTGATTTGGCCGGGTTTATGCACTGGAATCTACTGATGTTTAAGCTCTTGAATCAATTTCAAAATTCTTCTGTAGTTGTCCATAGGAGCAGTGGGTCATGCTGATTAGCCGCTTATCTTCGCTAACCATGACACAGCTGTATGTATATTGTTCAGGCGTCTGATACTTAAATAACTGATTATGTAGGCTAACCTCCAGCTGAATACACGTTCAGGTGCCTCTATGGGCATAATTATGCTGCACACCATCCTATTCCGCTGGATAGCTACTCTCAAGAATGCAAAGAACAATTCATTGCTGCTGTATACAATCACAAATTCGAATTTCTCGAACAATGCCTAGGCGATGTGAATGAGTTAACTATTGTGGTTGCTCACATAAGTGGAAATGCTTTGTCCGCCTTGAAGAGCTCTCGAATGCCCCCACTCCCAGACCACCAGATCAGCGCGAGACGGGGACCTTTCAACACTCAACCATGCGGTTTTCCTAAAACGAATGTTCCGCGCCCAGCGATTACCTCTAAAAACGCACGCTCATCGCGGGGATGAGTGCGCCGCAACCAAACTCCCAGAGCGACCGGGATGTACACGTCCATAAGAACCCGACCGTACCAGTGACACCCAGTCTACCCCATGCAGACCGAGACCCGAGCCCGAGCTCAGAGGGGGAGCGCCCTCCCTTACCTCCGCGACCGAAAACCCTCAGCCTGTTAAATAACGAGTCGACAAGCCGGACACCCTTACAAGCGGGGGCCACAACGGCCGTGTCGCGGGCGGAGGTCGACTCTCAGACACCGGATGGGACAGGCAGTGCATATTCATCGCTAGCCATTCGTGGTCTTGCACAAGGCTTGAAAGCCAAAGCAAGTCTCAGCCATCTGGCGAGCTCGCGAGGTAGCGAAGCGGGGGACACGGCGAGCATTCGGAGCTCCGTTCAGAACGGCGACGTGGGAGATGTCGAGGCTATATTCAAGGATTTTGTCACTTCCGGCCCGGGGGTTCACTCGGGCGCGGGGAGCTTACTTCATTTCCCGGAGTTCCCGGCCGAAGACTTGGACGATGATGGGTTTTTAGCTGAATTCGAGCTGGTCGGGGAGATTGATGAAGATGCCGGGAATGAGGGTATGGTTTCAACGTTGTCTCGAACAATCTGTGGTGTACGGTCGATACTGATTCATAACAGATCTACTCCTCCAGCGCTTCAAGGCCAAGCAAAAACACTATATGATTCTCTCCGCGGCTGGCAAGCCTATTTGGACACGTCACGGCGATGGGGGGTTGATATCTAGCTACGTCGGGGTTATCCAGACCATCATCTCATTTTATGAAGAGGATGATGATCGTTTACGAGCCTTCACCGCTGGAGACGTCAAATTTGTGATTGTGACCCATGGGCCCTTGCATCTGGTTGCAATCAGTCGGATGATGGAGAGTGAACACCAACTTGCACTTCAATTGGAAGCGTTGTACATGCAAATCTTATCGACATTGACGCTGCCATCCCTCAACCATCTGTTTTCCGTTCGACCATCTACAGATCTGAAACGACCACTGCAAGGATCAGAGAATCTCCTCTCTTCGCTGGCTGATAGTTTCACCCGTGGGTCACCTTCCACTTTGCTGTCGGCATTGGAATGCCTCAGGATTCGCAAGCAGCACCGCCAATCTATCAACAATGCCCTGCTGAAGACCAAAGTTAACAATCTGCTTTATGGACTGGTAGTCGCTGGTGGACGGCTGGTCAGCGTTGTGAGGCCGAAGAAGCATTCCCTACACCCAGGAGATCTCCAACTTTTATTTAACATGGTCTTCGAAGCGGATGGAGTCAAGGCTGGGGGTGGAGAAAGCTGGATTCCCATCTGCCTTCCTGGCTTCAACAGCAGCGGCTATCTCTATATGTACGTCAGCTTCCTCGATCTCAGGGATGATGTCAACGAAAATGAAGACATCTCAAAAGATGAGTCCGTCGCCATTGTCCTTATTAGCCCGGACAAAGAGAGCTTTTTTGAAATGCAAGGGATGCGCAACGCCTTTGTCGAACAATTGGAGAAGAATGGTAGCCTCAAAGTAATCAGAGCGGCAATTGACCAAGGTCGACCCGCCACGACCGATATCGTGCCTGGTGCCGTTCTTCATCACTTCTTATACAAATCGAGGGCTAATGTGCAGTTCACAATGTCCTCTTTCTCTCCGACATTTTCTTCCGTCTCTCGTCGTCGAAGGTCAGTACCAAAGCTCATACGCATTCCCTGTCTATCCCTCTGTTCTCACAGATCCTAACATTTCGGCAGACTGATGTCGATATACAATAATCTCCACTCGAGTATTCATGCGAAAAACACCCACGTGAAGGTGCATCATTGCGTGTCTCGCTCAGCGAGCTCATTCGGTTGGGTGACCCCGTTGTTCGAACTCTATTGCGTCGCTGAACCCAACGCGAACCGAAATGCCTTGGTACAGTGCGCCACTAAGATCGCCCAGTGGGTACAGCAAGAGGAGGAACGGCTGTTCATTATTGGTGGAGCAGTAAGCCCAACATCCCGTTCACTTATTATTTCACTAGACGCTAACAGGGTGTATAGGTTTTCTAAAGCCACAATTGCTATCACCTTGTGGAATGAAGATCAACAACGCATCATGACCTGTATATATTGATCCCACTGCATATAAACCCCAGAGCATCAGTGATAGAATCTCATTTCTACATGTTTAAAAATGTATGTCGCTAGCCTGTGTTGGTATCATCCTAAGGATCTCAGGACACAATGCGTAGGCGCTCATTGAAATGTTCATGACAATCAGTCGATGGTATCATCCCGCAGGGCGAAGAGCTGGCGCATAACCTCTCCGGACTTGCTTCGCAGCGCATCATGATACATGGTGTTGGTGATAAACTGCTTAATACCCTTGATCTTGGCAGCAGTCTGGGAAGCAAGATCATAGTGCACGTACATATCATCAATGTATGTAGCAGCGTAGACCGGGACTTCATTGTTTGCCAGAGTTTCCTCATTGTAAAGGGCAGGCCAGTCCTCTGTCTGAGCCAGGATCTCCGCAGCCTCTCGGACTTTGTTAAGTTCCGAGTACGAGTCGAGCATATTTGGGAAGACCTAAGGGTAATTGAAAATATTAGACTTGTTTCGTTTCGCCCGGCCCATGCATGTTCCTGTGATTTCTTACCATTTCTCCAGTAAAGTAAATCTCTGGCTGAGAGCCATCGGTTTTGAATCGAACGTCTTGCTTTATTTTTCTGTCGGCAGACCATCGGGATGATCGTCTGTTCTGCGTTAGCAACTTCGTTTTAGGACAATCGAATCACAATGATTTGGGCTTACTCTTGGCAGTAAATCGCCTCATGCATGATGGCGTAGATGATGTTGTTGTCCATGCCACCATTGCTATCGATTATGGATAAAGTTGGTTGCGTGAAAGAATCGAACATCTCCAGGTCATTGCAAGCCCGAAGAACGACATCTAGAGGATAGTGAGAACAACACCCTTGACATATCAGAGAGAAGAAAAGGAAATGATCATCTACCATGAACGTTATCGATACCACCTGAAGAATGTTAGAATAGGTGCATGATTTTCCTGGCGAGGCTTTCTCTTACCGTGGAAACCGAACAGAAGGCCAAGTTGTTGGAATCGAGCCGGTGTGAGCCGTCCTGAAGGCAAGGCGATCTCGTTGGCTGTCAAGTATTTCATGATGGTCTTGACTCGCTCTACGTCTTCGGGGTACTTGGTGTAGTAGGCTTTGTTTCTCTCAAGGACCTTCTCTATACAACTTTTAGCAGATGACCTGGGTGAGTGGGTCGAACGGCATACCGTAAGTCCGAGCGTAAACTGGATCCGGGTCATTAACCATCGGAGGCAAACCAGCGCAGATAAAAGCTTCCTTCAGGGATTCTGGGCTCCATGAGGTAGCGAAATGTTAGCTAACAAGGCAACACTGGCGAAATGGAAGCGATGCGGACGTACTATTTGCAAAGATAAGTGGTAGCGCAGAAACCACCGAAGCTCTGCCCCATGATACTCCATTTCCGTTGGCCCTCTGGGTAGTCTTTGGTCAAGTACTGACGAATGACCTCGCAGTCATTGACAATGTTGTCTGCGCGGAAAAGTTTAAGATACTCAGCCTGTTGGATAGCATTGCCTTGGCGCGCGAGAGTTCCCGCTGTAATTGTTTGGCTGAGACCAGTGCCACGCTGATCCATGAACATTATCTGGGATCAATGTCAGTCGCAGTTGTCCCAATCTTGATGCCAGTTGATGAGATTTCTCGATCCCTGGCTACATACATGATACCCCTTACTGAGCACTGGCTCAACCCAACTGTAATTTTGAGGGGGGCCACACCCAAAGCCTGGTCCACCTTGGAGGTAGAGAAGCCACGGGATAGGAGCCTTGCTCTCTTCTTTGGGCTGCTGCTCAACGGGACTGTCCAGACGTGAGACACTTCGAGCAAAAAGCCTCATCATACCCCCGCCATCTTTAGGCAGCTTGGTGTAGTCGACTGGAACATCGAAAAGCCATTCTGTCACCTGCATCTTGCCTGTTTGTCTTGTTAGCATTTACGCTTTCCCGAGGGCGGGAAGAATTGCTGCCAAGAGATCGTACCAGGAACATTGTGAAGTCGTTTATCAATGAGTTTGGCCGCCATTGCTGTTACGTGGTTGTTGATGGAAGAATTGAGGTGGAGCGGAAGGGTAAGCGCGGAGACGTCTCCCACGTTCCTGATCCAATCCCGCGCCCGCCCACTTAGCTTATCCACGCGGCGAATGAGAACCTACAACCTTGAGGTATTAACCCATTATCCGGCTGGACTACGCTAGACATATTCTGGGAGGTCCAGCCGCAGGCTTGATCCTGACAGTGTCATTGCAGATCCCGAGCCTCTGGAAGATCCCGATCGCAACTATAAATGAACTGCGACTCTTATTCTCAAAGTCAGACAAACACAATGCAAGATCAATTCCTCCAACATCTATGGCGCGCTGCCCAAGGGAAATGGGAGTCTGGTGTCCTCCCTAGCGCGGAGAGTCTATCCCGTGCCCGATCATCGCTTCCCACTACACTCCCCGATACCGGCTCCAGTCTGGAATCTGTCCAACGCCATCTGCTGGAGGATATTGTGCCCGCATTTAACGGTGGCAGTCTCAGTGCCAACTATTATGGCTTCATTACCGGTGGAGTGACACCGGCTGCACTTTTCGCAGACAACGTCGTGTCGGCCTACGATCAGAATGTCCAGGTACACCTTGCAAATCACTCCATCGTTACCGATGTCGAGTATCATGCGCTTGGCCTCCTTGCCGACCTGTTCAGTTTACCCCGCGCTCAATGGCATAACGGCACGTTTACCACCGGTGCCACCGCGAGCAATATCCTTGGTCTAGCTTGCGGGCGGGAATTCGTCCTCCAAAAGGCTGCAGAGAGAAAGGGAAGCCAACTGACCAGTGTCGGTGAACATGGTTTATTCGAGGTGCTCCAGGCGCTTAATCTTTCTGGAGTCCAAGTCCTTTCAACCCTACCTCACTCTTCTTTGGTCAAGGCTGCCAGTGTTTTGGGAATTGGTCGTGCCAATGTTCGAAATATCTGCTGCGCCGAGAACCCGCTGCGATTCGACATGGCGCAGCTCGAGAGGGAGCTGGCCAGAACAGACAAGGTCAGCATTGTAGCCATCTCGTGTGGAGAGGTCAATACTGGCCGGTTTGCGACATCTGGGATGGAACAACTAGGACAAATCCGCCAATTGTGTGACAATTATGGAGCATGGCTGCATGCCGACGGCGCCTTTGGCATATTCGCCCGGGTTTTAGGGGACAGCGAGGAGTTTGCAACAATTAAAAAGGGCTGCGATGGGATTGAGCTGATGGATTCCATCACCGGAGATGGTCACAAATTACTAAACGTGCCTTATGACTGTGGTTTCTTCTTTTCCCGCCATCCAGACTTGGCCGCTCACGTCTTCCAGAATGCTAATGCCGCATACCTGAGTGCGGGTGCAGCAGATGGTCCTTCCATTCCCTCGCCTCTGAACATTGGGCTTGAGAATTCTCGTCGATTCCGGGCGTTGCCAGTGTATGCTTCTCTGTTGTCTTACGGGAGAGAGGGATACCGGGAGATGCTCGAGCGTCAGATTCACCTTGCGCGTGCTATCTACGCGTGGATCTTCGACCATCCGGCATATGTACCCTTGCCGGGGGCTCTTTCGAAGGCGGAGCTTGTGGACCAGACATTCATGAGCGTTTTGTTTTGTGCCAAGGACGATTCTTTGAATCAGCAGCTGACAGCAAAAATCAACAAAACTTCACGGATGTTTGTCTCGGGAAGCAGCTGGCAGGGCAAAACTGCTACTCGAATCGCTATTTCCAACTGGCGGGTTGATGTCGAGCGAGATGTGACATTAATAACCGATGTTTTGACTCAAGTGGCCCTGTAAAGATCCGACAAGATCCAATTGGCCTTATGTCTATAGTTAATCCCCAATTCACAAGTAATTCGTTCAACTCGGCTGCACTAGCAGTGAAATGGTAATCCGCAGTGAAATGGTGATCCGCTGTGAAATGGTGATTCGAAAGGTTCGCCGATCGAGGAAATAGTGAGGGGCAATTCAAATATCTAACGTAGTGACCATAGAGGTGTTAGAAGTGTATAGTCTTGAATTGATATAGAAATGTCCCGCGCCAGCACGTGACGGTCAACACCATACGTTTCATCATCTCACTGATTCTCACGAGCCATCTTCGTACATTTTTACATCCGCGTGGACTCACCACAACAATTGAACCCGAGATTACACTCTTGTTCGAATTTCAATAAACCCGCTTATCCAGCTTAATCTTGCCTCCATCTTGTAGTGAATACAGTGTGAAGACTGTTCAGACCATGAATTTCCATCACCCCGCGGCACGCGTTGACTCGATGCCCGCAGATGCATTCTACATACCGGATTTCATTTCGGAAGACGAGGAGACCAAGTTACTCCAAAAGGTATCGATTCCTCCTAGAGCCTGTAGCCCAACCGTATTTGACTCTGAACCTACGAACCTATTATGATTACCGTCAAGGTTACTTGATTCTTTCCATGTACATCGAATCTTGACACCGTCAACAGGTCCAATCAGCTCCCCTCCCACGCTGGACTCATCTCTCTCATCGTCGACTCCAAACGTGGCCATCGACACTCACCAAATCCGACACTCTGCTCTTATCACCGCTACCACCATGGTTAACAGATCCCATCATCCACCGCTTTAATGAACTCAACATCTTTGCCGATGCTCCACATGGCGCACCGAATCATGTCCTGGTAAATGAATACCAGTCAGGCCAGGGCATCATGCCCCATGAGGACGGCTCAGCATACTACCCCCTGGTAGCTACTGTAAGCCTGGGCGCACCTATCGTGCTTAACTTATATGAGAAGAACGGCAATTGCAATGGAAAGGAGAGCCACATGTCTATGAATATACCACCTCATGGCAAACCGCGTTTTCGTATCCTACAGGAACGACGGAGTCTGTTAGTTATGAGACAGCACATATACACAGATTTCCTACATGGCATTGCGGAGACAGCTATTGACGAGGATTTGGGTCCACACTCTATCTGTAATTGGGATTCTTTGCGAGAGAAGGATTCATATAGTGCTGGGTGGTACTCACGGGAGACGAGGACGAGTCTGACATATCGGGATGTACTCAAGGTTGCCAAGATTGGAGATACTTTGAAGTTTTTAGGTGGGCCAAGCTGAGTACTATTTTTTGCGGATATACTGGTGTCTGATTGGTACATATCATACGTTACAATACCCTTAGAACCAACTAAAGATTCTGATCTGCCTCCTATTTCCAGGCATTCCTTATTTGAGCGGCGCTTTCAAGTCCCAAGGTCCGCGGTCGCTAACAGTATCTGTATCACTCCTGCTCCTTTTTCTCTGCCCGAGATGACCCATTCTTTTTCTTTTTATTAGAACTCTCTGATTGCTTTGCAGTGCGTTTCTTGCTCGTAGGAGAGCTAGACTCCTTCGATGCGCCATTCTTCTCGTCATTCGCTTTATTCTGCATTCTGCCAGACCGACGTGTTTGTTGCTTCTGAGTCTGATGTTGTTTCTCCTCTCCATTGGCCTTTGAGGCGTCGTTGGAAGAGTCGACTGAATCACGACTGGCCTTTTTCCTAGCAGATTTGGCTTCGGTGGTATTGCCGACAAATTGCTTACCCTCCTTAGATTCCTGGACCTTTTTTTCGTCGGTCTCCTCCTTCTCGTCGTCGCTCATCTGTTCCCATGCTTGCTTGGGCAGATATCTCTTGCGCGTTCCATCGTCCTTCTTCGCGGTGCCGGATCCTTCCTTAGTTTGCCAGTCTTCTTCCGTCCACTGGTCCAAATGCTTCTGTGATTGACTTTGATCCTCTTTAGAGGTGTTGTAGCTCCCACCCCGTTTTTTATACTCCGCGGCCATCATTTGCGCCTGGTGAAATTAGTACTAGATACCATGGATATATAGATGAGTCTAGATCGTCAAAATACCTTCCGTGCAGACCATTGCCCAGGTTTTCCTCCCTTGTCGCCTTTGTGAATCTCTTCTTTAACTTCATCCCGGAGTTTCGGATCGGTGTACTTGTCCTTGGGTGCCATGATGAGGAAGGTGAAAATGCTTGTCAAATTGGCAATTTGGTCGCGATGAAATGTTTTCCACAGGCTATTGGGATCACTTATTCTGTTCAATTTAAGTTAACATTCTTGATGGATAGTCAATGACATCGCAATGGTGTCGTGGTGTGACATCATCACCCCTGTAATGTAGTGCATGCGTTCGCGAGCCGTGACAAAACCCAGTTTTATCCCCAGATCGGGACCCGATCCTTGGGACCAAGGTTTCAGCACTCTCTGTGGATTGTGTAGCAGTTTCTGTGGCTTGCACTGCTGCTCGTTGCACACTTTTCAAGATTGGACCAATCTACCCGGCATTTAGGCACAATAGCCTCATTGATCTGGAATAAAGCATATGTTTCAATTGAAGGTTGCTGTAAAATATACACATATATATCTGGTATCAAAAATTGCATATCTCATATCGGCACATCACACGGAATGTAGGTTTCTCTCTATGTTTTCTTGCTCGCGCGCTCTGCAGCGGCCTTCTCCGCCCGGATCTGGGCATCGCGTGTGGCCTTCAGCTTTTCAGTTTCCTTGCCACGAATAAATTCCTGCAGCCACAGAGGGAGGCCTCGCAGCAGGCGGGCGACTGTCTTGGAGGCGGGCAGGATCACCTGACCGCTGTTCTGGGTCAGGATCTGCTTGCAGATGGCGTCTGACACGGTCTTGACGGTCATAATGGGCTGGCCGAATTCCTTCTCGTAATCGGTCAGGAGCGTGATCATCGGGGTACGAACCCAGAAGGGGTGGATGATGCTATTGGTACATTAATTTCGTGGCTAGGGTGGGTTGGAGAGACGAGGGATGGCAACTTACCTTGTGCGCACCTTGGGTGCCTTATAGTACAGACGCAACTCCTGGCGTAAGGACTCGTGGAAGGCCAGGGCACTGGCTTTGGTACAGCAGTAATCGGCAATTTCGCCCAGCCCAACGAAACTGGCCATACTAGCCAGTGTTACGACGTGACCGTGGTTGGCACGGATCATGGCCGGGAGGAACTCGCGCACCATGAGGAAATGCGAGATCGTGTTGACCTCGAATGTGTTTCTGATTTGCTTCTCCGACTCCTCGAGGATAGTGCCATCGTGGCCAACGCCGGCGTTGTTGATCAGCACCGTTGGCTCCCCATGCTCGCTCCGGATGGCCTTGGCGACCTCTGCAATGTTCGCCGAATTGGTGATGTTGGCCCAGTAGAAGGATACGTTGGCCGGGAGCTTGAAGTTGGGCTCGTTGATATCTAGGATGATCACACGCACGCCTGTGTGCGCTAGGTCCTCCATGACCTGCTTGCCGATACCGCTGCATCCTCCGGTTAGGAGAATGAGCTCCCGGGAGGGGTCCCATGGGTCGCTTGAAACCCAGTTATTGGCGGTCCGTTGTGTCAGGAAGTTGTTGATTGAGCGCACAGCTCCGAGGGCCACCACTGCACCAGCAGCTTTCTGGGCGATCGGGTTCTGCAACAATTGTTGTGCAGGGACGGGTAATTGCATTAGGGCGGTTTGCACATATTGCTGGATCATGTCAAGGGCGGACGCCATGGTGGTAGGAGGCGAAAGACTCAGGCAATGGAAAATAAAAAAGGGTGAAGGGCCCCGGTGATGCGATGTGGGGAGTCTTTTATTTCACGATGATCGTCGCCAGGGTACGGCGATCAACTTGGACCCAAGCTCACAATTACCGAGGCCCATTGGAACCAATGAAAAGGTGGATCGTCGAGGTTTAAACCGAACAGGAAAGCAATGCGAATGAGGTCCACAATCAGCATGAACTAGACCACATGCATCGGGATGTGGGGCATTCGAGTCTTCACATGCGCTACAGCGCATATAACGTTTCCCCGCATCCAATGATTCTTTTCTCGATTGTTCCTTCTTCCATGAACCGTCCGCAACGTAAATAGAACTATCAGATGCTATGTCACCGAGGCTACGGACGATTGTCACATCCGATGATCTCACTAGCTACTTGTGCAATTCACGGCTCCTCGGACTTTCTTGTTATGACTCGTATTCTCTTGCGATGATTTCCAAATGTAGGGTCTTATAGATCACGGACATCAAATCAGATACTCTATTCTTGCCCAGGTCTTTGTCTATTGGCACAAAGGCATATGTTCGAAGAACCGAGGTCGTTTCCCCTGAGATTTCATCATTAGAGCGCCGATCACCTAGTGGGGTTAGGGTATATTACCCCGTGGTTGGGGCAAAAATGGGTCAATCCCAAATCTGGGCGATTTCTTTCCCTTTTGCTTTTTTGCATCTCTGCTTCTCGGCGAATTCTATCTTGAATAGGAAAATATCGGTAACACTGAGTATACTCAGGCATCTCGGGCGATCAAGTCATGGCTGGCCAGAGCTTCCCGGCCCTAGTGGTCGGAACCCTCGTCGAAACCTATCTCTTGCAGCGCACCATCTTTACAGAGGAGACCTTCCGCGCAATCTGCTTGGGGGCTCTAGGGGTTAACCTAGCCCTTCTGGGTATGTGGAATGTCGTGGTCTGGCCTTTCTTCTTGAACCCGCTACGACATCTCCCAACCATTCCGGTGTGTATCACAGGTCCATCAAGGCAACGGCAATGCTAACCCACGTAGGGGCTGATGAGCAATTTGACTATCCTCTTTGACTCGCCCCGAGGCCGCACCCCGCTACACTGGATGAAAACAGTTCCCAATGATGGTCTTATCCATATGCGGGATCTCATCAGCCATAGTTACCTGGTCGCCACCAACCACCAGGCATTGCTGGATATCATGAGCACGAATACCTATGATTTCGAAAAGCCCAGGCGTATGCGCATCTTTTTGGCTCGAATCCTCGGGTTCGGGATGATTTTGTCAGAGGGTGCCGCGCATAAGAAACAGCGCAAGGCGCTGACACCGGCCTTTAATATCAAGAATATCCGATCCATGTACTCACTGATGTGGGACAAAACCAACCAGATGCTGGAGGAGATGGAGAAGGAAATCAAGTTGAACCCGATGGAAGGAACTGACCCCGCTGAAGAAATCGGCAAGGTCGAAATGGGTGTGTGGGGAAGGTGAGACACCATCAATCTGGAGCGCTTAGATGACAGCTAACAGCTTTCCAGTCGCTTTACTCTCGACATTATTGGGCCAGCAGCTATGGGACGTGATTTTCGCTCACTGCAGAACAGCGATAACAGGGTTGCTGAAAGTTTCCTAAACATCCTGGAGCCCACCCCCGAGAAGGTGGCCTTCCTGGCCATGAACTTCATGTTACCACAGTCGATTGCCCAGCGTATTCCCTGGAAGATGAACGATCTGATTACCAGTGAAACTAATTTCCTGAGGGATCTCTGTAATGATATCGTCCACGAGAAGCGCCAGATTCTGACGGAATCCAAAGCCTCCGCACAGGATCTGGAGGCCGATATTCTGGGAACCATGATTCTGGGGGGAGACTTTTCGGACAACGAGCTAGTCGACCAGATGTTGACTTTCTTAGCTGCTGGGGTAGGTCATTTTCCTTCAATGAACTTCTTTACCACTTCTAACTAGTCCTTAGCACGAAACAACAGCCGCTGCTCTTACGTGGGCCTGCTATCTCTTGACCCTGTACCCAGATGTTCAAGAGCGTCTCCGCGCTGAAATTCGAGAGCAAATCCCTTCCGCCAGCAGTCCTGTCACATATAGCGACCTGGAGTCCCTTCCTCTGCTTAACGGTGTGTGCCAAGAGGTCCTCCGTCTCTACCCAACAGTGCCTGCAACAATCCGTGAAGCCATTCGCGACACCGTAGTCGCTGGGAAGCATGTCCCCAAGGGAACTAGAATCATATTATGTCCTTACGCAATCAATCGCTGTCCCCTGTTCTGGGGCGAGAACGGCGAGGAATTCCTGCCGGAGCGCTGGATCGACACCGACAAGAACGGGAATCTCGTGCCCAACAACAATGGTGGTGCATCGACGAACTTTGCCCAGATTACTTTTCTTCATGGTCAGCGATCCTGTATTGGAAAGGACTTTGCACGAGCTGAACTGCGCTGTGGAGTTGCCGGTTTGGTGGGTCGTTTTGCATTTGAGATGCAGGACCCGAAGCAGGAAATCCACATTGCAGGTGCAGTAACTACAAAGCCGGTTGAAGGTATGCATCTTAAGATGCAACGTGTAAGTGGATGGTAAGGAGGGGTGGACTGTATCCGCGTATAATGAATTAATGCCCTGATGATTTCTTCCTTTGATGTACTTTTACAATTACGATCATTCTTTGTCTGTACAGTGACACATGCCTCCAGTATAAAGTTTTCCTTTCTTAATGTGTTTCCTGAGGTCGTATCTGACTCAATAAGCTCGTTGTAGCTTGACCGAAGTATTATTTTGGAAGAGGGTAACCCCATCGGTATCATCTATGGCTCTTGAACTCATTCCCGGAGATTACGCTAATCACAATAAAGCAGATGCTCCTGAAAGATCGATCAGAGAAGTGGTTCAAGGATGGCCTGTATAATGTGCGAGATGCAAATGTCAGCATCGTCACTTCAGATGGCTGTAGATGGCAGATTATAGATATAACCTCCCGCCATGGGCAGGGACTTGAGCGACATTCGGACTCGTCTTTGTGTTGGCACGCGAATTATGAGCGTGAGATGAAAGTTAATTACCGAGTATGAAGATCCTTCACATTTTCATTACTATATGGGCCCCTACGAACAATTATCGATTGGACTACCGTTATTCTGCATTATTCGAACCTTCCAAAACGTCGAATGTGACTGATTTCTCAGTATTGGTGCAGGTCTCCAGTTTGACTGTTCGGCCGCAAAGCCAAGTCAGGTACGCTTAGTCATCCTGTGTTCTCATGGCCACACGTGCCTCGGTCTAATCGGCATCCCCACGCTTCCTTCCCCCCGCGCATCTTCTTTGATTCACAACTATCTTGACGTATCATCTTGCATTCATCGTTGCTTGACACGTCTAGCGAGTGTCTTTCAACCCGTTTCCTACCAAAATTTTTCTCGAGTTTCCGACGTGCAGAAACGAACTCGCCATGGATTCGCTATGCGGTCCCTCCAATGCACTGCAGAACGCCCAGAAGCATACCTCCGTTGACCGGACCCTTCAGCAGGATCGATTGATATCTCGGCAGCCATCAGCACAGGTGAGTCGATTCCCTGGATCACAGATGCATTTTCTTATTAACATTTCTTACCTATAGGGATTTCGATCGCAAAGCCAGGAAGGCATCCTAGACCCCGAGTTTGCCTCATTTGAGGCCAACCATGGGGTGCCTGATTTGCCCGTCTTCGAGAGACCTGCTCATTTCGGAAGACCAGCCCAATTACCAGCTGTTGCTCATCAGAGCGCTGGTTGGGCTAATGACTTCCAAAACCTCCACATTTCCGGACCCGCGCCGCCACAGTTCTCACAGCAGGCACAAGGCACACCGGGAATTCAAGCGCAAGGAGGGTGGCACGAAGAATTCATGAGGCAACAACAAAGCCAGCAAGTGGCACCCTCAACTCATCTCGCGCAACACCGCCCGAGCACAAACCCTGCGTATCAATCCCCCTTCGCCGCAGGATATCCAATGTACAATCCTAGTACATACCAAGCCTCTCAGGAAGCTCAAGCTCAGAATAATGCGCCAACAGAAAGGTTTGACGAGTCTGCGTTTGAGGCCGCCTTCAATCAAGCCCAAGCGGATCTGGAACTTCAGGCTGCGGAGACTGCGCCAGCCGCACAACCGGACGTGCACGACGCGTCACCCATTGACCCTTTCGACACGGCCGAACAAGATATCCGAGTCGGATCTGATGATATTTCCCAGTCCGAAGAGCAGACTGAAGTTCGCGCCCAGGACGCAGATGCTCTCGCACGAGCAGCTGGACAAATCCTTACTAGTGTCAGTCATGACCAAAGCGAGAAGTTCCAACAAAGCAACTTTCTCGCTCTGATGCGCCGGATTCGGGATCGTGAGGTTGAGGTGAAAGGGGATGATTTTGCCGAAGTCAGTAGCGACCCGTGACCGATTTGACTCAAGTTGGACAGATACACCGGTATCGTCCTGCAAATCATGTATATATAGGGATCTGTCCTGACTCATCCATTTGCAGACAGTGCAGTCTCTTCATCCTGGTGGCCCTTACTATCCAAGCCAGTCTCCTCCTTTGCAAGACACGTCATCCGAAAGCATCGGTAAGGAGCCTCCCTTTTCTGTCGACAGGGCTTAGCTCCTCTAAAAAGAAGGGCAAAAAAAAAAAAACATATATACCTGCATAGCATCTGACCCAGGTGTTACGAGCAGGCGACATGGCAGATCCGTCCCCGGATGATCTTCCCCGGCTGGGCACCAATCCATACAGCCATACGGACAATAACACACTCTACGAGGGCTTACTTCACAGCCATGGACTCGTTGACCGTCGGCGCCTTACTTTTTGTCTCCGAAGTGAAGACGAAATATAGTCTTAAGTGATGGTTCGAAGGTTTTCCAGGGGAACAATGAGATACATGGTGCCTTAGGCTTGATGTGAAATTCACTTCACTTCAAGTCATTAGGCTTTGCTTCTGTGATTAGCGTTGCCTCAAATTCTGTTCACTAATACCCCACTGCAAGTGTTGGCTCTTCTTATGATTAGTCCCGCATAGCGTCGCGAAATCAATCTCTACAATTTCAAGATCGCTACAAAGATGAAACATACAAGGGTATCATTGGCTGCTAGCAGCCTTCAATAGATATATACAAATACACTGGGTCCGTACCCTGAATACTAAGCCTTTTCTCCGAGAATCAGCTCGCGGAGAATCATTTCGGCCTTGGGCGCTTCCACTCGACCCTTTTCGCCCATCCGCATCATCTGTCCCACAAACCAGCCCAACTTCCCTAGCTGTTTGCCACGGATTTGCTCAACCATCTTCGGGTTGAGGGCAATGGCGGACTCGGCTAATGAAATATATTCCTCACGCGACAAAGGCCGGAGAAGAAGGTTGTCTTCTTCCAACAGCTGTGGCACTGGCCGACGATCTCCGTCAAAGATAGAGGCAAGGACTTGCTTAGCCGTTGGCCCAGTAACAAGGCCTCGTTGAAGATGGTCGATTAGGTCCGCTAGTGACTGTGCCGGCACGATGTCCTCGTGCCAGGTTTGGTCTGCTTTGGTTAAAAGACCACCCAGCTCGTGAAGGACCCAATTGCCCGCCATTCGCGCGAGAACCGCCCGCGTGTGTTTGTCTAGACCCTCCTTTTGGAGAATGTCTACCACATCTTGATAATACTCGAGCCGAGCGCCATCATCTAGCTCGATTAGTGGTTTGGCATCTTCGATCGGGAGACCGTATTCCGGCCCGATAAGCTGCAAAAGTACTGTGTCGGGAGCCGAGGGAAGACTTTCTTGTAGGCAAGTAATTAGGTCTTCACCAATAACCAGCGGGGGAATATCCGGATCTGGCATGTAGCGATAATCGACGGCGCCTTCTTTGTCTCGAAGAAGATGGGTCTCGGTGCTACCAATCGTCCATCCACGTGTCTCCCCCAGTACTTTGCCGCCACTCTCCAGTACCGCGATCTGGCGGTTCTTCTCCGCGATAATAGCATCCTCCACTGCCTTGAAACTGCTAAGATTCTTGATCTCTGTGCGCTGGCCTAGCCCACCGAGTGCCTCGCTCCGTCGCCGGATCGAGACATTGATATCGGCACGTAAGCCACCCAATTCCATGCCGGTTGTCACAGCGCCGCATGCTTGTAAAATGGACTGTAATTTTCGGACGCAGGCCGCGGCTGTGGCGGGAGAGTGGATCTGGGGCAAGGTGATAATCTCGATGAGAGGATGCGACACGCGGTTAAAATCGAGAAGTTGCGTTGAAGTTGGCCCCGGATATTCCTGCGATTTGGCGGTATCCTGTTCTAGCTGGACCTGTTGGATATCTATGCGAACCCGGTCTCCATCCTCCGGTGCGATCCCGTCATAGTCGAATAGATCGATATAACCATTGCGCGCGAATGGTTCTGCGGGGTGTTAGCCAGGCTGGGTCTTGATTAGGTTGATTCAAGAGCTACACCAACCATAGTATTGTGTTATCTGGTAGCCGGAGGGCTGGTCTTGGTAGAAGTAATGTTTCCGGTCAAACCGGCTGACCGGTTGGATTTGGCAGTTCAAGGCGATTGCAGCGCGGAGGGCAGGAAGGAGAGTGGCAGCTTGGAATTTTGGTTGACTACCTGGGAATGCCAGATCAAATAATGCGACATTAGAGTTCGGGGTAGCACTCGTAGATGTGGCCGCTCCTGTTAAAGAAAATATCACGTGTTAGCGATGCCAGTAAAGACTTTCTGTAGACATACTGGAGAATAGCTTTGCAGCTGTGTCCAATTGGGCATGAATCTCCACGCCAACGGTGAGCTCCCATTCTTGCCTTGAGGCTGCCTCGTTTTGCTTGCGCTGTTTCTTCTGGGCCTTGAGGCTCTTAGCTTCCTGCTTGAGTTGTTTGCGGAGCGGGACGCGGTCTGTTTGGAGGTTGGAAACGGAGGAAAAATTCTTGCGAGGAATCAAAAATGGGCGTAAGGAACGAGGGGCCCTGCAGAGAGCGCGGACAGAGCCGCTGCTGAGCCATGACCGAAGCATGAAGACGAGCTGCAAAGAGGACAAGGTTGAGAGAGAAAGCGGAATCCGCGCGGGATGGAGCTAATCTGCCGATCGGTAGATAGTCGTTACTTACTGTAATTCCTCGGACCACAATCTACGAATGAAATTTCACATGAGCCTTAAAAATAAAAATAAGCCTAAAATCTGGAAAAGCTTCGGTATATACCCAGATAACCACGCAGGCACCAAGGTATACTGTGATTGGATATGGATTATCTTTGGGATAAAATGCCCTGTGTGATGAAACGCCTACCAGGTAACTGCACATTTGAGCACCGTCACCCTCAATTGATGTAATGAATATTGCCTAAGAGCAGCAGAAATAATAATACTTCATTTTCAATGAGATAGCTTTTTTGCAATAAAAAATCACAAAGTGTTAGAGTAGCGGGTTACAGGACGACACATACTAATAGAAGATCCTCTATATGGACAAGATTTCCTAATATTCCTAATATTCCTAATATTCCTAATATTCCTAATATTCCTAATATTCCTAATATTCCTAATATTCCTAATATTCCTAATATTCCTAATATTCCTAATATTCCAAATGTCCTTGAATGCCATTTGATCAATTGTTTTCCGCGATGTGAGAAGTCTTTCTCTAGCAAGGAAGGTCTAAGCCATAATGACTGTACGTGTACCAAGCTCATAGTAAGTATTGCAGTAGACAGGTCGGTCAAACACATCATGAACCTACAGCCTCAAATGATATGTGATCAAATCCAGTGAGCTGTTTGGCAAACGAGCAAATTCGCATCACAGTCATATGCCAGGTGGCTTTACTGGTCACATATTTATCTTTCCGCCGGATTGAGAGCCTTAGGGACATAAGGTTCCTCAAGGTAGTGAATCTCTTCCGGCGTCAGCTTAATTTGGACACTCGCAACAGCCTCGTCAATGCGATCCTTAGTGTTCAGCCCGACTATAGGGTACTCGCTGGGGTGACTCAGTGACCATGCGATTGCAACTTGTGCCATGCTGATTCCCTTCTTGCCAGCCAATTCTTCCACACGGTCAATGATAGCTTTGTCGGACTCCGTCTCGCGGTTACGAATGATAATACTTAGCCCAACATCGGTTTTTTCGCGCAAGGTAGAGCGAGAATCCCAAGGTCTAGCGAGAGCCCCACGTGCGACAGGAGACCAAGGGATAAGAGATACGCCGCTGTCGAGGCAGTAAGGGATCATTTCACGTTCCTCTTCACGGGCAATGAGATTGTGGTAGTTCTGCATGGAGATAAACTTGTGCCAGCCATTGCGAATGGCAATGTTTTGTAGGGTTTGGAATTCCCAAGCGGCCATCTACAAGATAGAAAGGTATTAGTGCTCGGTTGTCCAGATTGTCGAGGGTGAAGCATACCGAACTAGCGCCGATATATCGAACCTTGCCGCTCTCAACGACGTCATTTAGCGCCCTCATGATCTCCTCGCGTGGCACCTCACGATCGAGTCGGTGGATTTGAAGCACGTCAATATAGGTTCCCAGTCGCTCTACACTGGCATCAACGGCCTCCAAGATGTGTCTGCGAGAAAGACCCACACGGTTCAAATAATCACCCGCGTTCTGTCTCCCAGTCGTGAGAGGGGGTGGGAAGTTCCCTTGATCGTCCACACCGAAGTAACATTTGGTCATAATGACCACTCGGGAACGGGGGATGTTGTATTTCTTCAAAGCCTTGCCGACGATTTCTTCCGATTTGCCGTAGGAATACATATCGGCCTGGTTAAAATATGTCAGAACACGCGTGTTTACTCCCGCATTTCTCTTCTTACAGTATCCCAGGTCCTAATGCCTTTCTTGTAGGCGTGTTCAATAAGTGGAAGAGATTCTTCTTCATTCAGCACCCAGCCCTGCCATTCTGGAGCGCCAAATCCCATGAAACCCAGTATCACCTTTGAGACCTTGAGGCCCGAATCCCCCAGCCTGTGTCACATTTTCATCGCAGGTCAGAAATTGGATCTTTAAACAATCTTTGAAAGATAATTGGGTCAATGCTATCAAGGTGGATGCGGAGAGCCTTACCGTGCGTATTCCATTTGTCCGAAGATTGCAATACTGGTCAGTGAAGATTGTGGTAGACTTGGGTAGCTTCAAGGGTCATGAGAAAGGTAGACGAAGGAAATTTGCAATTTGAAGGTGAGGGTGAGAAACCCCCTTTATTCCCACAATAGTTTCACCTGGAGTTACCGATGGCATGCCCACCAGAGCCTGGACGGAGTTAATTGACGTAAGTCCGGACGATCGGTCATGCTGCATTATCTCTCGAACATCTGCACAGGTTCGACGAATGAGGAGTCTTGATCTACAATTAAGCTCATTATCAATCCTTTTCGTCACAGCAACACTGCCGATCACATGTTCCGCAACGGAGTTAACCCAAGGCAGCTCCAGATTATAGCGGAGTTAAAAGGTTAACGAATCTGCGATCTGTTCCCCTAAGATTTGTATTATCTCTAGTAGTAAAACTATGATGATCCCAAAAAGTAATATAGGCAACTAGATAGGCAAATGATGCAATATTGTCTTTTCTATGTCATAAGTTTTCGTGGATGATATTAGCGTCATAGTACTGAACAGCGGACTTCTTAGTAATGCGTGTTATCCTATAATGCGCCATTCTCACTCTTCCTCTTTTTTGTTTGAAATGAGCTATACAATACGAAATTTGATGAGTTTTGCTTCTGTCTTTCTTGGGCGTTATATCGATATGCGGAATAGGAGCGACAGCGCTTGAATGTATAGGCTACTGGTGGGCGGTTCATTCCACAGAGCATTTCATGTCACTGGGATGGGGGTTAGAGGGGCGGACTTGCGCGATTATCAGGGGAAATTCAGCGCAGTTTCCAATGGTCTGTAATGACTCAACATGTGATAGCTATACTCCGTAGAATGGTGCATTTTGTGGACAGTACCTATATCCAGGATGAAATCACATTAACGAAGTAAAGTATTCAAAAGTAGGGTCTTTACTGGTACAAGGCATATATATGATTTTTTTTTGTATGGGATGAAATGTCTCGTTCATAATGAAAATGAGTATATGTGAATCAATTATTATAGCTAGATCTTTAAGCATTTGAAACCCCATAATTAATCACCCCGAGCTAGGGAAGAATAAGGTAAGCTTTATCCATCTTGTCGGGATAATAAGACTATTCTTCTTGTCAGACGCCTGCTTAGGCTAAAGAGCTCTAGCCCTTAGACTGGCATTGGTAAAGTATCGATCTTGAGACATGAGATTTAGATGCCTAAATAGGAAATCGAGAATACACCTCAACGCCACTGGGGCAGCTGCAGGGTCTTGGTGATGATCTGGCTTTGAGATAAATAGCCGGAAAATTCCTCAAAATATATATCATCAATCACTACTCTACAAATTAATCATATCCAAGGACCTAATCGACCGATCAATTCAATTTCTCATCGATATGCAGTTCATCAACATCATCATCTCTCTAGCTGCCCTCGGCGCTGTTGCCAATGCTCAGTTTGAGAAGCGCTCCTGTGTCGGTAGTAAGTTCAAATAGGGAGCCAAATGGTATATAATAGCAACTTTAGCTGATTATGTTCTCTCTAGACTACGACGTTGCCTGCATTTCTGGTGGCGACCCTTGCTGCGATGGCTGGCAATGTGTTGGCGCCACCGAGTGGAATGCCGGTGTTTGCATCCCCAACTACTAAGGATCGGATTGAGGGCCTCGAAGCCCGCTCCGAAGAATGGCTTCATTTCAGCATTTGTCCCTAGTTTACTGCGAGTGTCTTGAGCAAGTTACGGTATCATTTGTTTTCCGTATATATTGATTGCATATAGCTCGAGTCGAGTGGGACCCGTGATCGTTAATTGATCAAAATCAATATCTCTTTAAATCGAGCTCAGCTTTGTAGTAGAATGAAAAGAGTAACAGTAGCAGAAGATTCTATACTTGGAATAATGTGGCTTATGGTCCTTCAAGCCCCACTAGAAGTTGCCTCTTTAGGTAGGCATAGTCAGCCCCACATCTCCACATGGAGAAGCTCTTATAATTTATCTGCACCTCAATCTATTAGATTAATTTTACTCAAAGGAACAATCTACTTCATTCAAGATGGTTCAAAAATCAGAAACCGTTCGTCCGGCATTTGCAGGCCGCGAGCGCCCTTTGCTTTCCTATGGGATTGATTTTCCCGCCGCTGCAGCCCGCCATGTTCCGGAGACATTTAAAGCCTCTCGGGTGTATGTGATCTGTTCGGGATCACTGTCGCGTAACACTGATGCGCTCGACCGTCTGAAAGATGCATTGGGCTCTGAAAATGTCGTGGGGTGCCGAGTAGGAATGCAGAGCCACACACTGTGGTCGGAGGTGCTTGAAATTGTCGACGATGCACGAAATGTGCATGCGGATCTGCTCCTTACACTTGGAGCTGGCAGTCTGACTGATGGCGCAAAGATTATTGCTCTAGTATGTGCATGTCAGAGGTTTTTCACAGTCTACATTGATGTACTGACAAATCACAGGCTCTGGCAAACCAAGTGCATACCGCTGAGGAACTCGAAACCTTGGCTGAAGGCCCCAATAAGCGTAATCAGATAAATGCCCCCACGATCCCTATCATCTCGATCCCGACATCGCTCTCAGCTGGGGAGTACTCTAACTTCGCCGGTGGCACGGATGACCGATCGCGCCGCAAGTTTAGCTTTCAGGCACCTCTACGCGGTCCGCAGCTCGTCATTCTGGATCCAAAGTTGGCGCAAAAAACGCCCGATTCGATATGGCTCAGCACAGGAGTCCGTGCTGTCGATCATTGTGTCGAGACACTCTGCGCAATTGTCGGTGTAACGCCGGAATCAGATGAGTTGGCTCAAAAGGCACTGGGCTTGCTGGTTCCAGGTTTACTGCAGTGCAAACAAAACCGCGCAAATGATGATGCCCACCTCCAGTGTCAACTTGGTTCGGTAGACGCAATGGCAGCGTGCACAAGTGGTTCGGTAGAACTTGGAGCTAGTCATGGTATTGGTCACCAGGTAAGCCAAATTCCCATTCTTTGTTCCCCCGATTGATGAGAATCCCGAGTTGATTGTTTGCATTAGCTCGGTCCATTAGGTGTTGGTCATGGCGAGACTAGCTGCATCCTTCTACCTGCCGTGTGCAAATTCAACGCTACACATAATGCCAATCGAGAACGCCAAGCGAGCGTGCGTGAATTTTTAATCCGCGATCCTGTTGTTCTGGAGGTGCTTCAAACTCGCTCAGTTGGTGGTGTAGAAAAGCTGGACTTGGGGGATATCCTGGATGCTATCTTTCGTGAACTAGGAATGCCGCGGTCCCTGAGCGAGGTGCGAGTTGGCCGAGATAAACTTGACGGACTGGCGGCGCACAGTTTACACGATCGGTGGTGTCAATCAAACCCAGTGCCTCTGAAGGAAAAGTCACAGGTGCTGGAAATCCTCGAGATGGTTGTCTAAGGTGACCAAATTCTATGATAAGAAATCAATTACGAGACTGGTGGCTGTTGTCAGCAAACACTGCACACCTGCATGTTTCTTGCTATATATTATGATCTGCACATTGCGCTTTGTAGAGTGAAACCTTTGACTTCATAGGATGTCGACCCGACTGTCTTGGTCTATTCTCCCAAAAAGTTGAGCGAAGAGCTTGTAGACAAAATCTGATGGGAGACGGAAGAAGAACCCCAATGATTCACAAGCGACGTATATCCAAATATGTACTCAATAAGGTTGACATTAAATAGAGTTGTCTCTGGACTGGTCACGTGCCATCGAGCTGTTCAGCGGAATTCATCCACGATGAGCTCCCGCCTGACGCGATGTATTCCTCTTCATAACTCAATTCTCATCTCGTCACAATGCCCGATTCACGAGATGGTCACCGTGAGCGCAGGCGCACACCCTCCCGTTCCCCAGATCGAAGCCCCGACCGACGACGAGACGATCGAAACAAAGAGCCAAGGAACTCGCGCCGACGAGATGATGACCGCGAAAGCTCTCGTAGACAAAGCCCGCGCCGAAGGTCATCTCGGAGCAAATCAAGGGATAGAAGGACCCGCGATGACCGCGACCGACGACACCGAGATCGTAGAGAACGATCTACAAGCTCCGCAGACGAGCGCCGCCGAAAACGCAGCCACCGAAGCCACCGACACCGTGACGATCGTGATCGAGATGGAGAAAGGTCTTCCAGAAGACATCGCAGCCCCCACCCCCGGTCGCGTTCCCCACGAGTATCACGCAGCCCACAGCGGGCATTACAACGCAGCGGCCCTCTACCATCACAATCCGATGCATTCACAGGCGAGACAGTACAATCCGGCGACGCTCCGCCACCGGAGAAGCAAAAGCCAAATTACAAGAACAGTGGCCGCCTTGCAGCCGAAACCAATACAGTGCAAATTGAAGGCGGCGAGGGAATTGTGTTGAAGTACCACGAACCCCCAGAGGCTCGCAAGCCACCAGCCAAGGAACCCTGGCGGCTTTATGTCTTTAAGGGAGATGATATGGTGGAGATGGTTGAGCTGAACGAGCGGAGTTGCTGGTTGATTGGCCGCGAAAGAGCAGTGGTCGACTTCCCTTTGGACCACCCCAGCTGCTCAAAACAGCACGCTGCACTCCAATTCCGATATGTCGAGAAGCGAAACGAATATGGCGATCGCATCGGCAAGGTCAAACCGTATCTGCTTGACCTCGAAAGTTCCAATGGGTCTACTGTGAATAAGGAACCCATTCCCGCTGGCCGTTATGTCGAAGTGATGGACAAAGACGTACTGGGATTCGGCACAAGCACTCGCGAGTATGTGCTCATGTTGGCGAAATGATCCATCTCGAGGCATATATTCGAAAAAGAATAAATGAAAATAAAGCCTGCAGAACCACAATCCTCTTCACCGGGTGGTTGCAGAGCCATTGAGATTCCCAATGCTCTAGATGTAAAACTTGTGCCTAGATATCCTTCGTAATGCCATGTATTATTGCATAATTAACTAAATTAATAATACCTACGCTGATTCAAAGATCATAAATATTAGTATCGCTGTAGATCTTATTAGTCCAAAATCCATGCAAAGCCATTTTGACAACTCACAAAGGCCGAGCGAGGCTCTTTCGTCCCTTGGCTTTATTATTAACCCAAACACTGATACTCTTTGCGGCAACTGGAAAGATCCCATATCCACGATGGTCGATGATGACCGTCTCGATGCACCAGTCTAATATATCCGTCCATTCTTCTCCCATGTGCTTGGCGCCGACATACATGCGCTTATAGGTAGCGACAGTGTTGCTAACGATGCAAGCGAGGCCCCATGGGTGGTGGACAGTGCCGTAGCGCACAAAGCCTTTCAATGATCAGCACAGTGATTTTCTATCATGGAACAAAACTGACCTATGCAATGTCGCTTGTCGAAGTAGTCCCGTTGTTCTCCGTAGGCGTAAAGCTTGCGAGCTTGCATCAGGATCGGGAGCTTGCCCGAGCAAGCGGGTTGAGCAAGAGATGCCGGACCACCTCGAAGGCCGTACAAGTCCCCATAGAACACGCATGGCTGGCCTTGACTGCGAAGCAGAATCAACCCGTAGGCAATTGGCTTAAAAAATGGTATGATGATTGTCTGTCCAGTCTCGTTAGTGATTGTCAACAGGGCCACGGGGAGTACCACTTGGATTTTACCTCTAAAGATTGGCCAGGTTGCTTTATGAATGTTAAAATCTGAACTTGATCTATCGAAAGGCTTCGACGACAACTGAATTGAACGTACCGTGTCATGGTTTCCCACGAATGTCTGCCACTGTTTAGTATGAGTTGATGATATGGGGGTATGGTGCCTTACTACTGCATGCTTTGGGCTTTGCTCCACTAATGTACCTTTGAACATTTTCCGCAGATCGGCTCCCTCGGTCTGCGAAGTGACTGCAAAACGGCCCAGCAGAGGTACATCAAATAAGGAGATTTCATAGTTCATAACTTTGAGGTATCTCAGAAGCAGGTTTACTTCCCCCCTCCAGTATTCCCCAACAAGGAAGTAGTTAGTACCAACCGTGCATCTTAGATGATTGACAAAGTCTCTCTGAAATGCGACAGAGTAATGTTTAGCAGCATCGATTCGCATTCCGCTGATTGGTAGCTCAGTTCCAATCCATTCCGACCATTGAAAGATATCGGCTCGGACTTCCGGGTTGGTGTGATCCAGATTGGCAAACATCAGATAGTCGTAGTTACCGTGCTCATCACTCACATCCTTGGCCCAGTCCTTCCCAGTCCCTGCAATCTTATAGATTGCATTTTCCTTCCGTGTTTCGTCCCAATCGACACCATTAAAATGCTGATAACGATATTTCATAGAGCTATACTTCCCTTTGCGACCGGCAAAGTCGAATCGGACCCAACCCGATATATTCTCGGGTGGTGAAATCGCATAATTCCGATCTGATCAATAATTAGCGGGGTACGTCATCTCCAATCGAGAGCCATACCTTCCGGGTCTACTTTCGTCGCTTGAAAGGTTTCGGTCATGTCTGCTCCAGCTTTATGGTTCAGGATTGTGTCCCAACAAATTCTAACCCCGACATCTTGTGCCGTCTGCATCATTTCTGATAGATCCTCTTTGGGGCCCCAACGCGTTGCTCGCGATCCTTTTTGATGGAATTCTCCCAAGTCCCACAGGTCGTATAGATCGTAGCCAATCCCTGATGCGTCCATTCCCTTGCAGCCTGGAGGTATCCACAGATTGTCTACCCCAATATCACGGAGGCCGGGCATTGCCTTTTGAAGACGTTTCCAATGGAGTTGATCAGCCGGGACATGCCATTCAAAGCCTTGCATCATCAGAGAATTGGAAGGAGCAATCCACGTGGGCGTCTTTTCCGATTCATTAATCTCTAGAGGTATTTCGTCAGCCCTCAACTTCGGCAAGTCAATGCATTCTAGAGTTGCGTGAAATGTTCAAACCTTCAATCTCTTTCCACCTATTCGCCCTGCGTCTCATCTTCAAACAACAACTGAGAACAGATAACATCTGACCCGTGGCCACGTCTATTGACGATCGAAACAATTCGGCCCCTTACGTCGTCAGTGGTCCTTAGCGACAAACCAGAAAACCCGCAAAGTATTCTTGAACGATCGATATATCAAATGCGAGATCAACGCGAAGAGCAGGGCCGGGCAGAACTCAAAGTAACACTTGCAACCCCTGCTGTGCGATTATACTTTGACGTATACTCGTGGATTAGTACCTTCCCAACAATTGGCCACCATGGTCTCAACTGCCAAATTACAACTTAGATTTCACCAAAGCTTGGTTTCATTGGCTCCATCAGCACAATTTAACCGTCATGCACGGCGTGTCGCCACTTCCAGGATTATTGTTCTAGTCAAATCGATACAAAAGGAAAGTGCAAGGACAGACCAGATAGGCAGCAAACCGACATTCCGTCAATGCTTTGAAACATTGTCACTAAAAATGGTTCCAAGTCACTAGAGCCCTGGAGATATCAGAGGCGCCATTCAGGTGCTTGCGGTAAGCGCATTGGGATCCCGCGATCCGAAGCCGTCACCTGGCCAATCAGAGAACTTCTGCATAGACTGGTAGGACCGGTAATTTGTTGGAACGGGGCGTCATGTTTTAAAGAGCTGATAAGGGACCTGCTGCAGAGTGATACGACTTGTCAAAGTAATGCGAATTCTTGGCTCCGTTGCGATCAAAACCGGCGGTCTGTATCTGTACATCATGAGCAATGTCGGGAGATGTGAGACCTAGCATTCAATGAGGCCTTTCACTCGCTGACATCGATACACTTAAGTATTAGAACGAGCTTTGCTGCGATCGAGGAGCCAGTGAAGCCCTTATCAGCGCATTTGCTCTCAACGGCCATCCTTCCGGTGGAAAGACACGGTCAGATTGTGCAACCGAATTGTCAGTCATCATAAACTGATTCTGTCATCACGACCTACGCAGCAAACTTGCCACGATGTCCAATGTTCAGAGCTCATGTCAGGGTCTCAGACTGCATCCTGGATCACCCCAGTGAAGATCCGGTTCTAGCTTTCCTACCTCAAATCGGAGAGCGTTTAATTTTCCTATCGCATTGATATGGGCGCTCATCAACATGAAGTGACAATCTAACGAAAATTACCCTGATATGATTCTGTCTTGATTGGCTTCCGACTTTCCGTCTGCCTTTCGCCTTTACCAACGACGGTGTTATTATTCTTGAAACCTACGTTAATTGCATCGAACAGTAGCTAGCTAGCTTTCACATTTCTTTGTTTGATGTTTATAAGTGCCGTTGATTTGAATAAATTGCCGACTCCCTCATGCCCCGAGATCTGCGCCAAGTTCCCCACAGCCGATGTGGTCAAAAGTGGTCCCGAGATGAGGGGAATTGCGATCATTATATAGATCACGGACACATCGCTAAAATCTAACTCTTTAGTACCACAATCGAAAGGCATCATCCTCAGCATGGTCGACCAAACTCCCAAGAACATTCGCCCGCTTAGCCGGTTCATCACTACCCACAACTCCAGCGGCGAAGCAATCTTCTCCAATGCCCTCTCCGAGGATATGCCGGTTCAGCGCGTGGGCGATGGCGCAGACTTCAGCCTTGCCTACACATCCTCCCACTTCCCTGCTCAATTGAACAATGATGCCGACCTCGACGAATACAACGAATATCTCAATAGCCCACCGGGCATTACCATCTCAACTGGAAACGTCTGCCGAATCGTGGATATGCAGCCCGGTGTTCTGAGCCCTATGCACCGCACCGTCTCGCTAGACTATGGCGTTGTTCTGGAGGGAGAAGTCGAGCTTATTCTGGACTCGGGCGAGACGAGGCTGCTGAAGCGGGGTGATGTCGCTGTGCAACGCGGAACCAACCACGCCTGGCGCAATGTCACACCTGATGTCGTTGATCCGGTCACCGGAGAAAAGACACCGCAGTGGGCCCGTATGCTTTATGTCCTTGCCCCAGCGCAGGAGATGTCTATTGGGGGTAAGAAGCTGGGAGAGGTTGTGGATGGCATTGGAGTCCGGGCGAGCACTTGAGTCCTTCAGTCTGTATATAAAGTAGATGTCAATCTCGAGCGGTCACGAGTAGGCCTTGGATACTTGGAGACTAGAGATCAGAACTAGGAATGGCGATTTGACTTTAACCAATACAAACAAAACCTTTGTGGTGCTCAGAATACAGAATACAGAATCACATTAATGCTGACTACCACTCTCCTCCAATCTCATAGTGGAAGATCTTATCATTAATTCTTCCCCCAGTGAATCTCCATAGACGCGATGCAGCCTATAAAACGGTTAGTCATCCAGACCGACCTGGTGAGCAGAAGACATACCGCGTTGAGCCACACTCCGTGCAGCATGACTTGGATAAACACGTACTCCCCAGCACCAGTGCCTGCCGTTCGCTCGTTGTAGTCCAGGTTCCGGTTTGCTGGGCGATAAGCAGGCATGCGACGGTGATCAGTGGGCCAGTCTGCTGGTTGAGATGTATTCACGGGAGCTGGAGCAGAGGTAGACCGCTCATCCCCGCTGTGGTGTAATTCATAGTCTGCTAGGACCGACAGAGACGTGGCAGTGGTGGTGGTAGTAGTAGTAGCTGACATGATGAAATTGAAGATAGATAGAAGTGCATTCAACATGAGTATACGGATGGAAATACTATGATATTCAGCAGAGAGCTCTTCCGCGTCGCATTGTTTCCGCCCGCATTCTCCCCCACATCCCGAATGTCATGCGATTCGGAGAACAGCTTAGCTCCGACATGAAAATGCGGAGAGTGCGAGGGAAAGTGGGCGCGTTGAATGTCTTATCTTTTCTACTTTTTGTTCCTCAAGTTCTCGTTCTCATTTTCTTCTCTCAACGTGAATCGCGATCATGGATCTCTCACGCATACTGACCGCCAACATTGACGGCCGCACCCAGAATACGCGATACCGTCAATCACAGTTTCATCGCCTCCAGTCTACCCTTGTCGAGCATGTCGCTGAGATCCAAGATGCGATTCGCGCCGATTCTGGTCACACACAGCAGGAAGTCCGAGCGGAGGTCGTACTAGCCCTGCAGGAGCTTCGCACGCACTATACATCGTTGAGTCTAGCCAAAGATCTGGATGTCGAATATCGCATCGCACAAGGGAAGGATAACGTTGATGGTTGGCGCGGTGCTGGAATTGTGTATATCGTGCCATGCGTCCATACTCTGTTTTTCTCCGTCATCTCTGCTTTGACTGCCGCCCTTGCGGCAGGCAACTGTATCGTTCTTGAGGTGAGTGGATCCATGATTGCGTGCTCCAAGAAGCCAAGCTAATGTGTGCGATATATAGCTTCCCCAAACGATGTTGGCTTTGCCGGCTCTTTTGCGTCAGATTCTACCAGAGGCGCTAGATCATGACACTTTTGCCATTGCAGCCCAACGACCCGATAGCTCGTTCCTCAGCAAAGCATTGATGGTCATTCAGACTGAGTCTGATGTACCCAACGGTCTCTTATCACCCGCGACGGCAAGAACTGTCGCCGTTGTTGATCGTACAGGGAAAGTCGCTGAAGCCGCACAAGCACTTGTGGCGGCACGGTTTGCATTGGGTGGTCGATCCCCGTACGCACCCGATGTCGTATTAGTAAACGAGTTTGTGATGAAGCCTTTTGTGGAGTCGGTGATTCAGCATACATCTAAATATCTTGCTGGTGAAAATGGTGAAGCCCGGCAAGCATCTGGCTCGTCACGACGATCGGGATTATTGGATTCGATCACCAAGGACCGAAGCGCACGAGTACTCGTTTCCGGAAGCAATTGGGGCATTGTTGAAGTTCAGGATCGAAACTCGCCTTTGCTTCAGAAGAAGATCAATGAGAAGGTCTTGCTAGTGCATCCTGTCACCAGCTTGGATGATGCCATTGATGTCAACTTGTTTGTCCCCCTTTTCCACATCTTCAATTTGGTCCGAATGATCTACTAATAAATGAAGCAATCAAACTCTGGCTGCCACTTACGCCTTTGCGGCCCCAGCCTCGGCCAAATACTTGACTCAATTCATCGATGCCGACATCTCGTGGGTCAACCACGTCCCGGCCCACATGCTAAGTATGACACTAAGGCAACTATCTGTCGATCAAATCACTAATAAGCACTAGTTGGACCGGCGTTTCCCCGAAACACACCGTACAATGCGCAAACCCGCTATGCGACCGCTCAATTCCAGCGACCGCGGCCCCGGTTGATCTCGGTTTCGGCCCCGGCACAAGCGACGCAGACCATTCTCGGCGCCAACACGGCTAAAGCTGATTTACTCTGGCGGCAAGCTATTGCTCCATTACCCTCTACAGATCAGCGACCGGGATTTAAGATTGGATACTTTGAACAGGGCATCATTTCCGGTGGATTGATCACGTTGGCATCGGTGGTGGCAACAGTGTCTACACTGGGATATTATACATGGATTTTGGTACGGGCGCGAGCATAGTCCATTCTGTTTAATCTGTTTAGTGTATATCAATTGCATATTGGAACCTTGAAATGTTGAAAGGTGTAGACCATGTAGCCGACCCCTCACATGGAGCGCGCGGGCCTCGGGGGCCTCGGTTTACCTAGAAGCCCCGCGTTCAACCGACGCAGCTATGTCATGAACAAAAGGACGATCTTACCGAAACTCGTACTCTTATTCTATTCTGCATTTTTCATTTTCCCCCCTCCAATACTCTCCTTGCACATACTTGTTGATATCAAAGTTGACTTCATTGTCGTCAACCTCCTCGCCTTCTTGACTCCCCACATCTCACACTCTCCCGGCCCCGCAATTCTACCCCGGACCCATTAACAATCCACAATGGCCCTCAGCTTCAGAACAAGTCGCCATGCCTCCAAATTAGCTCAGGTAGGGAACTCCTAGTACATTTACCTCATCGTCTATTATTGAAGTCGACCGGACCTTTGGCTGACTTGAATTGTCAGGCGTCGCGCCCCCTGTTTTCGGCCCGACGCTATGCGACCGCGGAGCCAGACCTGAAGACCACTCTGAAAGAGGTTATCCCCGCCAAGCGGGAGCTTCTCAAGCAGGTCAAGGCCCAGAGTGATGAGGTGATCGGAGAAGTCAAGGTTGGCAATGTCATTGGTGGCATGCGCGGCCTCAAGGCCATGCTCTGGGAAGGCTCCGTTCTCGACGCTGATGAGGGTATCCGCTTCCACGGAAAGACGATTAAGGACTGTCAGAAGGAGCTCCCCAAGGGCACGTCAGGAACTGAGATGCTGCCGGAGGCCATGTTCTGGCTGCTCCTGACCGGCCAGGTCCCCTCGACCTCGCAGGTCCGCGCGTTCTCCAAGGAGCTTGCGGAGAAGTCACACTTGCCTCCTCACATTCTGGACTTGATCAGGTCTTTCCCCAAGTCTATGCACCCCATGACTCAATTGTCTATCGCGGTTGCCGCACTCAACACTGAGTCCCAATTTGCCCAGGCCTACGAGAAGGGTCTTAACAAGGCAGAGTACTGGGAACCTACTTTCGACGACAGCATCGCGCTGCTAGCGAAGATCCCTCGTGTCGCTGCGCTGGTCTTCCGCCCTGATGAGATTGATCTCGTTGGGAACCAGAAGCTTGACGTGGCTCAGGATTGGTCATACAACTTTGCTGAGTTGCTGGGCAAGGGCGGCAAGGAGCACGAGGACTTCCACGACCTGCTGCGTCTGTACCTCGCTCTGCACGGTGACCACGAGGGCGGTAACGTTTCCGCCCACGCAACTCACCTGGTCGGAAGTGCTCTGAGCGATCCCTTCCTTAGCTACAGTGCTGGTTTGCTGGGTCTTGCCGGCCCACTGCACGGACTGGCAGCCCAGGAGGTTCTGCGTTGGATCCTGGCGATGCAGGATAAGATTGGCACTAAATTCACTGACGAGGATGTCCGTGATTACCTCTGGAATACTCTCAAGTCTGGCCGTGTCGTTCCCGGTTACGGACATGGTGTTCTCCGCAAGCCTGACCCGCGTTTCCAGGCACTGATGGACTTTGCTGACACTCGCCCTGATGTCCTCGCCAACCCGGTGTTCCAATTGGTCAAAAAGAACTCTGAGATTGCACCTGGTGTACTGACTGAGCATGGCAAGGTATGTTATCCTGTTCAACAGTATTCGCATATCATCACTAACAACTCTTGCAGACCAAGAACCCCCATCCCAACGTTGATGCCGCCTCCGGTGTTCTCTTCCACCACTACGGCTTTCAGCAGCCCCTATACTATACCGTGACCTTTGGTGTGAGCCGTGCTCTCGGACCTCTTGTCCAACTGATTTGGGACCGTGCCCTGGGTATGCCCATTGAGCGCCCCAAGAGCATCAACCTCTTGGGTCTCTTGAAGAAATAAGTTGTAACAAGCGTGTCACTTGCGGATAACATTGTCATGTGGTTTTGGTTTGATTTAAATTATGAAAGGCGTGAGCGAGCCTAAACGGATTTTTCTTTGATTTGAAAAGAGTACGACCCATTGATAGACATAGAGTAGCATGCAAATGAATTTGTCTATCGAATTTATCAAAAAGCCATCACGTGTTAGGTGTAAATCTTAACTACTAACCTGCACTTTCAAGTGCTCAACGCCAGCGAGATCGGCCTCCTTATTCAAGCTTGCAATCTCAGTCTCTGCAAAGGGAATCCCCTCAATCAGCCTCTTCTCCTCGGTGATAATCTCCAATTCTCCAGGAAAATAAATCCTCTCCACGCCAGCCATCTTCTCCGATTCTACAACTCTCTTGTACAGATAATCCATTCGTCCCTTGAACTCCTCCATACTCATGAACAAATCCGGTTTAATAGCCACAATGAAGTGTCCTACATCAGCCGGCTTCGACGGATCATATGGGTTAGTAACATGTCCCGCAAACGCCGCTCCAGAGAACACGCCAGAGAACACATCCATCATAATCGACAGCGCAGACCCCTTGGGCCCCCCCATAGGCAACATCACGCCCTCCAACGCCTTCGCCGGATCATCCGTCCGATTCCCATCTTTATCCAACGCCCAATCATCGGGGATCTTCTCTCCTCTCCGCAACGCCTTATAAATCTTCCCTCGAGCCGCAATTGAAGGTGCCATATCCAGAATAAACGGCCTCGTTCCGTCCCCACTCGGAGCCCCACATGCAATCGGCGAAACCCCCATCAGTTTCTCCCGTCCGCCCCAGACTGGTAGCGCAGGCGAGCTATTCGTGAAAACAAGCGACATCATCCCCGCGTCGAGCGCTTGCTTGACGAGCCATGCAGACATCCCGAAATGGTTCGAATGTTTGACCGAGACCATCCCCATGCCGAAGGTCTGGGCCATCTCGATCGCGTGCTCCATGGCCATATGCGCGGCAACAAAGCCAAAGCCATTGTGGCCGTCGACTTGAGCTGCCACGGGCGTTTTCTGTTCCAGTGTGGGGATTGCGGAGGCGTCGAGTGCTTTTTGTCGGATCCGCTCCATGTAAGAGGGGATTCGGTTGCTGCCGTGGGTGTCTACCCCGCGGAGATCGGCGGAGACAAGGCATTTGGAGACGATGTCTGCGTGGGTGCTAGAGGTGCCATTTGCGATGAGGATTTGGGTGACAAAGTTTTGGAGGTCGGTGGGGTTGATAAGGTGTAGTTGTGACATGATGCAATTAATTTGGTTTCTTCCAAGCTCAAAGGTTCAGATACAGCCTTGGGAGCTAAAGGATTGAGCTTAGAGTCTGATTTGTTTTTTGTTGAGTGATGTTGTGGATTTATAGAGCTAAGAAGCGGATGTGTCCCGCCAGACGGAGTTGTTCCCGACCGTGAAGTCTGGTAGCTACGCCGTGGTTTCTGGGCCACACTTGACCCTTAATATTGATTTTTACTCTGATGCTATACACTTCACTGCTACTGCTTTTCCTGGGAGATCAGTGAAATGATGTATACGGTTTAGTGCCCTATAATCAAGCGTATAATTGAACCCGATTAACTAGTTGAACATCACACGGAATTAGCTGAGGCGCAGTGTTTGAGATTCTCAGTAATCTTATCGAGGACATGCCCAGGTACCGCATTAGACTATCTTGAAGTGCGAAAGTGGTGAAGGATGGTTTTTGACACCTTTTTGACGTATAGCTCGTCTCGAATGAAGCGTGGTCTTGCATGTTGACCTATCAAGTGACGCAATGTGTATATTCTCTAGTCCTTGATAAAGCAGTTTTTCGGTATGGAGATTACAATGCTACTTTCACTACGTTTAGTAAGAATGCTCAACTAACTTTGTACTTGAAGAGATCCGCTATGGTGGACTGGTGAGTCTATTTTTCCGCTCTGCGCTGCCCTCCGATCCGATCCATCCATCTTGCCTATAACATGATAAACCGATACTGGCTATATTGTTCATTTCTCATTCCTAGCAAATGAGTAAACGGCTCGCTCGCTTTTAACGCTCTGGCTAACAACAAAGGGAACAGCATCACCCTTGAGCGTTTCTGCTCTCCCGAGCTGCGAATTGTCCCGCTCTCCGTCGGGGTCTGGTGGATTCAGAAGCAAAGGGACAAACGGTCAAATCCTTCTAGGGCTATAGAAAGGCTAGAACCTATATTGATCATATCATTTAATACTTTCTCTTGATTACAATAGAATTATTAATCTAATCATTGCGGCATCTACGGGTGTTTGCATCCATCCGCACCGCTCTACATACACACTTAATCTGCAATGGAAATCTTCGGCCTTCAAGCCCTAGGAATTCTTATACGATCAATGTCGCATTGGTTTTGCTGATACTGACCCATTCACAATGTCCGCCACCTCTTTCAATCGAGAGGATTTCTCCATTAGTCCCAACCTCGTGACGGGCCTTCGTCTTTTCTTCTACTCGCAGTTATTCGTCACTCCCAAGCTTCCAACTCACTCCTTCGCCAAGCAGACCGTAATAGTCACCGGCGCCAACTCCGGGCTAGGCCTCGAAGCAGCCCGGCACTTTTACCGGCTCAATTCCGCCAAATTGATTCTCGCCGTTCGCACGATCGCCAAGGGTCAAGAAGCCAAGGAGTATATCTCACAGAACAATCCGCAACGCTCCGACCCGGACGCTATCGAGATTTGGCCCCTCGATCTCTCAAGCACCGAGTCAACGTTGGCATTCGCGAATCGCGTGATGATAGAGCTGCCACGCTTGGATGTTTTGATAAATAACGCAGGGATAAATTCGCCCGAGTGGAAGGTCTACGAGGGCTATGAACACGCAGTCCAGGTTAACGTCCTTAACACCTTTTTGCTAGCATTGTCCCTATTACCCAAGCTAGAGGCGAATACTACACTAGTAGACAAGGATTCACAGCCACATCTAGTGATTGTGACCTCCGAAGCGCACCGATTAACCAAGTTTCCTGAGATCAATGCGTCCGATCTATATGCGAAGCTAAATGAGAAGAAGCATTTCAGTCAGCAAACGAGGTCAGTTTTTCTTTCTTTTTTCTTTTTCTTTTTCTCGCTTGTCCAGAGCCACGGAAGGAGGAAGACTACAGGATTGCTAAATTCGCCCTCTACTACAGGTATCAAGTTACCAAACTTATGGAAATACTCTTCACACGCGAGCTTGTATCTCGCCTTGGCTCCTCTACTCGTGTGATCATCAATCTCGTCAATCCTGGTCTATGCAGCTCCAATCTGGAGCGCACCAGCGGCAAACCTCCCGCGGTACTTCGTCTGGTGCGGTATATTTTGGATCGCACTACCGAAGTCGGCGGACGCACCCTTGTTCTCGGCGCGTCAGCTCCCGCTAGCTCACATGGCGAGTTTCAGAGCGATGGGACTAACCAGGATGTAGAGGCATGGATATACACGGAGGTCGGACAGCGGGCACAAAAGAAAGTTTTTGAGCAGACGCTGCAGATTTTGGAAGCGAGGAGGTCAGACATTGCCCGAGAGGCGGGTCTGCGGGATGTTTGAAGCGTATGGATTGGCAGAAAAGGGCTCAGTATGGGTGTGGTCAATGATGAGAGGGAGATGTTATCTTGAGAAGGCTGGGTGACGTACCTACTGTGTTGAAGTTTTGAGGTTGGCTTATTCCAATTTTTATACCACCAGGGCAGCGGTAAGACAGGTTTGCATATTTGGAAGGAGAAAGTGATGATTCAATTCCTTCGATAGACACTGTAAACCTCACTGTTGCGATACAATAGTATTTCCATCTACAGTATCTCACAGCCTTGCAAAACCTTGATATTAATGATCGACACGCCTTCCACTGAAAATGGTCTACATAGTGGGGCCGTTTTGGGGGCCATAACAATTCGCAATGTTCACGGCCAGAATCATATGCAGTCAGAACACTCTTCGGTCGCGAATATTTGGATTATAATCATAGCGAAGCTCATCAAAGCTATCATTGTACATAAGATGGACGCTATGGAGGTAATACAGAAAAGCAGCTCAAACTATGCCGGGGTGTGAGGGGAAGAGCATGCGTGGAGATAAGATCGAGCGTTCCCTGGCCGAATTCAGGTCGAAGCTTCTGCCCGAGCTTTCAAGTCCCGATTGAAAACCTCATAATCGGCTCGCAGCTTCTTTCCGAGTACCGATGGGCTGAGGAGGAAAGATAGGAATCCCTTGGAAGTTTCCGACTGCGTGAATATAGTGCCTGCACCATCTTCCGTTGGCTCGATATGGAACTTATGCAAGCCAGCGATAGTGAAAACAGGCGGGCCTTGCCATGAGAAAAGAGTGTCGGTGTTTTCCTATCTAGCGTCAATATTGATATTGCCATGCATACGTTAAGATACGCACCACGACATCAGCAATAAACTTGAAGCCTTCAATGTTCACTTGAACCTTGTCGCCTGTGATGAGAGATTTGCCGGTCTTTTCATTTTCTTGAATCTCAATAGATTTGATCCACTCCGTGTGCCATTCTGGATAAGCAGAGAAATTGAGGAGCTGGAAATTGTGAGCGTCGTCTGAGCATGACAGGGGTAGCTGAGCTGGTCATCCTACAATTTCGCGCACTTTAGCTGGCGGGGCAGCTATCTCAATCTTGCTCTCGTTGAAAGTCATGGTGTGGGCGCTGTTGGATGCGAATGTAAGGTATTTGAGTCGAAAAAAGGGGGTGAAACGTATGTTTTTGAGACGAAGGGACGCCGCAAGGTGCGTGGAGGTAACATGCTATATTCCCTGCAGACCCACTTGGTCGATCAATTGTCTCAGTCTTGTTGGCAACCTTATTTCCAAGGCACCCTGTTATTTCCGGCTGCGAAGGCTTATTTCGAATGTTCGTGCATCTCGACATGTCGATCTTCTACTGTGAGTATTCTCGATCGATCTGATTATCTTGCATGTGGGAGCTAGTCATACATATTCTACAACCTTCGCCCGACAATAAGCTTGCGAGAAAGAAACAAACTAAAGATAGGGATCTACGATAAACAAACTCAAGCCTCCAAATGCCTTTGTACCTCTGGGAAGCATGTTTTTGAAAACCCTCACATCCCGAGGTCGATGTTGTATTCGTTTATGAGATTTCAATCAAAAGGAAAGAGTCAAGAGGAAAGGAATATCACGTTGTTAAACTAGCCTTCTTCCATACTTAATCAGAAACAAGGCTCTCCACGTCCATACCTTCTGTACGGTACCAGCCAAGAGCTGTAATCATCGGCTTATCGTCAAAGCGGTAGAAGTACACCGTTTCCCCCTCGTTGGCAAAGTGCTGGTACTTGTACCACGAAGGAATGCAGAAGGTATCGCCAGTTTTCCATGTGAGGGTCTGGTCCCCAACCTGGGAAGTACCACTTCCTGCGATGATGTGGTAGACAGCGGAGGTGCTCTCGCGACGCGCGGGAGACGAGGTCGAAGCATTCAGCCTCTCTGCGCAGCCACCAATAATACGGCTCACTTTGACCCTGTTAGCATTATGGGTCACACAACTTCCAACACCATAGCGTAGCAAAGAAGAGAAATCAAATACCTTCACGTCCATCCTCCTTCAGGTATCGCTGAATAGTCCAGTTACTCTGGTCCTGGTCAAGCTGGGCCTTCATGCGAACCCAAGGGAAAACAATTGGCGAAGCACTGGTATCGACATTCTCGGCGGGATATCTAGGTTGCTCAAAGTGCTCGACAAAATGAACGGGGAAATGGCGGAAGTTAGGCAAATCCAGACCGTCTAGCCAGATCATGGGTCCAGAGCCATCCTTTCCATGATCGTGCCAGTTCCAGGTCGGGGTGAGGATCACGTCTCCCTTCTGCATCTGGATTCTCTTGCCGTGTACGGCAGTAAAACCCCCCTTGCCCTCAATGATGTAGCGCATAGCAAACGCCGTGTGTCTGTGAGCAGGGGCAGTTTCATTGGGCATGACAAGCTGCAGGCCTGCGTAGAGGGTATCGGTTGTGTAGGGGGCATCTTCATCTAGGGTATCAGCCAACTAGACATGGGAAAGTCTCTACTGGCTTTTTCCGCAAGTGAGTTATATATTCTCACATACCTCTAGTGGGATTTATCAGCATCAACACTCGTCTTTCGGCTTGTTTTTCGGAAATGAGATTTCCAGCTCGCAGCAGGTTTGGGCGGATGCTGTCGTATTCCCAGACGAAAGGAACTGCCGTCGGATTGGGCAAAGGTGGGTTAAGCCGGGTCATTTGAGTCCATAGTGGAAGAGTTTTGCTGTCCTGAAGATCTTTAAGTAGTTGCTCCGATGTGTCAAGATTTGTCTTTTCTTTAACGAATGGAGCCATGGCTAGGTAAATGGAAAGTAATTGATAATGCCGCGTTTTGACAGTAACATACAAGACTTTAAAACCGGACGGCACCGATGATTTGAATTATTTATCAAAATCGTAGGACTTTATCATGCAGACCATCTGCCAAAAGAGCTATATAGACGGCGGGATGTCGCGGGGGTTAGACCGGGAAGGGCGGAAAGGGGGTAGCCGGGTCCGGGGGAAGCGCGGGGAATGCAATTCGATATAATTCATTCTACTATGTTAGGGAAAAGAAATCAACGGCAGCTTTGCAGATTCGTCCATTTCTATTCTCTTCTGAGCTACCATGGCTTCAAATGGAGTCTCGCATCATTCCCATGATGCCACGGCACTCAACGTGAGTCTCCCCTCTCATCAGACAACAGCGGTTGCTTATTCATTGCAGATGCCAACATACCCCAGCAACTGCCTAGAATTTGCGAAGCGTTTTTTGGCCCTGGAGGCTAACGTCTCTGACTGCGTGGAAAAGGCCAAAGTGCCTCTGAATATTCTCCTTGTTGGCGCTGGTTTAGGAGGCCTTGCCACGGCCATTGCGCTCACGCAAAGTGGCCACAACGTAACAGTCTTCGAACAGACAGCGGTGCTTGGGGAAGTGGGAGCCGGAATTCAAGTGCCATCCAACTCTACCAAGATTCTTTTCAAGCTGGGGCTAAAGCCGTACCTGAAGCCCTATGTGACTGAGCCCGAGTCCATATCTTTCAGAAGATGGCAGACCGGCAACGTCATTGGCAACACAAGATTAATTCCAGATTTTACGGACAAGTTTGATGCCCCCTACTATGTAATTCACAGAGCTCACTTCCACGCCGCCCTTTATCAAAAGGTGCAGGACATGGGAATTGAAATCAAATTGGGAGCGAGAGTTGAGAATTACAACCCGGCCACGGGAAGCATCACGCTTGCTGATGGAACAATTTACACCGGAGATCTGATTGTCGCTGCCGATGGTTAGTCGCATGTTCCTATTTGATTCAACGTTACCTGACCAACATAAAAAAGGCATCAAGTCTGTTGCTCGCAAAACCGTTCTCGGTGGAGAGGATATGGCTTTCCGCAAGCCTGGTTTTGCGGCCTATCGCGCGACAGTAGATGTGGAACGAATGCGAAAAGATCTCGATGTCTCATGGATTCTTGAAAAGCCGGCTCTGAATATATGGTATGATGAAGTGAAAGTGCACCGTTTGGCCGTCTCGATATTAATTTCTATGACAGGATCGGGGATTCGAGACACGCCATGACTTACACCATTGGTGCGGGCAAGGCCTTCAACATGGTGTTATCTCATCCAGACGCCACTGACCCATCTACGTGGAACCCCCTCAGGGCTGTTGACGATATGAAGGCCGAGTTTGACGGCTGGGATCCAGTGTATGTCAATATCGACCTGGATCTTCTTCCCTCCTTGCCTTGCTTGAGAACCTCTAAACTAAGCATTCTTCGACAGGCTGACCAAAATCATTGGCATGGTAGAGAAAACACTCAAATGGCCGCTTATCAGTGGCTCTGTTCTTGACAAATGGGTATTGGACAAACTTGTCATTCTTGGGGATGCCGCCCACGCGATGTTGCCGTACATGTCACAAGGTATGCTTTATTGGCGATTGGATCTCCGGCAGTCTAATTTCAGTCTTAAAATCTAACAATCTTGGAACAGGTGCCGCAATGGCTGTTGAAGACGGACTGGCTCTTTCGCGGTCTTTGTCTAAGATTCAGTATGAAGATCAGCTAGCAGAATGCCTTTCAGTATTCGAAAAGGTTCGGATGCACCGTGCTGGTCAGATGCAGGAGGCTAGTCTGCTTAATAGCCATCTCTGGCATTTCGCCGATGGCCCACTGCAAGAGGCGAGAGATGCGGCAATGGTTCCCGAAGTAAAAGGATTATCATTCAGTCACAGCCCGAACCAGTGGAGCGACCCTGCCACTCAGATGTGGTGTTATGGGTATGATACTGAAAAAGCCATTGACGAGGCATGGGAGAAGAGCCAGACCAAAGACCACTAGCTGGAAATAGAAAATGAAAAATTCTAGTTTGATCAATGGTCTTCGAACTTTGCATAAAGTAAACTTCCTCCACGGCTGATCACGTAGAGGACAGCCAAAGTGATCCGCACTTCTCAGGATCTCCCCAGACACGCTTCATTGTTCGGTGCTTTCTTCAGTTCCCGGTTTTTCCCCGCCCATTGCTTTGATTACTGTGACCGCCCAGGGTATTCAATTGCCCCAATGGCGTAATTTTGACCGCCTTCATACAACGTCTTTATGCCATCCAGCACGCTGGGCTGTATTGATCTCCGGGTTCTCCGGGAGCTTCTTCCGTTCCTCATGGGTGTGGATCCAGGCGCGCTGCGGGGGTGATAACTTGTATTTCAACATCCATCCTGTTCACATTCTTAAGAAATCATTTGCCTTTGACCTGCGAATTATTTTTCGCATTTGGAATTCAAATGGCATCTCCCGCCGCGAAGCATTTTCCTGACCGTCCTCAATTCTCGGACTTCATGAAACCATGCCGATTTGAAGGAGAAGTTCAAAACTTGGAGGTGCATGGCGATCTGCCCAGTGATATCAATGGTACTTTCTATCGTGTCATGCCTGATCCTCAGTTGCCCCCTTTCATCGACAATGATCCTGTATGTCTCCGCCTTGCCATTCGCATCCTTTTTTGAGCCACCCTGATACCCAGATAATTAGTGGTTCAACGGAGATGGAAATGTCAGCGCTTTCCGCATCAAGAATGGATCGGTGACCTTTCAGCAAAAATATGTCCGCACCGAGAAATTTGTACGCGAGAGAGAAGCCAGCCGTGCGCTTATTGGTATGATTTTCCAATCCACATGCTGTTCAGCTACATTGGAAAGCGGGCTTTTAACGATATATTCAAATCAGGCAAATATAGAAATAAGTTCACTGACGCGGTGGAGTTCACCGTGAGAAGTACTGCCAACACGAATGTTGTCAGCTTCAACGGCCAGCTCTTGGCGCTCAAGGAGGACTCTCCTCCATATGCAATGGATCCGAAGACTCTGGAAACAAAGGGCTTATACACCTTTGACGGCCAGCTTCCTAGCGTGACTTTCACGGCCCATCCGAAGACTGATCCAGTGACCGGGGAGCTCATTTGTTTTGGTTACGAGGCCAAGGGAGACGGGACCCCCGATATTTGTTATTACACTATTGGTCCGGATGGCAGGTTTACCCAGACTTTGTGGCTCGTAGGCCCTGTCTGTGGGATGATACATGACTTCGCAGTGACGGAGAACTGGGCAAGTACTGCTCCTGATCACCCATTATTGGCACGATATCACCAACTAACAAAGAGCCTTCGCCATAGGTTCTCTTCCCTGTGATCCCCCAGTTGTGTGATCTGGAACGGTTGAAGCAGGGTGGCGAACACTGGCAGTGGAGCCCTGAAACCCCATTCTATATCGGAGTGATCCCGCGCTACGGTGCCAAGCCCTCAGATGTCAAGGTAGGTAAAATTATGTAGCCTGTCTCGTCCATTTCACTGATTTCTCACACGCGAACTGCAGTGGTTTACCTACAAGAATTCTTTCCCTGGCCATACGGCCAATGCCTTTGAGCACGAAGACGGCAAGATTATCTTTGATCTTGGACTGAGTGACAAGAATGTCTTCTATTGGTGGCCCGATGCTCAGGGAAGGTCGCCTGATCCTAGGACAATCCACAGTCAACTCACACGCTTTACCGTGGACCCCAACGCGGAAGAAGGCAGTCTTCCTGAACCAGAGGTTTTGCACGATGGAAATTCAGAATTCTACCGCATTGATGAACGGTTTTCTGGGAAAAAATACCGCCATAGCTACTTCGATCTCATGGACGCCCGCTTGGGAACAGACTTTCAAGCAATCGGCCCGGTCATGGGCGGAGGATATCCTCCCTACAACGCGCTAGCACATTACGATGGAAGCACGGGCAAAACAGAGGTCTACTTCCCGGGACGCACACATCTAGTGCAGGAACCGGTTTTCATCCCGCGGGCGGGCTCTACAGAGGAAGGTGATGGATATTTAATGGCCTTGGTGAATAACTATCGCACCATGTCCAGTGAATTGCATCTCCTAGACTGCCGAGATTTCAGGAAGGTCCGGGCGACTATCTTGCTCCCCTTGAGACTCCGAGCCGGCTTGCACGGGAATTGGGTCGATAACTAAAGATTAAGGTAGTGTTAGTTTTTTTGTTGCTTGTTATGAACACAGTGAAGGTCATTCTTTAACGAGAAGCTCAATTATAGAACCATGGAAGTTGCATAGTCTTTTTCTTGCTGACTGATGTCAGCCTCACGCGTGATAACTTCGTGTAATATGAGTTATTTTCAGTCCTTCATTTCAGGCACTGGGTACATAAACATTCGCAATTCACATCATCCGACTTTTCGCACTTGAACTCGCAACATTAGGGTTCTTCATGATTTCCGTCGATTTTACTTTGAACATTTCATAAAATCAACTAGATTCGTACAAATACTGCACAAAGAAGGGCTTGTCAATTGACTTACGTGCCTGGAGGCGTATGTCTGCATCGCTGTTGCCGATGACCTGTAGCCCCCGGGGACTACGGGATCGATCCCGGTCTTTCCCCGCTCCTCCAACCCTCATTAGACTCGTTATTCTGCACATGAACCAACCCTTCTACTAACATTCTGAAAGCAAACCCCTCACTTCATTTATTTATTCCCCTTGAGTTCTATCATGTCTCTTCCCTGGAAACGCCTCATCCGCTTCGAGGCCGTTGATGGCCGTATCCTGCGTGGAGAGCCTTTGTTGCCCGAAAATGAAGAGATCGACCTTGGATTCGTCACCGAGGCAGATCAGCTGAAAGCTAAGGTGCTTGTCGGAGATGATATTTACGATACCACAGGCAGGACCAAATTGACAGCGGAGATGGTATTGGTCAAGAAGATCCTGTCGCCGTTGGCCCAGAGCGATGTGCCTATATTGCGTTGCGTTGGTCTGAACTATGCCAAACACAGTATGTATAGACCAGATGATCTACTTTTGCTATGAGTCTTTCCTCCCACAAACCTACTGACATCTGAAAACCCCCGCCATAGTCAAAGAGTCAGGACGCAAGCCTCCCCCGTTCCCCTTCATATTCTTCAAGCCCGCCACCACTATCCATGATCATGGTGAAGCTGTGATCATCCCTCAAATTGCGCAAAATGACCAGGCTGACTACGAAGGAGAATTGGTTCGTTACATACTATCAACTAGCATTGCTCATATTATGGAGCTGGCTAATCTTGACGACAGTGCATTGTGATTGGAAAAGACGCCAAGAACGTCCCAGTGGTGGAAGCCCTCAACTATGTCGCCGCTTATACTGCTGGAAACGACGTTTCCTCCAGGAAGCTTCAAAGAGACCCTGCCTATGCTGGTGTCGTTCCGCAGTGGGGCTTCTCCAAAGGCTTTGACACTTTTGCCCCCCCTCGGACCAGTGTTGGTTGCTGCTTCCGAGATCGCCGACCCAAGCCTGCTACATTTGAAGACCATTATTGATGGCGAGGTGCGTCAAGAAGAGGGCGTCTCCGATCTTCTATTTGACTGTAAGTATTTGATATCGTACTTGTCACAGGGTACTACGCTTCAGAAGGGCAGCGTCATAATGACTGGAACCCCCGGTGGTAAGTGCACCAAAGCAGAGAGCCAAAGTAAGCGCCAACTAGGATACAGTTCTGACTTTCTTTCCAGGAGTCGGCGCGGGCTTAAACCCTCCCAAGTACTTGATCCCTGGAACACAGATGGATGTGTTCGTTTCACAGATTGGCACCTTACGGAATAACGTTGTATTTGCTTGAAAGCTGACTTGGGTGAAAATCTGTGGCACATGCTGAGAAATCAATGAAATTCACTTCTTGAAAGAGAGCACGCAATGCGCAAACTCGCTGCCCGAAATGCTTAGTCGATGGTAGTAGTTCAAGAATAGCTTCAGTGCAGAGCATGTAGTGCCGAAATCCTCCCAAAATTTTCAGCAGAATACACGATTATAAGACAGAAAATGGATAAGTTCCATAAAGCCTCATCGACATCAATCTCAACGTATCTTGGCCGAGTCGGAGGCTTCGGATTCCCCCACAAATACCGCACAAATACCGAGCAGACTAACCACTGGAACTGCGTGTTGACCGCGAAAGGCTCGAAATCGGGGCTGGCGGGCGTGTACCAGCCCTTTCCTCCTTTCGTGATCGAGGCCGAGGAGAAATCAATCCCTGTACGAGGCATCTTAGCCAGTCTGATGGTTTAATTTGGCCATTCTCCTGGACTGAATCTTCCCATCATGGTATGACCGGAGTGCTCCAACTTTGGTCCTGAGGAGATTCCTTCCTCTTTTTGAACTCATCCCAACATGCTGGATGACTGAGTCTAAGAAGAAACTCAAGCATGGTTCTCCTTTCGTTTCGGTCAGTTCGTTATTATCTCACATTTCCGCGATATCGACAACATGGGTCTTTTTTTCTTTTCTTTTTTCTTCGTGTTTTCTTCACAATAGCCATTCTCCTTTTATTCATTAATGCAGTAAAATAGAAAGAACAGATATAATTGGATCATCTCAAGGAACCGACTAGCTTTATTCCCGCTCCCGGTGTCCATAGAAGTACAAGGGCACAGCCAGCAATAGTGTAAGCACGTTTAACATGAACATTATCATATAAACCTGAGTAAATCCCTGGGAGGTGACCCAGGGAACAGCCTCGTATAAGAATAGGAAAGCGAGAACGTTTTTAAAAATGTTAATGAGAACGAGACACTGGGCAGCATGTTTCTGGTGACGATGAACGACATAGGTAAGGGCGATGTTGGGTGTGTACACCTCTCCAAAAGAAACTACTCATTGTCAGATATTTAGAACAATGAATATCAATTAAAAAGGAAAATGCATAAGAGATCCGCTTACCCATCCCAAATCCAAAGGCTATTGCAACCCAGCTGAGTTTGTTCTGGCAAGCAAAGGCAAGGAGAATGCACCCAGCTGGGGCAATCAGCATTCCAGGAAGCAACGAGGCAAGACGTTGCTCAGGCCGAATATCGCCTTCACTTTTTTTGACGATGCATAGTGTGATGGTATCGGACATGTACCCGCCACCAAAACAAGCTATCATGAAGCCGATTATCGCCGCTATCTCCATGAGACCTATATCTCCCAACGAAAAATTGTATGGAGGAGAATCAAGGAGGCTGGACATGGTGAATCTATAGAATTAAATAGCATCAGTATCATTAGCTTACAAAAGCCGGAAGTAAAGCTTACATCAATATAATCTGCGGGCTGAGGGAACATCCATATGCATAGATAGCCCAAAGCACAGATGGGTGACGTAAAAGCCGCAGAGGGTTAATCAAGGCTTCCAAAAAGGATATGCTGGTATCATATCGAGTCAAGGAAAGGCGTTCCTTGAATGGCAAGAGATGAATTGTGTACCTCGGGGCATCTGTGGACACGGTTTCGAAAAAGGAAGAACTCGATTTTTCAGCCACCTCGTCATCTCTAGCCAGGTCCGTTTCTATTTGTCTGCCATGTTCGATATTGGGTCGGTGAAAGTTGCTTTCTGGGCAAAAGAAGAAAAGAAGAGCGAGGTTCACAGCGGCCAAGCCGGCGCAAAGCCAAAAGTAACTCCTCCATGTTTTGGCAGTCGATTGAACCATAAAGCCGGCGATGAGAGGGCCAATAGCGGTTCCCCCTGCGATCAATATAACATATCTAAGGAACGAATGGCCAGATTAGGTAGGACGTCAAGTGAGGCAGAGGCCAGGTAACACCTACATAGACATCATCGTGGCCCGTTCGTGGAGGAAGAAGAGATCTGCGACTATTTCGGGTACAATGCTCTGAAAAGGGGACGTCAGCAAGACAGAACAGCACATATGCGAGGCAGAAGGTGCTCTTTGCAGTATTTAGGGTCCTACCTCTCCAGCAGCGGCAACAAAGCCAAGAACTATTCGAGCAGCGAGCAAGCTATCGAAGCTTTGGGCGAGCGCACACCAAATCAGAGTGCCAAGCTGCAAGGCCATGGCCACCAAAAGAGATGCTCTCTTGCCAAATTTCATGGCAAATGGCACCCAGAATATGTTACCAATACCAAGAAGAAGGAAATTAAACTAATGAAATTTTCATCAGCTTATCTCTCTGACGGCCACGGGGCTCACGTAGAGGAAATATTCACCGTCAAAAGTTGAGTCACTTGTGCTTGCGACTTTGAAAAGTCCTGGATGAATTCCTGAACAGCTACGGCAGGACCAGAACCTGCCATGTTGGACACAAAGTTGAACAGGGATGTTGTGAGCATGACCGAAATTTTCAACCAACGTGGCCACCGCAGGGGGTCGTGTTTGTGGTCAGTTGGGGGAGGAATAAGACTCATGCCTGGGTGATGCATATTTGACATTTGCTTCCTGCTAAATTGATGAGATGCAATGCTTTAGAAGGAAGAGTCGGTGGACAAGATTCGAGGGGCGCCTTTGCTTTTAATTAGAGACTTAGGTCTTCTTATGATGAAAGCCCCGCCGTCCGGCTACACTACCCCGGATCGGGGACTATATTCCGGGGCTGGTATTACGAAGACTGCCATATGGCGCCTGCCGAGCCCTTTGTATGATAATCCTTCGTGTTAAACTTGTAGTCCTATTTTGGCTCGATGGCATTTTCGTAGCCTTCGAAATCAACGTTAGGGGACCACGTCATCTTCCGTGAACCTTCTCACGCTATGCATGTGACGGAGGAGAATGCCTAGATGAAGTCACCGAGTATCTCAAACTCCTGATCAAGAACAGGAAATAGATTTGGTATTAGCTGGGATTCAGGTCGTTCTTTGAAGTTAGGTAGGCTCAAGGTCACCTGACTTCCCGGTTCCCCGGTCTTTCCCCGGTCTATCCCCGGCCTTGCCTTTCGATCCGACGAAGCCGTTGATTGTTTCTCACATTCTTGTCCCTGTGCTCGTTGTAGGGACCATAATTATGGAGCCTCCGAAACGGCCGGAATACGCTTGCAGTAATCATGACAATTTGAGCGCACAAAGCCCAGCGAAACGCCGTCGAACATCGTTGGCTTGCCATGCATGCCGCACCCGAAAATCAAAGGTATTCTGCTGGTGCTTCCCTATGCAACACCCGGCGGGTCACTAATGTGGATCAAACAGTGCGATGGGTCTCGCCCTCAGTGTTCTGCGTGCACCCATTTGGGCCTGGAATGCATCTACACCCCATCAAACACATCGACCAACGTCATTGTTAAGAAAGAGTAAGTCTTGCCACCAGGGGCAGCTCGCTGGGAGCATCCCAAGGTATCCAGTCACCTGTATCATGATTTGAACTTACAAATCAAAGCTATCTGCAGAGTTTAGAGTCCCGGATCATTACGCTGGAAGAGAGTTTGCACACCGTCAAGGATCACATGTCCCAACTATCTCATCAGGTCTATAGCGGCATTGGCGTCAATAACAGGCCCGATGCAGTACCAGAACAAGCTCAGATTGCAGCCTTGACCAACATTGCGGACATTGAGGATTCGGTGGATGCGATGGGCAATGTGGTTTTTGCGGATGAAGAAGACTGCGGGTTTTTTGGTATGATTGGAGAACATAATCTGCTGAGAAACCTGCAGCATTTAAAACGAGAGATGGTATAGACTGACTTCTTGCAGGCCCATCATCAAATATTGCCTTTTTACGTCATTTGTCTCGTGCAGTATCATATAACGCCAGCTCCCCAATAGTGGCCAGTGGTTCCCCCTCTATTGGAAAGGCCTCATTGGATGGCGGCTTTGTCAATGCATCTCGCCCTCCGTCGCCCGGACTAAGCGTTATTGATCTGACATCTCGGGAACAGAAAGAAACGGACATATTTGCCCTTCCACCTCCCCAAGAAACTTCTCGGCTTGTGCATAAATACTTCACCGATACAGGCCTACTTTTCCCCTACATTTACCCTCCTTCTTTCCTTGAAACATATCGAAGTATGACTGAAAACAGTTGCAAGGTCCGAAGAACTTGGCTTGGGCTTCTCAACATGATGCTTGCGATGGCCAATATCACCGCTACCCCTAATGGGGAGCCAGCAAAGCAGCGCATTGCCGCCGCCGATGTGTTCTACAAGCGAGCTTTGAACTTATGTGGCAACGAGATGTTGCGGGGAACTACCCTGGAAGTGGGTTAGTTCATTTCACTCTGCATCAACCAATCGAATGACATCGCATATTGACATTGTGCAGTGCAATATCTGTTGCTCATGGGTCAATACATGCAGGGCACTCAGAAATCGGTCCAGGCGTGGACTGTTCATGGATTGGCTGTAAAAGCCGCTCTTCAGCTCGGGCTACATTCTAAAGATGCTTCAAGAGTCTTCCCGCCACAGGAGAAAGAAATCCGTAAGCGGACTTGGTTTGGGTGTGTGGTATTAGACAGGTAGGTCCCTCACAACCCCATCAACAATGCACAGCTCGTTCCCTGTCTTACAAACGCTCTTTACCAGGACTTTGAGTATGACGCTAGGACGGCCTCCGGCAATACCTGACAATTTTGTCAGGCTTGACCTTCCAACAAACCACATCAGTGATCATGGCGATAGCCCTACGCATATGCCGTTCGTGGATAGCACAACCTTTCAAATGAGCGTGGACTTTTTCAACTGCACAATGTAAGTTCAGATAGGTGTGATACTGCTGTTCTGCGATTTTACAGTCCCGCAATAAGCTAATTGTTGTGGAGTCTGCTATATAAGCAGCTCTTCGTCACTGTTGACCTACTTTATGGTCAGAACCTCGGCTGTGATCCACCACACACAGTCAGTCAAAGCGTTGGACATATCCTTACAGTCGAACAGCAATTTGTTGCCTGGGAAAGATCACTCCCCAAAAATATTAACGTTGTAACAGTAAAAAGAATTCGTGAAGGAGATGGCGATATGCCCGATCCGCCGCAGTTCCACTCTTTGAAGTTCAGTGTCATCATCACACTTCGATATCTCCATCTCCGTATTCTCCTACATCGGCCCATTCTTGTGAAGTTTATTGATGCTTGCAGGAAAGGAGGCATTGATGCTCATGAAGAAAGCTTATTACAGCAAATCGGATCTAACAGCTTGCAAATCTGCATGGAATGTGCCATGAGTATTATCGATATCATTCACGAAGTAGTGCACTCATCAGGGTGGCAAAAAGGTCTCCTTGGTGCATGGTGGTTTTCTTTACATTACAGTAAGTGAGCGGTTCCTATCGAGCTCTTCCGGTTGTCAAAAATTGGGCCCTAAGTCTTGACTGTTCTTAAGCATTCCACTCAGCCTTAGTTCTTCTTGGAACGATTTGGGTTGTCAGAGATGGCTCGCCTGCCAGGATTTCCCTGTCTCATGATATTGATAAACTTAATATCTATCCCAGCCAAGCCGTGGCGACACTTTACAAATTAGATTGTGGTAATCACATCGTGGACCGGTGCCGACATTATCTTGAGCAGTTCAACGATGCGGTGAACCCTAGAGGTAAGGGTCTTTTAGCAAATTGATATTCTCATTTACTAAAGAACCCAGCAGGGGAAGCAGTTCTGGCCAATGTTGGGATCAGCAGTTACCCCATGGACAGCTCTGGGTCTAACGCAAATACTTCGCCTCTCGGCCTGGATCTTGGCGAATTTATGATGGATGGGGATCTTTGGACTTTACTGAATCGGCCAGAATCTCTACCAAGCGAGTGAATGTTATCAAATTACTATTATTCGATGGATCCGATATGGTTTGTGTCTTATAATAAACACAAAGCCGCGTCGCGATGCATAGTTGCGCATGCCCTCTTGGGTCGCCTACCTGAAGCACACTATCCCTAGGGCCTCAAATAGACATGTTGATACCTCGAAGGAGAGACCACCTGGTGAGTAGATTGAGCCACATTTCCACAGGCATAGCAGAACAACAAACTAGGTATATTTACGAGAATATTCTATGATACAGTTGATAATATGATAGGTGTCCATCATCATGTCTAAAAATAGATAGGGTAGTATTACAACTTAAACTCCCTCTACCTTCTCCCCCGGTGCCAGCATCTTAATATACCGATGCACACCAGTCTCCAACACAGTGATCTCATCCCCAACATTCATAACAAACTCCTCGATGGCAGGCACAAGTTGCATCCCTAGACATGCATTGGTGCGGTCACCATCATCGATTTTCCGATAAGACTTCAATGCACGATCTGGCTCCGCAGCATGCCTCTCCCCTGTGGCAGGGTCCACATTTGGTAGCCTGCACCGCACTGTCCGACAAGCAGCGTGAACCTCAACACCGCCAATCGAGATTCTCTTCCAGTGATCTTCAGCAAAAGCACCGGGTCCTTGGACGATGATGTTTGCGCGGAAACGCACGATGCTCAGCTTTGGGATTGCGTAAGCACAGCGGGAGGCAACGTCCCTGTGGCTTGAAAGGCTGAGTAGGTGGATAGGATAAGCATCTGCAAACGCGGTATTGGGCTGAAATCCTAGTAATTCTTTGCGGGGTGCGTTGCGGAAGATTTGCCGGGTATGATCAGGACTTGCACGGAAGAGAGCCAGTGGAGAGGCTGACGGATTAAACCCTAGATATGTGTGCAGAGACGCTGGAAGGAGGGCGCTGTAGTCGTGTGCTAGGGGTTTGTCCTTCCATATTCTGACGGGAAGAAGCGGATACTCGGAGACTGAGTCTTGTGAAGGGAGAAGGGGAACTTCGAACGAGTATCTGCATCTGAGAATGCCGATAGCCATTCCAATTCTTGTGCACATCATTCTCACCCGGCCTTGTGGCTGAGGACGAGGATAAGAGATGATCATGACGCCCTGTGATTTGATTTCGGGGAGCAAGGGATCGTAGTCCGGTGCAGAGGGGTCAGGGATCCAAATCTCTGTATGGATGAGAGCGAGACGCTGAAAGCCTGCATTGCGGAGTGTACGAGTGTTCCAGCCGTCCGTGCCATGCTCGGCGAAGACAAATTGGCGATCGAATTTGAGGCCGGTTGCCACGATATTGGATGTCTGTAGCTCAATGCCACCGCATGATTTCAGCGGATATGCGAAGAGGGCTTTGATACGCCACGCAGGGAGATCCCCATCTTTCTCTGTCGGTGGAACACCAGAACCATATTTGGGTTCAAATTCATCGTGTAGATTGCTCTTACCCGGTGGAAGACCGAGTCGTCGGCATCCCTTTGGACGGATCTGGCGAGAACGAGGAAAAAATACAATTATGGGAAGACAGCAAATCAGTAGCGTTAACCAGGATGCAAGATCCCCCAAATGACCCTGCAATGACATTGAGTTATGTAAAGGCAAAAGTATGCAATTGCTGCAAGTTCCGAGCCGAGATCACCATCACCGTACATCGGAGCCAGCGGTTCCGCGAATCTTGGCACTCTCCAACATTCCATTTCGCCTCTTACCGCCATCGCATCTTTACTTACCAGAACCCCAGTTATACAGCCTCTTTGTAACACAATAATAACCATTTTACATTCAGCACCATCTAGCAATTGTTTTCTGATGGCGTTGTGGGAGATCGGAAATGGCCACCCCTTCAACATTACGCGCCAAACGAATGCGAGAGAAATTGTGCTTTGAACTGCTAACAAACCAAGGATCAACTGCATGTTTGGTCTCTACGAAGTGATATATCACAATTAGGGAAAGCCAGCAGGGATATTGAATACAGCAAGATAGACTCGCCGAATAATGTCGGTGAGGTCATAACATGCACCAACACTGCTTGACGCCTGTAAAGGATGATCATTTAAAGCAACGCCACGGTGAGCCACGAGTCCACCAGATGAATTCTTTGCCTTCTTCCGCCGGTAGAATAGGCTTGATGTGGCAGATCGCCACCACGGCGATGTGGTTTATCGTCTTTGCGCCAAGGCTTCTCGTCGTCGCATCAAATTGTCATATCCCACTGTCAAAATATAAAATACGCCAATGACTCCAATTATCACCCCAACAGCAATCACTGCACTGCGGGGAGCATCGGGGTCGCCGACTCCCGTGAACTGAAATCCCAGTCCCACATTGATCACTCCCAAAACGATCATGATCCGCCCAAACCAACGGTGCATGTAGGCAAAAGGTCCCTTTCCGCCAGTCTTGCGGAAGAATCGGTGCTGGAGAAGACCCATGGCAGGCTGGAAGAGGGCCAAGCTGGCAACCACCACAATCCCAATTATGACATGGTAGTGCACCAAGTTATGGATCTGCCGGCTCATGGAGACTCCCAGACCAAGTCCGACGATGGCAACAACCAAGGCAAACAGTTGCAGTCCCCCATGAATCCTCACGATATTGGACGACGAAGAAAGATGTAGGATCAGCGCAGAAAAAGGGAACAAGAGGACGAATGCGACTACCATCAGGACCCCGTGGGCAATCTTCTTGCCATGGAAGACAGCCTCTGGAAAAGGGTAGTCGGCATTGGCATTCGCGCTGGTACTGATGATGTCGGCAAAGGGGTTCACGCTGGTCTGGCCAGTGGCTTTCGTCAAATCCACTGTTTCGACGCCCATCACATCATGTTCGAGAATGTTTGTCGACAAACTACGTGACTGTAGTGGCATTCCATAACGAACCCCCCAGATCCATGAACTGCTCGCGCTGGTCGGGTTCATGCTGCCCTGTCTCCAATGGATGCAGCTGTCACACTTTATATTGGCCGTGATCATTGGCCCATGGACTCCGCTGCCATTCATGACTGTAATCTGCGCCTCAGGGTTATACAGGGGCTGCGTATGTCCCGCACCGGACCGCGGGGAAACCGTCACATTGTCGCCGGAGGTATACACCACGAACATATTAGCCCCATCCATGTGGTCTCCCTGGCCCAGGGCAAACCACTCTATGCGGCGAGTCGAATTCATTTGAAAATAGATGGGTCCCGCGGTGCTGGAGTTGGCAGTAGCAGCGGGGATATGAATACTATAGGTGAGTCCATTGGGTCCCAGCGGAGAAAAGCTTTGAAATTGAGCCCCAACCGCGAGGGCCCAAGCGAGCCAGCAGGAAACATAAACATTCATCATTGCAAAGGTAACTGATTGGCTTTATTGTCCCGGTAAAGGGGAATTCGCGCCTCCTAAATACGTGGATGTCAATGATCCTAGACCTCCCGTTACACAGGATCCTTCAATGTACAGACCGATTGTTACATCAGCTGTAAATACCGTTGTGCCTTCTGATATCTAGGTTCTCCCTCGTTACTAGAGTTCTACAGTTGCTCGAGCCCGGTTGGATTGGTGTGACCATCACCAGCTCAGCCAAACATCTTCTGGAAATGGCAGTACTCGATATGCCGGATCAAGTATGACAGATTGCAAATCTGATATTCTGATATTCCATGCGGCCATTGACATGCAAACTCTACGTGACGATCTATGTTGCATCTCCACGCCTGCCGGCAGATTGGTTGGAGAACCTCTGCAGCGGGTTTGATAGATTGTGGATCCAGAGTTCATCAGCCACAAAATTCGCGGTGTCTGTGTCTTCAAGAAAAAGACGGAACGAATTTGCGACCCTGGGATAAGCGCCGTTCATGACCCTAGAAGCTAAGTCATTCCCCGAAGTTTCGTGTGGCCTGAAAGCTTGGCGCCAGTATCGTGGCTATGCAACCTCAAAGCTTTACTTGACAAATGGGCGGACCCCCCCCCCCCCCCCAATATTCCTAGTTTGACAGCAACTTGAAAAGCCTATTTAGTGAATAATCGTTAGGCAAGAATGACTAATACTGCTGAGGCATCTTATCTCAAATCAAATCTGATCCGATCGGCATGCTGGGCCATAGATTAACATGAATGTGTTGCTGTGTATACCGTCCAGGTGAAAATCTGAGTTTACTTTTCCAAAGGGACTAGTAAGATCATGAGATCACAGCCAAGACTGGCTGTAAGTCGAACACATAAGCTGTTAATATGGGGCAATGGATGATGACTGCTGAGGTGACCGTATTGCCGTCAGCTTAGATCATCAACGAATCTCGGTCGCTATCAGTAAGGTCGGATTTGAAACAGAGTGCACAATCATACAGAAATTTGAGGACTGAACACACAATTCCTCGTGGTTCTATATAAGCTGTTTTATTTATCCAGAATTAATGCAATGCTTTTAAGTGCAGACGGTTGCGCGTGGAACGGTTTGTCACATGATCACGCGTTGGATTGGTGTCTTGTCTCAGCAACGCGAACTTCTCCTTGGTAAACACTCGCCTCAGCCGATTCCCCCCCACGCAGCTCAGGTAATTATATCATGATGGCTGTGGCAGAATAATTGATCATCATGAACTGTGGTCCTCTAGCGATCTTCGCCAAACCAAAGGCTTGTTGATACGCCATGTTGTCCAGGAATTGTCCCGCGTCCAAGCCGTCCAGTCTCTCGCCTTCCCACGGCACTTTGTACAGCCCAACCCTCTTTTGATCCAGCTGTCTCTGCCTCGGTAGAAGCAGTTGGGACAACCACCCTAACCAGTCACTCAGTCGTGTCTTTCATGGCAAGTTTCGCGGAAAATGCATGCCGAGATCACGACCAGCCACTTCGATCTTGACGGAACGAAATGCCAAAGTTTTCTCGGTTCATCTGTCCAGATGGTTTACTATGCCAGTGTTCCCAGAGCCAGGCGTCAGTTCTCCCATGCTGGGCAGTATGTAGGTCAAAATTGGATGGTCAACGTACGTTGAGGACAGTCTTGAAGGAGAAAAAGCAGGTGGAGCACGTCGAACGCCTCGGTATGAGAGGTTGTTTTTGGGAGCATCAATGACATGGCTGCGAGCATCGATGAATTTATGCGACGTTCCGGTCTCGGATAACCATGGGCATTCTTCTAAATGGTCCAGAGATTCGGCGCCTAGAGCACGACGGGCACTATTACACACGCTTCACTGGCTGCAATCTACCATGGCACACTCGTCGGAATCTATCCTCATCTCCCTGGATCTGCCCAGGCAGATTGCACAGTTTGGATCGTCGCGATGTCATTCTATTTTGCCTGCAGTGACAGCCGTTTGTTGTTCACTGGAGCTTCAAACATCATAGACCGTTGGCACGCTCCGGATGGCATTGCTTCTCCCCGTTATAGTTGAATGTTTCCGAGCTTGTTCGCTTGTAGTCTTCTTCGACGTTGTCAAACGTCAGCCGTCCCGTACGTACTCCTACGATGAAGATACCTGGGTATTTTGCCCCTGCTTTTCACCTCCTCGATCCTGCTCCTGGCTCAAGGGCCACTACTTGCCTGGAATCTCGGCATCAGCCACCCGATTCTACTTCCCCTGGAAGATCCAGACCATCCGTGTCAACCATCTCTTTGCAATGTAGTTTACAAATTGATCGATGGGCGACGACTATCAACAATGAACCCCGTTCATTGTTCCTCCCCAAGGGAGAAGGAAGCGATTTTTTTAAGGATGTTATTTGTGCGCTTCATAACCTCACCTTCCCGCGTTGGAATGGAAACAAAAACTTGTCCCCGAGGGTTCTGTACCACACACAGAGACTGGCTTGGTCGCAGAGGCTTTTCTTTCCAGCTTTGCAAATTCATCAATTCCGCGGCGCGAATAGTATCATGGCCCAGTTTGATCGATTGCATTGCGCGCGCCCAATCTTGATTTAATTCCAACTGTGCCGGGATTAGGCTTTTGCGAGTCGTGTTCATTCGGCCTCACCCTGGCACTAATCGCTCTTCATCAATATCTTCAAGTCGACCACCTTTCCAACTAATCACGGACGTCCTGGCTGAATTTTCAAGGATTTTTTTCCTCTCTGTTCCCTCCAATCCTTCATTCTTGGTCAAGCGGTTGTGGTTGGAGCATAAAGCACTATCCAGTGGATAGCGTGGGACCTCTCCTGAGTGAGGATCAAAGCTTTGGCTTGTCTATGCTATCTTCTGGTGCGATGTTCTTTCAACCCTGTCTCTTTTCGGATTGAACGAGGCGACTGATGAAGAACATACCGAATTTCTGCTACCAAGGGACGTCTGAGAGATTTTTTGCAAAACGGACGTTGGGGAAATTAGACAGCGTCCTAGGGAGGGTGGGTGCTGGATGACTAGCCGTTTCCTTTGCCTCGGCAGGGGAACGGCACCTTTTTTTCCTTCTTATAAGTTGTTCCTCGTTCCATTCCATTCAAAGCATTGCTAACTACGGGTTTCAGGGACGGTGTGATGCCGTGGCTCCGCACGGGTAGCCCCACCCGGGGTGATTCGGCAAGACGCAATTGTGATTGGCGGGCTCATCGGTGCTCAGATGCCTGTATCGCTGAGAGCGGGATCCTTAGGCGAGAGTCTCGGCCTTCTTTCTCCTTTTTTTCCCTTTTACGCTTTTTGACATTTGATTCCTATTCGCCAACGATGCTTCTCATCTATTCCATGATGACCTTCGTTCGCCCGAGGTTGTAATGGCGGGTCCTTCCGCTGCATCCAGCATTGGCGTGTCGGTGATGCCCCATTCTTTTCGAAACTTCGGTAGACAAGTACCTCCACCATCCCGTATTTCGCGTAGCTTAACCTACTGGAGTGTCGATTTGGCGAAGGGCCCGTGGCCACTTTCCCTGAAAATCAGAGGGTTACGTCGGCATGCTACGATAGCGGTCCAGTGGATCCCTGCTCTTTGACCAGGTACTACTGTGGGTTGATAAGCGACGTGAAATCTATGTGCCATCTCCTCGGGGCTTGGGAGACTTGGTACTCGTTTATGAGCTAGGTCATCTAGGGCCTCCTTTTCTTGTCATCTACATATCAACATGCATCTGTCCAATGTAGTCCCTCGCCCTGCTCATCTAACCTCCGGGGGATCCAACATGGCGACTCCTCATCCAAAAGTAGTCGACAGGGACGAATATCAGAAACTGAATAACATTCTGTCGTTACTATTCCCCTCTACGGTCCATGTGCAACAGTCGCAAAATATCAATGCTCGAGTTCATACGCTCCGCCTTCTCACCCTCTCGAATGGTGGCCGACTGCTTCTAAAGGGCTCTCCTCTGCCAGGAACCCCACTCCTACGACACGAACGATTTTTCCTTGAGACCGAAGCCCGTTTCCTAGTACTCCTGGGCCAAAGTGCCAATCCTTGCATTCCGCAACTCTATCATTATGATCCGCGAGGAGGTCTTCTCGGTTCCGCCTATCTAATTCGACAGTATATAAAAGGAAGAAGCCTGACAGAGATGAAACATGAAATCAACCCCCAGCAAGAAATCGATATCGACCGCCATCTAGGATTCCTTGCTAGCACCATCGGTCAGAATGTGGCTCCCGGTTTCGGCTCTTTGCAACAAGTCGCCATAGGTGCGGGAAAGCGCTCCTGGCGAGAAGCCTTCTGTGCTCTCTTCGAAAGCGTTCTCCGTGATGCCGAGGACATCTTCATCCACCTTCCCTACGCCGAAATTCGTCACGAAGTGGCCCGTCTGTCTAGTGCACTCGCGGAGGTGACCCTGCCTCGGCTTGTGGTGGTCGGTTTTGGCCGACCATGTCATGTCCTGCTGGACGAGGAATCGCATCAACTTTCCGGTGTTGTGGACTTCAGCAGTGCTTTCTGGGGTGACATTTTGATGGCGGAGATATTCGAGAGCCCCAATCCGGCTGTTCTGGAAGGAGCAGGGTTACCAGTGTCCAGAACCAAAGGAGAGGAGATACGCTTGTTAATGTTAGTGTCCACTCCTTCAGGTTCATTTCTCATTTATGTGGGCTGACAATTTTCCTTCTTCTCTTTACAGGTACTCATGTTATCGACTGGTGTCACGGATCACCTTGCAATATTATCGAAATCGCGACGAGGCGATAGAGTTTGATGCTCGTCGGAGATTGCTGACCACCATCACAGGCTTGGTTGGCCTGGATCCGACCTGAAAAGAGGAGACCAGTGGATAGAAGATGAAGTGAATGCTTGGAGAAAAAATGATACCCTTCAAATCAAGTTTGGATCAGCATCGTGGTACTTATGAGGCTACAAAAATCAACCTCGGCTTGGCTTGTTACATAGTTCGGTGGTTCTAGCGTGTTTCTAGCTCGAATTAAGCGACCGTCTCTTCCTTTTAAGTCACTAGAGATTTGATATGCCGCTGTAATTGAGATGAAGACTTAGACCAATGAACCTTACAGGTGACTTCTTAGTGATCAACCTTGAATGGAAAGTTTGCAGGACGTTTGTGGCCTAGTTCCTCAGGCGTGACACATGTCCCAGTCCCGTGCCCGCGATTACTCATCTGGTTCGTCCCATGACGTCGCAGTTCATTTCCCTTCATTCACTTTGTAGTTCATCCATGTTTGTCCTGCAAGACGATATGCTATTTTACCTTTTAAGTTTCGAGATTTCATTTTATCAGAGCTCCATTCCTATAGGATAGATTTTTTACTTCTCTCTTATTCACATTCTACACCACCACACCAAACCTGACAACGAAACCTTTCCAAACCAAACGCTCCCTTCACCAAGCTTCTTCCATCATGCCCGATCTCCGTCGGCAGATCTTTGAGAGCGGCAAGACAACATCCCGCAAAGCAGCTTCTCGTGAGGCTTCGAGAGCCACCTCTCGCGCTAGTTCCAAACCGACCTCACGCCAGTCTTCGCGAGCTGCAAGCAGGCAGCCATCTGACGATGAGGATGCAGGATATCTTTCTGACGAAACAGCCATGAGGTAAGCATTCTTCCATCACTTATCTCGCTCATATTTTCTCTCGTCTCATCTTTTTTTTTTTTTTCCATCTGTGGGCATTTCAAGTTATCCCCACAGTTCCACTTAGAGGCGGGATGATGTCATTGCCGTCGAGGAACTTTTGATTATGTGCATATGTGAAGGCCAGTATACTAATTGAGTGAATCATAATAGTATCGGCTCACTGGATGATGAGAACCCTGAGCAGGATAATGTCGATTGGCCCCAGGAACTCGCTGATCGGATCCAAGAGATCCTCGACCGCAAGCGATCTAGTGTGCAGGGTCGCGAAGAGGCTCTGGCAGCTTTCTGCAGGCTTACAAAATACCATTATGCGGTGGAGGAGATATACGCATCGGTCACTGATCTGCTTGCTGCTTTCGCAAGGAGTGTTCGGTCGGACTCTGCTCGAGAGACAACTCTGGCACTACGAGCGATCGAGTTGCTTGCCATCACAGCCAGTGACGATAAGGTCTTTGAAAATACCGAACCACTTTTGACTCGCACAATTCAGGACTCATCTTCCAATGCCGTCAAATCTGCGGCAATCCAATGTCTCTCTGCATGCACCATCTTTGGTGGCGCTGGTGAAGATGGCATTCTCGACCAAATGACTTTCCTCCTAGATATTGTCGCCTCTGACGGGCAATCGATCAATGCGCCAGATGACCCACTCAGCGTGACAGCGGCACTGCAGGCTTGGGGATTCCTGGCAGCGGAGATAGAAGATTTCGAAGATGAGAGCGAAGAATCCGTGCAAATCCTCATGGATCAGCTAGAGAGCGGCGATTCGGCAGTACAGATTGCAGCGGGTGAGAACATCGCCTTACTCTATGAGAAGAGCTACACACCACAAGAAGATGACGATGATGAGGGCGAGGAAGATTCCGAGGATAGCGATGAGCATGAAACTGCCACCAACGGCCCAAAGCTCGTCAAGCGTTACAACGCCTACCACAACACCCCTGAACTAGAGCGTCAATTGCAGTCTCTGGCACATGTGCACTCGAAGACAATCAGCAAGCGCGACAAGAAATCTCTACACAGTAACTTCGCGTCAATTCTCACAACAGTCGAGAACCCTCGTCGTGGACCTCGTTACAACATGGCCATCAACCAAGACACAAACCGACATTACGGTAGCACTCTGACGGTCAAGATTGGTCGGCACGGCGTCATGAGTATCGATCGGTGGTGGAAGTGGACTCGCTTGACAGCACTGCGCCGAATCCTCCAGGGTGGTTTTACTGAGCATTATTACCAGGGAAATCGTGCTGTTCTCAACAATTTGCCCGTGATGCTACGAAGCGCTGAGCCCAGCCATGGGACGGTCGATCGACAAAGTGCGAAGAAGGCTGCAAAGATGCGGAATTCTCGACGATGGACTGCACAAGATTCCGATGAGGAAGATTAAACCTTCTGTTTTCCTTTGTTCTGTCTGGCTCTATCTTTCACAAATACTCGTTCAGTATAGTTCACGATGCTCATGATGATGATATTGCTGCCTATTGTTACTCAATTGGAATCGCAATGTTAATGCAAGCGTTCTGTGTTAGTTCACTTTGTCCATGACCATTATTGAAAGACATTTAGCCTCATCATACTAGACCGTAGTGTCATAGTGAAACGCGTTCTCTTTTTGGTATTCTTAGATATGTACAATACAGATTGGCAAACAACCCCGCGTTCCAATGCATCAGCCAATAGTTAACTTCACCCAAATCAACCTATGTCATCACGTACTTGGGTCCCTCTCCACCCTGAGGGGTCTGCCAGTTAATGTCTTGAGTAGGTACCTTGATATCGCATGTCTTGCAGTGGATACAGCTAGATTAATAGGTTAGAAGGAGGTCCGAAGTAAAACAAACGGAAGAAAACTTACTTCTGCGAGTTGATCTGGAATCGAACTCCGTGCTCCTTGCTGGGATCCTCGACATACTCGTAGACTCCAGCCGGACAGAATCGGTTCTCGATACCCTTGTATACAGGCCATGCCAGATCCTTATGCTTATCCCAGTCCTCAACTTGGAGGTGCACAGGTTGGTCTTCCTCGTGATTGGTACCTGTACGGCTCACGCTAGTTAAGATGTCGAAGCTAATCTCGCCGTCGGGCTTGGGGTAATCAATCTTGTTATATTGCGAGGCGGGCTTGGTAGCCTCGGCATCAGTGCCGTGGTGGCTGAGAGTCCAGGGCACGCGGCCCTTGAAAATGTAGGCCTCCAGTCCGGAGTAGAGTAGCCCACCGACGAAGCCAAGGGGGCTGTTGAAAGAAGGACGCATGTTGCGCACTTCGTATAGCTCCTTCCAGATAGACGAATCCCGGAGAGCTTGCTCGTAGTCGAATAGGAAGACTGTGCCCTTGTCTTCGCCCTTCAGAGCGGAGAATGCAGCCTCGGCGGCCAGCATACCCGATTTCATCGCGGTGTGTGTACCCTTGATCTTAGGGACGTTCAAAAATCCAGCGGTGTCACCGATTAGGGCACCTCCGGGGAACGCGCACTTGGGGATGGACTGGAACCCACCCTCATTGAGAGCGCGGGCACCGTATGAGATGCACTTGCCGCCCTCCAGAACGTCCTTGAACAAGGGATGGTGCTTCATCTTCTGGAACTCCCCGTATGGTGACAGCCACGGGTTAGGGTAATCCAAACCAACGACTAGACCAATGCTGACCATGTTATCGCCAAAGTGGTACATCCAAGCACCACCGTAGGTATCCTTGGGTAGCGGGTATCCCATTGAGTGTATGATCTCTCCGGAGCGGAACTTCTCCGGCTGGATCTCCCAAATTTCCTTAATGCCCAGGCCGTATGTCTGGTTGTCGCTGTTCCTTCGAAGGTCGTATTTCTTAATCACTTGCTTTGTCAGACTACCGTGACAGCCTTCGGCCAGCAATGTGACCCGTGCGTGGAACTCCATTCCCCGTTCAAAGGTGTCCTTGGCCTGGCCCTCGCGGTTCAGACCTAGGTCGTTGGTGGCTACACCCTTCACGGACCCGTCCGGCTTGTAGACCATTTCGCTGGCGCCGAAGCCGGGGTAGACCTCCACACCCACCTCCTCTGCCCGCTCGGCCAACCACTGTGTCAACTCGCTCAAGCTGAGGATATAGTTGCCTTCATTGTGCATCTGCGGTGGAACCGGGAGCGGGTATGATCCGTTCTTGGTGAGGAATCGCATTTTCTCATTCTTGGCAGGGGTGGCGCCTGTGAAGCGCGAGGGGTTGTCTTCTGACAACCAGTCCGGGAAGAGCTCATTCATGGCGGTCGGCTGAAGGACATTGCCGGACACGATGTGGGAACCAATTTCACCGGCCTTCTCCAGTAGCACAACGCGGAACTCCTCATTGCCAGCTTCATTGGCAAGCTGTTTCAATCTGATGGCAGAAGCGAGACCAGCGGGACCTGTAAAATGCCAATTGCGTGTTAGAATGACGGGAAGTGCCATGTGATCATGGCCCATGTGAAGATCGCCACATACCGCCGCCCACAATGCATACATCCACCTCGTCGTACTCGCGGTCCAGTTTCCGGGGATCAAAGTTGCCATTCTCATCGGTGAATCTCCGTGTTACTGATTGGGAAAAGGCACGGGTCTGGGGAGAGGCGAATGTTGTTCGGTGGACTACACGGCGGTCGGCGGTCGAAAGGGGACGAGCTGGGCGAGCTGAAGAGGCAAGAGCGGAAGAGACGGAGGGAACAGCTCGTGCGATACGGAGGGAAGATCGCATCTCGCGCCTCAGCAGAGGCAAGATGGCGCTTTTGGACGCCATCGCGCAGAAGATGTAGGGTAGGATGAAAAGGCGGGTAAGTGTCAGCGGTTGGAGGAATTAGCTATCGGTGCGGGACATGACCATTTGAGTTCAAATGCTCTCTGGAAGCTTGTGTCAAGTGCCAACACCTTCAATAGCCGAGTAGCTTTTTGTCTAGGTTTCTTGCTGGAAACGCCGAAAACCGCCTACCCGAGGCCCAGCAAGTCGGCGTTCCACCAATCATAGGCAGGATGATTGCCATCCCCCGTCCATCCGGCTCGCCGAGTGCGGCTGTATAGAATGCAGTGATGATCGCCAATGCTGCTGAGGCCCTTCGATGGGTGAGATATTCCAGTGGCATCCATAATATAGTAGCCCTTCTACAGTGATGTGGCCATGCAATCAGAATTCACTCCGAAGCAAGCCGGGAATTACATGGAGGAGGAGGGCGGAATTATCGCCGAAAATTGCCGCTTTTAGGCCAGATACAGTCAGTTGGATGAGCATAGCATTGCTCCTACAGCAGATTCGACGATGCTCATGAGTCTGTTCTAGTCGGATAGCCTTGCAGATTCCAAGACGGAAGAGAAAGAGAAAAGCTCTCATATTTTACATATTCCTGCGCTTTGATTCGCTTGTTTCTGATCCGGGGTCAATCGCCGATTTCGGCGAATCGCTGTGCTGAGGTAATCTGCCGACCACTGCTGGAGCATCACTGACGTAGGCACAGGCGGTGAGGCATCGATGTCTCCAGTATTCGATAAGAGCTTCAACACTGGATAATCCCCAGACGGGTAGGAATGATCTCAATATTGAGAATTATAGATCATGTTCTCTTCTCGAATTCCCAAAGATGACATAGGCAATAGAAAGCGCTATACAATGAGAGACTTGAACCAGTACAATAGTGTACGTTGGGATCCTAGCAGTCCCGCGGTAAGAGAGGAAACAAATCGATGAAATTCACCCGTTGCGCGAATTCATATCAAACAGGGCTTATAATTAAAAGCTCAGGGTAAGATCTCATCCAGATAGTCTCTCGAAATGAGAGGTCCTAAAGTAGCGCTGGAACGCTCTATCAAGCGCAGAAAAGTCTCAAATCGCGATTGCGATTACAATGCAAATACATTTCCGAAAATCAAATCCGAACATTGTGCCTATACAAGGATCGCCCCCGCTTATTTTTGTGGTTGAATCGTAAGCCAACCGAGGACATCATAGTCTTAATAGATCAAGACTTAGGGGCCTCGGGGTCACCTTCGGCAACCAATTTGCCAACAACCAGGTACTTCTCCGTGAACCGGTCTTCCCACGACTGGAGGTTCTCCAGCTGGTCCGCATCCAAGTCCTTCAGCTCATCCAGCGGGGCCGACAGGTCCTTGGTCAGCATTTCTTCGTCAAAGCTCTGGTGGGCCAGTCCGCGGGACGCATCGCGACCTGCGAAATTCTCGTAGGGACCGCCCTGAATCCGTCGCATGTCAGCCGAGGAGCTCGAAGACCTGCATCATCACATATCCACCTACCGGTCCGTAAAAGTTCCTGCCGGGGGACACGTCAAAGACACGACCGCGCACGGCCAGGTAGACGGGCTTATCATTCTCGCCGTTGAACTCGATCAGCGTCTTGGGGGTGTAGACCCGGAAGACCGTTGGGGGCGGCCCGCGCGGGAGCTCGATCGCCTGCTTGGGGCGGAAGTGCCAGTACACCAGCACGACGAAAAGCGAGGCAAAGATGAGGTTGATTGGAGAGGCGATCGACATACTGTTGGCGATTAGGTTAGCTCGGCTTCGTTTCGGAAGCTAATGGCTGGGGAGATCACGAACACTTCGGCCTGGGGTGCGGAGTCACCTGGAAAGTTTTCTGCGAATTAGCAAGATTCGATAAAATATTACGCAATCAATATATCAGTACCGGCAGCAGTCATGATGAATGGGGCAGAGAAACTGCAGGAGTAAAGTGATGACAGAGAGGATGTTGAAGGGAAATGGGTCGGGTCCTGCGGAGATCAATGACATCGGCTTCCCCGCCCCCACGTGATGCTGGCGGACGAGACCAAGATTACTGCGAACAGATATACGTTGGTTTTTAATACATTGGTATTAATGGCATTCATAACGATTTGTAGAATACAAATGTCAACGCGTGATGTTTATGAGAATGTAGATCCAATGATTGGTTGATCACGGAGGAACTGATTCCGCGATTGGATCACGTGTGATAAGACGATAAGCCCCTCGTCGAACGATGAAATCAACTTGCAACTTCGACTACTTTGCGACAATGACCAAATTCAGGCCTTGTATTGACCTGCACTCCGGGCAGGTCAAGCAGATTGTGGGTGGCACACTTAGCGAGGTAGCTGGGGATCTCAAGACCAACTACGTATCTAAGCTTCCGGCCAGCCATTATGCAGGATTATACCAGAAGCATAATTTGCGCGGAGGACATGTGGTAAAGCTGGGCCCGGGTAATGACGAGGCTGCCAAAGAGTCGTTGAGTACATGGAAAGGCGGATTGCAAGTCGCTGGAAGCATTACCGATCAAAATGCTCAATATTGGATTGATCAAGGCGCAGAGAAGGTGAGTTCTCCCCCGCATTGCAATCATCTATAGCACCATTGAACGCCCTAAGTCTAATCATGCCCAATTGAATTTGGCGACAGGTGATCATCACATCCTTCCTCTTCCCGTCGGGCAAATTTTCGCTCGGACGGCTCCAGTCCGTCCTTGCAGCCCTAGGTGATGACAAGTCGAAGCTGGTCTTGGACCTAAGTTGCCGCCGAAAAGATAACACTTGGTTTGTGGCGATGGATCGTTGGCAGACCATTACTGAGATGGAGATTACCGCCGGTATGACAGGAATGTGTGGAGACTCGAGCTTGGTGTACTAATGAATTGATAGAATCGATTGCCTTGCTGGAGCCCTACTGCTCCGAGTTTTTGATCCATGCTGCAGACGTAGAGGGATTGCAGCAGGGCGTAGATGAGGAATTGGTTGCGAAATTGGCCGAATGGTGTACCATTCCCGTCACCTATGCAGGTGGTGCTCGGAGCATTGAGGATCTGGAAAAAGTCCATGTTAGCAGCAAGGGCAAAGTGGATTTGACCATCGGAAGTGCCTTGGATATCTTTGGCGGCTCCGGCGTGACCTTTGATGAATGCATCAAGTGGAATGAGACCCACTGAGAAAAATGAATAAATGACAATCTCAAGACTTTATCATCAGTCTTATTTTAGCAAATAGATCGACTTGATCCCATCGTAATTAACATAGAACTGGTTTCATTCAAGGGCTGCACTAGTAAATTAGTGAACTATAGAGTGCTGACTAAGCTGTAAATCTTTCCCCACGGAAAGACTCACATTTCTCAAGCTCAACAAGTTAACTTGGAAAACATTGAGAAGCGCCAACATGGTTTACTACTTCACCTCTAATGTGGTCAGTCCGGCCGCGTTCATCTATGTCGGAAAGGACAAGTTCGAGAGTATGCCAACCAGAAAACCTCTCCGTATGAATGCGCCTGACAGTCTCGCTAGATGAGGATTTGATCGAGTTTGGATTGGACTCGGATGTTTGGTAGGGACCCGCTGGTTGATGGCCTTCTCTTCATATACTAACCAATCGTTATGATAGGGTCGGTCTTCTCGCGTGCCTGCGCAATATTCCCCTACCGCGATCATCGTATTAACGGCACATCCAGTTCCACGTCGATAATTTGTCTAGCGCCCACGTTTACGTACGCCTACGAGATGGAGAAACATGGGATAATATTCCGGAAGAGCTTCTGGTGGACTGCGCACAGCTGACCAAAGCAAATTCGATCGAGGGTATGTTCCTGAATTCCTTGCGCGCTGTCCCCCACTTTCAAGACTAATCGTGGGGTATAGGAAACAAGAAGGACAATATTACCATTATCTACACCCCGTGGTCCAACCTCCAGAAGGACGGCTCTATGGCCACCGGACAGGTCTCCTTCCATAACCCTAAGCTTGTCCGCAAGGTGCTCGTGCGCGCACGCGAAAATCCGATCATCAACCGTCTCAACAAGACTCGAGTCGAGAAATTCCCCGACTTCCGCGCCGAGAAGGAGGACTACATGAAGAAGAAACGCCATGGAGAACGCAAGACTCGGGAACAGTTGAAGGAGAAGGAGAAGCTGGAGAAGCGGGAGCGGGAGCAGCTCAAGTGGCAGAAGGACCACGCATACGACGACTTCTTCAGTGAGGAGAACATGGAAGCGAGCAGCAACCAAGACCGAGACCCGGATTTCCTTGACGACTTCATGTGAAGGATAATTTCCCAAAGATCGGATATGAACTTATGAACTCATGTTTTATTTTTTTGTTATTGCAAATAGTTGCAGAAACTCTATACACCAAAGCAGAAATCGCTCAAATCTTGTCCATAGCATTGACAATTGGAAAACAAAACTTTATATAGAGTATAGGCCAAATTCACACAGTCTAAATGCTGCTTGCATCTAAAGTCTCGCTCGGAAATCACGCCGTAACGATTCTAGACCTGAAGGCCCGTCGAAGATCTGCTGTTCAGTCATGCGAGTGTTGATCTAGAAAGAAATGTTCAAGTCAGTGTTTGTCACAAAGGGACCAGGATGGTTGTGGCTGCATACGTATTGAGGTCCGAGGGCGTCCACCGTTTCCACTCCAAGCAAGCGCATGCATGTCTGACTTTCATCCGACAGAACTATTGAGACGGTTAGGCGAGACTTGAATCAAGCTAATCTGGGTATACATACTCTGCAATACTCGACGGACACCGTCTACACCACCGGCTCCTAGTCCCCAGAGAGCAGCACGCCCAATGCCCACCGCTTTGGCGCCCAGGCAAAGCGCCTTGACGATATCAGTACCGCGACGGATTCCACCATCGACATATACTTCGATTTTGTCGAAGACCTCTGGACAGTATTTGCGAATCTCTAGCAGAGTGTGTACTGCTGGCGGTGCTGTGTCCAAAGCTCGTCCACCATGGTTAGAAAGAATAATTCCCTTGACTTGCGGGGCGTGTAATGATGCAAGGTAGGCATCCTCGTGTGTTTGCAAACCCTTGAGAACAATAGGCAGGTCAGTGTGTTCAGCCAACCAAGGCAAACTCTCGCGCCAGGTCAAGGTCGGGTCCGTGCCAGCAAAAAGAGTTTTCCCCACGCCTCCTGATGCTTCGGAAACATCAGGAGTACCCTTCGACCTGTCAGCCTCCTTCACTGCACCTGGTGCCGGTGCTCCCACCATGCTGCTTCGCTCGTCGTCTTCGCGCTTTCCCGGGACTGGGGTGTCCAAAGTCAAGACAATGAACTTGATTGCCTTAAGTTTGTTGATTCGCGCCAACATGGCCGCGCTCTTCTTCCGATCAATTTGAACATACAACTGCCATCCAAATACTTGGTCCGGCGCCGCGTCCTTGACGATCTGTTCTGGGGTCATTGATGCATTGTTGGAAATGATTTGCATCGCACCAAAGCTGCGGCAGGCCTCTGCGATTCCTGCCTCGCCCGCCGGATGACCGAGACGGGCCATGGCAGCAGGGGACACATATAGTGGCATCCCCAGTTTATGACCCAACACGGTGCTCGAAAAATCACATCGCTCACAGTCCCTAAACACTCTTGGTCGGAGGAGAATTGATCGATAGGCTTCGTTGTTGAATTTTTTGGAGAATTTGTCATCGGCAGCTGACCAGTAGTATGCCCATGCCTTCTTAGTGACCTGCTTGGTGGCAACCTCCTCGATTTCATCCAGATTGAGAAGGGTCTCCATGGGCGGTGGTCCTTGCGCCGGCTCCTGCGTCTCAACCGGGGCCTCATCCTTGGGCAAGGTGCCTATATCCACGGTTCCAATGCATTGCTCTGGCTTGAGTTCTTCCTCTAAGATGCCCGGGGGGTGAATTGGATCATATTCCTCGGTGGCATCCTTGCCTGCCAACTTTAGAATGATCTTGGCTCCACCGGGGTGACTTGACAGGAAATCGGTCACCTTGCCTCGACGAGTCAGTTTCAGTCATGTACCTCCAGATCGTAACTCACATCATAGACTTTTCCGTATAGCACCACCCAGCAACTCTCCCGAGTGTTGTGCTTTGCGACTGCGGATTTACATTAGAGACAGGGCAGGGCAAGCGACGTGCGGAGGATACAACATACCTTCAGCCGCATCGAATACCTTTGCCATTGCGTATAGAATGAGAAAGCCACAATACAAGGGCGAGGAATGGAAGTTGAGGAGAAAAGGAATGGAGATTACGATATTCGGAGAAGGCGCCGACCATAGAGTGTGGGGAAATGACGGCGACTGGTTCTACGTTGGGTAAATTGGATAGCCGACGCCAAGCCTTAGAAATTCATAGACCTTATTGGTGGGGAAACTCTGGCGGTCTTTGCACGACTCAACAAGCTGTGGAGTACCAGTCAACGTCCCCGGATTTGTGTACGGAATCCATTCTCCCTTTGGCAGACTTGCAATCAGTCTCAATTCTCAAATTTTTCGACTTTGATGCGGCCATCACTCGGCGATGCCGCATGGCATAAGGAGGCGCACGTAACCAAGCAGACGCCGTCTAGCCATGTTGATGGATCCTTTGCAATCGCCTCTCTAGGTATTTCTTACGCGAACACATACGGGTGGACCTAATGATATTGTGTCGTCCAATGTTCCAATCATTTCGAGGCAGCATAAGACTTGCGGTATTCGGTGGTAACAATCAGACAAATACATCAGTTGAAGGCGCCGTAGCTGCCACGATGAACCCGTAAACATCCATCAAAGCTCGACAGATAGGATCATCAGATCATCGCTGGGCTTTTTATTCTTGGCCGAATTTGCGACCTTGAACCTGAAATCTTTGATCAGCTACACACTCGCGAGCCTAGTATTCATGCTCATCACACAGACTCGACGCCCCATCGTGTGGCTCTTGCGCAGAGTGGCCTGGTATCGCCGAATAGAACCGACATCATACCATGTAACTCAAATCGCCGTAATATTTGTGATGACGAAATTTTTACTGTGCATCAATGTCCTCTTCGATCGCCCCCAGGTTGTCTACACATTGATCGATCGGAAGAACGGGACAAGAAGTCACATCACTCCCAAGGAGTATAGTAACTACTCTTTTAAAAAAAAAGGTCAAGCTGTTGAATTATCCGATGTTGGATGGAACAAGGCACCGGCTGGGGAGGTCGCAGCATACTATGACAAGCAGAAGTTCAACCAAGAGCTCAAGAAGGCTGGGGACCTTATGACAGCAGCCACTGATACGGCAACGGCTACTTCCATGATATGAGAGTCAAATGGCAGATTCTTTGCTGCGGTGTTTCAGACCTGATTAGATTACAGGTGTGATAGCCAACACCGCATTGGGGTCGTTAAGATAGGAAATTTTCACAACATTCGATACCATGACCCTCCATAAACAGCAATGAGAAGATCTCAGAAAGAGGCATGAGGATAAATTCAAGTAAGGCAAGTTTAAGGTTATGTTTAAGTTTATGGCTATGGTTATGGTTATGGTTATGGTTATGGTCATCTGAAGGATAAAGGGCTCGTCCGGCAATGCGGGACTCCGTGAGTGATGCCTGTGTCCGGTTTTTGGTTGCTCTGGACGTGGGATGAAAACTAAGATCGTGAAATGAGGATCGTTGGTCAATTGGTTGCAGCGCTGCAATGAGAGTGGAGCGATACAGCACATTTGGCATTCGAGCAACATATGGCAGAATGACCAGATAATGGTGACATATGCCACATCACATACACATGTCTACTTCTAAATCTAGTGGTTTATCCTTTCATGTCGTATATTAAAATTCTTTTTATCGAGAACGTCCGGTAATGGGATCAGAATTGATCCTTAACACCATTCTTCTCTTCCTCTTTTAACCTCTCCTCATTCATCTTGAACCACCAAATATGCGACGCATCCTTAGTCTTGGTCTCTTTCTCTTCGTCTGCCCACTCATCCCAGGGTTTCGGGCTGAGGATGTAATGCACATTCTTCACACTTTCGTCTCGCCAGATGGCATCGTGCACCCCCTCCCACCGCAGAGTCTTCAGCGCATTGTAAATGTACGGAAGCGCCACCCAGCGCCCATGGAAGAGGTCTCCTAGGAGGGACTGGTCTGCGAAATCGTAGTCTAATGTGGCCGAAGTGTCAAGCTGGCTCACAATTTTGTCGTATATTTCCTTGGATGGGTTCACGACCTGGAGGCCTCCGTTAGGCATACCAAAGGCAGCACCGGATGCTGGGCCCATTGTTTGCGCAATGTCTGGGGTGGCGTGCTGTGTAGTGTAGGCACAGTTGGCCGGGATCCTGTTGATGGTCAGTCTGAAGTGAACGCTGAGACTCAAAAAGACTAGGGTCGGCCACACCAATTTGAGGGGTAATGAGGCTTCTTGAGTGGATTGCAAGCACAGGCGTGACTGGCAGCAAAAACTCGGTTGCCTGTGCCAGCTGCAGAGGGTGGGTCGAGGTCGAGTTCCATTAGTTCATCCATATTCTTGAGCACGAGCATATCGCTGTCGAGCTGGACGACACGATCATATTCTACGAGGGAGAATGGAGTGAGCTTAGACCAGCAGTCGTAGAAGCGCGGATCATTGGCGTATTCCCTTGGTGTTGAGGGGAGCAGATAGGCGACATGTTGTTTTAAGATACCGCGTGCATCCAGGGCTTTATGACCCTCCGCCGGAAATGAATCTGTGTACAGGGCTACCAGTGGGTACTTGGAGCCTACTTTCTTGAGCGAGTAATCCAAGGTCAGAAGACCCGACAGGTAGGCGGTGTTGGTGATCAGTGTTGTCCATACTGCGAGTGTTACTTGTCGATCATCGGGGTTGGTTGAGCTGCGCGTACCTTTGGACGGATGTGCCTTGTTCCCGTCGGCCATGATAAAGAACGTCGCTCTTAGCTGATCCAAGGGTCAGCTCATGGATCAATGCATTGCGATTGAATACACTACCGTTCTCGTGGATTGGAGCAGGATAAAGGTTTCGAACGCAAGGTAAGGTTGAAGGAAGCGTTGATAGGAGGGGTGCGGATGTTCCTGGCCGTTATCAATAATGTGGGGAATGTTCAGAGTTCCTTATCCAAAGTAATACGTACCCTCACTTGTCAGATAACGTGATCCGCTCACCTGGTGGATTGATTGACTTCTGATGCTTCCAAGCTACACAATACTAGGATGATAAGTAACACTGCAGAATTAATCTATAATATCACTCCCTGTGTGTGGGCAAAACTCCAGGGTTCTTGGGGCCGACCGAAAAACAGCGTCCTCGGCGAGGTCCGCTTATATATTTCCATCCCAACCACAAAACTCAGCAAATGTAAACATCTAAGAAATCTAGCCATGACCTTTCGGTTGCCATGGCCATTGACATTGCCACTGCCATTGGACCTGATATATAAATCTAGAGACTAACATGTGTGCCCTAACTTCCAATTGGGATTATTCGATGAATATTCAGGCCCTTCCAAATTTCAATACAGAAAAAAACTATCAATCCAGGACCCCAGACCTGACTATGGGCATATATGATGTAGATGTGCCAGTAATCCAAGGTTCTTCCCAAGCCGTCTCCGTTTTGAGTATTCTAAGTAGGACATTCACATGACAAGAGCGGAGAGAGCGTATGTATGCCAACAACTGTGACTAGTATCGTAAAATTTGATGTCCCATGCAAGGGTGATATTGTTAAAAATAGGAAAATTACTCATCCAAGTCGCGTGGTCTAATGGTCATGATTTCTGATTCACATCATTCTGTGATTGAATCACTCAGAAGGTTCCCGGTTCGATCCCGGGCGCGACTAACTTTTTTTTTTTTTTTTTTTTTTTTTATTTTAACTCCCTCTAATCATCTATGTATACGAAAGCCAGCCCTGAATGAAGGTGGATTGTCAATTACAGTAATGACCATAGCGTACAACAGCTCAGTATGAATCGGGACATATAGTCGCGATATTATCAAGTAAGGTTTTGATAATGCTGTTATAAAGTCTTGACTTGGCAGAAACATAGATAGTGAAAAAGAAAGGTGGAAGGAAATCTGTGTTGCTATACATGTCAATTAGGCTAGGCCTTTCGAAAAGGCTTTCATGTGATATAACTAGCAGGGTTAAAAATTACATAATCTAGTCGCGTGGTCTAATGGTCATGATTTCTGATTCACATTATCCTGTAATTGAATCACTCAGAAGGTTCCCGGTTCGATCCCGGGCGCGACTATTTTTTTTTCTTTTTTTGCCTTTTTCCTTCTTATATAATTACTACTATAGTCATTTGTAGAGGACGTAGCTGACCAACGTGAGCGTCATTTATAATAATCTTGAAGGTCAACGCCGTAAATGCTTATGCCGACAATTCAAATCCGTTGGGAATTGTAAATATTGAATCTAGAGACAAAGATTGGTGCATGGGTAGTAATGGAATAGATGTAATTTGTGGTATCATGCCCAAGTCTTGAATCAAGTCAAAAAAACTGGGTAACGGAGATAAAGAGAGATCTATAATAAAAGGTATGTAGGAAGAAAGGGAACAATATTCACAAACAATGAAGGTCCAACAAAATTCGAAGGCTAGATCTTGGACAGCGGAGGTTTATCCTGCTTTAATCGCACGACACCCTATGATATCTGGTCAGCGTAGGCCAAAAAGAAGGCAGGAAATTCATTCATACCTCTTGGGTACATGTGGCAATCAATGTCCCGTTTTGCGACCATAACTTTTGAATCGCCAATCCGCGTCCCTCTCCCGCCCAAGGGCTCTCCGTTTCAACGAACATCCACTCATCGGCGCGGAAGGCCAGTGGATTATGAAAGTAGATTGAATGGTCAAGGCTGACCATCATGCCTACTTCTTTATGATCATCTTTGGTGGCGTTGCTCAGGGCTCCTTCGAGTTGACGTCGCAGATCTGCCGCTTCTTCCTCTTTCAACTCCTTGAAAGCCTTGGTAATGTCTTCGTCATCGAGGTCAGACGGGTTCTTCAGTGCCTTGAGGAGCTTTTGGAGGTCGGCTGGGGACGAGAAGCGTGGAATATCATGGACACGAGAGACGGTTCCAATGAAGAAGCTGTCGGTAATATAAGCCAGGGCGGACAAGTGGGCCTGGAAGCCTCCTTCGTCGGAGATACGGCTACGCGCCCGAACGAATCGTCGAACTCTTTTATCTTCAGGATTCTGGTTTCCTGCGCTATTGTGAGCTATCGCGGTATCCAATATGTGGAAGAGAACGTACGGTTAATGATGCCCGCCTTCTTCGACTCAAATGGACCGCCCCCTGCATCGCTTAAAGCCTGGACAGTCCCCGGTAATGAATCCGCCGGGAGCGAGACATCAGGCATTGGGGTCGCATGGCTCAACGTCCTCTCACCCCCGCTACCCACTCGGCTGAAACTCAGCGTGGTCGTGAAGATCGGACGGCCCCGTTGGCGCGCTTGCACGGTTCGGGTGATAAAGCTCCGTCCGTCGCGTACACGTTCGACGTGGTATAGGATGGGTAATTCGGAATCACCCGCGAGGACGAAGTAACAGTGCATGCTGTGGACGGCAAAGTCGGCCGGCACGGTACGCATTGCAGCGGACAGGGACTGGGCGATAGCGGCGCCACCGTATATTCCTCGGGCCCCGGGAGGATGCCATAGTGGCCGAGTGTTCGTAAAGACATCCTAAGCGTAGTGGCCGTACGTTAGCCCTTTGATCTATGATGTGACACGTAGGAAGGGGGTTTAGTTACTGGGCCGAGGTCCACCACTGGCGTCAAGTCGAGCACATTCTCGATTTGCGCCTTGGAGTCGTCCTGTGGCGGAGGCTCAAAGAGAGTGACGTGTTTGCTCATGATTTCGATCAAGTGTTGATTGATAACGAAAAGAATGAAAGAAAGACGTAGAGTAGAAACGGGGTACAGCGGATGCCGGCGATCAGCGCTTTTAGGCGGGTACAGCTTCGGAGCCGAGGTTCATCATGCTTGGCACCAGGACAACACCAGGGCTCCACTACATTCCAATCAATGGTATTCGATCTACAGTACAATTTAGACCGCAACCGCGTCTGGAAAGGCTACTGGCTAAATCAATGTTGAATGATGATATTTGCAGGAGGGAAATAATTCGTCTATAATGTCTTTGAAGGCTATAGTGGCAGCTGAAGGGGGAGTGGATGTCGATGTTGCAAGGATGATATGGTTGAAACGAAACACGAAAACAATGCAAATGATTCGTTACTCGTCATGAAGAAGCCTCGGTATTTAAAGAGCCGGCACCTCCCATGTGTCGCGCTTGATCCTCATCACGGCGGACTGTTTGTGCGGGAAGCTGACCTCCCCTTCTTTATGAAAGCCAACTTGCTGCAGGTATCCGATAAGCCTTGAATATAAGTTAGCATTCACCATCCAGCCAGAGATGATTGTATCTTACTTTAAATTGTCAATTCGCGGCTCTAGAACAACCGAATTCGTTCTCAGGTCATTCAAAAAGCAATAGTGCACCAGAGCAGTCAACCAGATCGCCACTCGGTGCGGTCCTCGGAACTCTTGCTCGCCGACAAGGAGGTGAATACCCCGATCATAATTATCCACACAATCCAACAAGCGACCCAGCGGATCCTCTTTTACCCAGTAGAGCTCGAAGTAGCCGAATGGTCTGCCGTCCCAACACCCAATGACGGGGAAGCTGTGTCGACTCGTCAGGTTATTCATGAGAAACTTTTCCTGCACTTCCTTGGGACCTCCAACTCCCCACATCGCTTCGACGCGTGGATCATTCATCCACTTATGCAAGGTATCCAGATCAGACGGAATATCCTGGAAAAGATGCTGCTCGACACCCGTCACGGCCGAGCTAACTAGCTTATTTGGTGTGGAGGGTCGGCTCTCACTGCCACCAGGTGCCACTTTGGGCTTTGTCATTGGTAGGAAAGGGATTCGGAAGGAGAGATATTGTGCCACACTGGGGATATACCGCGAATAGAATATTTCCCCTTGATGCGGTGGCTTTGGGCGGACCGGGTGCCGGACCCCATTAGTAAATCTATACTGCGTGGGTGCAGGTGGGTAATACGTTGGTAGATGGCTGCCAGATGTGAATGGTCCAGCTGATGTGAAAGGGCTCAGGTTGCCGGTATGGAACGTTGCCTCCGTAGGCGACAGTATCGCCGAGGCGGGGATGCCATCCCGTGCTGGAGAAGCATGTCGGGAGTGGAACGGGGTCAGAGAGGGGGACGGTGGTGCCCCCCGCGGAGTCAGCGTGAAGAGAAAAAGACGCGGGTCTAGCTGCCAGAAGCTTCGTCGGCTCACGAACATGTTCGACCAGCTGCCCGAGTCCCGTGTTTCAACGGGCTGCAGCCCAACGGAGGAGTCCTCGCTCGCAATTAAGCCCATGCGCTCCAGCTTTTGAAGGAGATTTCGGCCCTTAAAAATACCCTCGCGTTTAATGTTCACCCTCCATTCGCCCTTTGGTCGTCCATCGTGCGGGGTCACGTTGCATGCCGCAGTGACCAAGTGGAGATCGGGCTCGGGCTCATGAAAGTACCACCACAAGGTCGCCCAGAGCATCATAGCAATTTGGCGGGTGGGCGAAGAAGCCGGTTTGAACTCGCTAGACGGCGGACTCACGATGTATGAGATGTATAGGCAATCACGGCCCAAGGTCGGAGTGGTAAATCGGGCGATATCCTGGTCGCCATCGCTAGAAGATGGACGTCCACCCTCTGAGCCCGTCCGACCTCGTTCTTCCTGTGACTGCTTGGCATTTTTTTCGCTGTGGATGATGATCGTCCATCCCGGCGGGAAAGTGGAGTTGTGAACATTCAAATCGTTGGATTTGAAGGTGACTCCACCAAAGACAGGCGACACACTGAATGTCATGCCATTTGGGAGATGACAGGCGCTGTGTCGCATGGTGATCGCGGCAGGGAATTTTTCAAGACAAGATCTCAAATCTTGGAGCTTGGAGACTGAAAAAGGTGCGCACGAGACTCTTATCTTTTTTGCCCCTCACCTGCGCGGGGAACTGACACCAGGGCCTCCACGAGCAATGACACGATATGACTTAGTTCACAATATCACCAAAATGAAGTTCAAGGAGGACCAATGACCACATCTGGTCACCGGAGAGGATTGAAGGAAGAAACGTTGAAGATCATTGGGAAAAAAAAAAGGGATCAACGTTAAATGTAAATGATGACGCAGACACCCGTGCTGTCATGCCACTGCAAACGCACCATACAAACCACGGCATTTGGTCAGCGACACCGCTCTAGAGCTACAATGCAATTCAACTAGCATGAGAGTAGTAACGTCTTAGCTTTGATTGGATCCCGTTTTCACGAGACTTTTTCTGATGCTTTTTTTTATGGAGCAAAATGGAGAAAAATGTCTGTGCGAGCGGTAAGAGCGTAATAATTAAATAAAAGAAACCAGGTCGAGCGCTGGAACCCTGGAAAAAGCTCGGCAATGGCGCACTCAATATTAGAGTACATCGGTCATGCCAAATCAATACATACGCTATGCTCTCAGTCAACGCAATTTTTAACCCTGTTCTAAAGTTCAATATTTTGAACTTGCACCCGCTAGTTCCCATTGCTACAGAATAATTATGAAAATCAAAAATCTCACATCAATTATCCGTCAACGGTCATAGTGTGATCGTCATGGCGTGGGAGCGGATATCGACCGATATATGCATACTCTGTGTCTCTATGTAGCTCCCAATTGTAACATGAGACAATTTCCACGATTGGCCGATTACGAAGGCTCAAATATGTCGGGGTTTCGCTATCGCCCAGAGATTCTAAAGGGAATGTCAGACTACGAGACGGAGTATCTTAAGCAGTACGAAAACTGGTTTATCCTCGAGCCAAAGGATCTAAAACGCATCACAGACCATTTCGTAACGAAATTGAACAAGGGACTCTCAAAGGAAGGAGGCACTATCGTCAGTCGTCTCCAGTGCGTTTCAATAATCCCGTTGCTATCTCCAAAACCCGTGATTATTTAGCCCATGAATCCATGCTGGATCATGGGATTTCCCTCCGGCCATGAGACAGGTCGTGTTCTGACACTAGATATGGGTGGAACAAACCTGCGCATATGCAGAGTCTGTCTGTCAAGCCGCAAGAGAGACTTTGAACAGTTCCAACGAAAAATTCAACTCCCAGAGGAACTCAAAACCGGGACTGGGGAGCAACTTTGGAACTTTGTCGCCGAATGCCTAGAATTGTTCCTCAAGGAGCATCATATCGAGAGTGATGATGATGATGATGATGATGATGATGATGATGGCATCGTACCTTTGTCATTTACTTATTCGTTTTCCGTCGAGCAGAAGTCCATACGGAGCGGGATTCTGCAACGCTGGACGAAGAACTTAGATGTATTCGGAATGAAAGGACAGGATGTAATCCCGCAGCTTAAAGCTGCCTTTAAGAGACATGTAAGGCTGACCAGAAAATGGGTTGAGCTGTGTTGCTGAAATTACCTAGAGCCTGCCGGCGAGAATAGTCGCGCTCCTCAACGACACCACGGGCACCTTGATTGCATCACACTACCGGGATCCCAAGGTCAAACTGGGGAGTATCTTCAGCACAGGCTGTAATGCGGCTTACATGGAGGAACGCAAGTTGATCCAGAAACTTGAAGGCGCTGCGCTACCAGAAAAGGCCACTGTTATCATCAACACCGAATATGGTGCATTTGATAACGACAGGAAGGTCTTGCCATTTACTCCATTTGACTCGCAATCGATGGAACATCAGGATGGTATCTGGATTGTATATCGGTGAGATGCTGCGTCTGATCCTCGTCACACTGCACGAGCATGGCAAACTCTTCAAGGGTCAGGATATCACGCGGCTTCGACATGAGAAGACCTAGTTCGACGGAAGTTTGAGCCTTTCGCCCGATCTCAACGATTTGAAGGTGTGTCGGTATCTGATCGGCCTCGTCGCCACACGGGCAGCGCGTCTCTATGCTTGCGGAATAGCTGCTATCTGCAAGAAGAAGAAGAACATAAAGAGGTGTCATGTTGGTGTTGATGGCTCCGTGTTCAACAAATATAGCGGATTCAAGGGCCGAGCTGCACAAGGACTGCGTGACATCTTTGACTGGCCGCCTGATGAGCAGGAATTGATCGCGCTCAATCCGTCCGAGGATGGCTCGAGCGTAGGAGCAGCATTGGCTGCAGCATTGATTATTGAAGGAGAGCAAAAGGCCAAACCATTGTATTAGACGAGTAGAAATAAAATAGAAGTTTTGAACTAGAGCAATGAACTTGTTTACTGCTTCTACATGACATGTGAGCGCGAGTCTTGTACGATCAAAAAATAATTTTATTCTTTGTTTAGGAATGGTGTATAAATTAGACCATCCAAGACAGGTCATTCTTCTATAATAGATCTTATCTCTGTTGCAAAACCTCCTCGGTGGTGCGAACAATGATATCAAACGCATTGCGAACGTACTTCTCCTCTGCCATCGGGTTGGCGCTCACCACCCGAATGACATAGACGCCATCAATCACTGTCGAGGTAATAAAAATCTCGCCCCGCGAGTTAATTAATTCATAGATCTTCTTGGTGATGCTATCAGCAGCCTCGTCCCTGACGACCGCACCGTTAGTACTGTTTGAGGCCGGGCCCTTGATGCGGAACACAGTCAAACCAAAACCTGGCTTGGTGACAATCTCAAAAAGATCGTTACGACCGCGGACTAGATCAGCAAAGATGTTACCCAAGCCGATCGTTTTGCGGATATGCGCTTTCATGCCGCTCAAGCCGTAGCTCCGCATCACGAACCAGATCTTCAGAGCTCGGAAACGGCGACCGAGGGAGATAGACCAGTTACGGTAGTCGATCACAGTACCCTTATCTGAATAAGGGTTGCGGAGATAGACAGGAGTGATGTCGAGGGCATTGGTCAGATCAAGACGATTGCGGAGGAACAGGACACTGCAAGATGTTAATAAACGTGTGGGTATTGATAGATCGGGAAGGAAGTACCTTGCATCGAAGTTGACCAGCAACCATTTGTGCATGTTCATGTTGAAACTGTCCACGCCTTCGGCGAAGTCCTCGGCAATGTACTGCCACTCATCCGCGACAAGCGAGGCACCCGCATAAGCTGCATCCACATGTACCCAGATGCGCTGCCATGCAGGCTTCTCCTGCAGCACGGCCTTGATCTCCGCAAAGCGATCGACACTGCAGGTGTTGGTTGTACCGAAAGTCATGGTCAGATGATACGGCGTCAATCCGTCTTTATCGCATTTCTCCAATACCTCTCGCAGACGTGCAGCGGTCATCTCCATATTCTCCTCTAACCCAGTCTTCACACTGCGGAAACGGGTGCCCGCAATCAACGCTCCCTTGGCTGCACTGCTGTGTGTCTGATCACTAGCGATCGCCACCAACCGTGGCTGGAGATCCATTTTGCGCTCATCATATTCGTTGGTTCCCTCCTTCAGACCCTCGGCCAGCACCAACTCGCGCACCCGGCGCTCTCGCGCCGCGACCATGATGGTCGCAATAGCATCACTCGCACTATTCTGGATGACACCGCCACCTAGGTTCTCCGAGGTGCTCAAAAAGCATTCAGGAAGCCCTAGCGCTTTTGCCACCCAATCCATTACAATGGTTTCCAGCTCCGTGCAGGCCGGTGAGCAGAGCCAGTTGAATGCCGGCGCGGTAAACGCTGCCGAATACATCTCACCTAGAATACTCGGATATGTCACACTGGCGGGGTAGTACGCCATGAAGTTCGGCGACTGCCAATGGGTTAGCCCCGGCTTGATCTTTGTGTCGACATCCTGCTGGATCTGGTCCCAGGCTTCCGGTTCTGTTGGGGGGTTCTCGGGGATCAGAGGGCGTAGGTATCCGGGATCGACGGCCGGGAGGACTCTCCGGTCGGGAACGCTGTCGAAATATCCAAGGACTGGAGCACGGATCCATTAGTGGTCTGTTTGCGTGTTTGATCAATTGGGTAGTCCAATCGGTGAGGCTTACTATCGTCGATGGCTGAGTGAGCCGCTGTTCGGAACTCGTCGCGATCCATTCTTCGCGTGGGTTAAGAATGTGAGGGAGGATGCTTCTGGGGTATCAGGGAAGAAGATTGGGACTTGACGGAATTGAGATGCACTATTATATGCGGGCAGGATTTGCATGTCGAGGACAGGGCGTCGGAACAGTTCCGTCGTACCGAAAGTGGGGAACTCTGGGTTCGCTCGAGATCAATTCAACATCGATTTGATAAACTTATAGGATCCGAAATTCACCAATTGATCAATGTCACGGGGACTGGTCTCATTAGATTCGATCATATCGTCAGGCTTAGTCACTCTGTCGTCTTTTCCTGATGTATCATCTATATCATCTATCAAACACATGCATAGGACTGGGCAAGCATTTCATTGGGCCTTTCCACTACTGCCGATAATATCCATCCAGCGCTCCATCTCCGCCGTCAAGACCTCAATTCCCATGTCCATCAACTCAGTCAGAGGGCGAGTCGCATTGGCCCGGAGATTATCGTGCCAAGGATCCAGCACCAGCTTATTCACATTGACTTTGGTCACGCCAGCCTTGATACACGCCTGAGTCAGAGTCGGTGGAAAGTCGTTGGTCCCGTGTAACACCATGCGTACTCGGCCATTCATCGATCTGAAAATCCCCCGTAGTCTAAGTTTCATCCAGCTGTCAGTAAAGTCAATGTCGGATTTCCAGTTTCTCCACGCACCGCTCCATATCCAATTCAGGTCCTTTTGGCCCGTAATCTCCATGGACATTCCCAACACTCGGTGCCAGAAAGTCCACTCCAGACGCAATAAACTCCTCCACATCCTCCGGGTTCGTCAATATACCCGCGAGGTCTCCGGTATCCATAATCCCATCTTCTCCACCTTCAATGCGACCGGTCTCTGCCTCCACTGAAATCCCGCGAGCGTGACAATATTCGCGCAGGACCTTTGTCTTCGCCAAATTCTCCTCCTTCTCGTAATGACTCATATCGACCATGATCGAGTCGAAGGGCAGATTCTCTGCGACATGCTTGATCTGTTCATAGTCCTGGGCGTGGTCTAGATGCACTGAAATAGGGACGGAGGCACTCTTTGCGGCGGCGGCGGCGGCGAATACTAGCGATGGGGTCTGTTTGAGGGAGGAAGGGAATAGTTGAATGATCAATGGGGAGTGGCGCTGCTCAGCAGCTTGGACCATTGCAGTGATGTGTTCCACATTATACCTAAGCCTTGTCAGTAAGTGGTGGTTGCTTATTACCCATGTTACTCACACGATCGCAGCTAGAACACCATAGCCACCTTTCTCGGCCGCAGTCAAAATCTGACAAGTCTTATTGCTGTCGCGCCAATTCATCATGGAATAAAATTTGGAATTATCTTGGATCTGGCTATGCTTCACTTGGATGATTCATGTTAAACTACAGTATATATACTAGCGTGCGGGGCTCATTCCCCGCCCCTCGTCTCGAGGCACTCGGCTTGGTGTGGGGTACATCAAAGGTTGAAGACAGTCCCAGTGTTCCAAAGGTTTCATGATCCTAACATTAATGGTTCCTAAGATTGGTTTCATCTGAATTGATCTCCACACCCGTGCCCTTGGTGGTCAAGGCTTTCGTCCGACCTCGACACGATCATTGCACGCCCCTCTGGGCTTTACGTCATGGGGACCGAGCAGCGGGGCGTGTGCAGGAAACTGTTCTAACATACTATATGATATATCTACTGAAAGGTTTGGAAGTTTTCAAGGCTTGAAAACAATATTGGATGGTTTTATACAGCTGTGCTAATCCACTATGAACGAAGAAAAAATCAAATTCACCAGAACAATGCCAAAAGAAAAGAGGGTATTCATGATCATCAAGTGCACATCATTTACAGCTTAGCAGCTGAGCCAGCCGAGGAGATCTCATTGTACAGCAAGCTGGTCAGGAAATCGGCGTAATCCTCACCAGTAACCTGACCGGCGAAGTAACGCGCGGCAAGCTGGTACTTGTTGCCCTTCGCGCCCTGGGAGGCAAGGCTGTCAGCCTGCTCCTGCAATAGACGGAGTGCATAGGCCTTGTCAACGCGCTTGCCTTCGGCGGTGGAGACGTTGTGCTTCACCCACTGCCAGAGTTGCGAGCGGGAGACCTCGGCAGTAGCGGCATCCTCCATCAGGAAGTTGATGGGGACACAGCCGACGCCGCGGAGCCAGCCCTCCATGTAACTCAGACCGATGTTCAGGTTCTTGCGGATTCCTTCCTCGGTGATCTTTCCGGGGACGTTGGTGTTGAGGAGATCGTTGGCGGTGATGTTGACTTCCTCACGTCGGACGAAGAGCTGGTTAGGGGTGGGCATGTGCTTGTTGAAGATATCGGAAGCAATGGCAGCGAGAGCGGGGTGGGCGACCCAGGTACCATCGTGGCCAGCACGGACCTCGCGGAGCTTATCGGCGCGCACACTCTCCATGGCCTTGTCGTTGGCGACGGGGTCGTTCTTCACGGGGATCTGAGCGGCCATACCACCCATGGCGTGGACACCACGGCGGTGACAGGTCTTAATGAGCAGCTTGACGTAGGCATCCATGAATGGCACTGTCATGGTGACATCGGAGCGATCGGGGAGCACGAAGTTGGGGTTCTGGCGGAACTTCTTGATGAAGGAGAAGATGTAGTCCCAACGGCCACAGTTCAGACCAGAGCTGTGGTCACGCAGCTCGTAGATGATCTCCTCCATCTCAAAAGCAGCGGTGATAGTCTCAATTAGAACGGTACCACGGATGGTGCCGCGGGGGATTCCGATGTAGTCCTGGGACAAGTTGAAGACGTCGTTCCAGAGACGGGCCTCGAGGTGAGACTCCATTTTGGGCAGGTAGAAGTAGGGGCCGGTGCCGCGGGCCACGAGCTCCTTGGCGTTGTGGAAGAAGTACAGACCGAAGTCAAAGAGACCGCCGGAAATGGGCTCACCGTTAACGGTGAAGTGCTTCTCATCGAGGTGCCAGCCACGAGCACGGGCGATAAGGGTAGGCAGGGTACGGTCAGTGCGGAGCTTGTATTCCTTGCCACCCTGGTTGAAATCGACCTGGCGGCGAATGGCATCGTACAGGTTGACCTGGCCGTTGATCATGTTGTCCCAGGTCGGGGCAGAGGAGTCTTCAAAATCGGCCATGTATGTCCAGACGTCGGAGTTGAGGGCGTTGACGACCATTTTGCGGTCGGTGGGACCTGTGATCTCGACACGGCGATCAACCAGACCGGGGGCAGGGGGAGCACCCTTCCATGCATCATTTTCACGGATGTGCTTTGTCTCGGGCAGGAAGTCGAGAAGGTTGCCCTTGTCAATCTCGGCCTGGCGGTCGATGCGGCGTTGCAGCAGGGCCTTGCGGGTAGGGTTGAAAGTACGGTGCAGGATAGCGAGGAAAGCGCATGCCTCCTTGGTCAGGATCTTGCGCGCGTCATTGGGGATGTTGCCGAGGATGGCAACATCCTTAAGCTGAGTTTCGACAGAGGACATTGTGAATGTGAGGGGGTATAGGAAGTATATATTCAATGTTAAGGAAGATTAGATCTGATTCTTATCCATCCAGGTCTGCTAGGAGTCACAAGCAGCTTCAGAAGTTCACGGAGATATGAGAGAGAAAGAGAAGGAAGTCTCCTTACACCCGTAGTTCTACAAACGTTATATATAGAGCATCGCCATCCGACCGAAGGCGGAGATAAAGTCGAATAGAATACGTCAGAGCGAAGTTACCGCGGCTCTTTGCTCAGCCATTGCCCCGGCCAATAATTCGACTTTCCCGACGGGAAACTCTCGATTCTGCCTCCACTCGGCCGACATCGCCCGTTCCCCGGAATCTGCCACTGCAGAAAAGGCGGTCGCGCGTGCCATTGTGAACGGGATGCGCCGTATACCGAGTCTTATCGCCCGTAAAATCCGATTCTCGAGAAAATCAGTCTCGGTCGGTTGAATGATTTATATAAATTTTAAGATGGGGCTTTGTTGTTAACTTATTATGACGAATTGACTGTCCCGGCAAAAACAGAGTTCAAAGTGATTATCATGTCGCCTCCCCTAACGCACCCGAGAGTGGCTGCAGCTAATTCCTGTTCTCCCCGTCCGAAAGCCAAGCCGCGGTTCACCTGGGCAGCACTCAACTGGGATCGGTCCTGCTCGGTAATGCAGTTTGATGCTGCAGATTGGCCGAGTTGACCCGACTTGTGATGGTGAAGGATCGACATGTGACGACATGTGATTCTGATACGGTCCAGACCATCAACCTTGGGGAAGGCGAAGCTTAAAAAGCTATTGACTAGTCTATCTCTTGACACGGCGATCATCCGTGCTTTATGACTTTAACCACAAGACAAACAAGCAAACAGCCCATTGGATCTTGGCCCTGCCCGACACTGCTACCGCTCGCTGATTCTCTACTCCCAGTAAGTCACGACAGAGCAATCAACATGACCGCACCGTATTACGAGCGCTTTTACCAAAAGCTGAAAACCTCGATTTTCGTCGCTCTTTAGAGACAGGCTTTGTTGCAGGCCTTTCTCAAGATCTTCTGGCTGGCGTCTTGCAAGATCCGTGAAAATCAAGATAGACGACTAACGACATTGCTGCTTTTTAAGTTAACCATACGGCCAGCGTTAGCAATGTGTTGACTAGGGCGAACGAAACATAAAGCTACCAGAGTGAATTGGGTGCCAGAATGTCGATGTTCATTCTGAAGTGACTCTGTATCCATATTAGGTAACTGATTTGACAAGGATGAGCCGAGAAGCTCAGCAATAAGCGATTGTGGAGTCTGCCTCTACTGCAAGGTGAAGTGGAGTCCAACCACACCCGTCTACCTAAGCATTAGCCTTCGCATCTTTATGAAGAGACCTTTGCACTATATCTGTGTCTGTGCTTCCGTCCAATGTGGCAGCATAAGAAGCATTTGAAGACAACCCCTCACCCACTTTCTGGGCCATCCTCAAGAAGAAAGCACAGTTTTAAAAGCGCATCTTGAGCATTGATCATCGCCATTGAGTTGCTTTCACAACCTCTCCATGCGAACATACAGTGTAGGAAAACAGCGAGGTAAAAGCAATGGGAATGCGGATATACCGTACGAATCGATGCCAAGAGCAAGTTGGGTCTTTTCATCCACTAACAACCAATCACTGGATAGCGCCCAATCTCATGCTAGTGCTTACTTTGAGCTCAAGGTTATCTACCTTGAGGTATTCTTCGATACAACACAGTGAGTAATTGATCGATGCGGAGAAAAAATGCTGCTGGTGATAAAATATAGAATCAAATGGTAAATGCGGATGGATCTCAAATGTTGACGCCGGCATCTTATATACATATAATATCTCCATCCTTGGTAAGTAAATGGGTTTCAATATTGCACTGCGCAATATCAAATGATCTCCCCTAGACGGTTTCAATATATCGCTTCACCTCCCTGCCAAATTGTCAGCAACAGTGTCCAGCGCAGCGAATAGAGAGATAAAATAGCTCAACTTACCAGTCCGTGACGGCCTCCTCCCACAGGCGCACTTCATGCTCTCGTGTCCCACCAAAGTGATCCACAAAGGCATCCCCAAAGACCTCTCGCGCCATGCTATCGGGTCGCATAAATGTAGCAGTAGCCTCCTTGAGGGTCTTAGCCAGCCGCACTCCTTGATCACTAGCCCCGCCCATGTCGTCACCCTTAGACAACGGTGGCACAGGGATCTCGAGCTTCTTTTCAACACCACGCCAACCTAGTGCCATGATCGCCGCGAGGACAAAGTGCGGGTTCGCATCAGCACCAGGTACGCGAACCTCAAAGCGAGTCGCTTTGGCACTGGCTGTCGGTGGAGTAATCAACCGAATGGAAGCAGCGCGATGTTCTAATCCCCAGGAGACGGTGACGGGGGCCCAAAAGTTCTCTACTAGACGTTTGTAAGAGTTGATCGTTGGGGCTAAAAGCGGCATGATGTCCGGCAAGCCGACCAGCAGACCCGCCAGAAAGTGTCGGCCTAGGTCAGAAAGGTGTGCAACATCTGGATAAGGCGGAGACGGGTCAGGAGTATCACGTATAAAGGCATTATTGCCATCGGCGTTCACGAGCGAGATATGCATGTGACCACTATTGCCCGGGAGGCCTTGGCGTGGTTTAGCCATGAAGCAGGGCGTGATACCATGCTTGATGCCATAGGCTTTGACGACGTATCTGCAAGCCGGTTAGTCTTGGCTCTTGATCTTTATCGGGTGTCTCTTACTTGAACAAGCCGGCCTTATCGGCCATATCCTTGGCTTCACCAAATTGCAATGCCTATCAAAACCGCAGTTAGCTGAGATATGGCCACTTGGTTTTATTTTATTTTATTTTTCTTTTCGGTTTCACACAGCGCATCAACTCACGGCTTCATAAACACCCGGTCCACTCTCGGTATGCCACCCTTCAATATCGCAGCGGAACTGCTCGCAGGCGTCGAATATGCCATAGTAGTAATCTTGGTTGTGTAGGGGACGAGTAATCGAGTACCCGAACATGCCCTCCGTTATAGGAGGAAGGCTCTCTGCTTTATTTGTTTGGAGGAACGCTGCGGTGTGGGAGGCGGTTCGCTCGGGTGAGGGATGTTCTCCTGGGGCACGGAATTGGTAGAACTCATATTCCGCTAGAAAATGATCAGCGGGGGGTTGAGATATCTCCAGGACGTGTGATGGCTTACCTCCCGCCATAGCGCGGTACCCTGCAGCCTCTGCCTTTGCAGCGGCGGTCTTCAACAACCCTCGCGGACACGCGCAGACCGGCTGACGAGTCTCAGGATCCAAGAAGCTGACTAGAAAGAATGCAATGTTATTCTCCCAAGGGATGCGACGGAAGCTGCGCAGGTCCGGCACAGCCACTAGATCACGATACCCATTCTCCTTGTTGCTGATTGAGAGCTCCTTGTAATAGGTCTGATCATGTTGGTCCCAGCCAAAGATAACCGAACAAAAGCCAAAGCCCTCAGAAACAATAGACAGGAACTTGGATTTCTGCATAAGCTTGCCGCGCAGGACTCCGTCCACATCAATGCCAGCCACCTTGACCATGCGATCATGCTGGAGCACCTCAGCGACATTCTCAGTGGTGACCTCTTCTGAGGCTGTCATAGCGAATGATAGTAATGTGACAATAGGGTGTGTTTGAAGGCAGGTATATCACCTAGGAATTCAGATATGCGTTAAAGTCAGCTTTGGATTTCTGGAGCGAAAGGTGTACCGCTTATCAGGAAAGCTGATGGCGTAGCGCTCTGAGCGCTCTGAGATAAGATAAGAGCGCGGTCCCGGACCGCCGTCACCGCCTCATGAGCTCCACTATCGCGTATACAGCTCGGTGGGAAAGGAACTGGAACCTGCCAACTAACTTATTTGGTGAGTCCGCGCAGTTTCTACAAGAATAAGAGGAGCGAACGAAGCGACCTTTGTTCAAAATCTGTCCAGCTCTTTTCCAATCTTCAATCTCCGCTAAGATACGCGTTACACAGCTCTTATCCATCTCCTCTTTAATAATTCACAATCACAATGGGTCGTCTCCAAGGCAAGAATGCTATCATTACCGGTGCCGCAGGGTATGCTGTTATATGCCATTTGAAAGCCGTTACAACAAGTCACTAATAATGTCATCTCAGTGGCATTGGTCTTGAAACCACCATTCTCTTCGCTCGCGAAGGCGCCAATGTCTTGATGGCCGATATCTCCGAGCCTGCACTGGCCAAGGCCATTGCTAAGGTCAAGGAAGTTGTGCCTAATGCTCCCCGTCTGGAGACTATCCGCTGCGACGTGTCGAAGGAGGCCGACGTGCAGGCTATGGTTGAGGCTCAGGATAGCTGGGGCGGTGTGGATGTGATTTTCAACAACGCGGGCATCATGCATGCCGATGACGCTGATGCTGTCGATACCAACGAGAAGATCTGGGATTTGACACAAAGTATCAACGTGAAGGGTGTCTGGTTTGGTTGCAAGCACGCTGTGTTGAGCTTGCGCCGCAACAAGAAGACTTGTGGCTCCGTGATCAACACTGCCAGCTTTGTTGCTCTGATGGGCGCTGCTACGCCTCAGTTGGCTTACACTGCCTCCAAGGGTGCTGTCCTTGCCATGACAAGAGAGTTGGCGGTTGTGCATGCCCGTGAGGGATTCCGCTTCAATTCGCTCTGCCCTGGTCCTCTTAAGTAGGATACGCCCTTGCCATTCTTGTTCCACATTGCGGCTACTAACCTTCTCTCAATAGCACTCCTCTCCTCCAGGACTGGCTGGGTGATGACCAAGCCAAGCGATTCCGTCGCGAGGTGCACTTCCCTAGTGGCCGCTTCGGTGAGGCCGTTGAGCAGGCCCAGGCCGTCCTCTTCCTGGCAAGCGACGAGAGCAGCTTTGTGAACGGGACCGACTTTGTTGTTGACGGTGGATTGACCAAGGTATGTTGAAGAGTGAGACTGAGGGTGAGATTGCAGTAGCGCTAACGACGAACCTAAGGCGTACGTGACCCCGGAGGGCCCTGCGGCTGCCGCGCCCAAGAACCTTGCCCAGTAAATTGGCATTACGACATTATGAGGGTGGGGTTATGATATTTTAAGCATGAATTAATGGACGTTTCAATTTGAGTTCCTTTGTTTTGGGTTAATTTTTTTCCCTTGCCTTCTTTTCATGGTGTAAAGCCATAAAGCCGATAGTCGGACAAATCGCTTGAATCGGAGGAAATGTGTTGGGCCAGCTGGAGTGGAGAACAGTGGAACTCGGCACTTCTTTCACGCAGACCAAAGACGATATTTTGATCGCATGAGCAATGAAATAGGTTATAAAGAGTCATGCAACATGGAAGACACCAAATAGTATGATCGGATCCATGGTCTATTCCAAAGCATGTTACAGTGGCATGATTTGCGCATGTTGGACTGGATTCTTTACGTCATGCAATCCCCGCATTACCACTCCCGCATTTCGTAGCCGATCTTTAAATTCCGCCGGTCCGCCTTGACCTTCACCTCCATAGCCGAATTCCATCCACACTCTTTTACCTTACACTGCACCATCTAAATTCATCAATACAAACCGAGATGTCTCAATACGCGTTCCCTGGTCCCAACAAGACTTATCGGAGTCACCCAAATGGCCCTAGCTTTAAGCCGAGATATGGACGCTGGTACGTGGAAGCCCCTGGTTTCTGACCAGGAATTATTACTGATCCGATCAATATAGGTATCTTCCTCTGGTTGCAGCGGTCGGTCTCGGTATGTGTTGGCAATTTTATCCACGATATTTATGCGCTATAGGCTTCGGGGGATACAGATGGATCAATACTGACTTCACCCCTGTATAGGATTCGCCGGGTACAACTATTATAAAGAAATCCAAGTACGGCGCGAGAAGATGATTCGCGAAGAAGAAAAGCGCCTCGCGATGAATCAACAACTCATGGACGCATATGGAAACAAAGAGAGCTTGAATGATGTGCAACAGGCTCTGGATGCCTATCACCATCGAGCATGAAGGTGTAGAATGCGAAATATGGGTTCCGATTTGGCCCAGTGTCGTGATGCAGGTCGTGACGACGGCTAGGGTCTTTTATATTAACAAGGCGTTTGGGGTCTATTCTATTTCTATGGGATATGGGGAATTGCATGGGGTCCCGGATGGGCCCTGGGAAGTCTTTCATTGGGCATGGCGTTTAATAACCAATTTTCGAATCTACAAATCTTTCCTTTCTTTACACCCTGCAATGAAATCTAAACAACGAGGTGTTACAGTCTAGACTCCCTGTTGGCTCCCTTCGCAGCAATAATCCCAGCAGCGGCCCTCCCAGCCCGTCGTCCAAAGACGGCGCCAGAGGTCAACCCACTTCCGCCGGGATAGTTGTCGTGGAAGATCCCACCCAGCATCTCTCCAATTGAGTACAGACCTGGAATCTCTGCGCCCGTGGTCTCGGAAATCACAGCCGCTGTTTCTGGATTGACAGCGAGCCCTCCAAAAGTAAATGTAATTCCAGACGTCACTCGCACGGCCAGGAAAGGTCCCTTATCAATCGGCAATGCCCAGTTCGACTTTGGAATCCCCAACCCGACTGTCCCCAGCCCATCTCTCACGGCGGGATCCCACTTTTGACTTCCCTCCCGAGTAGCAGCATTGTACTCAGCCAAGGTATCCAGGAATCGCTGACGGTTCATCAACCCAGCTTGAACGCACGCATCTGCCAGCTCGTCAACCGTCGATCCAGTCAAATGTTTAGTAACTTCCGGGCGGTACTCCTCGGACCGTAGCCAAGGCGTTGTCCGCGCATCCCAAATTTGAAATGCAATTTGCCCGGGTTGGGCCAGGATCCGTCGCCCAATCATCGCGTAGGTGTAATTCCGCATGTCTGAACCTTCATCGACGAAGCGTTCTCCATCCCGGTTTACCATAATACCAAGTGGGTACCCTGATTTCGTGAACTCATTGGAGACTTCTCGGTCTCCAGCATGCGCGGGGGAATCAGCATCCCATGCGACGCTGTGACAACCGGACCAGTTGCCCACGACCTTGGCAGATACATCGCGTTGTGCACTGAGGAGGAGATCACCAGTGTTATATGGTGTTCCACGGACGCGTGCAGCATCCCAACCGGGGCCAAGATACTGTGCTCGCAGTTGTGGGTTGGCTTCGAAGCCACCGGCGGCGAGGATAACGGCAGCGGCTCGGATGGTTTGTTTGTGAGGAGTACCAGAGGAAGAGTGAGGGAGGACTTCAGCTCCGATCGCCGCACCGGTGGTAGGGTCTGTCAAAATTTTTGTAGCGGGCGTGTCGAAGAACACAGGAATGTTATATTTCTTCGCAGCGGCGAGGTGATCTTCCATGAGACCTCTGCCACCATCTTGGGTCTTTAATGCAAGACCACCCCAGAATTTGATCCGGCCATCTACCTCGTAAGCCTGTCTGTTGAATGACAGTTGGAAGCGAATTCCATTCTGGGCGAGCCAGCCAATGGCAGAACGGGAATCCTGCACCAGGATCTTTGATAAGGCAGGATGGGTGCGGCCGCCTGTCATGCGGAGAAGGTCGTTTGTGAAGTCCTGCTCGGAGTAGATGGGCATGTCAATGCGGGATGCTTTCTCCGCAGTGGTGTTGTTGACTATGGGCAGGAGGTCGGAAAGCCCATTGTGCGCGGTACGAAAAGCTCCGGCCGTGAAGTAAGAGTTTCCTCCGGCCCAGCTTGCGGGACATTTGTCGATGATGATCACATCGGCTTTGGGGTTTATTTGTGCGGCTGAGAGGGCTGCACTAAACCCGGCGTTGCCACTGCCTATTACTAGGATGTCGCAGCTCGCAGGTGGAGACATGTTGAAGGGACTTGGACTGTTGACGTGCGTGGAACAGGATATGAAAGAATTGAGCGTAATTGAGCTGTTGTGTCTGACTGTTTTATTGAAGCTATAAGGATTCCCGAGGAGCTACGAGTTGATATATAGCTCAATACTAGGTTTGGATTCAGGGTTCTCGGAGAGTTAATCTCCGTGGCTTCTCCACAATCCCCGCAGGCGGGGTATCGAGCTCCGTCAGTCAGGGAGAATAATATGCGTGAGCATTGGAAGCTTGAGCAGTTACATGCCTTGGCGCTCTGTCCTATGCAAATACCCAAGATTCCAAGGCGCCAAGTCTATTCGTGCTTTGGGATGAGCTTAGAACTCCGATGCCCTCAGCTCATGATGCATCACGTGGTCTATCCATGTCAATACTTTCAGGTATTCGACTGATGAACAGATGAATTACCTTGAATTCAACATCCAAGACTTGATATTCTGGGACCCGAACTACCGATATATGGACTAGAATGATATATTGGATTCAGATCAAATTCTGCATGATTTCATGAGTATGTACCCCCGGACATACTGGAGAATACAATATGCCGTAGACCTTTGCTTAATTAAAATCAACATGCAAGATAGCGCTTCAATCGAGCCTCTGCTTCAGGTCAACGAGCCGATCGGGGATTATCTCTACCTAAGGGTTCTGAGCTTATGAGCTAATCTTTAAAACTGTAGTCTGCCTAAATGGAAAGACTCGATATTTAGCAGGTAATCTACAGTATCTGTCCAAATAAGCTACGGACTTTCCATCACACACTCAAGTTCATCATTTTAGTAACCGTAACCTTACTAAACTGTTATTGACGGTACGAAATCCAGCGATCTATTTTGTGATTGGTCAAGAGAGGCAATTGGTTATTTCGAATCGGACTCTTTAGCTATGCGAGAAAGCTTTGCTTTCGTGAGCTATGTGGCCGGATACTGTATGTCTAAGCCACCTCAATACCCTTGGCTATTCTATTTACATGTCACGGTCTAACTAGGAGCTTGATGCATTGTATGCGGTCCGCCAAGTAACACATCTAGATCGAGAACCACTCGTAGACGTCTATGTCAGATGGCACCTCATGGCGCCTGCGAGTTCGCTGAGTAATCTCCGAGAAATGAGAAGGTGGAGACCATGCGGCATCCCATACTTTAGGGTCACTCAGGACACTGGTATTCTTGAGCAGACCAAATCGGAAATCCAACGGCTCCGTGCCATCGCCCGGCTCCGACGGCAGTCGCATGTAGTGCCGAACACTTTCGGGAATTTCCTCCTTGACATGGCTAATCATGACCAATGCTTGATCTCTTGAGAGACCTTTGTACCGGCGGAGTCCTTGGACTGAGGCCCGACTAGGCGAGGAGGAAGTATCGCCGTGGTCAATATAGTGTAGACATTTGTCACGCTGAGAAGCAGACAAGCCAGAGAAGGGCTCGTCGAGAATCACAATGTCTGGGTTGTGAATGAGGGCCCTAAGGAAAAGCACGATACGCTGCTGTGCAGTAGTGAGTTGGCCGAAGGTGATATTGTCGGCGTATTCGATATCATAGTCAGACGGGATGTAAGGCTTGTTGTTTCCAGTAGAACTGAGTTTAGGGAAAATATCGGTGTTGGTTGTGATGGTAGGGGGTAGTTCCTTCTTTGTGGCACTTGCATTTGGATCAAGCTCAGCCTTGAAATGCCGCAGGGCTGCGTTCACGTCAAGGTCTCGCTCATAATTGAGAGCTGGCTTAGACAAGAATGTCTCTGCAAAAGCTGACTCAAGAGCTGCTCGCACTGTTAATTGGCGAGGGAAGAATGCATGAATCTCCGGGGACGAATGGCCGAGGCGGGACTGGAGCTCGAAAATGGAGATAGCCGGTTTGCCTATCTCTGGAAGACGCGACCGGCCGAGGAATTTAATTGGCTGAGCGTATGCTTGCGGGTGATCAGATGTGATAAGTGACAGTAGAGTTGTCTTGCCAGAACCGTTGGCACCGAGAATCGCCCAGCGCTGGCCTCGCCGCACGCGCCAATGAAGACCATCCTTGACCTCCTCGTTCACCTTCTGAGTCCAGTTACCCAAAACCACTTTATCGCCATATTTCACACGAACACCTTCCATTTCAATCAATGGCTCTCCTCCCAGAAAGGGTGTGATTTCCTTCCAATCGGGTTTTGCTACTTCTTTGGAAGCGAAGTCAAGGACCAATTGTTCATCAAGAGCACCAGACTTCAAGTCCCTTCGAGCCTGTCGAAGAATGGCTTTCTCTTCGTCATTCAAGCCGCTGGTTGAATTATTGCCACTTACAAGTCGCTTCCAGATAGCCAGCGTTTGGATAATTTCGGACCGCGATCCCTGCTTCATGACCTGCTGAGAGTTTCCCACTACGATCAGATGGGTGACCCATTCTGGCACTGTATCCTGGGGGCGCAAGGCCAGAATCAACCGAGGAGAGGACTTCTCGGCCAAACGATGGAGCAATCCGGAAATACTTCGAACGGTAGCCGGGTCCAGTCCCACTAGAGATCACAAATCAGCCAAATCCTTACCAGCGCAACCCTCTTCAACGTACTAAAAGGCTCGTCTAAGAGAAGCAATTCAGGCTTCTTAAGGAGAGCTTTTGCAATGCGAGCTCGTCTAGTTTGACCATTGCTGAGGTTTGCAACCGGCATGTTAAGCAGCTCTGACAAATGTAGATCGGTGATCACCTCTTGAATGAGCTGTTCATCATGGATTGTTCCTTTTTCCTCCCCTTCCAAAGGATTCAGCGACGTTTGGCCACGTAGAAACTGCTCCACTGTCCAATCGGTCTCCTCCCGAAGGCTCTCATAGCGGGCACTCAGGTATGCGCCACGGGTGCCACCAATGGCCCCCGATCCTTCTCCGCTGAAGCCAATATACTGGACTGCGTTCCCAACATATCGTAATTGGGGATCCTTTGCGGCGATTTCGTCTGTGAGAAGGTAGGGATAAGATCGTGCGGTAGGCGGAAGACAGATATGCTGGCCACGGAGGACGTCTAACAGATCAGTCCGTCCAGATGGACCAACCACTGCCCAGTGCTGCAAGGAGGGTTTCAGGCCATTCGAGGGTGAGCCTTGAGAGGGGAGAGTAAAGTTGAAGTTCGGATATAGAGGTGGATTAGTTGCGGCATCATCTTGTGTCGGATATTGCCGGTAAAATGTGCCATTCTTAATTTGAATGAGCGGCACAGATGACACCGAGCGAGCGATATGAAAAGGCAGCGGGTGTGGCGCCCGAGACCTCAGCGCCGTTCGAAGCAGCATCATAGCTCATAGGTTGCTGTTCATGGAAACAAGCCGATCTCGGATCTGGAAACCGTGAAGCAAATATTACATAATCCTCCGCATTTCTGCCCCCGGCCGGTGTTTTTCCGAGGTTTAATCGATCAACATTGGAATCTACATATCATGGCAAATTAAGCTACGAGACCGATGTGGGATTCGGTCGGATCGCCAATTACTGCGCTCATGATGCCTTCCTCCAACTCCTCTCCCCTGCGCCATCGGTTTATTTCAGCTCCGGCTGTCAATGTCCTCCTATTCCTGATCGGCTTCCGTCTCGTGAATGCGCTCACCATCCGCACCTTTTTCCAACCAGATGAATTCTTCCAATCCCTTGAACCGGCTTGGCAGGTTGCTTTTGGGAAAGACCAGGGGGCCTGGCTAACGTGGGTGAGTATGTGATGTTTAAAATCACGCAACACGACTACTGATCATGGTTTGGGTAGGAATGGCAACACCAACTTCGATCCTCACTACATCCACTCCTCTTCGCTGCAATATACAAAATCACTGATTATATGTCCTCCATTCTTTCTCTTCCTTCTGCGAGGCGTGCAGAGCTATTGATCGCTAGTCCGAAAACCGCGCAGGCTGTGCTATCGGCCACTAGTGATTTTTATACTTGGAAACTTGCGAGACGTATCTATGGCGAAGATTCTCATGGCGCATGGGCAACAGTATGTGTCGCAAAATCTACCGACGAAATTCCCAGGCATGGAGGATATTGGCTAATGGCATGAAAGTTAATCGCCACGATTATTAGTCCCTGGCAATGGTTCTGCTCAACAAGAACCCTGTCGAATTGCCTGGAAACAACATTGACCATTGTCGCGATGGGCTTGTGGCCATGGCAGTGGTCGGCTAACTCCATAGTCCAGAATCTTCATAATAAGGCTGATGATGAGAAAGCCGAAGCTAATAATCCTCAGCTCCTACGGAGGTATGACTTGTTCAATGCAAAATTTACTAAAGCCGCCACTGAGACATAAACCAGTCTTCGTCAATGTCTGTCGCTGGCGGCAGTTGCCTGTATTCTCCGCCCAACTAATATCATAATTTGGCTGGCCTTAGCCGGAATCGCTGGGCTTCGAGGTTCTTGGGATCAGCGCAAATGTCTCGTGCGTGAGGTTCTGTTCTGCGGGTCTGTCCCTATCTTTGAAGATGTAGATCCGAGTTGACTTGTGTCATAGATCCACGATCTTGATAGCTTCGGCTATTGCAGATCGTTTCTTTTACGGGTTCTGGACATTCCCTCCGCTGCGCTTTCTATACTTCAATATCGCCCAGTCTCTGGCAGTATTCTACGGGCGTAATAACTGGCATTACTACGTCACGGAAGGCTATCCACTACTCCTCACCACTCTAATTCCGTTCGCTATTCCAGGTCTGTATCTCGCATTGACTACTCGGCAGTCCCCAGCTTCCAATCGAGTGCAGACTAATATCAGAGTGCAATTGGCAATGATTTGCATCTTGATGCCGTTTGTACTATCCTTTATCTCCCATAAGGAAGTCCGCTTCATCTACCCTTTATTACCATCTCTACATATTTTGGCTGCACCTCGTTTGGTGCAATTCTTCTGGCCAGCTCTCACTTTGAGCTCCCACGCCTATACTCCGAAGCGGCTGACGCTTCTCTTCCTCATATTCGTCAATGGAGTTATTGCGTTCTACACCTCTATATACCATGCCTCCGGACCCGTGAATGTCCTCGAATACCTTCGCCGTCAGCATGAAACCCATCTCCCATCGTCGAATATGGTCACCCCTTCATCTCCCGTGTCCGCAGCGCCCGAGTCTGGAATTACAGTTGGATTTTTGATGCCTTGTCACAGCACCCCATGGCGTTCTCACATGGTCTACCCCTCTATCAACGCGTGGGCACTCTCCTGTGAACCCCCAATTGGTCTCAATGAGACACAAAAGGCCGCCTATTGCGATGAAGCCGACCAGTTTTACAATGACCCAGATGGCTTTTTACGCCAAAACATGGTTGGCGGACTTCGCCACCTACCACGCCGACCAAGCTATGTGACTGGATCTCGATCCCTGACTAGCTCTCCTGACAGTTTAACGCTTCATGAGTGGCCTGATTACCTGGTATTTTTCGCCCAGCTCGAGCCCACTATGCATCAGCTCATTCGATTCTCTTCTTATCGAGAATGTTGGCGCACGTGGAACACCGCTTGGCATGACGACTGGCGCCGCCGCGGGGATATTGTGGTCTGGTGTCTGGACCCCGCCGAGCAAGATGCATGGCGATCGCAAACGCAACGTCGTGTGCAGGAAAACCGAGATCGCCAGTTCGATCGTATTATAACCGCAATCAAACAAAACGCGAATACCCAACCAAAGCGTGAATGGAAGTCTCTTATCACAGGTTCTCTTCCGTGGTCTCCACCGCATTCCCCTTTTTCATTTGCGTCGCTGCAGCGCACTGCTCAGTCACTTTTCACACGCCTGTCCCCAAGTCCTTGGCCATGGGGCAAACGCTCTCGTATGGATGCTTTCTTAGCAAACTTCCGGCGCCAAAGCACTGCTTACCAAGCTCTGATTCCGTCTTGGTCTTCCTGTTCCTGGTCCTGGCCGGAATGGCTGGGTGGTCCAGTTAATAGAAAAATTAGTAAACGAGAGCGTGAGCTATGGTCATGACCTCCCAGGTTCTTCAGACCAGCTGACTCTCAACTTACAGAACCTTACCACTCATAGCTGGCCTAACTGCCGCATGGATCTGCTACCATGTGGCATATGGATATAACACGCAACTTGTAGATATTTCTTTGGTGCTAATTCTTTTTTCTCATTTTGCAAATAGAGGGAAAATTTGAATGCTGTGTACATACTGGCTCAATCAATTAATCAGCTTAGTTGAAACGTATCCGTTTCATTCGGATAGTACACCCAGGCATGACGCTTACCAGTTAGCTATATTGCAAAGAAGTTATGAAACCTCGGAATTAACTTAAAATTGTCTACCGATGACTTTTGGCCTAATTTGCGGATTGCTTAGGAGGTATTATTGTGAGCTAGTAAATATATGCTTAGCAAATAAGTTGAGGCCGTGACGAGTCATGCGATAGCCAGGCCCCGTGGAGACCTTCGTCAGGACTGATTCTAAAGAACAACGTTGAAGAGGATAGGTATTCAAAGAAATCATCAAAGAGTGAAATCGCCATAGAAAATACACAACGCCTTGCTGTGACCCTCCACGCAATAGTGCATCACCATTGCCTGTCGCCCATCTGGAACGTACTTCGCCATCTGCTGGACATCTGAGGTCCGTGGCAAGTATAATACCATGTGCTTAGTATACGCCGAGTATTCCTTGTAAAGAGTCGCCAGAGAATATGGCTCCATAGTGCGCAGGTTGAATACTTCATCGGACCGATACCCAACACCTAACACAATTAGAGATAGTCATAACCTCACAAGGGAAATGAGATGAAGACATACCTCCCCATGGTGGGCTTGCAAAGATGATGCTGTACGGTGCAAGATCTTTGAGTTGGTTCCTTAGGATCTCAAAGCAGTCACCCTCGAACCAGGTGATCTTATCGTCCACACCGTAGATCTTTGCATTGTGCTTGGCGCATTGTAAAACGGCTGGGTTCTTCTCAATTGCGTACACTCGTTTCCATTTCCCGGACTTGGCAAATGCAATTGTGTTGCCACCTGCGCCTGCAAAGGCATCGACCAGGATACTGCGGTCAGCAGGAGCAGAGTTGGCGAGATCAGCTGCTATTTGACTGGTCTCAGCGTAAGCAATGTGCCCAAAAGTTGAACTCGAAGATTTCTTCGCTCACTTGGCAACAGGCTCTGGCGTCACTCCAAACCAGGCATCATCCGTTAGCCAGATGCCCTCATCGTACTTGGAGAAGATGCGGTGGCGTTGGGCCCAATAACTGCAAAATGAATCAACAAAAGTTTGAAGAAAATGAACCGGAGAAATTGTGTTACTTCTGAATGTCCCATGGAACCTCATGAGAATGCTCATAATGGTGGACCTCTGGGGGTGCTTTTTCCAAATCCTCCATCGCAAAGGTGAATACGGTCTAATACAGAAGCAAGTCTGCTGATAACGCGATAAAGGATAAGGATGTTTGTGTTTGTGGTGTTTGCATTGACATGGGGCCAGCTCTCTCTGCCCGCGACAGCTTCACTTGAACACCCCAGAGCCCTAACTCACTTTGATTATTTCCTAGATCAGATCGCCTTGATGTTCGGTGCACTCAATCGGTTTATTGGCCGGCTTGATGGCGAGCCCATCCAACAACCCCGGAATGGGCCTAGTGACAACGCTTTTGGATTTCAAGTGCTCCGCAACAAAGACCCAGAGTTACCTTTAGAGCCATGGTTCGATTTCATTGTGGGAATAAATGGCCATCCAATTGTATGCAGCTGATGAATGCGATGACATTATAATATTTTTACTAAATCATACCTGCAGGAAGATCCCGACCCAAACCTATTTGCGACAGAGGTTCGCAATTGCGCCGGAACAAGCCTGACCCTAGAGGTCTGGAGTGCTAAGGTACGTGAACAATTTGCCTTTGCCTCTGCAGGGATGTGTCTAGCTAAATCACAATCCTCTGCGTAGGGCCAACGAACACATACCATCAATGTCCCGATACCTTCCAACAATCCAACCCTCGGCCTCGCACTACAGCTTGCCCCTCTGAACTCCACGCAAAACATCTGGCATGTGCTTGCGATTCCCTCGTCGCTGAGCCCTGCTTTTCGCGCAGGGCTTCTCCCCCATTCAGACTATATCATTGGAACCCCCAGCGGGACATTACGCGGGGAATCTGCACTTGGAGAGCTAGTGGAGGACCACCTCGATCGGACTCTAATCTTATGGGTCTACAATAGCGAATTCGATGTTGTTCGGGAAGTGGAGCTTGTTCCCACTCGCGGTTGGGGTGGTGAAGGTGCCGTGGGTGCTGAACTAGGATACGGTGCCTTGCACCGACTACCCGTCGGGCTGGGAGAGGAGGTGGAAGGACCTGGTGAGGTTGTTTTTGAGACGCGTGATGATGAAACCTCCGCACCAATGCCTGGTTCTGCTGGTCCTGAGGCAGCGGCTGGAGTTGCGGAACAATTCTTAGTACCGGCAAACATGGCATCTATCCCGCCTCTCGCGGGCCAGACACAAGTCACTTCTCCTCCGGAGGGTAGATCACCTTCGAACCGTCGGGGCAAATCGCGCCACGCTACGTCAACCAACAATGCATTTGACGACTACTTTGCCGAAGGTGAACAGAAGAGCCGGGAGCAGGACTTTGCGCCTTCACGAAAGGGAACTCCTCTTCCACCACCCCCTAAAGTCGGTATATCGCCCCACACTGCTGGTACTCCGCCACCTGCAGCAGAAGAACCTGTGGAGGGGTCACCGGGGCCAGCAGAATCGGCGTGATCAATCTAGTCAGATCAATCTAGTCACAATGGGCTGTGTGACATTTGAATATGTAGGATCACGTTGAATTTTAGCAATGGTACCAACCACATCAAATCCAATGTTTGATTTTGGAACACATATCTATGCTTACGCTTTCTCCAGAGCTTCTCCCAATGAAGTGACTGCCAAGGTATAGAGAGAGAGAGAGAGTATATATACATGAGGGCATACCTGTATTACGAAAAATTTATAGCAGCCTCCAACCTCGGAGGGTCCAATTATGGAAAATTTAATCAGCGCTGGTTATGGCGAGCTGCTTTGCGGCTACTGCAGAGACCGTGGCTCAATACCACCCGTTCATTAGTTAAAGGTTGTAGGAGCGGAAAGACAGAACATTGAACGTGCGACAAAAGCCGAAGAAGACAGAACAACCTTGGAAGGCAGATTGAGCATATTAAGAAAAGAGAAGAGAGATGTCTGCTTTCAACCTTGTGGGAAAAATAAAAATAAAGGGAAAGGAGTGTACGAAGTAGTCGCTAACTAAATACTACTGCATGTGAGCCTTGTAAGCTACCTGCGGCGGCTAGCTGCTGACCTTGCCGCCGATCTCCCGCCTCATCACCTTTCAACGCGACTACTTCATACTTTTCCACATCTTCTCGCGACCTGGAGGGTTAATGCAAAATGTCGTCACGAATGCCAGGCCCAGGAACAAGAAAAGACCGCTCGCGCTCCCCAACATCCAGGCGTCCTGCCCGCGACAACAGAGAATGGCGCGACCGACAGGACAATCGGAGCCGGAACGAGGATCGACAGCCAACTCGGAACATGCGCGACCAGATGCGTATCAATCAGCTGCAAGAAGACGAGCAGGTACGGGAATGGGTGGCGCAGGAAGATGTCTTTGTGTTAAAACAGGCCAAAAAGAAGGCGGAGATTCGAGTGAAGGATGGTCGCGCAAAGCCGATCGACTGGCTGACTGTGACGCTTCGTGTGATCGATCCTACACGTGACCCGCTAGATGACGAGATTGCGGACTCGGAGCTTGACGTGGTGGATCCTGATGGGGTGTTCGAAGGGTTGTCGCAGCCTCAGCTGCAAGAACTAGAACATGATATCGAGACGTTTGTCAAGTTAGAGACGAATGCACGAAATCGGGATTACTGGCAGGTATGTCGCATCTCTGCTTCTTCCAGCTCCTTTGAGCCATTTCTTGAGCTAACCATATCGTGCAGACTATGAAAGTTATCTGTCGAGACCGTTTGAAAACCAATGCATCGGAGGGTCGTGCCCTGAATTCTGTCGCCGCAGATATCAATCGACTACTGAGCCCCAAAACATACGAACAACTACAAACCTTAGAGGTACAAGTGAAGCGAAAGTTAAACTCGAACGAACCTATCGACACAGATTACTGGGAGGAGTTGCTACGCAGCTTGACTGTCTGGAAAGCTCGGGCAAGATTGAGAAATGTATATCAGGCCGTCATCGACGAGCGTGTCCGTGAGTTGAGGAAGCAGCAGAAGAAGGAGGCTGAGTCAATTCGGGAGAAGCTGGCACCTCTTGCACCAGTGGCGACTGAGAATGAAAACCAAATAGACTCGGCCGAGTTTACGGGACTGGATCCTGACCCATTACTTCAAGTGCGCGCAGAAGACAAAGGTCTCGAAATCATGGATGAGTCTTTGTTTCTTCGACACGTGGCCCGCGAGCGTCAGAAGATTATTCGCATGGGATTTGTTCCTCTCCGACAGCGATCGGCCGAAAAGCCGACTACGGCTATCGTCAACCCCGAGTCATCTAGCTCGGCTGCTCCTGCTGTATCCAGTCGCTTCTCGTCACTCCCCAATGACGATTTTTCACAAGCAACCAAAGCGTTATACGAACGGGAACTGGCGAAAGGAGTTAGTGAAAACGAGGAGATATTTACTGGTGAAGAGGCCGTGAGCACAGCGGCACAGCCTCAATGGGCGAGCAAGTACCGGCCTCGAAAGCCTCGGTACTTCAACCGCGTTCAGATGGGCTACGAATGGAACAAGTACAACCAGACCCATTACGACCATGAAAACCCACCTCCCAAGGTCGTACAGGGTTACAAGTTCAACATCTTCTATCCTGATCTTATCGACAAGACCAAAGCGCCGACGTATCGGATTGAGCGGGAAAATGGTCGCAAGCGGGGTCAATCATTCGCCGAGGCTGGCGAGGAAGACACCTGTTTGATACGATTCATGGCCGGCCCCCCTTACGAGGACATCGCCTTTCGAATTGTCGACAAGGAATGGGACTATAGTGCGAAGCGCGAGCGTGGCTTTAAAAGCACATTCGACAAGGTATGCTTTTTCCATCACGCCAAGGAACTAGTCTCTAATCTTTCTGTTTCTTCTTTTTGCACAGGGTATCCTACAACTTCACTTCCAATTCAAGAGAGTAAGTGCTGGTCTAATGCCATCCTCTTATCGTGAACAATCACTGACTAGTGAACTTAGATTTATTACCGGAAGTAACGCTCGCACGATCTTCCCTTCCCATGTGGGTCTGTTATGGAGATGGAAGACAACTTGGTACTGAGTCAAGAGCCATATTCTGACTGGGCTGTACGTCGGTATTGAACTCCAACTAGAACCTTATGAGATATCTTGATGCCAGTGTCAATACAGCGTTCACTTAAAAAGAAGCTACATTCAACCACCAAGAGTTCACGCCTAATGTAATTGCATCATGTAATTTCTAATGAGGTCATCCATGTATATCTTTGATCCTTAGTCTTAATTAAATGTGTTATGATACCAAGTAGCTCATTTCGTGCAGCTTTTATTTTGCCTGAACTCAGATCCTTGATTGATTAGATCTATAAAGTGGCTTATGATGAGATGGAATGGCCTGACCGCCCAGTTGACGGGCTTCACCGCCCGCAAAATTTACTGATCTTGCATTGCATGTTCGACGCTCTCGATCACACAAACATGAAGCGCAAGACAGATGAGACAGGCTCTCAAGCCAATGGACTTCCTGAGTCCAAGAAGCGCGCCCTATCCACCGAGGAAGCTACATCTCGCTTTCGTGAGGGTTTGTTCACTCCTTCGGAGCAGCAGAAGTACACCGATGCATACGCCAAGTCAAGTCCGTATGTGTTCTACACCTCATGAATAGCCTTTCATGGCATAGAATTGACAATTCTGACCCAATTTAGCTACTACCATGGAGTCATTCACGAATTGATCGAACCCTCGTTGTTGCGATCCGTTCGCGAAGAGATTCAAAAGCAGGTGGACTTCACCGAGAAAGAGACCGACATCTATAAGATTTTCCAGTCAGGCGACCTGGCCAATCTGGATGGCCTCGACGATTCCTCGCTGTCCAAACTGCCTTTCCTCCTGAAACTCCGTGATGCAATGTACTCGGCCCGATTCCGGGAATACTTGTCTGCCGTGACCGGCTCCGGCAAGCTCAGCGGGCGCAAGACCGACATGGCCATCAATGTCTACACCGAGGGGTGCCACTTGTTGTGCCACGATGATGTTATTGGTAGCCGACGTGTCAGCTACATTCTCTACCTTACCGACCCCGACACCCCATGGCAAGCACAGTGGGGTGGTGCCCTGCGTCTTTACCCGACCAAGACCGAGAAGGACGCCAAGGGAGAGGCCGTCACCATTCCCAGCCCGGATTTCAGTCTTTCTATTCCTCCAGCCTTCAATCAACTTAGCTTTTTCACCGTCCAGCCCGGTGAGAGCTTCCACGACGTCGAGGAGGTGTACCACCACGCCGAGGGAGAGGACAAATCTAAGAAGCGCGTCCGTATGGCCATCAGTGGATGGTTTCATATTCCCCAAGAGGGCGAGGATGGATACGAGGAAGGCCTCGAAGAGAAACTGGCAGAACGCAGCAGTCTAGCGCAGCTTCAAGGCAGAGGCGATATCTACGACCTGCCTCAATCGCGACCGGTATCCTGGGAGGAGCCCGAGGTGGAGGGCAAAGGCAAGGGCAAACTTGAAGAGCAGACCGAGGACACTGAGTTCAGTGAGACCGACCTGGAGTTCCTAGTGCAGTACCTCGCGCCGTCATATCTGACGCCCGACATTGCCGAGGAGATGTCCGACGCTTTCGCCAGCGAATCATCGCTCAGCCTTGAGCGCTTCCTCAACGAAAAATTCGCTTCGCGTGTCAGTGCGTACATCGAGGATCAAGAGAGGCAAACTCTGCCGGCCTCGTCAGAAGAGATCCAGAACCAGACCGAGTGGACTGTGGCTCGGCCGCCACACAAGCATCGATACCTGTACCAGCAACCATCGGGAGATGATACATCAAATCCCATCAAGGAATTGCTGAATGTCGTCTTCCCGTCGCAGGCTTTCCGGAAGTGGCTTGCTCTGATTACTGGTGTCGACCACCTTAAGAGCCATAATTTCCTTGCCCGTCGCTTCCGTCGCGGCGCAGACTACACTTTGGCCAGTGGCTACACTGGCGAGGAGCCCCGCCTAGAGTTCACTCTCGGTCTGACTCCGACAATTGGATGGGAGAAGCAAGAAGACAATGAAGAGGACTCCGATGAAGACAACGAAAACGGAGAGGCACAGTCTTCATCCAAGCCTAAAGAGAAGATCGAGGCCGAGGCCGCCGAGCACCCTTCTGTGGGCGGTTATGAGATCTATATGGCGGGCGACGACGATGAAGAAGATGATGAAGATGAGGAAAACGCGGACCAAGTGCTCCGAAAGAAGACCAAGGCGGATCCTGCTATCTACCGATCCGCCGGTGCAGATGAGGACGATGGTATTCTCTTCAGCACTCAGGCCGGATGGAACAGACTCAGCATTGTGCTTCGTGACAGCGGCACCCTGAAGTTCGTCAAGTATGTCAGTGCGTCCGCCAAGGGAGACCGGTGGGACATCAGCGCAGATATCGGAGTGGAGTTTGAGGATGAGGATGATGAAGATGACGATGAGATGGAAGATGACGAATAGATGATTCCCGCTAGCTCTGTCTCTGCTCAATAGTTTAATAGCCCGAAAATATGTAGATGATCTGATGCAAATTGATGCAAATTGATGCAGTTTTGATTCCATCTTGTTGACGCAGTATTATTTTAATATTCATTGGCGATGACGGGACGGAGAAAACCCGCGGACAATCTGCGGAGCTTTTGGAACCGGAAAACCCTCGCCAATTCTCGATTGAGAACCCTTGAAGCCTTCCATTTGCGCCAATTAGTCTTGCATAGTTCTGGGGCATGTTATTGAGGTAGCAAATCTCTACTTCGTCAGCATTATGGCTCAGCAACTCGAAGGGGAAGCCTTGATCTCTTCCCCATGGACAAGATCCTTACTTGTAAGCTATACCAACCCCGCATTTCCGCCAAAAAAGGCTCCTGCTCATTGCTTGCGAACCTTGATAGTCCGGTGCGGTCGCGGGTCTCACTGTGGACTGCTCCTTATACCCCCTTGACACCATCAAGACGCGGCTCCAAAAAGCACGCGACCTTAGCGCACCTCAAGCTTCCCGCCCATCCCTCCGTCAAGCAGTCCGTGGCATCTATGCCGGTCTTCCCTCTGTCTTATTTGGCTCTGCCCCCTCGGCAGCATCATTCTTCATCGTCTACGATGGCGTGAAACGCTCCTTTCTTCCTCCGCCAGGCTCCACCGACACCCCCTCCCGCACTCATATCATCTTCTCACACTCCATTGCCTCCTCACTGGGTGAAATCGCCGCCTGCGCTGTGCGTGTGCCCACAGAAGTGATCAAACAACGCGCCCAGGCCGGTCTCTTTGGTGGCTCGAGTCTGCGCGCCCTCCAGGACATTCTATCCCTGCGCCATGCCCCCTCGCAGGGCGCGACGACCCAGCCCCCTGTTGCTGGTACCAATGCCTCTATTCGTTCGAGACCTATAAATCAACTCTCAGGGAAACGGGGATATAGCCAAGTTCTCCGGGAACTATACCGTGGTGCAGGCATTACTATCGCCCGCGAAATACCATTCACAGTACTTCAATTCACGATGTGGGAATCCATGAAAGAGGCCTACGCGAAGCGGTACCTTCAACCAGCATCTGCGGTGACAAATCCCAAATCTTTAGCTGACACCCAAATTTCGGCGTCCACGAGCGCGATGTTCGGCAGTGTTGCTGGTGCTATTGCAGCGGGTCTGACCACCCCATTGGATGTGATCAAGACTCGCGTGATGCTTACTCGCCGTGGAGATGGTAGTGGAAATGTGCGCGTCAAAGACATTATCCGTGGGATTGCTCATGAGGGCATGGGGGCCTTTTGGCGCGGAATCGGGCCAAGAGTGGCATGGATTGGCATTGGGGGTGCGGTCTTTTTGGGTAGTTACCAATGGGCGTCGAATACGCTAGAGGGGAGGAGGGAACCGCAGGAACAGTACTGAAGTAGACTAGGGTCTCCTTTGGTGTCACTGCTGTTATGTCTTCAAGGTCAATGAACCTGTGTATATTATTCATGCTATCAAAAGTCCCAGGTATGTAGCTTCTGAAATGTCTGTACACTACTGTGTCTATTTGATTGCTCCACATACGACTGCAACAGTTTCAAAGAATTGATGCCCTGTATGTACCCCTAAGCGGCATAATCAAACCCGGAAGACTCTAAGACACATCACTAATGTGTAGTCTCAATCTCAGTGTATCGCAGAACGAGGAAAGAAAAATAAACGAATATAGAGACAGTTCATATCTAGTTGGTGTACTCCTTCTGCAACAGTTTGGCAATGGTCGTCAGCTGGATGTTGCTGGTGCCCTCGTAAATGGCACCAATCTTGCTGTCGCGGAACATCTTCTCGGCGATGCCCTCGCGAACAAAGCCCATACCACCCATCCACTCGACAGCCAAGCCAGATACACGGCCTGCGACCTGCGAGGCATACAGCTTGGCCATGGCGGCATCTTGGACAAAATCCTGACCGGCCTCCTTTTTGCGGGCAGCATTGTAGACAAGCGCCCGCGCGGCAGCGATTTCGGTATAAGCCTGAGCGATCTGGTGCTGCATGCCCTGGAAATTACCAATCAACTGACCAAATTGCTTGCGGTCATTCCAGACGTAGCTATATCGAACCGAGTTAGATAACTGACAGAGGATTCTGTATTCAGACAATGGATAGGCTTACCGAGCGGCGTTCTCCCACGCGCCAAGAGCTAGACCCGTCATTTGGGCCGCAATACCAATACGGCCCTCGTTCAAGATATTGATGGCATATTTGTAACCTTGGCCTTCCTCACCGAGAAGATTGCTCTTGGGGATCACGACGTCGTCAAAGTTCAACACACAGGTGCTGCTGGCGCGGATACCAAGCTTCTTCTCCTTCTTCGCGACTGAAAATCCTGGTGTTCCCTTCTCGACGATAAAGGCTGTGATGCCCTTGTAACCCTGGCTGGGGTTCAGGTTGGCAAAAACGATGAAGATACCTGACTCCATGGCATTCGTAATCCACATCTTGGAGCCGTTTAGCTTGTAGCCGTCTGCAGTCTTCTCCGCCTTGGTCTGCAGCGCGAATGCGTCCGAGCCAGAGACGGGCTCGGAAAGACAGAAAGAGCCAACGGTGCCGGTGCTCAGCTTAGGCAGCCAGGTGCGATGGGATTGAGCGTCTCCATACCGCATGATCGCTGTGTTCACAAGGGTGTTGTGCACATCGACCATGACACTAACACTAGGGTCGACACGTGCAAGCTCCTCGATCGCCACGATCGCAGCAGTGAAATTCATACCGGCACCACCGTATTCTTCGGGGATCTCGATACCCATCAAGCCCTGCTCGAAGAGCTGTTCCACAAGAGCCGAGTCCATAGTCTCAGCCTCGTCCATGTCCCTGACTTTGGGGGCGATCTGCTCCTGTGCGAACTTAGAGACCGAGTCGGCCATCAATGATTCGATATCGGATAAATGGCTGATCGGCGTTGGGGTGAGGGACGAGATGTCAGCATCCCGCCGGCGGGGCGTGGTTGAGAAGGCATAGGCACTGGGAATGAGAAGAAAGTTAGATCAGTGGATTCAAGGTGAGGTCTTAACTAATCGACGATAGATCATATTTGGTACCATACCTCTGAAGAGGGCGGTACGTAGCCAGGCGTTTCGAGGATAGGCGAACCGAGGGATAAGTACGCGACAAGGGCCGCAAAGCGCGAGAGATAGAGGCCATTGCGACGTAAAATGAGTGGTGAGTGGAAGAAGTGTGAAAGTCAAGAAGTTGGGACAATCACAAGGCAAGCTACAGAGCCTCGGTTATCAGCGGGACTGGGGATTCGCGGGGATAAGGGAAGTGGGGCCTATGTTATCGAACCTAGGCTATTCTTCTACTCGTGAATTAGGCCTAACTGACATTTATTCTGACTCTTCAGAAACAAAAATGCATTGGTCTGGGAAGTAGAAGTTCCACTTCATTGTGAATATAATGTCGGACAATTATCACAGGACCATCGCGTACTTGTAGATCCCGGAGAACAAGATCCGCAGAGCCGAAAATGTGGACGAATCAAATGATTATATGCAATGGAACCGTTCAGGAACCAGAACTATGTACAGAGAGAGAGAGAGAGAGAGAGAGAGATTCTATAAATGAGAGAGAGCCTCACGTCCGTGACCTGCGCGGATCAGTGGCATCCTGTCGTCGCCACTCGCGAGACTCCTTCGACCCCAAGCTACCCACGCCTCCCTCAAGTCGTCGCTCCCAACCACCTAGTCGAACGACAAGGCAAGTGGCGTTGTCCCCCTCCTTGGTAACCTCAGTAGCGAAGCTGACAACATCACGGGCACCTTGCTCCGGGGTCTTGGCTTCTTTGATAATATCAACGACTTCCTGGTCGAGAAGCGTGCCGCTAATGCCATCAGACATCATGACTAGGAAAGAGAACTCAGCGGCACCCATCTCGATGCGGTTGACTTCGGGCTCAGCAGAGACACCAATTCGTTTAGACTGCACGTCACCGAAGGCGCGGGTGTTGGCAAGCCCGCTCATGCGCTCCTCGCCGAAAGAGTCAGTGACAAAGGTTGCGGCATAACGGCGGAGGCGAGCAGCCTCAATGGGCGAGGATGGGTGATGGTTGGCTGTCAGAGGAATAGCCTCTCCGGTGGCCGTTGAGCAGAGCAAGACTTTGGTGTCTCCCACATGCGCAACAAGGAGGCTGGAGGGACCCGCCGGGTGCCAAAAGGGGGTTGGGCTGGGAGGGGAGATCATGGCAATACTTCCAGTGCTACCACCCTTGAAACGCGAGCGGCCGCCAATCTTGGGGGTCCTGGTTAGGCTAGGAGAGTGGAGTATTTCGTCTTCATTGAGAGGTTTCTCGGCCAGAGCCAGATCATCATCCCGCTTGGCTGCTTGCGCTTTCACAAAGTCCAGATCAGCCCGCAAAAAGGCATATTCCATGACCTCCTCAATGGAGACGCGATCTGAGGATGCGGCATCCCCGGAGTCGGTCCCATAGTAGGCGAAATGAGGCGGCTTGAATCTTTTGAAATAACCACCAACCAAGCGCCTCCAGTTATTCACCAGACTTTTCTCCAGCTCTCCAATGCGACGTCGATTTCCCTTCTGCATCAGGGGCAATGACGCGGAATGATCCACTCCGTTTATAGGTTGATTTGGCCGTAGGCTTGACTGGATCTCGAAATTGGCGGCCGCATTTTGAATATACTCATGCAAATAATCTTTCAGGAATGCACTGCACTCCGCGCCGCCATGGCCATCGAAGATGCCGAAGTAAAAGATTTGTGGATCCCCATTGGCGGTATCTGCGGCGCGGGATTCACGAGGTGAGGTCGACGAGGGTCGATTGATCGTTACCGATGCTGGAGGTCGCTTTGCAAAGGCCGGGATGTCAATCACACCGGCCTGATATGTATCTTCATTTGCTGGTCGAGTTCCACGGGCAGTGACGGCACCAAAGTGATGTTTGGCACTGCGCAGGGGAATCCGCACTACAGTGGTCTCGCGGTCGACGAATGTCTGAAATGACGTAGGCGAATGTGAGGTCTCCCCGGTATGTGGCACCGACTCGGAACGCGGGAGTTTGTGAAAGGGCGAGGTCGGCCCCCGAGGATCCGGATGAAGTGACGACGAGGGGAGGTGAGTAACGAAATAGTCGCGGAACTGGGGGCGCTTTTTCAGGGTAGGAGGCGCATCGGGGGCTGCAGCTTCCGAGCTGTATAGTCGCAATCTTCGAGGGCGGGAGAAGGCTGCTAGATTCAACCGTCAGCGGCTCATCAGGGATCGTCCGTGAAAATTACGATTGACGTACTGTAACAGCCAGCCAAGGTCCAGGCCCGGCCTGTTACTCGCCTCGCTGAAGTGACAATCATGAATGGCCCATGGATCGCAGGAGGTGTAAGATGAAAGGAGATGGGGGAAGCAACATCGTGGGGGGAAACCGGCTGGCCCGAGCGTCGGCAGATAAGGCGACACGTCCCGGCAGATCAATTTCAACTTCCCGTCTAGTATCAGCGCTCTCATATGAATAATCACCAAAGTCCTGACAGATTCCCTGGAAGTCTGGGTACGGTGAGACCTCATCATATTAGTTGTGGTTTCGTACGTCCATTATTCACCTGATTCGTCCATGTATCACCCTCTGACTCCATTCGGATATAGACCACGTTCTCCGGGATATTCAAGAACAAGTACTGATTTGCAAGATTCTGACAAATGAGCAGCTTGCCCTGTGTATTGAGGATTGCTCTGTTAAACTACCTAGCACTGTGTTCAAACGGTTCCCGGGGCCGTGGTCTGCATCCATACTAAGGGAAGGGGGGTGTTAGCTTTACAACAATACCTGATCAAAAAGTTCCTTTACACTAAGTAGATAGCACGAGGTAGCTATTTGTACGTTGGAGTAAGGGTTTAAGCTTCAAAACTCCGATTTGAAAAGCTTATCGCAGGTGATTTATCAATCTCAGGATCAGGTTGTACCTTGGCACCGATGCACCTTGATATGCAGGTCATTGAATGCAGTTGATATGCTATACCTGCAGTATAAAACTGCCGAAGTCCCGATGGCAAGCTTGACAAAGGCACTTCCTCCGTTGGGGGGTTTGTTGAAATCATTTACTTCCACGTTTTTGCCTTAAGGCACCAAGTCACCCCGCCGATAAGATAAACCCCGATTTTTTTTTCTTGGACGAGGGGCTCACGCACTCACAATGGCTGACGATTTTGATACTGGTGATCTGTTTAAGGACCCCGAGGGGTTCTACCCTGAAGAGAAACAGCCCACATTTGCTGAGCACCACATGCTGTCTGGACAGACGGTGCGCGTGCGTCTTGTGGGCAGTCACCCACTTTACGTATGTGAAGGTCCAATTGTTTCCTTTGGGACATTACTAACCCATTTTGACGATTCAGGGAAATCTGCTATGGAATGCCGGCCGAACCAGCGCACATTATATTGAAGAACGAGCCGATTCCCTTATCCGCGGCAAGGATGTCCTCGAGATTGGCGCTGCGGCGGGCGTCCCTAGTATCGTCAGTGCGATTCTGGGGGCTCGCACCACGGTGATGACTGATTATCCAGACCTGGACCTGGTATCTAATATGCAACATAATGCGGATTTGTCGGCTGGCATGATCCCGTCTGAGTCGCGACTGTATGTGGAGGGTTATGCATGGGGCAAGACGGTTGAACCGCTCCAGGCGCATATTCCTTCCGCCCAAGGAGGCAGCCCTGCGACCTTTGACGTATTGATCATGGCAGACGTTGTTTACGCCTGGCGTGAACATGGGAATCTGATCAAGACTATGCAAATGACTTTGAAAAAAAGCCCCGAGGCTGTGGCTTTGGTCATTTTTACACCCTATCAGCCGTGGTTGCTGCCGCAGACCGAAAAGTTCTTTCCGCTGGCGGAGTCGAGCGGGTTCACCGTGACCAAGATATTTGAAAAGCTCATGGAAGAGGTGTTATTTGAAGATGATCCAGGTGTAAGTACCTCTCCACTGCTACTTGGCTCACTCTAATGCTAAATATGTCGTAGGATGAGAGGCTTCGGCGGACCGTGTTTGGATATGAACTCCGGTGGGCACCGGATAAATTGCTGGACAATGCTTGAAATTTAGCATGATACCCTAATTTTCACAAAAAGTAAACAATTGATAGACCAGCTTCAATGCTGCATTTGGAGTTGAACCTTCAACTATTCGAACCAACAACGGTCCTAAGAGTAAACATGTGAGAGAAGACTAGATGGGGTGGCGAAGTGAAGAGTCAATTTCTCGTTTGCGTTTCGAGGTCTTACTTCCTTTCTTCTTTCCTGCTGCTCTCAAACAAATTCTGTCCTTTTTCTCTGAGAACATTTGTCGCATCACACATCACAAAATGAACAGCCTACGAATGAATCGGTCTATGACAGGGCTCTGCATTCAGCAAAAGGAAACCGACCACGGCTTCCTATTGAATTTGAAGGCCGTAGTCTTCCGTTGTTGACCTCACCATGTCTATCTACCTACTGTGGGCGGGAAAAAGGTGCGCCGCGCGGAATCAGCCATAGAAGCAGGTCCCCACTTCACCGAATATGATTGGCTTTTGTCGGCAAAACACCTCCTTTTAGAAGTCGGGCCGACTGCCAATTTTAAACCGTCCCGACAGTACCTACGTCAATATACTCCGCATTTCACGCCGGACATCAAACCCTATTAAACCCCCACAAGAAAGGCGATGAACAATTTTGCTCACAGAGAACACCATGGGGTCTTTCAGGCATTTATCAAAATCTGCCATTCGCGCAGCATCAACATCCACAGCCCAAACGACCAAGGCTGCTGGCGACATTTCATCGGTGTTTCCTAGTCTACAACCGGGGTATCAGCCGGAGCCTCTCCCCGCTCGATTCCAAGAGCTGAAACAAAGACTATTTGAAAAAAACGAGAAGGCGCTGAAAGAGAGCTGGAAGAGGCTTCTCCTGAGCTTGGAGGAGGAAGCGGAGAAAATCAAGTCGAAAGGAAGCGATGTAAGTAAAAGCCATGCAGAACCAAGCCTAAAGACTAATCGGGAAAGATCATTCCATCTGTGAAATATTCTGATATTGTGTCCGGCAAAGTCCCTGAGGCGACTCTGAAAGAAATTCGCCACCGTGGCAGCGTAGTCATTCGAAACGTGCTGCCTCGAAACACGGCCCTTGATTATAAACAAAGAATCCGTGACTATGTCAGCGCAAATCAAAAACGCGTAAAAGCATTTCCATCGGATTCGCCGGCCGTCTACGAACTTTACTGGACTCCATCACAAGCGGAAGCTCGAGCGAATCCCAATGTGCTCGAAGCACAGCGATTCCTACAGCGGTTATGGCACTCATCGGACCCAAACACAATACTCTCGACATCAAACCCACTTACTTACGCAGACCGACTGCGAATCCGAAATCCGGGAGACTCCAAGTTTACTCTGGGGCCCCATATAGACGGCGGATCACTCGAACGCTGGGAAGACCCTGAGTATGCCAGTGTATACAACAAGATCCTTGAGGGCAACTGGGAAAGGTACGACCCATGGGATGCCAAACATCGTCTGTCGGCAAAGATGGATCTATACAACGGCGCCGGCGCCTGTTCAATGCTGCGTTTCTTCCAGGGATGGCTCTCCATGTCCGATACTGCACCCGGCGAGGGCTCGCTCCATGTCTGCCCTATGGTCGTGCATAGCACGGCCTATACGATTCTCCGACCATTCTTCGATGTCCAAAGTCAAGACCCCAAACTGGATGCTACTTTCCCTGGGTCTGTGCCAGGAGCATGCCAGGAGTATAATCCCGTGACACACCCGGAGCTTCAGCTCGAGACCACAATGGTTCCGGTGCCTCGGGTTGAACCAGGCGACTTTGTCGCATGGCACTGCGACTCGCTGCACTCAGTAGACAAGGAGCACCGAGGCAGTCGAGACTCTAGTGTGATGTATATTCCAGCCACCCCTTTGTGTGACATGAATATCAAGTACCTCCTCAAGCAGCGTCAAGCAGCTTTGACGTATTCCCCGCCGTGGGACTTTCCCGGTGCCGGCGGTGATGGTGAAATGGGATTTCAGGGTGCAGTGGACTGGTCTTCTTTGAATCCCGAAGGACAGAGGGCGATGGGGTTCGGTAATATTCCTTGGAAGATGACGGAGGCCATGACTGAAGGCGAGAGACAGGCAGTGAAATCGGCCAATGAGATGTGCTCCAGAGCATAAAAGACCATTTCTTGGACAATGGAACAACCGTGACTAGCAATGTACTGGAAAATTTCACGCTGAACTAGGCGGATTGTCAGTGGTGGAGCATGTGCCACGTGAAATACCTTCTTACTATAGATGAACAAAACACCTGTCAGAAATCATGACAGAGATACTACAGATATTTCTGTAACAGTAGCCTCACCTAGACAGAAACCTCGTAGGAGCTGCTTGGAAATCCAGTTTACCCGGATAAAATGGCAAGTTACTTTAACGCTGATACTGATATTTGTTTTGGGTTTGAAGAAGAATACTAGAGAAAGCTTTTCATTACCGCCTGCTAGCTTTATTCTTCGCCTTTTGCCTATGATCAACTTGCTTTGGTATTAGTAACTAGGGAAAATGCCAAGGTACTGCCATAACCTAATAGGCACACCCACAATTATTCCGGTTGCAGGAACTATCTTCGAGAATCGCGGGGCTCCTTTCTTCAGGTGACCCTTTGCAGGCGTGATCTACTTTGATGCATACAGGGGTTTGGTCAAGCCTCAGGGGTGTAGCGGCCGGGGGAATATTTCGCTAATTCCATCGAATGATGAATGCCAAGTTTCTCCGCAGGACAGGATCAGCGAACTTTTTACTCAACTGTTTCTTGATACGCTCAGGCCAAGGTCCCGTGTGTCCGCCAAACCTATAGTTTATTGGTGGAAGCTATACAGACTGCCATCTTTTCTTTTCACGATCTGAATGCTCCGTGACGAGTTGTCCACTACACAACATCCATGCCAAGCAAATAAAGCCCAAATACTCCGTCCTCTAACGTCGAAGTGAAACCTTGGCAATGCTTGGCGGGCGATTTGATCATGACGGACACGAAACAAACTAGAGACATTAAACTGCCATGAGGATCATTAGTGGAAATTAAATTTCTCAGCCGAAGCAGCTTCGCCCACTATGTTCTTATTCAGTCGCGATGCTTGGCTGCTTGGCTGCATGAATGGAGAGATCCGAGGACATTCGACAAAAGTAATTTCCAAGACTTAGCCAGACACTGAAACTGACCAAATTGACTTGTCTCAGCTCTTGGAATACAATCAGCTTGAGTATTAGCCAAGTGGTGACTAAGTTACGGATAAATGTTATCCACCGGTCAGGAGTCAAAATATGTCCATCGTGAGTCGAGTAGTATTGTTTCCTCCTATATAAGAAGCTAGAATTCCAGTCATACCGACTTCCAACCCAACTTTCTATTGAGATTGTCTCCTGTCTACCTTGAGGCCCCTTGCCTTAGAAACCTTGAGCAACTTGCATCTAATTGTGCCTCTTCTCTTTCATCATGGTTACCACCAGAAGCCTTTCTGCCCTCATTGCCGGCTGCTTTTGCAGTCTTGCTGCGGCTGCTCCTACTCCCACCACTGTTGAAGTTACCAACTCCGTTGATAAGCGTGCTACCGTCAGTGATGCAGCTTTTGGCTACGCTAGTCTAAATGGCGGCACAACTGGTGGCGCAGGTGGTACTACCACCACAGTATCTTCCTACGCTGCTTTCACGGCTGCTGTCTCCGGTGACAGCAAGAAGGTCGTCTATGTTTCTGGCCCCATCACACAGACCGCCGACCAGGTCAAGGTGGGGAGCAACACCAGCATCATCGGGAAAAGCTCTACGGCTATCCTGACCGGCTTTGGCCTGTAAGCTTGATTTTGTCTATCGAGGAGCTGAGGAGCGCATACTAAGTCACTGCCAGTCTGGTCAAAGAGGAATCGAACGTTATTATCCGCAATCTAGGCGTCAAGAAAGTTCTTGCAGACAACGGCGACGCCATTGGTGTTCGTGAGTCGAAGCCCAAGCCTTTTCCAGCATGTAATAAGTTCCGTAAAGAATGCAGAACTGACCATGGCAATACTTTGTGCAGAGTATTCCACCAACGTCTGGATCGATCACTGCGATGTTTCCTCCGACATGGACCATGATAAGGACTACTACGACGGTCTGATTGATGTAGGTATTGCAGAAATCCTCAATATATCAAAATTAGACACTGACGGTCATAATTCCTCACTACCAGCTCACTCACGCTGCTGACTACATCACCGTCTCGAACACATTCTTTCACGACCACTGGAAAGCATCCTTGATTGGCCACTCTGACAACAACGGCGATGAAGACACTGGACACCTCCGCGTTACATATGCCAACAACTACTGGTACAACATCAACTCCCGTGCTCCCTCCATTCGCTTCGGAACCGGTCACATCTACAACAGCTACTTCCTCGCCGTCAACGATGGTATCAATACCCGCGACGGTGCCCAGATCCTGGTTCAGTCTAATGTCTTTGATGGGGTCGACAAGCCTCTCTACTCCACCGATGACGGTTATGCTGTTGCTAGCGACAACGACTTTGGCGATGGTGAGAATACCGCTGAAACGGGCACCCTGACTACCGTGCCTTACTCATACACTCTGCTTGGCTCTGCAAATGTCAAAGCTGCTGTATATGGTACTGCAGGGCAAACCCTTACATTCTAAGCCAGCTAGGTTTTTGAACGCTGGCTTACATGGATAGAATGTAAGGTTTCTTGGTTTCAGGTGACAGCCTTGGGGTGTGAGGCCTTGACGGCCATGACGGCCATGATGGGAGTGGACAATTTTGACTCTTTGCCTGATATTTTTCTGTCATTCATTCCTTTAAATAGCTCTTTAGTACGCAGTTAGGAAGCCAACGCAAGCTTGATCCACATTTTAACTTTGATTATTCTCATAAGCCATTAATCATCTTCTAGGACTATCATTGAACCTCCAGAGCATGAAATATCACCCAAACAAGGGCTAGTTGACTCTGATTGTAAAAAGATGACAACAAGAGGATCACAATCGAGCCAAAGAAGTAAGCCTGAGCAGTGGATTTTATACTACATGTATGTTGGAACGACAAAAAATGATAGGAATTAAAATCTACCTAGGAGGAGTCACAACCTAGCGCTAGTCACACGGTCGGGAAAATTCGCTCCTGGCTCTCGTTAACACTTTCCATCGGAATATTTGTTCCCATGCCTAAGCTGTGGCTTTTTTTTCTGACATTTTTAATATCAGTTCCGCTCATGGCGCCAAGCTCATGTGGCGTACATCCGGTCGATGCTTTGTATTTCGAGCCTGCGCTCGACCCAAAGCGGCGAAAAACGGGAAGTGGCTTTAGAGACGAGAGAGAGCCGGCGACAAGGCCCAAATTGAACTCGATCGCCATCCAGTATAGGGATGAAGTTGAGTCGTCTGTATATCTGAGTCAGTGTGAGCTACTGGGCGAAGAGCACGTTAGAAGCAATCCTTACAGGTGAGGTCTTTAGTGCCCTTGCGCAGATAATCTAAAGTGCTGAAGCGAACGACTGGGGCGATACAGGCGATGATACCTGAAGCCAACATTAGTATTTGTTACAATTGCGAGTGATACCTCGTGTCTACCAACCTGTTCCAAAGATCGCCAACAAGGCTACAATCTTTCCTGTGGGCATGTTCAGTTGACACAGAATCGGCATTGGCGCAAGCAATATGATAATGTCTGAGACAAAAATGAGCACTGCTTGATACAAAACAATCTGGAATAGCTTGAACTGAGAGTAACATGTCGCATTCGTCACTGCCATATCGTAGGCAGCCCTGAAATACTATTGGTTAATAATAGGAAATGCTGGGAAAAGAGCTGTTGAATGTACTTTGGAGGGTCACACAGTATTCAACAACATCCTCATACCTATAATAGAAAAAGTATTATACTTTGTAGTCTTGGAATAATTGTTCAAAGCATTCTAGTGTAATCATTATAATTCAGCTTCTATAGAGAGAAAGGAGGTAGTAAAGGAAATCATCTCAGTCTGCTTTCACTCTAACGTTGATTCCTCTAGCTACAAAGGACCCCTATATAATCAACAATATCTAGCTCGGTCAGCTGCACCCTGCATCTTACCTATAGTCTAGAAATATCTGTTGTCTTAAAAGACTGATGTTTGCTTGCGTATATCCACAGATACTGGGCACTTGATGAATATGGGCATGAGCTTTTTGTCAAACTTTGACTAAGGGAAGAGTTGGAGGCAGCTAGGTGGCGTACGGAGATGGAGGGGAAGAGAAAATCATATTATGTCCGGTATCGTACCGTATGTATGAAAAGCCGTTTTGCAGGCATCATTACTATGTCTGTTATTCTTTTGTATCACATTCATCCCGAGGCACGAATTGGAGAAATACATAGATATTTCGTTCATATCCATAAGGCTAGGGGCATAAAACGTTCCAGGCTATCACTTGTCTAGTTAGTTAATGTGATACTTTAAAACAAGCCCTTAAGCCTTCCAATGCACGTTTTGTAGCAATTACTCAGGCACCTATCAAGTAAGCACTGTATCAAGTAAGCACTGGCCTCCTCTATCACCTCATGAATCTGTACCTCATATTTGTTTAACGCACCGGTTTCCTTGATTTTGGAGGGAAATCCCCACTGATGTGTCTAATTATACTTTCGAATGTCAAAAGAGCTCCAACATGTTCTAGGGGAAACTTGAATAGTCTTCTCAGAGCAGGTTTCGGACCCAAAGCCACTCGCTCTTCTTCAAATAGCAAAGTATGATTGGAGTGTAAAATTTCCCACATTTGAATTTCACATAGTCGTCACCTTAGTAGTGTTATATTATAAGCACTGTATGCTTGACTGTGAAGAAAGTCAAAACACTAGGGCCGACTGTGAGTAATTCAATGAGAAACACACATTAAAAAAGACAAGTAATTATGTTACTCTATCTCCACAACAGTTGTTCATTATTCTCAAAGTGTATCCCAAATTAGGTGTAGGCGGCCACATAGACGTGCGCTATAGCCGCGCTTTATGGTTCTGAGAGCCCCACACCGCATCACCAGAGAAATTCTCCAACTCCTCAACATAATCATTCCACAATTTCTCTGATGTCATAGGTGCAGTGCAATAAGGCTCTACCCCTGTTTCTTCCACCAATCTTGGTAATTCTGGAAGCACTGCATCAGCCGCTTGTGACTCCATCTGGCGCTGCTCTTGGCGACTAAGGCCCCCCCCTGCTCAGAAAACCAAGCGGAGCATTCCTTGATAATTCCAGCTTGATATAAGGCCCGCAGCTTAGGGTCAATGTCAATCTCGACAGCGGCCTCCATCGCCATGCGATATCCAATGGCTTGAACCAATGGAAGAGCAAGAGGGAGAATGGTTCGGTTGAAAGCCTCACTCCGATGTTTATTGCCAAAGAGCTTCATCAAATCCCGAGCCTCCGCAAATAAGCCGGCCTCGTGCCGTGCTAGAGCACAGTTAGAGTCCTTGGGCGGGGGTACCTGGTAACGGCCAATGAGAAGCTCGCTGGCAAGCCCTGTTTAGTCAGAGAATTAGCTGGTGCAACTGATTTAGATAAACTGCAGGAACATCGACATACGAATAGCTAGAACTCTAACATCACCTTCAGCGGTTGCAATGGCACGGAATTCCAACTAAAGAAATACGGTCAGCATATGTGCAATACCTTCCGATCAGAGAGAATGACATACCTCGGCCTGGAGGATTTGATTCCGGTCATAGTACCCATGCCAGCCACAGCCTTCATTCATAGATTTGAGGCTGGTCTGGAAATGATGAGTTGTGACTGCTTTGAACGCTGTTGCGAAGGCATGGCGGACCCGCGGATCAGTCTTCTGATCACAAAATCCCATTCCAGCATGAATAAGAAACGCTTGAAGGACATGGGCTCTCGCAATCGCGTGAAGGATAGGAAGATGCTGGGTACGGAAGTCAATCACGGGCATAGGCTGCCCATCGTGACCAAGGATGTGTCGCCGGAAACTGAATTTACTGGAGTTGTGAACCGCCATTTTGATGAGTGGAATACACCCACCAGCCAAAAAGAGAGTTCCTGCAGGCATGCGGTGGATGGTCGCTAAGAAGTTATCGCGTTCATTGCGTGACTCTTGCAGTCTACCAAGCAGGGCAGAGAACGGTAACTGCACGCGGTTGAAGTAGGTCAAGGCGTGGTCAATTGGATTTGCACCCGGACGAGTTGGAAATGCTCTGAATAACCGGCGTTGTTAGTTCCAAGGAGAAACAGTTCAATTGGCCTAATACGCACTTTGAGGTGACACCCGTACACATCTTAGAACCATCTGACATTGGAACGAGGAATGGTCGGACTCCCCGATCTTCTCCGTCAACCATGAGTCGGGCAATTACAACTGCAATAACGGGGAGGCCACTGCGAACAGTATTAGGTGGCATGCATCTGAAAGTTGAAAATCTTAGTATCAAGGCACATTAAATTGGTTCAACTGTTTCTTACTTAGCAGCAGCCGGGGTTGGTGTGTGCAGCTCAAAGCCGCCATCGGGTAGAAGAGTCGCGGTTGTTTCGAGATTGCGGGCATCTAAGCCATGTCCGAGCTCGGTGAGCATGAACTGCGCCCTGATTAAGGTCAATCAACTGCGCCAGACCGAAGGTAATTCGATCACGTAGGGAACTCACGAGATATCAAAATTGATTGCCTGCTGTACGATCAACTCCAATTTGGGTTGCGTCGCAGCAAAAGGAGCAACTGTGCCGACGAAAAGATTATATTGAACGCTGACCAAGTTGATTGCGCCACCATCCATCGCGGTGAGCATGTCTATATGAAGTTTCCAGAACTTCGGGGTAGTGTCTACCACATCCTTCAACGTCAAGTCTGTTTCATCCCAATTAGCCGCATGCCGCTGACATGGACGTCATAGCAGGGAAATTTACTGTATGCACGTGCCAAAGCTCTTGCTCTCAAGTATGTGAGTCGCGTCCGCTCCTCGAGAGTCAAGGAAGGTGATGCAGGCTTCATCAGTTGCGACCGCGCCAGTTCTAAAGTCGGTGAAGGTGTATGCCATACTTCCTCATAGAGCGCACGGCACTCTGATACCACAGCTGTATGGTCTGGATTTGACAGCGACATGATGGATGCTGTTCGATTTTCCACAGATGATAAAACTGCGACAGGGACACATTGTGGCGTTGGTTGTTTTGTATATTCACCTCGCTTCGCATGGGCTGCTAGGATATCAGGGGCTGAGCTGAAAAGTCTCCACTTCGAGGACCGACTAGCAATGTGATAACAGATAAAAGGGCAACAGCCCAACGTCCGGTTCATACATGCCAAATGGCCCGGGCAATAATAGCCGACGCCCCACCGCTCAGACCACGTGAGCAGCTTCTCAGCTGAAGTGACAGGTGGACGAGCACTAGCCACGTGTTTGGGAGAATTTCATTGGGCCCTGGGTTTGACCTGCCAGCAGGGGGCTGCCTGAACGACTCCTAGGTCTTAGAAACTCGTTCTGAGCTGGCATAAAGGCAAACATACAATTAAAGTGGTTTTTTATCAGTGACGCTGGGTTATTTTCTTGGTCGGTGAGGTTGAGGATAGTCAATAACTTTAGAATCAATCCAGCTGATAAACTTCTATTCCTTGCAACCTTTGCCTGGTACGAGTATTGCAAATAATATTACTCCCCCCACCAAAGTGTGTAAACTATAATTACTTACAGCCAACACCGTTAGAAATCTAAGTCCTAGAGAATAGTCACCAGCTGAAAATAGAAGAAGTCAACAAGTGCTGTCTGGTTATGACAAGATATAATATTAATTTCGCCAATTTAACTCAGCTATTATGTGAACTAGCTACGGCTCCTACAGACGTATAGCCGTATATCAAGAGAACATATCGTGAGTAACCAAAGATTATTCCAAAAGCTAAGAAGATTTCTAGCAGTAAGAAACATAATTTTCGGGGGCTTTTAATATTCACGAAATCGATGATGAACCAATGTTCTAGATCGTTTTGTACAGCGAACTGTGGATCGACTGAGTCTTGGCTCGCATCTCACTGGTTCGTAAGCTAATCGCATTTTCTAAATAAAAGTCTGACAAATGCTAACCTTTTCTGGAAAGGGTCATCATGGGCAGGGCTCATCATTGGTGATTTGGCATCAGGCTAGGCACATCCCGGAGGAATTCTACGAAATAATCATCTCCATAGATACAATTCTTACTTTTGACTATCATGTCTCACATCTACGAGGTAGCTTCCAATCATATTTTAATACAATCTATCTTTTTTTGTATGACTTTGTCGGAGCTCTATCTAGGGCAGGTTCGATCCATATCATGAACCACCTGGGCAACCGTCATTCATCGACATTGTAGAAACCACTATGATAGATATCAAGGCAGCGGATCTGTGGATGAGCTATAAGCATAAAGTGCTGATATCATTGTCACTTACGCGTCTGATGACGAGTGTTGTTAGCTCTGGAAGCTGCCTGCATTTCCCCTCCAGGAAATTCGGGACTCCTGGTCGAAGAAACATAACTGTTGTCATCGTGACTGGCTACAGTGAATCAACAGTCAAGCTGAGTTGTTTAAATACGTGTCTAGTCATTTTCTCTCCGCTTCACTAACGCTTTACCAACCCACCCTGCCATTCAATTTGAAGTAGCCCGGCTGGAGGGTTTGAAATAGCTTCCCCGGACCATACTTTCTAGCTATCATCTGGAGCCGATAAACATTAGCCAGCCCGTAGCTATGTATGACATCCTGAAACTGGCTCGCGTAGTTCATATAAAGGAAGGGTTTTTCGCGGCCCATCTCACGGGCCTGCGCATTGACCCTGTTCACGAAATTCATACTGGCTTTCAGGATCTTAAGGTCATCCACCTGCCTTTCCCATCGAAAAGTAGGATTCAGTAGCATCAGTGGATGACCGGAACTCGAAATCCAAGAGCATTGCCCCCGTTACCTTTCATATAGCGAAGCATATCCGTGGTTATCACCTGCATGATACATCTAGCTTCTAAGCCAGCAAGATCCCCCAGCTGGCTAGTCTCATCCATGAAAACTCGCTGGACAAAGCCGGCTAGCTCACGATCAAGCTTATAAGTAGCTGTCCAATATGTTTGACGGTAGCCGTCAGGCTGTGCTTGATAATTAATCAAGCTGATATTTGACTGTCGATTTATGGATGTAGTATCGGCATAGGGTCGAGTGTTGTTTAATATTTCAAAAATTGACGGAGCTGGGACAAGCTCAGTATTGTATAGATCCACTGTGGCATGATGTCTGGCTTGCGTGTAATAGATGGTGGTGATTTGGTAAGCCGATGGGTTTTCTGACGCCCGTAACCCAAAGTCAACGTACGCATCGAGAATGCATTGACCTGGTCAATAGTATAACTCCGGATGCCTCCCCACATCATATCATGCGGAAAGCTGTACATATCAAACCGGGTAATGATAGCGAAGTTTCCTCCTCCCCCACGCAGCGCCCAGTATAGATCGGGATGAGAGGTTGCATTTGCGTCCACCACGGAACCATTGGCCAGAATAGCCTAAATTGATTTGATAGGTCAGTGACCTGACATCTGATAAAGGAAGCGTACAGCGAACCTGGAAATTGGCGACATTATCACAACCAATCCACGATGACCCGAAAAGAATGACAGGCCCCCTATCAGCAAAGGAATTAGCCACCGAAAACATTAACGACACAAAAGACACTTACCCCCAAGGGTTAATCCGCCTACGCCAACCGATCCTGTTCGGCCCCCAAGAACAGTCACATTGCTTTTCTCCAACTCGCGGAAGACTTCATACCATCTGTTTCCTGGACCAATTTGGGCGATGGAGCCATTGTTTATCAGATTGATCGAGTTTAATTTCTCCAGACTGATTGTCAGCCCATGGTTGGAGTTGAATGCGCCCTGAAATGTCGCATGTCCCCCAGATCTCACCGCAAAGATACAAACTGTTTTGCTTAGCAAACAAATTGCCTGGGAGATGTGTTTTCGTTCTGTGCGAGGAAGAAACAAGCTAGACGCATTAAAGCCTGTTGTTGAGAGAAGTACTGTGACTGTTGGTCCGCATATCGATGATCATTGGTAAACAAGATGGTCCCTGAAAAAGTTCTAGACAAGGTTTGGCACTGGTTTTTCGAATCGTCAAAACATGCCGTTGTCGAGATGGGCAATATATACTATAAACATGTAACGCTTATGAATCTAGTCTGAGATATCCAACTAACGGGAAATCCGATTGGATAAAATGGGCGTTTGCGATTAACACCATAACCTGGTTAGACTACGGACGAAGGTAGGTCCTACGGAACGAATCTACAGAACAAGATAGAGAAAATAAGAAAACAGGAACATTTTTCCCTCGTCTGGATAAATCTTTTAAATTCTAAAGAGACAATTAGTAGATAGTTGCAATCTTCTTAGAACACGAAAACTAATAGAGACATTAAGCATTTATATAGCATGTTGGAAACGTCTGTATTAAGGGCATTCCGGTTATCTATTACGATTTATACAAGCAAAATTAACTCTAGGCTAAAGCTAGGTTCTACATGAGGGGCTATTGATTTAGGCCGCCTAAATCGCGTAAAATGCCTTGACTTAGGGTGTTGTCTATATCTTAGTTATATGATTTAATATCATATACCAAGATTTAAAGCTAAGTGAGCATCTAGGAGTTAGCCTAGCTCACCGCTACTATGTAGTGACTATTGGATCTGGAGTGAATACCGACGAAGGGGAAGTATTGCCTCGAAAAGACCAAGATTTTAGCACCATGGATCCGCCTAGATAAGATCCTATCCTATACGAGCCTTTCCCTACTTCACCCTTACCTCTAAGTATAATTATATTTTAGAAGTAGAAATATAGGTATATGAGTGCCCAAGTAAGGAGAACTGTGCATAATCTTAAGAAAACACCATAATACAACGTTAGCACTAGGAACAATTTAAGTTCCGTATTTCACAACTAGTTTTTACATATATCCTTTAGAAGGACTTCTAACCGCTATTCTCACTTTGCTTAAGCCCGCAGTTCCATAATTCTATAAATATCATATGGTGGTCATTATACAGAGCAAGCAATCGTTAATTTCGACAGTGAACATTCAGATTAAGCTATATTGCCGAGCATAAGGATCACAAGCCAAGTAGTGATGGGCCTGACAGCCTCGAGCGTGTCTAGATTAAGGGATGAATCTTTATCTTCGCAAGCACTGTCAGGAAAGGTTCCTCCACGAGACCCTCCTATCTTGAACCCCATCAGGGCACCGTACCAGGACTTCAATCAGCCAACGTGGCTCCGGGTCGAGGATATTTTGTCACGGATGCCCATACGGGAAAAAATGGCCCAGTTAATGCAGGGCGAACTCGAGAAATGGGTGGATTTTCGAACTGGGGAATTCAATATTAGTGGGATGAAGGAACACATGTTCTACCACTCGGGGATGCTACGAGGTAAACACCCCAGGTGACAGTTGCACAATTGTAGCAGCGCAAAACTATGCTAACAAGCAGATCATGTATGAAGTGAGCGATCTGTTGACCACGGCAGAGCTATCATTTCGAGGCGCACACCTCCATAATTGGATTATGAATGATACTAGTCTGTCGTTGCCAGCCATTGTATAGAGCGAAGGTATAGACGATCCTAGCCACTATTTTGGTTCCCACAAATCAGGCTGATTGTTCATTCTTATAAAGGACTTCATGGCTTGGGTGTCCCAAATGCAACAATCTTTACATCGCCCATAGGATTCGGCGCTTCATGGAACCCGGAGGTATTAGAACCCTCAATTTTGCTATCATGTTGAAAGACCAGGATTACTGACACAGGAAAAGCTCGTTGGGGAAGCTGCGAGAGCCATCGGACAGGAAGCACGAGCTCTAGGAATTACCCAGGTCTTTGCTCCGTCCACGGATTTGGCCTGGGATCCTAGACATGGTAGGGTAAGTGAGACCCTAGTCGAATTTGAGGATTGAAAGCACAAGAGCTCCCATTAACCTTCGTTATAGGTTGAGGAGTGTATGTCCAAGGACCCCTTTCTCGCTGGTGAGATGGCTGCTAGTTTTGTCCAAGGTCTCTGGAAGTTAAAAGTTGCCTCTACAGTCAAACATATGGTGGCATTCGGAAACTCTGAACAGGGGGTCAAGATGGGCCCTGTCCATGGAGGCGAGAGAGAGACGCGCACGACCTACTTGCCTCCATTCAAGAGAGCTATTGAAGCCGGTGCTTTCACGGTGATGAGTTAATTTAATTCGTGTGTATTAGCTCTCGCATGGTAGACATGGGCCACATTTAGACACTGATCCCCTGTAGGTACGACGGAATTCCTTCGGTGATGAACAAACACGTCCTCACAGACATCCTCCGCGGCGAGTGGAACTTCCAGTACTGGACTACAACGGACTACGGAGCCCCCAACCGGCTATGTACTACGTTCCGAATGTGTCAGGATAATCCGATTGATGCCTCGGCCATCACTATGAAGGTATTGGTAGCCGGAGGCGATGCCGAAGGGGGTGGATCTTTGTATGTATCAAGCTCAATACCCGTTCTCTTCTACAAGAGCGACTCTTGTCTGATTTTTTGCGAAAATATAGCAACTTCGACAAAATACCGGATCTAGTTAGCGCTGGGTCGCTAGATATATCTTTTGTTGACAACGCAGTCCGGCGGGTATTGCGGGCTAAGTTTGATATGGGTCTGTTTGAAGATCCCTTTCCTGCTTTCACACCAGATAGATGGCCCAAGTTAAATCACACGCCCGAGGCACTACAGATTGCAGCATAGCTAGACCGAGAATCCATTGTTTTGTTGGATAATCAAAACACCATCTTGCCTTTGCAGGAGGGTCTTCGAAGTATCGCAGTTATCGGTCCATTCTCAAATACTGTTAATGTAAGTAAAAAGTTTGATGCGTCCGGCTCGGGTTGAAGATTCTCCTGACCATTTGGAAAATCCCAGTACGGCGACTACACTATGTCGCCACCCCATGGCATTACTCCTCTAGAAGGAATCCGTAACGCAGCTCCTCCCGGTGTTAGCATGGAGCATACAAAAGGCTGTGATGCATGGAGCAATGATGAAACGAGCATCCACGAAGCAGTTAAGCTTGCGAAATCTTCGGATGTGGCTATCGTGATCGTAGGAACTTGGACAAGAACCCTTTTGGGCCAGAAGATAGGACTTAATGCTACGTTTGTCACCTCAGTCCTTTACATACCTGATGTCCCACTTACCTTATCAGTACTGGCGAGGGCTATGATACAAACGACCTTCGACTTGTTGGAGCCCAACGATCTCTGGTACGCAAGATCACGCAGACTAGGGTACCGACTATTGTTATGTTCTCCTCGGGCAAGCCTATCACTGAGCCTTGGATTTCAAATTCTACTGCTGCACTGCTTCAGCAGTTTTATAGTTCAGAGCAAGGGGGTCAAGCGTTGGCTGATGTCCTCTTTGGCCGCTATAATCCGAGCGGGCGGCTACCTTTAACCTTCCCACGCGATACAGGGTGTATGCCTGTAAATTATGACTACCTGAACTCAGGTCGAGATGCAGATGACCCGGGTCATTCTGATTCTGACGGTAATATTACCTTTGGACGAAGCTATGTTACGGGCACTCCGATGCCATGGTACGATTTCGGGTATGGTCAAAGCTACTCCGAATTTCACTATTCAAATGTTCAGATCGATAAGAAACAAGTAGGTGCTACTGATCGCATCAATGTGACTGTCCAGGTCAAGAACACAAGCTCGCGAGATGGTCAAGAAGTGATGCAGCTCTATGTTGTGGACCCCATCAGCTCCGTGGTTACGCCAAACAAGCAGCTCAAGGCATTCAAGGAGATCCAAGTTAAAGGAGGAGAGTCCGTCACTCTGGGGCTAGAGGTCAATGTGGCGACCCTTGGGCTCTGGGATGTGGATATGAACTATATTGTTGAGCTAGGAGAGTTTATTGTCTATATCGGGAAAAGTGCCGGAGATCTTCGAGGCAACGCATCTTTTTATGTAGTTTAAAGCACTGGCGCTAACTATGGGAGTTAATTTTTTTTCAATATACGATGCTGCAACAACTGATTGTTTGAGGGGCTTTGAGCTAGAGATATACCCACTAGTATTTGTCGTAAGCTGGGCAAATCCATCTAGAAATCACAGTAAGATATTAGCCCACATTCAACGGTGAGCTACTCGTAATTCTAACGAGAAAAGGAATTTTTCGAATACTTCTGTTCAGTCCCTTTTTGGGACTAGTGCCTTCCTTTGACCAATTAAGCTTCACATTCGTAGGTTCTTCGTCTTCTTTCCTTGTCGCACTAAATACAGTCCGTTCGTACTTTATTTTTCTGCTCCCATTCTCACTTTCTGCTTTCATTAACTTCTCTGGGTGTAAATAGGACACGAAATATGTGATTAAGCTGACCCTGCCAGATATTATGCGAAGTTTCGGGTTAATTAAGACTCGAAGCCCATATAAATAATGTATCAGTCATCAGAGAATTCACTTCAGAGTTCAAGAATATGTGCATATTCCAAGCCCCACACGAGCCGTTTGTGTCGCTGATGATTTTTCTGCAAATTGACACAGAAGCCATCAGACAAGCAAGCCAAGCTTAATTTCAACATGGCCATTTTTTCCGAGGATTGTACCGAAACGTAGGCTGTAAAAATTCAGATGGCGCCTATTGGGAATTCCCTGGCACGGGAATTTCAAGACCTACGTCATGCACAAAATTAAAGCCTCAGACAGACGATTCGGCTTCTCTCATCCCAATTACTTTGAGTATTTATGACTAAGTTTCCCACAAGAGGATCGTTTTAGGCTCTGCCTGGTTGGCATATATTATTAACGCATTGCGACCCCCACTACAGATTCAAACACACTTAAGTCTTCGCTGGAACTCATCGGATGGAACGACGACGATTTCAGCATCTCATCAGAAATCCCATGACTTTGTTGTTCATTATGAACAATCAAAGAGTCCACAAGTAGTAAATTCTGGTGCAAAGATATTTCAGTGCCAGTGCCGTGATACGCCAAATTATCGGGTGCGATATGTGGAGTCCGAGGCGCATGTAAAATTCTGGGCCAGTATAAAAATTGAGATGATCCGGTTTGACCAAACCCGATAAACATCCGGCGCAATCGTGCCAGGGCCGCTCCCCCTAAATCTGCCCCACTAGGGAGCGCAAAAAGTGGAGTTTCCGAGGATATAGCGAGTATAGCGGGTCCGATGACAAATGTAGCGCCCCGAAACGTTCGCCACAGATCTCGACCGGGATCCCGAAATGGTAGGCAACATGACGAGTGTCGCGAAGCCGGAATTATCGGCTTTCGGCATGACAGGTTCGGGAACTCACCGGGGTTTCTGCAGGATGATGACGATGATGATGATGCTCCAGATTTTACATTGGATATGGATTTCAGAAAATTACTGTGGCTCCAATTTGATCCCCTTGCCCTATTTGTAATATCTTTTTTATCTGATTTGATCTTGACTTTGATTTTGACGTTTGACACTCACAGTCCGTCACATGAGAATTTGCCCGCCATGGCCGACCAGGATGAGATTAGAGGTAATTCAGTCCATCAGATCACTGAGCCGAAGATGGAAAAGAGTTTTGCTGCTGAGAAACCCAAACCAAATGGTAGTTTCATCAACAAGTTGGTGTTCCTGCTCTGAATTATTCTCAGTCTCTGAATTGACCCACGCATAGGGTGATGAGTTTCTTTAAGAGTGATGTTCTCGAGGAGATGCCTCCGTATCAGGACATTGAGATTCACACTTGGAATGGTCCTAATGATCCAGAGAACCCTTTCAATTGGAGCTCCAAGTACAAATGGCTTCTGACCATCACAGTATGCTTCATGTAAGAAAATCCCCGTGAGCCCAGTGTCACGATAAGCTAGCATACCAACAGACCAATAGCTCTATCTTAACTGGCCTCCCAGCAGGTACTTATGGCTCTGGTGATGACTGGATGGAGGAAGAGTTCAATGTGCAAAATTCGCCATTCCCAAATCTGTACTGGGCGACAACGAGTTGGAATATGGGTGCAGCTTTCTGGCCCCTTATCTTCGTGCCACTCACTGAATCATCCGGCCGTATGCCAGGTTATTTTGTGGCATACATCGTTCTCGTCATTTCACTCTTTCCTTCCGCGTTCGCAAAGAACTTTGCGACTTTGGTAGTTACGCGATTCTTCGGTGGGGGTGCTTCCTCCGTTTCAATTAACATTGTCGGTGGAAGTATCAGTGATGTCTGGCTTGGAAATAAGGCACGCAGCTTGCCTATGTCTATCTTTGGCTTCACTAGTGTTGTGGGTATCGCACTTGGTCCGTTCATTGGATCCGCTATCGTGCAAATTCACATGAGCGAACCCTGGCGTTGGTTTGTTCTTGACCCCGCGTATTTCCTTTTCCCTCCACTTTGCTAATACTCCTATCTTCTAGGATTTTCTATATTCAAATAATTTATAACGCTGCCCTGATTCCGGTGTTCTGGTTCATTCTCCGCGAAACTCGCCCCGACGTTATCCTCAAGGCCCGCGCTAGGAAGATTCGAAAGGAAACTGGTCGCCCTGTCTACGCAGCTGCCGAGATTGACGCGCCCAATAAGCTCAGTCTGTTAAAGGTGTCCTTCCAACGTCCAACCCGCATGCTGACCTCTGAGCCTGTTGTTATCTTCTTTACACTCTGGATCAGTTTTGCCTGGGGAATTCTGTACCTCTTCTTCTCTAGTGTCGTACAGACCTACTCCACAAACTACAATTGGGATACTCTCGCCACAGGGTTGGTCCAGCTTGCCATCTCTGTCGGCGCCATTATCGGTACAATCATCAACCCAGGTCAGGATTGGCTCTACCAGCGCTCTGCATGCCGCAATAAAGAGAAGCCCGGAGTCCCCATTCCTGAGGCCAGATTATACACCGCTATCCCTGGCAGTCTTCTTTTCGCAGCCGGTCTATTTTGGTATGGCTGGGCCAGTCAGCCTGACATTCACTGGATCGTTCCAACAATTGGTATCACCGCGGCTGGTATTGGTATCTATTCTATTTACATGGCAGTTGTGAACTACCTCACTGACGCGTACGAACGCTACGCCGCGTCTGCTCTGTCAGCGGCTTCTCTTGGCCGTAACGCGTTCGGTGCCTTTTTGCCACTTGCTTCGACCGAGTTATTCAGCAATCTCGGCTTCGGCTGGGCTGGCAGTCTTCTTGGATTCATTGGTATTGCGCTATCTGTTGTGCCTGTAGTTTTGGTCATGAAGGGACCAGAAATTCGGGCCCGTAGCACCTTTATGCGGGAGGCCATGTGGGAGCCGGAGAAGCTCGAGATTGATGACTCTGGTAAGCATGAAGTAGAACCTTCAGTTGAGAATAAGGAGGGTATCGTATAGATATATATATGCTGAGCGTGCGCTGATATGTCTTGGAAACAAGAATACATATTAGCTAGCGTCCAGCTGGAGCGACGTCAAATAAGTAATCAGATTGCTCCAGATTGAATATCGTTTTGTCAAAATTTCACGTTTCTTGGAGTATTTTGTGGTTAATAATATGCAACCGATTTATTTTCAATCCACACGATGCAGTCAAGTAGTTTCTCGTGGCAGTGGGTATGAGAGAAGCAGTATCCAAATCTAGCAAAGCATATTCCACAGTCAATACCTTGGAAGATGGTCTTGGAACTCAGGAAAGGTTTGATGGACAATTCGTTCGATGCTGGGCACTGGCAAATGCTGTAGCTTCTTAAATAATAGCCTTAAAAATGTATAATTCATTATTTTATTTTATTATATATTCTTGTCTCTCAACTAAAGAAATATACCAAAAATAAAATAATTCATTTCCGTGAGGCTGGTAAGGCGTAGCGAACGACCTGGCCAGTCAAGATGTAGGCTATAACACTCTTTCCTTATCTTCATGTTCACCAAGAAGCCAACCTACCCCAGCTATGGTGTCCGCCAAGAATCTCTTACTCGTAGATAGAGATGGATGAGTATACCAAAACACATGAGGTAGACCACTATAGATGATGACTTTTGTCATTATCCCATGATTTACTCTCAGTTCCCTTTCATAAATCAAAGAACCATCTCTTAGCATATCAGCACCGCAGATCTGGAAAAAAGTTGGCGGCACACCAGCATGACCGGTTGGCCAAAGAAGAGGACTCCACAGGGCAGAGTCAAAGTCGGGCTGAACTTCTCGATCGTATAGCTCGATGCTTTCCTATATCAGAGTGTAGCCATCCCGTAGAGCATCCCTACTCTTGTAGATATCTCGATAAGCTTCCGTCAAAGCTTGAGGTGCTAAGGTCGGGGCAACAGTCAAATGAACGCCAGTGATTGGTGGTTGCAAACCCTCATCGCGGGCGCGATGGACCAGAGGGTTTGCAATATGGCCCCCCGAAGAGGTTCCTCCAACCACAAACCCCTTTGAAAGATCTGCCCCAAGCGCCGGAGCATTCTTAGACAACTGGGTTTCAAAGACATGTCAAAAAAATAACCGTTGACAACTGGTGCTAATACTTACCCAAAGAAGTGCATCCCAGCAGTTCTCATAGGCGACGGGGAACTTGAACTCGGGGGATAATCGATGCTCCAAACTTATGGAAATGCATCCGAACGCATTTGTCACCCCTATACAAGCACTGGACTCCAATTCCGCATTACCCACACGAAATCCACCTCCATAGTAACGAAAAGTGGTCTTTTTTTTTTGCCACGTCGCATTTGCGTCGGTATACAAGTGCCCGTGCTTTCCAGCCGTCTCGTACTTATGGATTTCTTCCTCCAATACATTTCCTTCGGCTTGGCTCAGCAGGACGTCCGCCTTCCGCCGGAATAATTCGTTTCGTCTGGCGCGAAACTCCGACAAACTAATGTCAGAATCCTCACTTTCGAGCGTTGAGTTCGTACCACTATCCACCATCTATTATCAACATTAATACCATCTAGCACAATGAATGATAAGGAATTCAAGGCTTGGACGCATTCACTTGCTGAAATTCCGGGTCTAGAGTAGCAAACAGATGCCATGTTTTGATCGTCAAGTGAGGCTGACAGAGCGGCCATCCTGGGATTTTCGGTCAGGACGCTGAGTCAGATAGGGCCGAGGAACAGACTTTATATACATATATTTTGCATCGCGTTGGCCTTGTTTTCATTGTCTTTACTCGTTCGTAGATCTAGGCTGCATGTGATTGGACGTTTAGATAAGGTCAAAGACCCTCGGGAAATCTCCGCATTCCGGAGATAAGGCGAGCCGACCGGCTATTTCAACACAGCGTACCTCTGTAAATACAGGCCGATGTATTCCCACTCGGTAAATTCCACCTTCTCCCGTCAATCTTCTTCTTTTCCCGGCGCCTTTTTCTTTACCCCGTACGTCTATTAGCGCCATATGGCGCCTGGATCCACGCTCTCATTGGCAAAATGTCCGGAAGACTGCTTGAATTCGGACCGCTCGTCGCGATCACGACTTGGCTGTCAGACGTGTCGAGATAAGAAAGTCAAATGCGATGAACAACGACCATAATGTCGGAGATGCATTCGCCTGCATCGAAAATGCGACTATACGATCCGGCCACGTAAGAAATATACCCGGCGAGACCAGTCCTTTCGCGCAAACCGGACCTCTGGTGTAGAGGCTCAGATTTCATCTCTCGCTCTTGCGGCCAGTACCAGTCCTGTTGCAGTTCAAAACCGGGAAACTTTGTCTTATCGATCGTCGTCCACTGTACTTGCACAGTCCGAACACTCACCTGAACTCTCACCGCTTGGGCTTGGTTTCGATTTATTGCCCTTGCATTCCTCGTCGTCAGATCCACAAATACCGCTATCAGTACCTCACTGTCTAGAATTGTCTGAGTATGATCATGAGGCAATACATTATGTCCGATTCGAGATGACTCCTCGTGTCGATACGAAGCCTCCCCAGTACAGTGGACCCGCCCTGGTATGGAGCCTGGCCCAGAGAAGTCCCATGGTCCTCCATACGGTATGTGCTTTGGGTTTGCTTCAGCTGTGTCGCAAGATATCCCACAGCCCAACTGTCCCACGCCGTGTTTCCGAAGCTACAGAACACTATGCTACCGTGCTTCGACTACTGGCTGTTGCAATATACAATCTCGCTCATATTTCCGAATTGGATTTCATCCTTGCTACGTTGTGGCTCATGATTTCATATGAGCTTGTCCAGGGTGCCACCGGTGCGGGGATATCAGTTCATTTACGGGGTGCTGCCATATTGCTACAGGGGCAACTGAGAAATCTCCGCAATTTGATCAACCCGCCCAATCGTCTGGATTTCGGGTTCAGAGAAATCAAATCAAAATCTACTGTTAGCGAGGAAATCTTTGGTATCATATGTGTCACAAGTCAATTACTCTTGTGGATTGCCATTGTGGATGGAAGTGCTGCTCTCAATGGAATCAATGCGGCTTTCAACCACATGCTCGGTGAGGCCATGCACGATTTAGCCGACAATGAGACAGCCTCGAGACTAATGGGCTTCCGAACCCTTCGGCAATATGCCATACTGGTAAATCAAGAAGTATGGGGCTCCGATTATCCACAAGATGAGATGATTGAGGATATACAGTGTAGTCAAATATTCTCTCTCCAGGCAGAGACAGGGCAGCTGCGTTATATGCTATCGAAGGTAGCGGACCATGCGACCCATGACGAGACTTATTCACGCCATGAGATTGACGTAATAGCTTGTGCTATCCGTGATGTTGAGTCGCGCTATGAAGGCCTTTTAACTACTGCAAGGCTCGTGGAGTTGTCGAAAGCAGGGCTGCAAAGAAGATTCGTTCTCAATATATGCACGATTGTTCCATTCTATTATGGCGTTGTTCTGCTATTTTTTAATCTATGCAAATCATCTGGGACACTCAATGACAGGCAACGATCGGCGATGCGGGAAATAATGACTCTAGCTTTCCAAGCTTACACCGTTGAAGGAGACCGAGCTATATACAAGATATCCTGGCCGTTGTTCATTGTCGCTCTTGAATCAGATGACATGATCCATAGAGCCTGGATTTTAGAGCGATTTGGCACACTTGCCAATGAAGGCGAGAATCTTCGCCGGGCTCATGAAGCGCTGACCTCTGCGTTTTCTCAACAGAAGCTTCCTAAGCGCCATGTCAGCTACATGGAGCTACTAAGACATTCTAACATTGAACCTTTTATTTTAGAGTGAATTAATTGTTCAACTACATAGCTATTGACGGTTCCCCTTTCACAAAGAAATTACTTTTGTAAAAGAACCACTGACTCCCAGCATGTTACGAGCTTTGCTTATGTAAATATTGTAGTGGGGAAGAGTGGTATGTGGTGACTAAGCATATGTGATGTAACGTATTTCACAAGCGAGCGGAACACCCGGTCGGCCGGAACACCCCAACCAAAACGCGTCAATTAATTAGACCTTTCTTCTTTAACCACCCACCATGCCACCAATTCGCTCTCAAAATCGTCAAAAATTGATAGAACAAGAAGGACGAATCTTAGTTGCTATCCAGGCTCTTGAAACGCAGAAAGAGCTCTCAATTCGCAAAGCAGCGCTTATATATGATATCCCCCATACAACGTTATACGCACGTCTTCGTGGACGTCAAAACCGCGTCGAATCACGCGCAAATTCGTTCAAATTGACTAAAATCGAGGAGAATTCGCTTAAGCAATAGGTCATATCTATGGCTATACGTGGAGCGGCCCCACGACCTTCTATAGTGCAAGAAATGGCTAATCTCTTACTTGCCACTCGTGGAACAACCTTGATTCAAACCGTTGGTAAAAACTAGGTTACGAACTTTGTTAAACGACACCCAGAACTCAAAATAAGGTTCTCAAGACGCTACGATTATAAGCGTGCTAAATGCGAGGACCCTAAAGTTATTAATAGCTGGTTTAACCTGGTTTAAAAGACAGTTCTTAAGTATAGGATTAAGCAAGACGATATCTATAACTTTGATGAGATAGGCTTCGCGATAGGTTTAACCGTGACCGCGAAGGTTATTATAAGAGCGGATACTGGTGGTCAGCGCTATCCACTTTTATAACCTAGAAATCGTGAATAGGTAACCTCGATTAAGTGTATAGGCGCGTCTAGATATAGCCTACCTCTAATGGTTATCTTTAAGGGTAAAATAATCATTTAAGGCTGGCGTGATAGGCTTCTGGACGACTGGCAATTCTAGGTTAGTAAAAGAGGATGGACCACGGATGAAATTGGACTTTATTGGCTTAAAAAAGTCTTTCTTCCCTCGACTTTCTCGAGGACTAAGGGAACATATCGACTTCTAATTCTCGACGGTCATAGAAGCCATTTAACTCCAAAATTCGACGAAATTTGCTCTCAAAATCATATAATTCCAATTTGCATGCCACCACACTCATCATATCTTTTATAACCTCTTAATATAGGTTATTTTACTATTTTAAAGCGTGCGTACGGGAAGTGTGTCGAGGATATTATGCGATGTGGTCAGAACCATATTAATAAGCTTAACTTTCTCAACACTTTTCCGACCGCACGAATCGAGGCTTTTAAGCTAGAAACGATCAGAAATAGCTTTAAAGCAACTAGCTTAGTCCCATATGATCGAAATCGAGTGATCTTAAAGCTCAATATTCAACTCCGTACGCCCACACCACTAGCATCTCGAGGAAGCCAAAGCAGCACATAGGAGCCAAAGACACCATCAAATTACAAGCAACTTCAAAAGCAAGCTGATTCAATCAAAAAGCTCTTAAAAGAGCGCTCTAAGAGCCCACCAAGCTCGTTGAATTTAGCTATAGATCAAGTTCTTAAAGCGTGCCAAATCACAATGCAATCAACCGCTTTCCTCGCTCGAGAAAACGAGCTATTACGGGCTAGGCACGAGAAAATTAAGCAAAAAAAAGCACGTTCTAAGCTCCAGATAGCAGCTCTAGAAGGCCTTTCTGTCGCTGAGCTTAATCAATTAGCTCAAAATGATGGAAATACTCAATTTCAACCTCTAATCAACCAGCCAACCGGTCAAGCAGAGGCACAAGAACCACGACGACGAGCTCCACCAAGGTGCTCAGAGTGTAATATTCAGGGCCATAAGAGAACGCATTGTCCAAATTTAATTAAATAGCTTAGATACTGAATTCCATGTTTTTTCGGCTGAAATATTCTAGCTTGAATTATTAAAAGTTGATGGGGTGTTCCGGCCGACCGGGTGTTCCGCTCGCTTGTGAAATACGTTATATAAGCCTAGTTGTGCAGAGATAGCAACTCAGACCATCTTTCCTTCTCAAGCCACCCCTAGGTTCTCCTCTCTTGTCTTCCACTACCCAAGTATCTGCCCCGGTGGTGTCTGGTTCGCAGACAGACACTACCAGCACCAACGACGCGTGCCCCACTTCAATATCTATCAATGGAGTAATCAGATAGCAACCCATCAAACTAGAAAATTATACATACCAATGTTTGAATAATTGAGCTCGATAAGAGTGGGCCAAATGCATCACGAGTTGTGGAACTTTGTTGGAGTACCAAATTGAAGAGTTATTTCAAATTACCGATCGGAAGAAAATGTGTTTAGAGACCCGCAACTAGCATCAGATTAGGCTAACGCTTGGAAATTTCCGACGGAGAGCGGAATGAATTAGAATGAGGTGAATATTTAAGTAATGTCAAAATGCCCCTGATTTATGTTATTTTGAACTCCCATCCTGGATTGCAAGTCAAAATTAGACATCAGCCACAAAACTTTCCCTCGTCAACATCTCCGACTTCTTGAGATATCGTCATGAGTGCTGCGACTGAATTAGAACATGTTTTCAAAGACATCGGGTTTGTTTTTTCTTTCAATAGCTCTACCCACGGCCACTGACATCAAATCCTAGCGTTCCACGACTTGACGAGAGATTCTTGGCTTTGAAAAAATCACTTGTGCAGGAAAAAGACAAGGAGAAGGTCATCGCATCATATGAAAGGCTTCTTCATGTCCTGAAATCCGAAATCGCACACATAGAAAAATTTGGCCCCTCGCTAGTTCTAGAGATTGACTTCAAAGAAGTCCAAAGAAACGGTATGTTTTCGCCATAGCCGAGACTTGAATTTACTTGACAATGGAATTTGCCAATATAGTTCGTGGTCGAGGATGTGTCATTCTGAGAAACGTGGTGAGCGAAGAGCAAGCCAAATGTTGGGAGGCATCCCTGAAAGATTACACTTGTCGGCATCCTGCGGTTGGTGGGCACCCTCAAAGCAGCCCGGCGGCTTGGAATCTGTTTGAGACACCCGCACAAGTGCAAATGCGCTCCCATCTGGCGGTAATGGCAGCCATGGTATCTGTTTCTCGACTTGGGCATGCCCATCCTCCAGTCCTAATCGACTTCGATAGCCAGGTAGTATATCCAGACCGAATTCGAATTCGATATCCCAGTGACGATCCAGGCAGTTTCCCTTGGCTCCTCACCTGGATAGTGGTGCAATTGAGAGATGGGAAGATGAGATCAATAGGAAGGACTTTGATGCCATATTCCAAGTAAAATGGGAGGATTGGGATGACTGGGCTGCAGACTTTCGTGTCAATGCGAAGACTGATCTATATCAAACCGGAATCTCATGCTCGACATGGCGGAGCCTTCAAGGGTGGCTTTCACTTTCTCAGACGGGCACAGGTGAAGGTAGTCTACGTGTTCTTCCCAGTTTGAAAGCCTCCGTTGCGTACATCATGTTGCGTCCACTGTTCCATACAGGGGAGTTTGACGACTCTTTGCCAACATTCCCCGGTGCCACCTCTGGCAACACTCAGTTCATCCCAATGGCGGATCATCACCCCCATTTGAATATCGAACGGGCAGTCGTAGGCATACCCCCTGTGAGACCAGGGGATTATGTCTTCTGGCATTGCGATTTGGTTCACAGTGTCGATCGGATGAATCTGGGTCAAAACGCCTCAAGTGCTTGTTACAATGCCTGCAATCCCTTGAAATTGCATAATGCAGTCACTCGTGTCTACTCGGGCGGCTTTTCTAAAGGCCGACGTGCCAACTGACTTCGAGCGTGGCCATGGTGACAAAGAGAGAGAATATCAGCATGACGACCATGGAGCAAGAGTGGAGAATATAATCAGTACTGAAGGGCTGAGAGCAATGGGATAACTAGCTCTGAATGAACATGAGGACGGCCTAACCCTTGGACAGAAGGAAGTCCGGAGAGCGGCAAACCGAGTCTTAGGTCTTTAGAGCAATTTTCATATGAGATCTTATCGCATTCTTCTACGTTCCAAGTCAGACGTTAGATCTTTAGTAAAAACACTGTGCAAACTAGATCACAGTCTACTTTGATCAGTATTGATTTTCCTCGGTGCAAGGACTATCTTTCAATAAAAGCCTGATGGTGAGTAATGGTTCCCGTCGTCGCTAGCAGGTAGAACCGCATGGATGAAGGCAAAAACTGACTTGAGCTGGAAAAGATAAGCTCGTCCCTTTCATAGATGACAACAAGCTTAAGTGAGGAAGTGTGAGAGAAAATACTCTGTGGGCCGCTTTTTACCCACGTAATGCTCCCTTCAAGTGATGCTCGGTAGATCGGTATCAAAAAACATCGCAATAAGCGAAATAGCCGACTGCAGTCAAGATACAGCCGACGGCGATAGAGCGGGGAAATTAAGATTAAGAGAGATAACGACTAACGTCTCTTCATCCGCTGCTTATCATCCACCGAGCTTATCAAACTTTCAGCAACCTCCGATCAAATATAGCAGAGCAGACAGAGTCCTGGCTATAAATTGAGGTCCCATTACCCGTGACTCAATCTCCATGCCTCATGACCTTCAGGGACTTTGTGAAAGCGTTCAATTCAGAATCTAAACAGCCTCAATGGGGGCCATCAGCAACATGGACATTGTCAAAGACATGACCACTCAAACATTTTGGGCAGCTTTCTTTTCGTCGGTAAGTATCCATTCTTCTATGCATATTTAGGTAAGATTCATTCCTTATGAGAACCGTATATACTAATCCCGTAATTTGCGTATCACCTTGGGGGGATTCGCTTTGGCATCGGTATGTGCAGTAAAGGAAAAATTGACTTTTGGTACGATTTGTGTCAATCGGCTAAGTGCACATAGATTATGGGTTTTGGTCAGGAATGCTGGACATCGGCCAATTTTTCAAAGACTTCGGTGTATACGATGCCAAATCACATTCTTACTACCTTCCTTCGACGTGGCAATCCGTGGGTAGCGGAGTCCCAGTTGCTGGTTTTGCAATTGGTATAGATCTGGGGCGTATCAGAACATTTCGCATAGCCTCACTCATTTCTGCCGTGGGGATAATCATCCAGTCAACGGCCATGCAGTCTTTTTGGGAAATTATGGTCGGTCGAATTATCAACACATTGGCTCTTGGAATCCTAGCAAATGCAATTCCCGCCTACTTGGCAGAAATATCGCCTCTTTCAATTCGTGGTACCTTGATCAATTGCTACCAATTCTCGGTTTCTGTCGGTGCAGTTCTGGTCACAATCATGAACTAGGGGATGAATCTCAGAACAGATCAGTGGGCTTATCGCCTTGTTCTTCTTATCCAGATCTTCGTACCGATCGTTTATATTATCGGATCGTTCTTCGTGCCAGAGAGCCCCCGCTGGCTTATTGGAAACGGACGATACGCAGATGCGGAGAAAGAGCTCAAAGTCCTCCGCAAAGACACTTCGACTCGTCTAATTGAACGGGAAATTCAACTTATCATAGCTGCCGAGGAGGATAACAAGAGACAGTTTAGTGGGTCCTGGATGGAATGTTTTAGGTTCGCCTTCATTTTGGTATAACCCCGATGAGGATGATACCGAGAATCAATTAGGGGCCCCAACCTGCGGCGAACCTTGATAGCGACCGGCGTTCAGTGTCTACAGCAAGCTCAAAGATCCTCATTCATGGGGGCATACTCTGTATTGTTCATGAAATCAATCGGAGTCAAGAATGTCTACGAAATTTCGATCCTCACTTCACTCGTTATGACTGTTGGGTCCGGTTGCGCCTTCTACATTGCTGACAGACTTGGTAGACGCTGGATTTTGGTCTGTGCAGCGCTTGTCTTGGGTACAAGCATGTTCGTCATGTCAGGGGTAAAGAATGCCGGCTTGGCAGGCAACATGACTGCTGCGAATGCAGCATTGGCCTTCATTTTTATTAGGCAATTTGCAATGTCAATTGGCTGGAGCAGCTGGTAAGCGAGGTGTCCATGAAAAATGAAAATATCTAATGTGCCTGTAGTGTATGGATAGTGACGGCGGAGGTTCCGACACTTCAGCTGCGGGAGAAAACGATTACCATTTCCACATTTCTGGGATTCTGTGTCTCAATACTCGTCACTTTTGTGAGTCCTTTCATTCAGGATGCGAGATATGGCAACCTTGGAAGAAAAATCGTGTCCCTCTATGGATCCTTTTCGTTCCTCGCGGCTATCTGGACTTTTTTGTTTTGTCCTGAGACTGGATTCCGCAGTCTCGTAGAGCTGGACGAGCTGTTTCAAAATCATGTATCAGTATGGCGATTCCAAAAGTACGAAACAAGTGGATTTGGTGCAGAGCTGGCTCAGGTTGAGCAAGTATCGAAATCTAATTCAGAGGCCCCTGAAAAACTTATGAGCGAAGAGTGAGCCAGTCTGTTTTAATTACATTACGATTTTGTTGACATTCTTCGTTGACCGATGTATCCGCAGTTCCTTCATACAGTTCCTTCATAATTTGAATCTTCTCATAAGCTGAATACGATCATTGCAAATTCAAGAGACCCAATTTTGGGCAAAATGGAAAGTATGCAAGGGTCTCAAACTGACGAGTATTCTATGTATATGGTTCATAATTGGCTTTTTTATTGACATTTGCTAAGCCCACCCGGTGCAATTTGATGTCTTCTCGTCCATCACGAGGCTTGCTCACTATACGTCAGTAAATCTGAGTTGAGTAGTAGTTCTATTTCCAGTTATTAATCAGCAATTGTCTAGACACAAAATGGGCCAATCAGTACGTAGAGAAATGCACTAGGGCCGAGTGGTTTTGACCATCAGAGTATGGGATTTCATACAAATCCCTCTTGATGACCCGCTCTTTGGTAAGACTTGAGATTGCGCAGGACGTATGTTTGAGACTATCTCACTACGCTACCAATCACTACAACAAGTCTTCCATTTTCCGGCTATGACTATTCTATATCCTGCTGGTCATCCTGATATCGGGTATATGCCGCAATAATCCTTCCATCGTGCCGAATAGGATCCCCGCATATTCTTTCTATCAAGTCAATGAGCGGCAGTCCCGACCTTGCGAAGCGCTAATTTCCCGAAGAATGATCGTTCGCGACATTAGGATTACAGATCTTGGCCAATAGTGCAAAATTTGCGGGTCATTGAACGTTAGTTAGTACAGGCCTTAGTCTTGTATATATTTCCACGCGGAAGAAGATAACATGAGTGGTACTGTCGAAATCTCATGTCTAGTCATCTCACACTATCGCTGTGGCTTGGTCATGTCTATCACTCAACTTATGGATTAAAGGCTGCCTAAATCCACGTTTCCACGGAAATTTACTATTATTGTGATCGAATGAACCGGATCGCAACATAGGGGCTCCAACTCTGATAAGGTACAACTTACAGACCGTTAACGGGATAATGAAGTTTTTCTCCGACATGCTTGGATCGTTGAACGGTGATTGCCTGCCTAGATTCAAATCATAGTCTAGAATAACAAGGAACCCAAAGCATCGCAGGATTTACCTAGATAGGTAATTCGGATGCACCGGTAAAGCCAGTCTACTCATTGGATGGTGATATTTCTTCTGGGGCTGTGGATAATTCCACTCCAAGCAAATCCCGGCATTTGTCCTTCTCTTCCTGTTCACAAGGCCTTGGTCAATAATGCCCCGAGATACAATAGCGCTGATATTAAATAAAATCTCAACATTGTAACAGCGGCTTTGAGTTTCTATTTGAGCCCACAACCCCACCTGGGCAGGTTTGTGCGTAGTTTTGGCCCCCTGGCCCCCAAACCCGTCCATCTCGTCCACCCATTGATAATTCCTCTGGTATTTTTAATCAGATCAGTCTCCGTTTTCCCCTCGCCTTAACCTTTGACTGTATAACAATTTGCAACATGGCAGAACCCCAGTTCGAAGTGAAACTTATTCCAACAAAAGAGGAATACGCTCGCCTTGTCGAAGTGCTATGGGCCGCAAATTTCAACCCATACAAGTAAGTCAACTCTCCCTCCTCAATAAATTCAATATTCACGCTTCTGACCGACCTCGGGAGTTGACTCATCTATACACAGCCCAATTTTTACTGCTGTCCATCCAATCAATGGCCACACCCCCGAAGATCGCGCCCGAGACAAAGCACTCGATACCGAAATCCGGTGGAATGCAAGCGAGAAAAACCCCTTCTCGCACCTAATATATGTGATCGATAAAGAAACAGGAGAAGTAGCGGGAGGCTGTGAATGGTTCATTTTCCACGAAAATCCATTCCCAAATGGGCCGCAGCAAATCAAATGCACCTGGTATCCCGAGGGAACAGAGCGTGCTGAGTACGCGGAACGTATGCTATCGAACGCATTCTTTCCTCGACAGTGTTGGTTGCAACGTCCACATGCTGGTGTCAATGCCATGGGCGTACACCCGAAGTATCGACGACGCGGGGTTGGGCGACTTCTCATGGAGTGGGGCCACACGTTGATTGATCCACTGGGCTACGAGAGCTTTATTGAAGCCAGTCCGGTAGGGCGCTGGCTTTATGAACAGTATGCGTATCGGCGAGTGATGGGTTTGCATATTGATTTTGACAAGCCAAATCCGAGTGATGAGTGGTTGCGGCTAGTGCATGAGTGCAAGCCACCCGGTATTTTGCTTCTTTGGAGGCCGCCTCGTGGGGAATGGACGGAGAAAGTCCCACCAGGTCCTTGGGCCGTCTCTGAGAAAACGTTTGAGTAGCATAATCATGGATTTGAGGGGTACTGATCGCTGTATCTGCTATACATGGTTATCTTAGTGCATTTGGAGATTCAGCTTTAAAGATGTTGAGACGGCCTTTCGAATGTATAGTCATGTATATCAAAAAGCCTCCCAACGGTAACATACCGTTCATGTTTAGAACTAAGAGCTAAACTCTCTTGCAGCTGCGCAGATTGCTCGCGCTCACAGTGCAGTGACGAAGTGGAGGAAATCGAACGACGCGTCCAGCCACGGACGTGTAGCGAACGACTCCGACTGCCCTTCGGATCATCATCCTCTGAGCCCGTGAAGCTCTCGTCATCGCGCGGACCATATATTCGTGCATATCGGCCCAGCCATCGCCGCCATAGGGCGGGCTATCGACCCAATTGTCAGGATCTGTCATTAACGAGGCTGGGTAACTAGGAGAAATTTCTCCCCACAAAATGGGATCTGGTTTAGACTGTGACCTCGCATGAGATAGATTTGCCTCTCTAACATATTATTTACTGCCTTTTTAGTTGCAATGCTCTGTCTAGTTCACTTAACATCTCTATAATACTTTAAAATTATTTTCTGATGTCCTTTTCCCTGATCTATCTACCTTGTACTATCAAAGTCAAATGCTGAACTGCTATGAGAATGTATTTAGAAAACTTATCTTAGAGGGAAGGGCGGGGGGGTAATAATTATCTAGAGGGACGGACTTATTTCATGCGAGGCCACAGTTCAAATTATATGGCCATCTTGTGCGAGGATACAATGAGCAGAATCGGAGTACACATGAAAAAGACAGGCGGCGAATATATTTTTCTGATAGTTGACCTTTGTTTTTTCCAGAGCAACCGTTTTACGAGTAATGCCGTGCTTCATACCCCAACCCATGGCCCCTCCCGAGTCCTAACCCCATGTTCCTAGCCCCATATCAGGATACATACATTACATGTGAATAAATTTAGGGAATATCCATGAGTCCATTGAAAATTACATCAAAAAGTCCCTACAGTACAGGGAATATTCATCGTGGATAAATTATAATGCCAGCAGCAAGCCAGCACCCAAAAGACCAGGTAGAAGATGGTTCGGCTTGCTGGTAGGCAACGCTAATCCCTTAGAGGATGTGCTAGAAGCATCACCACTCTTAGTCAATCCAGTCGCAGTCGCAGTTACAGTACCAGTGGCATATACTGTGGTTCCACCCGCCTCGGATCCCGAAGTCAACATGGCCGTGACAGTTGCACTGGCTGCCCCATTACCCGTCGCTGAGGTGACAGGATTGGGCATGAGCGTCGCGCCCGGCACAGCAGCTGTTCCTGTGCCGATCTCAAGAATATCGTCATCGCCCCCGTCGTAGTTGGTGTTCGCGAGTGAAATCTCATTATTGGCAAGGTCGTAGACCACGTACGCGCTACGCAAGAACGAGTCTCCCATTAGGTTCACTCCGGGCTCACTATAAGAAAGTCCGAAGACACAGTCGCCATCGGCGAACCCAGCCGCAGTGTATGAGTCAAACACAAGTTCGCTGATGGGAATATTCACAGTGGCGCCTGAGAAACTAAAAGTCACGTTGTAATCGGCGGTGGACATATTGCAAGGGATATAGGCGGCGCTGTCACTCTCGGAATAACCGGCGCCGAGTTCCTTGTAGATGGGATCTACCAATTCCTGGGGCAGCAAGATAAAAGCGCTTCCATTATCCAAAGTGACTGCCAATGGAAGACCGGTTGCATAGCTCTTCGTGCCACTGGTGCTCTTGACAGAAATATCGGTCAAGGCGATGGTCAGAGAATAGTATTGCGCGTATACCGGCAAGACAGGCACGGTTTGGAGCTCGCCTTGATATCTCGCTTTGTTAACACCTCCAAAAAGAAGGTTCCCCGTGCCATCGAATTTATTGAGCCACAAGCTATAGGCCGCTGAGTTGATAGCACCGCTGTCCACCAAGGCTTCAGGAAGGTTGGGATACTTGTGGCCCTCACTGGCAGCATCAGTATTTGTTGCGTATCCAATTCCCAGAATACCGTCTATTGTCTCCGAAATACCCGCCGTTAGTCATGTGCCATTTGATGTGGGGTTTGTATTATTTTCTGCTTTTCTTTTGTATAGCAAGAGATTAGAAAAATATGTACTTACGGGGATTGAGGCTTTCTTCAGCCACCGCAAATTGCATATTCTTCACCGTGGCGCCTCCAATCACTAGCGTGTCAGTGGCGTAGGGACCCTTAGCCAAGAAACCTGAGACATAGGTGGCGTTCATCTCATAATCTAGCATCTTGAAGGAAGAGGAATCCTCCAATTTGAACAAGCCAGTCGAGGAGCAGGGATCATCATCTGTCGCACAGTAGGTGGAATTCGGGACATTAACCCAGATATCACTACTGCCGGTATCGAGACTGAGAGAAAGATTCTGGGCTGGAGTACCGACGGTAATGTTCACCATGTAATACATGTTTTGCTATTTGCAGATTTAGTAAAATTCTCTATGATCAGATCCTCCGCTCTGCTGTATGTCCTTCTCTTTGCTTCTTTCCCTTGCCGGAAGCTAAAAAGAAGTAAGATAGAATCGGAAATAAGTCTCATACCACATTATATAATGATGTGCTGGCGAAATTGGAACCGCGTTTGTGCAACGCTTTGGACCGCTCACTGCGGACAATCGGGAGTCCATAGACTGCGGGATCGTTCCGTTTGTGAAGAGTGATGGCATTGGCGCATGGCAGAGCAGCCAAGGCGGCGAGAGACACGATAGAGGTTCCCCGCATGGCAAACCAATATAATACAGATCTCAATCGTGGTGAAATACTCGGAGACTGGCCAGTGGTAAAAAATTATTTGAAAAGGACACGCTTCGAAAGAAAGAAATGCTAGTCGCAATTCTTCCAATCTCACACACGAAAGCCGGACAGGAGCAGGGGAAATGTGGGTCCTTTGTACCCTGGTCTCTGTGCCCACTGCCGCCACTGTATGTCTACTAACGATCCCATCAACTCATGGTACCATTCAGGGTTGAGTTATCTGAGTCAACTAACTATAGAGACCAATCAGCATGAACCACAATTTCCGACGCAGAGACTAGCATCGTCGCAGCCAGTCATCGTACGCGCTAGTGTTAGGGTTCTCCACCAAAGGGAACTTCGATTTTCACGCTAAGCTCGGGGCTAGGCTCGGAGGTAGACGGAAATTGGGCCCGGATGTATTTGGGGTGCCATTCACAGGACCGTCGAGGCAAAAAGAGGCTCGGCAACAGACCAGAAAATTAGCCTAAGAAACAGCCAATGATGACTAGAAGCGCTAGCGAAAAAAAAAAAAAAAAAAACAAAAAAATGAATTTAAAAATAAATAAATAAATTCAAAGTTTTAAAAAATAAGACGCGCCTCGCTTCAGCGGGTGTCCGGATGAATGCATTCACGCCATTTAATCTTTCTAGCACACATGGCCACATGACCATAATTCATTATTCATAGTATGTAATAACTACATATGGTAGAGAATCGAAAAAAGCCGCCTTCCCTCCCAAAAAAGACAGATGCTCCGTTCGTCTCTCGGCCCGTACCGGAACACATAAACACATAAACGCAAACGCCATTTTTGCGAGTGGAGTGACCCTTCTAGGTAGATCAGCACTTCCCTCTCGTCTTCCTTACTTCTTTTCTCTTCCTCCTTCCCGTCAAACCACTTACTCACAATACTACGTCTTGATTCGTCTGTCTTGTCCCTTCTGCGTACGAGTACGAAGTACGAATACACGCCTTGAAATGATTCAAGAATCTCCTTCACCAATCTCCGGAAAACTCGTGGCTTGATCCCTTGCCGAAGTCCCTGGTTTCATTCCTTGTGGATGTGTTTAAGTTTTGTTAGGTCAGGTGACCGCAGCACCCATATCCTCTCTAGATAGACCCAGACTCTCTCTTCTCCATATCTCACACAATCATATCATTCTGATACGCACGTTCTATCTCGCACGTTCGTAGAAGTTTAAATCCAAGAAATTGTTGTGTCACATGCTAGTTGGAATCCGGCCTTTGGACCACGGTTGGATATAATTGATGCGAGCCACTCACTTGTTCTTTGATAGTTTAGCGGTAGCGGCTCTCTTATTGAATAGGATATCATGTGAAAAACATAAATTTGGCAAAGGGAATGCGGTACCATGAAAGTTACATAAAAATCCAAACATTTCATGGTTATAGTTGGAGTTTACCTCTAGTCATCTAGACGATTATCTTTTACCATCATTTCCTATCTTTCTTCTTCTATACTACAGTTTGATCAGCACCCCACTTAGTGGTCAAAGCTTGTGATAATTACTAATAAACTGATTCAGGTAACGTATTTCACAAGCGAGCGGGACACCCAGTCGGCCGGGACACCCCATCAACTTCAATTAATTCAAACCAGCATAATTCACCCGAAATAACGTAATATTGAATATCTAAGCTATTTAACCAGTTTTGGATAATGCGTTCTTTTATGCCCCTGGATATTACATTCTGAGCACCTTGGTGGAGCCCGACGTCGTGGTTCTTGACCTGGATTTTGACTGGTTGGCTCTCTATCTTGAGGTTGAATTTGCGGATTTTTAACCTTTTGGGCTAATTCTTTGAGCTCTGCCACTGATAGACCTTCTGAATGAGCTATCTATTGCTTTGATCTTGCCTTTTTCTGCTTCTTTTTTTCGTTTCTAGCACGTAAAAGCTCGTTTTCTCGAGCAAGAAAAGCGGTAGATTGTATTGTGATTTGGCAAGCTTTTAGCACTTAATTAATAGTAGAATTCAACGGGCTTGGTAGGCTCTTAGAGCGTTTTTCTAAGAGCTTTTTGATTAAAGAAGCTTGCTTCTGGAGTTATTTATAATTTAATGGTGTTTTTGGCTCCCACGCGCTGCTTTCACTCCCTCGAGAAGGTGGTAGTATAGGTATATAGAGTCGAATATTAAGCTTTGAAATCACTCGATTTGGATCATATGGTACTAATCTAGTTGCTAAGAAGCTATTTTAGATTGTTTCTGGCTTAAATGCCTCGTTTCGAGCGATTAGAAAAGCGTCGAGAAAGTCTAATTTATCGATATGGTTCACTCTAATCCACATCAAATTTTCAACGATTTAACCGTACGCGCGCTTAAGAACCGCAAAATAACCTACATTAAGAGGTTATAAAAGATAAGAAGAGTGCGGTGGCATATAAATCGGAATCATATTATTTTGATAGCAAATTTCATCGAATTTTGGAGTTAAATGGCTCCCGTGACCGTTAAGAACTAGGAGTCGATATTTCCCCTTTATTCTTAAGAAAGTCGATAGAAGAAAGACCTTTTTAAGCCAGCGAAGGCCAATTTCGTCTAAGGTCTATCTATTTAGGCTAATCTTAAATTACTAGTCGTTCGGAATTTTATTAGCCTAGCTTACGATAAAAGCTTTACCCTTAAAGATAATTATCGGAGGGAGGCTAAATCCAGACGCGCCTATATACTTAATTAAGGTTACCCATTCACGATTTCTAGGCTATAAAAGAGCGCGCTAACTATAATATTTAGCTCTTATTATAACTTTTACAGTCGCGGTTAAGCCTATCGTAAAGCCCGTCTTATCAAAATTATAGATATTATTTAGATTAATCCCGTTATCATAAATCGTCTTTTAAACGAGATTAAACCATTCTCTTATAATTTTTAGATCTTTATATTTTACGCGTGCGTAATTATAGCGTCTTAAGAACCGTATATCAAGCTCTAGGTGTCGTTTAATATAATTTATTACCTAATTCTTACCGACGGTTTAAATCGGGGTCGTTCCGCGTGTCGCGAGTAAGAGATTAGCTATTTCTTATACTATTTTAGGTCGCGGTGCCGCTCCTCAGTTATCCATAGAAAGTACCTATTTCTCTAGCGAATTCTCCTCGATTTTGGTTAATTTAAATAAATTCGGGCGGGATTCGACGCGGTTTTCGCGTCTAACAAGACAGGCATGAAGTGTTAATTTTAGAACGTCATATATACATGCTACCTCACGAATTAATAGCTTATCCTGCTTTTTAAGAGCCTGGATAGCAAGCAAAATCCGGCCTTCTTGATGTGTTAAATTCTAACGATTTTAAGAGCGAATTAGTGGCATGGTGGGTGGTTGGATAAGAAAGGTATGATTAATTGACGCGTTTTGGTTAGGGTGTCCCGGCCGACTGGGTATCCCGCTCGCTTGTGAAATACGTTATCTTAATATAAAGACTTGAGTTTCGAAAATATTGAGGTATTGCCTTACTTTGGCTCGGTAAATTCCTAAGATGATAGTAAATGGCGAAGAAGCGATGAGCAAAAATAAAATCCTTTGATAAATAAAACAAAAAACGAGTTCTTCTCGGTTATCAAGAACCTGCGAGAAGAAGGCTGCTCCTTACCATTTCTCATGGATAATGACACCAGATTCACGTTGGCACCTATCAAAGAGGCTGCTTTAAAAGGACACACGCATGTGGTCGAACATTTATTGTCCTACGCCAAAAGTCCTCGTGACTATGCTTCTTCGACCCTTCCATTTGCCGCTATCTCCGGTGACATAGGCTTGGTATCTATGCTCCTTGGTCATGGGGCAGACATAAACTACCAGTAAATTGAGCGCCATGCTCCTCGAATGGCTCTATACCCGCACGACGAACGAGGGCATGTATCAACTGCTTTGTCAGTAGCAGCCAGACTCGGGCATATGGATTTGGTGACCTTTTGCTTGCTAATGAATCTGAAGTTAAAGTCACAACGGGAGCGCCTAGTCTCTGAGAGACTGATTAGGCCATTGTGAAAGGCCGCGAAGATGTTGTTGAGGCGCTTTTGGCTCACGGTGCCGATGTCGAAGGTACACATACCAGTGCTGCTATCGAGCAACGCAATAGGAATCACTAGAGATGCTCATAACCAAGTACGAAACCAAGAATCGCCAGACCAACTTCTGGAGCTCCCCGCAGAGGCTGGCGAGACGGAAATATTCCAGACCTTGTTCGATCAAGGCTTCGAAGACCAAGAAAGGGCTTTCATAAAAGCAATCGAATGCGGTCAAGAGGAAATAGTCACCCTTCTCTTGCCACGAGGAACGGATTCTGATCTACCAACCATCCATGAGTGTGCAATCGGCAAAGCAATTTTCCATCGTGATGTCGGTATCATGAAATTACTATTGCGCCATGGAGCCCACATTTACCTTGAAACCTTATGAGGCGCAAATACTTTTGCAGGGAGTCATGTAAGAAACTTAGTAGAACAGTTTCCTGTACATTCTCTCGGGAAGAAGACCATGTATCAATCTATCTATCGGCCTTCGGGGCAGGGGGTGGGGGCGATCATGGGCTAATAATTGGGGTTCCACCCAGAGGAGATTGGGGTGAAAGTATCTGGATACCCTAGGATGGCACGGAATGCTTGGTAGATAGAACCTTTTTGTGACTTATATCGCCCTCTACAAGAGCAAAAGTATAAAATAAATAAGTAAAAAACAAACCGACCCCACGATATAATAAATTTCGTGGGACCTTCACAAAGCTCACGGGATTACCACTATGGGACTAAATATAAAATACTGTCTGAGGTTGGCAAGGCGATTGGTTACAAATGTCAGGGAATTAGATCAGATGATCAAGGCTATGTGGTCAAGCTGAGCTAATCCGGGTCTTCACAGGAAACTCTAAGACGTAGAAAATGGAGAAGAAAATACGCATAAGATTAGAACTACGCTGTCTAAATCGTGCAAATTATTGAAGCACAGACTGAGTTACTGGGTAACTTGGCTAGTTGCAGGGTCCTTAGGTAATTGCATTCTGGTTTTTTAGGGCATGCGAATGTTGTTGGCGAAAGGGGTTGTCAGGCCAGCCACCTTTCCAGATGTTTCCGATTTAGACCTCTCTCAGTTCAATCCAACTTTGCTTCCATCTTCACCGCTGCAACTGCAAAATCTCTCAATGTCCCCAATGATCAAGTGTTCGCAGAAGGGTTTCTCCACCTGGTATAATTCGGAGCCAATGCCAGATTAGGCAAGGCTAGGCTCGGCGTTGATATGTTTTCAGCCATTCAATGAAACCACGTCTTGGACCCTTGCTGCATCAGATATTTAAGTCTCCTAAATTCTCCCCTCTCTGCTAATGAATCACGACTCCCTTAGAATGGCGCCCTGTACCAACGACGGCTATGGTCCGCTCCATGTCCCTGGATACGACTCCGTCCCCTTGAATTTCGAACTTCTACTGGAGGCCCGCTTTACCCATACGTTAGTCGAATATTGCCACTCACCTCGGCTTACTAAGCGCGAGATGGCTAACGTATTTCACCACTGAGCGAGCCGTCCCGGTCGGGCGAGCCGACCTAACCAAAATGCGTTAATTAGTTAGACCTGTCTTCTTTAACCAACCACCATGCCACCAATTCGCTCTCAAAATCGTCAGAATTTGATAGAACAAGAAGGTCGTATCTTGCTTGCTATCCAAGTTATCCAGAAGCAGGAAAAAAAGCTGTCAATTACCGAAGCAGCACGCATATATAATATCCCTAGAACAACGCTCTAGCACTGGCTCAGTGGACGAGAAAACCGCGTCGAATTTCGCGCAACCTCCTTTAAATTGACTGAAATTGAGGAGAATTCGCTTAAAGAATAGGTGATCTCTATGGATATACGCGGAGCAGCTCCACGACCTTCTATGGTCCAAGAAATGGCTAATCTCTTACTCGCCACACGTGGAACCACCCCGATCCAAACCGTCGGCAAAAATTAGGTCACAAAATACATTAAACGACACCTAGAACTCGATACAAGGTTCTTAAGACGCTATAATTATAAGCGGGCAAAGTGCGAGGACCCAAAAATCATTATAGAGTGGTTCGACCTAGTTTAAAAGACGACCCTAAAGTATGGGATCCACGAAGACAATATCTATAACTTTGATGAGACGGGGTTCGCGATGGGCTTAATAGCGACCGCAAAAGTTATTATAAGAGCAGAATATTATGGTCAACGCTCTCTTTTATAGCCTAGAAATCGTGAATGGGTTACCGCGATTAAGTGTACAGGCGCGTCTAGATATAGCCTTCCTCCGATAGTTATCTTTAAGGTAAAATTATTCACGAAAGGCTAGGCTTAAGAGTTAAAGCTTCTAGGCGACTGGTAATTCTAGGTTAGTCTGAATAGATAGACCTTAGACGAGATTAGACTTTACTAGCTTAAAAAGGTCTTTATCCCATCGACCTCCTCGAGGTTAAAGGGGATATATCGACTCCTGGTTCTAGATGGTTATAGAAGCTATCTAACTCCAAAATTCGACGAAATTTGCTCTAAAAATCGAATCATTCTAATCTATATGCCACCGCACTTATCATATCTTTTACAACCTCTAGATATAGGTTATTTTGCCATCTTAAAGCGTGCGTACGGAAAGTGCGTCGAGAACGTGATACGGTTAGGTTAGAACCATATCGATAAGTTAGACTTTTTAGACGCCTTTCTAGACGCTCGAAACGAAGCTTATAAAGTAGAAACGATCAAAAATAGCTTCTCGGTAACTAGTTTAGTTCTATATAATCCAAATCGGGTTATTTTAAAGCTCAATATTTAGCTCCGGACGCCTACACCACCACCATCTCGAGGTAGCTAAAGTAGCATATATTAGACACCATTAAATTATAAGTAGCTCCAGAAGCATGAAATTTCGATTAAAAAGCTCTTAAAAGCACGCTCTAAGAGCCCACCAAGCCCGCTACTTTCTTATATAGATTGGGTGCTTAAATCATATCAAACCTATATGCATAATTATGCTCTTCTAACTTAAGATATCAAGCTTTTACGGGCTAGAGTAGAGAAATCAGAGTCAAAAAAAGCACGTTCTAAGCTCCGGATATTAGCTCTAGAGGGCCTATCTGTCGCTGAGCTTCGAGAAATAGCTCAAAATGATAGAAATAGTCAAATTAAAGCTCCATCCGACTAGCCAACCAGTTAACGAGAAGCACAAGAACGACGACCTAGGGCGCCACCAAGATGCTTAGAGTATAATATTCAGGGTCACAAGAGAACACATTATCCAAATTTAATTAAATAGCTTAGATATTTAATATTACGTTATTTTGGGTGAATTATGCTGGTTTGAATTAATTAAAGTTGATGGGGCGGCTCGCCTGACTGGGACGGCTCGCTTAGTGGTGAAATACGTTAATGTATTTCACTACTAAACTAGCCACCCCACCGGCCTGGCCACCCTAACTAAAACGCGTTAATTAATTAGACCTTTCTTCTTTAACTAACCACTATGCCACTAATTCGTTCTTAAAATCGTTAAAATTTAACATATTAAGAGGACCGGATATTACTTACTATCTAGGCTCTTAAAAAACAGGAAAAATTATCAATTCGCGAGGCAGCATGTATATATGATATCCCACGTTTAACGCTCTAAGACTGACTTAATAGAGTTAAAAACCGCGTTGAATTACGCGTAAATTCACTTAAATTAACTGAAATTAAGGAGAATCTACTAAAAAATTAGGTGATTTCTATAGATATTTAAGGAGCGGCACCTTAACCTAGTATGGTATAAGAAATGGCTAATCTTTTACTTATAACGCGTGGAATAACCCTGATTTAAACTATTAGTAAAAATTAGGTCATAAAATACGTTAAACGACACCTAGAACTCGATATATAATTCTTAAGACGCTATAATTATGAATAAGCGAAATACGAGGACCCTAAAATCATTATGGAATAGTTTAATCTAGTTTAAAAGACGATTTAAGAGAATGGTATCTATTAAGATAATATATATAACTTTGACGAGACTGGTTTCGCGATAGGCTTAACCATGACTGTAAAAGTTATAACGAGAGTGGAATATTATGGTCGGCGCTCTCTTTTATAACCTAGAAATCGTGAATAGGTAACCTTAATTGAGTCTATGGGCGCGTCTGGATTTTGCCTCCCTCTAATGGTTATCTTTAAGGGTAAAGTCTTTATCGTAGGTTAGGCTGATGAACTTCTAGATAATTAGCGTTTTGAAGTTAGCCTAAATAGATAGACCTTAGACGAAATCGGACTTCGTTAGCTTTAAAAGGTCTTTCTTCCCTTAACTTTTCTAAGGATGAAGGGGAAATATCGACTTTTAGTTCTTAATGGTTATAGAAGTTATCTAACTCTAAAATTTGATGAAATTTGCTATTAAAACGACGTGATTCTAATTTATATACCACTATACTCTTCTTATCTTTTATAACCTCTTGATGTAGGTTATTTTACCGTTTTAAAGCGCGCGTATGGGAAATACGTCGAAAATCTTATATAGAATGGAGTAAACCATATCGATAAGTTAGACTTTCTTAACGCTTTTCTGATCGCCCGAAACGAGGCATTTAAGCCAGAAATCATTAAAAACAGCTTCTTAGTAATAGGATTAGTTCTATATAATCTAGATTAAGTAATTTTAAAGCTTAATATTCGACTTTATATACCTATATCTATACCTTCACGACTACCTTCTTAAGGTAGCCAAAGTAGCGCGTGGGAGCCAAAGACACCATTAAATTACTATTAGCTTTAAAAATAAGCTTCTTTAATTAGAAAGCTCTTAGAAGAGCGCTCTAAGACCCTACTAAGCCCGTTAAATTCGTATATAAATCAAGTGCTTAAGGCATGCCAAATAGCGATGCAATCTACCGCTTTTCTTGCTCGAGATAACTAACTCTTACGTGCCGTAAACGAGAAAAAGAAGTAAAAGAAGGCAAAGTCTAAGAAATAGATAGCTCATCTAGAAGGTCTATTAGTGGCAGAGCTCAAAGAATTAGCCCAAAAGGTTGAAATTCCACAAATTCAACCTCAAGATGGAGAGCCAACCAGTCAAAATCCAGGTCAAGAACCACGACGTCGAGCTCCACCAAGGTGTTCAGAATGCAATATTCAGGGCCATACAAGAACGCGTTGTCCAAGATTGGTTAGATAGCTTAGATATTCAATATTATGTGGTTATGGTTGAATTATTCTAGTTTAAATTATAATATTTTAGTTGGGGTGGCCGGGCCGGTGGGGTGGCCGGTTCGGTGGTGAAATACGTTATGCTCCAACTGATGCAACATATTACGGAGCAATCTGGGTGGGATAGGGCGATTCTGGATTCAGATGAGGCGAAGCTTGCGGAGTGGTACCGAAACGCCACGGAAGGAACCGAAGGCTTTCTTATCAGTACCGCCGTGTGGAGTTGGTGTCTAGCAGAGCTACGCGATAAGGCCGAGACAATGCAGCGAATGGGACGTCTATTGGTTTTTTTGACAGCTCCTCGGCTGTGTGTCAAGCCAATGTGTCAATGATAGAGTCCCTGAAAGAAGTCCAGAAAGAGGTGGCCCCACTGGGGCCGCAGCCAAGCCAGGATTGCCCACTTGTGGATCCTTTTCTGTTTCCCTTGGTTTATGGCCGTTCTCGCGTTTCCGTGGACATCACTGGCGGATTTATGGGGCCAGGCGGGAGAAGTCACCAACGGGGTGCCCGCTCATCCATTTGATCAACTTGGGAGATGGCCGGGGTCCGATCTGCGCCGCCGCCCTGGATCTGGAGGGCAAGAGAGCTGCTACTCAAACCGTTTCCAATGGCTCCCTTGCGAAGTGCGATTTGTTCCTCCGAGAACGCCGAATGACACCCTGGATGTTCAAATTACCTCTTATGTCAATAATCTCCACCCAGATAATCACCATGGGCTGTACAGGCACCTTGAGCGTTTAATTGCAGCTTCCGTTCCTTCTTGGAATGAAATCCTCTTCTACGGCAACACCCGCGGCCGCAACCGGCCACGGATCCTCACATATGGCTGCCAGGTGCACAACTACATGGAACAACATAAGGTATTCGGAGATGTGCCGCCATTTCTCGACTGGAGAGGGCTAGCTGTCACTCACGAAGAATGGCAGAAGCTGCGCGAAGCTGCTCGAGAGTATATTACAGGCCCCGAGCCACCGAAATGGAAGCAGGCAAATCCTTTGCCGCGCTTGGCAACTAACCTATTAGACGAGCTCACACCAGAGCAGTGGGACGTTCCGAAAAATGTGAACCGCCTGCTGAGACTCAAACGGCGTCGGCTAGCTTGGTTTGAGCATCCTGAGCCCGGTGTCTCATTTTCTTACGAGCAATGGAAGCAAGGGCAGTTTAGAGGGCGAGCGATAAGTCCGCAGCGAGTTGGGATGTTCCCGGATCCGCTTCATCACGAGCATACGCCTGTGCAATTGGAGCAAACCTTCAAGAAGGACGGTCTCTAGGTTGTGGTAGAGATCAACCGAATTGAACTAACACCGGAGAATCCAGTATATCCCGGGGATCTTGATTTCCATACTCAGGGGCTGCGTAACGAGCATATTGTGGCTACCAGCATATATCCAGTGGAGGCCAAAAATGTAACCCAGGCCCGCGTGGCGTTTGAACACGAGGACAAGATACACGCCACGGAGCTTGAGTGTGAGGTACCAGAGGCTCTAGCGACAGTCTTAGATGTGGATGACTAGGAGGTATACGAGGAAAGGCCCCCTCGGGCGCTTCATAACTTTGGGTCCATTCCGATTGCGGAGGGTCACCTTCTGTCCTGGCCTAATACTTATCGGTCTAAGCAAGAGTCATTTCGCTTAAAAGATCCCAGCCAGCCCGGGAACATGACCCTTATCACGCTTCGTCTGGTCGACCCACATTATCGTATATGCTCGACACGGGATGTACCTCCGCAGCAACATGACTGGTGGGCTACCACAGCGCGACAGGCAGCAAATCTGGATAGTCGCTTGCCTCCAGAGTTGGTGAATTCCATCATGAAACAAGCTGACTGGTTTCCTGTCTCTAGTTGAGGCACGTCGTTTACGTGAAAAGTTCCACGACGATCACGAGCGCGCGAGAAAGGCCATTGATGAGTGTGTGGGGCACCATGTTGTCGTTTTTCTGCCTTACGATTACTTTGTGTCCATGGACGTGACAGATGCGACTGCTGATGCCGGGTACGAATCTCCATAGAATCTCTTATCGGGTCTGCGATTTACTATGGACCCTATTCAGCACTTATTTTCTTGGCTTCCCCTAGTTAGTGGCAAACAAATCAAATCTCTTGGCATGTAACGGTAGATCGATAGTCTGGTTTCTAGCAGTAAATTGTAATACGGGCTTAAGGTCGTTGGGTGCGCTTTGATAAATCAAGACAATTCTGACGCTTGTTGAAGGAAAACTTATATGTCGCTTAAAAGATGTCTCGCTTTGATTTTCCATGGACTAGGTTTCATGAAGCTTACCTAGTGGTGTAGTGGGGCTAGCCCCTGTATATTCCATAAAAAACCCAACTTTCGTTCTGCCAGGTTAGCTTTAATTCTGCATATCTAGCAAGTGGGTATATTATTAGGAACTAGACCCCTACACCTCTCTCATCTAACTCCGGTTGTAATATCTCGCTTCTTTGTACGTTTTTGTGTGCCATTTCAGGACCTGCCTCATTCTAGCTTAGGTACGTGTGATACACGTGAGGCAAACAACCCCAAATGAACAGACCGTTGTGTGCGCTTGATAATTGAACGTCCAACCCAAGACGAACGATATGTGCAGTACAACTTCATGTTGATATCGTACTCAAAGCGAGCTCGCATCAGAATAGTACCGTAATCTTCATATTTTTAGAGTTCAGGCATGGCACCATGGTCGACTCACATCAACTACCGAATTACCGCGCCACTGGATGCAATTCAGATACTACACATAAATTGTGACGAGATATGCCATTATTCAGATGTAAATAAATAACAACTTAGTGGCATTGAAATTAAACACATTAAGGAATGATAGAAGGGTATTCCTTTTCAAAGACACAAGTCATGATCTAACCTCACTTCCAGAATTCTAGTAAGGTTTAACTCCCGCTAATTTGAGGACAGTATCGGTCAGTTCCGGCTTCTCAAGTGGCCCAGTTCGTTCGCCAGGACATTTTTTTCCCATTTCTCATCGCTTTACCCTGCCCAAAAATGTTGCAATGAGGCTAGTGCGTGCTACCCTCATAGCTGTTGAAGAGCTCTACCTTTTTGGCCAAGTCTTCGAATGTAGCCAAATCTGCCGGAGTATACGTAGCGTAGATAATTGTCCGAATAATATTGCTTTCAGGGAGCGATGCATAGTGCACAGTTCGCAAGTTCCAGATAATCAGATCACCCGGCTCGGCATTGATCTTGACGAGACTGCATCCGTGACTTTCAAACCATGCCACGTCTTACAATGTGAATCCATACCAATCGAATTAGCCAGGAGCATCTGCGGCCTTGGGCTTCGGTGCGTGCTCTTGAAAGAATTTGTCGAACAGGTCCAAGCTGCCACGAAGGAGTTGTAGACCTCCGTCTTTGGGGCCAGCCTCGAATAGATTGATAGTACCCTGCGCAAGACAATCCCTTACGTGTTGGAGACTGGTCAACGTGGGGCCAGGGCTGCCATTTAAGGTCGCTACAGCAAGGGAGGGTGATATTCACAGCATCCAAAGAGACGAGCAGCTCATCTATGCCCCAAAGCCTAGCAAATGGTTCAATAACTCTAGGCTCACTAAAGCAGCAAAAGCGGTAATTCTATTAGTCATGGACTTGAAAGAGGATCTCCATAATTTCAATTCATACCTTCTAGCCTCCCACACCCATTTCTCATGGGCTGCAGCATAACCGAGAACCATGCCTCCATTCATCATCACCGGTAGCGGCAGTAGGTTGTCCTCCTTCCATGTTTCTTTGTTCTTTATATCAAATTCAAAGGGGAACTTCTGGAACCACTCCAGTGCAGCCTATAGGTGTCTGCACGCTCCCGTGGAATGGCACCGTTGATGACCGTATATCCATTCTTCAAGAACTGGTCACGCCAGTCGCCGTATGCCTCTTGGCTATCGGCCTGTTCACTCAGAATACCGCTTTGACCGCCGACTTTCGTTTCGGCCTAATCGTGTTTGATATTGTGGCTTGTCTTGAGGTAGCCCTCGTTGACATTGGAGTAAGCAACGGCAGCCGCAGACATCATGAAATCGGTACGATGAGAGTAATGTCTATTCAAGCAATGCTTTAGTTCTAAACGAGGTTTCTTTGAGCACCTCGAAATCTATGGTGAATGGTGATCCAAGAGATCATTGAAGAATTTATGGTCTTATTTATGTATCAGAATTGTGGCGGACTGCCGAGTGGAAGTTTGACCTCGCAATACTCGAAAGGCGGCGATTATGAATCCGGGGTGCTTTGTCCTTGGCCGATAACTAGGGAAACGATATTGGCCGAGCGATTCCACGGAAAATGTGGATACGGGGGAATTTTCCACGGAATTTTTGACCTTCTCTCCACTCAAACTTGCTCGCGGACCCACATCTGCGTCAATCAAAATTCTATAAGTCTATTGGCTGGCTGACTTGTGGCCAGTGAATGGCCTTCGAAATTATTGACGGCAAATTTTGTAAGCCTTTTATAGGCTGATTTTGAATCTTAGCGGTATAGAACATATATACAGATCCAAATGATAGAGTGGCTGCCCAGGCGAACAAATGGTAAATGAAAAGACATATTGTCCACAGCTCTGGAGAACAAAGGTGAAAGTTCTCTTTTGGCTACAAAGGACTTGTTTCTTTGCATAGGGATTGTAATTCGATGTCTCTTTGATCAGTCTTGATTGATTTCAAAAATATAAGATGCCACTCAGCGAGCCGTATATTACTACTATCATTCAATTCACGTCAATTCAAACGGCTTTAGCATATATACACACGCTCTTAGGCAAACTCTCTATGCTCTGAGACTTCCTCCGTCTTGGTTTCATTATCAGCTTGAGCAAGACCGTCCGCTATATCACCATCGAAGATAGCAACCACTTGTTCAAGAGCCCAGCCCTTGGTCTCTGGAGCATAGAAGCAAAGCACTGCGATCACTGGACATAATACAGAAATATAAACAAGATAGTACTTCCACGTAATTGCGTCGAAGGCGATTGGATTCACATATTGGTTGAAGCATAGCGCCACCGCGTTACTGAACCAGTATAGGCTGCCGTATTTAGCGCTAAGATGTGTGGACGCAATTTCGTTGACATAGAGAGGCGGAATTGGCGTGAATCCAACGTCATATGCACCAAAGAACAAAAATAAGAAAACAATGACCGCTGTGCCGGATTGTTTATCACCAGTGTTGGCATAAGTCGCAGAACATGCTGTCACCACAGACATGGAAAGTACCATACCAATCGCAGAGCTTAAGAGTAGAGTCCTTCTTCCAAGGCGCTCTGCTAGGAAAGCAGCAACAGCAGATACGGTCCAATTGAAAATCTGGAGACCGCCGTTGATAGCTATCTGCTGACGAGAACTTCCAATGCCGATGCTTTCGAGTATAGGGGAAAGATAGTAGCTTATAATACCATTGCCAACCCACTGTGAGCCCAGTCCCAGAAAAAGTGTGAGAACTGTGCGCTTGATGTTGCCTTTTGTAGAGAAGAGTGCCAACCAGCTGTATGACGCTCCGCGTTCCTCGGCTTCCACTGATGCCTTGACCTCGCGAAATTCAAGATTTACCATCTCGTCGTCATAAACACCATTGGCATGATAACAGATTAATATGTTCTTGGCACGCTCATCTTGACCCTTCGTTAACAACCATTGGGGGGATTCTGGTGTCATTGCCAAAACCAGAATTTGGACAGCCGGGAAGGAGAAATGTATAAGCACTGGTAGACGCCAACTCCATGAGCCAGGTACGCTCAGCGCTCCATATTGGTCCAAGCTGCTGTGATAGCACCCAGATAGAAGAACGTATTGCACAATGCGGTGACCTGAGCTCGCTGGCGAGAATGGCTCAGCTCAATGACCAGGGCATTGGCTAAGACATTGCTCCAAACGCTGAGAATTCCCAGAAGCAACCTAGTTCCAAGGATTAATGTGGAGGTACGGCAGAATGACTGGCCAATGACGGTTGCAATTGTCTGTATCTTTTACGCTAAAGGTAGAATATTTTGCATGCGGATTGAGACGCTAACTCCCCAGACCTAGCACCTGCATACTGATTAATATGTTTAATGTTGGTAGACAATATTACCTCTAGAGGCCTTATATAGGATAGTTCTAAGAGTAGTGAAAACCTCAATTATGGTCTTCCATATGCGCATTTTGGAACCAAGCGCAGCTTCCGGATACAAATTACTATCACAATGGTTATTACTTGGGCGTGGTTAGAGAGTGTGAACCTTGAAGCCTTCCTGCTATGTCGCACTTTAAAGTACAATTGTAGTGTTAGAAGGTAGAGTTGTCCGCGGTCTAGACGAAGGTAAGCTGAAAAAAGCTTGTGAAAGAGCACATGGAGCGAGTGGAGTTTCATATGGCCTCTAGCGGGATATATGGGAGATACATGACGGGTACTTCGCAGGAGGGTGTGAATAGACATATTAAAGCTGTTGTCTATGTCGTTAGTACTATTGGCAGGGGAATGAAGTGCACTTGAGCGAAGAAAAAGGAAGGAGTCAAGAAGTGTATATAAGGTATCCAAAATTAACTCATGCAACGAGGCCGAGCAATAGTGCATAACGCGGAAGTATTTAGTTTCATTCACTATGGTAATATAGTTTCGATGCGGACGCTAGGCAAAAAATCAATCTCATTATCATGTGATATTAGCATCCTTCGGTTAGGTTCCCCACAAATAAAAGTTGACTAGTTAAATAACAAGAGTGGCACAAAATGCGCATAGTATAGGAATAGTCATCATCACCCATGCCGGACCATCCTAGTTGAATGTAATGTCATGACCGCAAAACCATTCCATATAAACAAAATCTCTTCGTAGCAAGTTTTATGGAGTCATCTGTGTGTTCAGAAGCCCCACTATACTTCGTAGCTCCGCAATCATTTAAGTCCAGCGCTGAATGATGTCATTCTCCAGGAAAGCTACTTTCCTTCGTGCGAGTTCCACTGATTGGAGTGCAATATACATAAGGGTTTGCCTCATAGTGACTGAAGTAAGTGATTGCTGGTCATCATACCTAATTACTGGAGAGTATTTGAGTACGCAACAGCCCTGGAGACCAGTAGTATGTTGGTGAAAAATTGCCTCATTATAAGCACTGAGAACGGCGTGTTTTATCTTTCGAACCCTCATATATTGCGCCACTTGCACTAGAACTCAAGCAGTAATGGCCCTACCCTTAGATCGCTAGATAATTATTGAGGCTTGTCAAACATACCTAGTAGGTGTCGTAGATTGGCCGAGTCCTTCATCTGGTCTAAAAAGGCCGACCGGATATCATGAGCGGGGACCCATGGTACTTTGAGTTCGCCAACAATAGTGGATTTCAAAACATTGCCTGTAGTCTTCATGACGACAAAGTCAGGGAGACATGATTGCCTTTCAGGATCACACCTTGTATCAGCGAGTAAAAATCATGATTCGGCTATATCAGATATCATAGTAAGGACTTGCCCTAAACGTTCTTGGAACCGGCCTTGTAGGCCCGTTTCATCGCCAACATGTATGTGTCCGGAGTTATACGCAGATGGTATTTGAGATGAAGATATATGAACACGGTGCCAATCTCGCTTCTAGAAATCTTTTAGAACATCTGGTATAAATAATGCCCAAAATTGCAGCTTTCCGATAAAGTGGATCGGGTGCAGGGCCGATGTTGAAGTCATAGATGGTCCGGTTTCAATCGTGGCAGTGCTTGCTTTAGAATTTCATCAGCGCGTAGTGGCGCCATGCTGTAGATATGGAAGAGGGGAATCGGTTTATTGCATTTAAAAGGCGAGGCATAGATGTTGTCTATCGCATGGATTGGAATGAGTAGTAAGCCTTGATTCAAATCCACGATATATAGAATAAGAGTAAGAGTAGAGAAGAGAAGAGAAGAAATAATGATATTTATAGTAGTAGGTAAGACCGTAAGAGGGTATATATCTTCTTATCTTTATTATCTTATATAAAGAAAAATAGGGTCTATATTAGATTACGGTATTATCATTATAGTTTATATTTATTACGTGATTCATAATTAGTCACTAGGCTTCTATAGAGTCTAACTTAGGGTACATATTAAGAAAGTATAAGAGCTAGGCGAGAGGAATTGGGTAGAATATTTAAGATTAATTCTTGAAGAAGTGAAGAGGAGAGCCTTTCCCTTTGTTATGGGAAAAACGAGGATGCCACATTGTTAAGGCATGTATTTAGGTAGCCATACATGGCAGTCTTACCCCTCTCGATATGCATGCGAATCGCCTACGAATCCCCACTAGATTAGAAAAAGGGAAAGGTTCTGCTTCTTCAAGAATTAGTCTTGGAATAATCTACCCAATTCTTCTCGCCTAGCTATTATACTTCCTCAACATAGTCTATTAAGATAACGCGTGTCGCTAGTCACGCGGTTATTCTATTTAACCAAAAGGTATAAGCCAGACTTTTTCCAAAATAGAAAAGTCTAGATTCTAGCGATACATATACTAGAGGTCCTTTACGGTCTCGTAAGGCTAGTTCCCAGGCCGCACGGAACCTCTAATTATATATAATCAACAAATAGGTCATAGATCGTGCGTCCACGATATTATTGAAACCACACTAATGTTTCAAAAGCGCATATAATAATTCTGAAAAAAGGATTTAAATTAAAATCACTTTAAGCCATAGTTACCTAATGATCAAAAGAAAACCGGCATAAAAGGTATACTGCGTATATAGCTACTCGATTCAACATAAAATCATTTGTCATTATCTCGCTCTGACCAGTTATCGGTCCTTCTATCCCATTCATATAAACGAGCTTGATCATCCCAAGGGACCTGAACAAGTTGAAAGATTTGATACCACATATCAGTCCAGGGCTCGTGTGTCGCAGGGTTCCAATCTGCAAATCCAACCCAATATCTATGAAGCCCCGTTGCTTAGTAACTTCAACTAAAGAGATACAGGACAAATGTACTTACAGCCTCTGTGACTTCCTATTCCAAACTAATTTGGAAGCATGGGACGGCTTTGGTCGAATACCAACAGAGTTAAGTGCACTATTCATCATCCGAGTTAATTTCTATGACGTGATCAGAGTGTTAGAATGCCTTACATGAGGCTTTCCTTAAACTGCTTCCTGATGAGGTTTCGCTCTTGGAAATCTGTCTCTTCATAAAACTAGCTCATGTCTTTATGGTAGTCCCATAGACGCTGGCCAGGAATCACACCCCAGACAAAGCCTGTAAGAAATCCCCCAGGGACAGGCCAATTATCCTTTTCCCCCTAGGTAGTTTTCTTCCAACCAAGAAGGCGAGGAGTGAACCTTAGTGCATTTAAATGTTGATTAAGCACCATGTACGCTTTGAGCTCTTTGTGAATGAAACCAGGCATGGCTTCCTTTGCTCGCGTCTCTGCTTTCTCTCGATCGGTTTCGTGGTTGGGGATCTGGATGTAAATTCGCATCATCCCAATGGTCTTTGGATCGGTGAGTTTGTGGCAGGCAAATTTTATCGAAGCATAGGATACCACCATATCGGTGGTTTGAGCCTTCTCCATTTGCTGTTCATGCTCATTGATAATCCTGTCTAGTTTCCATTCAGACTCCTCTGGGTCTGTCAGTGTCACAACCTCACCAAGCTTGAAAGTCCGAGCCATTTTTCCATGGTGGAACCAGGGTGTTAGTGAGGCCATGTTGAAGAAGGAGCTTCTAGAGCGGCTCGAGATAAACAAGTTCGGGAGAAAGGTTATGCGGGTCTAGGATATCGATTCCTGTTTTGTTGTGTATGATGAACAACTGATGGTGCGGGTGGTATTCGTGAGGTACAGGGATGGCGAATGGAGCTGTAAAAAGAGTAGATATGAACGAGCGGAGATCTCACGAGGCAATTCTTTAGCCAAAGAATTATCATGCGAAACATCCAAGGATGCTGAATATAGTATAGGGAGGGAGATAGGTGATGAGTGGAACCGTTAAGAAAGAGAACACGAACGAGATGAGATTTTATGAGGTAATTGATCAATTAGAGCTTTTCCAGCTACGAACATCCACATGTAGTGAGAGTAGAATAATAATTTCAAGTACGTTAGGTATGAGGTCATCAAAACAAGTAGATCATTCACTTTTGACTACGACATCCAATAGCCGCCGCATACAGTTTCCAGATAAACTCTCTTATTTTACCCCACTGTTTACCCCACTTCTTTCGCTAATCCCGACCTTTAACGTAACATATTGACAATGGAAATTGAAATTGAGAAAAGAATGCAACTAACAGAGGAACCTAGTCAGGACGGAGATGGGTCGTGGCCCGCCTAAACCCCTGATTTAATTAAGAATCCACGTTTTGTATGCGTATGAATGGCTTCGTTATGATTATTTTGGATTATTTGCGCATTCTAAGCGGGTTAGTTCGTTGAATTGTAAGTTAAATTACCATTATTTTGCATAATTTGAGCCTTTAGCACGTTGATGTAAACTGCTGTTCTACAATGGCAATTAAAATGGGATATCTCGCTTATATAAGCGTTTGACAAACGTTTTTGCCTGATTTCCTTGTATTGGTAATTCTAGTAATCTGATGATTCTGTCCGTTGAAAATCAAGCCTAAAAATAAAATTAGTTATCCGACCTCGAGGCGGCTATCGCCGAAAGGCTGTTCATTGAAAGCATTAACTTTCGTTGACTGTTTTGCCTGATAAAGCGTTATGTATCCCCGATCAGTAAAGCTTCGAGATATCGATCATACTAAGGAGTTCGATGTTCTACTATATAATGGATTCACGCACTCTATATTGTTTTTCTATCTTTATGAGTGGATCGCTACTTCAAATAGCAGTATACATAACTTTTAATAGTGGTCAAGTATCAGAAACAAAATCAAAAGGACTGAAATCAGATAATCGTCCCTCACCGCATCAATCGATACAAAATCATATCGTTTATAGTTGGAAATACCCTAGTTTATATTAGAAGCATTAATTCTATGGCTTTGTGAAAATCTTCGATAAAGGTAAGGAGTGCTTCTTAGATCGTAAATTCATATGGAATACCTGTTAAAAGCTGTGACGTGTATGAGGAAATCACTACTTGACCGCAGTCCCATGGAGATATAGCTCCTTGTGCATGAATACTTCTTTAATCTGAGATCTTTGTGTAGCTGACTTGTTTGTATATCCTCCTATTTGGAAAATATTCTGGGCTTATATGAGTCTCGACAGCCTTGTAAAAAAGGTTTGACGCGAAAGACCCACTGTTTTTTTATTGAATACTCACACAAAAGCTGTGTAGTATGGCTAGACCCCTGTCATCACCGGGAAAAGCCTACGTGGTATTAACCAATAAATGAATGTAAAACAAGAATAAAGGGAATTGATATAGATCACAAAAACCCAGGAAGTGACAAATGGAGATGGCTGATTGCTGAAGGAAGATAGTCGGTCGAGAAAGTCTATTCGCCCCAGATATGGGGACAGGCTATATCATGCTGGAAAGGATCGACTAGATGCTCTGTCTTCTGACGTCTGATGGTACTATGATATCCTCATATTAGTCTTCGACATATGTACCTCTACCTAAAGTTGTCAGGCTTCACCAATCTGCTTGTCGGCCGAGAGATCCCGAGGCGAAAACCCGCCACTTGCCTGCCGAATCAATCCGCGACCACCAAAGTCTAAATCCGGTTCTGCCTTCATCCTATCTTATCTATCCGTCTGCGCCAAGGTAGCAGTCATTACGTCGATAGTATACTTATTTCATTCCCGGGCCCGCTTTTTCCACTGAAGCGGTAGGCAGCGAGGGATTTACAGCAGCAAACACTGGAGGTATTTTTTTGGGTAGCGTTTGGTACAAATATGCTTCATTTCCCCAGAGTCTGTAGGTTATTTTTCTTGGAGCAAAAGACCATCTAGCACGACTTGCAAACCCTTTTAGCACAACCAAGATGTCCGATCCGAACAATCCGAACATCAAGCAGAGGACTACCCCACAGTGGTCTCTGTACCGTCGTGACGCCTTCTGGAATTCAAACTACGGCGAATATCCCATATTCAACACCGGTATGGCCCACCTCAACATTATCAATACTCTCCTAGCGCTAATAATATGTCTTCGGCATTGCTGTAGACCCAGCCGAGATTGAAAGACTAGCTAAGGAAAAATTATCACAAGGTGGATGGTGAGTTCTGCTATTATATGCTTTGCGTCGCCTCCGCGGTTTGCTTACTTGATTCGGAGGTATTATTCCTCGTGTAATGCCGGTGTCTCCTGGACACATTTAGCGAATCGACAAGCTTTTTACCGCCATCGTATTGTGCCACGCACATTGGTTGATACAAATATCAGAGACACGGCCGCGGAGATGTTTGGCCACAAAGTGTCGGCACCGATTGGCTTCGCTCCAATTGGCATCAACCGCATCTACCACCCTACTGGCGAGTTATCTGTGGCTAAAGTTGCCGAAGAGCTGAACCTTGCTTACTGTCTCTCTTCTGCTGGTAGTAACAGCATCGAGGACGTTGGAAAAGCAAACGGAGACGGGCCTCGTTTCTTCCAGTTGTATCAAAGTCACGATGATGAGCAGGCTATCTCCATGATGCAGCGTGCTTGGGACTCTGGTTTTGATGCGTGTATGCTGACCACTGATACTTGGTCACTTGGCTGGCGGCACAATGATGTCTTTACTGGCAATTATGCTTTCTATCATGAGCATGGAGCAGGTGACCTCGGTCTCCAGGACCCAGTTTTCCAGAGGCGCCTGAAAGAAGCCGGTATTGATCCGAAAACCCACCCAAAAGAGGCGGGCGCAAAGTGGATCGACGAGAACATTTGGCACGGCCGAGCCCATACGTGGGAAAAAGTTCAGTGGACAACTGCCCAGTGGAAGAGGATCAGCGGTGGCCGGCCGTTCTGCATTAAGGGGATTCAGAGTGTTGAATCGGCAAAAAAATGCGTTGAAATGTTTGTCAATGCCTCCGTGCAATTTCTGGAACCACGCTTACTATCCATTAGGGGCATTGATGGTATTGTCGTAACAAATCACGCCGGTCGACAGGTTGATGGCGCCATTGCGAGCCTAGATGCCCTTGAAAAGATTGTCGACGCGGTTGGAGATAAGATCTACGTGAGTTTCCATGATGGGACAATCTTGAATTTCAGCTAATCACTAACTTTTGTTTCCAGATTATGTTCGACTCTGGTGTGCGCTGCGCTGCCGATGCTTTCAAGGCCCTGGCCCTTGGGGCCAAATTTGTCTTCCTGGGGCGCCTCTGGGTATGGGGGCTCAGTATTGCCGGTGAGCCTGGCGTCCGCCATGTGATGAAGAGTTTCCTTGCGGAATTCGATATTCTGATGGAAGAAGCGGGCTTCCAATCGATCGACCAAATTGATAGATCAGCTATTGATAGTCTCCCTAACTCTGCGAACCTGATTGCGGAGCATTCTCGTATCTGATCAGCAAGAAGTCAAGAAATTCGCGTTTCCCTGTCTAATATAGTCCAAATACTTTTCTCTCGTTCTTTGCATGGAATCAAGAAAAGAAAGAGAGCCAAAAATGACAAATTGCTCCGTCTGTATGTTCTTAGTGCCGGAGAGAAACACGAAGCATGCTCTGAATAATATCATACTGATAGAATCTTCATTAGAACATAGTGTTCCAGGCTAATCCTTGATCGCATAAGTGCAGATTAAGTACACAAGCATTATAGATCATGGCCCTCATGCAGAAGTTATCAAATTATGTTGGAGCCCTATGTATCTATCAATCACAAGTTCGCTTCAGAACCCACAGACTTGCAGTATCCTAGCCCAGCTGACAGAGTTCCTTGCTCAAATGATTGACATCAAGCTTATCTTGCATTATCAAAGGCCTATATCCGCCTGCCGACATGCGGTTGTCAGCGGGCCTCAAATCTATAGTATAGCTGAGGGATCCCGCGACAGTTTATCAAAGTGGACACATTTGGCATCAAGAATGAGATCCCCAACTCGACTCTACTTACAAAATTTGAGCGCAACGCAATCATGCCTCAAATAAGCAATGACAAACGCCGGCTGTTGCGAAAACAATGCCGGGAGGCCCTTGCAGCTTATATTCGTGAGTTGTCCCGACTCCAATCCCTGCAATTTCGTATCTAATGTTTTCAGATGAGAAACTGAACATTATCGTCGCCGGAGTATTGCCGTGATGAACAGAAATCATTTGACGCAGTTCCCAGGTGCTTATCCATTGCTTGACACGTACCTAAACAATTTTTTTAGATATAAGTCCATAAAAGAAATCGCATCGGGAAAAAAATAATATTCAACCGGTTTTAACATCTTCATTGTCGGTATATCTATTGTGAATCCCGCTGCGAAATCTGCACAGTCCGAGCTATATATATTTCTATGTTCACCGCCTACGTTGCGACCTACAAGCACGACGCAAATTTGTAGATTAAATAACTAACCGATTTTCGTTAGCGAAGAAGATCCATTATCCGCTCCTTCATTAGACCTCGGCGTCCGATTCTAGGATCAAAATAAGCTCATGTCCTAGACAATGATTTCGAGCCAGAAACAAATCTTCCCATGGTGAGTTTCGGCGAGTTGGAATTCCGCTAACCTATTGGGGCAAGAGCGACCCGAACTGTCATGTTGTACGACCTAGATACTTGACCTTTCGAACGGACGGAGAAAGACTCGATTCTATGAAAAGCAGTCTTGTTGACCACACACACAAGCATTTTCAACTCCCCTTCTTCTTCGTGCTGTCTCAAACTGTCGCCCTGATTGGTTAGTCGGCGGCATAGAAGGTGGACGGGTCAAACGCGTCGCGCGACCAGGGACAATTCACTCACCTGCAGTAGCTCTTCCACCGACTGGCCTTTCAGCTGACCAGGGAGGCTCTCGGCGGCGGCGGCGCTCTTTTGGTACGACGATGGGTTCTTCTTGAGCAGCCTCGCGACAATCTCAGCCATGGCGAGCCGTTTCAACGTGGCCCAGTCGATCTCCGATTTGCTGATCTCGCAGCTAGCCTCAACCGCTGCACATTGGGCCATCATCAGCAGAGCACGAATTAGAAGACAGCATTGTTACGTTGCTACCCCCAACCTACCGATTCCGACATTTTCACACTCAGTGAGCAAAATGCTGTCGGCGTCTAGTCCCCACTTAAACCTCAAGGGCTGCATTAGCGGTATTAAAAAATGTTTGATTACCGTAACTCCGAGTCGGACCACCAGGTCCAACATTTGAACGATATCTCGCACCCAAATTTGTCTCTCACTTAATCATTCTTGCACCCACACCTTCCAAATATCCCATATTTCATCTTGTTCTTTGATTATCGCGTCATTCATCCCGAGCAATTTGCCAGAAGCAAACACGGCAAATCCTTCATTTAACGGAATCAAAATGTGGGACGACCTTTTTGAATCCGAATCTGACTCGGAAGGAGAGCCAGGCGAGCTATCCATAGAACAGAGGATGACAGTCGCCAAGTACAAAGCACAAGATTGCGAGGATGCAATTCATGGATCTCGAATCCTACTTTGGGCGAGCTGGTGCATCAACTGTGCACCATTCGCGGTATAAGACATCATTATGGCTTTGCCAAAGAGCTTCATGGACTTAGTCCTGAAATTCACACGCGCTTTGAATGCCCGCGACATCATGAGCGGTATCATACCCACCATCTCGCAGCCTGAACAAATGCCTTACTGTATTTGGTACTAACAGATTATGCATCCAAATTAGGAATGGTTAACTTTTTTTATGCAAATGAGGGCCGATAAGGGCCGCCCGCGAGCCGCCCTCGGCGGAGGGCCGGGCGGAGGGCGGGGGATACTAGCCCTCTAAATGTTTTTCATGAGGTCTAATATCGCGAGTAAGAGATTAGCTATTTCTTACACTATAGAAGGCTATGGGGCCGCTCCACGTACGTCTATAGAGATTACCTATTTCTTAAGCGAATTCTCCTCGATTTTAGTTAATTTAAACGACTTTACGCGTGATTTAACGCGGTTATTAACTCCATATATCCACTTATAGAGCGTCGAATTCGGGATATCGTATATAAGCGCTACTTGACGAATTGATAATTTTTCCTACTTTTTGAGAGCGAGCTGGTGGTATGGTGGTTGGTTAAAGAAGAAAGGTCTAATTAATTAACGCGTTTTAGTTAGGGTGTCCGGACTGACTGGGTGTCCGGTTCGCTTATGAAATACATTATATCATCAAAAACTCTATCAGGGGTCATTACTATTATCCACCCCCTACACTCTCATCGTCATACCACCCATCAAGTGACTGGACATTCACGATAGAATAACCCTCTATATAACAGCGACGCGGTAGACGTGTAGCTAGAGATTTCCCGACGGCCGCTGGATTAATCACCGTCCTCCCCCAAAACGTGAACCTGATAGCCAGCCAATTCAGGTGCACACGGGTTTCAAAAAAAGCCTGTAGTCATCTAGTTTCTCCTAGCCATGTGACGAATCTGGCTATGAAAATGCATTTACCGCCTGCATGTACATATTCTCGGACTAAATGCCACATGCCAGCGCCGTGGGTGAGGAATACAGGGTCGATCAAAGTGATGGCTGTCGGTGGTGTTTCCGAGCGAAGCAGGTCGAAAATTGAGGCCTGGGTAGTGATAAATGTGACGGAGCATCTGTTTTCCAAGGCCATCATGAATTGCTGGTGATCTTGTCGGAAAGATTTATTTAGCTCACCGGTAGGGCACATCATTGAGATCGCTGGGCGCGGGGAGGGGGGGGGGGGGGGGGGGGGCTGCTAGACATGCTTGGTTTGGCAGTATGTGGGGGGTTTTCAAGATATGAGTGAGTTGTAACTGAGGCGGGAAGATGGTCTTTGGAGGCCGGGGTCAACTTTCCCTAGGAATATATAGGCCACTATAGACTTGAATGAAGAACTTGATTCGAATCTCATTTGAAAATCTGTACACAATAATCAGCGAGACCCAAAATACATTCACCATCAATGCAACTTCAAGGGGAGTGTCGAAAACTGATAAAGCATTGGCTTGTTCGGAGGTTATATACTGGATTAAATGTTCATATCATTGTGCTTATCGGGCTTACATTGATCCCCAATGGAGGCTGAGCGTGATAATTTGACTACAGAAAATCTGCTTATGGGACCAAGTCGATCTAAGATCAAGATGCTCGTAGCGGAATGCCGCATTGCTGACATAATCCCTGCAATAGCCGACAAGGGACCCACATTTTACGGCAAACGCGGATTCCAGATTTCCGTATGTTATTGAAATGCCATAAAATTGAGTATTATTGCTCATGCACATGTCACATTCCATTGGAACCATTTGCATTTTCCAAGATTTGCATCGTCATGAGTTTTAAGCCGTTCAACCCAGCTTTCGCTCGCATCACAGGATCGAGGCCGAGGCTTGAAGTATGTCTCAAACATACAGCCTATCCTTTTGCACATGAAGCAGGCGTGTATCTTCCTTCCAAAAAGCAGCTTTTCATTACGAGCAATCGCATTCAGACTGAGGACGGCAGCCAACGGATTCAGATCTCAAAAATTTCCTTGGATGGAAAAGATGGCCCGGTACAAGAGGAAATCACACCTGGTATTCCCATGGCGAATGGTGGGGTAAACTATAAAGACGGGATTCTGTTCTGTAGCCAAGGGAATATGAAAAAGCCTTCCAGTTTGATTTTCATGAAGCCAGACGCCCCTTATGAGTGTGTGACACTCCTGGACAGCTTCTATGGGCGGGAGTTCAATTCTATCAACGATGTTGTCGTCCAAAGTGATGGTTCGATCTGGTTTACGGATCCCATATACGGCTATGAACAGAAATTTCGACCCAGGCCACAGCTTCCTGATCAAGTTTATCGATTTGATCCAAATACTGGATCGGTTCGAGTTATGGCCGATGGATTTGGACGGCCAAATGGCATTTCTCTCTCTCCTGATGAGAAGATCGTCTACATCACAGACACAGACCTCATCCATGGGGATGGGACGGTTGATAAAAGTCGTCCATCTACTATGTAAGATATTTGTGCATTGAGATACTTGAATGTTGACGATAATGGACTATTTTGGCTGACTAATGATAGCTACGCGTTCGACATTTCTCTGTACGATAACGAACCATTTCTCATTAATCGTCGTGTATTCGCGATGGCTGATGATGGTGCCCCCGACGGAATAAAGTGTGATCTTCAAGGAAATGTGTACAGTGGATGTGGCGACGGTATCAATGTTTGGTCCCCGGGTGGTGTTCTTTTGGGGAAGATTCTCATCCCGGGTGGAGTCAGCAACTTCTGCTTCGGAGATTCAGGCAGTATCCTAGCCTTGAATGAGAATAAGCTTTGGTGGATTACTCTTGCTGTATCTTGTCGTGGATCACTTCTGAAGCTGTAATGAATCCTGCAAGAGTAATTTTCTGTGTCTCACCTATAAAACGTGGTAAACAGTTCATTTTAGAGTCATGCTTGGGCATCAAAGAATTTTTGTATTGAGAAATAATCTGTGATTCATGTAGTGTCTTTAGAGGTACCGTCGAAACTTCTTTCAACCATTTCCCCAGTCTGATTATTACGAACCTTGGAATGTGCTTAAAGGGGAGAAATAAATTGATCCATGCATGTCACTAGAGCTTACATATTATCAATAAAAACATGATCTTATTCAAGGTAGGTGTGATATGCTCAATAGCCTGAGACGCTACTCTGGAAAACGCCTTCGCATGCGGAAGGCTACCCTTGACAAATAAAAGAAACAAATAAAAATTACACTTTGGCGTTCTCGTCGTGAGTCACATCGGCCTGATTCCCCTGATCCTTAATGTATTCTCCTTGAATATCAATTTGATCTCCAAATCGCGCATCCATGTCTTCGAGGCTGATATTTGAGGTCCTGAACAAGAAACGGTCAATATATTGCTTCGCACAACAAGGCCAAGTATTACTTACTCAGGGAGGCAGAAATAGTAAAATACGCAACCTGCAAGATTGCAAGCGACATAAACATAGAAGAACTTGAAACCGATGGCCCCAAGTGCCACAGGAGAAATCTCGGAGACCACAAGTCCCGCAATGTTATTGACGGAGACGGAAACAGAGTTGACCTTTGCTCTGCGAAAGGTATTAGCTTTCAATGTATCATACAGGTTGCAATAGAGGTACTATACCTGATGACCATGGGACACATCTCGGGCGGAATGAGCCAAGACAGCATGCTAATATTGAATTAGTTGACCAGGCTCTTGAATGCAAGCCACTGAACTTACCCAACCGCAATAAAACCTAGCTGGAAAATGAAAAACATCGAAACCTGTGCTCTGAGAGCATTTGGGTTTGGATCCGACTTGTTGGCATACACGGCAGACAGAATGGACTGAACCAGCAGAGCTAATGCCATGAACAATGTTGAGAAGATGAGAAGCTTCACTCGAGGAAAGCGATCGAGGACCAAAACCCATCCGATTGCGAAAATGAGACCAAATGCTCCGTAAAGCAAGTTGATCAAAAGTGACTCACTGTGATCGAACCCAAGCTGAGTATAGATAGACGCTATTTTCTGTCATCAGCTGAAAGGGTAGCAATTATTCGGAAGTCATGGAGGGCCTTACCGGCATAGTACTGTACGCAATTGACTCCAGTTGCTTGTGCAAAAAACTGCAAGGCTGAGACCAGAAGAACGCGACGGCGCCATGAGGATTTAGATGCAATTTCTTTCCAACTTGGTTTGAAGCTCGCTTTCTCTGCTAGAATGTGAGACTTAATCTCTTCAAATTCCATGTGTGCAAAGGTGTTTCCGTCTGGTGATGGGTGTAAGCGGCAGAGGACTTTCATAGCTTGATCCTCCTTTCCCTTCGAGATCAACCAGCGGGGAGTTTCGGGTAAAAAGAAGGTAACTGGGATAAGGAGCACAAGAGGGATAGCTTGAACAGCAAGTGGCCCACGCCTATTGTTGAGATTAACAAGGCTCTCTATATCACCAGACATGGTCTCACCATTGAAGATCATCATCGTAGTAGATCCCGAATGCATATCCAGTCGCAGTAGCCACAAAAATGGCGGCCTCTATCATGAGCTAGGATAAATTAAGGCCATCAGTATAGTGCACGGTGTGTGAATAGGGGAAAGCTTACCATTTGAAAACCACCGAAGGCACCTCGGACCTTGGGGGGAGCGACTTCTGAGGCATAGATCGGAAAGACAGCAGTAAGCTGGCCTGCTCCGAAACCGTTGATTAGGCGACCGACTATGAGCATCGCAATCTATTCAAGTTAGACATCACGAAGCCGTGAAAGGAGAAGACAGGATACGTACGTGAACAGATCCAGCCTGAAGCGCGCATCCAACGACAGCAATGGCAGCACCTATTCGCAAAGCCCAGACTCTGCCGATGGGATCTCCTATGTAGGAACAGCCAAATGCGCCAAAGGTAGCGCCCGCACTGAAGGCCGCGACAATCCCACCGGTTTGAGAAGACGATGGATTCTTAAAGTATGCGAGAAAACGCGGCTGTACGAGACTGACGAGATTGGGTTAGTTACATGATGAGAGAATGACAAGCATCGCGCACTTACGTGCTAGAGATCATACCAACATCCAGCCCGAGGGACAGTGCTAGACAGAAATATTAGATACAATCTCCCATTGGATATACGCGATACTTACCTGAGAGTGATGCTGCAATCACGCAAAGGAAGGCATAGTAAGAGACCATATTGGCCCAAGAAATTCCCAGAGCGCCAAATAAAATCTCAGTAGCAACAGTAATTCAAATGAATACTGAAGAAGAAAAGACGAGGACGGGTGGTCTCGCACTCGTTATTTAAGAAGAGCATGCATAGCGACTCGTCAGCGTGGCGAAGGAGACGAGCTAGCATTGGGGTGTAAGGAGACTCACTAGATGCGGGGAATTACGAAGTCAATCAATCCACTCCTTGCGCGGGGCCCCGCAATTTAGCAAAGGCCGCGGTGGCTCACAATGCCAGGTTATATAGCCTGCAAATGCCGCAACCTTGATTTCAAGGTGCAGGTGTGATTCATCCAACGGAATGTTTGAGCTTATTATCGGACTCTGTAGCCATAGCAATTTAAAGGTACTATACTAGAGTCCGAAGTTCGATGTTTGCTAGGCCTGGACCAAGCCACGTTACTCACTGAATTGAGTCGCCTTCGCGATGAATCACGCGCCCAGTATCTTCATCGTCTTTACCGAAGCTACCCGATATATGTATAACAGATCCAATTTGCCTAGAAGAAAGTCGTCATAGCGCAGTCTCCGATCATGCATGGCTCTGAGTAGTGTGTATTCCGCACAGGGTAGAGCTAGCATCAATTTTGACACGGCTAGGTTCTCGCAACATATGCTGCATCAAGGAAAAGTTCTAATTTGCCAACCCACAACATAAGAGTACATAATTAGAGCCCCGTGGCAGAGCACGGTTCCGAGTTTCATCTCCCCCTTGATCTACATGTTGAGAGCCAATAAATAGGACGAAGCATCGATGGGTCGTATATGTTCCTATTCTCGAAGTAAACCCCTGCCGGGATTTGAAGTGATCTTCAATAACTCAGTGCTAGCGTGAATGTATTCACGATTGCATTATAACTTGTAGGCCGATGCCTTTTTCAAGACCGATCTTTAACCTCGCATTTCCGTATGCCCATATTTCTCATTAAATTTTGTGAAATAAACAAGATAGTTGTTGGACTTTTGGTGTAAGGTAGAAGCCTCTTATCGAAGATGGCAACTTGCCGTTTGATGTCCACAGGTGTCTGTACGGCTATTGACCCCGCATCAATAGCCTGCCATTCCCACAGCATAGCAACTTTCATCCCCGTGGACTTCAAAATCCTAACCCATACAATCATTCTCTTGCCAAAAATCGGCCGAGCCTGTGATACTGTGAAGACTTCTAGCCCTTTCAAGTCTATTCTAGGCTTTGCCCTCAAATTATGTCCGAATCACCTCCTAAATACTACGATCTGCCGGAGATATTGCCAGGCTACCGCTGTTCCTGGGACTACTTCAACTCCTTGCATTTGGACTCAGGCTTGAAAGATCAACTCGGGACTGTGAGCACCAAATCGAATATGACCATCAAAAAATCTAAACTGAACCCCATGACCTCACCAGCTTAACTTTTTGACAAATGACCGAAAGGCCCAGGCTGCAAGAGAAACAATTTTGAAGGGCCAATCAATTTCTCTTGAGTATGTTTCACCTATATCTGAACGACAGCCACTTATGCTAAATTTTGATGCAAAAAAGCCTACCCATCGGCTTCTTTACTCCTGTGATTTCGGCATTTGGCGGGCGATCTCCTCCAGTGCATACTATAAATCAAAGAGATGCATCCTCAATGGATGATTCGCTGAGCTTCAACACTCAATCCACCAGTCAGTGGGATGGGCTTCGACATTTCGCGTTTCGACAGAGTTGTCAGTATTACAACGGATATACCTCAGAGGATTTCGAATCAAGCAATCTTCTAGGGACTCAAGGTAAGGCGCCCCGGAATAATGATTATTGAATTTTCAAAAAGTTTCCAACTAATGTTGAAATCTGCCGTCTAAAAGCATGGATTGAGAACGGAGGGATTGCGGGTCGTGGTATACTAGTTGACTTTTGTGCCTGGGCTGAAAGTCAGGGCGAAAATGTCGATGTTCATTCCGGCCGGGCTATCACTTTGGCTGAAGTAACTGAAACCTTGAAATTCCAGAAAACAACGATTCGACCAGGTGACATCCTGGTGTTCCGTACTGGATGGTTGAAGTGGTACAATGAAACAGAGGCGACTGCTAGGCACCACGAGCTTTGTGTTAAAAAGGTAAACCAGTTCATTGGTCTCTCACAGCAGCCTGATTTTGTTGAGTGGCTGTGGAACAACCAGATTGCTGCCGTTGCAGGGGACCAGCTTGCTTTTGAGTCCACACCACCCCCGGAAGGCGGGTTCGGCTGGCTTCATGAACATTTGCTGGCAGGACTTGGATGTCCGATTGGAGAGTTGTTTGATACGGAGAAAATCGCGAGGTCCTGTGCAGTCGAGAAGAGATATGAATTCTTTTTGTCCTCGGCACCACTGCATCTTGAGGGTGGGGTCGCGAGCCCGGCGAACACCACTGCCTTCATATAATCCATAGGCGAGCAAATATGCACTCTATCAGTCGATCAATAAATATTATACAGATTTATCCATACTTCAGTACATCCAAAAAATGTTGATCAATTTCTTCAAGTTTAGTGATTCAACATGTGCGCTAGGTTCTTTGTCCTTGGGTGCTTGGATTTGATAGTGTCCAAGTTCTTCCATAGTACTTAGTAATTGCTAGTACACTCCAAACCTCCGTACTTTGCAAAGCCTCAGCCTTATTCGTCGATGGGATTTCCCACCTGAAGCGACTATATGTCCGGGAGATATAAATACTTCGCATAGCTATCGTCGCTTGCTTGATACTGAAGTACAGACATATCTCCACGTTGATGAAGTGGAATATCGAGCAATTTAATTATATAGTTGGAATATTATATAGCTGAAATTGAAATGAACAAATCTTTAACACTTGAATGTTTCATTCCCATTCGGGAGGGGTTCTTATTCTGCTTGATTCGAAAGGTAATCGCAGTAAAGCTACAGGTACCAGGCAGAGAGAGGGCTTTCTAAATGCTCTGGGAATATTTTTTCCAAAGATCAGCTTGATCGGTGACCATCCATTCCTGTCCATCGTACTTTTCATACGGCAGCGGGCAAGGTGGAATGGAGTCTTGCACACTGTCTGGAGTGTAGGGATTGTGATAGGTAGTAGCACCAATTTCAGGAGAACTAAGTCACAAAGGAGATTAGGTCTGCCATAATGGTAGGTCAAAATGTGATGACTTACTTCGGCAGAGCACCTGGAAATTGCCACTTCTTGTCTCGGACCCATCCATCATAGTGTGAGCACTGTCAGACGGTGATGAGAAAACGTTCGCGATCGGAAGGTGAGCAGGTGTATATACCTTGATCGTGCGGAACCAATGTAGGTGCCAGATCTTCCACTCGGTTCCTTTTCGGATGAAATCAACTAACGAGGAGATTAGAGATGTAACGTGGAGAGAATTTTCTTAGTGCATGTTACCTGCATAGGCTCCGCTTGCCCAGATAGGATCCGGCTCTCCATTACCATCCGCTGGCATGACACTTTCCAGGTGAAGGCAGCGCCACATGCCTTTCGCGGTTTTTCCATCTCCCGCAACCTGTACGGAGCCTGTCGTGACCAATTGAACTAGGAGGTTGCCCTTTAGAACAGCTGCGCCATACTGACTGACAAAAAGGCTCGTAATGGCATCCTTGCCTTTGAAAATGCCCCGGTCACCAACTTCAAAGGATACATCCGGCTCGTCAAGGGCAAAGAAGTGGATGCTGTTATGCATGTTTTTCTGAACATGATTGATTGCATGACTTTCCAAAGAGAAGAATTCAACTTGTCAGAGAAGAAAACCCGTGGGTTAAGGTATGACTTACCGGGACATCAGTTCTTCGATCGCTCGTTCATCGCGGTTTATCCTGATATCCCTTTCCAAGGCGTCAAGTCGAGCTTCCAATGAGCTAGTCATCTTGAGAGACAGGTTTTCAAGTGTTGATGTTTTCAAGCAGCGACTGAGAAATAGCTATATACAGCTCTCCTGGGTGCTATGGGGTTGAAAGCAAAGGATTGACTTTTTATACGTTATACGAATTGCGCGCATGAAGTTCCACTTCAATTGGATCAAAAGCCGGACCATGTTCGGCATTTGAGGGGTTACCCCGCATCCCGCACGCGGCTATTGTTCAGGTCCGGTAATTTTCACAATAGCCGTCATCGATTAGCCGGAAAGATATCTGACTTCTCTTTATATAAAGCATCTGCGAAACAGGCAACACGCAATTGTTTTGACTGAAACTGCTCGCTTACACAGCATCTTGGAATATCTACTCAAGCTCTCCTTGCTATCGTTACACGGAAATCTCGAAATGGCGTCTTCTTGGTTCGAAAAATGGACTCACCCCAAGGGATCCCTTGTGATCGTGACTGGAGCGGGTAAGGAATGCACTTTCCCATATGACTTTCTACCATATATAGCTTGTTTCTAACATAGGCATTTATACTAGGCTCCGGAATCGGAATGGCGACCGCCTTGGTGGCTGCTGCGCAGGGTTATCACGTTGCATGCTGGGATATCTCAGAGCAGGGCGTGCTCAAAACCAAGGAACAGGCGGGGGAACTGGCGGGTCAGATCCATCCTATCATTTGCGACATCGCCAACGAAGCCGCTGTGAAAAAGGCAATGGAGGAGACCGTCGCAATCGGCAAGCCTCACATGCTGGTCAACAATGCCGGTCCTGTTGCCGTTGGTCAAAATAGTGCCTTTATGGGAAAGATGATGGAAGCAATGGCCATGATTGACCATATTACAAGAGCATTCATTGAGACGAAACCCGCAGCTGGCGCCAGTATAGTGAACATTTCATCTGTTGTGGGTGCTGTGTTTGGCGGTGGTAAGTCGTGGATCTCCTCTACCTTAGCATACGAAATTTTCCGTTGACCGTCTCCTTTAGGTGGGACTTGGTACTCGACAGCAAAGGCTGGCATTGTCGGCTATACCAAGAATTTGGCCTGTGAGCAAAAGGGCCATATTCGTGTGAACTGTGTGGCTCCCGGAGGCCGTGAGTATACTCATCCCATGAACATTGATTGTAGGTTATTATACTGATCATTTATGCGCTACAAACAGCGATCCGAACCCCTCGCAACGAAAAATTCCTTGAGTCTGGGCTTTTTGCTAAGCACCTGGACCGCAACCCCTCGGGTCGACCTGGAACTGCTGAGGAGCTGGCCAATGGCGTGATCTTCTTACTCTCTCCTGCCGCAAGCTATATCAATGGCCACACCCTAGTCATTGATGGAGGCTTGAGCATTGCAGAGTAGGGCTCCATGTACAGGAAGAGCTGGCATGATATACAGAATTTAAATATATAGAAAATGAGATAGCCCATATGAAAATCTACAATATCGAATTATGTTGATACTTAGAAATAAATAGGATTATGGGTATTTAGACCTTAGAGTTGATAAAGCTAGTTCAATAGCTTGCCTAGTCCTCCTGCGTGATATGATGATTCCTCTGATCTTCGTAGAAATCAGCGCCACCTTGATCTTTGTATATATATGCAAATTGGACTACACTCAACCCTCCTCCGAGAAAAATAAAACGGCTCTTAAATGGTAATTGCTTGCGAGATAGTATTCACTTGCGATTTGAGTGACAGCTACATCACGTCGTAAAAACTCCTGTGAACCTTATTACCCCACACTTTGAGGATGCGAGTCACGTGATACTTAGCCCGAGGTTGACTGCGGAGTCATGACCTGGCTCCCTTGCGTGCCTTCACCATCTCCTCCGCAAATGGAAGTTGAGCTTGAAGGATTTCTCAAGATACGATGAAGCGAATATCACGGGCATGTGTGCGCTGCAGGAGACACAAAGCCAAATGCATACTGTAAGTCTCGCGAACTCAATAGCCGGACCGGCTACTGGGGCCGATATGATAAGTGCTTGACCTCGAACTCACAGTCATTTATTTATCAGCGAAAAGTCGGGCCACCTTCTGAAGCCACCTTGTCAGAAATGCATTCAAGCTGGCGTCGACTGCGTTCTCGCAACTTCAAATCGCGGAGGGTATCGACGGCGAAAGGCGAGGGACTTAGAGATGGACCGGAATTCAGCTGAACAGACAAGTGCAAGCCCACAGGAGCTCTCGGTGATGGAGGAGTCGGCCTATTGGTCACCTGAAACTGCTACTTTGGCTCAGGATGCCCAAGCTGGTCGTGAACATGTTGCTCAACCAGGCCAGGGTGTTGATATACGTGAAAGGGCCAGTCTCGACGATACTTTTGCCTCCACAGATCTACACAGCACCTCAGATGCTCTCAACATTCTTAGTCAAATAGCTGGCGGTGCTGCAAAGACCGCTACAGTTGACACTGAAGCCTCACATAACCCCATGGGACAATACAGGACGACATCTGAAAACGGTTTGTTTGACTACTACCTGGTCAGCTCTGGCATTTTGACTCCGGCCCAGGTACTAAATCTTCTCGAATGGTATGTTCACGTGCAGTGAGCAGGTATTCAAAAAGTGCTCACATGATGCTAACTCGGACAGCTTCGCCACCACCTGTCATCCATTCTACCCCATCGTACCGGAAAATTCTTTGAAAAGTGCATTCATCTCTGAAACAGCCCGACGAGAGCCCCATCTTTTGACCGCGATGATCACCATTGGCGCCAAAGACATACCTAATGGGGAGCATGTCCTGGATACATGCGCCCAGTACATGCAAACACTAATTTCAGGGATTGTAGCAGGGAAGAAATGCGGGATCGAAGCAGTGGAAGCCTTGTTATTACTGGCAGAGTGGGAACCTCAATGTGGGTTACCCGAATCTAGTAACCTAGGCTGTGGGCAGGAAGACATGGCAGCATGGATGCATATTGGCCTCGCTGTTCGATTGGCATATTCCCTCAAACTTGACAGAACTGTGTTTCGGACCGATCCGAGACGGGGCGGCTCAAATGCATCTCGGGAACGTCTAGCTTGGGCCGGTTTGTACATCATTTCCTTTCTTGTGAAGCTGCAAATATCTGATTAATCTACAGCATGCTACCTATCGGATCGTCAGATTTCAGTACGCATCGGTCGGCCCTTCGCGTGTCGTGGTCTGGAGCCGAGTATTGCTTATGGTAGACATGGGTTCCCAGTTATCGAGTCCGAAAATCCAGCATACGATGACTTCTCTAGTGTTTTCCAAGCAAGACTAGAGCTGACGCAAATATTTACCAATGTACACGAAGTGCTTTACTGCAATCAGAATTCCAGTACTCCAATGATGCTCTTCGGAAATTATGCCGCCTGCTTGGATGATTTCCGAGGGTCTATTGCAACGTGGAACAGTGTTTGGGGATCATTGACATGTAATGTTTGCGGCTTTCATTCGTTTAGTCTAAAGGCTAATTCTTTTCTAGGTTCACCCAACGTGAAAATTTTAATGCAGCTATCATATGAGTATTTAAGGCTATATGCCAACGCTTTCGCTTTTCAAGCAGCGACCCTGCGGACATTATCGCCTAATGTATCCAGCCTTGATCGCGAGACCGATCACATCAAAGGTCCCGGGTCCCTTCCAGAAGCCCGCTTCATGTACGAGTCGATCGATGCGGCCAAGTCATTATTGACGATTGTGAATAACTATATTTCGTTGACGGACAATCTGAATAAGTTCCCTATACGATTTCCCTTGTACTATTGACCTACGGCATCCTTGTGTTTTGACTTTGCTGACCAAGTGCAAGATACTGTGTTAACGCGGCCGTGTTTCTTTACAAGGTGAGCAATACTCTGAGTCGCTGCTTGGCTCTTCACTCACTTGCTGCCTAGATATGGACCCTCAATGCCATTTCGAATCCTGAGCGAATCAGTGTCCGAAGGCTGATTAGCGACACGATCAAGTCTCTCCGAAAGGGAACTACTCGATCATCGGAGATTTGTGCGAGATATGCTTATTTGCTAGAAGTCCTTTGGGACCGAGCAGATCAGCGTCTTGATATCAACGATGCAAGCCCAGGCTTCGAAAATCAGACTCGACCAGCGCCCCGGATTCAAGAATTCACACCTAACGTACAGGACGCATTCTCGTGGCTTGATCTGGAGGCAATTGGGAACTTTGTTTGGGGCGATCCTCCACAGAATGGATGTGATGATTTCCCCAACATGCAACCTTCGGCAAATCCACTTCGTGAAGCAATTAATTGGAACGATTTAGATGGATTTGCCGGTCAGGACTTCTCTAGGGTTTTCTGAAATGGAATTTTGGCCATGCGATACCATCATTAATACCATCATCATTGCGTTTAATCCATTCATCCACATCACTTACTACAATGCAGGTAGACGTTCTTCTTTCTTATTGCCCTAGTTCACATACATCACCTTTCTTTTGTGTGGTAATGAGGGGAGCCACAATCTTCTTGTATTCGTCTCCAATTAAATGCATGGCTCACGGCAATGAAATTAATCTTGACGTCTATCTCGGATCGCAGCAGATTCTAGCGTACATGTCTTGAAAAACTGTCTTATTCCAGGTTTGTTGTCGCTATTTGTATGATGTGAGGAGTAGCCGATCTAATGTAGCCTTTCTCTTAAACCAGGCAAGTCTAAAGCTTCACCAGTCGCTGGCTATCTGAGACCCACCGACCATTGATGACAGTCCCACCAGTTAACCTTGTTGCTGCGAAGCCTTGTTTGACAGGTGCAAAGAGCGGGACCCCGACCTCATTTGCTCCAAAACTCGCAATCAAGTCTTGCCCACGGTCGGATTTCAGATACTCAATGAACTTGGCGATCTCCTTCGAAGATGAGATAGAAAGTGGAGAGTGCAGGGCGTAACACGAATTCATGAGTGGGTGGAAAGGATCCGTTGGCTCAAAAAATACCGTGACGTTGGTAACAGTTCCAAGACTAACCTGCTTCAGAAGCGTCGACCGGTCATTAAGCAGATAAGCTCCTGAAGCCGCGGCATTTCTTACCGCATCGGCCGGGTTGTCCTTGGTTTGAATATACCACTCTGATCTCTCGTTCCAAGGAGTCCGATGACACCGGCGCCAAATATCGCGTTCCTTGCTCATAGTTGCGGAGCCGTCAGATCTACTATAGAACAACGAATGCGATGCGGCAATTTTGTCAAAAGCTTCTTCGACAGACTTGGCCTGAGCTACGTTGGCCGGGTCATTTTTAGGTCCTACCAAGCAGAAGTGGTCGTGGAAAACACAACCTGCACTTTCGGCCCATTTCTCAGAAACAGCAATCTCCTCCTGCTCGCGCTCATATGTAAGGGCGATATCGACGAAACCGCTTAAAAGAGCGAGTTGAGTATTTCGAGAATGGTTGCACACCCATTCTATAGAGCCTAGATTGCCCCGGAAAGATAGGTAGTCTTTTGCAAGGGCCTCAACTAGTCCAACACCACCTTTTGCTGTTAACATCGTGCCCTCAATCTAATGGTTTTAATCATAGGGGGCTCTTCGCTCACCTGCACCTCCGTTTCTATTGTAAAACTGAAGATTAGCCCAGTTGGTGATTTTAAAAGGATAGAGATCGTACCCAATTCGAAGAATTATGTCTCCTTGCCCAAATATTTGCGACGGCTTTGAAGCGACATCACCGTGTTGTTGAATCAAAGTGTTGACTACCCTTGCCATTGTTAAGATTATGAACGACTTGTGGCAGATATAGGTTTAGCGGGGGCCGCATGTGGGACCGTAAATAAATTTGTGAGGAATTGGATCTGAACTTGAAAACGTCTCTCAAAGAGCTTGGTTTATCATCATCTGGGCATTCGGATAATTTCATCAGCAAGAAGAGTGGTTGGGGTGATTCGGATGCATCATTGAACGATTACCGGCTATCTCCGCATAAGCGGCTTTAGCAGGGAATTGATACTCCCGAGGTCCGATACCACCATGGTCATCAGACGATCACCGGCTAAATTTGGCAGGGAATTGATCGTTCGCCGACATTGCCTAGTCGGCAATTAGCAACAGCGAATCAATCTACTGCCGTACATGAGTCAACGAAAACGCGAATATATTTTGCTACAATATGACTGTTCTCGTTCACGCTCCAAGCCTAGAAATTACTAGCAATCATGTCTGATGGTGCCAATCTCAATGACACCAAAGGCCGACTTGCTTTGATCACTGGTGCATCTGGAGGGTGAGACTAATCAATTCATGGATAATGAGGTCGGAGGATAGCCTAACCGACTGTCTCTTAGAATCGGCTCTGCGTGCGCTCGTGACTTTGCAAGCCAGGGCGTTCATCTTGCCCTTACATTTTCTTCCAGTGAGCAAAAGATTCGCGACTTTGTCTCGTCTCTAGGCCCTATTATATCAAAGCATTCTATTATAGTATCTATTCATAAAGTTGATTTGGAAGATACCAAGGACTATGATGGATTATTTAAAGAAATTCAGCAGCAGCATGCAAGACCTGTTGATATTTTGATTTCCAATGCCGGATATGGAAAAAGAATCCAAGATGTCTGGTAAGTATACCCATTCCTGTGATACAAGGCGCCTGAAGGCTAATATAGGAAAAGGAATATACCACTCGAGGAATTCAACCGGATGATCTCTATCAACCTGACTGCCTCTTTCTTGCTGGTCAAGGGTGTCGTCGAAGGAATGAGAGATCAGCGCTGGGGCAGAATTATTTTCATATCGTCCATCGCTGCTTATGGAGCGGGACTAAATGGTTGCCGTATGTAATCCTGCACTTCAACATACGACCTAGGATCTAAGCACTTACATATTTGTTCTAGACTATGCTGCGTCCAAAGCTGGAACGATTGGAATGATGAGGAACCTTTCCTCTCGTCTTGCTGAATTTAACATTTCTGTGAATGATGTGGCTCCTGCCATGGTTGGCAGCACAGGTATGCTGCCTGATGAATCAACCGTGCCAGGCCTCACAGACTCTATTCCTTTGCGGAGATTATGCACGCCAATCGAAGTCGCGAATGCTGTAACTATGTTTGCGACGACTGGATTCGCTACGGGTCAAAGCCTGGTGGTGGGTGGTGGATTGCGCTAATTATTAGCTGTAGGGTCATACTTTATCGTTTTGAATTGATTGAGAACATGATTACCAAATGGCGTTGATGTGGTTATGAAATATCTACAGTAGGCAGTAGTCATTGTTTTTCTTCACGCCTTTGACGTCTATTTATGAAGTTTTCATAATCGTCGTGTTCATATCGATTTAAAAGTCTTGGTCGGATGACCCCATAACAAAGAATGCAGAACGTGTAGCTCTACAACCTCTTCCGCTGCAGCAATAATTCTGTAACCAGTTAACTTCTTGACTCCTCTTGCTATGGTCATGGGTATTGTTGCTTATAAAGTGCCTGACCTAGATTTTGCACACCTCTTTTTTGCTGAGTAATCTACTTAATCAGCACCATCAACCAATCAGAGTGCCTTAAACCCATACTTTCCCCACCTCTACTAAGACCAGCTGCCTAGTTTCCAAGCCTAGATTAAGTAGTGAGATTTTAGTTCTATATAATCAAGCAATAAGAAGCTCGGTTATAATGATATTATACTATTAAATCAATTCTTAGACCTAATAGAGGAAGATACAATTATGGTTAAAAATGGGACTAATGGGCAAGATATATATTTCTTATGCAAAGCTTAGAAGCACAAGATATTAAAGAAATCGGGCCACCACCTAAGATATTATCTGATTCTGAGGTAATGTGTCATCTATAGGATATATTACTATAGGTTGGAAGCGAAGAAAAGCGCACACTAAGCCATATACGTTAGGTTGAGAGCTTAATTAACGAGTTTGGCAGGATTTTAGTCGAGGAGACGCGTTAGGTGACCTTAGAGGATATGCGATGGAAGCCTAAAAAATATTATGTTATCCTCTCATTTATCGCACCTCCCGCTTATGGCACACGATTTTCCTTGGATGGGAGGGTGTGCTAAAGGCGGGAGTTGACTGTACTGATAAGATCCGCGAGTTGTTCAGTAGTAGGCTGGAGAGTAGTCCCACTTCTGGAGGCAGGGCCAAAGAGCACGATTTGCTTTCAAACCCGGGATATAAGAATGAGTAAGATCTTGGTAAAAATCAACGCTTAAACTGGTTTTAGGCGTGCAATTCACCATTACTTAGCATTGCGGTGGAGTATAAGGTGCTACTAGTGTTATAGTTGTGTGTTGGATTCTTCTTTCGTTATGATTATTCACAGTCTCTCACATACTACTAGTATCTTGACAAATGCCTTTCTCATTCTCCATCATAGTTACCCTTGAGACAGACTGCGACGGGTTGAAATAAGGACAAGAAAACAGAGAGATCTCCATAATCTCACGTATTACAGAGTGTAAGTGACATATTTACTGACACAGGTCCGCAGTCAGGTTGACTGGCTGGGGGCACCCATAGACCTTTTTGTGAGCTGGGGTACTGTAGCAGGCGGCATCATTCGCCGCGCAGTCGAAGACTTCACAGCCATCCCCAGGACTGAGCGAGTTTGGATTCGCTGCGAAGGGGTTGCCCCATTCTGTGCTCAGTTCATCTTGAAGAAGGATGCGGTTAATAAAAGAATCTTAGCTGACAGATAGATTGGGTGCACTCACAGTACGCGTAGTCTGGGTTGGATGAGAACGAATAGCCAAAGAAGAGAGGCGTAGTCAGCGTCTTTGTCTTGGCGATCTTGACGGTCTGCACATTCCATCTCCAGTCAATTTCGCTTGCTATAAGGAGTATTGCGCAGACTGCATAGGGCGGAGTAACGTACCGAACCAGATGTTTTAAATTCCTCGGAGAAAGTGCCCCCCTTGGGAACAGCGGTGAGAGGACCGGGGGCGCTGCCATCGTACGGGAAAGATTGCACATATACGGTGGTGGCACAGTGGTTGTTCACGACGGCATTCTGGGCCGAGACCAGGCCGAGGAGGGCACCGGATATGATCAGGGAGGTCTTCATGGTAGGTATTTCGCTTTTAGTTTGGAAATAGAAGCTTGGATTATCTCTTTCCCTCCCCCCAAGGGAAGGAATTGGCGGTCTTCATATAGGTCTGCTGCTCGGGCCACAGGTAGTATGAATGATGTACCGAGGGAATACATCCGGGAGGCCTTAGAACTAAGACATAGCATCATTCCATGTCTTGGATTTTCAGGCCACCGCCCAAGGGTCCATCCCACGGCCAATGAACATGAGTAGCAGGTGAGACATGCGCGCATCAGCTCCACTGCAGGTACTCCGCATCAAAGACATCGCACCGGATAGCGTTACATCCACCCCGCGACCCCGCCAATTTTTCAATACGAGCTATAGCTTTTGTTGACAATTCTCAATGTGGAGCCAAGAATAAATTCAGCGATGTGGGGAACCCGCCAGAGCCAAGGAGTTCGTGGGTTTAAAAGAGAATTTTCAACCGGTTTCTTCGCTCCCTAATCCGGTCGCGGTACCGTTGAAGTCATCTATGCGCGCACCGTTTGAACACGATTGCGGATGATATACCCCGCTAGGCCCGAGGCTGCCCTTATCCCGTCACAAGATGCCCTTATGGTCAAATATACAGACAAGGGAAATGGTAGTCGGGTTCTAATATATTTTTCGAATACATTAGGGATCTTCTACCTAATCAAGGCGTAGACCATCAGCATTAGGCTCCGGCAAATGGGCCCCCATTTCTAAATTCCAGGGCTCACCCCACCCCATAAAATCCACGCCCCGATATAGCCCCGCGTTTTCCTAAAATAGTAATACTGATGCCTGACTTCTGCCTGATTTAGTATATCTTTTGCCAAGACTTTTTTTGAGTACCAATGTTCTGGTCTATGAGGGTAAGCAGTGGATATGTCAGACCATGGGCACAATGACTTATATGGTTTTTCGAATCTAATGGCTTTTATGATGCTTTATATGTTGATGTAAATTTTCTCGCGAGAGGAATTTTACCGTATCAGGGCATCCAAACAATCGAGGCAGACAATCTAGCTCAGCAAGCGCCCGGTAACAGTGAATTTCATAGAGAGCGTTGATGGACAACATGATTTGCCATGTCATGATCACAGGACCTCCCAGCATCTATATAAGGTCTCCAGACCTTCTTCTCCTTCTTCCTTTCTTCCTCTCTCTCCTAGACCTTTTTCATTCCAAAAGCATCAATTTGATGATTTCAGCTTTGGATTTCTTCCCTCCTGCATGCCGGTAGGGCCTTAGGCCATCAAGCCTGTGTGCTAGATGGCTTGATTGTATATTGCAGCGCCCAATGTATCTCATCTTCCCAAATAGCAAGTTCCGTGTTGGAGCTGAATAGATTATAGCCCAATTTAAGAGGATTTTCCATTCTTAACGTCGACCAATATGCCCAACATCGCTCAATTCAACTTGCAAACTGCTGAAAGTCAGTAGTAAACCAAGCCGATGTTTCTTATTGAACTTTCTGTCATATATGCACCGCCGGAACAGGAAACCGAGCTCCGTTAAGGAAGCCTAGAGTGCTGCTTGACAGACTACATAAAGGTACACATGAATTCCTCGGTACCTTACTAAGAACCCGAGCTGGATGTCTTCTGCCGTGAATTGAATATGGGACGCACACAAATGCTCGTGAATTCCGCTGTAAAACCGTCGAGATATTGAAGGTGAACGACTTCGCCGAAAGTTAATTATCGGATGGGGATGCTGCGAACCAGACTTGGGACATTCTGCAATAATTCCACGTCGTAACTTGTGTCCGGATCGCCGGGATTTGAAATTATATTACAAAAAAGAGTCAGGATAGCGGTTATGGCGTAAAAGAGAACGACGCTGGTATGAGCGACAAGTGTCAGTTATTTCGTACCTATGTGTGAGCCAAAGAGAGAATGGGAACTCAAACCGAAAGCATTCCGGATTCACCACAGGCGATATCTTTTGGAGATATAATAATGTTGAACGACTTGCGGTAATGGGAAGACTTATATTTGACGCAACGCCGTCGAGTCTCGATCCTGAAAGATCATTTCCTAAGATTTGGCACCTGCTATTTGCTTCGTGGATGGCGGTCACGCAATGGTAATAGCTGAGCCTCAGTATAACCTCCATTGTGTTCACTTTGGCGCTGACTGGCGTTTCCGGTGAAAAGTATAAGTTAGGTCGGAAATCTGCGGGAAGCGCATGTCTCCATCGTTCTAGCGCCTCATCAAGACTGTGAATGCTCGATGATAATTCAGATACGGACTGCTGGAGGGCGTGCGCCGTGTAGAGATCTTGGTGCACTCTAGATTTAAGTATCGAGACACGTAGATCCCATGGAAAAAGAGGAACCATGTGCTTGTCTATCTGTGGCAAGCCACGTTGAAGATTGATGTCGTGTAGCCGCACATAACCGGAGGATAAGGTAAGCTCACAATGTGCATCATTTATACAGTGCGGCTGGCCTGTCCTCAGGGAAATGTCTTTATCGAATGAATAGCAAAGCCAAAGAGATCACGTAGATGGCACCTGGTGTCGCTTTTGTCGTAAAAAAATAAGGAAGCTTCGGAGACCATGTTAATAGGTATAGTATGGGCACCTAGTGTATAAATAAGGCGTGTGGCGATGGACAACGTCGCTGCCGCCGACCGAAGATCACGTAAGAAATATTGGAGTTGCACCTAAGAGCTTCATTAGATAAGAAATGTGAGATATATATATTAAAGAATCATACGCACCAGCATGATCAATGACTGAAGTCCGTCTACAGTCATCTCCTCAATCATCGGAGTCACAAAATTTTGCGCTGCCGACGCGTAGGACTGAATGTCCATAGCGCCAATAACTACGTCGTCGAACCCAAACAGGGATACGAATGAGAGAAAGGCATAAACGCATGCTTTAGCGCTGGCAGAGCCGGGGGGGAGGGGTAGAGAAGGCTATAGGCGAGATCCAGTGTTTTCCCGAACATTGACTGACTAATGACAGGGAAAGCAAGGCTTTAAGAAGATAAGCCATAGATCCGGATGTACCTTTCCACTTTGGCTCTACTCGGAAGCTCTGGAGGGGTAGTGTGGATTCTCCAGGGCTCTGTATACGAACGGAAAGGTCTCAACCATTGCAGTTCCAGGGAGAATAACCTATCAAAGTTGATGCTCTCGCCGACCTGAGATTCAATCCATCTCTGGCCTTCTTCTAAGAATACATGGTGTCCTTTCAGATAAGTGACGTTATTCAGAAAAGTATTTCCTTATCTCAACGACAACGTTAAGTCTAACGTCGGGAGAGATAGAGCTCCGAGAAGATCTTACGGCCCATACCCTATACTAGGGCCGAGTTCTTTATTCGTGCAGGGTGGTATAAAAGCTACGCGGTTCCTGGCCACGAATTAGCCAAGTATAGTTATAATGATGGATTATATAAAGCGATGATTCGAAGGTTTAGAAAACCTAGACTATGCAATAGGAAGAAAAATCTCAAAATCAAAGCGCAGCGCAAGAACTATATCATCTCGAGCAAGAACCGTACCCTATATCTGTTTGTCCCCGGATACGATCAAAGGTACAGGCGATATTATGATGCTTATACCAATTGCACAGCGGAGACTCTACATCGCATTGGATCTAATGAGCCCGGAGAAGGGTCGTAAGAATAGATCCAAGTAGTGTCTCACAGCACGGGGCACACCTTTTTCGGAGTCGCATGCTCTCTATCTCGGTCTCCAAGGCCGCTTCCGTAGTAGAGGCGCAGGCCGGTTTCGAGGAGAATTCTCGGGCATTAGTCACTTAGCAATGTGATCTATTGGGCATTCATTAGAGAAACTTCCACGCTAGTTAAAGACCTTAAGTGCAAGCGGCAATGCGGATGTGTTTGTCCCTTATGGGTACGACCGCCTTCCCCTTTAGAACTAGTATATTCTGCCTGAACTATAAAACTTTCCAGTCTTGGAGATCGTCTCGGCAAAATTAGACATCGCCAAAACCTGAAAATGGGCCCAGAGTCGGGCCCAAAGCCCAACTTTGCATAAAACTGGTCTTGGCGCTCATAAATCTGCTGACTAATACAGAAAAATGCATAAAAAGACTGCATATCTTGCTTTTTTACTAAAATCAGTAAATGTTTGTCTTGTTTGTATACTAGTGGGCCCAAGGCAAAGCCTAAGGCCCATGAATGGGCCGAGCAACGGGCCCAAAACCCGACCCTTTTGTGGGTTGGGTTGGGTTGGGCTTTGGGCTTTATGGGTTTTGGCGATGTCTAGCGATGCACAGGTCTAAATAAGCGGCTATTCTAAATGAGGCTTTTAAAAAGTTCGCGAACCTCGGATCGAATTCGAATCGCTCTGTTAAATGTTAATTCGATTCAAATCAACTCAGGTAAAAGTTCGGTTCGGTTCGACTCGTGCGGAGCGGTAGCAATACCAGAGCTTCGTGAAGCGCGCCCAGAAAGGCCCCGGAATGGCGCGTAGAGATGAGACTAGGTATCGATACAGGGAGAACATTAGTTCACATACGATAAGGTCAAGAATTACCATGATGAGATACATAGTTAGGAAAATAGGTGACAAGGACTATTGGTAAGGTGTTCAGCCATGGACCGGCACGGGATAACCGCAGGTCTGAGATTTGATATACAGAGGGCAGAATGACCCCCGCATTCCCTGCTTTGGTGGGGGACCTCATTGGATGCAGGATATAGTCAGCTAGCTAGCGAATAGCCCCATCTGGGCAGACGGAACTGGCTGAGTGGTGAACCCTAGCTACGGACAGCTAGGGCCGTCCGGGGGTTCGGAAGTTCCCCAGAGTATCTTCCCCAGACCCCGCCAAGTGGAGGAGCTATTCCGCCCTGAGCAAAAAGCATTTAAATAGCCTTTGCACCTTCGTTTTGTTCTGAGTTCTAGTTTGCTGCGGATCAGTCAACATTCGCTAAATTAAATCTCATCAAAATGGAATTGGAGGCAAAAGAAGACGATACTCAGCATATTGAGCTACCTTCAGGCCTAGACCAGGCCGATCAGAACTCGCCAGCGGTAAGTTGATCCATACTTCGTAGGGTTTGACTAATGATCAAGCCTAGAGTTGGTCATGGTATCGCAAACACCTCATATTACTGCAATGCGGGCTGCACGCCGTAGGCCCGGGCTTCTCTGCTGCCATCTTGATCCCGGCTACAGAAGTTCTCGCGTCCCAGTTCAACATCGCTCCCCAGACGGCGACCTATCCGCTTGCAGTGCAGGTCCTTTTCCTGGGCATGGGCCCATTTCTCTGGACTCCTCTGTTGAACTCCTATGGTCGCCGCCCCGTATTGATCGGCAGTATGCTACTGTCTAGCATCGCCGCATTAGGCGCCGGTTTCACAAAGACATACGGCACGCATCTCACAGCACGCTTATTTCAAGCCATTGGCATCTCATCTGGGTTTATCATCCCCGGTGTCATTGTCGTGGACCTCTTCCGGCCAGAACAACGAGGCAGCAAGAATGGCGTCTGGACACAAATGATTGCAATTGGACCCCCCTAGGCGGACTCATCGGAGGGCCTGTGGTCCAGCGCGCAGGCTGGGAATGGGCCATGTGGCTCGTTGCCATCGTCAACTTTGCCCAGGTCATATTCTACGTCTTCACCTGTCCGGAAACTTCCGTTGAGCACCGACGGCTCAACGGCCTGGGTGCCTTCCACCCAAGAGAGTACCTCATCCTACCCAAACGTCTTCCTGGGCGACTCAGGGTGCGCTCCTTCCTCGAGCCCCTCCTCTTTATTCAGTCTCCACCTGCTTTCCTAATTGTGGTCGCCTACGGCATCACCTTCGGGATCATCTCCCCCGGAATGACTGCTATCATTCCGCTCGCGTTGAAAGAGGTCTACAACTTTGGCGCAATCCAGCAAGGCCTGTTTTTTCTCGGCTCGCTGGTCGGCGTCGCACTCGGCGAGCGCCTTGCTGGACCAGGCAGCGATTGGACAATGAACCGCGAGCGTCGATTAGCAGCCAAGACTGGTCGGTCAGCACGTCTTGAGTCCCGCCTCTATGTCGGAGTGCCAGGGCTGGTTTTCTCCGTCGTGGGCGTTCTCATCTTCGGGTTCACCTTGAAGCATCGCACGCACTGGATCGGGCCCTGCCTGGGACATGGAATTGCGAGTTTTGGATTGCAGCTGGTCACCACGCCGTTCAAGACTTATTGCGTTGATAGTTACACGGCGCACTCCGGGTCGGTGTTGCAGTTTATCAATGTCGTTCGTCAGGTCATTGCCTTTACTGTTCCGTTTTGGAGTCCGAACCTGAATGAGGCGCTGGGATACGATCTAGGATTTGGGGTCGAGGCGATTATTCTGGTTGCGTTTTATGCGCCTAGCCTGCTGCTTTTCTGGAAGGGTGCTGTTTGGAGACAGTCGGTGAATATTCGGATGCTGAAGACAGATTAATCTTGATATTCGTGGCACAGCTATTTTGATGTAGTTTAATCTGCCTGGAAGACCAAATGATGTAGGTATCTGGCATTAGCATTGCCAAATAGTACGATTGGCAAGATTGGTAGTGACATACCATATACTCGTACCCACAAAGGCCCTTAAAACTGTCCAATAATGCAACCTCAATAGCCCTTTCCATATATGACGCTCAAACACCAAGAATTGGTTTAAAGCTGAATTTGTTTTCTCAGCTGAGTATACAAATACGGCAGGGATATGTCTGTGCCACCGTAAGACGTGCTAGTTGAGATAGTCCATCTCGGCCTTTGCCACGTCTACATCTCTATCGGAGGTCTTTGGTTTTCGATTATTTTCTACTGTCGCACATAAGACGATGGGTACTGGACCTCTCATTGAGTTGACCTCCGCACCTATATCGATAGTGGATCGCTTCTACGAGGATGTGTCGGAACTTCCGTCTGTTAAAGGGTCTGTTGCCGCGCCCCGCAACTCCCTACGGAAAATTCCGGTGGCTGTATGGCTGTCAGCGGGATGCCCAAATCCCCGAATGGCGTAGCGAAATCTACAAACACGGAACCCCCGCCTTTCAAGGCGTCAGTACGCCGGAAGCTCGGTCCAGACTACAGACCTCTGGCTAATAGCTGTTGGAGAGTGTTGCTGTACCATGGATTTCGTCGTGAGGGCAAATGATGTTTGTAAAGTCAGGACACCATTTGCATGCGTCTGCCTACAGATCTCTCCCCGCTTCGTTGCCAAAAGGCCAGAAAAGATAAAGAACGAGCGATCGTGTGTTAAGGATGTCTGTTAAACTAGAACTATAGTGATAATGCCACCTGAATACACCTGTGATTCCATTCGTACACCTAGAGCTTTTGCTCCCTTGCCTGGGAGCCACCCCCAACCTTGTCGAATCTCTTGAAGAAGTCTAAACTGCCCTCTTCCGCCAGAGTACTCTTCGTGCGAGCGTCAATATTGCCGCCGGAAAGCACATGTTTCACAAGCACTTCTAGCTTCTTCCCATTAACATTGTAGGGAACACGGGGCACAGAGATGATGTTGTGTGGGACATGGCGGGGACTCAGTGTCTGCGAAATATGTGCTCGGATTTTTTGTCGAATACTTTCGGTGAGCGAAACTGTGGGGCGCATTTGGAGAAAGAGTAGAACGCGCTCGTCTTCATTGACGGCCTTCTGTCCAACACAGAGGCTGTCTTCGACGAGGTCGCTGAATGCACTCATCGCGGAGTATATCTCGGACGAACCAAACCTCACCCCGGAAGGGTTGAGAACTCCATCACTATCGTCTTGTTAGTGAAAGGTTGATACCATAGTAGCAGAAATATTACCTTCTTCCCAGCATGATGATTCCCTGGGTCGCAGGGTTCACCTTGGCGAAGTCCCCATGCGTCCAAACACCGGGGTGAGACTCAAAGTACGACGACCGATATCGTGATCCGTCGTGATCATCCCAGAAGTAGACAGCAGCATTAGGAAAAGGACTTTTGATAACCAGTTCGCCCGACTCGCCTGGCTGACAGCTTTTGCCTTGCTCATTGTATATGTCTGCGTCTATACCAAGGGCTTTGACCGAAATTTCACCGGCGTACTGCGGCAGCACAAGCGTGCCGTGAAGGACTGCCCCAGAGCGGTTAGAGTAGCCTAGCATATTGGTGGTGCCCAGGGCTGGTGTGATCTTACAAGAACCGCAGACTTCTGTGCCTCCAGAGAAGGAGATAATGGGCGCCCCACTGAATGCATCTGCCATCCACGTCCAGATATCCTCACTTAGAACCGCCCCGCTACTGTTCAGCAGCCGTACCTTGCTCTTATCGGTGAATTTCTCTAAATGGATCAGAAAAGGAACAAATATGCGTTCAGAGACTTACGTGGAACGACATCCAATTTCTTGAGCTCTGCGAAGTAGCGTGGGCTTCCACCCAGCACAGTACACCTGTCTTTATCAAAAATTGCTCAATATAAAAGAATGAAATAACATACCCAAGCGACAAAATCGCCCCAAGATGCTTCTCTGGGCTGGGGTAGAACGGCGATCCATCGTAAAGAATGAGGTTTGCTCCGGCGAGCAGTCCCCCAAGGAAGATGTTCCACATCGTCCAACCGATCTGGCGATTGATTTGAGTCAGCTAAAAGCAGGCTACTATGGCATGGCTAGAGAGTGTATCACATTTGAATAATGATAGTACTTGTCGTTCGGACACAAGTTACAATGGAGAACATGCTCCTTCTTGAGGTTCACCAGAGTTCCCTGCAGCAGTGGTTATGACAGATATCATCCGGAAAGGGACTTCAACACTTACCCCTTGTGAGTGTACCATCCCCTTGGGTGCGCCTGTCGTCCCAGAGCTGAACAAAATCAGCATGGGATGGTCGAATGGCACTTGCACGAAAGCGAGAGGGTTGTCACTCCCACGGGCGAGAAACCCTTCCAACGAGATCCTAGCGCACTGCGAGTTAACACGACAACTTGGTGTCATAGAATAAATTTTAATATCCTACCAGTGCTTTGCATGCTCGATAGCTCCTAATGCAACTCCTGGAATGTTCATTTCCATGACTGAATGTTGCAGATTGGCATTTCGTCGCAGTTCGTTGACCACATTGGAGACCTTGCTGACGCACGTATACAGCTTGCCTTTGTACTGATAGGAATTGATAGCGAAGAGGATTTTCGGTCGTACTTGGACGAGTCGATCAATAATTGCCTTCAGCTGTTAGACAATGAAATCTAGTTTTCGGTATGCATTCACATACCTTCTCTCCCATGTCGGAAGCCAGCGAGGTAAATGTTGCGCCGATGGATGCAGCTGCCAGGAATATAACTATGGGCTGTGGTGTATTGCCGCCAATATCTGTGGGATCTTAATAGCATATTCTTCGAAGGAATAACTATCAGGAAGTGAATCTTACATGCCACTATATCACCCTTTCCAATACTAGATCCTCGGAGAGCACTAGCAGCCCTCGCGACTTGGCACTTGAGTTGATCCCAGGACATGGTTGATGGCTCACCCCCGTTACTTTCTGACAGACTGGTGAGGGCCACGCCCATCCGGCCTGGCAGAAAAACATTCTCCGCGTAATTCAAGCGACTTCCCTCGTAGAAAGTGGGAGAGTTGACTATAGAGGCACCCTCATCAACCCCGTAAAGACAAAGTTAGCTGTATGACTTCATGGCTATAAATAGCCGTGAAGTGGCGAGTGGGACTTATCTTCTTGGGATACACAGAGCATTGGATCTTAAGGAAGTCCCACAGCAAGAGCCAAAAGGCGTTTCGGTGCTTGATGGAGAAGGCGTGCAAGTCATTGTAGTTTCCTGAGATCCGCGCTATTAAAACAACGCCGCACATAGAAATTTTCCCGATCGCATTAACTTACTCAGGTCCTGCCAGCAGCGAGAAATGATGTAGGCACGGAACTGCTCAATGGCTAGCCCAGAGGTATTGCGCGATGGCGTCCATGTTGGCTGAAGCTGGTTGACGGCGTCCATTTGGGAATTGTTCGAATAAGGTAATGCAAATGTGTAGTGGAGATTAAAAGTCCCGACGGCTTTCACCTTTCAACTTATATCTCGCAATTCTATTAATCCATGGCTACTATGCAGACTGTGTGGGGAGCTCTGCACGGCCGGCCATCGGGGATTACAGAACGGAACTGGGGCGCGCATTGCCAAATCGCCTCAAGCCTGGTAGTTCCGACCCGCAAGCTATGGGCCTTAAATGTGGAGCTAACCACTGAAGAAGCATTTGTCGTCAATGCGTCCCTGTCTCCGGCGGCGACGGAATGCGCAGCGAGAGACACAAGGCGCAGAGCGGAACCTCCGGCCGTCGGTGGGTCAGCCGAATATAGACTGTCTTGGGGGTGGATAAACATGCCGACTGTTGCTATTTTTTGCGGCTCTGTTGCTGAAGCTATTGCAGTTGACAAGGTGAAGCTGCAGCTCTCTTTTTTGCCTTTCTTCCCTTGTAGTTGTGGAGATGACGACTCCCAATGGCAATGACCCGGTCATGGGCTCGTTGCAGCTATCAACACCGGCGCATTCTTTGGACAGCTTCAGCAAGAAAAGAACGACTCCGGCCACGGGGGAAGCCGTTGCTCCGCAAACTTACAAGCGACGCCGTGCATCTCGCGCGTGTCTGTCCTGTCACCAGCGCAAGGTGCGCTGTAACGCAGTTGTTGACTCGCCCTGTTTGAACTGTCGTTCTGATCATATTGAAGTAGGACCCCTACATAGCGCCGGTCGCATATTTGTTGAATGGGAAAGACTGACATTTGTAACACGTCCAAAGTGTATTATCCCAAAACGCCCATTCAAGTGAGTGGCTTTGCATCCTTTTGACACCAGTAGAGTGAGGGAAGACGAACTGGGGGACATTATGTCAATTGCGTGGCTAGGATTAATGGCATTCGCTAACTTAGCCGCTATTAGGAGAAGTACAGAGAGATCGAGAAGGAGACATATCATGTCGGAAGAGACGCGCTTTCGCCATGCGGGAAATTTTATGGATACCCAGAAAGGTCCTGCCGGCCGCGATGATCCCATGCACAAGATGGATGAGGCCGCAGTACTAAGTCCAAGCGCCTCCGATACCAGTGGCGCATCATTGACAGGTAGCCATGCTGCTAAAGATGCTCCTGGTTTATGCTGTGAGTACCTTCTGCCAGAATCTACTGGTGTAATGCCGTCTCAATCGTGCAGGTCGATTAAGGGAAGGAACAAGAAAGTGGTACGGTATCTAATGTCTTTGCCTGCATATAGATCATTGTGGCGCTAAATATTCCCATGATTCAACCTGTCTTGGACAGATATTTCCCTCTGAGACTGGTTCTAACTCGTTGTGGAAAGCTGCTTCTGTCAGAGACACCGCCAACTTTTCAGATGGTCCCATAACACTGTTCTTGAGAGCTTTGGAGACCCAGGATACGATGACTCGGCTGCCCCCTTTTCTAAGGCCGCTTCCCACCACAATGGACCCAGACGCAGTGAAGCATTTGCACGAAGTGGGTGCTTTAGCTCTTCCCGGAATTGCGCTACAGAATGCACTGCTGCAGGCGTATGTTGAGAATGTGCACGTCGCCTTGCCATTCATGGATCTACCCAGCTTCCTTAACAGCATCCATGGTGGACATGAAGACAAGGGACAAATCAGTCTGCTTTTATTCCACTCTGTCATGTTTGCCGCTACAGCGTTTGTGGATATGAAGTACCTTTGCGAGGATGGATACCAGACTCGTAGATGCGCGCGCAAGCAGTTCTTCCAGAGGACAAAGGTAAGCAGAGTCCACTCAAACCGATCAGCCTGAACGACGAAGAATACTCACCTGTTACCAGTTACTGTATGACTTTGACTATGAGCAAAGTCCCTTGATCGTTCTTCAGGCACTTCTACACATGACGTACTGGGACGAGGCTCCTGGCGAGCAAAAGCATACGTGGCATTGGATGGGTATCGCGGTATCATTGTCCTATAATCTTGGAATACACCGTCAAGAGGCATCTAATACGTCTACGTCATTGGAGAAACGTCTCCGCAAGCGACTGTGGTGGTCTTGTTTTATGAGGGACCGCATCATTGCACTCGATATGCGGCGGCTACCGATAATTGAGGATGCGTCGCTTAACGTGCCAATGCTGGCACAGGACGACTTCGAATCAGAGTGGCTGGTCGATAGGATCACTACCCCACTTAGTGGCTCCTCGACACGAGATGCGCGAATGGCGTATGATTTGGTCTCTATGTGCATTGCTCGAGCAGAGCTTTGTGTATTACTAGGCAGAGTGCTCAAGGCACGGTTCTCTGTCCCTGATAGGCACGAGGTAATGGCAAGCCACGCGCGCACAGATGAAAGTGCCAACATCATCGCTTCAGAACTTAAGATGTGGGCCGAATCACTCCCGGGCTGCTGTCAGTATCAGTCACTATCTGTTGCAGATATGCGGGATGGCTGCGCTACGGTATCAGTCCAGCAGACACTTCTGCACATGCTCTATCATGCCACATCGTGGGTTCTCCATTGCAGGCATCCAACATCGCGCTTTGAGAAACAGGGTCAAAGGCCACTTCTTCAGACCGACGAGAGATCATGGTTGATAATGCGTCAGGTGGCGGGAAAGGTCACTCAGATGATAACAGAGCTGCACCAATTCCGACTCTACAGGTTCTTAACGAGTACTACAGTTACAGCCATGATACCGTCCATCATAATCAACCTAGTCGAAATGCAAGATCCCTCATTATCAGCTCGCCTGCACGCAACAGGAGGTTTAAGTCAGTGCATACTTGTCCTTGAGCAGCTTCGTGATGCCTATCCCCAGGCATACGCAGTCGCGTGGTTCGTAAATGCCGCCCTCAAAAAAGCACCACTCGATTCCACATTGACCTCCGGGTACCGTATTATTTCAGTAATGAGGAATGAGCTGTCGGCGGCGGTGCTTGCGCAAGATCATGTTTCACGGAATATTCCCAGCCTTGATGATATTGACACCCTTCCGTTCGCATTGAGCACAAAGGCCGGTCCGGTGATAAATACCCCGGAAACTCCTGACGTTCAGATCCTCGAATTCTCTGCAGACCCTCCCACGTCTAATTTTCTCACACGGCCGCAGCAAGCGACTTTTAGTGATGACACGAAAAAAGACGTGGATCATATACACACATCTGGCATGCATGACTTGCAGAGAGTGGAGCGCGTGAACTGGGAGAGAAATGCAGGGATGAATTTTGACGCCGAGTTATGGCTTGGACTACACGATGCCAGTGCATTTAGTGAAAGCAGTTTCGGCGACGGCGAGTCAAACATGGGATTAGATCATCTCGCAGCTGTCATTGGAGAACGACTCCCCGGCTAGGAAGAAGACCTTGGCCTCCATGCAACAATTCCATCCGCTCGCGTTGTAATCACTACTTCTTGTGGATACATTTCACCTCCTTCTCGCATTACATGGTAGAGGCTTTTGTGCTGTCCATTTCTCCAAGACTCAGGTAGATATTGCACCTCTCATGGTAACATCGAGGCTAATGGTGCGGGTCCGCTCAGCTGGCTGATTGTTCGAGTAGCCTACGTGGTAACAGTATGATTCCAATTTCATATTTGGTAGTTGACTATTGTAGTGGAGTGCGCTCACGCACCGATAGTAGATTGAGTAGATAGAACACCGTCTATGTGTGGGTATGGTACATAGTCTATGGGGCCTGCCGGTAGGGCACTCATCCATCCTGTACCTCCCTGGTTGGGTCATTTATAATACACATTGTTTTGTTCCCCATTTATTTGCCGTGTGTGGTGGTTGTGTTGGTTGTTTTCTCCTGGTCGACCGTGTCCGAACGTACTAGATTAGCCTCGGGCTGTGACACGAGCCCCTCCTTTGACACTATGTAGACAGTTGTATAACGTACGTGCACGGAAGTAGGAACGAACAATTTAGAGACATAACATTCAAAATCATGATTTCATAGGAAGGATAATATTGGGCAGCAGTATTTAGTAATCAAGCATCTGTGCAGACCAGAACCACCGATTTCTTCTCCGTAGTCTCCCACTGTACTAATGTTAGAGGTAAACAGACCTGACGCGGGGACCTGGCTACTTGAGAAGAGCATCTCAAGGTGCCTGGAAGTGCCTTTTTAACGGGCGCCAGGTGATATCATTATAATTCTCCTGGATTTTTTCGCAGGTTTGGAGCCCCCACTCTGTCACCCCAAGCATAAAGGCACTATAGAACGTCAGTATGGGCAAGTCTGCCAGTGAGCGGGCTGCGGGGGAGGACCGAGAGACTCCGATCACATACCTTTCAAACATGAAGGCCATGCTTCCCTCTCCGACTTTCACTGGCTCAAGTTCCATGTTGCTTGCCTTTTCAAAGGCATCGGAATCGGGGCCATGACCGCTCATTATGTTGTGAAGGCTAGCTCCGGCGGGCTGGAAGCCACCATCAGTTTTCGCATCATAGGTACCGCAGATCAAGCCCATGAATTCGGACATGACATTGCGGTGGTACCATGGCGGCCGGAAGGTGTCCTCCGCAACAAGCCAGCGTGGTGGGAAGATTCCAAAATCGCAAATAGCGGTGCCGGGGTGGTCCGATGGGGCTGTTAGGACGGTGTAGATAGAGGGATCAGGGTGGTCAAAGGAGATAGACCCCATCGGATTGAATCTTGCGAGGTCGTATTTGTATGGGTAGTACTTGCCCTGCCAGGCCACGATGTCGAAGGGCGTGTGGTCCTGCACCGCTGAATACATTCGGTGATTGAATTTGGAGCGTAAGAGGAATTTTCTGTTGCTTTCGACAGAGGCGTCATCATAAAAAGCAACAGGTGACTGGAAGTCGCGAGAATTCGCCAGACAGTTGGAGCCAATTGGGCCCAGCTCCGGTAACTGGAAGTGACCTTGATAGAGCTCGCAGATATACCCCCTCACAGGGCCAGCTGGAAGTTCCACGCGGTACCTAGGGCTGTTAGCTCGAGGCCCAGATATTTAACGGTTGACAAGGTTTCCACATACCTGATACCACGGGGAATCACACAAACCTCATTTGGCCGAACAAAGAGTCGGCCAAGCTCTGTCTGGATGTCGAGTACCCCATGTTGGGGAACAATAAGGAATTCGCCGTCAGCAGAGTAGAAGGCCTCTTCCTTGGCCATGTTCTTTCCTGCGGAGTAGACTAGAATCCCAAGACCCTGTTTTAGAGTGGCATCTCCAGCACCAGCAATGAGATGCAGACCGTGGACCCAGTCCACCGATTCGTCGACATCAAAGGGATTCCAACGCAGCTGAGTTGGCAGGTGGTGCATCTGCCTGCGACCTTCGGCATCCCCCCTGCGCGATAGGCATCGACGGGCTCGGCAGCAAAGGCCTGATGAGACGCCGCAGGAATGATTCTGTAGACCCAGGTCTGTTTGTTCTCATGGCGGGGAGCAGTGAAAGATGTTCCGGACAGTTTTTCCGTGTATAGCCCATAGGGAGCCTTTTGTGGAGAGTTTTGGCCGATCGGTAGAGCTCCTGCGAGAGCTTCACTCCTGTCATATGGTGAGTATGTTTCTTATCTATTGAGACAAAGATGGTTCTACTTACTCCTGGTGTGAGTTGAAGCCGACCTGGTAGGTGTAGGGATCTTTGTGCGCGAAATTGGTGACCGGCATGATGATCGTTATGCACGAAGAGGTCGTTACTAGGTTAACCGCAGCGAACATTATTCCAGGGACTGACACCTCCTTTGGTCTCCATTTATGCCTCGATCGCTCGTCGTGGCTAATGCTGCGTCATCATGCCCCCCTCCCTTCGCCGCAGCGGAAGTACCGTGTGGACGGATCTTCAACACTCCAACGGAACCACCGCCCGATGACGAAGGAGGCATTTTGAATTGCCTGCTTCATGATCCAAGAATAATGTCGGTAATTCCTCAGTGAAGAACGGGCGGAAGTTTCCGAGCGGGTGTGCGGGGCACCCGCGCCGTTGGAGATACTATCCGTTGAGCATCTATAAGGAGCTCGAACGTGGCGTATCCATAAACGTGCAACCCTTCTTGTCCGTGACAATCATACTGGCTACTCTATACTTAATCAAAATGTCTTCCTGGCTTCCGATCCCGAAGACTTCACCTTTCTCCCTGCAAAACATCCCCTTTGGGATTATTTCAACTCGCCTCAATGAAGCAAAAGTACCCGCAGTTGCAATCGGTGATCACGTCTTGGACTTGAACGCGTTTTCTCTCACGGGTGGCTTCGATGAGTTACCGATGATCCATCCTCATATCCACGTCTTTCGCCAATCGACTTTGAACGACTTCGCAGCCCTTGGCCGACCGTACCACAGAGCCGTTCGCGCTTATCTGCAATCAGTGTTCAAGACCGATACACCTTTTCCTGCTCTCCTCAAGGATAACCAGGCCGCCCAGGATAGTGCGCTGCATCTGCTGTCCGATGTCACCAGCCACATGCCGCTGCGCATTGGAGACTATAGTGACTTCTATGGCTGCGTCAATCATGCAGTCAATGTGGGAACCCTGATGCGAGGCCCAGACAACGCACTGCAGCCCAACTATAAGCATCTCCCCGTTGCGTACCATGGCCGAGCATCATCCATTGTGGTATCCGGCACGCCCATCCGTCGCCCGAACGGGCAGATCCTGCCCGCTCCGAATTCAAACCCTCAGCTCATGCCCTGCAAGAGATTGGATATTGAGCTAGAGATGGCCGCATTCATATCTACTCCGAATGAGATGGGCGAGCCCATCCCAATTAGTCGGACCGAGGATCATATTTTTGGGTTGGTATTAATGAATGACTGGTCAGCTCGCGATATTCAGGCCTGGGAATACATTCCCCTTGGCCCGTTCAATGCTAAGAACTTCGCGACGACAATATCTCCCTGGGTTGTTCTTATTGACGCTCTGGAGCCGTTCCGTACGCGCCTGGCAGACCTTACTGAAGGCGGCCCATCCCTCTCCTACCTGCGCGGGCAGGGGAAGAGCGGGTTTGATATCGACCTCGAGGTGGAACTTACCACGCAGAGTGGAGCTCCAACGATTTTGTCCAAGACCAATTCGAAGAACCTCTCTTACTCGTTCAACCAGATGGTTGCGCACCATACGATTGGAGGATGCAACATGAACCCGGGCGATCTCCTTGGTAGTGGCACGATTTCTGGCACAATGTCGGGATCCGAGGGCAGTCTTCTAGAGAAAACGAAGGGCAAGGGCAAGACCCCGATCTCGCTTTCTGATGGAGGTAAGAGGTTCTTTGTCGAGGACGGGGACACGATTACCATCCGTGGACTTGCTGGAACGGAGGGCAACTATGTTGGTTTTGGGGAGTGCGTGGGAACGATTCTCCCTGCTTTCTCAGTGGAGAATTGAGTTTTATCTTTTGAATGGAACAATGTCAATAGTCCGAGTATAGACTTACTATATGAAGGGATATTCACATACCGCATAAGGAGGAAATCACCTGTATGCCCTAAGTAACAGAGATATTTAAGATTCTTTTCCAATGTCCTGGCTTCTTATACAATAAATACGCATTGAGAGTAATTGGTTCACTTCCAAGCTCGTGCCTTCGCAGAACTTACACAGTCGTCCCAGATATGGGCAAAAAACATGTCTCGCATCTCTATGATATTGTCTGAGGTCCCTGTCGGCCGGAATCACAGATCTGAAATGTCGCAATACCCCAGCCAGAGATTATTTCAACTCGGCCACTCCAAGATTCTGGCCTCAGCAGATACGTGCGCCGTAACCAAACGGAATCCTTTTTTTCTCATAGCGTGAGTGGCATTATACCAACGGGATGGGTCGAGGGCTTCTGGATTGGGGAAAGATATCTGGACGCATAATGTTGGTCCCATACAGAGACAGATGCAATGACCCCACCAGACCGATGCGTAGTATTGAGGCGAAAACAGCATGGCTTTACTCGATATACTCATATTGTCGCTTCTGGACCTCTCCGTGGTCATCGCGGTGGTGCTGCTTGGCCGCCCGCCCGCGTCTATAGTCGATACGAACGGGGCTTCAGCTACATTTCGGGTCCGATACTGGCCTCTGCTACGGACCTTTGGCGCCTTGTCGTTGCAGTAAAGCATCGTCTCAAATTGGAGCATATCCATCCACAATCACAACAACTACATTCAATCAAAACAAAATATTGAAGTCCAACCTTCATGATCGTATCTAGGTATATTGTACTATTGCAATATAGCGTGATTACCATGAGTGCATAGCGAGAGATATACATTTATAGATAATTATAACGTATATTATGGTGACGTGATAAAGTGATACTTTAATAATACAGAAGAGAGGGGGGGCGAGGCATATTAATTGTTACACCACTACCAACCTTTACCAGATTTCCTTACTTAAATTCCCGCAAGGACCATTAATTTGAATTCTAAATTGGTAACATGTATAGCAGCCAACGCTGTATCTGTCTGGGATTACAGTAAGAAGTATAGGCGGAATAGATTAAGCGGGCGGGATTAGTTATTCAAGATTCGGATTCAGAAGGGCAGGTAAGCCTATTGTAGCCAATTACTATAACCCCTACAAGAACAACCGGAACTGAGGCAGGGCCGAGTTCTCCGTGGGGACTGCATTATTGCCCTTGGCCATTGTGCACGCAATATGTGTGTTATTGATCGTGTCATGGTGTAGGTCCTGCCTACGTCGGGGACAGTCCGTTCCGCGGTTATACCTAACATCATCATTCCATCAACGGCAGATCCGTCTTTGAACGTCTTGCAGCTGTGACAGCCGCTAGAGCTCAAAGAAACAATGGACATATTGGAGGCCTTCTTTCGCGGATAACATATTCCGACCTATGCTACACGGAAGAACGGCCCGTGCGGAAAGCACGCCGCCGAGTCCTCAAACATTGCAAAGACAGATACCACAGGAAGACAACGAGCTGGTAGATGCATCCAGCGGAATACGGAATTATCAGAAGATACTTAAATGCGTATTCCAACAAGTTGAGGTTGGTTCCCTCGCAAATACTTCGCTCTATCAGATCGCATTTGAGTGTACCGTTTTACCCATCATGGCCATCTTTTCTCTCTTCTCATCATTGTGGATCAGTGCTGCCAATTCCCCATCTCAAACACTTGCATTTGCTGTCTTTGCTGTGCCTGTTCTGTACGTGATTGTCAATGAGTTTATTCGTGCCTCAGCTCGCATCCCAGGTCTCGAAGGGCCTCGCGGTCTCCCGTTAATAGGAAACCTCGCACAAATCCGCAAGAATGCAGCGGAGCAATACCGAATATGGTCAAAGGCCTTTGGACCAGTGTTTCAAATCCAGCTGGGCAGCATGCCGATTGTTGTTGTGAACTCGGCTGCAGCTGCAAAAGTCTTGTACGGCCAGAGCTCACAAGCCTTGGCCTCGCGGCCTGAATTTTATACGTTCCACAAGGTAAGGCTAGCAGCGCTGCTTAATCTTACCATTAACTAATATCTCATTTCTTAGGTTGTCTCTAGTACGTCTGGTACAACAATTGGAACATCTCCTTATAGTGAATCATTGAAACGTCGTCGTAAGGGTGCCGCATCAGCGCTCAACAGGCCTTCCGTCGAGTCGTATGTGCCACACCTGGATATTGAAACGAAAACTTTTGTGGCCGAATTACTCAAATACGGTGACGGGGGCAAAGTGGCGGTCGATCCAAACCCGATCATTCAGCGCTTGAGTCTCAGCCTGTCATTGACTCTGAACTGGGGAGTTCGCGTGGCCTCCCAAGAAGAATCGCTCTTTGGTGAAATTACCCATGTTGAAGAGGAAATCAGCAAGTTCAGAAGTACCACTGGCAACTTGCAAGATTACATTCCTCTTCTCCGTCTGAATCCCTTCAATTTGAATTCGGCGAAGGCAAAAGAGATGAGAATGCGTCGGGATAAGTACCTTACCAAACTGAACGACGACCTAGATCGACGAATTGAGAAAGGCACCCATAAACCGTGCATCCAGGCAAATGTCATCCTTGACAAAGAGTCTAAAATCAATCAGGAAGAACTTATTTCTATAAGCTTGAGCATGCTATCAGGAGGACTCGACACTGTTACCACGTTGGTTGCATGGAGCTTCGCTCTGCTTTCGCAGCGTCCTGATATCCAAGAGAAAGCAAGAGCAGAGATTCAAAAGTTTTACGACGAGGATCAGCCTTTATGCGACCACCAGGACGACCAATCTTGTCGTTATATTGCAGCTCTTGTGAGAGAGTCCCTGAGGTAAGAAATACAGCATTGAGAATACAATTGGCAGTGCTAACAAGAGTGCACAGATATTTCACCGTTCTTCGCCTCGGCCTTCCTCGCTCGTCAACCAAGGATATCACCTACAACGGAGCAGTCATTCCTAAAGGTACAACCTTCTTCTTGAACGCATGGGCGTGCAATATGGGTAAGTATCCGGCCCCTCCAGAAAGTCCGTCCTGTCCCTACGCTGATTACTTCACTTTAGACCCCGAGCTCTGGCAGGACCCCGAAGAGTTCAGACCAGAGCGCTGGCTAGAGCAACCCGACGCACCAATGTTTACCTACGGTATGGGCTATCGGATGTGCGGAGGCTCGCAGCTCGCCAATCGCGAGCTCTACTTGACCTTCATGCGAACGTTGAATAGTTTTCGCATCGAGGCGCAGGGTTCAGTGGACTGGCATCCTGTCCAGGGCAGCTCAGATCCGACCAGTTTGGTGGCTATCCCTAAGGCATATAAAGTTCGGTTCGTGCCAAGAAACCCCGAAGCACTGGCCAAGGCGCTGGCTGGTTGAAATTAGATTAACTGGCGGGGTGTTACTTGTATGTGTCACACTTGGTGACGCCTAAGCAAGTCCAACTTGCAATCTCATCTACGAGAATCAGGGGCGAGGACAGACAACACGAGGGTTGTCTATAGCATGTTTTAGGTTTTTCCGTTAGCTGCAATATAAACTTTACTAAAGGCTGCTTCATCCTCATCAAATCGACATTATAACAATCTCGGGCCAATTCCGCGGCGGAATGCTCGGCCCGCAGCCCTAGAGCCCCCTCAGTTCTCCCCGGATTTTCAGGACTACTCCACAGCCCCCAGCTCTCTCCGCATTTTGCACGGGAACCAACACTTGTCAAGTAAGGTGATTTGCGTCCAACCACCGACAGACAATGCAGACTGGCCCAGTCAAAACCGACAGGAGACGTGACCGATATATCCGGATAGCATGGTAGGTAGAAAATCAAGAGCCCCCCTAACAGCTAGGCTGAGAGGTGCTAAAAGTTTCAACTAGTGACATCTGTCGCCGACGAAAGGTCAAATGCAGCGGAGGGAGACCATGCGATCGCTGCCAGAGTCTGGCCTTGAATTGCAGCTACGAGGAAGGGCCCCGGAAGAATGAGGCCGGCATTGCAAGGTTCTGTTTATTGATTTTCTTCCTCTTTTGAAACATGCTACAAACTAGCATGAGGAAAACTGATAACTAACTATATCAACCCAATAGCAGCAATGTGCATACCAGTATACGCAGCCTGGAAGATCAGGTCGCAATCATTCTGCGGCGCCTGAATGCACCAGCGAAAGCACCATCACCAGCTCTGGCAGACATTAGACAACTATACCATGGAACCCCGGCACTGCTTTGCGATGACCCACTATTGCATATAGGATTTGAGAAAGTCAGCCAGCTGATCGGAATATATGACGATGAAGTTGCGCGCATGTACCCTGTCGTTGAAAAGGAATCTCTGCTAGACCAGGCCAGAACACTATTTTCTGGGCGCACTGGGACAGGGTGTGCTGAATCCTGCGAGAGGGTGTCGGTCGTTGCGAGTCATGATTCGGAAATGGAGTCATTAGTTCTCAGAACAGTACTTGCCTCAGCACTCGATCTTGACGGGAGTCAGAACTCTGAAACCAGTAGGGCCTTATTTGCGCCGGCTAAATCTGTTTTACCAACACTGCTAGTGGACAGTTGCAGGTCGGTGGGAGGACTCATCCTGTTGATCATAAGTGTAAGAAATTCGTGATATACCCCGTCCCTACATCCATTGGCATGGCTGACACATTTATCTCTTTCCAGAGCGTCTATCATCTGCAAAACGGAGAGGACCTACAGGCCTGGCGATTGACCAGGTTCACTATAAACGAAATCTTGGCGCTACGACTTCACACCAAAGAAGGGTGGTCCGAGATATCCGATCCACGTGAATATTCATTAGCGCTTCGAGTCTTCTGGTCTGCATATGTTCTTGATATGAGGAACAGCTTTGGTAACAACATGCCGCCTGCACTGGGCAATGCAGACATTGACCCGTCAATTCCCGAGCCGGTGAGTACTAAAAGTTGCCTTTTGAGACCTATTAAGGAGAGAGCGAGGAGGCTTACCACCGGATAGACAGCCGAACTTCCATACCTAAGCTCTATGGTGACTTACAGCAGAATTGCCTTCAAAATCTGGAGCTGTGTCTCACAGCCCCAGTTCCTACACGGACTCGCGCTCTCAAAAGATAACGGCTTTCTCGACTTCCAAATAACCCAGTGGTACGAGAAGCTCCCTCCGCGGAGCCAGTTCAGCATATCAGAGCCAGATGACGACATACCCGGATCCCATCAGGGCGGATCCAGCTCCAGCCGGTCGAACGAGAGTTTGCTCCCTTTTTCACTCCGGGTCTCGCTCTACCTGCGCCGCAATCAAATGCGCATCTGGCTCAACAAACCGGCACTGCAGTCGGTGGCCGCTGCGCGCCGAAATTCCGCCCAGGCGGAAATTGCGCTCCACTGTGCAAATGATACTATACAGGCTCTTACTCATGTAGCCGGGCAGCACGCGGTGCCATTCAAGGCGAAACCAGCTGTATTAGATTACTTCCTTGTTTCTGCACTCGCTGTCTTCTTCCCGGCGGTTGCCCACGGTCCTCTGGAGTTCGTTCCACTATGCGAGGACGGATTTCGGGCGACGGTGGAATTGATCACGAATAAGCCCGAGACGTATCTATCGGAGCGTCTTCAGCGGTTTATCTATACAGTGAGAGATTTCGTAAAGAGGAAATACGGGGTTGAGTCAAACCCAGTGGTGATGGGTAACACAGCTAGTCACTCTCCTGCAACCTCAACAGGCACGGGGCCGACTACCCAAAGGGATCTACAGGGGGTGACGGATGAACTTCGTTCTTTGTTTGGGGTGGCCGTTGCCTGTGGAACCATTCAGACTGACAAGGTATTCCATCATTCCCCGACTTTTCAGACCAGCCGTGAAGCTGCGTTTCCGGATGAGGTGATGGTAGCAAGTGCGACTGATAGGAATGACATGGTTGCGGAGTTACAAGCGTTCGGCACCATGGCGGGCTATGGGTATGATGAACTGTCTGACATTCTTGGGGATCTTCATTAGGTTGGACGTTGATACATCTTTGCCTTGCGTAATGGGCAATGTATTCTAGTAATATCACAGATCAGTATTAGCTATATCGAATTGTCTGTCTCATTTTTCCGGTATGCTGATTTCAACGACCTGGTTTTCGAATCATTCGTTTTCGAGTGGGCCTCCCTTAACGGTAAAGGCTTGCTTTTCACCAGAACAGATTTCGTGGGGCTGGTAATAATAGCCATGCATTATTCATGTCCTCTCATTTTTGAGGTCTCGAGGTTCAATTGACAGTTTGGCTTCTATTCTCTTTCCATTGAGCCCCATTTCGCCCAACCAACCCCAAGCGGCACCCTCAAAAACCCAAGCCACGTCGTCGTTATCACTCACTAAGCTACGTGTGCTGATACAGTATTCGAACATGTTTAGTGAGTGTCTTTACTAAATTTACATTCAGTGGCTACAAGCGGAGAATACACAGGAAAACCTCTCACGTCAATCCTGATCGTTTACCCTCACTCACTAAGCATAGGGGGTTGCGGGTGAGCTACCTACTCACCCATACCTTTTAGAAGTTGGCATAATGTGATCCCCAATCCACCAGCAGCAGCATGTACCAGGACAGTATTCCCTTTCTCAACAGGGCATGCTTCCTTAATTAGAGATGAAGCGGTCATGCCGATAAAAGATTCTCCCACAGCATCTTCGTCCGAGACGCCATTGGGAGTTTTGATTACCTGCCCGACGGGGACAACCGCATACTGAGCGTACGCACCCGAGCCGATCCAAACTACCCGATCCCCTTCCAGAAGCGTTAAAATATCTATTAGGGGGTCGGCGAGTGCCTATAAGATCTTAAGCATGTTGCGCGCCCTCAGATCTTCCGCAGCGTATCTAGTCACCAAACTTGTCAGGCTCCGACTCGAATGACGGGATAGGACGTAAAAGGGGCTTTAGCTAAGTTATACCTACCCGTCTATCTGGAGAGCAGCTCAACAATGCGAAACTGGCCGCAACCGAGATAATATATTTCGACGCTGTGATGCCCAATTTTCTACACAGCGATGCTTACTTGGCTTTCATATTGGCAACGTTCTAGACGATTCTTACCCGAATATAGAGCTTCATCGTTAGGGTTAAGATGACCTCACTGAATATCCAATTACCTGAGAGACTTTGCATCTTTCACTAAAAGCCTAATTAGGCGAAAATACTCACCGATGTATCCAAATATTTACTTTCTCCATGGGGCCGGGGAGACACGTCACTAGACATCGCCAAAACCCACAAAGCCCAAAGCCCAACCCGACCCAACCCACAAATGGGTCGGGTTTTGGGCCCGTTGCTCGGCCCATTCATGGGCCTTGGGCCCAAGGCAAAGCCCAAGGCCCATTGTTGGGGGCCCATTGGGGGCCCACTAGTGTATAAACAAGACAAACATTTACTAATTTTAGTAAAAAAGCAAAATATACAGTCTTTTTATGCATTTTCTATATTAGTCAGCAGATTTATGAGCGCCAAGACCAGTTTTATGCAAAGTTGGGCTTTTTGTGGGCCCCCATGGGTAGACCTGGACAAAACCCGCGGGAGGTCCTAAATTCTTGTCCCGTGCCCGCGGGTCCTTAGTCATACGGGCCGGGATAATATGGTTTTGACCACCACGCCCCACTCCCATGGGATTTTTTTTGACCGATTTCCCGTCCTGGGTATACCCACGGGTTTCCCATGGGAGTCGTAAAATTACCCATATCTACATAAAGTCCCTATATAATCTGCTGACTAAGAATGCTGAAAGATTGGTAATTTAAGCTGTTTTGGTATGTAATATAGAGCTAGAATCGAACTTAAAACCTTAAAAAAAGGGTAGTTCTAGTGGAATTTAGTAGTTCTGGTGGAGTTATATAGTCACGTGCGTATATAGATTACTACTAAAAATATAGAAAAAATTAGATAATTAATGCATGTCTAAAAAGGGTAAGTTTGCACTGTTTACAATACCCGTGGGAATACCCATATCCCATCGCGGGCGGGACATACCCCCCTAGTCCCGCCTATGGGACGGGATAAACCATTTTTGACCACCGCGCCCCACTCCCGTGGGACTAGTTTTTATGAAATTACTCGTGCCATGGTCTATCCCATGGTGGGAATCCCGCGGGTTTTGTCCAGGTCTACCCATGGGCCCCCATAAAAAGCCCAAAGCCCATAGTGGGTTGGGCTTAAGATATAGATGACGTATGTAATCGATTTTAAGTGGAAAGCTATGTCTCATCGCGATACAAGTACCGCGAAGATATTCAGGAGTAGAATGTTCAGCGACGGACGTCTGTTAGATAATGACGATTTAATCCCAAGTTACGTATTAATATTTGTCAGAGCAAGCTGATATAGTATGGCATTGTATGCAAGAATGGGGCTAATCTACTAAGGGGAACCAATCCAAAAGACAGGATGAATTGAATTGAATTAGTTGAAGAAAAGATGAAAAGAGCGGAAGATGCGAGGACACGTTAGGGTGTCCTTGCTTACATGAGTAGGGAAAGGGGGGTTAAAAGCCCCGATTCTCGGAGTGTTGAGAATCCCCTGGTACAAACATAGAAATCACGACAAAAATGGAACTCAACCGTTCGGGGTGTATTTTACTACCCCACTTTCCTCGACAATATTTAATACTTCGGTTCCCAATTCAAGCAAGACTTTGGATATTGCCAAAACATAAGGGTCATCTGGTCCGAAGGCTTGTTCCCTCCTCGCTAAGCAATCTCTTAGCAAATTAATGGCATCCGCAGTTTTACCAGAAAAATTCCAGACATAACCAACCATGACCGCAGCCTTTAGCGTCAAGAGATGGCCTTCGCCGAGTTTGGACTTGCGAGTCTCCATCGCCTGCACCAAAAGCTGCTCGGCCTCGTCCCGCCGGCCCTGCTTCCAATATGTCAATGCCAGATTTTCCATGCTTGTCAGCGTGTTAGGATGATCGTTGCCGAGCTTCGTCTTGCTCGTCTCCATCAACTGCACCTCGAGCTGCTCGGCCTCGTCCCACCGGTCCTGCCGCCCATATATCATCGCCAGGTTGGCCATGCTCGCCAACGTTGAAGGATGGTCGTCGCCGAGCTTCGTCTTGCAAATCTTCGTCGCCAGTACTAGAAGCCGCTCAGCCTTGGCCCACCGGCCCTGCTCCCCATACGTCATCGCTAGGTTGGCCATTCTTATCCCCGTTGAGGGATGGTCCTCGCCGAGTTTGGACTTGCTCGTCTCTATCGCCTGCGCAAAAAGCTGCTCGGCCTCGTCCAACCGGCCCAGCTTCCAATAAGTCGATGCCAGATTAGCCATGCTTGTCAGCGTGTTAGGATCGTCCACGCCGAGCTTCTTCTTGCTCGTCTCCATCACCTGCACCTCGAGCTGCTCGGCCTCGTCCCACCGGTCCTGCTCCTCATACGTTATAGCTAGTCTACCCATGCTCGCTAAGGTCACGGGATGGTCCTCGCCGAGCTTCGTCTTGCAAATCTCCATCACAAGCACACCGAGCTGCTCGGCCTCCTTCAACCGGCCCTCGACCCGGTATGCTGTCGCTAACAACGCAGCGCTAAGGAGTGTTCCTTCATTCTCTACGCCGAACATGTCCAATTTCTCGTTTGTCGACTTTGATGCCATTTCTGTCGCGTCTGTTGCATTTTCAATTTCTAGTGCATACCATGCACCCCAGTAAAGGAGACTGGCCCACTGTTTAAGAGACTTGCGGGATTCGGGACGGTGGAAAAGGGCCGATCGAACATGCGGAAAGAAAGACTTGCACCTATCCCAGTTTTCGTATCCCGCGGGTGAAAACACGAGACTTAGGTTGCTGATGAATTTTTCCTTCCACTGCTCAAGCTGGCCATGGGTTTTCAACCACGTGCGCACAGTTAATTGCACTAGTCGATGCATTGTGAACACTGTGCTATGTTCTCCGATTGAAATCAATGAATAATCGCTAAGTGTGATAATATCTTCTTCAAAACGCTGGTCTGCGTCGGAGTCTGACCCACCACCACTATTCCTTTTACTGAAGCAATCCTTGAGCTTTCGTAGATACAGATACCAAGTTGTTTCCTGGCGTTTCTGAACTCGGAGAATGCTCTCTGAAATCCCTTGCCGGTCGAAAAAGCTCATAAGCGAAAGCAGGTCGGCAGCGGATAGTCTAACCCGTCGAAGATGATCAAAAGTCACTTGCCATGTGAGCAGGATAGAGTTTTTGGCCTCCCAATCTCGATAAAGAAGACCTGCCTCATACTTGAGTAGCTGTATGGCTTCGTGATCACTCTCCTGGATTGTTCGGAGATACTGCGATACTGAGCAACGTGAAGAAGGATGTGTGATGTAGCTAGCGGCTTGTACAATCGCGAGTGGCATGAACTCAAGAGCCTGCACTAGCCGAACCATACTCTCATACTCCGTACCTATATTCAGCTTCTTCTGCAGCAGGTCTAGCGCTTCGCCCTCGTTCATTGGTGGTACTTCGACGAGGTTCTTGCGGTCGGTGATGTCTAATGCCACGGCTGTATTCCGAGTTGTGACAATAATAGAGCCATGTGAGCTTAGGGTTAGGGTGGTTAGGGTGGTTAGGGTGGTTAGGGTGGTTAGGGTGAGTTGGGGTGGTAGGGTGGTAGGGTGATTAGGGTGAATTCAAGGTGATTGGTGATTAGGTGATTAAGGTGTGGTTGAAAGTAATTTTGGGGAAAATATATAAGAAAATATAAGTTATATAATATAGGGCATTATAATCTATAATATTAATATATAGGCTCTCTTAGCGTTAATTCGCCACGTATAGAAGAGCTAAGAGGGGTATAGGATATAGTGATATCTAAGCTAGTGGCTACTAATTAAGCGGACTAGGGCATAGTAGAGATCACGAGGTTAAACTAGCTCCATACGCTAGTTAGTAAATTAGGCTCGCTCATGGCGGAATTCTTATCTCTAGTCGCCGCTAATACCGCTATTAACTAGGGCGTGCTTTAGGATAGTAACTATCTTTCTACTATACTATATAACTAAGCTATACGCGTACGTTAGTGTTATAATTATTAAAAATAGGGCTATAAGAGAAACCACCTATCAATTAACAAACCTATATACGTGTACTATGCCGGTAAGCACCTTTCTTAGAGCTACCTATAGAAGGCCGATAGCACGCTAAGCGAATATAAGTATATTAATTACGGGGGCATATATACTATATAGGCAACGGAATATCCAGAACGGGAGAAAGAAGTAGAAAAAAGATAAAAGAGATAAGTAAATATTAACTAAGATATTACCCTATACTAGCGTACTTCTCTATTAACGCTCCTTCTATAATACTCTACCTATTACCCGCTAGCTCGTGGGGAACGCTAGTAGAGTCTAGCTAGGCTTCGGCAATAGGCCCCTATTTTTTTAAATTCTAGGGCCCGGCCTAACCCATAAAATATATGCCCCCATATAGGCCCCCATATAGGGGGCCCATAGGCCCGATTTTTCGAAATTGATGCCTGATTTTGCCTGATTTTGCCTAATCTCTGCCTGACTTTACATATTTTTTGCCAAGACTTTTTTTTATTATAGTCCGTTCTGGTCTATATATGTATAGCAACCACTTTTCCTCCTAACCTTCTACCCTAACTATTATAATTATATATAATATAGCTTAATATAA